CAGGACACGGCTGAAGGTGCGTGGGCCGGCGAAGTGGCAGACTACGGGTGGTGTGCGGCTAGCGTGCGTTAAGGCGAGGAGGGCACGGCGCGTGGTTGCGTCGGCTGCGATTCACGCTGGGCCTGGCCCCTTCGCCCGCTGAGCCGCTCGATCAGTGCCGCCTCCTGCGCGCACAGCGCCGCCATCTCCCTCCGTGCGTCCCACACCTTTCATGTCAGCGCGCCCGCTGCGCTGGAAGCTGGAGTCATCGTTGAGCTTGCGGTCATCACCACGCTCCGCATCTAGAACACGGATTGCGTGGGCGACTCGGTGGAGGCGGGTGAGTCGATCTGGGCTGCCATGGCGTGCCAATATACGGATCATGGAATTGTAGAGTCCGTAGACGAGGTATAATGTACAGTAGTCTACCATCACAATCGATACATATTAGCTCTTATTCTCGGGTGGCGCCCATATACCGAGTGAGCACTTCCCTGCAATTGTGTGTCATTCCACGCTTTCGGCAAATTATCACGTCTCCATAGGTTGTGGCTCGTTCGGAGTCGTGCCGGTTCCGGAACGGAAATACTTGAGAATTACTGACTTGTTCTTCCATGGTCTGCATTGCACTGAGCTTTTTTGCTAACAGTCTCAGAATGACCGTTGATTACTGACTATCTCAGTCTTACCGAGAATATCTACTATTGCCCGGGAATTCCCAGGTGGGGATTTTCCTGATGTAGCACAAAAGGGAAACTAAGGCACAGCCTGGTCCATGGTGTTTGTTTGTTTGTTTGTTCCATTTAGTGTCGCTGAGGGCGGCGCCCTATGTAGACATAAACATGATGATCTATCCTACGGAGTCCTTGTCATCGTCCTCGCTTCGCTGCGCATGTCCGTCAGCCGCGATGGCGTCAGGAGTGTAGTATAGTAACACGGAATGTGGAGTAGTGGATTGTGATGAGAAATAGAGCAGCTCCGTCATGTCAGTTGGCCCCGCCCGTCTGCGCCTGTCAGCCTCCCTGTCGAGTCGGTCGTGTCTTCGCCCTGCCCGCGGTCTTCTTCGTCCCCTTTCCCTCCTCCTCTTTCAGCGATAGATCGCCGTAGGTCGCGGTGAATCGCCCCGTTTCGTGTATGTAGCGAAAGAGTGCCTTAGTCAGCGCTGGCGCGCTGAGAAGGCTTCGTATCGACTTCGCTGCTGGTCCGACGTCGCGTTCCAGTCGCGCTCTTGCCCGTGCGTGGCCCCGGCATTCTAGGAGGTAATGGTATACCGTCTCCTTCGCTCCTGAGTCACACCGTTGGCATATTGGTGAGTCGGCCTGTCGGATTCTGTGGAGGTACCGCTGGAGAGGGACGTGCTCCGTGCGTAGCATCAGGAAAACCGGAATTCCCTAATGAGATCTCATAACAACAGATGAGACAAACTTATGACAAAATAGATCTAATTAGTGACATTAGCTGTTAGTGAACTTTCCTCAACCCCAAAACTAATTTGCCCTAATTAGTCCATAATCCTGTCTAATCCTATGCTAATTCTGTATGAATGAGGCACAATGTACACTATGTAAGACACAGTCCTTCATGATAAGACTCTAATGAGACACATTCACTCTGAAATGAGTCCACAATACATGCATCAGATCACATAGGAGGGATACACATCTGCTCTGCTCACTGTCACACAGCATGTCATTACATAAGAAGAGATATATTGCACTACAGGACGATAGCAAGACTCTGTGCCCACATAGAGCACAGACAAACAGATACACTACTTACAGGTCTGTTGGCAGTACAGGAATAGAAGCAAGGCAGGAGCAGTGTAGACGAAGACTAGGCACTCACAAACATCAACCAGCTAGCTGTCGCGTGCACGGAAGGGAGAGTGTCAGCGCACTCAGTCAAACCGAACGTAAAATATACACACACCTGCAGCAGTCATCCACACCCAAGCACCTTCATCGATCGGCCGCGCGGCGGTAGCCCCACTGCTACAGTGCGCTTCTTGTGCGTATCTCGCGGGTTGGCGCGGGTGCGGGTACTGGCGACGGGTCGAGCGGGCAAGAATGCAAGTGACGGCGGGCGAGCGTGTACGTGAACAGCGGATCAACTTACGTGCAGGTGAAGAGAGGGAGGGACTGTAGAACCTCCTGCGCGCACGCCGCGGGGAGGAGGGGGCCTGGGGTATCTCAATGTGTGGCCGCTTGGGTTTGGAGAGGCCCTTCTTCTGACTCTCGGCGAGGACATGGGCAAGAAGGGGGTGGGCGTGCAGGCGTGCATGCGGACGATCGCACGCGAGGCGCGAGCTGGTAAACAGTGAGCGGGCGGGCATGCCCTGCCCGCTGCTGGTCACAGTGCGTATCACGGTCCGAGCGTGCAGCCTGTGCTGCGCGCGTGGCGTCCGCTCGTCGGCCGTCGTTGTGTATGGGGCATTTGCCCTGCCCGCTCGCGGTCGCCGTGCGTGTTGCCTGTGCGGGTAGTGCAACCGTTTGATTGCACGCCCGCTCCATATCCTCGGTCCTCGAATGCGTTTGAGACGCGGTGGTGAGGATGACTGAGCGTGCTGACGTACCTTATGTGCGCGTTCTCAGCCGCGCGCATCCTCTCCTCTCTTGCCCCATCCCTCGGAGAGTACCCGGCGACGCTCTTGCGGCGTCGCTGGCGGTATCTCCGGCTGACCGGACGCGGTTGGTGCTGCGCTGCTCGCGTTTGAGACGCGAGCGCGCAGACCTATGGCGCCGAGCTGGTGGCGCGGCCTTGCAGCGGTTTCCTGCGCGTCGCGTCGCCTTTCTTCGCGTTGAGTGCGGGATCGGCGGTGGTCTGCAAAGGCCGGGAGGCGGCGAGGCGCACGGAAGGTGTGCGCACTGCCTCGCCGTCGACTTCGCGCTGGTGCACCCTTCTTGACGCGGGGCTGGAGGGGTCGAGTGCGAGGGTGGAGGAGCGACGCGGGAGTCGAGCGCAGAGGCACGTGCTCGACGTGTTCGGGCGCTCGGGCGGTGGTGCGGTTCCCACGGCCGTTCGAACCAGCGCGTCTGGCGCCAAGCGAGTCGTGCCGGCCCGGGCCCATCAGGAAAAACGTTCGTGTCTTAAGTGGTCTTGTGGAGAGCCAAAAGTGACATTATGTGTCACTATGTGCCACAAGAGCCTTAAGGTAAGTCGATTTCTTAAATTGTCTTACTTAAGTTCCATTAAGTAACCAAAGTAAACACTCATTCCAAGCAAGAATGATGTTTTTTCATCATTACTGGGGTGACTTCTCTCATGATTCTGCTGTGTTTGTGCATATGCTGTCATAACAGGCATCCCAGATGCAAAAATGTTGCCCAAAATAATCTGCCATTTCCCAGAATTGAACCCCTGACCTGCTAAACTAATTTCCCACACTCCCAGCACAAACTTGTGACCACTACACCATAGGTCCCTGTGCTTGTTCCCTTCTACAATAACCTATATTGACTATCTTTCTGGACTTAGAGAAATCTGCAATTGCTGCCCCCTGTTAGCCCAGCCCCTGTGCATCCCTGGGCTCTCAGGCTGGCCTCATTTCTTCTTGGCACTATCTGTTGCCTTGCAGACCTTGTGTAGACTTACAATTTGCTCAAGGCCAGGCTTCTTGTCTCACTTTGTATGCTTAAATGTTCTTTTTCTGTCTTTCACCCTTAACAGGCCAAATATGTCCAAATCCTTGACAATATGACTTTGACCACATTGAGCAATCTGACATCTCATCATGCATATTTATTAGTTAAGAGGTCATTTGCCAACTAATGTGTACTTATGCATCTTAATCTGTAGTACTGAAGTTGCATATCCTCCAACTTGGGGACAAGACAAATTTCTCAAAGGTGCTATAGTTCACTTCAGCGGTCTTCATGCACATAGTGCACTTAATTGAGGAACACAAGTTATGAAAGATTGAATAAGATTAGGTGCTCTTCATTCAAGACTGCTGAAGTTAGAAGTGTTTTTCCTGATGGGACTGGCGGGTCCGCGGGTCCGGATCTGGCTACCCGTACCCCTACCCGGCGGTACCCGTACCCGTGACCCTCACGGGTTGCCCGTACCCCTGAAATGCACTACGCAACGCTCACCCGCCCATCCCCTCGCCTCGTTGCCCTCCCTACCCTCCGCCGGTACCCATACCCGCGGATGACCTGTACCCGCCCCCTCGCGCTCACCCGCGGACCCGCAGAGCTGCGCCTACCTGCATATGGCCTATATCCTCTGTTGTGAGTCTGTACCCAGGTGGGTTAGGGTACGGGTTGAGCTCGGGATACCCATGCATATACCCGTGCTCGGCCTTCTGAGGCTGGGACTGAGTGTGGTTTGTTAGTTTGTCTGGAGTCCCTAATGTTGAACTTCAACTGTTTTAGGTGTTATCACACGGGATAGGACTTATCCTTACCCGTTATGGACTTATGTTCTACTATGCTACATATTACATACATTCTTTTCGGATTTGATCCAGACCTGTAGCACATGATTAGATCTAGACCTTGATGGAACATTCCACCGCTTTCCAGCATGTTCCAGCACATTCCTTGATTGCATCATATCGCATCATCAAGCACATCGCTGTTCCAGTCCTTTCCATGACATTCCATCCATGGTGCAATATCGCCTCATCCTTGTGTATTCGCTCATTGCACCATATCGCTCCGTTATGACTCTACGCTGTTACGCTTACTGTACGATCATGTGATGGCTCTCTCATGTGTATATATACCGGGCTGGATACGCCCTAGAATGTAACGGTCTCTCCTCTCGTCTTAACGCCTCTGAGTCTTCCCTCTCAGCTCTTAAGAGATCTGTTGTAAGTCCTCCTTTACTACAGTGCTCTTTGTGCTCCTGTAGTATTCTTTTGTAGCCTTGCCTCAGGCTTGCCACAACACTCCTTGTTCATCACCTAATTAAACTGGTACCATAGCTTATCCTTCTTATGATTTGCTGTATCTGTCATTTGTCCTGTATGCTTGCCTGTCATTCAATAGATACCATTGGGATTTGTATCCAATGATCATGCCTGAGGACCTCATTGCATGCTTGTGCTGCATACAGAGGTCTCACTCTGATCAGCACTGAAGTGTATATGTCATAGCTATATAGTAGGCCATTGTATGTCTAAGTATACACACCATGTTTACAAATGATTTGCCAGTATGTCTACTTGGGATAATGTCATCACACTGTGTCATCATTAGTGGACATTATGTCCGTGAGGACTAATTATCCCAAATGAGAGTATGATTAGGGAGTCATGCATAATTTGCCCTAAATTAGTCAAAGTTAGGGAATTCAGGTTTTCCTGATGTAGTTGGATCAGGATGCTCGCATGTCGTCTCGGGAGTCTTTCAGCTAGTTTGCGGTACGCGTTTGAGGGCATGCCGCTGTCGATCCTGTCCATCTTCTCCACTCGCGGTTGGTCCATGGTGGGTTTGAGGTGGTGAGGCACAAGTCGTGAAGGAAGAGCACTGTAACCGAACAACATGTCTTTGTCAGGCACTCCGGGGAGGAGGGGCCGAGTTGGTGTACCGACCTTGGGCAGACAGAATGTAGCAATTCTCGAGCAACCTTGAGCCGGAAGTGTCCATGTCGTTGTAAGCACCAACGAAACATGATGCAATTTGATGACGCACTGTCGTGAGACAGCGCGGAGGCTTGGGTCGACACGGTCGGCCACCTTAATAAACGAACGGCTCGCAGACAAAGTATAAGCTTGGGGATAAGACGATGTCTCAGGTGGGATACTCACTTTCTGATGCCTTCGTCGCACCCATCTGACCGCGGCTTGACAGAGAGATGACCGCACCGGTACAGGTGGTGCAAGGAAGTGTAAATGTGTCTAACGATCCGATATGAGCAATGCGGTAATGTGTTCCCTTTCGCGTTGAGCTTGACACTACATGACTTGCTCCATCCAGTCAGTCCGCAGGTCCCGACAGACATCGCGAACCCTTGCAAAAGCAATGTAGTAGCTCTGCGCTGAGATCGTTTACCAATGTCATACAAGCAGTATATCTGTGACCACGAGCTTACCTCGCCTTCCAATTGTACTCCAGCACTGGACAACGTTCCCAGTGATTCCGCGGCTTCGCTGCAGACTGCATCCAAAAGCCCGAATACTCGAGGGAAGGCTGACGAGCCAACGGATAGGTACGGGCTTGAGCCTGATGTCATTGTTCGCGAAGAATCCTGTGCCAGAGTCAGGAAGTCGATAACTCTCATGAAAACAGACCGGAAAACTTAAGCATGGAATCCGCATCCAGTCCCCTACTGGGCTTGAACCGCTCGAACAGATACAACCTCCAGCGCGTTCACGCACTGCTCTGTGAAGTGCTGAAAGAGACGCGCGCTCGCAGAGCTACTAATGGGCAAGAACGCAGTTATCGAAGAACAAGTCGGAAAGCAATGCTCACATCCATTGACTTCAACAATGTCCAAAACGGTCCATAACACCGTAGCTGGCGAACCCAGTCCTCGTCAAACCGCGTAGCCCTAGCCGTCCCGACCGTAGCACAAGCCCGCTCACGGCGTCTCCACCTCGTCATCCGCACCATCGATATCCTCTGAACCGAACGAGTCCTCCTGGTCCTCGATCCCTTCCTGTCTGATAGGTCCCTCGAACACCATGGCGGTCAGCGTATGTGAGATGTACGTCCCGTCGCGGAAGTCCTTCGAGTTCGTTTGTCGGAGGTCGAGCATGAGCCGGCATAGTAGGATCGAGGTCATCCTGTGGCGCGCAAAAACGGGGCAAGAATCATCAAGCTCAAGGCGGAGGGACTGGCAGAAGGAATGGCATACACTGCGCTCCAGGTTGACACGGCATCGAGGAACTAGAACGTGCAGCACATGAGTGGACTCATGCCGTTCACCACAGCTTTTTCAAACCGACTCGCCTTAGGGTGGCTCAACCCGATCGCAATCCCCAACGCGTTGATCGCGAGGAGAAACCTGCCAACATTTTGTTCAACATCCAAGCCCACTGAGAAGCTACGCGACGTACCCGAAGTACACTGCAGCTAACATGTCGACAAGGCAAACGCACGCACGGTAGATCAGCACAGCCCCTGCCGGACAAACAGAACAATACGCACTGTCTTGCATGAGAATGACGGTCATGGTGCCGAGGCCCGCCGCGGAGCGGTCGTGGTGTCTAGATTCGGGACCAGCTGCGTCCCCGGCCGCATGCGTCACCCGCTTGATGCTCAGCCAAGTGAGGACCAGTGCGACGGCGTCGAAGATCACGGCGGACGCCCGTGCGCACATCATCCCTGCGTGTCGCGCATGAGTCGTCAGCAGTGTTACAGAGCCTGCGCACTTGAAATTGCACTCACCTCTGTTGAAGCCGAGGGCGCGGAGCCTGAGGTCAGATCGACAATACTGAAGGTGATCATCGAACGCACATGTCTCCGAGGAACTGCGTGTCGATGTCGCACGTCTGATATCGCGGCGTGAGGCGAGCGAGGTATGGCGCAGACAGAATGAACGTATACTATCGCAGAGACGCGTCAATCCGTTTCTGCACTTCACACATCAATGATGGCGTACCGTGGACATGACCGGGTTGACGAGACCAAGGGCGAGTGTGAACCCTAGCCGCCACCTGCTCCGACCAGAGAGCGCATATATGCGTACAGCAGTAAAAACTGAGGGGAAATGATTTAGTTCGGTTGACTAGCATCAATGAGAATACCTACCAGTTGAGCTCGTCAAGATCAAGACATCACCTGCCATCTCGAGGCGCATCATAACAGTGCAACTGTCAAGATAAGCACTCGTATATCTGTTTTTACGCTAAACGTCCTCTCACCTCTATACGCGCGGACACAAATGGGAAGTCAGCACTCACGTCTTGGAAATGAACGCACAACGGGTGTATGTATAGCTTACCATTTGAGTCTGCCAGCTACCCCAAGACAGATAGCCCAGAACGACCAAGATCGTATTGCACAGCGCGGGATAGCGCAGCGAGAAGAAGAGGATGGCACCCATCGAGGGCTTGAGCTTCCACATGAACTGCACCTCGCGCGTGAAGGTTATGAAGAAATCATAGCAGCATAGTGCTTGACAGCCCGACGTCAGTCCGGCGGGAGCGATAGGCAGTGGACTGTCATACCTTGAGCTGAGACGGTGAAGCAGTTCTCGAGGAACCTGAGCAAGAGGTGATATATAAAGCATCGCACTGGTACATGAAGCTAGCACGCACTCCTGTGAGATGATCGCTGCGACTTGGTTCGACATGTTCGGATTTGAGATCTCCGTCTAGGCGTGCAGGCGAACGACAGTCCTGGGCCAAGCGACAGAGAGGCCGGGAGTACATCTTGCGCCATATAAGTCCTCGCGCCTTCGCCGTATCTGTCAAACACTTGTACACGGCGCACACAGACCGCACTCCTACTGGTCGGAGAGAGGGAAGTCTGCCTATCAAGAACCACCGGTACACAGTACCACGCTTCTCGAATGGATGTGGAGCTCAACATATGGATAGGAGCCACTCTTGCTCTCGACCAGGCAATGTTGACACACATCTGCTTCTCCCCGCCACCTTCCTGATCGCCAACGATCCCGTAAAGAGAAATTATCTCTCGTCGTGGGCTCTACATCGAAGTTAGTATGACGGCGGCGCGTCTCTTCCGTCGTTCAGCCCGCTCTAGAGCCATATGGAGTTCAAGTAACGAGGTACAATCACCTTCGTGGGCACAGCATCGCGAGTAGGATCCACTACACCTACTGTTGCTGTGTGTGGTAACGGCGCCGGCGCCTCAGCTCCGATAGTGTTGCAGCGAAGACTGGCCGCTCCCACTGACCGAGACGGACAGCCTCTGTCAATGATGCTGCATCTGGTCGCGGCAAGGGAATGCCTCAGCGAGAAAGGGACGTGAGTCCGCCAAGGACCTGTCAACAATTGTCAGATAGAGGCTGTTCATAATGTGTTGTTTTCGCGTACCGAGGTCGCGCCAATGGCAGTGAGCACTGAGTAGCTGCCAAAGGATAGAGCGGACCAGCAGAAACAAGCTCCGAAATCTGTCGGACATACCACACCTGTACCACACAATGTTGAAAACAAGTATGCACGAGTTTCCCTCGTGTGCACGCACATATCTGTATGTGTATAGCTCGGGTGACTTAGACTAGTACGGACACTTGAACCTAAGTCAGCGCCGCCCTGCAGGCTTACGAGCAGCGTGAGTCACGGTAGCCTAGGAGGCTTTGCTTCGAGTCGTAGGACTGTTGGTTGCGACGCGACAAGATGCTTTCTGAACTTTTCACAAGTTGTCCAGATTATGTTCGGGCGAGAACTTCGGTAAACCCATAGCAGCATAAGTAGGAGAGCATGTATATGACTAGTAGGCGGCTTGGGAGAAGGTCTGGGCGCTAAGCGCGAGGTTGTGGCGTCGGGGAGATCAACTTCTGCTAAGTAAGTACTACATATAGAGTGGCTACACTCTTTGCTTACCGTGACCGTAATCCTAGGTCAGATCGCCTCTTCTCCTCAGCCATTCACGACAGGACCAACACAAGTGCTGCTTTGACACCATTGAACCGTTACCCACTACCAGCGTCACTGACGAGCCTCCTATATCGTGGCGCTTCTTGGCCAGGACAGTGAGATGGCGACTCATCGCGACTTTGCCTAGACCGACGCGAGGTCGAGCCGCGCTCCGGAGTCTCGCTTTCTTTGTTCGCATGCTCGAGCGATCTTCATTCTGGCAAATACACGGAGAACGGCGAGAGATTATTTGTTGGTTTTCCCAGTGATCCGAAGGGGCACCGGAGCTTTTCTTATCATCCTCGAATGACTGCATTGGCAACATGTGGGTAAACTCTCTCTCTCCCTCGTTCTTCATTGGGCAGCTCAGGTTGGACAGATCCCTGACCTGTTATAGGACTGGTATATCTGGGATCGAAGAGAAGGTGGAAACACGCTGCAGAAACGTGTAGGGACCTTAGTCTGAGAGCCGAAGACTGTCTATTCGCCTCTGGACCAGTCTCGCTCCACATCTCTATAGTCTACGCACTACCCCTCGACTCTGAATCGTCCGCTGCACTACTGGTTGCAGTAATCGACACTTCCAAAGCACGGCCAAGTTCAACAACCGGGAACCCGCGGCTTCGTCTATTCGCATCGTCATGAGTGCACCGTCCGGTACGTGAAGATTGCGCCTTCCTCATCAGACGGTCTCAGTTACCCGAATCTCAGGTGAAGCCAAACATATCTGCATCGTAGGCGGGGGGCCCGGGGGGTTGGCTGCGCTGAAAATGATCATGGATACTCCGCAATACAAGGACGGCCTCTGGCAGGCCACGGTCTTCGAGGAGCGCGAGAAAATAGGCGGTGTCTGGTAAGCACACACATATGCCATTTCTCTCAACCAAGATGCTATGTGAGGGTACGGTACAGGGTGCCCGCACCTCCCGTGGACGACCCGCCCGTGACCCCCCTCTACGATTCGCTGACCACCAACCTCCCCCACCCAATCATGTGCTACGAGTCTTTCCTCTTCCCGCCTTCGACACCGCTCTTCCCACCAGCCGCGACTGTCGAGAAGTACCTCTCCGACTACGCTGCGCACTTCAACCTCACCCCGCACATCCGCCTCCAAACACAAGTCAAGTCCGTCGACTGGCTTCCGGATGTGCAGAAGTGGAAGGTCCAGGTCCAGGCGCATGGTATACTGGAAGAACCCCTCTATGACCTGCTCATCGTCGCGAATGGGCACTATCGCTTGCCGCGGTACCCCACCACGCCCGGGCTCGACGCATGGCGCGCGGCGGGCAAGGCGACGCACTCCACATGGTACCGCCGCCCGGAGCACATGGGCAATACCGTTCTTGTTGTCGGGGGCGGGCCCAGCGGCACCGACATCTCCGCAGAGATGCGCACGGTCGCACACACCATCATCCATTCCATGAGCAACCCGCCGCCGCACAAGCCGCCGCTCAAGATCCAAGACCTCGACGGCGGGAGGTTCAAGATCCGCGGGCGGGTGGCCGCATTCGGGGACGTGAAGGAGGGCCGGGTCGTCTTTCAGGACGGTTCGGAGGAGGCGGGGATCGACCATTGTATCCTGGCGACAGGCTATCAGCATCACGATCCGTTCCTCCCGCCGACGCTGCTCCGAGTGGAGGTGCCTCCACCTGTGCCGCCTCTCCCGCCGATGCTCTACAACTCGACGTACCACATCTTCCCCGTCGCACGCCACCTCTTCCCGCTCTCTCAGTCCTTCCCGCCCTCGCGCATCGCGTTCCTCGGTTTACTGAAGGGCATCGCGCCCTTGCCTGTGATGGAGGCCCAAATCCGCGCCACACTCGCGGCCTTCGCGGACCCCTCTATCCTCAACACAGAGACGGAAGCGGCGGGCATCGTCGAGCGCTACGAGCACCTCCGCGCGCGCTTGGGGGCGGAGGCGAGCGAGTCGCACATCGCCGCGGCGTGGCACGTGTTCGCGCCGCAGATGCAGTTCGACTACCGCGACGAGCTGCACGAGCTGATCGGGTGCAAGGAGCGCGTCCCGAAGTGGGTGCGCGAGGTGTACGACAAGCGCGACGTGCTCCGTGCGGAGTGGCGCGAGCTCGAGCGGATCGGCGAGGCGGAGGAGTGGGTGCGGGGCGTCGGCGAGGGCGGCGTGGAAGAGTGGGTGCAGCTGATGCGGAAAGTGTGCAAGCGTGCGGAAGAGAGACCAAAGGAGGAGGTAAAAGACGGGCGTGAGGCGAGCCTTGCGCGCGCAGAGGGCGAGGATGGAGGCGAGGTGAGGATCGCACAAGCGCCCGCAGACGGAGCTATCGAGAAGGACGCATGGAGATGCGTCGTGCATTAAACGGGCCTAGATAAAGTATGCGGTATGTAACATATCTCATGATGTGTACAGTATTATCTATCAAGTGCAGTGTCTAATCCGATCATGAAAGAGAGCCCAGCCGGCCGAAGCAAAGGAGAGGTGCGTCGTTACATATGTCGTCGCAATCTGCATAATCGCGTTCAGCCTCCGAAAGCTGTCTCACTGTGGCAATATACCTTAGGTTGGTTGAGCCATTGGCTCAGACTTGACTGTCATGCTTTGATCTCCTCGACTCAAGAATTGAGGAGTCAAGCCGATGGCAGCATAGTCTCCCCTTTCATATCTCTCCAGGAAGGCTGTCATTCTCTGTGAATGCTCCTCCAGAGCCCTGGCAGCGTCTTCCGCGGAAGGCTGTGTACCCGCGTCGGTTCTCGCGACGTGGACTTTTTCCGCGAGATCCCGAAACTGCTCGCCCGAGAAAAGAGTCGTTCGTGATTTGCTCTCTGCTGACCCCTCGTCAGGAACAGGCCGCGCATGTGGCGTTGGCCCCGTACCTGTCTGGTCCTCTCGCTCGAGCTTCGGAGGCGCCGGGACCTCTTGCATGACCGGTGTTTGTAGTTGCACTGGGCTTGTGGGTTCAGGAGAACAGGAGCTTCCCGGAGTGGGTAGTTGGGAGGTCACAATTGGCTTCGAGGATTCCTGCCATGGCCGAGCTATTGAATATATGCTATCGAATACAAGGAGCAAAAATACCTTTTGCAGCTTGTCTCGCTGATGGTCAATCCACGTCTGGACATCGTCAAGGTGGCATCCGAGTCGCTTCGCCCATAGCGTCACTTCATACGGGGTAGGAATGGGAGACTCTCTGAGGAGGATGTGTAGCGCCGCCTTGATGCCATCTTGGCCCGCGATCGACGGATACACTTTTTAACAGCTTCAGTTTGCTAATCAATAAATGCGTGGGGCGTCGCAACGCACATATCTCCTCCGCCGACGAGGGGTTGGGCGCGATGTGGGTGTTCCTCGGCAACGACGCCCTCTTTGCCTTCACCGACGGCCCGCTCCCAGTGATCCCGTCCCGTTTCCGGTGGGCGGCCAGTCTCTGGTTGAGGTTTTCAAACTTGTAATGCTCACAGCCAGGCAGGGCCAGGATCCTTTGTAGGGTCTCCCGCTTCTGGCTTGTTGATGGGTATGGGTTGAGTCTGTACATTTCTATGGAAGAGCAACATGTCAGTAAGCATGAATGTTCGCTGTCGATCGAGTGAATCACCATCAACGAGTCGATAGCCCTCTTCGGAGATCCTCTTGTTGCGATTGTTGGCCTGTGTGGCTGGCCTCGTCATTGGGTACGGCGTAGGCGCCGTCGTCCCCGGCAGCGTCGTCCACCCAGGGGCACCTTCGAGTTCGTCGTGACCCATACCGACGGCGAGCTGCATCGTGCTCAGGCTGCCACTCATACCGCGATTGTGTGAGTTGAGGGGAAAGAGTGATGGGAGCAACGAGGCGAGGTTTTTCTTGCTAATATATTGGGGCCCGGGCGCGCCACTTTTATTCTATGTACCAAGCTCACTACCGGTCAGTCCTTTATCCTGCCAATCAATTGCCGGTTCCGGTAGTCGTTGGCAATTCAAATTAGGCTAGGCTGAATTGGGACGTTTTAGTACTGTTTGCGGGTCGGTACATGCGTCTTTTGTTCTGCATAGAATCGAGACCCTGAACCGGCCCTAAAGTATGCCGATAATAGCCCCCCTGTGAGCCGGCCCCCTATCCTGGCACCAAATTCAACTTCATTCCCTGTAATCGCGTTTACGATGGATTAACGCAAGCTACATCCGCGTACACGCAAGTTCGACATATGGCCTGAGAGGACACGGAATTCAGGCTGTGGAGGTTCAATGGGGGGAGGGTCACTGGGAGAAGGACATGATGATTTGCAATACAGCTGAGTAGAGAACAGCAGGCATGTGGTGTGAATCAGAAGGTCAATGCAGCATGTTGACTAGTGTGTTTTTAGTCTTATCCCTGGCAGAACCATTGAGCAGATGAGGCCATGCGGCTCAGGTGCTCTCGCTCAGGGGGTAAGAAGTCCGCCTGTTTGATCTTGACATCTACCTCGTCTTCGAGTCTCGCGAATGGCGTCGTGTTTGCTCTTCTCCACGCAAGCGGGCGACTCCAAACCTCGACTGTGTTGCAAGTAGGCGCGGGTGTACGTACTACAGTACGTTACGAAGCGACTGCGCATCGATATGGCACCGGCGGACAATGCTACAGTTCTTGAACACTTCGTGAGTGCCGTGCCAGTCCTCTGTCGTCAGCTGAGAAAGGCCCTGTCGAGCCCAAGACGCAGATGATAGCGATAAAAGACCGCATGTGCCCTTCATGTCCGGTCGCGCAGGGCCTCGAACCCGCCCCATACATTGTACGAACGCCTTCTATGCGCGAACCCGGCTTCTGTCGCGCCAGGCGATATATCGATCCCCATCGCAGGTTCTTGCTGCCAGGCCCTCAATGAGCGGGCTTCGCCTCACGAGAACACGAGATGGGTCGGCTGTGGGCTACGTTGCACGGTGCCCTTATTGCGCGCGAACGCAAGGTTCCGTCGGGCCAGGCGATGTATCGATCCCCCACGTCGGTCCTCCTTGCGGGGCCTCTCAGCGAAAGAGCTTCGTGTTCATGACAGACGCGGCTCGGCAAGTCCACTCTCGAACGCGCGAGGGCAGGCCCTTCTGCCAGTGCCAGGCCGGGCGCCGTATCGATCCCCATCCTCGCAGCGGGCGAGCTTCGGATACGTGCACACGAAGAGATCCAATTCCAGAAGGTCAATTGTACAAACTCGAAGACAAGGACAGTTGCGTACAATTAATGACTGGAGTTCCCGGACATGCCACGCGTTCGAGTTGGTCTCGGGCGGGCGGGTCTGTCCCAGCTTGAGCGTCCCCGGACTCGGACCCCGGCAGTGCTGCCTCCAGGGCCCAGGCTCCGTCTAGCGATGGGCGCGTTGCAGTCGCTTGCGAACTCTCGCTTGGGTGCATGGGAGTCTTCGACGGCGCCGGGCGTGGCGCACCTTCGTAGCGGATGAGACTTTGGTTCCTGCGGGAGCCGACGAGCCGTTCCGAGTCAACGAACGGGAAGCACCCTCAGGCTCGCCCGACGGTCGAACCGGGAGGGGGGGCGTTGATCGTGTCTCTGTCGGTGCTATACGCGCTCGGCTCGAAGGTTGGCTGAACAAATACCTGTAGTGCTTTCTGGTCATCAGAGCCCTTCAGGTTGACGTGTGTCATGATGCCTTTGGACCTCGTGTTTGGGGCGGGGGCGGGGCGTAGCACGCTCAATAGTGTGGATCGCGCACGGATTGCCCGGACCTTTAACCTAATGACCAATCTCACTGGTAAGTGTACCAAGTACCAATTGAGTGTTCCTCCCTGATGCGATATCTCGTTGGTAGAATACGCACTTCGTCTTTTGTCTGTGGATAGCCCGTGTCAGCGAGTTCATCAGCGTAGACATGTATGTCTGAGCTTTGCATACCTACTACAGGTCCGCATGTAGACCCGCGACATGTCCTGACATGGACGTCGGCGCCATGTTTGCTGTACGTCGAGACATCCATGGAAGCGTGCCTCTGGCGGCTGCGATGTGATGCCGCCCCGCTATGACATGACATGCCCAAGTCACGTAAGTAGACACAACCCGCTGCAGTAGATGGAGGGCGCTCCATGAGACAACCTGTCAGCGCGCGCTCCCGAGGCCGCTGTCACATGCATGGCGTGGTGCGCTCCGAGTCCATGATCGTCGCTCACCGATGTCTGTCGCTGCGATCGTCGGCGACCTGCGTCCATGCTTGAGGCGACAGCGAGCGCGCTTCCTTCGAATCTGGACTCTTCCATCTCTCCCGCGAGCCGTTGACAGCTGCCTCCCGGGCCTGGAAGTGTCAAACATGCCCAAGCATGGAAGCGAACATACCAACAACAGCCGCGCTCCTCGAGAGGGTCTCCAGAGTTTATATAGGGCCGGATCTGGTTCAACGAACACCTCAACTCTCCCTTCCGTACTGCCCGAGTAATGCATAAGACGGACCTGGTGAGAAGCGCGCACATATCCGGCCTATCCTTTGCTGACTTTGATGTGCGCCAGTGTTGGCGTCCGAACGGGGCCTTCCGTGCAGGCACGCTCGGTCGGATGCACTGAGATGAATGCAGCGTGCAAGGCACGACACCGGGACCGGCAGCAGGAGCGCCCGGGCGTGGCAGCAGGCGGGGCGTGGGCAGCGTTGGAGGCGGCGGGGGTGGCAGCAGCGGCAGGCGTCGGGCGAGGTGGCTGCGACAGGGGCGGCGGTGACGTCGTCGGGGCGAGCGCAGGACGGCGCCACGCTCTGGCCACGCTGGAGGCGGCGGCACGACGCGTGACGTCGGTGCCTTGGGGCGGGCTTCCCGATAAGGGAGTGGGAGTTTTGACTGGCAGGCGAGGGCGAGTGGCTGGCCTGGTCTTCATCCGCCAGCCGTCTCCTGTCCTTTCCCGCCCGCATCCGTTCCTTACCAGCCATCATAGTGGAAATCGCCCGGTGATGTCAGTCTGCGCCTCCGTTATATCCTGGCCCTCCACTCATCCCCCACAGCTGTTCACGACCTTCACGACCCCGCCCACCAGACGACTGGCCATCATGTGCGTCGCCTCCTTCGTTCATCCGCGCGCGCTGGCTGACCCCCGTCCGCAGGTCGTCCGGCATCTCCGGTGCCTCCACCTACTCAACCTCTACATTCTCTACCGCCCTTGTCTTCAACGCCGCCGTGTTTGGCGGCGAACTGCTCGCATTCACTCTCCTACGCCCTTACTTCCCTGCCATCTACCAGCCGCTCACATACATCCCTCCCGAAGAGTGTGTCTCTCGCTGTGCATGCACCCAACCGCTGCTGACTTTTCTGCAGCAAACGCTCTCCTGAGCTCTCCCGCAACATCTTCCTATGGCCGTGGGCCGTGTATCGTGCCAATTATGCAGACATCAAGGCTGTCAATGGCCTCGACGCGTACTTCTTCGTCCGCTTCCTCCGCATGATGGTCCGCGTTATGGTCCCCATCTGGCTCATCTCATGGGTCGTCCTCCTCCCCGTCTTCTCCGTTGGCACTTCTAGCCCCACGAGCGACAGCCTCACCCAGTTCCAGTTCGGAAATGTAGGCAGTGGTGATCAGCCACGTCTTTGGGCGCCATTGGTCCTCGCATGGGTGTTCACAAGTGAGTGTGCGTCGTGTCGGCCCACAATTGCCACTGACCTCCACCAGTCTGGATCCTCTGGAATGTCCGCTTTGAGATGGGACACTTTGTGACTACCCGCCAGCGGTGGCTCATCGATCCTAACAACTCGTCGACGGCGCAGGCAAATACCATACTCGTCACTGGTGTGCCGCAACGGTACTTGACGGAGGCGGCACTGAAGGAACTGTTTACCTACTTGCCTGGCGGCGTCGCGAAAGTCTGGCTAAACAGGTGCGCCTCTATCTTACCCTCGCGCATTCTAACTCACCGTCCCGCAGAGACCTGAAGGAAATGCCGGACTTGTACGAGCGCCAGGTGAAGGCGTGCAAGGTACTCGAATCTGCGGAGACGAGCCTCATGAATACCGCCGTTACGCGGCACAACAAACAGAACAAGAAGCAGGCGAAGGCGGCAAAGAAGGCGGCAAAGAAAGGAAACCCGCCGCCGTCGACCGCAGACCCGTCTTCTGACGACCGCCGTCTGACCGACCCCAGCATTGCAGACACAGAGCGCGGCGACGGCTTCGCGGACAAGCTCGTCCCGCGCAAGAAGCGTCCCACGCACCGTCTCCCTCTTCTCTCCTTCCTCCCGTCCCTGCCCCTCGTCGGCAAGCAGGTCGACTCGATTGAGTGGGCGCGCGAGGAGATCGCAGTTACTACCGAGGAGCTCCGCAAAAAGCGGCGTGAGCTCGCGCGCGAGGTCTCGAAGGGCCACAGCGTGCCGCCGGCCGTCGACGAGAGCAAGCCGGACGCACTCAAGCCTGACGCGCACAGCGAGCAGGTCTACCCGCCGCTCAACTCTGCCTTCGTGCTCTTCAACCAGCAGATCGCCGCGCACCTCGCCGCGCAGAGCCTGACGCACCACGCGCCGTACCGCATGGCGGAGAAGCAGGTCGGCGTCGTGCCGGACGACGTGATTTGGGGCAACTTGAACTTGAACCCGTATGAGGCGAAGGTGCGCACGGCGCTCAGCTGGGCGGCGACGCTCGGGCTGATCATCCTTTGGTCGTTCCCTGGTGAGCATTCCGCTCTTCGCTCTGACTAGGGGCCTCGGTGCTGACGCATGTTGCAGTCGCCTTCGTCGGTGCGGTGTCGAACGTCGCGTCGCTGTGCACAACGTACACCTGGCTCGCGTGGCTCTGCAAGCTGCCGTCGCCCATCATCGGCATCATCTCCGGTATTCTGTCGCCCGTGCTGCTCGCGGTGCTCATGATGCTCCTCCCGATCATCCTGCGCATCTTCGCGAGGCTGGAGGGCATGACGACGCGCACGGCGATCGAGCTCAGTCTCATGAACCGCTTCTTCATCTTCCAGATCATTGTACGTCCTTGCCAATCCTGAATCCGTGGGGGGACACACTTACGAGCTTTGTGTCTTGTAGCACTCGTTCTTGATCGTCACGCTGGCGTCGGGTATCATCGCTGCCTTGCCCCAGTTGGTCGAGAACACGAGCTCGATCCCGACCATCCTTGCACAGAATCTGCCCAAGGCATCTGTGTTCTTCCTCTCGTGCGTATCATCGCTCCCCTTCGCCGCCGAAGGGCGTCTCATACTGATTCGCGTGCAGGTTTATCATTCTGCAGGGTTTGTCCGGAACGGCGACGGGCTTCCTCGCATACATTCCTCTGGCGATCTACTACGTGAAGCTGTACCTCACCGGGAGCACGCCGCGCTCGATCTACAACATCAAGTACAAGCTTCGGTCCGTCGAGTGGGGTACCACGTTCCCCACGGTCACCCTCCTCGTGTGCATCAGTACGTCCTACTAACGCCCTCCTCGATCTTGCTCGGTGTTGACCCTCCACCCCTCGCAGCCATAGCGTACTCGGTCATCTCGCCGATCATCAACGGTCTTGCGGCGGCGACGTTCTTCCTGTACTACATGCTCTGGAAGTACCGCTTCCTCTGGCAGCTCGGCCAGCCGCGCTCGACCGAGAGCGGCGGGCGGTTCTTCCCCAAGGCCATGCAGCACATCTTTGTCGGGCTGTACATCGAGGAGATCTGCCTCGCGGCGCTGTTCTTCCTCGCGCGCGACCAGGACGGGAAGGCGAGCGCGGTGCCGGAGGGCGCGTTGATGATCGTGTTGGTCGTGTTCACGGTACGTCCGAGGCATCATCCGACATGCGGAGTGGAGTGGGGGTAGCTGACTGTTGGGTCTGCAGGCGTTCTTCCACCTCATCCTCGACAACTCGTATGACCCGCTGATACACGTGCTCCCGCTGACCCTCGCGGACCAGGACCAGGAGCTGCCGGACCCGAACCGCCAGGCGACGGAGCGCGCGCTGGGCGACAGCGCGTCGGTCACGAGCGTGGACGCGGCGCAGACGGAGAAGCGCCGCGGCCAGGAGGTGCGCGCGCGCCCGGGCTCGCAGGCGTCCGAGTCGGGCGACTCGGGGAAGGCGCGCGCGAAGACGAGCGAGCGCGGCGGGGCGGGCGCGGAGTCGCTCGCGCCGGGCGGCGACGGGGAGAGCCACCGGCTGAGCCAGTTCAGCGTGGCGGGGATCGACGAGGAGGAGGGCCCGAAGGACTTTTACCACCCGGCGAGCGTGGAGCCGCAGCAGACGATATGGATCCCGCGCGACCTGCTGGGGCTGGGCGAGGCGGAGGAGGCGGAGATCCGCGAGCGGGGGATACGCGTGTCGAGCAGGGATGCGCGGATGGACGAGAAGGGCCATGTGGATATCTCGGGGGCGCCCCCGGATTATACGGAGGCGGTGCGGTGAGTTGCGCGTGCTGCCTGGAGGCGGGGCTGGAGGTGGAGGGTAGTTTTGTGGGAGGCTCTTGGTTTCGTTGTATGATTCCGTTGACTGCTCTGCTCTGCGCGGGCGTCGTGACTCGTGACTCAGAAGGACCCCAGTTATATACTTACACCGCACACGTTCAAGTTCTCTGCACATTGTAGTCTTCCGTTCCGTTCCGTTCTTGCAGTGCCTCTTTGACTGGAATCGTTACTGGCGGCGCACATCGACTAGATACTTTGTATTATTAGTACCTCCGCGCGCGACGCCGGGGCAGTTGTGTAGCAGTCATTAATTGCCGCTCCTCGCAATGCATACCCATATACATTCTAGAACACTTATCGTCCTTCGTTGTCTCATCATCTTCAATCACTGCGTTCAAGAGCCGTATCTTTCGAGCTTGGGGTAGATAGGTGTAGCAGTGGTACGGTTGAGTAGACGTATGTAGACAGACGTGAATGCTACAGTGAGTAGGTTGCATGTGTGTGCGTGTTCATTGTCTGAAGAAAAAAATATACACTGACGGCGGACATATCATGTAATCCCACATTGTATTAGGTCCCAGTGCGTGCATCTAACCGCATGTAGCCGCAGCGTAGCTAGGCGATGTACTTGGTGCTGTGTAGAGCCCTGCCGTCGCAATGTACACTCATGTATGCCATATTTTCGATCGTACTGCTGTACTTATGTATGTCATGTTAGGCTACCTCAGCTTACGGTGGTCTACGCTTGCAAAACACAGCTGAGATAATCGTGTCATTTAAATTACACCGAAACGGGTACACAGTTACGATCACGTGGGACGACGCGCGCGGCGTGCGGTTCCGCCCTGCATACACGCTCCTCCTGGTCCGGCCGTCCATTTCTTGCCACCTTCGCCATGTTGTCTTGGGATCCCTCCTCCTCCGGTTGGTCAAGCTGCACAGCGAGGTCGAGAAGCTCAAGGCCGACTTAGCTGAGCTCCGAGTCAAACATGCTCGGGAGGAAGAGAAGGACTGTGGCGATGGTGAAGCAGGGATGAAGGCGGGGATGATGGGAACGACGAAGGAGACGTCAGAGCACCCGCTTGGAAGCGACACAAGGCTAACAACCAGAGTCAGATGCTGAGTGTCGTAAGATATATGAAGGCACTCACTCTAGACCAACTAACTGTCACTGGGACCGAGCTCTGGGCATGCTCCCATCAATGTATGCGGATGATATCTGGCGCTGAGGGTGTCATCAGAAATCCGTGGTGACCGCAATGCAGAATCTTACTGGCTTAGGGCCAAATCCATCCCCCATTGGTGGTCCACCTGCAGCCGAGAATGATGATGACCTCGCAAATGAAGAAACGGCGGGGCGGCCATGGCACCAGTCAACTCGTCAATGACCGCTTGCGGCGTCGAAAGTAGCCTGTATGGGTATCTTGAATCATCTAGAGACGTGCTCTTACCTGTGTGTTCTTGTTCTTGGGCGGCATTTTGCCGAGGTTGACGACGTGATGGACGTTCAGGACAACGTACAGAAGGCAAGAAAATGAAGATTTTATGGTCCCATGCAACAGTGTTAGTCTACGTACGACTACTTAGCATAAGAGGGATGCGTATAGCCAAGTATACCAGAAGGCGATGAAGGTAGACCATGCGGTGACGGGGCGATGTTCGCCCACGTAGGGCTAGACGCCTAGGCTTATGTAACCTCATGTAACCAAAGTCGGATTACGTACTGTCTACGGATGCGTGCCTACATGCGTTTCCTCGGTCTACACAGGCATAATCTACGCTACATCCACCCTGTGTGGCACTGCGCTTGGTCGACGTTGGGCTACACGACCGAGCACATCCTTGGAGGATACGCGCCTTGAACGCAGTGAATGTTCTTTCTACCGGCGGTACCGTAGCCGATCAGCATATATATAGTCGACTCGCATTACAGAGCCTCTGCTCTTATAGAGAATAGACTTTACTACTGTATACAACGGTACCGGCGTAAACAGCATGACCAGCAAACCCGCTAGCTTACTGCCCGCCTCTCTGCAACCCCTCGATCATGGACCAGCAATGTCGGCGGCTGGGGGCTAAGTATGACGGAAGCCTGGGATCCCGCGCGCTGCGGTCCTGCAAGTGCAGCCAGGTCAGGAGCATGCAGAGAGAAGCTGGCGCGGAGTCGGAGAGAAAATACCCTTGCGGCCCGGCCTCTCCATGTCTTCGAGCGGGCCTTTGCGGTGACTGCACAAGTCCGCTTGGGAGAAAGCCGCGGGCTCGTCCTGCTTCTGCGTCTGTGACCGGTCAGGTACCAGGACACAGAGGCGATCGACGCGCTAGTCTCGCTGCGGGTGCTCACAATCGGAACCTGCGTCGGGTCTGACCAGTCGATGAAGCCCACCAGCTGTCCGCGGTGATTGTACAGGAAGTCTTCGTAGGCGATGTTCTGGGGGCGCCACTGGTACTTCTTGTAAGTTAGAGCGAGGCCTTCACCTGTTCTCGCAGAAGAGTCGCTCAGTATCATCGTTTCGGGTCGACGCAGAGTGCACGGACGCACGGCTACCAACGCCCTGAGCTCCAGTCTGTTGACCTTCTTTGCCCGCCTCTTCGGCTTCGCAGGGATACGGTGGATTGTGGCAAGCTGGCCCTTGTTCCCAATGCGCGCCGTCTCGATCTCCAACACCTTTGGCTCCGATTTTCCACCCTTGTATAGCGTCACGTCTGTAGAAGTGCATGCGCCGCTCAGTGAGCTCTGTTCACAAGAGCGGACAAGGCAGCCTACTTTCCGTGGCGCCTGATGAACCAGGCAACAGCGACTCGGTGGACTGGGATGAGCCTGCTCCGCGAGGCCAGAAGTCGACGTCCTGAGACTCGCCGTTTGCATAGCGTGCGGACTACCGCAGGTTACACCGTCGACGCGGACGTTAGTGTAGGAAAGCCTTTGCCAGTGAAGGATACAGTAACACTGACCAGTACCCAGCCCAGGTCTCGTCGCACACGAAGGAACGAGCCGATTGGCGCAGCACACGCGGACAGCGCCAGGTGGGAGGCGAGGAAGCAGAGAATTGCAAGCCACATCCTCAAAAGTGGGCCGTTAAATGTTACGAGTGAAAAGAATGGGTGAAAAACACGGACGAGAAATGGAACGACGGAAGTAAAGTGGGAACCAGACGCACTGAAGTTCGCCACCAATATGTCGAAGCTCTTGTACGTCGTCGACAGGTCCAATACCACCCAGCACGCCGGAATTTGCATAGAGGCATGGGACGAGCCCACACCTTGTGTCTCACTAGGCCCGGGTTCATACCGTTCTGTGTCAGAATCCGTCGTGACATCGAGCCGTCGCGTTACTCACCAGAGGTCGAGTACAAAACATTTGCTCTTCATGCAGAAGCTACACTTTGGGGCTCCTTGCGGACGCATCATTCGACCACACTGACAGAAGGCAAGCTGGCAGCGGCTGCATTGAACGTGCATTGCTGTGGATATCATCGAGCGGCCGAGAGCGAGTGCGATTGTGTCACTGACTTGTTTGTCACGGATCCTTTGGTGTCGGATTCTTGCGTTTCCGCGAAGATGAGCACCGGCCAGTCTTGGCTGTGATACCCGTCAGCTCTTTACCACCTGGACCCACATACATTGAAGCAATGTAAGGAAACGACGCATGACAGGTCTCGCAATGGACGACCTGTTGGACGCCATGTCTCGACTTTACGTGGCAGTGGCACAATTATTCATGCTATTAGTTTTCGGGTGACACAGCAAGATTCGAGACCATATCAAATCATATCCTATGCGATAGCAAAGCAAAGATCAGCATGAGACACATGAGCAGCATATCCAGATTCACAACGCGATGTCTATCAAGAAAACAGAATAAGAACGCCCTTAGCCCATGTGCAACGATAGGCTTTGCCATTCAGCCATCCCCAAGCGTCGACCCGCGATCAGCTCCAGCACTTAGCAGCCTCGTTCAGGAGGGTAGGCTTGTGAGGATCGCTTAGATCTTTGTTCTCCAATTCGGCCGCAACCTCGAACTCGGATACGAGCTGCGCGGGGTCACCAAGGTTCTCTGGGAACTCCCACGTAGCGTCTTTCATCTCGTACCTGAGTCGAATTGTATTCAGTGACGATAAGGCATGTAGTACGGAAGCAACATACCCAGACCACTTCACGAGCCAGAGGAATTTGGGCACGCCATTATTACTTGGCTGCGTCAGCGAAGGCCTGCGTCCAACTATGCATTCAATGAACCACTGTCCCGTTTCGGAAGATTGGCAGTCGGGGCGGGCGCACTGCGCCGTCTTGTTTTGTTGGCTCGCGTGTTGACCCTCCCCTATAGAACGCACAGATCATTGAGAAGACACACTCATGAGACGACTTCAAGACATACGCTCTTCGCTATCAAACAACCATTTGTCAGTCAGTTGTTCCACGAGACATATGATGAACACCTGGACGGGACTCACGTCGCAACCTCACACGGCGGGCAAAAGAATTTGGAGTCCTCTTCGGTCAGGCGCGGGTCATCGGCAGCTAAGCCGACACAACCGTAATGAAACCATGCGTCGCAGCTGCACAAGGACATACCAGTCAGCGTCATAAAGCAAGGCATACAGAGCACCTACTTGTCACAATTGATAAACTGCGACCGACCCCAAATGGTATGAGCTACCACGCAAACGCGTTATATGGAGCGAATGACTGACCTCCCTCTGATAGTTCTCGTCCCCGCTTATGGTGTCCGGCCATTTGCACAACGGGTGATCTGCGATTATTCTGTCGTCCTCCTGCGGCGATGGTCCCGCTTGTGGCGAGCTGTCCGAAGATCCCTTGGCGGGCTGCTTGCCCTTCTGACTCTTGCTCGCTGCAGCTCCTTCCGACTTGCGGGGTTTCTTGACAGGCCTCTTCACTGTCTCCGCAACCTTGTCACCGTCCGTCTTGCGCTTTTTGCGCGGCCGCTCAGCGTCCAAGTCAGTTGACCGGCCCCGCGTTTGTGCTTTGGATTTCTTTTGATGCTTCGCCTGCGATTTGCTTTTGTCATGGTCGCGGCTCTTGTTTCTATTTTCATCGAATGCTGCGGGCTTCTCGATGATCTGTATCTCTGGACTGGACGACTCGCGCGGGTCGGGTTTGCGTCCACGCACGGGCTCGGTAGTCTGGGTCGGGATCGACGACGAAGCCTTTGGTTGTGTCCGCGGTAGCTCTTTCACCTTCCGCCGGGGGAGCGGGGGAGGTGGCGGGGGAGATGGGGAGGGACTGGTACTCAGTCGCGCTACTGGCCGTGTACGGTTTACCTGAGGCGATGGGACTGATGAGAGGGACGACAAGGTAGAGAGTGAGCGAGATCTCGCCCTATGTGACAGTCCCCTGGGGAGTGGCAGCCCAGTAGAGAGAAGATTCGTTGCCGAGGTAGGTTTGATAGCAGTGGGAGCAATGGCACTGTCCACGGGAGAGTCCACTGCTGTGGTTTCGGACGTAGACTGCACGATACCAATGCTTGATGTAGAGCTAGAGCGCTGGGGATGAGACACTTCTGTGGGCGCGGGATGTTCGGGCGAAAGGGGTAAAGAGGAAGTGGAGGGTATATTGTCTGCGCTTCTCGGTTGTGTGAGAGAGGACGTATCAATCAAGCTGGTGTCCGGAGCAACCACATCTGGATTGAGATAGCTCAATTCTGGCGAACAAATCGTCAATGGCTTGTATTACACATCGGAAACCTCGCGTACCAGAGCGAGGAGAATCTGGGGCGACGGGTGACAAATTATTAGGCTCAATTGCGCTTCAACCTGATAGGTACTCACCGGGAGACCACTGGGCAGGAACCATTGGGTCTGAGTGGTAGGGCGAAGTTGGGAAGCGCGCATGAAATCGCGTATCTGCTTGCGCCGAGAGCTACTGTGTCAATTCCGAATCTGAGGATGCTTTGCACTCAATGTCACCTCACCTGATCCGAAAACGTGCAGAGAACGCGTCGTGCGCGCCGGGGTACGCATACGATCAGTGTCTTCCGATGACGGCGCGTCGATACCCGAGTCGACGTATTGTCGTGACGGGCTACCGACGGCGGCATCAACGAGCAAGGCTTGATTCGTAACAACGCCGACGTCGACGACCTCAAGGGAGATTGTAGCCGTATTCACGTCCGCCACCTTTCGCTCGGTGCCAACGCTGACATCCACAAGCGTCGGTAAAGGCACGGACGCCGTGACGCACGCATCCGCATGCTCCGTAGTGTGCGCGTCGACACCCGCATCCACGTACACAGGAGCAGGCGCTATTGGGCTTACACTCCTGTTCATGAAGTGACGTGCTGGCCGTGGCGTGAAATCAATGCTTGCGTGGGGCCTAGATGCCGCGACTGAACAAGTACCATGAGTATATGCGGCCGAACACTGACCAGGCAACTTACACTCAGCGTCTGGATCCTGGACTTGTTCAAGCAGCTCCGTCAACGCACAGTCGATTCGCTGCATTCTTGCCGTTATTGTTTCATCCCCATGCAGGCTCTTCACCTCGCCTACGGTCTGCTCCAGCGCCCTCACCCGTTCTAGCACAAGCATCGTCGCCTTCATTTGGCGCTCGTGCGACTTGTCCAGCCACTCCGCCAACTTGAGTGAGTCCACGCGCGCGGCATCGCGCACCGCCGTGACCGTTGAAGCGAGATCGCGGACGACCGCGTCCAAGTGCCCAAACCTGTCTGCCGTGCTATCATGCAGACCGCCGAGAGCGACTGCGAGCACAGATAGAATGTTCGGTCCGGTTGCGGCCTGACCTGGGGGGATCCCTGGCTGTGGAAATGGCACGCCCGTGCCGTTGTTTTGGGTATTCTGCATGTTCTGGGCTGTTGGGATTTGTGAAGCGCCACCTGAGTTCTGCGCGGTCTGCATAGCGCGCCTGTAGCCTTTGTAGTTTTACGGCGCGCCGAAGACTGTGCGGTCTCTTGTATCTCCTATTATTCTGCGTGAATTTAGCATCAATGATAAAATCAGCCATTTACGGACCTTACGCTTCCAATACAACAGCAAGAGTGTTGGTGGCCTCAGGTTGTTTGCAGGCAATGAAGACTGGGTCGTGGTCGTGGTCGTGGTCGAGGCCGCTCACTGGCGGGGCGTCGAGCGGCCAGTCAATGTAAGTAGAGGATCTCAGATCTCACTATACGCGCCACCGACGCGTCCTCTAAGGCGCTAAGAGTAGTCTTGGCCAACGAACAAGCGGTATGGGTCAAACCAAGGCTTCATTAGTATAGTGCACCAAGGCTACACGTTTCACAGTACATTGCATGAGGAGATTGCACCCAGGATACATATATCACTCAGGTAACAAGATATTCTACAACAGTATGATATGCACCACGACACAATGCGTGTGTGATTAAGTTATACACAGCGAAGATATATACGGCGAGGATCAGTGGCACACTGGCAACGTAGGATCAGACAGCGGACACGTAGCTCATTAGCCGATACAACATTGCAAGACTTCACGACTTGAATATTCTGAGCAGACGCTGCTCCGTGACGATACGCGTACGACAGAGAGGACATTCGCGCGAGCTCTTCATGATCAGGTCCGAGCAGGCTCGACACAAACAAAGATGACTGGAAACATGCGTGGAACATCAGTGGTTCAAGCCAGGAAGGACAGCAAGGAGGACAGAAGCACATACCCGCAGTCAACAATGGCAATATTGGCTTCCTCATCCTGACAGATCACGCAGAGGCCCGTACGCTCCAATTGCGCTGCCTTAGCTTGCGCTTTCGGCGACATTCCTCGCTTGGGCGGTGTAGGGGGAGGAGCAGTCTTGGGTGGTACAGGAGGAGTGGCAGGCTTGGGCGGTGGCGGGGGCGCGGCTTCGTCCGACGGGCCCTCCTGTACATCCGCGTGTACTTCTGGTTGTCCCTCCGAAATGTCGACATGCATCGCGCTCTCCCCGTCGCCTCGGACATCCTCCATAGCCGACTCTCCCTGCCCGTCCTCCTCTCCGCGCCTCCTGGCTTCTTCTGCCCTCCTCGCCTCCTCCCTCTCCCTCCTCGCCTCTTCCTCTGCAGCCCTCTCCGCAGCCTCCAACACAGCATGCCGCTCGCGCTCCCTCCGCTCGTCCTCCACCAGTGTGCGTACCTTCGCGACCAGCTCCGCCTTCTCCACGACTAGCCGCGCATTTACATGGTTCTGGAAGAGCACCGCCTTCAGCGTACCGATGCTGAGGCGCGCGATGTCCTCCCCTGACATCTCTAGCAGTTCGTCGAGCGTCGGCACTGGTGGCGCGGGTGAAGAGGCGCGCGGCGTAGAGGGCGAGGACGCAGACGCTGCTCGCGTGCGTCCTCGGGCTTGCTGACTGCTGCTGGTGTTCTGGTTGCCTCTAGGGACATTGAGATGCGAGCGGCTGGGAGTCGTCTGCGGGCGCGGTGGCGGAGGGGGCCGGTAGGCCGACTCGCGCGGCGGGGGTGGCGGATGGTGCGGGTACGCATATGTGCCCTGCGGCTGTCGGTCGGGCTCGAGATCTGGTCGCGGGAAGCTACTAGGACCGGAGGTCGTGCGCTGGCGCGGCTGGTAAGGTGGTTGCTGCTGTTGTTGTTGCGGTTGCGGGTGGCGTGGCGGCGAGTTTGGTTGAGAGGTGCGCTCACTGCCCATCGCATCCATAGCACGGGTGAAGAGGCCGCGCGGACGATTCGAGCGACGGTTCGGGACCGAGTTTTTGCGGTAGTAATGCTAGAGTAGACGTGATCGTTCGAGCCTGCTGTGGTAGAAGACAATGACAAAATACCTCATTTACTCGCGGGAGACAGCCATTCCGCTCCTGCAATTACTCAATGCCCATGTCCTAGCTGGTCTTATACGCACTCACCCTGACTGCCATGAGTGTGTCAATTAAATCGTCTTTTTCCAATACACCGTTCACTCCGATGTGATACGCATTGGCGTACTTCTTCAGTCGAGCAAGCGGTAACGATCGCAAATAATTCTTGCCACCTGCTGTGACTGATCACTGTCCAAGTCAGTGGCCGAACTAACGACGGCGACCAAGTACCTTGTCGCAATGAGCCTAGATAGGCCGCGACACCAGGTGCCCCATAACACTTCTGGAGAGTTGAGATGTATCACGACTTACTCGTGAGGTTATCGATGCAGAATGCACACACGGGTGCGGGGTCGTATCCTGTTTCCGAGCCACTCCGGGGTATCAGCGCCTGGAAGTCGGTACACGAGTGGCAATAAAGATAGCCTGCAAAGGATCAGCAGGTACGTGAGTCTGACGAGCCCCGACGACATGGCGCAGGTACACACCGCAATGGTTGCATTTCCTGGACCGAGCAAAGAGTAAGTTGAACTCCTTGTCGCATTTCCTGCACGACGGTTCGTTGGTGGCGTACTCAGGCGGCGGGCCGCTGAGCAGTGGCATCCCTCCCCAAGACATCTTCGGTGCAGCCCAATAGGTTCACGAGTGCAGGCAAGGAGGTCGAGATGAGAGGCAGTAGCAAGATACGAGGAACCTTATTGGGTTCAGTTGGGTCCAGTTGACTCTCTGTGCTGTTCTGAAGGGGTCGTGTGGTTTCGTGAAGCAAACTCTGTTCTGGCGTGGGCAGTGCGTGTCAGCAACTCAGTTGCCCGACGACCTGGATGAGCGCGCTTCGGGTTCGAATGTCAGCCTGTTGTCAGCGTTCGAGCACGTTCCGGCACCCTCGGGCGGGCAACGCGCCCACGTGACACGTGTTCGCCGCCAGGCGCGCTTCCCCCGCCGCGCCTCCGCCAACGGCGGGCCGCCTTGTGTTCTAGTACCGATGGCCGCAAATTGGACCGTCAGAATCGATGTATACTATGAGATAAACAGATAGAGACAAGTCTGGGTCGCGGCAAAAGAAGGAGCATCCGATATAGCTCCAGAATGAATGGCACTTCTGGAAGCATCAGGGTATCTTCGAAAGACACTTCATAGGTAATTACGAAACCAACTATATTTCCTTCGTTTGCTCAAGGAGCCAGGCCCACAGCCGCTGGCCGACCTCGTCATCATATGCCTCCTTTCTGCACTTCCCCAACCTTGCCCAGGGTATCAAGAACTGATCGTGGGGCTTGAGCGGACAGTGGAGAAGATGGCACTGGAGTCTTACCTCGCCGTTATGATTGAGGGCCTCAGGCATGACGCCTGCCCACAGCTGCGTGAGCGCGCCCATCGCAACAGGTTGGAGGATGGTTGCTCTCTAGAACGTGTATTCAATACTTGATCGCAGGGAAGACGGCGAACGTAATGCATACCATGATTGCGCGCTGTTTAGGCGCATGACGTTGCAATTCAGTGTCGATACCGCCTGATCATACATGGTATGAGCGAAGGAAAGATTATGTCGAGAGAAGCCTTCATACAACTGACCTGGGTTCAGGGATATCGAGATGATACCCTTGTCCGCGTATTGTTTTGCAACTTGACGTGCCACTATGGCATTCGCCTGTGGACAGCCGTAAGTCTCACCTCCACCGACCCTACTCGTTCCCTTCAACATACCAGTTTGCTTTGGTTATACAGTACCACAGGAGAGGTCTTTTTTCGCTGAGAGGTATCCTTGAAGGTATCCCAGTCGAGCGTGTTCAGGTAAGCCCCGCTCGAAGCAGTAGTAACGACGCGCGCGTGGTGGTCAGGCGAGCTACTTGTACCCGCAAAGAGAGCAGGCATCAGGAGCTCGGTGAACAGGAAGTGACCTTCCAGAGAGCCAACCTTCAACTCGATGCGCAGTGTGAACGCAGCATAAGTACTGACCTATGACGTTTGTCCCGAACTGCATGTCGAACCCGTCTGCTGTGACCCACTCGATGGGGCACCACATCACGCCTCTGAAGACAACACGAATGAGCTCTTGGCACGCGAAGCTTGCGCATGAACTCACGCATTATTGAACAGTATATGCAACTCGGGCTCCTTGCTGTGAGAATGTGTCAGCGACAGTCAGCCTCGTGTCCATGGGACCACAACCAATGTGTGCGCTGCCAGGCAGATCGACATCACATACTCACGCACCTAAGAAACTCTGCCGCGGCCTTCCTCACAGACGCGAGGACACTCAGGTCAAGCTCGAGGAAGATGGCCTCTTTGCCGGTCTCCTCCTTCAATGCCTGGATAGCTGCTGTGGCTTTATCCTTGTTACGGGACGCCATGTACACTTTGGCATTGTGCTGAAGCAATGCCTAGCAAAAACGATGCAAATGAATACACCTCATGCTCATACGGCGTTAGGATGTCGGTGCATTGTACTACACGCGACGCCACATTCTGGAGTCCACGCACCTTGATAGTCTCGCGACCGATACCAACGTTGCCTCCTACAAGCAAAAGCGACGTCAGCAAACGTATGCAAGGAGCTGTCCCGCGTACAATAGACAGGAACCACGCACCTGTAACAATCACAACTTTGCCTGTTAAGTCCGGGATGTCCTCCGTCTTGAAGTGCGGTTTCCCGGGGAACAGCTGGGCAACCACCTGCCAAAGATACCCCAACTCTTCGAAGACACCCATGACAGAAGAGACGTCGAGTATGTTGGGGGAAGCACGAAGTGCTTTTGCGGGTGTCACTGTCTGGATTCCGATGTTATCAAGTATCTTCCTCCGGGATGGTGGTCTCGGGTAGATGAGCGCCAAACAACGGCGCCCGCTACCGACTAAATCGCAGCTGAACGTGCACACTGACTCGGACTCCGGGAGTAATTCTGGCGAGATGCGGGTTCCAGCTGTTCCCATATGAACAGGCTTGGGACAGACCCTCCTCGGAGTCCTCGACGAAATACTCATAGGCGGAGGACGTCGGGTTCTGACTACTGGTGATCCGCAGCCTCTGCCGTTTGACCGCACTGCCTTGTGTGGTACGACCTCCACAGAAGAATCAGCTCCGCCTCTGCGCGGTTTCAGACGCAGATGGGGCCCATCGTTTTGAAAATAGTTGTCACTGTCAGTGTGATACGCGCGAGCCGGTGAGAAGATCGAGTTCAGTCAAGGACGCATCCCGCTGGGGCTTAGAAACAAAGTGCCGCGTACTGTGAGGGCTAAGTTTGATAAGTCACCATTGTCATGTTCAATGATTGCGCCTTCGAGCGAGTTTGCACCACAATACGCACTGCAAAGATATATACTGAGCGAGGAACAGCACCAAAATCGTAGGGTCTTGCCTTTTTATCATCTTCCTCGGCGTTGACACGTTTGGGAGAAGCTCAGAGACTTTCTAGCTCAGGATTGTCGATGTGAGATCCACCTCCTCAGTCCCTGAGACGTTAAACCGAGTACTTGTTCGATTCTTGAACACCTCAGTGACACCCCCACACCAGGGAAGGATGATTGCTTTGCGGTGACATTTGGTGTCCTGGTTAGTCCATATGCATCGCCGGTATGATCGATGACTGTCGGGGCTTTGCTGTCACGAATCGTATATGAATCCGTACATAACGGAGGCCCTGCGGTAAATGATACATAAGCGTAGGGAGCTCGCATTACCTACAACTCGTCGTGAAGTCCTGTCTCCTTGGCACCGTCTGCCGCCGAAGTGGATGACGCGAGGAGGGTATCTAAGAGAGTCTCCAGAGGTGTAGACGCTTCCTCCTTCGCACGCGATGTAGGTGGCTCGCTCGCCACCGAGGGGCTGACGACTGCAGACAATGAACTGGACGGGTTACCTGATGCCGACACAGTCGCTGCCGATATACTCGCCGCTACGCTTGCAGCCGTGCCCATCACCGCGCTGGCTGTCGCCTTCGCCTCCTCTACGTCTAGCAGCCGCTCGTCGCCACTGAAATCCGGGATAAAACGCGTCCACCAGAACGCGATCCGGAGTCCGCGGTCAACGATCCGCTGCTTCAGGATGAAGACGACGACTAGAATGAAGAAGGCGAGCCCGGCCAGGACGAGCAGGCGGTCAAGCCAGTCGGACTTCTCGAGTGCGGTGATCAGGTGCTTCGACGTAACGAGGAGGCCGTCGAGGACATCGTGCGTGGAGGAGGTGGAACGCAGAGACGAGCTGGATGCATCTGAAAGAGATAGTTGCAAAAGGAGCGAACTCATCCAAGTGGGAATGCGTACCGAGTAGCTGCGTTGAGAGTACCGACTTCTCGAGCTCGCCTTGCATGAGTGCTATTGTCCGCTGCAAAGCTTCTGTGACATCATTGTTCGCCTTCATCAGGGCATCCTCACTGCAAACCACACTTAGTGTTACAAAAGCAGGACTATCAAGAGAACGTACACGACTTTCTCGCTCAAGTCTTGCTTCTCCGTGACCGCCGACGATCGCAAGAGCTCATCCCGGTTTGATAGCTGGTTCGCATCAATAGCGCGTTTGGATGCTAGTAGTGCGGCTCGTGTGTCCTTCTTCAAGCTTGTCGTCACATCAGCAGCGAAAGCACAGGATGACATTGACATACTCACCTCGCCAGGTCAGCCCGGAACTCGTCCACTACCTGCCACAACTCTCTTCGGTCTCGCTCCGTCCGCTGGTCATCCACTGAGAGTTCTAGGCTCTACTCAGAGGCTCTCACGATTGCACCTTCAATAGTCACTCAGAGGCCTACCTCGACTTGCCGAGTGAATGCGTCGAGGTCTTCACGCAGCTCAGCTGCATACTGTTGCTGAACGCCTAACGGGCCTGTGCACGTCCGCAAACGCTGGATTTGGAACTCTGAGAGGTCCTTGCGCCGCCTACGTAGTGATTCAATGGTAGAAACGATTTCTTCGTTGAGCGTGCTAGGTAGAGGAGGCATGGTTGCGATGAAGGCGTGTCGAGGCACAACGTGCCTCTGTAATTGTTGCTGTGATGATGTTTCTATGCATTATGATTACTTACCCCTCATAAGAGGAGCGCTTACTGACAATGATCATCGCTAGCGCTGATTACCAGAAGTGTAATGATGTACTTACTCGGCTACAATACTTAGTGTGCTACGTTGATCACACCGGGCCACTCGAACCTTGTTCTCCTCCTCTCTCCTGAGTCTCCATATCTGTCTTGCGGCTGACATTCCCGTCGTCGCTCTTCGCGGGTCAGCAAGTATCGAGCCAGATCATAAATCCTTCCCATCCACTCTTGGGCCCTTCTCATACAAAGAGATTTCATTGCTGTTGCACAACCTGCTCTTCTCGTCGACCTCGTCGATTCGGGATCACTGCTGAAGTTCAACAACCGGCGAGTTCGTCCCGGAACTGCTTTAGCTATGGAAGACCAAGCTATTCCAGACCAGCCTGCAATTGGTGGCACGGAGGAGACCCTACCTATTGAACCCGGGCCAGCCGCTGAAGCCCCTGTCGAGACACCGCCCAAGAAGAAAGCACGTCGCAGCGGCTTCACGAAGAAAGCGGCAGCCAATGCTGAAAGACCGCCATGTCATCTTACGGGGATGCCAGTCGAGATCCTCGCCGAGATACTGTCGTATATCCCCTCGCCCGCTACCATCCTCGCTCTGGCACGGTGCTCCAAGTATTTCTGCAATACTCTCGTCAACAATCCCTCGACCGCATTCGTCTGGCGCGAGGCGCGCAAGAGGTGTGCTCAGTCATATAAGCTACCGGAGCCGACACCGAATTTCACGGAGGCATCGTATGCTGCGTTCGTATTCGATGGCGGGAAGTGCGAGCTTTGCGGGAAGCATACTCGGCGGATGTACGAGTCATTTTCTTTGCGTTTCAGAGTATGTGAGAAGGTAAGTCGTAGAGGATCAAATATCAGTGCGGATCAGTACTCAGTACTCAACCCATTGGCAGCCACAATGTAAGACTCTGTGGAGGTGAGTACAAAGTCGAACTCATCCATACCTTTTCTTAGTCGTCTTCAGTCAAGGGAGCATCATCCAAGTCGGCACGGCGGTCGAGGTGACGATTCACCCTCGCTACAAAGAAATCTTAGCGTGGCTTCCCCGTCTCGAGGCATGGGATGAAACAAGTATGCGCGTGCGTAAGCATGACTGGCAAGCCGCAGTAGACGAATACAACAGGGCGCTTCTAGAGCCCGAGACGATGGATGAGTTTTTGGCGAAGAAGCAGGCAGTCGCAAACAGACTGAAAGATCTGTTCGAGGTGGGTTCACGCTCACATATGGTGTCTGTTAACTCACGAGGGCACTCAGCTCTCGAAGAAGTTGAAAAACTTCAGTAGTAGTTGGGAGACGCGTTTGAAGGTCGTGAGGGAGGCTAATGAGGCGAAGTACGATTTTCCGGTGGACGTCGTCACGGCATTGCTAATGCACGTAGCAGGGCAAAACTGATCGCCATACAGGAGGGATGGACGGCATTTGAGATGATGGGGACTCCGACCTACGGTCTGTTACATCGTTCCAAAACGGCAGTCCTCGAGGTCATAACCTCGGCAGGTAGGCGTACATCCTTCGCAGCCACCGTCTGGATGCTCAATGATTGACATTGAAGACTTCGCCTTGATGCGAGACCAAGTTGACAAGGAGATCGCAGAACACAGGGAGCGCGTGGCACGGCGCAGAGTGGAAGCAGGTTACCAGAAACGGAGAGAAGACGTAGCCGCGCATTACACTCGACTGAAGTCCGCACCGGTCAAGGACACACTCCCGACGCTGCCTGAGTTCAGGAAGCTCTCGGTTATGAAGGTCCTCCAAGGCAAGGCGAGCGATGTTAACGAAGGGATCCGCAAAGAGCTCAAGAATAGCAAGCTGGTGCACGAGCTGCTCTCAGAGAATCTGCAACAATGGCGCGAGGATGTAAGGGGCGCTCTCGCGGGCGTGCTAGGGTTCGCTGGCTGGAAGTCGGCGAGTAAGAACAAGCTGCACCCGGTCGATAGGCTGACGGCAAGGTTCATCTGCAAGAAATGCATGTCGAAGGGGAAGGGTAATGACGGCCTGGACTTCGCGGCTGCTTGCGAGCATCGATGCGCCGGGCTGAACAAGAAGCAGAGGGCAAGGAAGACGTGGGACGCCAACCTCTTTCAACCAGATACTAAGGTCGGTTCCGCTGTCTTTCTGTATACAGTTCGTGACCGACGTCATACCAGGCTATCGACACCGTGAACGAGATCTTGGTGCTGATCGGGACCAACGCTGAAGATCCAGTGTCGAAGGTCAAAGTGGAACGCCTTGAGGAGCGCTTGTTGTGCACGGCCTGCCCCGCTCCGATCGCTATGAGCCTCGATATCGCTGTACGTTGTCGTCCACCTCCTTCAGCAGCGCTGAGATACACACTCGCTCATGCACAGATCCGCCACTGCAAGCGACACGACAACCCCACCTTCGAGCCCGTGGGCGGAGTCGACGCAAGGCTGGAAGCGTACGGAACGCATCCTATTCCGATAGGTCTGGCAGCACGGCTGTTGAAGTATGACGACGACCATCGTGAGGAGCGCGCCAAGAAGGTGTACGCCTGTCGGCATTGCCAACCGACTGCAAAGCAAGGTATTCCGGCGGGAAGGGAGCGCGAGTCGACCGCTGTGGCGAGTACAGTCGCTGAAGCGATGCCTCTGGACGGAATTGAGGGGGCGACAGAAACGCCTACAATAGGCACCGACAACGAGACAAGGACACTTGACATGGAGGGCGCTGATCATAACGTGGCTGCCGATCACCAACCACAACAGGTTGAGGCTGCTGCTCCCGAAAGCAGCGCTGCCAAACCCGCTTCAGACGCATGTAGGAAGAAGGCTGAGAGGCAGGCAAGGAAACTGGCGAAGGAGAAATTGTACATCTTCGACGGGTTGAGATCGCACCTGAAAGAGAAGTGAGTGTTCATCATCAGATAGTTCAAACATTCGCGTTGAACTCTTCCCATAGGCATGGTATTCTACGCATTGGAGATGAAGATATCTACACTGTGCCGAGCTCGGCGTAGGAGTTCTAGGGTCCACGTTTTCCGTGCGGGACCTTTTGTATGAAATGGAATTGCTATATTGTATGACCTTCCTTGATACACCTGCTCATGCTTCTCAGATTTCTAGGCAGCAGTTTAGACACACCCCATATTCACTACTTCGCATGTGGCCAAATGCCGAGCTCTGAGCTGATAGAGCACTATGCTCAGGTACGCCGTATGGCATCGCACTAATTGATAGCTACCCAATGGCAGCCTGTTGCGCGGCGACAACGCAAAATCATCCGCATTGGCAGAGATACACAGGTGAGCTGGACCCTGCTGGGCCATGCGAACAAGGTTGTCACGCGGGTGGCAAATGCATCAAGGAAGACTTCGCGTGCCCCCGAGATGGTGGCTAGAGCCGCCGGCGGAGCCTTCTGAACATACTCGAATTTCATGACCTGTTCCCGCCTCGCTTCTCGTGCGCGCTCTATCAAGCATTGCGAAGGCTTTTAAGTGCTGTGTCGCGCGTACTGCGCCACTGTTTCCTCCCCCGCCTCGTCCTGGTCGCATCCGTGGGGCTGCTGAAGCATCGATCCGCACCGTTTGATGGATGAACATCAGAACGACATCACCCGTCGTAGCATGCTTGTTACGGCTGTTATCATGTGGTGTCGTAACGGGCCCGGTATGGACGCATTCTGTACTTTGCTCCCTTCGTTCTAATCATCTATTAAAAGTGTTCGCCCGGCACGCTCGTCCGCCGCCCTTTGACACGGAAGAATGGTATCCCTGCTCAGCATCTCAGGGCAGCAGCCGTGGGACGTGAATCCTCGTGAATCGTGGAAGCCAGGGGAGATAGAGCCCCGCCGCCGGGAGACGCGCGTCGTCGACAGACTATAAAGCCGAGATTTAGTGCCCTGCGATGCTCGCGCTGCTTCCGCTCGCTGTCCACTACTCGCGCAATGCTCGGAGTCGGTCGTCGCCTTGGTGTCGCTGCGCTCGCGCTCGCCTGCATGGGTGTGAAGGCGGGACCCGTACAGGCTCCCATCATCATCCCGCCCCCGTATGCGGCTGAGTATGCTCAGAAGACAGTCCAGATGTTCCAGACGAGCTGGAGCGCGTACAAGTAAGCAGTGGTCAGCACCAGGAATACCGGGATTTTGAATAATAATCACGCAGGGAGTACGCCTGGGGGCACGACGACCTGAGCCCTGTGAGCGAGAGTTATTCTGACAGCTATGGTGGTTGGGGTGCTTCTATCGTGGACGCGTTGGACACCATCGTGCGTTTTTCAAGCCATGCGTCATTCTGAATCTTCCTGAAACATGAACTCAGTATATAATGGGACTTACGGTAAGTTGTTCAACTCGGTTTTCTCGTCCTAGTAGCATGAATCTGGGCCATACAGGATATCTTCGAGGAAGCTCTGAACTGGTCTTCCACGGTCGACTACAGCACAACGCCCACGGACAGCCAAATTAGGTGCGTGTAGTGTTCGATCATGCTTGTATTGAAAGCCTCATTGAAGACGGTAGCTTGTTCGAGACTACTATTCGATACGTCGCCGCATCGCTATGCACGTATGAACTCAGCGGTCAGAAATACCCGCAGCTTGTGAACCAGTCGCAGGTGATCGTCGATAAGATGGTAAATGCGTTCGTCCGAGTGAGTTTTTAGCTATATATGTGTGATGTTTCCGACCGAATGATGCGCAACAGGACAACCAAATCCCGTACGGCTACTTGAACTGGAACGAGGGGACTCCTGTTCAGCAAACGACGAACATTGCGGAAGCAGGAACTGTGAGTGATGTACAGCCGCGGCGTGTAAGACTATTCGCTGAAACGTCCAATAGTTGACTATGGAGTGGGGTACTCTTACGTACGTGGTCCTAAGCAGCGTGTTTTGTGATCCCCGAATGAACTGATGATCACCAGGGACTACACCGGGAACGACACGTACCGTGCGCTCGCAGAGAAGTCTGTCGTCTATATTGCCAACCTTGTGGGCGTGCTTCGTGACTTGCTCGGTATGCAGGACTGATCCCATGACAGCCCCCACCACTCCCGAACCTCCCTGCTCAAGTGGTCGACCCTACCAGTGGCGAGTTCGCTGATGCCTATGTTGTGAGTAGCGCGTACTTTTGCCTGTCACCCGGAGCTTGCACTGACAACTTTCGGTAGACTTGGGGCGGTGGCTCTGACAGCTACTTCGAGTACCTCATCAAGTATGCGCGCCTCACGAACACGGATAACAATCTCTTTGCGGACACGTGGGCGTCTGCTGTAGATTCATCAATCTGGAACTTGGCGAGGGTGAGCACTATGGCACATCGAGTGGCACGCATGGCTCACGAACATCTGGCAGTCGTCGACCGTCGAAGACTGGCAGTACATGGCCGACTGGGACAACGGCACCATCATCCACATCGGGTCCCACTTGGAATGCTTCCATGCAGGCAACTGGATGCTGGGTGCGCTGTTCTCGCCGTTCGCGGATGCAGACTTGACTTACACACGCCCGACAGGCGGTAAGCTTCTAAACAACGAGACCATCGTCAACTGGGGTCTTGCGCTCATGGAAGCTTGCTGGAACACTTACGCCAGCACCGCGTACGTATCCCATACGTTTCAGCTGAAGTCTGACTTGCTCATGTCATTACAGCACGGGCCTTGGTCCCGAGGTCTTCGGCTATTCCTCGTCCGACGGTAACTACACCGGGACCACGCCCTCCACCGGAGACCTCGCCTTCTACGCGAAGCATGGTTTCTTCGTCTATCCCGGCGACTCGGACTACTATCTCCGCCCAGAGGTGCTAGAGTCAAACTTCTACGCATGGCGCATTACTGGCAACTGGAAGTACGTCCAGCGCGCGGCAGATGCGGTGGACTCGTTCTTGAAGTACTTGCCGACGACCGTCGCGTACGCGGGGATTGATGACGTCGACGCTACCGACTCAGCGTTCATCGATGATATGCAGAGCTTCTGGTACGCGGAGGTCTTGAAATATCTGTAAGTCGCGGGGCGCAATCCGTCCGACTCTAAAGTATGTATGCTGATTGTTCGCAGGTACCTGACCTTCTCCGACCCGAGCTTGATCAGCCTTGACGAATGTGCGTGAACGACCTTGCCCGAGTCTGTTGATGGATCACTGACGAGTGCTTGCCAGATGTGTTCAACACCGAGGGGCATCCCTTCAAGGCACCGCCGGCCAAGCCAGTGTACGGTAGCGGCCAGATCCTTGAGAGTGACACCTCGGCGTTCAAGATGGTCGTCCAGAATGGCCCTATCGTCAGTCCCGTGCCCTCTGCGGTGGTCTCCATCCAGATTCCCAGCGCGACGGCCGTTTGAACGGAGTGTTTGTCGAAGCAGACCTTTGTGGAAGCACTATGAGCAACAGCAGCTTGAACTTTGGAACACCGGGCAATGATGTGTTTCGGATCGTCGGTCGTTTCATAGCAGTTTCTCTGGGATGTTTGATGAGACTGTCAATTCTTTGGGCTGGATGCACTTGTGAATGTACAGGAATGCACGAGTGTTGGAGGTAGAAAACAACAAAGAGGTTTCACAACAGGAAAAAAAGTAGTTAAGAACAAAGAGGCCTCACCGTGACTTGAACACGGGACCCTACGATGAATTCGCGACTGCAATCGTATGCTCTAAACCGCTGAGCTATAAGGCCACTACCTTGAATAGGTTTGTGGTCTTCCATTTCTTTTTGATTGTCTCAATCCACAGTTGTGCAGGTCGCTTTGAGAGTCGGTTAAGCGCCCATGTGGCGAGACACGTCCTCGGCGCTCAAGGCGCTCACATCCAGCCATTCCCTCCCTGCAACCATGAGCCTTGCCCTCAGGTTCGTCTTTGCGCTGCTGGCGGTGGCAGCAGCGCACGCCGCCTCCCTCTCAATAGCCTCCCCTCGTTTTACTATCACCGCTCCCGACGCGTCGCAGCTGCGCTCGCAACAGTGAGCAGCCACCGTAGTACTTCGCGCGCGCAGTCGCACTCACAGTAACACCCCGCCAGGCTCTCGCTCACCGAAAAGCCGGATGCGCTCACCTTGGGCCAGGCAGACGTGCTGAAGCTCACGTTCCAGGTCGTGGAGCAGGAAGAGGGCAAGGGCGTGCAGCCGCACCAGACGTTCCTGCGCTTCCACGATGAAGTGACCGGCGAGGAGGGCGTGCAGCCGGTGCGCGTCACGCCGGGCGGGAAGGCCAAGTTCGAACTGGTGCGCATCATCTGTGACTGGTAGTCACCTTTGCTCACGCCCGACGCGCACAGAACATGGCGCGCCCGCCTACCTCGCTCCCACCCACCACGACCAACCCCCTCAAGGTCTCCCTCATCCTCGGGTCGTTCACGCACTCGCCCGCGCAGTACGAGCTCTTCGACCTCTACGTCCCCGCGTCGCAGTCGCCCCCGGCGCACCCCGACGAGGCCGCCTTCGCGCCGCGCCCCGAGATCACGCACACGTTCCGCCCCGAGCAGCGCATCCCCGCCAAGGCCGTCTCCGCGTTCTTCGCCGCGTTCGTCTTCTGGCCGTGGCTCGTCCTCGTCGGCTTCGTGCGTCCCCTCCTCTCGCGCTCTCGTGCCCACCTCGTGACTGTAACTGACCCCGCGCACAGTGGTTCGAGATCAGCCCGCGCGTCCCGCACCTGTTCTCCCCGCACACCCTGCCGTTCACCGTGTCGCTCGCCGCGTTCGAGGTCCTGCTGTTTTGGTACTGGGTCGACCTCCGCCTCGGGCAGGTCCTGCTCTACGGCGGCATCCTCGCGGTGCCGACCGCCTTCGCGGGGAAGCAGGCGCTCGCGAAGGCGAGCGAGCGGAGGCTCGGTAGAAAATGAGACACTTCGTCGTCTTGTAATAGTCATCGTGCATTATATATTGCTGTCGTCACCCGTGTGCTCTGACTTCGTGAGTGTGGTCCAATTAGTGCTCTGGAACAGGTGGGTATCGCGTTTGGGTTTGAGCAAGCCGGCACAAGTTCCTATATGTATACCTGAGTACAGTGGCTTCGGCACCACTCGCCCGTGCCGCGAGTACCTGTAACATCCATGATGGGGTAATATCGTGCCTGAGCATTGCCGCCATTTTGAATGGAGGCCTGCTCAGGAAGGTATCGACTGGTGATACAAATATTTAGCCCTTGCCTGAGGCCTGCGCGTCGACTGGCCAAACTGCCTCGCTATCGTACGACCAGTGTGTCCTGCTCATGAATTACGTGCGAGCTTATGATGCTTCGCCCTGAGTTTGCGCGAGAGTGACATTGACAGTCGGTCCACTAGCGTGGAATGGTACATGTTATGCTCACGCCGCCTGCCTGAACCCTATGACCACCCTCTCGGATAAGGATAAGAAGCCAGTCCAAACGGGAGGAAAACAGTAGTAGTTGTACATGTACTTGTGCTCGCCGTTATGTAACGCGTGTTGCTCGAACCTGTAACATTGAACGGCAGACATACTAAAGATAGTACGGCAGAACACAGGGAGCCCTGTATGCATATCGTACGGCCAGAGATCTGCCGGTTCCTTGTACGACGATGTGCGTGATGACTGCCATCTGGAGTGATGCATGGAAGAGCGACCCTGCATGTAAGGGCCAGATCGCGCCCGTCAAGCAGCCTTCTCCGTAAGATCCAACATGACAAGTGGATCCTTCGTCGAAGCTTATAGATCGATCCAATAAGCATCCAATAGAAGCCAATGGATGTCTTGTATGGCGGCGGGGCGAGTGTTCCGTGCGAGCTTAAGGTACGTGCAGGTACTACAAGACCTTCCTCATCCGGAAGGGCGCCTGCCTAAACCGCCACCTTGTCTTGTGGTCGCACAAATCTCGCAACGCGTCGTAGTACTCCGCCTTCGAGCAGTCCAATCCTTGCGTGCCAACGTCAACGATAGATCCGAGCACTCATCTAGCTGCGCACGCAGGTGATCACAATGCGATTGATTGCAGGAACATCCAAGCGACACGCTCTCGAACATCAGGCTCGCAGGGCGACTATTACCAGGGTATAGAATCATGTATGCAGTCCGAGGAAAGGAATGTAAGAGATGGCAGCAAGATAAATGCATCCACTCAGTTTTGTGGCTTGCGGCAGATGGCGAGGTACATCGGCGTGAAAAGCTGTCAAAGAACGTTCAGTAAACCACTCGTTTCTCGCAAGCACATGGACGGCAGCCCACCTTTGTCCTGCCACCCTCGACAAGCGAGTCGCCCGCAATCTTGAGGGCCTCACCGACCTCCCACGTCCCCTTCGGGACGAGGCCTATCCGCTCGAGTAACCACACGCCATAGTGCGTGACGAGCTTGCCGCTCCAGCTCATCCGCCAGACGGTGATGTAGTCCCACGCGGTTTGCGCCTTGAAGACGTCGCCCTCGAGCGGGTAGTACCACGGCACCTCGTCGGGCCGGTCCGCGAGGTCCTCCTCGTGCTCGACGGTGAAGCCGACCGTGCGCATCGCGTCGCACGCCTGCTTCAGCGGCCGCATCTCCGGGATGCCGTTCCCGAGTTCGATCCGGTTCGCGAGCTCCTTGTGCGACGGGACCGACGGGTCCCAGGCGTCCGTCATCACCCACTCGTACACACCAAACTACATGCCAGCACATGGTCAGAAACCGCGGCACGGACACTTGGTTACCGGCACTCACCACTCCTCCGGGCTTGAGGACCTTCATGATCTCACCATACACGCCCTCGAACGACGGTGCATGCACGGTCGCCTCGATGGCGTAGACCGCATCAAACGAGTTCTCGCCGAACTGCTCCGCGAGCTTCATGAAGTCGCCCTTGACGAACGAGACCTGGCCCTCGAGGCCGGCCTCCTTCGTGTAGCGGCGCGCGCGGCCGATCTGGAAGTCGTTGTTGTTCAGGCCGACGACGTTCACGTCCGCGAAGCGCGCGATCTCGCGCGCGGGCCCGCCGACGCCGCAGCCGACGTCGAGGACGCGCATGCCGGGGCGCAGGCCCATCTGCGCGGCGAGGTAGTGCTCGTGGCGCGCGAGCCCCGCCTGGAACGCCTCGCCCTTGTAGAAGCGGCAGAAGTGGAAGGAGCGCGCCCAGCCGAACTCGTACAGGTCGGTGGCGCCGTCGTAGTAGCCTGCGTGCCACGTGAGCACCGGGGCACTAGGAGACGGCGCGGTCGTGCTCACCGTTGACGACGTCCGTGTAGCTGTCGATGCGGTTGGTGGTGTCGTTCGCGCTGTCCTTGGAGATGTCCTTCTGCCAGAACTTGGTGTAGTTCTCGATGCGCTCGTTCACGCGACCGTCAGCCTGGGCGACCATGGCCTGCGAGCAACGGCGTCAGCGACACAGCAATGTGGCAGAATAAGGTTTGAGATAAGCGTATGCAGGGAACTCACGTCTTATGAAAGTGGGCGGAGGTGGGTGTGATGAAGGAACGGCAGGAGGACAGGGTGGGGGACGCAGCGGCGGGGTGTGCGTAGATATATGGCACGGTGGCAGGATTTTTGGGCGACCACACCATCTCGCCCCAGCCAATCACGTCGCTCGCCGGACTGAATTTAGCCGACCACTCCTCGCACCATCCTGCCACTCCGCCCGTCCAGATTGTCTATGGCCGCTGTAATGGCTTCATCAAACCGAGATGCCACCGAACAGGGCTCTGGACTGCTCAGCCTGGTCATCACACCACGCCGCACGCTCGGGCTCAGACCACCGGGTCGCATTGATAAGCAAAAACTACGACAATGGAACGAGACGGTCATGTCGTGAAAGGTCGTAAAGGGGCAGGATTCCAATCCAACGTAAGAAGCAATGTATGCGTGAGGCTGTAGAAATGTTTGCGTAGAGAAAGAGCAGTGGGAGAGCTACGTAGTAGGCTAGGAAATTCAGCAACGACCGCCCGGCGATGCCATGCGGTGCAATTGGTTAGTCGGTGGTTTGCGAGCATCCTCCGGGGCCGTTGCACTGAGATGCTGGAGGGAGAGGCTGGTATTATCGGTGAGCAGTTGAAATGGACCATTATATCGGACTTGGGCAAGATGTAGACGAGAGACCGGGAGACGTCGTGTGTCTGGGCCCCAGGGCCAACCGCAGCGCCTTACTTCTGGTTGGCTGCCTGGACGAGGAGGGCCTTCTCCTTCAGCACAGACGGGTAACTGTTCATGAGGTGCGCCAACGGGCGGAGATCGTCTTGATCAAGGAGGGTAATTGTAATCTTGGGCTGCGTGACCAATTCAGTCCGTCAGGCTCGTTCCCCGCCAGACTCAAAGTTTACTCACCGCTCCCTTGATACCGAATGCCTTCACAACGCGGAAACTGAATGCCCACGGTAAGGTTGACGCATAACGGAGCAAACGGAGTGGGAACGCACATCTTATCACCAAGCTGCTGCTTCTGCTGCTGAACGGGCTTGTCCATCAAGCCATCCATGAAGTCGTCGGTCGCCTTCACCACCAGCGGGTCCGCCTTGGGCAGGGGCAGGCCCGTCGCAGACGCCGAATTCGCAATCCTGATGATCTCCGACGCAGGCAGGCGCGCGAGCGACGCGATGGTGTGCGCCGCGGTGCTGCTCGGCGTCTCAGGCATCGGCGACGCCGCAGCAGAGGGGCCGCGCGACGACATGTCCGGCGTTCTCGGGGACGCATCCATGGGCGCGATCTTGCGCGCCTGCGGCGTTACGGGGGGCTCAGGCACCACCGTCTTCGCGGGCGCCTCGTCCTCCTCGTCCACCTCAAGCACCATCTTTGCGTCCGCGAGCTTCGCACGGAGCACCTCCACGTTGAACAGGCACATCGCGCGCTCGCGCTTGGGCAGGCTCATGAGCAGGTCGGTGAGCTCCGCGATGCGGCTCGACTCGAGCTTGGCTACCGCCGCCGCCATCCTCTCTTTCTCGGACGTTGGTGCGACAGAGCCGGACGGCGACTCCGTGCGTGGGGGTGTCGACAGCGTCGCGGGCATCGAGATCGGCGTGGACGGGTGGTCCGGCGCGGAGGCCGTCGCATTGGGAGCGGTGAGATCGAGCGTGCTCGAGGGCGAGGGCGACTTCGAGGGTGCTGGCGCTTGTGGTTGCGGACCAGCCTTGACGATTTCCACCTGTTCGGCGAGTTTCCCGGGGACCTGGATGCCCTGCACGATCTCGCTAAGGGACAGTGCGACAATTGCGTCGACGACGGAGTCGAGTTCATCAGGCGATACCCCGCCCATTGCTTTGATGCGTCTGGTGAGCTCGCCAGACAGGACTTCTTTTCGGACGACGGGCGAAAGGGCCGACAGGTCGTCATAGCGCATGGGCAAGTTGAGTGTACCTGATAGCGCGGCCTTCCCGAGAGTCAGTCGAACGCACTGGGGGTCACGCAGGGAACCTACATGATAATAGCTGCCTGAGCTTCTCCTCGCGCGATCCGGACGGTCAAGGTTGTGCTGGGCCATAACAGGTGAACCAAGGGCCGCCGTACGGCTTCCGGGGCTCGGCCACCCTGCGTAACTTTCACCAGCCTCGCTAGCCGTCGGGCTCGTCGCACCACTACCACCCCTCGGGTGTCCATTGTGCCCTGCAAAGCGCGCGGCCAACTTTTCTTGCCGCAATTGCTTGGGCTCGTGCAAACGCACGACGAGCTGTTTCGTGCCGAGTACAACGCCATTCATTCCATGCATAGCCGCCGCGGCTGCAGTACCGCATTAGTCTTGAGGATGTTCGGTTCCGCGTCGGAGTGATAGCTCACCTTGATCGGGCGTCTGGTAGGAGACAAATCCGAAGCCGCGACTGTCGCCGTTCTCGTTGCGCATCACCCGCGCGCTGCGACGATATGAGCGTTCATACAATACGTCAGACACACGGCATACCTGACAATCTGCCCAAACTATAGCCATGTTGGTGTAAACAGAGCGCTTCGTGATATCACCTTCGCAGACTTACCTGACGGAAATGCGTGAAAAGGCCGTTAGAGTCGATACTTGTGTCGAGATTCTGTGTCCCGTTAGAGTCGATTTACATCCATACAGAACGGAGGGACCCACTTTGATGAAAAGATTGCAGGGATCGATCAGTCCACTGTGGCTAGATGAGCCAGGTCCTGACAAAGGTGCCAACTGTACTTGCTGGCCAGGGCCGTGCACGAACGCGGGCGAGCGAGGCTGGTATGGAGGAGCTCGGGGCGGAGAGTACTGTCGATCGCGATGTGAGATAGCAACATGTCTTGTACGCCACACAGACTAACCTGCGTAGGATAAGGGAAAACCGAGCCAGTCGGCACAAACGAGGGTGCAGTCGCGTTGAACTCGCTTGCGGCCACGCCCGCACGCCTCGGCTGGTATACTTGCACGGCAATATTCTGTCCCTCTACGTCGGCGCAGTGCATCGCCTCCTCCGCCTCACGCGCGTCATCCTCGCGCCAGTACTCTACCACACCTGTATCCTTCCCGAACGGCGACTGCGTACGCACGGACGCGAGCGCGCCATACGGCCTGAAGAGATCGTAGAGCTGCGAGTCTGTGTAGCCCGGAGGGAGGTGCTTCACGAGACGCGGCTGCGCATTGGGCGGTGGCAGCGGCGTTGGCGGCGTGGTGGACGGGTACGGAGAGAGCACCAGCAGCACGGGAGGCGTGAGACCCGCGATGGGACGCGCCTGCAGTGTCGCGAGGGCCTTCTCCGCTGCGCGGGGGGTCAGCAGGGTGCCTCACGGGACGCACGCAGCGTGCAGACATGCCTTTCTCAATGTACTTGAACTCGATCGTGCCCGAGAGCGGCTTGCTCGAGCCGTCGCGCTGGAGGTTCGGTCTGAAGGGCGCGCAGGTCTGGAATGCGGGTGCGAGATCCTCGTCCTTCACGTACGGGGGGAGGCCCGTGATGTAGAGCACCGGCTCGTGCAGGTATGGATGGGGTTGGTGGCCCATCGTCTCGGTCGTCGGCGGGGCGTAGTCGCTGGACATGGTGGGGCGAACTGAGAGGCAGTCCTAGGGTATCTTCACCGATTCCGCGACGAACAAGAGTCCAGGACACCGAGCCTTGTTTCCTGGTGCGCGGAACGTGGGGTCAGGCAAAAAATGATCAACTATACCGCCGCTTATGTAACTGCCGCGCGCCGCCAGCGTCCGACTCGCAGGCCTGCCGTCCGTGCAACACGATCGCCTCTTGCGTGCCGCGGGTCCGTCTATTCGCTGTCGCCGAGCGGGGGAGCTGGGATCAGGACGTAAGAGCAGACGAGCTGGTCGGGAGTGAAGCCCACTACGCTTTGTAAGCGAGATAACACTTCATTATAATGCGTGCGAACCACCTGCCCTATCGGGACGACGCGTACAAGGTGTACGCGTCGCCCCCAGCTCGCGTCACCTACACCGCTCGGAGTTGCTCAGAACACATCTCCCTCTCCCTCTCCCACATCCACCATGGCCGACGTTGAGATGAAACCCGTAGATGAGGAGAAGAAGGCTGAGGAGGGAAAGAAGGAAGAAGCCAAGGAGCAGAGCGCACCTCCACTCACCCCGGTCGCGGAAATCAAGGCCAATGTCGCGCTCATCGAGAGGGCCGTCTCGACCCTCGAGCCCCGCTTCATGCATCGCGTGCTACGCACCTTGGGCGCACTGCGCAAGAAGCTGGACGACAGCGTCCTCCGAGAGGCCATCTCCGAGGTGTATACCACAGGTGAGCGTGCAGGCTACTGGATAGAAGCCGAACGCGCATCTCACGAGAGCAGAATCACCTACCAAGAAGACATTACTCGAATGGCTTCCTGCAGCGCCCTCCGCAGACCACTCCATGGACATAGACTCCGCGCCCGCACCCAAGCAGTCTCAGCCCGAGCCCGTACCCGAATCCGAAGTCTATTTCCGCCTCCTCATCCTCCACCACCTCCTCACGTCGCAGAACACGTACACGCAAGCCATGGACCTCGCTCATGAAACCATTGAGCGCACGCAGTCGCTGAACAGGCGTAGCATGGATCCCATCGCCGCGAAGGTGTGGTACGCTGTGGAGCGGACGTACGAACTCAGTGGTCAGCTCGCTGACGCAAGACCGTAAGTCGCGTCTTTCCTGGCTACATCGAGCGTGTATGCTTTCTATGGAAGCGCGACGCCCTTTAAGAAGCGTGTCAATTGTGGCTTCCATACTAGCATATAGTTTGCGTGTCGCTTTGTTCTTGGTTTTTGATTGCTGACGCGTCCTTGCAGGCTATTCCTGGCTGCTCAGCGTACAGCGTCCCTGCGACACGACGACGAGACACAGGCTTCCCTCATAAACCGCCTCCTCCGAAGCTACATCCAATTCAGCCTGTACGACCAAGCAGACAAGCTCGTCTCAAAGACGACCTTCCCCTCATCGGCAGGAAACCCGCAATTCGCGCGGTATCACTACTACCTGGGTCGTATCAAGGCCGTTCAGCTGAATTACACGGCGGCACACACGAATCTGCAGCAAGCCATCCGTAGAGCGCCGCCTGCGAAGACTGCACCTGGTTTCTACCAGGCAGTGCACAAGTTGTCTGTTGTGGTGGACTTGCTTATGGGTGAGATCCCAGAACGCAGTCTCTTCAGACATCCCGTTCTCGAGAAGGCACTCAGCGGCTACTTCGAGATTGTGAAAGGTATGACCACCTTTCACAATGCAGAGACAAGGTGCTGAACGCGGTATCTATAGCCGTGCGCATGGGCTCCCTCTCGCAATTCCGGTCCACGCTCTCGAAATACGCGTCCCTCTTCGAGCAGGACAGGACGTACACGCTGATCGTGCGCTTGCGGCAGAACGTGATCAAGACGGGCATCCGGCGACTGTCGCTCTCGTACTCGCGCATCTCGCTGCGCGACATCTGCGTGAAGCTCCACCTCGACTCGGAGGAGGACGCGGAGTACATCGTCGGCAAGGCGATCCGCGACGGCGTCATCGAGGGCCGCATCGTGCACGAGAAGGGCTGGATGGACTGCGGCGGCCAAAAGAGTGGGTATGGCCCCGAGGTCAGCGACGTGTTTGCAAGGCGGATTTCGTACTGCTTGGAGCTGCACAACCAGAGCGTCAAGGTATGTGTGGCATGCAGCTTGATGCGTTGGAGGTTTCGACTTACTGTGCGTTACAGGCTATGAGGTACCCGTTGAACGCGCACCGCAAGGAACTCGCTGCTGCAGAGGGTGCCCGGGAGCGTGAAAAGGAACTTGCAAAGGAGCTGCAGGAGGGCGGCGACCTTGACGATGAAGGCCCCGATCTCGGAGAGGGTTTCTGAAAGTGTAACGAGTCGATATCGCATTGAACGGTTGAGTTCGTTTTGCTTGCACATGAACTACTGTCCCGGACTCGTAGTCCTGGGACCCCGCCCGAGCATCCCCCAACATCGGTGTGTAGCCCTGGTAATCGCCTTGACATTGCAGGATAATGGCATGTGGGGTAGTCCTCTCGGTTCGAAGAGCAGGCTTGTCGTGACCTGTCCGTTTTGCTCAGGACTGCATGATAAGTATCTGTCCCGAGCGAGAGAAGTGCGAGTGTCGGCTTGATTGATCCGGGCACACCGCTCATTTAGTCTAATTGACTTTCAGCATCTAATAAACGCAATGTTGTGAGATCACGCAGCTCGAAGGCTGCCGGCAGAGAGGTGCCTGAGGCCCTGAGCCCGAACCCTTGAGACGCGAACCACTGGGATGAGGCGCCAGAGAGAGGCGCGCGTCGGGAAGGTGTTTGTATGGTCGTGTATTCGTCTGAACCTTATTTTCTTCATCACGCTCAAGACGCACGACCCAAAAACTCTCCAGTCCCCGATCCACGACCGTCTGCACCATGGACCCCGCAAAATTGGCGAAGCTGCAGGCGCAGGCCGCGGCCAACAGGATCGGTGCGCCCGCTGCGATTTTCCCGGTAGTTTTGCGAATTTTTGACGCGTTACTGCGTGTGCCGTGCGCTAGGTGGTAAGGGGACCATGCGCCGTAAAATCGTGCGCAAGACGAAGCCGTCGACCGCGCAGGACGACAAAAAGCTACAAGGCGCGCTGAAGAAGCTGAACGTGCAGCCGATCCCGGGAGTTGAGGAGGTCAACATGTTCAGGGAAGACGGGAACGTCCTGCACTTCTCCGCACCCAAAGGTACGCGTCGTCAGCTTCACTTTGTACCCGGCCGTTTCCACGCGTTAGTTACCTATCGGTGCCATTTCAACCTATTATCATTCCACTTGCGGTCATGCACTATGCGTATGTGGCGTCTGTACTAACGCTTATGGTATCAACAGTTCACGCAGCCGTCACTGCCAACACCTTTGCGGTCTACGGCACCGGCCAGGTCAAGGAGCTCACCGAGCTCGTGCCCGGCATCCTCAACCAGCTCGGCCCCGACTCGCTCGCCTCACTGCGTAAGCTCGCGGAGTCCTACCAGGCCATCCAGCAGAACCAGCAGCGGCCACCAAACGCTGCTGACGACGATGACGACGACGTGCCCGACCTCGTGGAGAACTTCGACGCGGTCGAGGACAAGCCTGCGGAGAAGAGTGAGCTTGAGGAGCTCAACTAGGTGGTGTAGCTGCGTGGACGGACGGCGGGGCGTCGCAGGTGTGGTGTGGTGTGGTGGGAGCTGCTGAGACGTCCTGCGAGAGCTGGAGGGAGCTGGGGCTATGATACGTTCATGCTACTCTTCGCATTGCCACCAAAACTGTAACACTGCTGACACCGCGTCTTGTGCGTCTTTTGCTCGGTTTGCTCATCGTCTCGCTTGCTTGATCGAGTCACTGTCCTCTGTGTATCATTGGTACCTATGACTGCACTGTAATCCTGACATATCTGACGAAATGCTCGGAGGACGTACCAGTACGACCAGCCATGAAGACATCAAGCATCGCGCGATACAACAACACAGTAATTCAACATCTGTTAGGTCTACAATACATTTCGCACATCCATTACTTCCGTCCACGCCATCTGTCATCGATTCCATGGACCACTCTACAGCCTCAGAGCTTCAGGCATGGAAGGTAATCTCCCAAGTCCTCACACACCCATCCGCGCCCGCACTCGCAAGCGTCTTCGGGCCCGTCCAGAACACCGCAGCAATCCCTCCAGGACCAGCGTTCTTGATCGCGATGTTGCGCATCGGTTTGTCCACGCTCCACACGTAGACGTGCGTGTCCAGCGAGCCCGACGCGCAGTGCTTCCCGTCGGCCGTCCAGGAGAGGGAGTTGATTCGCCCGGTGTGGAAGGACCAGCGGGAGGTGACCGCCTGGATGGATGGAGGGTGATATGAGCAACGCTAGACTCTATAGGAGGAAGCAATCGTCTTACCTTGCGTCCTTTCACGTCGAACAAGATGATCTTCCCCGATGACTACAATGCAGTTAGCACACAAGGACCAGAGATGAACAATTTCCAATACTCACATCACCCGTAGTCAATAGCGCCCCATCCGGACTGAACGCAAGTGCGCTGACGGTGCCCTTGTTGCCCTCCAGCGTTGCAGCCTCCGTCAGGGTCTTCCCGTCCCAATCGTACAAGCGCACTTTCATGTCCTACATGCAGCGATTCAGCACGAGTGTAACCCAGTTCGGCACATGAGATGGAGACTGACCTCGCCGCCGACAGCCACAATAGATCCCGACGCGGAGACCGCGCTCGGTGTGAACTTGGGCTTGAGTTCGAAGACCCTCTGGTTCGACCGGATCGCCTCGACGCCGTTCGCTTCCGCTACGAACACGGTGGAGTCCGCAGCGACCGCGACGGACTTAGGTTGCGAGCCCGCCGAGAATGACGCCGGACTGAGAGTCAACGTCAGCACTTGCACAACCATTCCAACCTATGGGAGAGTTGTGGAGGGAACATACACGAAGCTCGACCCTCCTTCGATCTCCTTGACCACGTCGTCGAAACCGGCTGAGTACACCTTGCCATCTGCTGCAGAGGCGAGGCCAGAGACGAGTGCAGCATGACCATCGCCGCTAAGCGGTGAATAGGTGTTGTCAGAGAAGGAGAGGATCCGCCCGTCAGCCGTGCCTGTGAGGAAGGTGCTCGACGACGGCAACGTGGCCGCTGCGGTAATTGACTTCTGCGGGCCCTGTGGAGACGAGAGGGGTGAGAAATCTAGCACGCGAATGGCTGGAGCGCAACGTACGTAGAGGATGCTAGCAGGTTTGTCACCGATGCGCTTGTCAAATACGTTGAGGTCGCCCGACATCGAGACGGAGACAATAGCGTCTCCGCCTGTCCAGGTGTTGCCGACTTGCTGGAAGGCGACGCCGGAACCGACAGTCCAGGCTGTAACGGCTTTGCGGGCCTCGACATCCCCTGTAGGGTACACATGAGTCGTGCATGACAATAATGCAGCGGGGGCGACGTACACAACTTCACTGTGCGATCTGCGGAGGACGTCGCCAGCGACTTGCTGTCTGGACTCCAGCTGCAGGCCATCTATACTCGTCATGAGATTTGTGTGCGCGCTCTTGCGAGGAAGGTACCGACGATGCTGCCTGTGTGCGGGCTATCTGTAATCTCACCGAGGGTCTCACCCGTCTTCCCGTCGTAGAGGAAGATCTTCGAGTCCGAGCCGACACTGGCGAATTGGTCGCCAGACGGTGCGTACCGCACATCTTGGATGAACTTTGTGTGCGTCTTGATGCTCTGCGGGTCACTCAGTACATGACCTAACGCGTGAATGTGCGGGGATCTGGATGCGCACCTTCTCATATTTGTACGGAGCGCCTGGACGTGGTCAAACATCCATTCGGTCGAGGGATCATCAAGGGAGTTACTCACCTTGATGGAAAACAATAGTTGCGTCATCTGACGCGGTCGCCGCACGGAATGGACGTTGGTGCCGGATTGCCACTGCATTGATGACCTATAACCAGTCTCCAAACCTGAGACTATGCACGCACAATACGGTATTTGGATTGACCTTAGAATGCCCAATGATCTCGCCAGTAGACGAGCCGGTGTCAAACATGAATGCATGGCCGAACCTCGAATACACACTCCAGTCAGCGCAAGTCCACTCCGGGACACAAGACTCACTTGTCTCTCCCATCTCCTACTGCGATGATCCGCTTGCTCTCACCATCCCACTCGAGGTCCTTCCTTCACCAGTCATCGCGAACACACAGAGCACCAATCAGGACACCACACCAGCTCACCCAGATCAGAACTCACACAGCACCAGAGAGAACCTTGTACTCCCCCTTCAAGGTCTGATCCTCACCCACCGTGTCCCAGACGCGTACTACACGCAGTCCGGATCAGCTCAGCCACAGCACCGAAGGAGAGGGGCGGAGCGTGCTCACCTGTACCGGTGATGTCTGCAGAGGCGCAGTAGTACCCAGAGGGCGAGATGCGGGCAACGGTAGTGGGTTGGAGGTGCCCCGCGTAGGTGATCGCGGTCGCCGGAGTCTATACATTGCTTAATGGGTGTCTAATTCAGGGATGCTCAGCATGAATACCTTCAAGTCGCGGATCTAGAGTGGGTAATGTCACGACGGAGGTCCGAGGGCAATTGTGCGCTGCGACTCACCACGACTGTTCGCCCGTTCACGTACACGACCTTGTCTCCGCTCGAGCTAAGCTTGGTCGACTCGCCGCGCGCGGTGGCTGGGTTGCAAGGATACAAATCAGCCTTCTTGAACGACATCTTCACTGTGTTGAGCTAATGCCGTGTCTTCCTGGGTGCTGCTTCAAAGTGGTCAGAGTGAAAGCGAAGGCGGCGTAGCACGGTGCACTGCGCCCATCGGTCGCCACTGCCAATAGATCGCCCGATTTGGACGCGCCAGGGAACGGTCACGTGGGTATAATGCATGAGCAATCGCGTTCAAGTTCAAGGACACGACGATGCTGGTATGGGTGAACCATCCATAGATCATCGATACAATGAGTAGACAGCATGATTGTGGTTCCAGTCGCCGGATAACCTGTTCAATTGACCTTTCATCATATAGCAGTACACGTCTAAGCACTGAGTGGAGCAGATACTAGCAAACCAACCGGTGAGATCCTCGCATGAATAAGCCCTCAGTCTTCCTCTGGCCTCTCCTCAGGGGCGTAGTTCTTCAGCGGGTCGCGCCGGAGAGCCTCAGATTCAGTGAGACCGAGCGCCTCCCGCCGCGGCTTCATTACGCTAGCAGGTACGTTGGAGGAGCTCGGCGTGGCGGGCTGCAAGCAAGGTTGATGAGAATGCAGCCAGTACGTGACCACAAACGCACCTCATCATCCCGAAACGGAGTGAAACTGGGTGTCGATGGCACCTCAGGTGTCCCTTTCTCGGACTGCTCCTCGTCTCTAAACACAGCGATCGAGCTCTTGCCCTTGTCCGGTTTCTTCCCCCCAGGTGCAGTTTGTGCTCCCATCGCATCACCAGCATCCTCATCCCTAAACACAGCGAGCAAGCTCTCCCCCTTCTCTTTCTTCGGCGCAGCACCGGCCGAGCCGCTCCCCTCACCAGCATCCTCATCCCTGAACACCGGGATCGAGCTCTTCCCCTTCTCCTTCTTGCCACTCGGTGCATGCGGCGGGGGCATCTCCTCGTGCACCCCGCTCCCGCTCGGCGCTGGATCGCGATACACTGCGATTCTCGAGGTGCCACTCCCTGAGCGCGCTGAGCGGCCAGGTTGCCGGAGTTTCGTCCCCTGCGCCTTCTGCACCTCCGGGATGTTCTCCTTGATTCGCGCTTTACGCGTGCCGAGTTCAGGCCAAGGCGATGCTTGATCTGGATCGTTCTCCGCGTCGCCGGCGGGGTCTACGAACACGGGGATGCGGCCATTGGGGCGCGGCGCGGACGTGGTGGTCGCGGGAGGTGAGAAGACATCCTCTGCGGGACGTGCGCGCGTAGAGCCGGAACGGGCGGAACGTGTGCGTGAGGAAGACGAGGTCGAGGACGAGGCGGTCTCTGCGAGGGCGAGGCGGCGTGATGAGGACGAGGAAGAAGTATTGGAGGGCTCAGCCGCCACGGGAGGTGCGAGGTTGATCGAAGCCATCATGCGTTTCTGGAACTCGCGGTGCTTGTTCTCGAGTCGCTCGAGAGGGTCTGCTTTGCGCGCGATGCCGAGCATGTAAGCCTCGTCCGCCTCCGCGCGCCTGAGTGCGAGTCAGTCGGAGGTCGCGTATGGAGCACGATGCAGCGCACCTGCTCGCCCTCTCCAGCACGGTCGCATACTCCTCGTACAGCAGTGAGTGGCTCGTCCCGATGTCGTTCACCAGACAGAACTTGTAGATGATCGCGGGCTTCTCGACGTAGTTCGCGTAGAGCACCCAGAGCTTGAGGTACCGGATGTCGTCCCGCCACTTCCTCTCACGGTCATCCTTCAGAACACGCGTCGCCTCCTCCAGGAGCTCGAGCAGCCCCGACTCGGCGCTGTGCCCTTGCGGGTAGTTCTCGACGGTCCAGTTAACGAAACGACAGTACGCCTCGAGAGGATCGTCGTCTTCGTCTTCCAAAGCGACCTCCACGTTGATACGGTGCCGGTTGCGCGCTGCCGAGAGACGGCTTTCGCGCTGAGCATGGGGGGTGGATAGGATGCCTGCGAGAGCGGTGACGCGCCGGCCTTTGGCGAGAGGCTGGATGTTCTCCTTGGCGGCCTCGAGAACGTCGCCGTCGACGATGGTAGGCGTTTCGTCGAACACGTCTGTCATGACGGGATGGGACGCGTTTCGGCGACGGGAAGGGTGAAAGACGCGTCTCGGAGCGCGACGCGACTTAAACAAAGACGCGTTCCATTGCGTGCGAGTGGTTGACCGCGTATTTTGACACACGTGAAGGATAGCGTAGAAACGGAAAATACAACATACTATGGTCAGTAGAGTGTGGTAAGTAGATGATGATCGGCCTAACAAAATAATCTCTAAACAAATTACCCCGCAATGATCAATGCCCCCGCTTGCTATACTTACGATCGGTTGACGGTCGGCCGACTTCCCCAGATTCCGTACTTACATAAATGCAATCGCTGCTTGGTATCCGACGCCTTGTTCAAACTTCCTTCCACTCTCCTCCACCGACACGCTTGCGAAGTCTTTGCCTCCCACATCGAGCTGCTTAATCAATGACCATACAATGACATCAACACAACCAGTAGGACAAGGCAAACGCCGCCGCTTCCGGTCGGCATGCCGCGGCGGCCGCCTCAAGCAATAACCATCCAATGAGACACTCTGTTATGACGGTGAATCATTGTGCACCATCGTGACCCTCACAAAGACCGGCGGCTGTACGTTCACATTGCTCGTATTGTGGGTAGCAAAAGTCCGGGATCGAGAAATCGGTAGTCACACGGGAGCCTAACGGGCGCCGTAACACGTACCTGTAACCCCGCTCCTCTTCCTCAATCCCTCTCTACGACAGTCCCGCAACAATGTCGCCCACCGAGGAGAAGATTATGGCCCACGCAGGTGCCCTGGAAGAGGTAGGGAAATCCGAAGTCGCTGAGATCGAGGAGGCACAAGGAGACGCGGCGGCCGCGGAGAAATTGCTGGAGGAGAAGAGGCTCGTCAGAAAGCTCGACGTGCGCATTATGCCAATCGCCTGCATACTCTACCTCTTTGCGTGTAAGTCGACATCTGCATCCGCGAAGCCAGCAACTAGGTATTCAGTGAATTGGGTCAGATTTGGACCGAAGCAATCTTGGGAACGCACGCCTCCAAGGGCTCCCGCAAGATGCGCTGGGAGGCGATCCCACGGGCAATCTGTATGGCTGGGTCAATTCGGTTTTCTTCATTTCATACGTACGTTTAGTGTCTAATAAATGGCGGCGGTGATCTTGAGCTCTATCGAACAAACATTAGATCCTCTGCCAAATTCCCGCAACGGTCATCTCGAAGCTGTTTCCTCCCCGTACATGGATAGGTTGCTTCGCAATCGGCTGGGGGGTCTGCTCGACGCTCTGTGTAAGTCCTCGAGCCCCATCCCTGCTATATATGTGTCCTGATCAACTTCAGGCCGCCGCGTTCGATTTCGCAGGGCTCGTCTGCGCCCGCCTCGGGCTCGGAGTATTCGAAGCAGGATTCGGACCCGGCATTCCCCTCTACATGTGTGCGTACGCTTCGCAATACACTTAACATGCTTACTTACACCCCCAAAGCACTTTTCTACACGAAAGAGGAGATGGGCCTGCGCATGGCATACTGGTTCGGCTTCGCGGCGGTCGCGGGCGCATTCGGCGGCCTCATCGCCTTCGGAGTTCAGCATGCCCATGCTGCCATAGCGAACTGGCGATTGTTGTTCTTGATTGAGGGGTCGCCAACGATTCTGTTGGGCATCGCGACGTTGTTTTTGCTACCGAACCGTCCGGAAGAGACCAGCTATTTGACCGAAGATGAGAGAGCGCTTGCAATTCAGCGAATGAATAGAGGAACCTCCGGTGATACAGGGAGGGTGTTGAAGAAAAGTGCGGATCCTACGATGCTGTGTGACTGTTGGTACTGAACCGCACGGTGCAGAGCACATTTTGGCTGCGTTTCTGGACTGGCGGGTGCGTGACATTTTCCATACCCCCTATGCCCATTGAAACGCATCTCACACGGGTGCTGGTCACAGATATACGCTGTGGGAGTGATCTACTTCGGAGCAAACTGCGCCCTGGCGTCCATCTCCGCATTCCTACCCACCATCATAGCCACGTTTGGTTACAGTCAGTGACATTCTCACCTTCCCTTGACGTCCGCTCATCTTACTGTTCTTTTCTCTTATTCTTGCAGCCGACGCCGTCGCTCAGCTCCTCACCGTCCCGCCTTACGCAGTCGCGGCCGTCTTCCTATGCCTCAACTCCTACGTCTCCGATCGCCTGCAGAGCCGCGGCGTCTTCGTGGCCTATGTGAGCGCCGTGGGCGGGCTTGGCTACATGTACGCCCATCCACCACCCCTTCAGCCCATTGATTCACAATTGAGCATGCCTGTCTAGCTTGCTCCTCACAGTCATGGGTAACACGCACGTCCGCTACTTCGCCGTGTTCTGCATCACGAGTGGGACGTACACTGTCATCGGGATCGTCATCGCGTGGTGTGAGTGGTCATATGCTCTTGACGGCGCAGCGCAGAACGTCTTACGAATCGGGCTCGACAGTCTCGCACAACTTGGGCTCGGAGACGAAGCGGGCGACGGGTATACCGATGTACATGGCCATCGGCCAGTGCGGGAGTATCCTGGGCTCGAAGATCTACCCCACGACGGACGGGCCGCACTACATGTGAGTCGTTCTCTCCGCAACACCTCAGCGACTAACCCAGAAGTTGGATGCTATAGCAAAGGACTTGCTGGTAAGGGGCTGGCCTTCCCTGCCCGCACCTGAAATATGCTGACATGACATCGACAGTGTGCTGCGCCCTCCTGATTCTCTCCTCTCTGGTCGCCCTCGTCCTCTCGGTAAGCGCTATGATTGATTCACATCCTACTTAACTGATTGTCGCGCTTAGATCTCCTACCGTCTGGAGAACAGTCGCAGGGACAAGCTCTACGGCAGGCCAGACCCGGATGCCACGGTAGACACGTCCGAACTCGCCGATGCCGTAGGTCCCTCTCCCGCCCGTTACACTCGGAAATTAGCTGATGCCGGTTGTCTTAGGCCCCGAACTTCCGTTACGTTGTTTGACGAACCTCACGAACGCGCGCGAATGTTGTTGTCAGTGTTAGTGGAGCGTTGTACGAAAGTTCCCCTTGACCATGACAATGTATTGTACAGTACGCTTGATATCAGAGACGCGCTTGGTTCACTATTTCGAAGACCGTTAAGTAAGCGGATTCTCGAAGACATCGAGGAAGTGATTTGTCCGACTCCCGTTGGTTCGCGGGAGGTCCATGATGAGACCTGGATGAGACGCCCAAGAGACGCGCACCACAACGCGGTCACATGATGAACGCGTCCAGCGTAAGTGGCTGTGATGTCAACATGCAAGGACCCGGGGCACCCTTACCTCGACGATGACCCCACCATTGACGTCGCACCAAAGGGCCCCACGCCCACGGAGCAGATGAGGTATTCATTATGCGATTGGCAGCAGCAGTATCGACTATGCGTATGCGAGCGTAGACAGTGATACACGTGTGGCTACTAGCGACATTGTCCTTGTGGATGTGATGGAGCAAGTAAGTAGACCGAGACGGGGGAACAAGCAAGAGGAGAACCTCAAGAGAGCAGCAAGAAGCACCGTAGAAGATGAAAGGGGGCTAATTGCGTGATGCAGTAGAATGCAATCCGACGTAGTGATGCGTGGATAGGGGACCTTGGATGTGGGCACGAGGAACGGATGCCGGGTCACGATGCAATGCGGGCAAAACAGATGGGGGAGTCAGATGAGGGCATAGTGTGCGAGACGAGGTGAGCGAGACAACGGAACAGGAAGGGTTAGATAGGAATATGTACAGCAAAAGGAAGACGAGCACGAGCACGACCAGATAGATGCACAGACGAGATGCGTAGATCAATACACGGGGATATACTTCTTGACGCCAATGGGAACCATGACGGGTATTGGCAGGCGTTATCGAGACGTGACACAAAGCATCGTCGCGTCGGAGGCGTCAGGGGCATCAGAGCTCGAACGTCGGATCGGAGAACCGTCCGTCCGTTGGGCCCCGCAGAGCAGCGTACCGCGCGCTGGAGGGCGACGGCGACGAAAAGGTGAAGGCTGAGTAAATCCGTTTGCGCTCAGGCGTTGAGAAAACTGCTTCCGAGCGGGCGGGCGACGAGCTCCTCGAGGAGACAGATGGGGTTGGAGACGGTGCGCGGTCTGAGCCATCGTGTACGGAAGAAGTTTCGACGACATCCTACAATGATCGTCAGACTCGCTGAAGTCAAAGCATAATGTATGTCAGACATACGTTGTTCAATTCTTGGGCACGGACTTTCTCCGAGAGGGCGTGTTCGCCCGTTAGGCATGGCGCCTGCTCGTAGGCCTTCGACAGATCTGCCAGAGGCAGCACCGTGAGCTCGTAACAACGAGCATCAATTTGGCTCTGCGAAAGACGCCGAGCTTCCCGCACATTGTCAGAGTGCACGTCCGTCTCCTGCTCCTCGGACACCTGTGGCAAGGTGGGGGACCGGCGGGGACGCGATGCTGCAGAGGCCCCATTGCGTCGGGCTGCTTGCAAACGCTTCGGGGGCTGTCCGGCACTTTTGCTCCTCGATGAGATGTCCGCCCCAAATGAGCGGTCGCTCTTTAACCCCTTCGTCTTCTTGACGGGTGCGGGTGCGTAGGCTTTTGTGGCCAAGGCACCTTCCTTCCGTTTCTTCCCATTTTGCGTGTCGGGGGCGGCCTTCCGGCCAGTGATGGGATTGATGTTCTCCTTGTCAGGAGCAGAGACGCCGTTGGACGGCGTGGGTGAGGTGGGGCGCAGCGCGCCTTCCCCTTCGAGGAGAGACGCGATGCTCCCGGTTGGAGATGGGGGCGTGTCATCCTTGAACACGATGAAGGGGCGCATTGTGGTGATAGACATGATGTGGCTGGGTGAAGGTAGGTGGCTTCCTTGGTTGAGTGGGGGTGGGCGAGCGCGTGGAGGCAGCGTGGACGTGGTGGGTCGATGGATGGGCGAGAACAAGTCGCGTGCAAGCGAAGTTGAACTTAATGAGACGCGCTAAACAAGCGCTGGGCCACGCGCCATTTGCCAACTCCGCCCTTCCACTGAGTGGTGCCAAGGGGCCTGCCTCGAGGCGTGGCTTCAGCGCTTGCGTCGTGTGGCTCCTCGGACGTCTCCGGCCGCGTGTCTCACGCTTTGTTCGACGTAGCCTAAGCGGGCAAGTGGCGCACCAGTGCGGCATTGATCTTACTTACAGCTTGCTTTAGAATCGGTGTATGCTTATAACGAATACCCTCCACTGGTCTCGCAGTACGACATTCGTCTTGAGTCGCAGGCACGCGCACCCTTGTGCCGTATTTCAATACCTGTGATATGTGGATGGTTTCACCGCGCACAATGGAAGATTGTCTCCGATTGTTGGTGCTAACTTCGGAAGGTGCGTCCGCCCTTGTGTCCCTTTAGCCGCCCAAAGCGTCTGGACTCTGACCGCACCGCACAAGCTGGGTACAGAAGCGTTGCAGAAGCGTGTACTTGCTACGTCTCGTTGCCAGTACTCGTAGCTATGCTAGCGCCCCTTTTCGATCATGGCGTCACCGACGAGCTGAAGCCTTCACACCGCCCCTTGTGTACCCGTTGTGGCGTCGCCTGCGATTACGCTTATACCACGAGCACACAATTAAGGGCTTGCTGGGTACGTGTTGATTCGCTTTGATTGGTAACACAGCACCTGTCCACAAGCAGTATGGCCCGTCTAGAATCGACTCCGTGCCAGTGCGCCTTACACATGTCAACGTGAGTGGCACTGTCCTTGTTCTGCATTCGGTAATGTTTTGAATAGACCCTGATTAATGATTGCCGACACTCAATCGATGCTCAAGTAGCCACACAAACACCGCCGGGACCTGTATTGCCACCCTCGAAATGGCTAACATCCTCAGGCTCAATAGCCACCCAACCACGCTTCGAGCCTCGTGCTATCGATCAGCCCGCTTCCCTACCAACGTACGCTTCTCCCAGTTCGCTGACCATTGTCCTCTCAAATTGAGCCTTCGTTTGATATGCACCGGTATGGCCAGGCGCCTCGCCGCAGTATTTATGGTCGCAAGGCGTACTTGGGTGCAGCCGTCTCGCTCAAGTAGGTCCTACGTTCCTGCCGAACCTACGCTACCCCTGCGTTCTGCGCCACAGTCGTCCGAGCCCCAGGTTTCTCGCCTCCTCCGCCAGCAATATCCATGGAACCTCTCCATCTTCACGCACCTAGGGCGACGTCAGAACCTCTTAACCTCAAGAGAGCCTTAATGGAGTGGAGGCAGAACTTGGCCGACGAATCACACTCGCTTGACGATACTATGCAAGCCCCGGAGGCCACAACATCGTATAGCGCGGCGCCGCAATTCCAGGTTTGTCCTCAGCACCTTAAGAAATCTCCATGCCTCATTCTCTTTGTCGCACAGACCGCGCCACCTGCAGACACACGCTCGCACCTCGACGAGTGGACGGAGGCTATGGTGATCGTCCAAATAAAGCTGATCCGGTCGAAGCTTGCGTATTTCCGGATGCTGCTCGACCAAGCGACATTGGACACAGAACAAAGGACTGCGTTGCAAGAGTTCGCGTCGGAACTGCGCGCCACAATGGAGGCCCTCGAGGCTAAGAGCCTCACCGGCGGTGACATAGCATCCGCGCAAGGCGTCTGGCCGGGGTCACCCTCTGAAGAAGACATCACGGAGATGTCGTTTGATTCCTCGTCAGCGGGTGGGTCGTCGTCGGATGTCTCTTTGTCTTTGCCTCCGGACTTCGACGTGGAGGCCCTCTTGTCTGGTGGAGCGACGCGGCTGGACGGCAGCTACGTCCCCTCATCCTACGAATCGTCGCTATCAAGTCAACTTGAAGATGCGCTCCGAAACCCCGCGACAGCACCGATGTTCGACGTAGGAGCTTCGTACCCTCCCCAACAACCTCTGCAAGCCCAAGTCGGTAGTACAAGCTACAGCTACACACTATCTCAAGTGCAAGTCTCCGTCTCCAGCAGCGTCTACAACGTCCGAAGCGACAGCGATTCGTCGTCGTACGCGCCGCAAGCAATACCTTGGTACATGGACTACTCGCAGTGGACGAATGTCCCCCACGACGACTCAAGCTCAGAGTGCAACACCGCCGCGACGTTCTCGTCGGCCTCGCCCTGGGATACCGAGTTCCACATGCCTGGGGACTTCAACGACTACAATCAGCACCAGCAGGACTTTAACTCCACCGTCGCAAGCAACGGCTCACTCCCGCTCTACGATGTCCAGTCAACCGCTAGTAGCATGAGCTTCGCAAGCGACGGGGCTACCGCGGCGCAGTTCCCGCACGTCGACTCGACCGCGCAGGTCCCAGGATGGTATCAGGCGCGCGAGTTCCAGTACGCGATGGGGGATGGACGACTGCTGGCAGTCCACGGAATGGATCCGTCGTCCCCGCACTCTTGGTCGTCGAATATGTCGGAGTGCTCGATCGTTCTTTAACTATCATTATTCACTTTGCGCTACATCGTTTGTTCTGCCGTGCAGCCTATGACTTGATATGTCACCTTCCTGTCAACATGCTATTCAGTACTAGTATCGCTATGCATTCCATATGTCATTCGATTTATGCTACAGGTCCATTGTAGTTGAGAGACGTACCGCACGTCATCAAATTCAATTCGGCTCAGTCAAATTCACCCCTACTTCGCCGCGTCAGAAACACGTGCAAATGACGTTCCCCATTGTGGCAACGCCCCAGCCACTGGCGGAGCCCGAGATTGGCATTTGCATTCACCAAGCATTCACTCTCTTCGTTCGATTGAGCTGGACCTACGCTACAATGTCTCAGTCAGACGTCGCGTCGCTGCGCGAACGAAGACAAAACGAGCTGGTAAACTTTCCAGCGTCATTCAATCGCACGCATACGCTGATATACAAGTTGGCAATGACAGAATGAAGCCGACCCGAACGCGATCCCGGAAAGCTCGGGGTCCGCTCCAGTCGTCCAGCACGGTCGTTTGACTCTGACATGGCTCGAGATTCCGGCGTGGCAGCGCGACAACGATTACATTTTGAACGGATATAGACGGTGCGTGTCCGCCAATTTGGACGCCTGCGTGCGAGTCTTGCATCCGGCTCCGAGCCACGGCCGCCATGCATTCTCGTTCAGATGCAATGTATGCTGATGCTCGACGGTCGTCCGTGTCAATAGGGTGCAATTTAGCTGGAGAGGGTGTGCCTACTCCGTATTCGGCTGTACGTGAGGTCTCCGTTTTGCCGATCGTCTGCGAGCGCGAGCGGTTGAATGAAGCGACCAATTGACTGAACCGACCACGCAGATCTGCATAATGAAACAGGTCAGGATCAGCTGCATCTAGCTGCATTGCAGCTCCTGGATTGCTGACACGCTGATCATGCTAGTGAACATTCAGACGCACCTCTTCGGTGCCCTCCTGTTTGTCGGCCTCCTCGGCAATGTCTATCAAGTGAAGCTTGCGTCGTACGAGACGACGGCGTGGCAGGATTTTGTCGTGTTCGCTATCTTCATGTCCGCGGCCGTCTTTTGCCTGCTAGCGAGCTCCTGGTTTCACACATTCTCGGTGCATTCCAGAGAGGTAGGAGCCAACATCTTCGCCACGTGTTTGTTGGTCTGAGAACTTGACATAGGTCGCCGTCCGATGCCACGCAATCGACTATGTTGGCATAGTGGTGCTCACAGTCGGTTCCTTCTTCCCTTGCATCTACTATGAATTCTACTGCAACACGAACCTTCAAGTGTTCTACCTATCTCTCATAGTGCTCGTCGGGCTCGGTGAGCCAAAATATCGCTGTCACCGCAGCTGTCCTCAGAGCGCTGACCCTCTATACCCTGCATCAAATCTAGGCGCCGCATACATCGTGCTCGATCCCGAGTACTCGAAACCCTCCCATCGTGGCGCGCGAACGAAAGTTTTCATAGCGCTCGGGCTGAGCGCGATTTTCCCCGTCGCCCACGGATTTCTCACACACGGGCTCCACAAGCTGTGGACCGAAATTGGCTTTGGTTGGCTGGTGGCCTCTGGGGCGTTGTACATCTCGGGTGCCTTGCTCTAGTGCGTCATCCACCTCTTCCGCCTCCGCACGAACCGATTAATTGCTAACGGCCCTTGCTTCACCTCCTCCGCGTGGCCCTCAACGTTGCTATACGCAGCGCGAATCGTATCCCTGAACGCTTCTCGCCAGGGACGTTCGATTACTTCTTTGCGTCGCATCAGATATTCCACGTCTGCGTCGTCCTCGCTGCGCTCTCGCACTACGTATGCGTGCTGACGGCGTTCGAGCACTGGCATGCGCGTGCGGAGCCGCACTGTCCTTCGTAGCTTGGCCGGCATTCGTCGTGAACCCCGTCCTCCAGTGATCGATGGAAATAGCAGATGTTCCCTGCAATAGGCATAATGTGCCGAAGCTGTATGTACACTGTAAGTGCCACTTACGTCGTCCGCGGACGTCGATAATGTCGCACAATTCACTCACGTTGTGGCGTCCTAGTAATAGATGTTGATTGGACAATGCACGATACTCACGCATGTGCGCCTCGTTGCCTGTTTCACCCCTTCGCTTCCTCGCCAGTGTCAGGCGGCCCCGCTCTGGATCTGGGCGGATCTTCGAAGGTACGTACCGCCGGAAGCAAGTGCTTTGAATGTCATTTGGCTCGGATGAGAGCGAGAAGATCGCATGTCGTACGCCAGTATTTCTGGCTGTTGGCAAGGTACCACGCTTGTCACGCATGTCCCGGGGGTGCCAGACCCGAGCTTGCTGGACGAGCTTGCCGTTCAACAGGCACCACGTTTCGCAGCCATCCTCGTCAAACGTAGTCGCAAGAACACAAGAATCCACTGCTCGGTCGCCGCCTCCGTGCGCATGGAATGCAGACCGATTGTCTCCCCCTGACATCCATCGTCGGGCGCGCGGTGGGCGCTCAAGGCGAGTCCCGATACGACGGTGCAGTACTGACGTGCGTACTTGCCTTTCCTGTCTGACAGTGTCTGACAGCGAACCCTATCTCTGATCTAGATAGGTCTGCGGCCCCGTCAATGTCAGCGGTGCGACGGTCTCCGTCTTTCGAGATTGCGTGTCAGCGGAATGCACGCTGATATTGGGACCTACATTCGACGTCCGTCAAATGGTGCTTGGCCGTCCAGCATGCAAACACTCCTAGATGACGCACCTGATTAATTGTGATTTACCGCAGTTTCCTTCCAGACTGGGCATGCACGTCCATACTTCGTGCTAGCGCTATCTTCAGTGCGTCGTTGGATGTGTGAGTGTACTCACCGTGAGTAAATACTTTCTAGCACACCTATGGTATCCGTGGACAATCTCCTCGCAGACACACCGCGGATGCGAATATCGACGTTCGGGAGGCCCGAGGCGCGAGTGGGATCGACCCTGTCACTGTCAATCGAGGGGCAGCTTCGCGAATGCCTAGCAACGGGCCATCGCTGGTTCATTCTTTTCTTCGATTTTTCTTCGATCAGAAATGCAGCTTCCCCTTGGACGTGCCACCTGCCATTGCCAGGTGCCATAAACGATCGAGCTGTCCGTGCGCCGACGGCGGACTGAAGCTGCGGCGGCGAATCTCTCGCCGCGGACGAAAACATAACGTGACCGCACTAGGCCCCTACTGTGTCCATACGTTCTGTGCCGCATCATTCGTGCCTTTGACGGGAAGTCACCTACCGTGAAGGGCAGGTGTGCCAGTGTCTTATGTTGCCGAAACTTCAAATGGGTTATCGGGATATAAAAGAGACTTTGACCGGTGTGGTGCCCAGATCTCCCCCACACGTCCACAGCTATGTTTGTTGCGGGCTTCGTCGTCTTCCTATCCACGTTCATGCCGGAGCGCACTGCGACGGTAGTCGCGTGCACGCTACCGATGGTGATGCTAGCCGCATGGCTCTTTATGATGCTCACTGAAAAGGTGGAAGGAGATTTGCCAGTCACTCTTCCCGAATGCCCTCTACGAAATATCTCGCCGTTCTTTCGGCGACGTTTCGACTTCATCCGGCGCGGACAACATCTGACCGGCGAGTCGATATATAGGTTCAAGCTGCTCCGGGTATGTGTCCCGCCAGTTTGTCCGATAGTTGACCGTCAATGACTGATTTTCCGTGCAGAATACTGTCGTCGTAGCCTCTGGCGCACCCGGACGACGCGACTTTTTCACTTCCAGGAGCCTGGACCTTGGCGCTGGTTTCAAGGTTCTGTCTGGCATAGTGAGTGTTCCAAGTGAACGACAGATGAAACCGCATATAATTGACGTTCTGGACAGATACCAACGCTGCCTGGAGTAACGACAGATCTCGAGCCTGGCAAGATCGCAACTATCCATAAACGCTTAGCGTCACTACAAAACAGCGCCAATCTGGAGCAATGTGGGTGTATTTAGTCCGTAGAGTATTACATGTCACTGATGCAGAGACAGTAATCCCTAGGATTCTAGAGGACGTCCGGCAGGTGATTGACGGTTGGGGACCGTCCGGTACCATATCCCCGTTCGACGAAATACCGAAGGTCTGTGTTTCCTGTCAGCGCCACGGATGGTAGAGACTGAAAAGAGATTTGCATGCAATAGGTATCATTTCAAACCAATTTGCGCTGTCTCGCCCCTTCTGAGCTCGCCGACGACCCCGTGGTAGCCGCACGCCTTCGGACACTGTACGATACCCTGGAGAGTTCCACCACGCCCGCGAGCGTGTTATTCCCGTGGTTCCCAACACCGAGTGTCGTCAGGAAAATCATCTCTACAAAAAGAATATACGACACGATCAGTGCGGCCGTCGACGCGCGGATCCGGGGCCATGTCCTACCCCAGGACGATCCTCTTCAGCCGATGCTCGACAATAGGGATGATCGAGCCGTTATCATCGGGGTAAGAATTATGTGTTCGCCATCTAGCGTACTTACTAACTATTCACATAGTTCATCATGGGCCTCCTCGTCGCGGGGGCGCGGTCAACAGGAACAACAGGTATGCATACCATTGACCATATGTCATTGCAGCTCACTGAGAGTGCTATGTGCAGCTTCATGGTTCATCACTTTCCTCGCCAGCCACCCGACCTGGAAAGACAAAGCCATGACGGAGATCCGGGGTCTCCTTGCGTCGCACAGTGATACACACGGAACTCCCCACATACCCAGCACTACCGGTACCGATCCTAGTCCAGCAGCTCTATCGCTCGCGTCCCTCTCTGGTGCCCTCTCCTCTATCCCCCTCAACGCCTGGGAGACACAAACGCCTACCCTCGACGCGATCATCCGGGAGACCCTGCGGCTCGCCCAGCCGCACACCGCTCTGCGCCAAAACACCAGCCCCTCGCCCGTGCTCCTCGCAGGCAAGGCCGTTCCCCCCGGCGCGTTCGCCGTCTACCCCTTCGCGGACGTGCATCTCAGCGCGGAGCTCTACCCGGACCCATGGCGGTTCGACCCCGCGCGGCCGCAGAGCAAGATGCCGTTCGTGTGGGTCGGCTGGGGCGCAGGCGCGAGCGTGTGTTTGGGCCAGCGCCTCGCGCGCCTCCAGCTGAAGCTAGTGGCGGCAACCGTGCTGATGGGCTTTGAGATAGAGGTGGTGGGCGAGGACGGGCGCGTGCTGACTGAGGTGCAGATGCCGCGGCCGGATTGGAATGACGCGTTGCATTGTAGGCCTGCTGGGGAGTGTGCGTTGCGGTATAGGCGAGTTGATAGCTGAGAGGGGGCGGGGCATATTGGGCTTGTGGAGCGACGTATCATCTGCGTAAGTGTCCTTGTTGATTGGTGGCAGATCAAGATGGGCTGCTGACACGAACGAACAGTGTTATATACCCTACTTCTGACCCTCGTATGCTACTTTCTCGCGCGTGAACGACCTACTTTGAGTGGCTCTGTCAGCGCCGTCACAGTGCCCGACGAGAGATATATCGCCCTCGTCGGCGAACCTCAGCTTTGACGCGATTGTCCAAGTCTCCTGAATTTCAATGAGACTGTTGCGTTTCAAGGGAAGTTGTTTTCAGTGGGTCAACGCCGCTCGCGGGCCGGCTTTAAACGGGTTGTGCAGCGATAGCCTCACCTGGATTTCTCCTTGACTATCTTTCCAAATGCTGTCTTGCCGAGCGCAATGCGATCTTGGTCGCATGCGCCATATTGGTGATACTGCTCGCTGTGGTGCTGCTGACGTTCACGCAGTCTACGCAGAAGACAGAAGATGATCTTCCGGGTGACCTGAGAGTCCACTATGGATCATTTCACCTTTCTTCCGACTCCGTCGATTTGATTTCCTGCAGTTAAGACATTGGTCGATAGGCGAGCCCATCTTGAGTCAGGGACTTTAAGTTTCAACTTCTACAGGTTCGTCGTCCGCCGTTACTTTTCCTCCTATCTAATACTAATCATTAACTTCGTTTATGCACCTACAGGATACCGTCGTCGCTGTTTCCGGTGCCGAACGACGGCGGGACTTCTTCGCATCGAGGTATCTGGACCTCGGTGCCGGCTTCAACGGTACCGTGAGTACTTCTCACCTCGCGGGATGCATACAGCCTTGAACGCGTTCTATGACACGCTCGACACGTCTACGACCCCAACAACCGTCCTCTTCGCGGCGTGGTTCCCTAGTCCTAACGCTGTCAGAAAAGTCACGTCCACGAAGAGGATCTACGATATCATCAATGCAGCAGCGGACGCGAGGATCGCGGGGATGTACCGCCGCAGGATGATGCTCTGCAGCCGATGCTGGACCTAGTAGGGGACGATCGGACCATTATCAATGGTGCCAGCGCAACTTCGTTCGATTGATGGTCGAGATGTACGTGCATTGACTGTCTACAGTTCATCATGGGTCTTCTCATCGCCGGTGCACGGTCAACGGGGACGTCGGGTAAGTTACGTGCCTAGTTCATTTCCCCCGGGACAGCGGGCGTAACTCATTGACTTTCCAGCTTCATGGTTGGTTACATTCCTTGCCAGCCACCCAGCCTGGAATGCAAAAGGGATCACAGAGATCAATGATTTCCTAGCAGCTTACAACAAGCCCGTCCAAGCTACGCCATCCCTCGCTGCCTTCACCGGCTCCCTCCCCTCGATCCCCCTCGAAGCCTGGGAGTCCCAAACACCCACCCTCGACGCCATCATCCCCGAAACACTGCGGCTTGCCCAACCACACACCGCCCTCCGTTGAAGCACCAGCTCTTCCCCCGTACTCATCGAGGAAAAGCCGTGCCCTCGGGAGCCTTCGCCGGCTAGCCCTTCGCGGACGTGCTCCTCAGCGGGGAGCTCTCTACCCGGAGCCGTGGCAGTTCGACCCCCAAGCTGCCGCCCGCCGAGTGGGTCGGCTGGGGCGCGAGCGCGGGCGTGTGCTTAGGCCAACGCCTCGCGCGACTCCAGTTGAAGCTGCTGGCGGCGGTGGTGATGGGGGGATTTGAGGTCGAGGTCTTTGGTGAGAGTGGGAGGGTGCTGAGGGAGGGGGAGATGCCCGCCCGCATTGGCATGATACGTTACATTGTGGGCCGGCTGAGGTGTGACTTAAAGTCTAGATGGGTGGTCGAATGGGGGCGCGTTGTAAGGAAAAAAATGAATGCGTAGTCTGCGTTGCGGCATTATGGGATGTGAATGGTGGTATACAGGGGTGGTAGCGTAGGATAACAATGTAATGTACTGAAGATAGCGCATGCATCTACGCCTCCCTCAGGTAGACGACTCTATCCGTATTTCGCGTCCAGGATAGCTCTGGGGGATAGCCTCGCGCTCGACTTCGGGTACGAGATCGGTGGTCAGCCCGGCGCAGGGTGAAGTCCACGAGCTAACAAGCGAGCGGGGCGTGCTCGTCAGGAAGCTTCTGAGGCCGCCGTGCGCAAGACGTCCCCTGCAACAAAGAGGGCGACATTCCGCTCACTTGAACGTAAACGCGTCCTTCTTCTCCGCCTTCTTCTTCATCACCTCCACCAGCGCATGCTGCTTCTGCAGCTCCTCGAGCTTTCTCTGCTTCCGCCACTCCTCGCGATGCTTGCGCTCCTTCTCTGCGAGGCGCGCACGCAGCTCGGGCGACGGCTCCCACTTGCTCTTGAGAACCCTGCGCACGGCCTCGGGGCTGATGCGAAATTGCGACGCGAGCATCGGGGTAGTGAATGTCTCCGGATTTGTAGCATGCAATGCGCGTAGGGCGTCCATGGCTTCTCGCGACAATTTGCGAGGCGGAGCCCAGCCCTCCGGGAACTCTTTCTTCATGGCAGCCCGGTGGGCCTTGATCGCTCCTGGAGTAGGGATTTTGGACGGTTTGCGCCTCATAGGGGCTTTTGGGGTGCTGCTCTCGCCATCATAATCGATGTCTGCAGCATCGCTGACCTCTGCGGCAACCGACTGGGGTGCTGGATGGCCGCCGGTGCGCCACGTCGTGCGTGCAAGCCCAGCAACGGACGAGTAGAACGAGACGAATGAGCGCGAGGCGGGGGTGAGCTGCGTCGCGGACCGAGCGATGGACAACATGGCAGGGCAGGGCAGGCGACGGTGCAGAGCCTCGGGCGTAAGCTGCAGCAGAGAAACGTCCGCCACCGCGTCCGCCACAGGCGACAGCAAACTTTGAAACCCCGCTAGGCGTACGGTATGGCTGCCATTTATGGGAACTGTATACCGTGCTGGATGCTGATTGGCCGGAGATGGGGCGTCGATAAGTGTCGCGTCTCGCGAGCGCATCGGTCTCCCAGCACACCGACCCCGGCTGCACACACTGTGACACACTCCGGTCGCAGCCACACCACCACCTTCTCCTCCTCGTCGGCCCTCTTCACCACCCTCGCCGGTCCTCTCCTGCGCCGCCATGGCTGACGTCTCGGACCCCAAGATTGACGAAGGTGCGCGATCGTCGGTGGACCGGACGCGTAGCATCGTCGTGTGTGACGCCGGATGTCGTTGCAGCGTACCTGGACGTCCGCTCGGACAAGACGGAGACCAACTGGCTGCTCTCTGACTACGAGGTACGCCTGGAAGTCCTCCAAACATATCTCGGAAGCATGGTGGAACGCTCATGCATTGCCTCCGCCGCAGTCTGACCGATCCGACAAGCTCACGCTGACGGCGACGGGCTCCGGAGGTCTCGAGGAGCTCCGTGAGCATCTCGACGAATCCAAGGCGTCGTTTGCGTATGCCCGCGTCCAGTACGCGAACGACAAGGAGTCGAAGCGGGAGAAGTTCATCTTCATCGTATGGATAGGGCCGAACTGCAAGGTTATGCGCAAGGCGAAGGTGAACCCGTCCCATCTATATTCCTGTGCATACTCATACTCGATTGGAAGATCTCCGTCCATGCTGCGGACGTGAAGCAGGTCCTCAGAGTCTACTCGCTGGAGGTTCCTGCTCGTGAGAAGGACGACTTGAAGGAAGAGCCGATAATAGTTCGCTTGCGAAAGGTACGTACGACTTGCTCGACTAACTCCAATATGCATCGCTAACCCGAGCACAGGCTGGTGGGGCGAGTTACGACGGGGTATGACTTGCCATGCTAATATTGGCCCGGGGAAACTGTCACATGTATATCATCTGTCGCAATTTTTTTGGTGAAATCATCCGTATCCTGTCATACGCTGTGAAGCCGGACAACTATGGCATTCGCTGGGACACCGTGGCGAAATGGATACGACTTCGGACGCCCGAGTTCACAGCGCTCGTCCGAGTCTGCCATGACCGGGCGCACTTAGATCGGTACGCTTGCATTTATTGCCTTTCGCTGAACAACTGTTCTGATGAGAGATTTCATCTGCGAACCAGTTGTGATACATGAGCGTCTTGAACAGGATGCCGAGGGACCGTCTCCGTTGTCGTTTACACCGTAGTTGACGGTCGGTATCATTCAGTTTGAATTCTAGATTGGCTCTGTAGATCCGACACTACCCCAAGGTCCGCCTCGGTCACCAGATTGCTACTTATGAACGAAGATGCTCGTGTCATCCACAGACAAATCTAATGCCCATGCAGCACCTCCGTTTCTGGCGGACAAATCGCTCCCGCCGAACACCCATTGCGTTGGCCGCTCTATTCCTCCGAAGCCGCATTCCGTCGGACATCAATCTCGCGAGCGATCTTCTCGAACTCGCCGAACTCGCCGACAAGCTTCCACAGCTTCCACTGTTCGGCACCATGGGGCTCGAGGCGGCGGACCTGGCCCCGATCAACGCGGTCATGGCCCCGACCACCGCGGCCGTGCTGCAGTTGCGCGGAATACGAGAAGCGGCGGAGGAGATGGAGATGAGGAGAGAGGCGCGAGAGAGGGGTCGTAAGTATGGGCTGCCGGATCTGCTGACAGGCGGAAGCGTGCGGCGGTGGTTTTTAAGCGGATACAAGTACGAAAAGTGGACTTGGACGGCGTCGAGGAGAACGGTGCAGTCCATTCAGAAGGCGGTCATGCAAGCCCAGCGTCCGTATGCGCCATTGCTCACCCTTCGCATCTGTTCTCGACTGAAGTTTCATTTAATATACATGCCGCAGAAAGCCAGTCAAGTGTTCCATATGGGGTGGTTGCTTCAAAAGACATTGGGCCTACACCTCGGGGTTTGTTGGCGGATACTCAACATGGCCGAATACTGGGTGCAATTTGCAAATGAAGCTCACATGTCCTCCTCGTCGTCTAAAACAAGATTCTATCGCCGAGCGGATGCCAATCATTACTAGGACCATAATAGTGGATATGCCAAGGGAGGCGGGAAGCTTCAAACGGCTGCGCTGAGTAAGGCTCGCCGTAGGTGGTCATAACATGGGTGCGTCATACACATTTCCATCGCCAGTGACGTAACGCTCTGACGCGCGACGGTATGTGCGTCGCGGTGTGCTGCTTACAGTGACGCATCCACATCTTGAGGATTCGCATGAGTGGCCCTACACAAGCCTTACACACTCAGAGTAGACGGCGATCTGCCCTAAAAACACGTTGTCTACGAGCTCATGCTCGAAACATCGCTGGCTGGAGGATGCCCTTCCCGTGCACATCTTCCAATGGGACCACCGTCGCAATGGAAACGCCAAAGATGACCAGAAGACACGACAAAGTTTCGACGGACTCCGACCGAATGACCGTCTCATCATTGACGTGACGGCGAGCAGCTGCTATGGGCATGGCGATTTATCGCGCGTTCACGTGAGTTGGACTGTTGACTTCAATGACTGCTATAACATGGGTCGTCTGAAGGTGCTGCACAGCTCGGAAACGAAGCTCTATGTGTGTTGACGCCCCGCAAGATCAAACGTTCTCTTGTCGCATGGGCCCCACCTGCCTTACGGGAGCTTACGGGCTCCGAGTTTCGGACTGCAGTGTGTCGGTACTCACCGCATCTGGCTCTGCATGGCGTAGTCACTCCGTCAAGGGAGCCATACGGTGATGCTACTTGCAGGTTCCGGTACGTTGGATCGCCCTCGGGCACAAGTTGCGGCTGTACGACGAGCCAAGCTGACGTTGCACTGATCGCCTCGGTATCGATCATAGTGGCTACATACGGGGCCCCGTTTTCACCGGAAACAAGAGAGCGGACTCGTGCTCGACGAAAGTTAGCGGTAGGCAGGGTATCGTTCGCCACCTCCGATGCTTCCTAAATTCTCTCCATGGCGCCACGAAGGACGATGAGAACGGTCTCTTAGATTCGAGCCTGTAGGTGGTCTCTCGGGATTTGCGAAAGTCCTGGGTGCATTGCCCCCGGTGTTGTGTACACCGCGTCGTACAAGGGCCAGGAGTATAAAGGTAGCCCTCCTCGTCCTGGGTACTCCATCCTCCGGGAATACCACTTCAGCAGCACTAAGGACTACCTTCACTTTCCAACCGTTTCTCCTTCTGCGCTTAGTGCATCATGTTTGCCTCCATCGTTCTTCCCCTCGCCCTCGCTGCCGGCTCGCTCGCGATGCCCATGGCGCGCCAGAACAGCTGTACCAACCTCGGTGCGGGCGCGACCGCTTCGCTCACGTACAATTTCACTCTCTCCGCCGTCTCCCCGACTGCAGCGGACAGTGCCACCGGGACGAACCTCCTGGTGACCCCGGGACCGGCGGGCACCAGCGGGGAGGCTGTTGATTACTGGCTGTCTGTGAGTAACGTGTGCCATGGCTGTGGGACGTGAGCTGATGTACTCTTTGCTGGCCAGACGTTCTCGGGCACGGGCTCGAGCAACTTCCCGACCTTCACGCTCGAGGACGGCGCGCTGATCCCGCAGCCTAACGCGGCGAACCAGGATTACGTGGCATGGGACACGACCGTCGAGGCGGGCAAATATATCGACTTCACGGTCACCGATGCTATCTTCGGCGGCTCGAACGAGGCTACGCCCTACTGCGCCGTGGTGCGTTCCTCTCGCGCTGATCATGTCCTGTCATAAGAAGGCTGATGATGGCCTTTTGTGTGCTCTGTCATTGTAGTCTGATGCCAGCGGCTTCGTTACTTTGGCTGCCAACGGTGTCAGCAACGGATTCTCGCTTTGCGCGACGACGAACGATAACTACGTCCTGGTCTTCCAGGCGTCGTCGACCAACGATGGCTCGTATCAGTACAACACGTGCCAGCCGCAGAACATCCACCTTGTGCAGGCATAATTGCATCCTCAGCTTGCCTTGGAGGATTGACGCTGGGATGATATTGGACTTTCGGACTAATATATTGGCTTCGGGATTGTTTTGGTATTTGCTACTCCCACTGCTATTCGCACTCGCTTGGTGTCGTTCGAATATATCACGGACTTGATATTTAATGTTGCGCAGGCCAGGCGTGAAGTTTTGAAGGCTGCGCAAGCCTGAGGCACGGCGCCTGGACGCCAGTCGGCATGTTAAAATTCACTCTGGCACATCTCATTGGAGATGTCAGATCACCGAGCATAGCAATACTCATTGGCTCCAGCCAAAGCATAATCTATAATACAAGAGGCGTGGAATTCGCACGGGAGACAAAGAGAGCATCTGATTGGCTGAGAGACGGACACCGAGCGCTGCCCGAGCCCCGAGCGCTCTTTCACCGCGCGCGCTGCGAGAAAGGTCATCGTCGCGTCTCTTCGTTGTTTACCTCGATGATCATTTCTGGATTTGAATGGCTGGTGACGGGGCCTAGCGGGCTCTGCTTCTCAATATCTCCGAGTGTCCTGCACGACCGGGAAGGGGAGGAGACGCTCAGGAAGAGCCCGGCGAGCATTGTGAGCGCGACAGGGAAGGTTCACTGATCGAATTCATTCACAGCTCATCTGCCTCGATTCGGACACGATAGTCCTTGAAGCTTGAAGCTTGAAAGCTTGACCCGTGGTACCGTCGTCATCTAATGGCCCGGGCGACGAGACAGTGCTCGACGACTTGCTGACGCCGGAACGTGCTGTACGTATGCAATTTGTTCTGCTTTGACTCGGAAGTACTGATCTGAGCCTGGGAAAAGGTTTGGACGAGCGAGAAAGGAACATGAGAAAGCTGCCTAGCAAAGGAGAGGTAAGCAAAGGAAGATGAGTGCAGGTGCAGATGCGTGCAAGCAAGCGAGCTATATGCGGGCCCAGCATGCACACAGGCGGGCGAGCGAGACGGTGGGTGGTCACACACCGCGGGCGACAAGACGCATAGCGATCGCGAGCGCAAACACGACCAACGAATGGACTGCGAGCGCGCAAGGAAAGAACGGGCGAGGGCGAGCGGAGGTCAGTGGGCGAAGACGAGTCAGCGGTGGTGGGAGCGCCGCGGCAATGCAATGGCACACGGCGATGGCGAGCACGCAGGACAGATGCCCGGTGTGCAAGCGCAGCCGGCGAGTGAATCACAACCGAGTACAGTGCAGGTGAGGGCGAGGGCACGGGCAAGAGCAAGGGCGAGCAAATATTGGTGGCAACGGGCGGGCGCGAGGGCGAGTGAGTGGGCAAATCAGCAATCGGCGAGTGCGAGTGCGAGCAAGTGGGGAAGAGGGGCGAGAGCAGAGCGGGTGCAGGTGCAAGTGCCAGTGCGCCAACCAGAGGCAGGTGAACTCTTCATGATGTTGTAGCTTGCGACTGCGCTGGTGCATCCTCGAGGACATGTATGTATATGCAAGTGACTGGAGCTTTCCGCTTTAATCATAGGATGTTGAACTCAGCAACTTACGAAGGCCGGGCCATCACTGAGACGGGCCCACGAAGCCGACTCGGACTCCCGGAGGCCTCATTGACCTAAGTAGGTATGGACTTACTTGAACGCTGACAAGAATGTGCGAAGGATCTCGCTGACTCTGAGTTGTTGCCCCGGAATGCCTGCTGAATGTATATATAGCTGAGTGGCAGTTCAGCATTAAGCTATGGGCACAATGAAAGGTTCGTACGTCCGTAGCGTAGCACGGGCACCGGCTAGTATATTATATTGCCAGTCACGGTAGGACCAGTGGGCAGTTGCGTTCAAATTCGAACCTCAAGACCTTCTGTTTCGGGAGCACGACTATGATCGGGCTCTGAATACTCGTCGCTCCGCTCCAATCACGTAGGGGCAGGCGCTTGCAGGTGTCGCAGCGCGCTCCAAGTTCCTCCAACCTTGACCTTTCCCTTGACCTCATCGCACCCTTGTTCTCCCTTCTTTCTTGTGTATCGCCGTCAAACACTGTTTGAAAACTATGCAGAGGTCAACGAAGCCCTACAGTGTGAGTGATAATGACGAGGGCGCCGGGTTTCATTGTGCTAAACACGCGTCTTGACAGCGACCCACCGCTCGTCCTCGTGGCGCAGACGGCGAATGGCTGCACGACATGGCTCCCGAAGGCCGTCGCGGGCCTCGCGCGGCCTCAAAAAGCGTCAATATGGATGCACCTTCAAGCGCCACGAAGCTCATGGTGTCAAATATGCACTACGAGCTCACGGCCAAAGACCTTACAGTGCGTTCGCTTTGCGATACATGCTGTTGCCGAGCCTCACGCAACGCTACCCTTCCTGCGCAGCAAATCTTCGGGCAAGCTGGCACGCTCGTCCGAGAGCCACTAATCAGGGTACGAAACTCGCAATGCACCGCGTTCACCTGAGAGACACCGATCCCGACCTCCTTTCGCTTGTTCGCCTATAAAGTACGACCGAAGCGGCCGATCATCCGGTATTGCTATTGTCACATACGAAACCCCTGCGGAGGCTGCGGCAGCAAAGTCGAGGTTTGACGGGAAGCTTGCCAAGGGTATGGTCTCATTCACTGGCGCATTGTCAGCGAGATGATGTGGACTTGTCTGACTTGGATGTTGGTGTCCAGGGCAACCAATGTCGATTACATTCTATCAGCCCGCACCGCCTCCTCGAACCACCAAGGGAACTGGGGCGCCGACTTCCCTTATACATCGGATAGAGAAGGCGCCCTTGTTGGATCGCCTGAGTGGTGCACCGAAGTCACAGCCCGCGTATGTCTTCGCTCTTGTCGCCTCGAGGCAAAGAATTGACCAGTCTTCAGACGGAACGGCACGGGTCCCATCAGAACGAAGGCCCCTCGGCCAACGCGTGTGCCCAAGAAACCGAAAACGCAAAACGAACTCGATGCAGAGTTGGACGCGTTTATGAACGCGGACATCCAGGCCGTCAAGCCATCAGAGGCCCCAGCGGCAGCTGCCGACCCTCAAAATGGAGATGTCGAGATGGTCTGAGGTCTTCAGGTGTTGCGATTCTTGGACTATGTTACGTTGCTCGTGCTCTGCCTTGCTCTTCATCCCCCCTCTGTAACAGTGTTGTACATATGGTAACCCTCCCGGTCCAGGCTCTATTCGGAGCACGAGTCACTTGTTCTGTTCGCACCTCTCAGTGAATGGATTATCACTTCTTGCATCAAAAGTACCCAGTGATGCGAAGTCCGGTCGGCGTGCATAGCAATCAAACAGAGCAGTATGAAGAGAGCACTGAGTACATCGCCTATTCACGCGCACAACTCCCACCTCCCATGCCCGATACACCACACCTTTCCCTCCGCCTTCGCACACTCCAGCGCGTCCTTCACCGCCCACTCTCCCACACGCGCCCAACGCGCATCGCGATGCAGCCACGCAGTGATCTCCGCCGGTGTCGGGCCAGGCGGGGGTGCGGGCGGGGCGAACGGCGCAGTGGGGTCGACATCTGCCCTTGGACGACCACCATGACGGTGCTTCGAGCGCCGCGCGGCAGCTGCCTCGATGCACTCCTTGATAGCGCGCTGGACGATGCCCGCCAGCACCTCGGGCGTGAGCGAAATGTACGCTTCCTCGGTCGGGGAGGGGTCGCTCAGCTGGCCGGGGTCGTCTTCATCCCCTATCGAGCTGGCCGTCATGGCCGACGCGGTGCTCGAGTTCGCCTTCCAGAGCGGCCCCGGGAGCTGCGTCGAGTCCGCATCCTCGCGCGGGAGCGGCCGGATGGGCCCGTCCCACAGCACGATGCTGCCCTCCTCGTACAGCTGCCGGATCGCGAACTGGAAGAGCCGCTTCGTCTTCTTCGTCTTGTGCTCGGGCGGCCGCGCAGGCTGCACCTGCCGCTGCTTGCTAGTAGTATTGGTTGGCCCGGCTTTCTGGCGCTCCCGCTCCTCCTTGGCGCGCCGTCGTCCTTCTTCGTCGACGACCCGTCGTGCGAGGATCATAAGCTCGGGGACGCGCCGGAGGTGGGAGAGGGTGAAGCCGTACAGCGAATCTCCACTTGGATTGTCTGGTTCTTCGGGCACAGAAGTGCGAGTAGGAGCCCTACCCACGCGTGGTGTGCGATCCAGTTCGCGCTCTACCTCGCTCAGCCGGGCGCGTAATTGCGAGGGCCGAGGCGTGCGGTCATCGCCCCCGCCTGCAGTAATTGCTGTCTTCCTTGGCGTGACGAGGGAGGCCCCAGACGGACCACCGCGCATCGCCAGTGCAAGAGTGTTCGATGATTGACTTCGTGCGAGCGGCGTTGGCGACGCCGAGCGAGAGCTAGCGGCCGAGTCTGAATCTTGCGCATTGGGCGGTGGCGCATTGTCCATGTAGTGCTTGAGGTAGATGCGGAAGGTATTGGCTGTCAGGTCGCGTCTGTGCAGTCGCGTCGGATGGCGCAGACGAATCGGAGACTGGCAAGCCACGCAGTACTCAGGAGCTAGGAACAGCTAACAGAGAAAGACTACATACCTGCCTATTACTAAGTCTTGAACTCGCCAACGCAGGCGAGCCATCCGTCGATGTCATGCCGGACGAGGACGGTGTCTGGGGTTCGATGGCCCCTAAGCCTGTCTCATTAGACTTGCTCGGAGAGATAGGGACATCCGTCGCCCTGGCCTTGCCTTTGTCCTTCTCCGGACTCCTTGGGATCCAGGCTGACTGTTCGCGTCTCTTCAGCGGAGGGACGACGAACGGACCAAGATGATCAGCGAAGTAGCGGGTGCGATGGAGTTCGAGAACTGCGAGCCAGTGTTTAGGCTCGTCGTTCGGCGAGGGACATGATCCTGGAGGTGGAAATGAAGCCGTTGCTCGATACAAGCATGAAGTGCGGTGGACTCACGGATCTCGTCGACGAGCACTTGACGCCCCTTTGACGTCTCGACCACCCTGCCGATGACCCGTACGGGGGTACCTATGTCGGCGATAGGTTTGGGTAGAGGAGGGGGCAAGGAAACTGCTTTTGAGGTTGAGATATTAGGTCCTTTGCGTGGGGAGGCATTGGTGGAACTGGAGTGCGAGGGCTGCCGGGTACGTCCAGCCTTAGGGTCGGACGTACTTGACTTGCGGGGAGGCATTACTTGAGGGTGTACTTTATGGTTGCATTCTATCACGGCGGATCCGTCGTCCACTGTGTAGAGAAGAATATATATCTCAGTAAACGTATGTCAACGAGGGACGGGCGAGCAGCATGGTCAACCAGAAGCATGCACACATATGAACCTTCACATACGGAGCATTTCCAGGCAAACTACCCATTGTACGTCCTCCACGATTCGGCTCATAGTTGTGCATGGTCCTCAGCATCGTGCCATGTTCCATAGGCGTCTTACTCCTCGGTTCCTTCCCCTTGCGTCGTGATACCAGAGGGCGCGACTCACAGGTGTAAAGGATTCGTTGCTCAAAGGGCTGTATACCCACCAGCACCCCAACTAACTCAACCGTCCGGCACGGTATACGACCAAGCCAGAAGTACTCCACCTCTGCAACACAGAACGGACACAGCGGACATGGTCAGAACAATGTACAGAAAGCGGTGGCCTGCAAACGCACCCTTATGCCCACTATCCCTCATGTCCAACACATCCTTCACGAAGCACGAGGCCACAGCATCCTTCGTCAGCGTCCACCGCCATATCTCAGTGGGCGAGGGCGTGGCCACGTTCGCACCACCTGCATCGTCTTTGCGCTTGGGCGACTGAGGCGCAGGGCGTGCACTCGAAGAAGCTTCCGCGTTGTCGTCCAGCTTGCGACGCTTGGTTTCTCTCGACGGTGTCAGGAGGATAGAAGGGGTGCGGATTAGCTTGGTCGATTTGGTGGAGGTCGAAGAGACTGTTGTTGTCGAAGTCATCTCACTGCAGGGTGCTGAGATGAATCTGTCGCAGAGCTAGAGGCTCCAGGTTGTTGAGTGTCCAGATAGATCTTCACTGTGCCGACACTCGAGCAAGCACTCTGACCGAGTAGCTTCTACCACCTGATTGAAGGCTTTTGAGCCTTGACTGGCGAGCAAGAACTAGGCGTGGCACACACGTTGGCTCAGAGGGTCAGATATAAGTTCACAGCAGCCGATAGACAATTGGCCTCTGCAGGGGCGCACACAGCCTGAGGGTACTGGATAAGGGCAAGTTGACTCCCATAGACGCGACGCGACTCGGACGCGACTGCACGCGCTACACGTGCCCGCAATCTATGCAGGTGGGAACGCGTTTCCTTAGAACGTTCGACGTGCGCACTTCATTCAATTGTCGGTCCTTGGACATGGTACTTATTCGCCATGAATTCCAACGCCCTGTCAGTGAATCACCCTATTGAAAATATTTCAATATTGCGCTCAGGGATGAGTTCGCTTTCACATTGAATCCACGTCCGTTGCACCGAGCTCATTGATTACAGACTGAAGCATAATCCTTCCCTACTAGTGTACAGACGAGGCAAGTTGACTAAGGGAACATCCAGTGAGAATTACCGGACCTTGTGAGTAGGCTTGTACCCATCCACGTAGTCGGAGTTCTGGCGAGCATAGCGGGTCAGCCACAACTAAAACCGTAACAGAGTTTACCCGTACACTTACCTTGGTGTACATGTGTCCCTCCTGACGCTTTGTCATAGCGGGCTGAGGAATACGCCTGGGATTACCATCGTTGTCCGCATGGCCCTTGCCCTGTTCGTTGTCCTGTATGAGCACGGACTTCGACGACGGCGAGGTGTCACGTACGTGGAGCGCAGAGAGGACATCGGAGACAACGCGTCTGCCGTGAAGGTTCCTTCCGGGGAGCGGAAGGCTGGCCTCTGCGTTAGGCCTGAAGTCAGGAGTGAACCGCGTGTAGTTGTCGTCGATGTGCTTGGGGAGCTCAAGCCCTGCTACGGCGCCCTCAACCTGCTGGGCGTGACGCAGTTGCCCTGTCGACCGACGCCTAAGCGTCCTGGTACAATGAAATGCAGACGCACTCACAGGTCGGTATCTCCGTCAGATTTTTGACCGTCATCGGGGTACGCTTGCCCTGAATGCTGAACTGGGCATAGTAGAAGCTGAGAAGCCCGGCGGCGACGATGCCCATCCCGGCGGCCATAGTCTGTGACATGGTGCGCGAGTTCGTCAGCAAGGATTGAAGCTACGCTCGCAAATGCTGACTCACCGACCAACTACCGCCTTGAGCGCGGATGGGCTGAGGCGCTGCACCCGGGATGCGAGAAGGGAAGCCCTTGGGCCTCTTCGCGTAGTCGCCTCCACCGATAGGCGAAGATGCGCTGCTGACAGACATGATTGTAGAATTTGTGATGCGAATGAAGTTCAGATGTGTGCAAGGTTGTGAGAGTTCCAGACTGAGGAGCAGTGACTGTCGGCGAGCCGCTGTTATTTAGACCGCATTCGAATCCTGCCCGCCAGTCAGCCACGGACTTCGAGACCGCCAATGACGTCCAAGGCTCCCGGTGTGTCGCCCAATACGGTGGCGGAAGAGCGGGAATGAGGTTGACCGTCCTTGTGAAGAGTCGGCCGCTCGGGAGGTGCCGAGTGGGTGGCGGGTCCGTCGCTGTTGCGCTTGCAGTCCCCGTCGGATGCAACGACTTTGGTGGCGCGCAAGCCGTCTTCCGATCGGTTCATGAAGCGTGACGTCAGTATAGGGAGACTGCACCATGGTCCCGACATGCTCGGAGACCGGATCCGCCACTGGCCCGCTGCCTTACTAGCCACCGGCACCTGCTCTGCGTCAACTTGGGGACGGAGTCGTATGAGGGGTGGCATCCTCTTGGTGGACACCAAAAGATGGCTAGACGGCCCGCACGACAATTGGCGAAATGAAGATAACTAAACAAGGCTCCAAAGCTGCCAGTACATGGATGCTTTCTGTCAGTGATTTAGTAATGATATTCGTGCCAATGTATCTATTGGAACTCACACGAGTGATTTGGAGCACGCCGTGTGTTGACTTCTCCGCATCAGAGCCGAGCCTCGCAGTTTCAGTGTTCAGTTGTGGCCCACGGGCCATGCCTACGTATCAAGGTGACCGCGAACTTGGCTGCCGCACAACTCATCTAGCAGCCGCATCGGTTAGTATGTCGTTAGTATGTCGGACACCCTGCCACCAATTGCGTTCTCAGCGTCATAGCCTACTATACCACACGGTAGCAGATCCGATCATTTGAGCGGTCTCACCGGAAACCAGACCTGCGCGGCTCTTGTGCACGCCTGTCCCTCCAGGTCAAAAGGCAACAACCACCTAACCTCGGCTTCCCACCAAGAATAAGCGAGAAGTGCTCCAGGCGGGGTCGGTCGAAGAACATTCACGATGTGCACGCTCGCTGCTCAGGCGGTGAGCCCGGCATCGGTGAACGTCCTGCCAACGTCCATCAGCAGTGGGGAGAAGTACATGATATCCACGATGACTCACGGAGAAATAAATGTCGCTGATCCGCTAGAGACTGAGCGTGTTCCTTGGTGAAAATGCCTCACAGACACGAGGCAAATATTCGTACCTTGCACCGTAAAGTCGGGGTGAGACGGCGACAACCAAAGCCACAAGGGCAGATAATGCAGAGTTCCTTCGGGGACCATCGCGTCAGAATTCACCATGCACCAACCCAGCGCTCGAAAGCTTCCTGTGGACCCATTTGCTGGCTAGTCGTAGCAGAGTCATACAAGCGCCGCCGAGGAGTTTCTGGATGCGCACCCATCGCGCAAGGCAAGATCTGCGCCGCAGCTGAATGGGATCGAAGGATCAGCTGTGCCTGACCCCCCTGCATAATGAAGACTAGGGCCCCTAGACGCACATTTTGCGTACATAGCACGGCCTTTGCATAGGCTGGCCTCCACCTCGTCTAATCCTTCCTAAAACCTCGACGGTACCGCACCGGCCGTCTGAACGTTCGAATCCGACTGTCGAGCTTGAGCACTCAGCGCTCAGCGCTCAGCCAAGACCACCACAGGCACGGGCTGGACGCGCCAGCAGAAACTTCGGAGGCTCGTCTTACAGTCGGGCTGGCGCGTTTGTGGTAGCTTCGGAGAAACTTCTCCTGGCGTAACGGGAGCCCAAGGCCAGTGCCGGAATGATGCTCTCCCGCACCGACGTAATGATTCCAGGCGAACAGTACTGCCCGCGCCGGGTACCTATCCAAAGTACAGCGGAGGGCGTGCTTTTGTCTGGAAATTATCAGACGACCCCGAGTAGTCTCCAAGTCCTCGAGTCTGAGTAGGTCGTGTGCCACCGTGACAGAAATAGCACGGCCGCGCTGTCAAGAGAGACATAAGTCTAACCGCTCGGGCATGATCTGGCCGTGACTGGTACATACCGCCCAGATCTGCGAGCCGTAATTCTTTCCACTTGTTGGCTGTGGCTATCCTTAGCATTCATTGCATCGGGTGCATTAGGGCTACGCACACTAGCCCCTTGCGCGATCAATAACACGTGGACGCGACCCCGCTCTTGATGAGGTGTTCTCACCTCCCGGTGCGCAGTCGTGTATCTCCCGCAAGAGCATCCTCCATGCTATTTCCATGTTGCTAGACCCCTTCGCAAAGAGGGTGGGCAGGCAGAGTGCGTCGGACTCGGTATCACGAATGTGTTTGCATCGAATTTTTACCAGGATTATTAGCATCGAGAGCGAGTCAGACCGAGATTTGTGGCTGAGGTCGGCCGGCAGAACGGAACACCCAAATACAATGCCAGGGCAGAGGAGCCTGAGGGCAGAGGCCTGGCGTCCTAGGGCGTCCTCCGCCCGTGCAAGTTTTGTCGGTGTAGGGCCCTAACAGCCATATGGAACTGGCTGTCAATGAACATAAGAGCCACAGGGTTTGCGGCTGCGAAGCCGGGGTGAGCGCCCAAAGTGTGATCTTCCGTGGGGGCCCGAAGCCGTCGGGCGACACTCTTTTCCCAATTTGGCAAGTGTTGAGATTGAAAGCCCTGCTGACCTCGCGGCTCGTGCTGCGTCCTCGCCAAGTCCCCACCGCCAAGTGTACCACTCCTGTCCTCCACCATTGGGCCGGGCGTATGGCCTTTTGCTTGCGGACACTCCGCATCAACAACGGAATGTTGTGCGCAGTGTGACCGGTGCGCGTGGACACGAGATCCTTACTGGGGCTGCTCAATTCTCGGGGGCTCAAGACTCATCGCAGGCTCAAGACTCAAGACGCCTGGAAGCGCCCGGGCTGACGTGATCCGCCGCGGCTAAACCACATGGCGAGCTCGCTTGGCCGTCCCCTCCTCCTCCTCCCTCCCGAAAATACGGAGGGGTTTCCGTCGTAAACCCTAGACATATTCTGCTAACCCTAGCGCGTCCTCGCGTGTACGCGCCGCGGACGCGTCGAGGCGCGTCGCGTCGGTGTCGCGCCACGCGACGGGCGCCAACGCGTCGCGCGCCGCGCGTCCCTCCGTCGTGGCCACTCACTACTACCCCCATAGTACCACAGCTTGCGTCGCTCGTACCCGCAAGCTGTCCGTAGTGTATATAGAATACTATAGATTTCTTTTCCGAGCCCTCCTGGGACACGAAGCCTAAGCCTCGCCGGCGCAATCTGCACGTGATATTCCCACGGCACCTCGCGCTCCCGCAATCCACGTCGAGAGTCGAGACTCAACGTCTCTCTGAACATCACCCTGAGATCGACTATGCCTACAGCCGCTAGGCCTGTACTGCGATCAAAACGACATGCCCAGGAACTGCTGCAGCAAGCAGCGCTGTCGCGTCGCACAAGCGCCGGTGCGGTGGCGCGGTGGCGCGCGCAACTGCAGCGATGTTATTCAACTTGTGGCGAAACAGCGGCTTGCCCACAAGTTTTCTGTACGCAATATGTGTGTTTTATATGTAAGGAACCCACCTACAAAGTCTTAAGTCTTAGCAATTGAAGCTGAGAGCCGGAGGTGGGCTAAGGCCACACACTCACATGTCACACTTCGTGACACTCACATCACACTACGCGCACGTGTACGCCGACTTTCGTGAGTATTCATTTTGTAGCTTGGAAAAGAAGGCTATGGCATTTTATATATTCTACGGACACCTTGCGGGTACTAAGAGCGACGCAAGCTGTGGTACTACGGGGGTAGTAGTGAGTGGCCACGACGGAGGGACGCGCGGCGCGCGACGCGTTGGCGCCCGTCGCGTGGCGCGACACCGACGCGACGCGCCTCGACGCGTCCGCGGCGCGTACACGCGAGGACGCGCTAGGGTTAGCAGAATATGTCTAGGGTTTACGACGGAAACCCCTCCGTATTTTCGGGAGGGAGGAGGAGGAGGGGACGGCCAAGCGAGCTCGCCATGTGGTTTAGCCGCGGCGGATCACGTCAGCCCGGGCGCTTCCAGGCGTCTTGAGTCTTGAGCCTGCGATGAGTCTTGAGCCCCCGAGAATTGAGCAGCCCCACTTGTGGTGGATGAGTGTCAGGAACAAAGCCGTACGTCCTACCACTTATCACGGCATCCCAGTGACGACTTCGTAAGGGCTCAATCAGGGATGCGCTCGAAAGGTCTCTGCTGCTCTGGTAGGGGACGTCTACCGGCTACTATACTAATATGATTACTTATATGCTCTGACGTGGCCACCCTTTGATGCACTGCCAAGCATGTTCGGGTCTTGGATGATTGGTGACTTGTTATCCAGCCTGACTGGAACGTCTTTCCTCGACGGCTCTCACTCTGCTCCCCGGACTCGTACTGCTCCGAATACGGCTCCGCAGCCCTACCGCCGTGTTCGATCACTTCAGCTGATCCCAACTGATCCACAAAAACCAGCGGCGGGCAGGCTCTGGCAGGCTGCCGACGCCTGCCGTGCCTGAATCAGGGCCTCCCCAGATTTGTGGAGCCCAATCGAACTAGATCCGGCGGGGAAATGTGGGGAAGGAACACGGGGAAACGCTGGAGAATTGCTTCGATTTGTGGCATCACATGTTGCCATCATGTCCCGTATGTCGCCCGCCCATTGCTGGCGCGTTGCGCCCCTGGCGTTGATGCAGGCTATATAATCTTCTCGGGACAGTCGTAGGACGCCCGTCGTCCGGCTCTACCACGGTCGCAGCGCCCTCGTCTTCTCTAGCCTCGCGGCGGACACGTCTATTATTGCAACGTCCTCACGATGGGTGTCACAACAGTTGTTCAGGGCGGGCACACCTCCAACTATGCACACTTGTTGGACCCGAAGCGGAAGTGGTACAACAACAGGCGGTATGTAATGCTTATTTCCCTGCGCCGCTGCCTCTGACGTATCCGCCCACACAGGTTGATCACCCTCCATGCCTGGCTGGTTCTCCTGTACGTCTACGGCATTCTGCAGTACCAAGGGATGTACTCACACACACAACCACAGGCTCATTACGTCGTCCGGAAATGGATTCGACGGTAGTTTGATGAACAGCTTCCAGTCCCTGGACCAATGGAAGGACTATTTCCATAACCCGCAGGGTGGGAAGCTTGGTCTGCTCAACGCGATTCAGGTCAGGACTATCCTTCAATAGACGCCTGGTTCGGCCACTGACACTCGGTGTAGAACATTGGCTCGCTCGCGGCATATCCTTTTGCACCCTACCTATCCGACGGCCTTGGACGGCGGCGCACTGTCTGGATTGGCGCATCTATCATGTTACTGGGTGTCGCATTGCAGACGGCCGCGCAGAACCTGGGCTTCTTCATCGGAGCTCGCTTCTGCATCGGTTTTGGTCTTACCTTTGCCAGTACGTTTGTCGCACTTCTCATCACTGAGCCATACTCACCTGTGCCCCAGCCAACTCCGCACCTATGTTGGTTACGGAGCTCTCGTACCCCCAATACCGACCGCAGCTCACTTCTCTCTACAACTCCCTCTGGTACTCTGGCAACATTATCGCGTCCTGGACGACTTACGGCACGGAGTATATCGACAGCACCTGGTCATGGCGTCTCCCGTCTATCATGCAGGGTGTCCCTGCGGCAATCCAGTTCTTCCTCGTCCTTCTCGCGCCTGAGAGTCCGCGTTGGTTGATCTCCAAGGGCCGTGATACTGAAGCGCTACGGACGCTCGCGTACTACCATGCGGATGGTGACGAGAGTGACGCCTTGGTGCAATATGAGTACGACGAGATCAAGACCTCCCTGGCCCTCGAGCGCACGAGTGAGTCCTGATTTTTTGCTCCGGTGGGTAATTTGGCTGACATGTTATTTCTCAGCGTCCGTTGGCTGGAAGTCGCTCGTGAGCACATCTGGTAACAGGCGTCGTATGCTCATTATTGTCGCCATTGCGTGGTTCTCGCAATGGTCTGGCAACGGTCTCGTCTCCTACTATCTCAGCAAGGTCATGAACTCGATTGGTATCACCAACACGACCACCCAGCTCCTTATCACAGGGTACGTATTCGCATATGCGCTAGCAGATAAACAGTCTAATTTACCGTCGATTGTGCAGTATCCTTGCCATCTGGAACTTGATCTGGGCCGTCTTCGCGTCGTTCATGGTCGAGCGTATCGGACGTCGGAAATTGTTCCTGATCTCCGCTGCGGGGATGCTCCTATTCTTCATGCTCCAGACGGTGTGCACGGCTCGCTACCTCATCGCCGGGAGTGCTGCTGCCGCACACTCTGTCATCGCCTTCATCTTCCTCTTCTACGCGTTCTACGAGTGAGTACCTACTATGCGCACTAACCTTCGGTCGTGATATTGATGGATGTCCTAGCCTTGCATTCACGCCACTCATCGTGTCGTATACCGTCGAGATCCTGCCGTTCTCCGTACGCGCGAAGGGCTTCAACGTCTTCAACTTCACCATCTCCGTCGCGCTCATCTTCAACCAGTACGTCAACCCGATTGCCATGGACGCGATCAGCTGGAAGTACTACGTAAGTTCCACCTTCTTGCGATATTCCTGTCAAACGAGCTGACTCGGGTATACGCAGATCGTGTACGTCTGCTGGCTGGCATTCGAGCTGGTGTTCCTCTGGTTCTTCATCGTCGAGACGAAGGGTCTGTCCCTCGAGGAGACCGCCGCGCTCTTCGACGGAAAGGAGGCCACAGAGCAGATCCACGCCGCGGGTGTGGCGGAGGTGCGCACGGACGATGTGTCTGACGAAAAGGTCAGCGCATGATCGTGCGGCGCGGAGTGATTGTGTTTCGGTTTCGCTGGGTTTGCGTAGGTCATTTGTACTGCGCGTACCCCGTATGTGGTTTGAGGACCGTCATAACGAATGTCTGACGCCTGCGCTGGGGTTGTACTATTAAGCTCATGATCATAACATACGTCACGATCTACTGTTTACTTACGAGAACATTATACGACGCATCCATTTCTGAACTACTTGCAGTCAAACTTGCGCTCCATTCCCAATAGTGCCGTTAATTGTGCGCGTTGATGAACACGCCCAGCGGAGCTGAGCGAATGTCGCGGGAAGCGAGCCCAAGGGCCAAGGCTAAGGTTTGCCGCGCAAGACCTCAATCACGCCCATGTGACCGTGTCTGGGCGCCTCTCCGGGACCGCCCGCTCAACGTTCAACGTTTCAACCTCCGGCTCTCTTTCAAAAACTAATTCATCTTCGCTGTCACTACTGATTATCATGCACACTACTGCCTGTCAGAGGCGGCACGATTCAAATACGTTCAAGAAAGCTTCGAAGGCAGAGCGGTATCCGTCATAGGAGGACGTTATGGTCTGCAACGTAGACAACCAGCGACTCGGACACTTCAGCATTCTGCACTAGCAGTAGACTTATCCAGGGCGGCAAGTATCACTTTGAGAGGCACCCCTGATCAAACTCGCCACTGGCAGCGTCAGCTAGGCTTGCGGACGGACGCCATGGACGAGGACACTGAAGTGTGGTCGGAGCCCGCAAAGACCGGGCACGTTTGTTATGTGATAACGGTACAGGTGTGTTTCTGCCATCTTTCGCGATAGTGTATCCTGATAGCGCACTGTCCAATTGGGTCATACCTAACAGAGGACCGATAATGGCATGCGGCCGCGCCGTGACTAGGTCGTGTTCGCACTTGCTACATCGTCACTAGGGACTTCCAAACGTTCTGTGAATGGAAATCCCCCATTGAACAGAGCTCAAAGCGGCGCCGAATTATCCCAACGTTGCGACGCGAAGGATCACGAAGGAGTCCGACCCAGACAGACATGCCTGGTACCAACCCGAGGCATGTCCGCGCGCACCGCTCTGCTGAGCTATTGGTTTCGAGTGAGACTCAGACTATCGTCTGTGCCTGATCTTGTTTACGTATGCACGAGGCCATGGCGGTCGGCACTGTAAGTTACTTACACTGTAAGCACGCCGGACCCCATGGGGCTGCGATATACGCACAGTCCCAACGGCACTGGCAGGCGTCTTGCCCATCACGGTGCCAGAAACTCCATTCCTGTCGTTCCGTTCAGCATTGACCTCTCAGAGAATGAAAGCATGGCTCTTGCATTCGTACCCAATGTACGTTGATCTGAACTTCACCTGATTTGTATCTGATGATGATGTTCCGCTAGGGGATGATGGCACACGGTATGTGTTTCAATCCGTCAAGCATCTTCAAAACCGAGTAAGGATTTATGAGAAGTTGATGATGATTGCATACTTACCAGTTGCGATGAACAGCCTATGCCCGTGAACCGCGAGGATGACCTCGCCAAGGTAGCACGGTTCAAGGCGCGCCAGGGAAGTGGGAATATGTAACAAGTCAACAGAAGTCCTTGCGATGTTCCTCAGAACTAGTCATTATCAACATGTAGCATACGCTAAGGCACTAGACCGAAGTGAGCGACGCCACGTCCTTCGGATAGTGCTTGCACTGATACCGATGTCATTGAGATACTCACCTAGACAGCGTCTTTTAGCGACTCACCTAGACAGCGTCTTTTAGCGACTCACCTAGACAGCGTCTTTTAGCGTATAATTAGAAAGCCGTATGAGAGCGAATACTCCGTACCTTGCGACGAAGAGCGAATGTGAGTGATCAAGGCTCTGTGTTACCACCTGGTCTTACCTCACCTGTCCGATAGCACAAGCCACCGACGTCGAAGGCACATATCGCAACGAGCTGCCGTGTTTCTCAGGCGAAGGCTTCCTCTCTATCATGGCTGGGACTCACAGGATTTGATTAGTAAGACCGACCATACGTTCCCAAGTTTGCTATCATCGCCTTACAGCATGGCGCAGAATGTGTCTGGCCCTCGGATACTAGATACGGGCCGGGATAACAACATATCACGTAGCAAATTCGACGCAAAGGCCCCGTTGCGACGGTGGGTACCCCGCGAGAAGACGGGCGGGACAAGATAAGTGTCTCGGAGAGTGCTGCTTAGCCCCAGGTCCCCCGCTCGCGTGCAGGATCTCCTCTCCCTCCACATCATGTCCGCAGCTGTCCTGCCAGAGTACAACAACGAGAAGCGCGAATCCACGGGCTCTGTAGAGAAAGATGATAAGGATCTAGCTACGGCTGACGTCTACGAAACCGACGCCCACAAGCTTGCCGAAGTCGAGGATCTACAAGAGAAGCTCGCGAATGACGAAGCCGACGATGATGCATACCGGGTAGAAGAGGCCTGGCAGGTCGCCACCAAGGTGAACGTCGGCGCAGTACGCGGTGCTTTCGCTGTCGATATTGACATCGTCTCTTTCCGTTTATAGGTGCTTTCGACGAAAGATTACCCCGAGCTGCAAGCTGTGACCTTTCGCACCATCTTCCTTGGTCTTGGGTTCTCGGCCTTCGGAGCGTAAGCATTTGTGACATCCATGTCGTGTCGTTGACAACGTTTTTGTCAGTGTGCTCGCACAGATCTACTACTTCAAGCCGCAGACGCTGTCAGTCTCTATCCTGCTTCTTCTAGTCCTCTCGTACTGGTTCGGCAATGCAATGCACATGGCACTGCCATCCAGGGGGTTTTTCAGGTTCCTCAATCCGGGCCCCTTCAATAGTAAGCAGCGTATGGATCTCATTCGAACATGCTTGTGATGCGGTCCACTCGATAGTCAAGGAACATGTCGCTATCGTCATCATGACCTCAACCGCCTCCACTTCGGCAACGGCGATCCAGGTCATCTCAGTGCAGGCGTGTACGTTATCGTGCCGTTTCCATGAGCCTCTACTCATAGAATTCATGAGCAGTGTTCTATGACAACAACATGGTGAGCGATCATGTGGTCGTGGTAATGAACAGAGTACTGAATACGAATCAAGAATGCAGGCATCGCGATCTTCACGCTAATTTCGTCGCAGCTCATAGGTTATGGCTACGCTGGCCTGCTGTCCGATATCCTGGTCAAGCCGACAAAGTGCTTCTGGCCTGCAGACAGTGCGTACTACGGTTGAATGACACTATCATGCAAGTCACCGATTGCTCTGTAGTTTACACCGCGAATCTATTCCAAGCTCTGCATTACGACAGGCAGATGACTTCGAGACGTGTTCGGTTGTTCTGGACAACATTCGTCATTGTGTTCTGCTGGGAGATCATCCCTGAGTGTGAGTGTTCTTCAGCATAACCAGCTACGACTCTTGACGACTCATTCCCCTCTAGGGCTATTCCCCATCCTCACTGGCGTGTCCGTCTTTTGTCTGGCGGACAACCACAGCGCGACAATTCGTAACATCTTCGGAGGCGCCAGTAACAACGAGGGCATGGGTCTACTTGCAGTCTGCTTCGATTGGAACTACATCGGGAGCAACTGCATGTGGCAGCCACTCTGGTTCCAGATAAACTCTTACATCGGGATATGCTTCACTTACATCCTGATGAGTGCTGTGTATTACGGGGACATCTGGAAAGCCAAGAACTTCCCATTCATGAGCCAGGCGATCTTCGCTGAGGATGGAAGCGAGTACAATCAAACTGCCCTACTTACCAATGGCAGATTTGACCAAGAGAAGTTCGGTAAGCTTGGAGTGCGTGCAAATCATACTGTCTGTTGTGGTGATTTGAGTTAAGCTTTGCTTTGCAGCCGGCGTACTTCTCCGCAACGAATGCGCTTGGATTGGTTACTGCCAACCTCTCACTGGGCGCGCTCGTGACTCACGTCGTAATATGGCATTGGCAAGATCTCAAACCTTTCTTCCAGTCATTGAATCCATGGAACAAGAGTGTCTTCTTAGTTTACGACGCAGTAGGTTTCTTGGTTTATGTGATCTAAGTCATGTCTGAATACCCCGTAAACAACAGCATTACGAGAAAATGAAGGCGTACAAACAGATTCCCCGGTGGTGGTATGTCGTCGTGCTGGCAGGGGCATATTCCTGTGCCCAAGCGAGTGAGTCTCGTCTTCACTAGCAAGTCATAATACGTGTTCTAGACAACCCGATAGCGAACTACACTGGCAATTCCGGCCTTCCCTGGTGGGCACTGACGGTTTTGCTCATCATCGGCTTCTGTCTATGTGCGCTGTATGCCACGCTCGCAGCAACAATCGGCTTCTCGAGCAATGCCGCTGGATTCTTCGAAATGATCACAGGTTAGAAGTCCGTCAATATGTCAATGCATGAGCGTGTTAACTGAAATTCGTATAATCGGCAGCTTATATGGTTCCCGGAAACCCTGTTGCGAACATGTACGGCGCCTTGTATGGTGGACAACCGATCAGCCAGGGGATTGGCTTTCTGCAAGATCTGAAGCTGGGACAGTACGTCAAGCTCGCCCCGAGAGTGACGTTCTGCATGCAGATCACCGGTCAGTGCACGTCAATCATTTGCATACCGTATTGTCGCTGAAATGTGATACAGGTACTGTCGTCGGAGCTTTGCTAAATTGTAAGGATTCATGTTCACTCGTGTTCTGAAAGCTTTCGCCGACACCGAATAGACGTCATGATGTTGTCCATCATCGAGAACCAAAGGCCTGGTGAGTATGAGCGTAAATTGATAGGCTGACGCTCACTACGACCACATAGCCCTATTGTCGATCTCCGGCACCAGGTTGTGGTCAGGACAGAACGCGCAATCCTATAATTGTATGTGTGTCCATATGAAACGACCTCTGCTGTCGCTAAAAGGCCGGTGCTATATCAGCCAATGCAATAGCTTGGGGAGCCCTCGCGCCGCACATGTTCAGCCCTGGTTCAACGTACCATATCGTACCCTTGTCGCTGGTCATCGGACTCTTCCTGCCATTGCCATTCTTCGTTGCTGTAAGCCATTATTCTTTGATACAGGCCCAATTTGCTTTCTGATAAACATGCCTACCAGCACCGCCTCTGGCCAAAGATCGGTTTCAACAACTTCAGTACGCCAATCATTATGCTGGTATGTGATGTGCCACACGACCGTGCTTCACTTGATCTGAACTGCCACCTATAGTACTCTTGTTGGCTCGCGGTCGGCATCAACACACAAGTCAAGTGAATTATACGTCGACCTACTCAATCCAGCTGCTCTGACTCACGTATGCAGTACAACCATGGCAATAGGTATCTTCGTGCAGTGGTGGGTCCGCACGAGGTACCCGCGCTGGTTCACAAAATACAAGTACGTCCGTCAGAGTGGAACTGACTGCCCTGCACTGACCTCTTTCGTAGTTATATCGTCGCTGCAGGACTGGATGGAGGGACGCAGGTTATCATGTTCATCCTCAATTTTGTGCGTCAGATGGATCATCTGCTGAAAATGGTATTGATCCATCTTACTAGGCTATTTTCGGTGCCTCGGGACAATCGCATCCGTTCCCTCAGTGGTGGGGCAACGGTATGTGCGCTGATGTTATTGGAAATCCACTGCTGACACATGCATAGACTACAACCTATCCACGGATCGCTGTGTGCTTCCCCTTCAATAGCGTTCCGTTGGTTCGTCGGATGATGTCGCAGCATGCTGCGTCGTTTTGTTGGATCACGATTTCGTGCATGAACTGTAGAATATAGGGGTGTAGGCTCAATGAATTTAGACCGGAAAGGAACAGAAGCACCATCACCCTTCAAGATCATAAGCATTACAATAGTCTACAGCAAAATACTTTTGAATACACGCAGATGCTCCGATAGACGTTCTATGCCTCTTGCATCATGACGACATCGGCGCTATCGTGGTCGGCAATGGTCTGCTTGAGTTTCATCTGATCCACGAGGAATGCCAGTGTAGCATTATTCTCCTCGCACCTAGGCGCCACTCGTCAGCACGAACCATCCTCTTACACAAAGCGCATACCGCACTCACATTTTCACTATCAGATTCTCGAACTCTCCCAGTGCCTTCTGCAGCGCCCGCAGCACACTAGCGTTCTCGCCCGCACGGTCGCGCAAATACCGCCCATGCGTGCTCAAAACCGCCTTCACCCAGACCATCACGAATTCGACCCTTGGGCTGCCCTCAAGCGCCTCCGCGACGCACCGCACCAGCGCGCCGACGTACACCTGCGGGACGCCCCTCACCACCAGCCTGATATCGTCCCTCGGTACCGCCGAGAACACCCTATGCACCAGCGCGCGCTCGTTCAGCCTGAACGCCGTGATCAGGGCAGGCAGCCACGACCGCTTCGCCAGGAGCTCCAGCACGCTCTGCGGCGTGACGTCGATCGCCAGGTCTACCGGGTCAAACGCGGCGGTCTCGTCGAGCGAGTAGATGAGGAGGCCCTCTGTCGTCGACGCCGCCCACGCGCGCCCAGTGGGTGCGAACCGCACGCATGTCGTGCGCACCTCCTCGCGCACCCGCCGCCGCGCGAGGTCCGCGCGCTTCGCGCCAGGCAGCTCGTCGTCCCGCTGACGGCGCTCCTCCACGTCGCTGTCGTCCCCGCGCGTATCTATCAGGTCGATGTTCCCTGCCTCGGTGACTCTCCTGCTGTCGAGCATGTCCTGCGTCCCGTCGAGCTTTAGATTCTCCGAGGTCTTGAAGCGCTTGAGCAGCACCCCCGCGCGCACGTCGTACAGCGCGACGTAGGGACTCCGCCCGCCGGCAAGTACGCATCGCCCGTCGGCAGTGTAGCATATACTCGAGTGCGAGCCGCCCCCGGGCGCAGCCGTTAGGTCGCCTAGTTTCCGGCCGGGCGCGGCGTCCCGTCTTGTGTCGATGATGCTGGTTTGACGACCCTCGGTGACGTCGAAGAACACGAGCTGCCCGTCGAGCGTCGTCACAGCGAGTTCGTTTCCGTCCGGGCGGAAGGCGACAGAAAGGACGTCGGACGAGAGTTGGAAAGGCTCGACTGCGCGGCTGCGCCCGAAGACGTTCCACAGGCGCACAGTGCGGTCCCACGATCCACTTGCGAGCAGGTTTCCAGTGGGAGAGAAGGCGAGGGCGCATACGGGTGCGGTGTGGCCTGCGAGGACGTCGAGCAGTTTGCCCGTCTGGACGCTCCACAAACAGATCTCGAAGTTGTCTTGCGACCCGGCAGCGACTGCCTCTCCACTAGGGTCAACAGCGAGGGATGCAAATTGGGCTGGTGTTGGTGATGTGAACGTTCTAAAGACGCGATACCGTATCAGGTCTGCGGCACGCACAGTCCCATCCAGCGACGCAGAGAACAACACCTGGCCCTGTTTCGCGAACTCGACAGAGGATATGGGCGCTGAGTGCTCGGAGAAGGTCACGAAGCAGAAGCCCGACGTGCTGTTCCACACCTTGACCTTGCCGTCCTCGCCTCCGGTCGCGAGGTTGACGCCGTCCGGTGCGTACGCGACCGTGTTCATCGTCGAGAAGTGGCCTTGTTGCTTCAGAACATAGCTCTGGCTCTGCCACTCCCACACGAGCAACTGTCCGAGCCTCGCGGCGCCGAACGCTAGCCACTCGCCGGACGCGTTGACCGCGACCGACGAGATCTTCTCTTGCGAGATGCTCAGTGTGTGGAGGTTGGAGAACGAGGGCATCTCCCATAACCCGAATACGCCAGTAGAGAAGCCGATGATCAGGAGGCCCGAGGGACGATGGAAGGTACTGCAGACGACGCGCGTGCCTGGCTGGTGGAAGTAATTGCGCTTGTGCACACCCCATCGGGTGTGTGCGATCGAATCTGCTATGGCAGAGGTGGAGGCGACTGGTTCGGAGTCGTCGCTATCTGACCCTGCTTCGGAGGGCTTTGCTCTCCAGGTGAAGACGGCACCGTCCCGACTGACGGTGTAAATCTGAAAGACAATTGAGCGATGAGAAAGACGGGCGGAAACAGGACACTTGCCGTCTTGGAGTCTCCAGAGAAGTATGCATTGATCACGATGTCCCGATGCCCTGCGAACGTCTTCGGTCGAAACCCATCCACAGGGTTCAACGTGAACAACCGTGCAGTCATGTCCCGCGAGGTAGTGATGAAGCACTTCGAGTCCGGAGACCACTCTATGCTGACTACCTCATCGTGGTGTCCGGTGTATGTCCGATGCAGATCGAACGGTGCAAATTCCCGGATCAGATGGTTCGGAGTACGCCAGACTTGGACGTGCGAGTCGTGCGTTACTGCAATGTACTTGCCGTCGGGCGAGAACTTGATGGCCTTCACGGGCTTGTGGAAGTTGAAATGGTGCATGACAACACCTCGTCGGAAGTTGACGAGGAGCGCTCGGCCATCTGTAAGGAATGTATGACGGTCTTGCTGCGACCCACTACAGGGTTACGTACCTTCGTCCACACTCACCAGGACATTGCTATCCGGGCTGAGCGCGATTGCAGCTATGTTCTTGCGGTTCTCGAAGGGAAAAGTGCGCGACTTGTTGCTGGCATAGGTCGGAATGGAATGTGCACGCAGTCATTGGAGCGACTCACTTGACAAGGTCAAACACCGATACACGGTTCCCGACCGGACTGAGAACGGAGTTTCCATCTGGTGTGAAGATGATGTTTCCCTGCCTATATACAGTGCCGCATAGATTTGAGAACTAATCAACCGTCAAGGCAACTCTATGCACTGAAAGCGAGCAATATACATACCTGGAAGTTTGACTTCATTAGCCCAGGCTAGAAGACCGACGGGTTGTCCGACCTGCAACGACGATGATGCGTAATGTGGACCTTGCGCTTTGGAAAAATAGTTCGGATGCTCGGACTAGACAGAGAGAAGGTCGATGCAACTGGTGACTGAGCAGCCTGAGCAGTCAAAACACAGTCGGCGCAAGTAATGGGCGCCTAACCATCTCAGGAAGAAAATCCTGTAACTTATGTTATTGCCTTTTTCGGCCAGTGCGGCTGTCGTCGCGGTCACGTGCACGTGTTGTCGAGCTGCGAGTCGTTCACGTCACGCTCTCAGCCTTCTGCAAGAGCCGGACTCAGTTACGGTCTCCTTGTACTCTTCGTACTATACTTAAGTTGCTGCGCAATGTAGCATTAAAAATTGAGCAAGCTTCCTCGGGCAGGCGGTTCCGAGTCTCAAGTACTGCCGCGGTGTCTGCAGCATCGGGTACAGTACTGTTACGGTGCGTTGCTATTACAGTACGCACATCATGATTAATACACTACTTTACATTGCTTCATGAAGGTCCATTACAGTGCTGTGTATTGTACTCTTACACCTTGCAGGGGCCAAAAACCATCGAGCCACCGTGCGATGGAAGTTATACGCACGGAGGCCACAAATGACCGTTCGGCGACGCTTTACTTCGTTTTGTTATTGCTATCGGTGTACTCTGAGTTCTGTTGAGCGCAAAAATCAGGACCGGGGCATCGCATTGAACCAAGAGAAATTGAACTGACCTTCGAGTATGCGGCGTCGCCCTGGTCGTTGGTCCTACCCATTTGCGGCGGCTGGTCGACGTGGCCCGACGAGCCTTGCGATTGCTCCGAACCCTTCCCCTGCATCATCGCAAGTCAGAATCGAGTACTATGCCGTGCACTTTCAGATAGTATCAGGGACTACTCACATGCGCCGCCGTCAACACCGCGCTTCCTCCTTTGCCCTGACTAGAGTCTGAACCAGGCAAGGGCACGTCTTTCGGTCGGGATACATGCTCCGCGCCGGACACGCGCTGCGCGAGGGGATCATTCGGGTGTGTTACCGGGTCCTGTTGCTGTTGCAGACGGTATTCCCCTGTGACACCCGTGTTGGTCAATCAACTGAATCTGGGACGCAATAACGCGGTGAGGGACGTACATGTAGGGATTGCGCCTGGCCGTACGTCCTCTTCTTTGCTAACCTGTATGGACTTCTGGTAGTACCAGAAGCCTGCGAGGCCTGCAGTGACGGCTGCAATGCCGCCCCAGAGTGCCTGTCAGCAGAGTGCAGGTCAGTCGTATGCGCGTTGCCTTTCGAGTTCGGAACGCACTTTCGGGCTTCCCGTACCGCGCGAGGCCCTCAGCATTGGAGAAGGGGGCTTCTGTGTGGGCTCATTGGCGCGTGTGTGTGCGTGGCTTCCAGAGCTCATCGTTGTCGACCGTTACAGTGTAAAATCAAGTATGAGTAGTCGGATGACTCCTGAGAGGTCGTGGAAAGTAGATTGTGGCGAAAGAGGGCGTAAAAGGAGGGCTTATAGCGGACGTCGTTGGTGCGGAGAGCGTCATTTCGGGCGTAACTCGCATAACTCATGCGCCACCTGGGGAGCAAGAGCAGAGGACGGAGCCGTGACATCATGCGTTGCTCTGAGTATACGCGGTCACGTGATCAAGTCGCGCTGGTGCAGTGGTGGCGCGACACATACGCGGGGAAGACAACTTGAAGATGTACACTTGACCGATGGAAGCAAAATCATTCGTCCGTTTTATGTAAACGGTACATCATTTACGGGACACGGTTCATTATGTACGTTTATTAGTGGCCTATCTCGTACTCCTACCAGTGGCTGAAGGACCTCCGAGTCAGGTAACTTACAAGCGGACTAATCCTGCATGTAGAATGTGCATGCCGCGCACAGCTCGGTCAATTTATGGCGCGCCATAGCGCAGTCGGTAGTACCACTCTGGCGCCCCCATTGCCTCTCCTACATAGTTACGTTCCGGGTAGGTGTCCCCCTCGCATTCCCAATCTCTGAAGTGCGTCTGCCAAATCAGGCTGATCCTCGGGGGCAACTTCACGCTCTCTTCCTCTGACCTCCGGTGTGGAATGGCATCCACAAGCTTACCAACGTACTCAGCGATGCCACGCTGGTCCACAGGCCTGGGTCTCTCTCCATAATTAGACGAGAAGTCGAGGCAGAGCGTACACTTCATACGGGGGTGTGCATGCATCAGCGCGGCTATCTCGTCCACGAGCTGCACCCACGCTGCGACACTCCAGTCTTGTTGCGACCGGGGAACGTAAGGCGTCAGGTGGATCACCACGTCTTCCAGCGCGTCCTGCTCTGCAGGGATCGTCGAGAGAACGTACGTGATCGCTGACAGCCCGTTATGAATCTCAAACCATGCCGAGCCCACCGCCAATATATGCAAAGATTTCAGACGGTGGTTTTCGGAGAGCTCGGGGAGGAGCGCGTTGCGGATGTACTCGGGCGGCCAACCTTCGCCGAGGTCCTCCAGCCGAAGGACGAGGCTCTCGAGCGTGTCGCCTGCGGACGCGACGAGCTGCTTGGCTACGCTCCGCGTAGCGTTGCTGAGCCGTAGGTTGTGGCCGACGGCGAGCCGGAGGAGGGGAATCGTACATCCGGACTCGAGGGCGTGTGCGACGAGGAGGGGTAGCGTCGTAGGAGCGTCGACGGCCTGGCGAGATTGCATGAGCAGCGGGAGAGAGGGGACGTGCCATACGAGGGTATCGAGGTTGCGGAACGGAGGCGAATCGTAGGGCAGGTGCATACGCGCTACTGATGCTGGGTCCTGCTCGACATCGCCCGTGTCGTCGATATACAGCGAAGTCAACTGCGGGCACCCAAGCACGAACGCCCTCAGGTCATCCCCGCCACCTCGCATGTCCTTCAGCCACACGTTCGTAATGCCCGCCTGCCGCACCTCCACCAGCGGCTTCAGCGCGAACCCTTGCAGGCGCACGCTCTCAAGGCGCTTCAGGCGGCTCGCCAACCTCAACCAGCCCTCCTTGACGCAGTGCTTCAGCTGACCGTCGTCCTCGGCCCCACACTCGCTTCCGCCGCAACACGACGGATTCCCGCGCACGTCGAGCGTGCGGATGCTCCGGGCGAGCGCAGGGGATGCCCCGAGGAGCGTCTCGAGCGCGGCGAGGCGCGCGGGCGAGTCAAGGCGGGCGACACGGAAGAGGTGCGCGCGCGCGGCTGGGAGGAATGCGTGGCAGGTGAGCGCGCAGGCGGCGAGGGTCGCAAGATCCTTGGTGGAGGAGAGCAGGGCGATGATGTCGTCCCAGGTCTCGAAGGCGAGCCCACAGGGTGAATGGATGGTTTCAGGCATGGGGTTGGTCTCGTTGTGATCGTATATTGGTTGAGGTGTACACCTTCGTCCTTTCTTCTGTCAAAAATGAGTACCCAGCCAAACGCGTACAATGAATCACCCTACTCACGCTCGAGATCAAGAACAGGGAACATTTACTGTTCGTCAGCTGAACGCAGAATCAACAGTCAGGCTTTTATATACATACCGGCAGCCCCCGGCGGAGCAAGGAGCGCCATGAGCGATTGAAGCGACGAGCGCTGTTCGCAAAATTGTTCGGCTGTACGGATTGCAGTGCGCATGGCCCATTACATGTATGCGGCCGTCTGACTCGACACACGAGATGTTCATGGGTCTTGGGTTTGTGCCTGTAAGCGAGCGATGACTCTGTAGGCGGCCGTGCGGGTGCTTGGTCAGTGGGCACCCTGGCTTAGAACGAATGCGTAAGCAGTCAGTTGCGGCCGCGTACAAGTCGTGTAGAGTTCCCCCCACAAGGATCGATACGCAGGTCTGCACTCGCGGTACGAGGTCGACTTACGTGTGGAGCTATGCAGTGACCCGTAGCATGACCCCGTGACTACAGAGAAATGATAGCGTCGTGTACCAGTTGGCAAGGCGATGAGGTTGGGGCATGGTACTGAGAGCTGCGAATGCCGCCGTCGTGCTGCTGACGGCGCAGACGACCATCGTAACATGGCTGAAGGCTCTCAGGCATGACGATGGGCTGTATACAATACAACATTGAGCAACGAGAGAAGACAGAATGCTGCATACGCACGGATTATAGGACATCATGGCTTCGCACGCGGGTCGAGATCCCGTCCCAGTGTTCTATGCGCAGCATGGTGGCGGGTCTCACTAGATGTCGATAATTTGATGCTGTGAACGATGATGCGTAGCACAATGATTCAGTTTGCCTCGTCGATGAAGTTCTTGAACAAGGGGTCGCTCGGTTGGACTTCTGTGGAGTGGAGTCTCCACGACGTACGTCCCAGATGGATAGTAGCGATCAACAGTCAACGAGTGGCCAGCCTTTCACATAGTCAGTAGCGGGTCGCATCATCGAGTGGGCACGTACTTGGTAGTTTGGTCCAGGTTAAGCCTTAGTACTGCGGCCGCCAAGGCGACTGCCACTGCTGCGGCAGTAGGCTCAAAGCAGTCAGTGGCTGGGTGCTCTCTATGGCGCAGATGACACTTCAATGTAATCAATAACGCCGCGAGTGTGAGTGTGGGCTGCGCAGTGTGTGTACGTAGCTGCGGCGCATCCAAAGGAGGCGATGCGTTTGCGATGCGGCGGTACCGGTCGAATTACCATATTCGGCCTGAAGCGCTCAGCCACCGTCTTGTGGCGCCCGACGCGCTCGTCCGGATCCGCCACGCCATCAATGTACGCTATGGTACCCGCCGTCTCTGAGCGCAATGGACGTCTCCAGGATTGAACCGGACCCTCTCGCAAGCTCTCCATTTCAATTCTGGTATGCTAAGCGAGTGCGATAAGCAACTACGCCAGACGCACAGCCCCCCTAAGTTGACAAGCATTGTCAAATTGAACTGGCGAGTGACTACTTTTAGATCTCTCATTGGCGAAGGAAGTTGTTCACAACGCTGCCCGCAGGTATTTCAGAGATCATTTGTAGTTATTTATACCTGACGGAGATACAGTGGCATCATGGACTATTCAAGAATCAAGATATCGTGAGGAACAACTGACACTATACAGCAGTCAGTCATACACTCGTTATCCCCGAATGGTGACGTGAATATCTGTCGCCTCGTACTACTGATCATGCTAACGCAAAATCAGGTATAATGCCTCGCTCCCGAGAGCAAGAGACTGCTGTATGTACATTCAGCCCGCGGCGTACTATACTACTAACTCGGTACGTTCGCTGCCATAGTCTGCGTCAATGAACTGAGGCAACTCAAGGCTCCTCCACTGATGCAACAAAGCTACTCAGGCTTTCAGTGCACGGCATTCCATGTAAGTACCTCAGCTTAGTGCTTGGATTCCTGCGCGATAACCCTACGGGCGAGGTTAGCCGGCGCCTGCACAGGACTATGCTCCTTACGCGTCTTCCGTGGCATGCTTCGCATGAGGCTGATAGCACAGTGATCCGTCTCCAAACGGCATTACAGTGTCGTTTGAAAGAGACTGATCGCCTCTGTCGTTAAAGAGTCTACGTGGCAATGTGGCTGTCCTCGTGCAGGCGTTGACGAGATGAAGACTGTCATCTGGCGTGATGAGAGGTTCTTGTTCTGCGGAATGCAGTAGTGTGACATCCGCACTGAGACTGCGTCGCTTATCGCGCTTTTCGTGGTGCTGGTATATATACAGGGGACAAAGAGGCTGGATCCTCATTCCGCATTCTTCTCTTGCGTTGTTCTCTCTTCATTTTTCACATACCCCCTTGAGCTTTTTGAATTCTTGCTGCCGGTGTTTGCACTATGTCTGGTTCTGCAAAGGCGGACATTGACAAGACTGCCGAGAGACTGCTAACGACCGGCGTAACCCTGAATGCAATACCGTCAACATCAGAGACCAGCTGGCTAGCGGTCGACGACTCGGATGACTACCTCCTGACGGGCACGGGAATTGTCTCGGAAGAAGCCGCTTGGACTGAAGAACCTCGAGTGCAAGAGCCATACGAGGTGGCCTTAAAGGTATGACATCGGTAGCCCGTCATGCCTACCATACCTCACAGAACTGGCACGCCGCAGGTCCTGACCACTGTGGACTATCCCGAGCTACCGGCAGTCACTTTCCGGTCTATATTCCTCGGCCTCGGATTTTCAGCATTCGGAGCGTATGTGATAACGTTCTGTTGCCACCTCCATGTGCTCACTACATGTTCCTGTGGCAGTGTGCTCGCGCAAATTTATTATTTCAAACCCCAGAACCTCACCGTATCCGCCTTGCTACTGCTTATTCTCTCGTTTGCGTTGGGAAATGCCATGCACGCTGTGCTGCCGTCAAAGGGCATTTTCAGATGGATCAACTCTGGTCCATTCAACAGTGAGTGCTTCATAGTCATCCGGTGCTCATCTAATACCGACTCCCTGGCAGTCAAGGAGCATGCAGCTATCGTTATCATGGCCTCAACTGCCTCAACATCGGCTACTGCTATTCAGGTCATAGCTGTTCAAGAGTGTGAGTAACTCGAGATTTCTTCGATGTGATTTGCTGACAAGTCTTCTTGCAGTGTTTTACAACCATACAATGGTATGTAGCTTTCCGGCTTACAGTAGGTGACATGAACGTGACAATGCGCTAGGATGCTGGCGTCGCAATCTTCACCCTGCTTGCCTCCCAGCTCGTAGGATATGGGTTCGCAGGCCTGCTCCAGGACGTTCTCGTCAGGCCCACGAAATGCTTCTGGCCTGCATCCAGTATGTCTTGCAGTCTTTGGAACGGTTAACGGCTCTGAATGACTATTCGACAGTCCAAACCGCCAACTTGTTCCAGGCGCTGCACTACGATGAGCAATTGTCGTCGAAGCGCGTGCGCGTCTTCTGGATTGTGTTCGCCGTGATGTTTTGCTGGGCAATTGTACCCGAGTGTGAGTGACTACCCCTCAACGGATACGTTTGACCGGATCATTACTCACTCGTGTGTTTCCAGGGATCTTCCCCGTACTCTCGGGGATATCCATATTCTGCCTCGCCGACAATCACAGCTCAGTCATCCGAAACATTTTTGGTGGCGCCAGCAGTAACGAGGGCATGGGGATCCTCTCGATATGTCTCGACTGGAATATCATATCGAGTCTCTGCTTCTGGGCGCCGTTATCCTATCAGCTGAACATCGACATCGGGATTTCCCTGGCGTACATCATGATGTCCGCAATATACTATGGCAACTTGTGGAGCTCTCTGTCATTCCCGTTCATGAGCCAGTCTTTATACGTGAGTGCCTTTGGATCTTCTTAACATATGGTGGGCTGAGCAACTGCCTCCGCTAGACCGCAAACGGATCCATCTACGATCAAACAGCCATTTTGACCGACGGAAAGTTTGACGCTACGAAATACGCCGAGCTAGGAGTTAGTCTCACAGAATCTTGTCACATTCTCATCATCCCAGTTCTCACTATGTTGTACAGCCTGCGTATCTGTCCGGGACGTTCGCCTTCGGCCTCATCACGTCCAATCTCTCCGTTGGTGCCCTCTTTACGCATGTGGCCCTGTGGCATTGGAGGGACCTCAAACCCTTCTTCTTGTCATTGAACCCGCGCAATCGCGTAGATCATGTCATTGATGATCCTGTGAGCTAAATTGCTGTCGACAGAACGTACACGCTGAGATTTTCCTACAGCACTGGGAGAAGATGAAGACTTACAAGCAGATACCCCGTTGGTGGTATGTCGCCGTATTGATCGGGGCCTATGCAACCGCCCAAGCCAGTAGGTGCCTGTGATGCTCATCACGACCATCGCAACTGACGATCATCCTTAGCCAATTATACCGGCGACTCCGGCCTTCCGTGGTGGGCCTTGACGGTCATCCTGCTAATATCCTTCACTCTCACCGCCCTATATGGCATCCTGGACGCATTGGTCGGGTTCTACAGCAACGCGACTGCGTTCTACGAGATGATCACAGGTGTGTAGTACGATACACTCCACACTGGGGATGACGGCTCATGCTGAAATGGCTCGCCAGCGTACCTCGTCCCCGGTGATCCTGTTGCCAACATGTACGGCTCATTGTACGGAGGACAGCCCATGATCCAGGCGTTCGCATTCCTGAGCGACCTCAAGCTCGGTCAGTACGTCAAACTGGCGCCGCGTGTGACATTCTGCATGCAGATGGCGGGTAAGGATGTTCAACTATCCTTGGCTCGGCAGAACGTTCTGACCGTTGTTTCACAAGGTACCGTTGTAGGGGCACTCCTGAACTGTGAATTCATTACATTCGTGATGAACAAAAATCATCGCGACCTGTGCTGATGTGCTTATTTCACTCTAGATGTCGTCGCGCTCTCCATCATGGACTCTCAGCGAGATGGTGAGGGCTGGCAGAGTTTGAAGCCCACGAACACTGCATGCTGACTCCATCGTAGCGCTCTTGTCGGTCTCCGGTACACGGTACTTATGCCCGTTTCGTTTTTGTCGACCGCCCATGTGCTGACTTCAATTGCCGCGACAAGGCTTTGGTCGGGTCTTAACGTCATCATATACAACAGTACGTCTTCTGCAGACGTTTATCCGCTGGATCATTACTCACACCAACTACAATTTCAGCGAGCGCCATTGCTTGGGGCGCATTGGGTCCGCAGATGTTCAGCGGAACGGCTTTGTATCGCATGGTACCGATTTCGTTGGCTATAGGCCTATTCCTTCCTTTGCCCTTCTACATCGCGGTGAGTGCTGAAATACAACAACCACCCATCGAAGTCGGCTCTGACGGTTCTTGTAGCACTGCATCTACCCGAAGGCTGGCTTTCAGTACTTCAATACATGTATCATGTTCCAGGTACGTCCGATATGCCCTTTTAAGTTCAAGGGTTTGTAAGTCATTGCTGATATGCCCGTCAGATTGCTGGGCAAATGTACGGCGGTATCACTAGCTACGTCAAGTGTGTCCCTCATATATTACATAACCTTAACTCTGGCTGACGTACTCGAACAGCACTTCCATGGTGATTGGACTGTTCACGCAGTGGTGGGTCCGGACTCGCCACCCTCGGTGGTTTGTGAAGTACAAGTGAGTCCCGCTCCAGTGTCTTGTCAGTTACACACTGTATCGACGGTGCGAACTACAGCTACCTCATCGCCTCAGCCATGGATGCTGGCACGCAGATCGTCATCTTTATTCTGAACTTCGTGAGCATCCACCCCTCTTCATACGTGTTTCCATCTATTCATATACGCTCTAGGCAATATTCGGGGCAGCGGGCAATGCGGTTGCGTTCCCGGAGTGGTGGGGCAATGGTGCGGATATTGTGACCGGACCACTCTTCGAACCCAGTCTAACCATCGTCCTTTACAGACTTCAACCTTTCTGCCGATCGTTGCCTCGCCGCATCCGATTGAACAACCCCTCGAAGGCGGAAGCATCGCAGTGTATCTGGGTATACTCGGACTTACAGACTACATGTACTGTAGATATCATAGTTTATCGACCACGGAACCGTCTATGATGGAACCAAGAAGCCAGTGTCAATCGGATAAATTAGATGCACATGGTATCAAGTGAGCTCTACAGATACTTTGCGTCGTGCGAGTGGTGTAACTAGCGATGCCTACGATCACGGTACAGTCCGGCGCGCGATCTCGTCTCGGATAACTTGCATTACTGCATTTGCGCTGACGGGTATCCTTTGGGACGGGCCGGTGGCTTGGAACACGGGCGGAAGGTCATCGCTCGTGAATTTTCTGGAGATTGCGTCAGCCCGAAGATGTTGGGAGAGTGAGCAGTTTTGTACCTGTCGTTCCACCAGGCGATGTACCTCATCCCTAGTGAACGGACTGCGAACTCCTGATCACGTACGAACGTGCCGGGTGGGAAGAACTCCATCAGCAACGGCGCAGCAGACTGTTCTGGCTCTCCCGCAGCAGTCGAGGACACTGAAGCGATCTCACGACCTTGCCACGCCGGAGGCGACATGAAGAGACTGTCAGCGAGCTGGTAGCCGTACGGGCCCAAGACGATCTAACAGGAGGATGTGAGCAATTATCACAGCACAGCCATGGATGCAAGTAGTCACGTACACTCGACCGAGCAATCGCGCTCATCCTGTCTGCCCATTCCCACCCATGCACACCAACGCTCCCATTGCCCTTGACGACATGCACCTCGCTCACCACGCCATCCCTCTGCAAGCTCTGTAGGCCAGCAACAAGGGCAGCATGGTCATCGTTGTTCAGCCTCGGGCCCGCGCCCATCGGCTCGTCTTGCATAGACACATACGTAACGACAGGCTTTCCCGCCGCCGGCTTCTTGCTCCAGAACGAGACCTTGCTCGACGCCGCCTCCTGGAGTTCCGGGAGGTGCAGGTAGCCCAGGAGCGCGTTGCGCACAGGCGCCCACCAGCCGGCCTTCATGCGGAGCCCGACGAAGGGCGCCGCCCACGCGGGCTTGCCGTCGTCGCCGCCGGCGCGCCTCACGAGATCGTCAGCGGCGGGCGACCATCCGCGACCCCAGAAGTCTCGCCCGCGCTCGGCTGCGCCACGGTCGGCGATGATGACGCGGTCGAATATCCAGGGGGCGTTCATGGAGATGAGGTCTTCCCAGTCTTCGGTATACCAGATGCCGAGGGTCGGGAGGGCGGCTTTCTGCAGAAGCGGATGGAAGCCTGGGCGGCCAGACATCAGTCAGGTGTAAACGGCTGAACGGATGGTGTACTCACCGATATATGACTTGATTCTGGGCTCTGTATGTGTCTTCGGATCGACGCCAGGGGCTAGTGGGATATGGGGGCTGGAGAATGTCGGGACATTGGGAAAGATCAACCGGAGTGGAGCAGGGACGTTCGCCAATGATCCGTTCCGACTTTGGGAAGACGAGTCCGAGGAGAAGCTGGGAGGTAGTGTGGGTGCAGCTAGGGTACTGTGTGTGCGGAACATCGAGAAGAGTGTATATGGATCTTGCGACTCGGCGTGGTCTAGTGCAAGCCATGAGGTACCGAACACCCTGTCATGAGATATGTTGGGATATGCGTATTGTTGGTTTACGAGGTCCACTCACCGTCCGCCGAAAGTACCGAGCTTGCCGATTGCATCAGCTGTGCTCACGATTTCCCATTCGTTCTCGCGTGGAGGGCGTTCACTGTTAGTAGATGAAGAAGCGATGTATTCCAGCGCTGGCAATGAAGACGGGTCATCCGTGACGAGGTAGAACGTCCCATTTGCCATGATTACGTTGTCCAATATCGAGAAGCCTTGCGCCCAAGCGTGATGAGCCACACTTCGTATCGCTATATGCGCAAAGTAGACTCACCCGGAACATGTGTGACAGCTCTGGCAATTGGTACCTCATTCTCCCATCTCACCAACTGCTGGCGTGGACTGACACCGTTCGATACGCCTATCCCTCCGTGCGCGTTACCGGCACCACGGCCAGGACCCTTGCCTGCCTCAGCGTTGTAGATAGCCGCAGTCCCGACAGGCCCTGCAGCTGTCGTGCTCGCCACCGCTGCCACCTTGCCCTCTTCCCACTCCCACTCGCCGGATATCATGTTTTCCAGCGCGTCCCGCCATTCTTTCGGCCTCCGACCGTTGCGGTCATAGCCAGGGTCCTGGGCTCCCAGTCCTGCACATAAGCAGCCAGTCAGACTCGTTGAGCGCTACCGTACGACATACACAGTGCGCGTGGCCAAAAACAGCTGGAGACGCGACTGCCAGAAGGAGCACGGGTGTAATAACACTTACCAATAGCGGAGAGATATGATCCACTGAGCTTGGCTGGTTTCACGCCTACGAGTTGCAGTGAAGCTTGCAAGTTGAATGATAAGATGAAGACGGTTAGAGAGAATAGGACGAGGGTGACTTCGCGACGAGTGGGTGGGTAGAGCCATCCTTTGTTGTGCGGCGACATGGTAGGGACAGACGCGCTGCGGTATGAAGCTCAGGAGCTGAGTCGCAACGTAGCGGTCCCAGTATGACTATTGAAATCAAAGGCGAGTGTCCATGCAATATAGTCCAGTCAGGTTTCCTGCGTATTCACTGAGCGTACCGCACGCGGTACAAAGGGCCGTGAAGTCGTCAGAAGTAAAGCCCTAGGCGCAAGCGATAGAGCAGGACAATAGTGTACGAGGAAGGGACCGACTGAAGGAGTGTCGTGTCGAACGGCAGGAGACTGGACGGTGGCCTACGGTGGCGAGCACGATGCGAACAACCGAAGCGAGCGCTGTGTTCCCCGCGACCTATGTCGCGCTTTCCATAATGGGAATTTATACTGAACGCCCACCACAGCCCGCCGCCAATGTTCGACTCTGACCGCGAGCCTCTGCGCAGCCGTTCTCATCATGAAGCATGCACCGAAACTGGCAGTGCTGTCACAACATCGTTGACTCAACGGTACCCAGTGACATTCTATACTGGCATTTCTCGTACTTATGTATCACAGAGTCGCGAATATGCCAGTAAAAACCGACGGCCACTGATTCAGAATGACTTGCTGTGCCATGTACAACATTGCGCTCAAGGCCCGACAAGTGTGGGACTCACCTCTTGCAGAATTTTAGCTCCGTCTTAACGAAGTTGTCAGGCCGGCACCGAAGTACTACTGTATAATATGAGCGCTGCTCTATCAGTACTGTCGCGTTTGTATAATAACATCATAATCTTCGCGTTCACCATGCTTATGCTCATATCATGTCGGCAGCGTCGCACAGTGGACTCACGCACCGAGACCGGCAGTGATGCGAGATCCAAACAGATGGTGATTTAACCCGCAGGAGCATAACCTTCGTACGCAAGGCCACATCCTGGGAGCGGGATCGTAGATACCCTTTCTCCTCCGTTGGGAGAGCATGACGAGCACGAAAAACGCCGAAAACGACAAGAGAACACGACAGGTCCTACTCGGACCGAGTGCCAGTTCGTCCGGATCGTCGTTTTGGCTGGAAGGTATGTCGTTGTAGCTATCGACTGGTGTACTCAGGCTGAATATGCGGACTTCTGTCTCTAGCCTCGACTGCCCTAACCCAGCTGGGTAGCCGGCCGGATCCAGTAATGTGGTCAAGAATCGCCATTGTGTGGACCGTGGAAGTCAATGGGTGACAAATGTCTGCGGCAACTGACAGTCTGTGTGTCCTACTACTAGGCGTCTCTGCGTGGCTGAACCTTATACAGTCGATAGCTCTTATATGCAGTGACGCCGTTGTTCTCTGGTCTGCCCTCGCCCTTCCTCGACCCGCTGGCAAGATGCACAGTGCCACGCATACCATCGAGGACATCGCTGCCGCAATTGCCGATAGGCTCAATCACACGTTGTCCTCCGTCGATCGTGAACCACTGATAGAGCAGCTGGAGACGATCAGGCGACTAGCAAGGGAACTACCGGTGTCCTCTAGTACCAGAGAGACATTAGCGACAGAGGCGCAGAAGCTCAGCGATATTGCGCGCGATGTCGTCGTCGTCTACGACAACGACAACGACAACGATGATGATGAGGATGATGACAACGATGACGACGACGATGCCGATGACGAGGATGTCGCCACCATCGATGAGGAGGTCGCATCCATCGACGAGGAGGATTCTCAGCCTGAGGCTTGGGCGATACAGGCTCCCGTCTCCAGAGTGCAAGCGCAAAACATAGCTGATCAGCTGCAACCTATCATCACAAGCCTGGAAGCTGCGTGTGCATGCTGGTATGCCACCCTCTCATATTTCTATAATAAGTCTGACAATTCTATGGCAACAGCTACGCACCCAAGGATACCGATGATGTTATTCAAACCGTACGCATACTCCAGGAGGGTATGGGCTTGCCTCTCCCGATTCCTTGGCACATCATCGAACTTGCCGAGTATTGGGTGCGCTCTGTTGGGAGCTGCGGAACGCTGACCGTGGGCGCGTTCGATTCCACGATACAAGAGGAGCTGTGTTGTAGTGTGAGGATCCCTTTGCACGTGAAGAGCTACAAACCGTTGCGCAGGGTCGTGTTTACGATCGAGGCGCACGACCAAGGTATGTGCCTTTATTCTTTGCTTCCGTCGGTGGTGTACAAGTGGAGACACCAGCAGGCCTTCATAGTGAGCGCTGGAAGGGAACAGGGGCTGTTCCGGAAATTGCTTGAACGTTCAAGTTGGCCACGTTCCTCTGAGCTATGCATTCCTGTGCCGTCTGGCTTTCTCAATATGCAATCCTCACTTTGCTCGTCTTCTCAGGTTGGTGCAATTCCATCGACGATGGCTCCTGGACTTGGTTCGAAGCAGACAGCCAAGCCGCGTGGAGGCGGGTCATCGTACGCAACCCTCCCGCTTCCGGGCGCTTCCATACGTACCGCATACAATGGGACTTGTCTTTACCTAGCGATATAGAGGTGGACACTCAGCTACATGAGTGGTTGGGCCGCTTCCCTGCGGGTGAAGAACTGTCGGTTTTCGCTCGCGCCCAATTCGGGGCATGGCAGAACTTTGTTAGAAAGGTGGTGGTGGAGAGCTATAGTGCCTGCGTGTAACGTCACGGTCTGCGTGACTCGGAGTGCTCGTATTCATTTGCGCCACTATTTCTGGATGGAAGACTCGGAGACAGCTATGAAAGCCCGAAGGCCTGAGGCCTGAAGGGCTTGATGATGTATAATACCTTCAGTTGCAAAAATCACACGTCGGCGCATAACGTGAGGCTGTAGCGTTTCTTGACGACAAGTCCGCGTCGATTTTGTTTCGGCTACATCGCTCTGGGCGATGCCTATCAAATTACGCTTCCCTCGCTCATTGCATGATGAGTCGTTGAGAGTTCACCTTTCGCCAGCCTGACTGAAGGAAAGCCTCTCGTCCCAGCCATGCAAAAGGTCCACTTCCGGACTGCCAAATGGCGCAGCTTCTTTTGCCTTCACATCTGCCAATTCATCCCCTTCCACTCATGATGATATCGAATGATAGAAGATGGACGAGACGGATCGCATTCCAGACGGAAATTGATTCACTGAGCAACCATTGTCAGATCGTCGATACAATAAATCTTCACTCGGCCTCTTTGTCTGACAATCCCTTCTCTTCACCGACCTTCTCCTCAATAACGCCGACATCGTACGACTCGCTCGTCGACTTCCCGTCGACCTCCTCCAAGTACTCCATCAGCCCATCCAGGTGCTTCGGCGCACCCGCCTCTTCCATCCTCCTCACGAACTCCCGCTGCTCCGGGACCGGGAACAGGCAGTGCAGCGCCCAATTGACGACGAAGGAGATGCCGAAGCCGACGATATAGTTGAGGTCGTAGATGTGCACGGTCGCCGCGCTGACGGTGTGGTTGGACACGGAGCCGACGAAGCCGGTAATGCACGGCGCGACTCCGCCGAAGAAGGCGACGAAGGCGCGCCAGTTGATACCACAGGTGTACCAGTATATCGACCGCTTGTCACCGATGTACACGTCGGGGACCTTGAAGTAGCGTCTTTGGATGACGTAGTACTGGCTGACGAGCTTGAGATAACATGATTGTGAATATAGTAGTGAGGAATCGAGGAAGGCAGGGAACGTACCAGGCCAGTCATGGGACTAAGGAAGACAGAGTACGCACTGAGCACCTCTAGGAATACACTTGAAGAGCTGAGGAGCTGCCAGGGGTTGGCAGCCAGCGAAACGATGAGGACCATGTATGCACCTCGGCGCAAGTTGATGTACTTTGGCCACAACGCAGCCACATCTACACCGCCGGCGACCTACCGCGAAGGTCAGCTGAATCCGATGCCGGGAGTTGATGCAGACATACCAAATTCCCAGGGATGTTGATACCGAGTTGAGTAATTACCCAGCCGAAAGCACAGAAGAAAGTAGACGCGCGCGAGCCAGAACCACCTGCCTTCTGCGCTGCTAAGAGCAAGCCGGGTGGGTTCCACAGGGCTTCGCCATAACGTTCAGCGGTCGCAGCGGTAATCAGTATACCAAAGAGAGAGGTCAGGAAGGCCGTCACAGGGAAGGTGACTGGCGAATATGTTAGCGCGGGTATTTTGGGGACGAAGGGGGTTGCCTACGAGCTTGGGCCATGATTGCCCGTCTCTCCGGGGTCTTTGCAAATCGTGTAAAATCATTATCGTTAAGGATACCCGCAGCGATGCCCCCAATCTGAGCCATGATGCCACTGCAGATCGCCCACGCCAAGCTAGACTTGTCAAGAGCCTCGCCGGACGAGAGGACACCGCTGGACAAGCCGCCTTCCATGGTCGCGAGCGCCCATATAAGCATTGCGAGCTGGTTAATGAAGACGATCACGGAGCATATCTTGAAGAACATATTGAGTTTGTGCGGGTGAATGTACGTCAACGGAACGCAAATCAGCATGAAGAGCACGTAGCACATGAACTGCGCGCCGTTCATGCCTGTGCGCGCGGGGAACGGATTCGGGATGCGGTCGATGTGCCCCGGGAAAATGGCGCGCAGGCAGACGAGCACGCAGAGACCGCCGTTCCAGGCTTGCACGGCGACTAGACGGCGGACGATGATCAGCGGTGAAGGAGTGACGGAGAACTGGGCCCCGGTACTCACACCACACGACGGAGAGCAGTATACGGTTGAGGACGGCAAAGTAACTGCCGTTCATGCCGAACGCTATTCGTGCGATCGCCGGATAGCCAATGTGGTAGTAGGCTCCGGACGTTGAGTTGAGTGTGCAGAAGATTGCAGCTAGGCTGTCGTGTGATGTGAATTAGAACAGCGTATAGTACAGAGGGTGCAAATTACGCACATGTTCCCGAACGCGATGCAGATGATTGCTTGCCACCAACTGAGCCCATCAGCCACGAGCGACGAGCCAGTCTGATACCCGGAGATGTTCATGTTAACCAGGATCCACAGTTCGACGAACTGCCTCGCCCCCCATGTCCTCCGCGCAGGTTCGACTGGCTTCAGATCATGGTTGTTCCATCGGTCCGCTTGCGCCTCCTCCTGATTGGGCACTTCAAGCTTCTGGAGCAGTCTACGCCGCATCCCCATGTTTGTCTACCGGTGACAGTGAGCAGACAAGAGGTGGTTCCCTTCGGCAAGTCTGAAGCTATCGTTTGATGTAGACACCGCGCTTTTTCACGACCTGAACGTCGCCTTTGATAGCCTGCAATACGTATCAGTGGTGCGACACGATAAGATTGGGAGTACTCAAACCCAAACCCGAAGTATCATAGTAGCCGGGAAGGACATCATGCAGGTGCTTCTTAGTGCTTATCATGCACAAGTACTTACAACATCTAGGCGTCCGCTGACCGGGACCATCCATCCGCGCCGGATGGGTCGTATCTTGCATATGAATAACCGCCCACCGTGAGCGAGTCCCATTTTTCAGCACACGTACACCGTCTTTGATCGTTGGCTACAGTCAAAGTGCAATGCCCTCAAGGAATATTGTCGAGCGCGGGCCTTTCTAGCTGGATCTGAAGTATTTTTGCAGTACTGACTCCTCGGCCCCGATTTGAGTTCGGACAGGGATGTGACACGACCGAGTCTTCGTGGCTTCCAGTTGTGCAAACAATGCGGCATAACATGGCAAGGAGTACAATTCCGGGGTGCGAGAGTGGGTGCGGAGGAGCGAGGAGGAGGAGGAGGAGGGGGGTCCATTTAGCCACCGGCCGATAACGCACGTGCGTCTCGACTTCTTGACGGCGACAGCGCTCACTAGGTACAACATCGCAGGCCAGTCGGACCGATCGTGTTTGACGCGCGAAGGCGGATCAAAACGCGTGACCACCGCGTTGCCCCCACGCGTCAAAGTCGCGTCTCATCCAGCATGCATCCCCTCCAACCCGTCTGTCGTCGTCTGTGGCTGTTCTCGACGCAACAGCAGCCATGCAGCATCGCCCCTCGTCTACCCAGCAGGGCTAGGGGCGCCCCAAATCGCCGCCTCATTTGCCAGACGGCACCCCGTCGGAAAGAGGAGTCCGAGTTGCCGAAGAGCACGGGCAAAGAGGTACGAGCAATACATCAGACTTGGGCGTCGACTGACTGAGGTGGTAGGGAGCAGATGATGCACAGGCTGAGGCGGCCAAGGCACCCTTGACGAAGGAGAGCCCATTACCACTCCTACAACGGCCGTTAGGCGTGCTGGAGAGACCATCATCGCTACCGCAGTCATTGGAGCAAAAGCGGGAGGAGCTCCTCGACCAGGAGAAAAGACTGAAAAAGCGCCATGAGCTGTGAGTCTCATCGTCACAGTCCGATGAGCCAGTTGGTTGACACATATCCCGCAATCACAGGGTGAGGGAAGCTACGAAAGGCTATTTCACCGACCTGAACCAGACCCGGCGGTATGGCGGAAAGACTTGGGTGGCGCCGAAGACGATGATACGAGAGGATGTGAGTAATCTATCTCGCTAAGACAGGTCGCCTGACGTTATCGGAGGTGGCCTGGCGTTGAGCTTTTTTTCTCCTTTGCATCGGACATATCATGGTTGCGCTGTGGGGTGCTATCCCATTTTTGTTGGAGCGTTGCGCCAGGATGGCGCGGGGGTCTAGCAGTCGACCACGTCGACCCTAGAGTTCCCGCTGACAGTTCAGGGAAAGGAGACCGTGAAGGTGACTATGCCTACTGTCTTCACCGTGTCTCCGGTACACCCTCGTTCCCCGACTGACCTTCCTCTATACCCACTGAAACCTCAGCTTTGCTGCGGGCCCAATCGCGCCGCAGATTGTCCTCGTTTCACGGTGTTTTCTCCCATGTAACTTTCACAAGGGACTGTTTAGGCCCTTCTTTTGATATTTTCGCTGGTCTGTCATCTTGCAGTCCATCGCTAGACGTTCGTTACTAGGCCGCAACCAGCGCCGCTCTATCTCCTGCGGTGTATGTGCCGAGGTCCAAGTAGGCCGACTCAGACGTGAGGATTCTGTAGTCTCGCATCTCCGGCTTTCGGCTTTCCTTCGCTATTCCTGAGGGGTGCCACTTCTTGAGTGTTCTAGCCAGTTGGTAGTGTATAGCGGTGCATCATGGATGGCCTCTGCGCATGGTAGCCCCGCAAGCTACTCATCACCTATCAGGGACTCTGTCTAGAGTTGTTCGAACGGCTGACAGCATTTCTCAGAAAGCCCTCTACTTCCCCGACATTGTCGGCACGAACCTGCAATCGAAGTCTGGCGTCCACACGACAAGCTTATGTACAGGGAAGGTGTCAGTAGTAGCCATGCTCACGACGAGAGTATCAGAGGTGAGCACGCCGCCACACGCCCTTCTACCCGCCACTTAGAAGACAAAATGTAGATGCAAGTGGCTCACTACATCCAGCCCACGCACGCACAATACTCTTCTCACCCTATGTACCGCTACGTCCAGATCAACCTCCAGGAGAACCTTCTGAAGTCATTGCTCGTGTCCCTGTTTTCGTCGAGCATTCGGAAATCAGTCCCTGAGAAGCTCTGGGAAACCTACCTCGTCAGCAACCAAAACATGGAGTGCGTACAATATCTCTGCCCCATCTCATCCTTGGACTACCTGATTGACAGCCGATACCCCCGTCGACCATAGCTACGTCCGCTACGACATGGGGATGACGAACAGCCGGATCGGTTACGTCTACCTCGTCGACGAGCAGTGCAGGATTCGCTGGGCGGCGTGCGCGGATCCATTGGAAATGGAGATTGAGGCGTTGAAGGTCTGCACTGGGGTTTTACTCAACCGATACAACAAGGGCTCTGCCGATGCCACTTCGTGACATGCGTAGTGTTGCTGACGCCACCTGCCGCTCGCTACGCAGCGCCTCGGTTGTGTGGTGCGTTGCGTCTATCTCCGCTTCGCGGGTGGTTGGCTGACATTGCACAAACTTAGGATTTATGTAGGTTGTGTCGCGGCTTGTTTAGAGCCCCCTTGGACCTATCTGCGCATACTCGTAGCCTTGACATTCTTACCGTGCTCTGTGACAAATTTGAAGAGAAGGTGCTGTCTGCTCTGAAACCCATTAAATTCGCTCCAACCAACTACTCGGTAACTCCACCCTTGGGATACAGCACAGCGTTACACGATCTGAACGTCTGACATCCGTCTCATCCGCACGCGTCCGTCGCGGCCGATGTTGTCGTACAATTTCGGCGAAAGTGTGGACTTTATGCTCACGAGTAGCCGTTGTAACCGTGCTCCGTTGTGCGTCCAGCCTCTGTCTGATATTCGCTTCCCCGTGCACAAACGCTTGCGTCAATGACGGATTTGTGTGAGCCCTCTCTCCTAATTTCGAAATTTCATGGCTGAATGACTTCTTCACCACAGGTGCTGATACAGAATTGGAGCCGGACGTACAAGACCCGCAAATTGATTGGGTTGGCCGCTCCCCCACAACAGTGGCTATGAGAGGCTTCCTGAGATGATTGAGTAACTGTGAGAACTTTGCAGATCATTTCCCCTCGCCCCCTTGCCCATTTGTCGTGACTGACGTATTCTCAGCTCGTTCCACGTCAAGAACTTCCTCCTGTGTCGCATAGCGGTGTTTGATCGTCCTTGCGGCCTCGAGCAGACAAGGAACGGCCAGGAATGCTTGAGATAGGCGTCCTGAAACTTCTCGAGACGACACCTCTCTGGGACACGCGAGTCCACGTGCGACGTCCATTGGTCGCCAACAGCGTGTTCCCCGCACCTCCACGTCTCGCGCGTCCCTTCCATGGCACTCCCAAGCAAGCTTTGGAAGCAGCGATGTTCTGATACACGTCCTGTAGGTGCGCTCCAGGCAATCTGATACGCACACTTCAAGTTCTGAATCGCCGTTCCGTGGACGGTTCGAGAACGGTTGGTGGGTGGCTGGCGCCCGGTGAGTTCGTCTCGCTGGCTTATCGTGCGTGTGAGGCACCCCGGGTGCGTTTGGACCGTTCATTTCGCCCTAGCGCAATCAAGGACTTCGACGCGGCGGATCCGTGCTGCTGCTGCGCGGCTCGTTTCTCGTCGTGTCTCTCAGGAGCACTGCGAGAGAACTGTCTGCGACAGCTGAGCGCAAGGTCCGCACTCCTTCGCTATGCAGAGTGCGACCCAGGGTGCCTCAGATGGCTTCTTGCAGCGCCCTACAGGTCAACTGACTACGCAACACAGAATGCCACGTAGCCCACAGGTCCTGAGTGCCGTGATGGCGTCATTGGTCAAGGGCACGCCCATCAGAGCCGTTCCATGCTAGGTAGGCCTGCCTCCCATTGTGATATGACAAGAATGCGTCGCTTACACGTAAGCTTGTCCGAGGTCGTTGCCGTCATCGTCGCGGGCGGTCAGGAAATAGATCAATGATTGTCTACTGGAAGCGGGTGTGCTTTTGCTGGTATGAGATGTTGGAGGTGAACTAACGATTGCTGCTTCATACAGTATTTCATGTCCTCCGACTTTGTTGATCGGTGACGTCGGTCGGTCGTGGCTGTTACTCATCTATACTGCGGCCCTGTACGTTGATAACTCGTTCTGTCACTACACCACTGACGGCACATCCTCGTACATTAGCTCCACTGCCCTGAAGTCGTCTTACGAGCAATAGTAACGCCGCATCCATGGCTTGTGTTAGGGCCCTCAAACTTAGTGGCAACGTACGTCCTGTATCTGTCGCCCCTTCCAGCAGTCGATAACACGTTGACCCCTTGTTCCAGTGCGTCGGACCCGGTGTTGCGAATGTAAGCACGACGATCCAGATCATCGGGCCGAATGTGCGTACAATGTAAGGCCAGCAAGAACGCAAGTGTGATACATGCGGCGTACGGGATTCCTTACCCTGTCTAGACCTCCAGCCTCCCATGATCTCCGTCCACTGTCATCGTTCACTGGACCGCCTCGAGAGCAGTCTGACACCTTCGCTTCATTACTCTGCCTTTCCTTGAAGCTATGCATTTCGCATTCTGGGGTTCGTGAACGCTGTGCATATTCACATGTTTTTCGACGGATGGGGAGGCGGCAAGTCGCATTCGGATCTTGATCAATCTCGAGATCTATGCGATCTGCGTGGCTGAGTCGTGTTCACTAACTCTACTGACAATGCTTCCGCCCCGTACCCTTCATTCTGAAGACTCGGTCTTATCGCATACCCTCATTGTGGCTTCAGCGTACGAGTAGAAAATCACCTTTTACTCATCCCGAGCCATACTAGAGTGGACATTCGGTGGCAGGACCCCAGCTTAGCGCCCGGGCGTTCGACCGGCTGGTCCGGGACGCTCCCAGAACCTCATATTGGCGAGACAGAATAGACAACAGGTGGCTGAATGGATGTGAGCACTAATCTCGCATTATCTGGGCGGAGCAGGCGTGTTGAGAAATTCCATAGGATCCCACAGCCACTCGGATCCGTGTCGGTCCCTTTGTGAAGAGCCGCCACGAAGGGCACCCCGGCCTCATGGTGTACACGCCCTTTCGGTCTGTGTGTCACGTTCTCGCCAGATAAAATACGGACGCTCCAGGTGCCATGTCTCCCCGTCCTTGGGTCCCTCTGTGCTCTGCGGTCCACCTATCTATCCCGCGCATCCTCTCTTCCGACGCCGGCCGCCATGGTCTCCTCTGAGGTTGCAAGTTCGCCATCACCGCCGCCGCTTGGCACGCTCATCGACGACGATTCCCTTGAGCTCGTCGAAGTTCTTGGCTATGGTGGTTATGGTGTTGTCTACCGAGCCGTAGACGTGTACTCTACGGAGCCCATCTCCTATGCCGTCAAATGCCTTCCTCACTCGCCGAAACGCAATGCCTCTCGTCAGCGCCAGTTGCACTTACGCGAGATCACTCTCCACCAACTCGCCTCTGCGCACCCCAACGTCGTCACCCTCCACCGCGTTATCGAGGACCCAGAGTACACCTATATCGTTATGGACTATTGCGAGGACGGCGACCTGTTCTCGCAGATCCTTCATCATCGCCGTTATCTGGGCAATAACGAGCTCATTAAAGACGTATTCCTGCAGCTGCTTGACGCAGTCGAGTACTGCCATTCTCTGCATATTTATCATCGCGATCTCAAGCCGGAAAACGTGCTCTGTTTTGACGGAGGTCTGCGCCTCGCCATCACAGACTTTGGGCTCGCCACGACCGACACTGTCAGCACCGAGTTCCGCACGGGTAGCGTGTACCACATGAGTCCGGGTAAGTACGATGCATCAGCGTTCACGGTATCGATACTGATCATGTTACAGAGTGCCAGGGCGGCATCTTCGCGCCAACGAGGACGTACTCTCCCCTGTTTAACGACATCTGGTCGCTCGGCATCATCCTGCTCAACCTCATCACCGGTCGGAATCCGTGGAAGTCGGCGGCAGCCGATGACTGCACGTTCCAAGCTTACCTTCGCGACCCCCTTCACTTCCTCCCCACTGTGCTCCCTATCTCAGAGGAGGTCAACATGCTCCTGGTGCGGACGCTCGAGGTCGACTGGCGCAGGCGCGTCACCCTCCGCGAGATGCGCAGCGCGATCAAGGGTATCGAGAACTTTTACTCTCCGGATGTCCTTTTCGAGGATAGCATGGCGCGGTGTCCCTGGGAGGCCGGAGTCCGCGCGGAGTCCGACAGCGAGTCCTCAGAGGAGGAAGAGATTGAGCCTGAGCTGCAGACGCGGCCCCACGACGAGGCCCTTGTGTCGTCCTGGACCGACTCCGATTCCGAGATGGTCTTCGCGACGCAGTCTGAGACCGAGCGGTCGTCCTGGGCGGACGAGTCCCTCCGCGCACGTCACGACTCGTACAGCCGCTCGATGTCGCCTTCCCCAGCGTCGCCGCTGTTCGCGAAAGGCAACCTGTTTGACGCACTCGACACCCCGAGCAACCCCTCGACGTACTCCGTCCTGTCGTCGTCGCCATCGATACCGTCGCTCCCGAGGACGCCTGGTCCAGAGAGTGCGCAGTGGAACCAGCCCGCCAACAGGCGTCCCGCTCTGCGCTTGAACGTCGACATGAACGGCAGGCCGACGTACTACGATGACAGCGTCATGATGATCTCGGCGCGCTCGTCCTCGATGCACACCGCGCTGGAGGCGCAGATGGAGGCATATGGGATGTACTCGCCATACCTCTCCGCCATCGTCCCCGACAAGACGTCCTACCTCATGTCGGCGACGCAGGCGATGGACATCGAGACGCCTGTCACCGGGTGCGCAGACGTCGACGCGAAGTCAACCTACACCTACCCGACCATCGAGGCCGAGAACTCCACGTCGGCCTTCAGGGCAGAGTCTCCGACCCTTGGCCTAGGCGACCTCGAGTCCATATCTGGCGAGACGACCGCGATCGACCGCTTCTCCTACACCTGGGAGCACCCCTTCTCCCCGCACAACTCCCCCGACACGACCGGCTCGTATTCGTTTCTTGACTTCAGCCCGACGCCCACCTCGCCCGCGCCGCGCGACACCCGCGCATGGTACTCGTCCTTTTCCTTTCGCTCTTCCGACCCTCTGGCCGCGGGGGCCACCCCCCAGGCGTCATTTCTTGCAGCGCCTACTTCGCCTGCTCCTCTCCCCATTCGTCCGCCGCTTTCGCCGGCGCACGTCGGCGCGCGCGAGCGCAAGCGCACCGCGTCGACGCTCAGCTTCCTGAGTCCGCTCAAGCTCGCGTTCCCCCGGCGCTCGTCCTCACCCATCGGGCGGTCGACCGCCGTCGAGCCCCGCGCGTACGGGCGCGCCACGCACTCCGACTCTGCGCCGGCCGCGCTGGGCACGAACTGGGCGTTCTCGCAGTCGACGTCGAGCGGCCCCGCGCCGCAGCCGTACCTCTGCCTTCCGCCTACGGATTCGTCGCATGTGCATAAGGACGAGGCGAGGGTCGCAGAGACGCAGCGCCCGCGGAAAAGACTGAGGTCCGCGCGAGCATGGTTCTCGCCCGGCAAACTGTTCTCAGCTGTGCTGACATGACTCTGACTGTGACGACCGCACGACTATCTCGCTATCTTTATTGCTCAAGCATCCTTCGTATTCATACTTCGCACACGGATATCTCACATCGCATTCCGCATTCCGCATCCCCCATTCGCCATCCCACCGCAGCACATTGCATCCACACCCACCCCTCATCGATCATCATTGGCACTCATCATTGACATCACATCGCTAGGTTGCATTGTATTTGGACTAACTTTATCTCGGTTGAGCCGTGTACACTTCTGTAGAACACTTGTTGTACTATGCACCATACCTACCAGTATGCCATATGCCATATGCGAACGACGCTCTTTCGTTAGTGACGACGAACATATCATAGTGAATATTTGCATACAGTGAGCGGAGCCGGGTCAAACGAGGCACGCATGCTCCTCTCGCTGCGAATAGACTCAACGACTACACAGACAGATCCAGGACTCAAGCTAACTTAAATAGTCCGCAATGAAGCGGTGAGCGATTGGTACTGCGAATCTCGTACAATCAGATGTCCGTGCTGCAATAGCGCCAGGCGCGGCTGCGCTGCAATCTACGTTGCTTCGCAAAAAAGAGAACGAAGAGTGCCCAGCGAGCAACTAAGCTGTCACAACATACTGCGGCTCTCTCACCGACATGTTGTGGAAAAGACCCAATTAAGCAGCTATAGGTGTCGCGACGTACAATCACCGCAGTGGAACCAACTTTCTCCCCCGTGCGAGCTCTATCTCGTCCTTCGTCCGCATCCCCATCGGCTTCGACGTCCTCTTCCCCGGACCTCCAATCCCATCGCCCATCCCCACGGGGTCGCGTCCCGGCATCAGCATCTGCATGACCGTGTTGACGACCTGTAGCGGGTTCCGGCTCCCCCACACCTTCACGCTGATGTCCTTTATCCCCGCCGCCTTGAGGATGTGGTAGACGTTGGGATTACAGTGCAGGCCGAAGCCGACGGGGCGGGGGCGCATGATGACGCGAGTCGAGCCGAACTTGTGCTCCATCTCCGTCCAGATGGTACGGTCCTCGAACCGTTGGATGTAGTCCATGTTCCGCACCGCGTTCCGCACCGATTTGTGCAAGGCCTCTAGGAATACACCCGACTTCCCTATGCCAACGCCCACAAAGCCATTCTGGTTGCCTGCCACCATGACGATCCGTTGGCTGGCTATCTTGCCCTTCCCCGTCTGCTGTATGGCCATGAGTACGTTGACCGGGAACATGTACAACTTCCCATTCCGTATTGCATGATTCATCGGCACCTCGTTGTAAACGCTAGTGTATTCCGCCCTGGCTGCGGATTCGGTGCCGAGCTCCTTGCGGAGGAGCTCGAACATATTTTGTTCGTCGTTACGGATGGTGACCGTATTGCGGAACTTCGTGCGACGGCTAGGCGCGAAGGTGTGGCTCTCTACGAGGTCCATTCGGACGTCGGGGTCCATGAGGTTGGGGACATCGGGATGCACGCGGTCTGGGATGCCGTCGGTCTCGCCCTCGGCGTCATTGTCTGTGGGCGAGCTGGCGAAGCCCGACGAGGTGTCGGTAGCGTAGCGGCGGACGGCTGGCGTCGACGTGCGTGCCCGCACGGCGAACTTCATGGCCATGCGGCTCGTTGACGCGGCCCGTAGAGCATTTTTGGCGGCGTTCATCGGGCTCGACGGTGTCGAGCACCCGTATGAGCACAGTGCGGTGGTCGTGGGCGAGGACGGAAAGGGCGTGACGCAGAATGTGCGCGCCTCGCCACACCCGCTGGGCGTGACAAGCCGTGACCTGCTGTCTCTCGTGTCACGTTGTGAGTCACACGCACGCGTACTGCACGGCGCACCGACTTCGATCGCGCACTCAGCTACTTCAATTCTATCCAGACTAGATACATTGTCTGGCACTGTCGTTGGGGCCACCATCTTACCATTGAGGTCACTCTTCATCCTGCCTCCTCAAACGTCCGATTCCTCCCAGGCTACGAAGACATGTCCTCTGACAATACCCTCGAGTCCCTAGCAGCAGAGACGGATGGGACCAACCTGTACGGGACCATCGACAAGATGAAGTAAGCTTGCATCCGCACGCTGTGCTTTTCGCCCCATGTAACACACCTGAAGTGTGCACGGGCTCAACCTCACGGTCCCGGAGGACGCGCAAGCGATCATCAAGCCCTGGGACGAGCGCAACGACACCTCCCGGTGGGCCGAGTCCGGGGTCGATGATCAGGTTCGCGTCGTAACCCTCAGTAAAACGAAGAGATCCGAGGCGTACTGACGTGTGCGGCTCGCAGTTCATCATACATGTACCGTTCACCCAGAACGTGCGCGTGAAGTCTGTGCTCATGAAGCTTGGTGAGTCGCCTGCGCTGATCAGCGGAGCGGTGTTGGGAGGGACGGCTTGACCAATCCGCTAGGCAGGGGTGAGGTAGCGCCGCGCCGCATGCGCATATACGCGAACCACGCTACGATCGTCGACTTTGCTGCGGCCGAGGATATCACGCCGCACCTAAATATCAGTCTTCTGCAAGACGACACGGGCGTGACGGAATACCCGCTGCGGAGTGCTGCATTTACCAACGTGCATGCGCTCTCCTTGTTCTTTGTAAGTTAGGTCAAGCATGTTCGTCTGGACATGTGGCGTCTCACAGCGTGTCATGTAGAGCGAGTCCGTCGGTGGTGATTCGTCGTCGGTCTACTACTTGGGGTTCCGGGGAGACAGTCGCTCGCAGCGAAGAGACGCGAGTCAGAAACTCGCCATACCTGCGGAGACGGCCGCGCGTGCTCCGCTGGTCGACAAGGTGACCCAGAAGGCAGGCGCACAGCAGCCCACCGCTCGATAGCCGTATAGGAGCAACTGCATGTTGAATCGGGGACTACAGTTGACGAAACGTGTTGCTTCAGGAGTTGTACTCATACATATTGCATTGCCAGGGTCTCATGATTCAGGCCGAATCGCTAGCAGACCGGGTCTCAACGCTGTCCTGAGATAAGTTAGCATGTCTGGATGCACGCAGTAATGTCATCGTAACCGTCCTAATTTCGAACGCTGACGACCTAACTGTGCCCGTCTCTCATCAGTGCAAGCATAATCAAGACATTACAGCAAGTGTGCTGCTTTCCGACTGAATCAGTGTGGCATCGCGTACAACTGTTACTTCGCGACCATGTGTACCGTGCATACCCTAAGCTTTCCAGTCAGCAACTCCCAATCCTTCTGGTCCCTACCTGAGCCATTTAGTCGAGCCCGTCCACCTCGGTCGTCTTGTATACAGTAAGTAAGTAGCTCATTGTCAATGCTCCGCCTCCGCGCAGCACGGCTCGCCCCGCCCGCCGCCCTCCGGATGACGTCCTGCCCCGCTCCGCAGCCACCGCTCTTGGCCCGCCGTCATCGCCCCGCTCCCAACCAGCCTCGCCTCTCCTGAGCTATGGCCTCGGCAGCATACATATATAAAGTGTACGACCCCTCACTCATTCAACTCTTGTTACGACTTTACAACTGCACGCTTACTGCATTACACACTCTCCTCAATACCCTCTGAGAGCTGATTTTCCTGACGTGACACCATGGGTCTCCTGAGTCTTCTTTGTGGTGTAAGTGTGCTTCCACCCCCGGCCCTCCGTGGTCGAGCGCATCTTACCATCCTTGTACAGCACCGTAGGAACCGCCCGCCACAAGACGGCTACTACGGCGGTGGAGGATACGGTGGGGGAGGAGGGTATGGCGGGCCAGGAGGCGGCGGAGGCTACGGCGGGCCAGGCGGCGGCGGCGGGTTTGGCGGGCAGAGCCATGGCGGCGGCGGTGGATTTGGCGGACCACAGGGAGGCGGCATGGGCGGCGTAAGTCTTCCTGCGTTCGGTCGTCCGTATGTTTGGCTAACGTGTTGTGAGGATTAGGGCGGACTTGGGGGACACGGTCACCACAGGGGCGGCATGGGTGGAGGACGGCGAGGAGGCCCGCATGGTAGGGGCGGTGGACGCGGCGGCGGGCCGGGTAGGTGGTAGATCCCCCGGCGCGCCAGCATTCGAGAGATGCGATGTATCCGTAGTGTTGACATCTTGTGTAGCCGTAGACTGTTTCAACCTTTGCGCGTGTCCAGGCCGCTGCTTGTGTGGCGATGATGTGCCCTCTGTGCGCCCATAACAATATCGTCAGTCTTACTGAAGGTCAAGTTAGGTGCGATCGTTGGCCAGCCAAGAGCCGCTCGTGAACATTTAAACATCTGAACCCGCAAACCGGAAGGATATCGCAGACACAATGCGACCACAAATGCTGCCCCTTCCCATAAAGGCAACACGACTGCCTTTCTGGTCATGCACAAAACTCAAGACACGACCCCATGCTCGACTTCGAGGGTCGCTAGGGTTGAGCACTAAGTCTAAGTACCAAATACCAACCCCTGCGCCTCCAGTCACACATTCCAAGCCAAAGGGGCTCATTGAGTCACTCAGCGTAGCCCATCTTCCCGACTGCTGCTGACAGTACTTGTCCCGGAAGCTATAATTCCATTTATTCCCTCAACAATGCACTATTTACTACTACACAAATCCCCCTCGACTGCTACTTTTCCCGTATATCTCCCGACATCTAACACGCTCCGCACGCAGCGGAGCGTACACCAGATTCCCTCCGCAACAGAATGCCGCAGGGCGACGACTATGTACTATGATACATTGGGCGGGTATGACGCGCCGCGGCGCGAGCGCGTGCGTTGATATGCAAGATGAAGGGCGGTATAGGGGGGACCGCGCTGCCGAGTCAAATGTGAATGCGAAGGGGTGAGGATGAGAGGAGAGCGATGGGCCCGGCGGCGGAGACGGAGATGCGATGCGATGCAAGAGAGCAAGGTGGGAAGCGAAAGAGCGTGCGGACGACTGGGATGCGGTTTGTGTGACTGGCGAGACGATGCGATGCGGTGCGACGAAATGACGGATGGACGAACGAGCGAGCGTGTTTGCGGTGTGCGGTATTCAGGCCGGCGCGGCCAGGCCAAGTGGTGGATACGATACTCTATCTGCGATTCCTAGCTGCACCCGCAGACCGAACACGCACGCCATCCGGGGTCCCATCGTCATCGCCAGCAGCAGCACCGTCGTCACGTCAACCTCCCGCACACTTCGACCCGCGAAGCTATGTACGCACGTTACTGTCTCCTCTTCTACTCCCTCCTGCCTCCCTCCTGCTCCCGCGCGTTTTGGTGCGGGCGGGCTCAGAGCGCCTCCGCTTTGTAGTCCCGGTCGTCGACGGGGCTGCCCACGTCCGTCTCCGAGCCGGCAGACTCGAGGTCGAGCGCCTTCGGGCGCAGGTTATCGGGGGCCTCCTCGATCGTGAACGTCTGCATCTACAAAACCGAACGCAACCATGTCAGTATGGGCCGTGCGGGCGGGCGTCGACGAACGCACCTGGACGTGCACCCCCGAGCTGAGGTCCTTCGTGTGCCTCGGCGCTGGGCGCGACGTGACGCCGTGGTTGCTCGTCATCTGCGCTGCGGCACTCCGGAAGCCGACCCCGCCCGAGTGGCTGGCGCTCGTCGTGCTGGTGGTGGGTAGTGCGTGTCAGCGGAACCGCGTGGGGTGATCAGCAAAGTGAGGGCACGCACTAGATCTCGGGGCCGTTGTTGGCGAAGTTGGAGAGGCGCCGGACGGCGCGGCACGCGACGATGGTGGACGCGATGGCGGCGGGGACGTTGAAGATGATGGCCATGATCGCGTTCAGGTTGAGGACCATGAACGCCGTCGCGATCGAGTTCGCGAGCAGCCTACGAGGTCGAGGTCAGACACGCTCTCGAAGCAGGTGAACAGGATTGACTTACGCGACAAGGAAGTAGATGAGGCCGTCCTTGAAGAGGATGGACACCAGCTGCGAGCGCTGCGAGCGCCCCCAGAGCTTGACCACGCTCAATACCATGACCAGGGCGTCGAAGCACATCGAATAGATGAACGTTGCCGCGAGGGTGGTGTTGTTCGCCTTCGTGATCGCGCAGCCTTGACCAGGAATCCATTCAGCGGTGAGGAGGACACCTGCGCGGGCGTCGAATCCATCAGTACGCAATACAGTCGCTACTCAGGAGGAAAGGCGTACCCTGGAGAATCAGGGACCAGTGACCGAGAATGACGAGGACGAGAGGGATGACGATCCAACGGTTCTGTGACCAAACCGCCATTCTGTAAACGCACGACAAGTTTAGTCGGTGTGTCATGTTACAAGTTACCCGCGACGTACGTCCGGATCGACAGGTTGATCGAGGCGAGTCCCACTGCGGCATCGCCCGCGAGTTGATCGAAGGTGTACAATGCCTGGCAATTGAGCTCCCTGCATAAAACAGTCAGATGGTAGGCAATGTGGGATCCCCGACAAACGTACGTTGTGGCGTCAAGGGCGATCAGGCTACACGAGAGACTTCTTGAGCAATTGTCTTCTAGCAAGCGTGACGATCGAGAACTCACATGCCGATCAGGGCGAAGAATAGGCAGTATCGACCGAGCAGGTAGAATATCTGCGAAGCTGTCAGCACGAGCTACAGGCCTAGCATCGATGTACGTACCAATGGCCATTGGAACTTCTTCTTGCCGGTGATCAACTCCCAGTCGAAATCGAGAGAAATAAGGAATTCCCAGCTGTAGATCGGGATGTCAGTTAAGCGTTCCGTGTGCAGACGTAGATGGTCGTACAAGTATACACCAGCGAGGCAATGCATCAGCTTGATGAAGGCAGCTGCCAGACCACGGTAGTGAGCAGCTGCGTGTGCGGTGATGCACACTGCGCACCTTCATCGACTGCGAGCTCTTCAGGTGTAGACCACTTTGACGCAGGCATGACGGAGAACGAAGGGATCGGCCAGCGTCGAGTGGGAGGTGAGCGTGCAGATCACTGGGGAGAAGCGACGGTCGCTGGCTGGCCTGCCAACAGGTGACAAGACGGTACATATGTACTCTGGCGCCATGACCATTGACATGTACAAGTGATTCTGAAGGCCCGGAAAGAGGCTAGGAAAAGAAGCGCATTTGCCGTCTGCCGTGACCGCGGACCTGGGATGGCTGAATGATGGCTTGTCAGCACACATGCTCGCGAAGGCTGGAGTGTGTCCTTACGTCCGCAGGATCAGAATGCGGCGAAAATATGATATTGAATGGGAGCCAGGTTGCGTTCGCGGAGGCAGACAGCGCTAATCAGCCGGCACTGTGCCAGGGATGGCAGCGCACTTGTCTCCGACAGGGGCAAGCCGGCTGGGAAGACAACAAGACGCGCATCCCAGCAGGTGCCGACCCATGGTTACCTTCAGGTGGAGAGGCTCTGCGCTAGGCCCTGCGTCTGCTTCCGGGTGGTGAGTATCTTGGGACAAGCGAACGGCCCAGTATGGCAACGCGGAACTCAGCGACATTGCCTGATTGCACGGCAGAAGCCGTCTCGCCTGTGTCTTTCGTGCGTCTTTCATTCTGGGAGCTTCTGCGAGCCGGAGATGCTGTGTTTACGGCCCGCCACAACGTCGCTGGCAGTCGATCCCCCACTTCCCCATCACGCACTAGTGGCCTCAAACTGCGCCCAGCACTTGGCCACAGCCTATGGCCAAGGTCACCTGCGCTGCAGTGCGCATGTCGCGCCATCAACGCGCCATGGATACATACTACGTCGCTAGTAGACCGGCCTGACCGATCGCGCTCGTTTAACGTTGCCTCTGGCCGGATCTGCCAACTAATCTCCTTCGAGCCTTCGAGTGCACTCACGCCCTTTGCTTACGCTCTGGCATGTTCTCGAAGTCTGACGGTCGCCTGTCGAGGAATTGGGTAAGTGGGAGCGCTCAGGTGACGGAAATATGAGAGCCTCCGATGTTGGTCGTGTTTTTAGCCCAGAACGAGGTGTTTCGCTTCCCGCATTCCGGTGGCATATCTATATCGAGCATTGAGCGATCCGGCAAGGCAACAGCGGACCCGCAGACCCCTCAACAGTGTTAGCCCAGCGGCTGCACACAATCTACGAGCCTCTTCAATACAGACGGTACCTCCCCAGAGCTCCCCGTAGTCCCTCGGTCTCATAGAGGCGTCCTCAAGCACACCCATCCACCAAGATGCTATCCTTATTACCGACCGGCCAGCAAGTCCTCTTGCTCCTAACAGTCCTTACGTCCGTCTATGCTTATCGTTATGTCATACGCCGCCGGTGCCAAGATATCCACCTCCTCCCTCCAGTTGTGAGTCGAGCCGAATAGCGCTTTTCTTCCAGGCACTAATCGTTCGGTGGCGTTTGACGCACCTCCAGCCCCGAGAGCTCGCGCACTGGCTTTGGGGACATGAATTGCTCGCGTTCGAGGGCGAGGCAAGCGAGATGTACACGAAGTGGGCGGCGCTGTGCGGTCCCGTATTCAGGCTCAAGGCCGCCCTCTTCCACCCCGATATCGTGCGTCTGCCAGTTTCGTGTTCGATCGTGTCAGATCTGACCGAGGCTTGGAACCTAGGTTGTGGTCACAGACCATGCCGCCGTGCAACACATCTTTCAGAACACGGATGATTACGGTCAGTACTTCGCAGCTTCGCTCCGAGGTCCACGCTGGTGGGGCCCGTTTGATAGTGGCCGACGAAGCATTGCGCGACGCTCGTCCTTGATGTTTCTCATAGCGCGTCTCCTTACTCATTTGACCATTTCCAGTGAAGTCGCCCGCGTTCAGGCCGCCAGTGTCGAATGTGCTCGGGAAGGGTGTGGTGTGGGCTGAAGGAGAAGACCACAAGAAGCAGCGGCGCGTCCTGGCACCGGCATTCTCGTGAGTACTGGCAACCTGCCTTTCCCTTTCGTTATCCAGCATGGCTTGCGCCACTCGTCTGCACCTACTTCTCTCCAGATTGCAGGGTAAGACGTTGTACTGACCATCTTTTCTCCGCACGTGCTTCGATCACGCCCACTTCGCGCAAAAGACCCGAAGCGATCAAGGGCATGGCAGATGACATTTCTGAATGTTCCGAAAAGGTACGGAGGTACGGATATTGTCTCTGTTCTGCGATGGCCTGATCCAATCCCCACGTCTGTAGTTGGAAAGTCGCCTCACCAACCAAGTCCTTGCACACGGTGGCGCCGCCACCGTCAATATCGTCGAGCAGACTTCGACATGCACGTACGTGATCGCATTAATCGCCCCTGATCGTCGGACCCACCTTTCCGCATCCGCGCAGGTTGGACATCATCGGGCGCGTCGCGTTCGGGCATGACTTCAAGTCCGGGCAGTCCACGGAGGCGCGGCAGATCCGCGCCTCCTGGGAGGGCCACGTCAACAGCGGGCTCACGTTCGGCGCGTTCATTGCGATGCTCGTCATCCGCGCGTGCCCGTCCGTGTTTCTCCTCCCGCTGCCCGCGATCAAGGCTGGCGGGCGTATACGCGAGATCGTGACGAAGCTCTCGATGCGCCTCGTCGAGCGCGGCGCGTTCAGCGAGCGCGGGCGCGACATCCTCAGCATACTCATGACCGAGCGCCGGAGGGGCGCCAAGGCGGACGCGCTGACGCCCCAGGAGATTGTCGACAATGTGAGTACTTACCGTTTCCCTGTATTTTGCGATGAGGCTGGCCCGCATGAGCGCGCTTTCGGCGTACTCCGGAGCGCGTCTCTCAAGCTGTTCTGACGGGCTTTAGTGACGTCGCTTCTGAACGCTGTCAAAAAATTCTAACGGCCTTCGCAGATCAACACCTTCCTGATGGTCGGTCACGAGACGACCGCGGGCTCGCTCAACTTCACGCTGCTCGAGCTCGCGAGGCGACCGGATGTCCAGCAGAGGCTGCGGGACGAAGTGCGCAGCGCGGGGCGCGACCTTGCGTACGACGACATCCAGCGCCTGGCGTTCCTGGACGCTGTGGTGAAAGAGGGGTGAGTGGATGAGTGGTGTCTTCTGTGTCTACGTTCAGAGACACGGGACTTCCTCCGGATCGGATTATTGACGGTGCCTCGTATCCACTTTAGGCTTCGAATTCATCCCGCGTCGCCCCAGACTGAACGCGTCGTGCTGAAGGATGATGTGATTCCCCTCGCAAAGCCCATACGCACACAGGATGGCAGGACACTCACCTCGCTGCGCGTGAAGGCCGGCCAGGTGCGCCCATCTGTGTCTACTGTCGCTTTATAGGGGCCTCAATCTTTACGGCACAGGTGTTCCACATACCGTTCACGACGATGCAAGTCAACCCAGAGGTGTGGGGGAAGAACGCAGCCGAGTTCGTGCCCGAGCGGTGGATTGTGTCTGGCGGTGTCCCCGAGCCCTCTGAGCTGCCCCACGGATGGAGCGGCCTGGTCACGTTCTGCGATGGCCCGAGGAACTGCCTCGGATACAGGCTCGGTATGTATGCGTTCCTCCCCACTTTGAACTTGTTCCTCCTCTGTTCCCATGCCTGCACGAGCATGGTGGGCGAGCATGCGCCAGTGGCACATTTGTGGTTCTCTTCGGTTCAATGTTCGTGTATGAGGTGGCCTGCTGACCTTGTTTGCCTTGGACAGCGATCTTCGAGTTCAAGATCATACTTGCGACTCTCATCCGCTCGCTCGAGTTTCAGGACACCACGGCAGAGGTGCATAGGCGCATCTCGCCGACCTTGCAGCCGGTCACTGACGGGCAAGGCGGGCTTCTCCCTCTCCATGTCACTTTGGCTCAATGATCCCGCCCAAATCGCCGATACGCCGGATGAGCAGCAGCGGCGTCCTTCAGTTTGTACTGTGGACAAATCCAAAGGGGAGGCACCAGGGCTTGCTTTACTTGAGGCTGCTGTCGACGCACCATTCCTTGCCGGGACCCTCGCGGAATGCGCAAACACTTCCTATCAAAGCTATCTTCGACTGACCAGCACAACTCGCTATCTATCTAACCTACTATCGTTGTGCTATGTACCTCTAATGGGGTTCTCGACTGCTGCTTGCGTAGGGCCGACATAGTATCTTCAATAGTAAAGGAGCGTGGTTCCGTTTATAGGATGGGCAATTTGCCTCTTCGAAAAGGATTGATTGAAGTGCTGCTTCTGGAGGCACTTGTGTACATACTTATCCGCGTTGTGTCCGAGTCGATCTGTTCATTAGTACAGGCGGTGGACAGTAACCTTTAGCTGCGGCAACACTAGTGTGAAGGCACGGGCGGCCTCTTGGTACCGTACTCAGGCTGCCTACACGTACGATGTGCAATGGCCGTTATACCGACCAGAAAGATGATAGTGAAACGTCACGGACATGGTCTCCTGTCCGAACGATCGTACACAGTTACTGTGCTATACTACCGTCAATTTGCGTAGGTAGGTCGGATAGTGTGTTATGTGCGAAGTTGGGCATGTGCGTAGCGTAGTGGCTGAGCCGCCTATTCAGGTGGACATTTCACACAACAGGCAGCAGAACCGGTGCCTTACTTCGACTTCGTCCAGGCTCACAAAGCCCCCGGAAGCATATGGGCGCGGAGCTGTGTCCCAACTCAAACTTGAACTTCCCACCTCAAAGGGAGCGACGCTTTCGTCGAGTTTCCTGCGCACAACGCCCGGCCGCGCGCCAGAGCTTGCGATGGGCCGTAACCAACCCTCCCATGCCACATCGATAAGGACCGGCATTCTACGAGTAGCATCCGGTCGATTTCGACGACGCCCAATCTCTCGCTATACGTAGGAGCGAAGGGTCCGAGGGTAATTAAAGTTTTAAGGAGCGTCATCCCGTCATTAAATGAAGAAAGCCCGGGAGGGCGCCGTTCATACAACGCCAGTATCGGCGCGCACGCTTTCGTCCAGTATTAATCATGGCACTCGTCCCTTCATACTCGCTCAATATCGGGCAAGCTCTTCATACGGAGCTCGACGGCTTTGGACTATCGTTTGAGCGTGAGCAGCGTGCCTGCCCGTGCGGCAACCTTCGGAGGAGGATCTAATCGAGAGCTTATCCGTAAGAATACAAGCTTCTGAATCCTCGTGCCCGGGCTTCCAGGGTCCGTCAATACCAAGGAAGGCGAAATCTGCACTTGGTGCGTGTCATAGTTACGAAGGGAGCGCACCGGAAGGTGCGTCCGGAAGACGAACTCACTAAGTCACTTGAAGGCGAGCCAGCAGTACGTCATCCCTTGTACTTACAGTGAAGTTGAGCGTTGAACATTGAACATCGCAAAATTTGATTATTGCGCAAACTGAAGTGAGGGAGAGTTCAGAATGCCCCGGCGGCTGCAGACGGATGGGCCGGCTGTCGCTGTGGGATCGTTCAACGGATCCGAGCGCGCGCGGTAGTAACCAGTGTGGATCGGGCAGTAACGGTCCTTCGAGGGAGTCAGGCGTTCGCCAGTGTATGCCCTATCGAGCAGGCGCGTAGGAGCTTGTCGGCTTCGTTTGGGGCGTCCGTGTCGTACTGTTCAGTCTGATTTTCCGTAGGGCCGCATTGAGGCTGAATGGAGATTCGGAGACTCTGCCAAAGTCGGCGTCGGGAGGAGCACCCCTCTGCATCTGTCGCATCTCCAGGGGTATGATGACGGTTGCGCGCAGTAGAGGGCTGGGCAGTAAGCAGTACTACACCTACCCGCAGGTACAAAGCCGACGAGCACCGTTCCGGATAGCACTCTGCACTGACGGCAATCAGTGATGACATTTCTGTGCATGTGGTAAGTACCAAGTAGCGCGAATCGAATGGGACCCTTGCGCACCGCGAACAGCCTTCAGTCAAGCTTCAACGTTTCAACGTTCAACTTCTCCAAAATTTACGCTCGATCCTCCCCCTGCGCTGTGGCGCTACTGGTCCCGACGAGGGCGGCGGTAGTACGTGCCGCGCTGGATTCGGACGTGGCACTACTACTACGTCTCTGGACTTGCCTCCACTAGAGGGTAGTCCAGGTCCAACCCTGTGACGAGTAGACGCAATCAGTTCGCATTGAGTGATCACTTGAAGCAGCATCCTCAGTACTCACTACTAGCTGCCTCTCCCGATCCGGGACCGGTAGTGAATGTCAGATGACTGACCTTCCAGAGTGAGACACTCCGGCGCAGGCACTAGTGGCAGCAAAGTGGCAGCCCCGGCGCCGCCGCCTTCGCCAACAGTACACTCGCACGCGCGTTTTCGACGTTCTGACGCGGGAGCCTCGCGGCAAACAAAACCGACGCAGAATGGCACAGATTGCATACAACCCAAGCCTGGAGGCGCGAGATCCCGCGTGGATCCCGCGCAGAAATGCATCCAGGGATGATCCCCGCCTCGAGTATCAGTAAGGCCTCGCATCGGAGTTCGCCCAGCCTAGATCTCAGCCTTCAGGGATCTCGGAATATTAGTAGTCGATTGAATGATTGAACGAGGAGAGACGATCGGAGGCCTGTCAGAGGAGCCGCCAAGGCCCATCGTGCCAAACCAAAGCTTCAAGCTCACGTTCAGGGATCGCAGAGCAGACCGTTCGCAGTCTGACGGAGGTTGCGCAATGCCGGAATCAGGCCGGAGGATTTGACCATCACATTTCATTATGTGATGCGGCCCTGAGATCCTGAGATCAATTTCGCGGTGAGCGCGGATGGCCGACTCGGAAGCGTGGGTGATGCGTGCGCAGGCCGGGCCAGCCTACTCAGGCTAGTAGCGAGGCCTTAGCCTACTACTTAGCGTTTTGAGTTGGGCTTCGACGAGCCTCGGAGGCCGACGTTCGGGACACGATCAGATTCGAGTGCGGTGCAGCGGTCGGGTACAAGTTGGGATAGGCCTGATGGATGCAAGTTGAACCAACGCGTCCAACGCGCTGTCGAGAGTCGGCAGACCTAGCCTGAGCGCACCCGAGCCCCGACCGACCGGACGTCAACGCGTATTCGAGGGAGGCCTTCGGCGGACGAGTTTAACGTGGCCTGGCAATAACCGGTCGGTGCCACCATCTGCCACGTCGACGTCGCTGTCACATCGCCAACACCCCGCTGGCAGGCGAGCCGTATCGCGGACGACTTGCTGAATTTGCCAATGCAAAGCCGTGACCACGGTTGAGATCTTGAGAGTTCGTTATGCCCATACTGGGCAGGGGAACGTTCGTAATCAGTGACCAGGAATTACGGGAAATGCCTTGTATGGGCACACACGCGCCCACAGCGACGGGAAGTCGCCCTGCCTCGTGCGGTGCGCCGCGACAGCGCACGAGCTCTGAGTCTCAGTTTGGCGGCGGCGAGGTCACGGTGTCGTAAATATCTGATCTGCGAGGCACCCTTGAGCTTGAGCGTTACTCCCACCAGAATTCCGAGCACGTCTTCAGAGTCGATGGTTGGGAGGGTGCTTCCGAGTCGTGGCCTGGCCATGGGCTGGCGGTCGTCGTTCGAGGTCCGAGGTGCGCCATGTTGGCCGCATCGTGCCAGTGTTCCTGCCCCTTCCTGCCCTCGGTTGAGGCCGCCGATCTTTGAGCTGCGTGTGTGTCCGGATGCGGCGAAGCCGTCGCAAGTGCCCATGAGAGCCCACCGGATGCCCTGCATAGCGACGTGCAACAGCCCGCTGATGCGGCGCAGTCCCCCACCCCAACTCAATCGACATACGCGAATTTGAACCTTGGCCTGCGTCATGAGGGCATCATGCGGGACGCAGGGGCGAAAATTACATACGACATTCCCACTCGAGCCGCCGAGGCGGGCACGGTGCGACGCAGTGGCAGGACATCAGAGCGACTGACGGTAACTGGCGCGATCTATGTCCGGAATCTGACACGTCGACGGCGCGCACGCGATCTTCGTGCAAACTGGCCATCAGACAGCAATTTGAGTTTTGAGAGCGCGGAGACGTAGAAGGCGGTCACGCAGGTCATCGTCTGCGGCTATGCATTGTAGGACAGGGTCGTGCGCGAGGAAGAGAAGAGAGACTCGGTGGGGCCTTGCGAACTTCGAGGTTTGGTTAGTGGTTAGTAAGACTGTGGCCCGCGCCTGAAAGCACCCGGCCGCGGCGGATGGTAGCCTCGTTGCTACTTACCTGAAGTGAAAAGTACCCGACACATGTCCACGCACAGATTTCCATTTCCAGGCGACCATGGGCAAACAAGGCATGAAGGCCCACCGGGAGAGCGAGGACCCGCCAGGCCCCGATGACCTACCGCCATACGCTCGAGCGTGCAAAGTGTGCAAAGACGGAAAGCGAGAGGCTCCGACAAGCGGGAAGCTCACGGGGACTTTCATCGGCTTCCAGGCTCCAGCGATGCGGAGAGTTCTTACGCGACGCATGGGGCCTCGCGTATGGCCATTTATGGAGATAGTTGAAGGGAACTGCCTGGGTTGGAAGTTGGAAGGCTTCCTTTGCGTGCACCCTAAAAGAAGATTTCTTTCTCGATTTGTGGGCGGCTGCTTAGCTAAGAACCCTGGGAGCTTCCTTTTCCGGCCGTACCATTCAAGTGGTCGATGCATAGTGTCCCAGGCCCAGACACAGCGAGCTACCAGAAAAACGGGTACGAGTGCAAGGATAGCTGGGCTGGACGCACAGCGGGAGGGAGGACAGAGGAGGAGCACATGGGCGTGGTGGATCTTCGCAGGGCCGAAGTGGGAGAAGGACGCCCGGAGATGTTCGCAGAGAAAGCCGCCTCGCTCCCCACGCCAGATCCGGGCCCTAGGCTTCTCCAAGGCTTCTCTCCGCATAACATGCGTCGACATATATAGCGGCCTCGCCTCCGCCTCTTCTTGCTGCTCGAGTCATCCCGCCCTCGTTCGGCGCGCCTACCCCCCTTCGTCTTAGATCTTAGCGTTCGTCGGTCCCGCAGCAATGGTCAATTGGCAATCCCAAGACGAGATTGAGGCCGACTCAGGTTGGATACACCCCTCTTGACCACTGTGGTTTTGTGGGACCTGGTGGGAGGACAGAGGCTCGCGGAAGCAAACACGCGGACCCCTGCCCTGTCTTCAGATCAAAATCAAAATCAAACTCGCGCACTAGACTGTTTCCTGACGCGTTTACTATGCAGTCGCCTTTGGCAGGTTCATGCATGCGCTTCTCGGCCTGTACCTGTACGTTTCAGTCGTGCAAGGTGCTTCGTTGCAGCTCATTATAAACACTGTAGCTGGGAGTTCTTCACCTCCGTCCCATTCGATTGGGAGTACATTTCAGGCAAACGCAAGTTCCGATGGCCCATGGTAAGTCCTCAGTGCTTCAGTCTATGTTCATCAGGATATTACTTCGTCGAGTCTCTGGCCGCCATGCTCCGCCAGGACCCCCATCTATTGGTGGAGAGGCCTGATCGAGATTTGGACATTTTTGTCCGGACTATATCAGGCTTCAGGGAGGTTTGTCCGCTGCTGTTGTGACTGTGAATTAGGCCTTGGTATGAACGGATTGATGTCCGGATCGCAGGGTCTGGCGGCTGGCCTCGTCAGCCGTGCAATTCATGGTAGATGTTGGGCAAGTGAACACCAACGGTGCGCAGATGGGGTGGCTATTGGTCAACGATTATGCCAGCACTGCTGTCCACGTCGCGCACAGCGTGCTATGGCTGCTCGCCATTCGACGTCAGGGAAGACATGACGCAGACTACGCCCCGACGCAGGAGGGGCAGGCAGTGACGACTCCTCTGGGCCATCATCATGCTTCTTCCTCTTCAAACGTTCGTCTGCATCTATGCCGTCCTCCCGTTCGTCTCGCTTTCTGCGTCTGTGTCGGGACTTCCGTTCGTCTCGCTCCCTGTCGCGGTGACTGTGCCGGCTTTCCGCTCTTTCCTTCTCCGAGCGATGGCGCTCCCCATCGCGGTCGCCACGCCTCTCGGCCTCGATCCCTGTCATAATCTCTATCCCTATGCCTTGCGCATGCAGCGGACGTGTAGGTCAGATTCAAACTGTTGCGACGCTACATGGACGGTTGAGGCGTCCGGACAGGATCAGGCCTCCGCCCTCATGAACGTCGATTTTGTCCGAATTGGGATGAGGCCTCCCCCCAATTGCTCGCCGGACGTTCAGCCGTTTGCGCTGCATGGCGGCGGAGGCAGACGTTGGCTCCTTATGACTTTTCTGAGTTTCGGTATCTTGTCACTGGAATTGTTCCACCGATGTCTAGCAAATGTGACGTGCTGTAAACGTCGAGAACCAGCAAGCTCATAACGTTTGATATTTAGATCTTCTACTTCGCGAACCGGTACTTCCTGTTGTTCGCACTCATTGGCATGTAAGTCTTCCCGCTTACATCACGAGGTGCGCTCGCTGACGTATGCCTTCTTGCAGAGCGATTGCGCTGGACGTGACCACGTACGCCGGCTCCTACATACCATTGTAGCTTTCCCTGATATCACTTCCAGGGAGGTTAACTGCCAGGCGCTGTATACCTACAACCAGGTACGCATATAAGGACCTATCCAATGGCCTAGACCTAATTGAGGGGCTGAAATCACACAGATATTCGGTAATGCATCCATCGGGCTTGCAAGCATCAACCTTTCCCTGCGCACGTACGTTCTCGACGACTGACCACTCACACATCCCATACTAATCCTACTTGTACAGAATGGCTGTATGGTCCCAGGCATGGTACATCGTCATCCCCCTCGTTGCGGTCATCCTCGGTCACTGGTCGCTCCTGCTGCATGGTAAGTGTTCGCTTCCCGCTCTTGCAATGTCACCTTGATTTGATCATGCTCTGCAGGAATCCTGATCAAGGCGGCATGGATCCCGGGCGAGGGCTGCGCGATCACCGACACGGACAACACGCTCCTCGCTGTGACGTTCATCTACTCGATGGCCTTCGACTTCATGGTGCTTATGCTGACCGCCTGGAAGCTCGCCTTCAACCAATCCAGCGGCCACAAGCGGAGCAAGGTAGTTCAGCTGATCTTCGGCGACGGGCTGATCTACTTCATGGTCGCGTGGGTATTCATTGGAACTTCCATGTGAATCGGTTGTTGACGTTGTCCGTGCAGATTCCTCGCGAACCTGCTCGCAACTGTAGGTGCATGCTCGTGTGCAGCTCGACGCCATGCTGACTACTCCCACCAGATCTTCATGCTGTTAAACTTGAACGCGGTCATGTCGATCATCGCGAACGTTCCTGCGGCGATCGCGTCTTCCGTGAGTGCTTCCTGCGCTGCTTCTGCCGCGTCACGCGCCTGACGACCTGCGAAGATCGTGGCATGCCGCGTCGTGCGCCGGCTGGCAAAGTACACGACTTCCACAGTCGAAGTGTACAGGTACGTCACCCGCTTCGCCTCAGCGAGAGCGAGCGCGCTCACACGCACGCAAAGCTCCGGCGTGAACTCGACGATCGCGTTCAGTCGCGCGAACCGCAGCCGGACGATGAACGCGACGGTGAACATCCCCGACAAGAAGACGGTGGACAGCGGCGTGCACGTCCAGGTCAGCCCGTCTGGCTTGACCGCATGCGCTGTGTGCTGACACAGGGACAGATGGAGACGTTCGCGGAGATCTCGGACAATGTGCCGTCGGACCCGAGCTTCATCCAGTACGACGCGGCGGGCAGGATCGTCAAGGGGGACTTAGAGAGCTGCTACACCGGGGACAGCCCGACGATCGCGGGCGACGAGTACAAGCGGCCGGAGTACTGAGCGTGCCCGAGGCTCGCCATGCTGCATTTCTCCCGCTGCTGCTCACGGACAGGCCGTGGCGCGGCTTCCTTTTCCGCTCGCATCAGCTTTCCTCGCACCCGCATCGAATCGTCGTTCTTGCTTTCACATCGTCGCCACGCTCCCACTCCCCCACCCGCATCCCCACCCATCATCGTGCAAAACTTTCATTTCGTCCATGGCTGCGGGCCGCCCTCCCGCTGTATTACTAGCCCATCATCTTGACGCTCGTCGCTACACAAAAGGTGGCGGCGGGCCGTGCGGTCATCCGTCCTTGCCTGCTGCCCTGTGCGCGGTCAGGCCAGGACGGCGCGCACCACGTCCAGCGTCCCCGGGCCTTGCTCTCATTTGCCTTCGAACGTTGTACTTTAGCCTCATCTGTGATACATACGCACGCTGTGCATAGACCGCGGCGGGGGCGTTGGTCCTCCCGCCTCGGTCGTCTCGCTTTGCTGGGAGGGGCGCAGAGACGGACCGTTCGTAGGGACACTGTGACAGTGCGTGCGTAGATACTGGCTCCCGTATTCAGTGCTCGGAGTAGTAGAAAAGAAAAGAGATTGAGGATGTAAGTTGATACGACGTCGATATACCCGCGTTACAGAAATCAATTGCTCGTTGCTGTTGCTTCTGGTGCTCAGAGAGAGGTGTGATAGTACTTGGTCACAGGGTGCCATACACTGACAGTATACGTATACCCCGTGCGCGACCCACGGTGTGCGCGCGAACTCCGTAGGATACTAGGAACGTAGAAGTGACCGTCACCAGGACAAACGCCTTGCGTTGCTAGTCCTACATAGCATAGCACCGACCGCAACGTGTGCGGGACTTCTGGTGCGGGGTCAATGTCAATTGAGGGCCCTTCTACGTTGTACAAGTACTTAGTAGACGATCGTACCTGACAATCCGAGACAATCAACATCTGCTCTGCGGGGCTCACCTAAAGCTGAGAACTCTGGCAAGAGGTCTCTAGGCCTGTAAACAAGGCAAATATGCTATTTAGACGAATGTTCAGAAGATATTGTATCACCGTTGTGTCCGGGCTTGGTCCGGGCGAGGACGGATTCAAATGAGGTCGCGCTTGAACACGCGCACGTGACCGCAGCGCCTGCCACTTTCGCGAGCCTTGTTCGACGTTTCTCGTCACTCCCTGTCCTCCGCCACCACCCTCCTCTTCCCTCATTGCGACCATGGACGTCGTAAGTCGGCTCGAGTCTAGAGTTACTTCAAATTTTGACCCTCTTGCTAGGACATCCAAGACGAAGCGGCGGGCCTCCTCGCTCTCTTCGAGACAGGACCAGAGACGTTCGCATGGCGCGACCCCATTCCGCGCGAAATGGAGGAACAACGCGTTCGGATGTCGGACACGCTCATCTTCGACATTCTGCTTGCTGAGGGAGGAATCCGCCACGCGAGCTCGCTCTATCCGCCTACTGACGCTGAGTCGCTTCATCGCCTGCTGGAGGCCATCTGCAACTCTACCTACGACGCGGTCAAGCAGGACAGCCTGATCTATTTCTTGTTGAAGTGGCATAAGGATGGGCGGGAGATGGACTTCAGCGAGTCGCGGTGTATACAGCCTCAATTCGTCATCCTGGCGGACGCGTATTGGCACCTGGATACTGGCATCAATGTCGAGGTGAGTGGCGACCATTATCCATCCTGCCAGGTATATCCCTCGTGTCGTATATCTCGTAATGCTACCCGAGAGGTGTGCGATAAGCCTCAGCCAGTCGAGGAACGCACCATGCACACCAGTCTTCCCCTCCCTTTGTGGCGTCCGCTGACTTTGTTATATTCTGTTAGAGAGCTGTATCACTGCTGTCGGACCAACGTCTGAATGGAGATTACATCTCGAAAATCATACAAGCATTGTCATTATCAGACAACCCACATACGTGCATTCGCAATTACGTGCACACTGTGCAACCTCTCCTCACGGAGCCTCGCGACATGGACGCGTACGCAATAGCGCTTGCGGACTCTAGCCTCATGGATGCATGGCACTACCAAAGGACATTCTCTGAAAGAAGCCCGTCACGACCACGGCTAGTGAGGAAGATCCTTGATTTCTGCCTGACCCGTAAGTTGGAATGATCTTGTACATAGTCAGAGATGGTCCTGACCGACGTCGTAGCCAAACCCCGCCTTCCGCAGCTCAAAGCACTCCTTGCGCTCCACCTCACAGCGTATGAACAGAGTCTGCTTCACAACTACGCCATTGATCCGCCTCAGAAATTGTCGGCGGCATCTGTGTCTACCATTCAGGACCTCGCCTGTCTGCGCCATGTCCAATCCGGCGAGTATGCCGCTGCTATCAAGCTCGACCGCCAGCTGCCTCCAGGCGGCATGGTCGCGAAAGACCGTCGACAGATGATGGACGACCTCATGGCGTCGATGCCCCTTGTGGAACGGCAGCTACTCGAAGTCGAGCTGGAGCAGCTGACTGCAGCCCCGAGGCCAAGCGTCAGCGTGTCGCAGTCCTGGACAAACAAGGCAACCAACAGCACAGACCTGAGCATGAGCTGGGAGAGCGTGCGGAACCCGTCTAGTTCCACTGCCACCAAGTCGGCTCCTACCGCCGCCGCTGCAGCGCACAAGTCGAATGGTACACCGAGTATGGCAACGCCAACGATCTCGCAAAAGTCTGGCGCGCCACGGTTCGGCGCGCCTCTGGGCGCGACCCCGCACACAGAAATGTTTGCACCGCTGTCGTTCCCCTCAAGCGCGTCGACAGCCTCGCCTGGAGCGTCCGCCTTCGCGCCGAGCATGTCAGTTGGCCGCGTGCCGCTCATCGGTCCAACCACGCATCAACAGACGCCAAGTAGCGCAGGCCGACCGTCCGCATCCAGTGCCCGTCCGGGTTCGCTCTTTGAGATCGCAGGCAGCGCGAATCAAGCTCCGAACGCGTTCTACACGCCGCCGCAGTCGATCTCTGCCGGCGCGAAGCGTCCGTTTGGTCAGGATACCCCGAGGACGCCGCGCGCGTCAGCCAGCCCTCAGCGACCCGAGCCGGTGAGCGCAGCCAGCGCGGGCGCGACGACCGCCGACGGCGATATCACGATGCAGACAGACGAGGACGCCATCGCGGCCGACCTTGCAGACATAACCCAAACGGACGCCTCGCGCGTCGAGAACACAGCTGCTACAGAGGACGAAGAGAGCCCTACTGCGGAGTTCTCCACGTCCATTTTCGGCCGCAATCGCAGCACGTCTGCAGACATCCCACGGGTGTCCGCGCGCAGGCTGCGCCAGGAGAAGTCAGACTCGCCGTTCATACCCGGCGCGTTCGGCCCCACGACGGACGACGAGGGTGAGCGCGAGCGGATCAGCATGCCCCCGCCACCGCCGCCCGCAACGACCTCACGGAAGTCGCGGGCGAGCGGAGCGAGTGCGGGTTCCGCTTCTGCGCGGAGAAGGGTGTCGCCGTCACCGCCTCCTGCGCCGCGGCCGGCGAGAGCCACGCGGGCGAATAGCAACGCGAGGCGGAAAGACCTGAGACAGAGCATCCCCGGAGGATTCATGGACGAGGAAGAGGACGACGATGTCCCGCCTTTGCCGCCGCCTACACCGACCACGAGGAAGGGCATCCGCAAGCCGCGGGCGTCGAAGGCGAACGAGAGGGACGAGATGACAGCGGAGGAGCTCACCCGCCCGACGCGACGGTCCACTCGATTGTCGACTGCGCCCTCGGTCGGTGAGTCGTCCCCTGAACCAGCGTCCCCTACAAAACCGAGCACGAAGGCGCGCAGTACGCGGAAGTCTACTGCAGCAGCAACTGGTGCGCCTGCTAGAAGCTCACGCAAAAAGCGATGATATGATTATGTTTTGTCACGCTGGACGTTCGAAAGGAGTGCTTGTTGTATAGCCATTTACTTACCACATTGCCATCGTATCATTCTCAACGATTGCCTGGATACTTGCTCACGTCCTATTTGAGTGAGAGAGAAGTCATTACGTTCCTCAGCGCAACGGGCTACTCTACATTTCATTGCGAGAGACGTTATCGTTCCAATACGTTAGGTGAGAAAAGAATCATCAACCACCGCCATTCCACGACGACGAAAAGTCCGCTCAATAACTCGAACCATTGACCTGCGAAAAGACGTGAGCTTCACGCACATGCATCTGAGACTGCTCTACTCACCTTATCCCTGAGCTGTCCAATGAACTGCTGGTAACTTGGCAAGACATCGGCGCGATCCTGGATGAGGCAGCTGAGGGCCCACAACCGCAGTGGCGGTTCCCCATCCTCCTTCACCACGTAGAGATGCGGGTAGTAAACACCACGACGCATCTCGCGGATCTTCTGCACGATGGCGTTGACGCGTTGCGAGAACGAGTTCTCTAACAATGGCAATGTCGTCTAGAGACGTAGTTAGCGCATGACCTATAAACAGCGGCACAGTAGCCTACCTTTCCGCCACGAAGCACCTCGTAGTTGGGCAGGTTGAAGACATCCATAACGAGCTGAGGCACGGAGTCGCGGCCAACCCAGAGGAAAATGGTCTGGCCATCCTCGATGAGGAATAGACCATGTCTCTCGAGTCGCTCGGAGGTGAGCGGAAGAGGTGGAGGGAGGATGACGCCGTGTTCGCCGACGGTACCGCACTGTGTACAGGCGTTAGACTACACTCGCTCGACTAGACTGAGTTGCGCATACCTCTGGTGGCATATTGTGCAGCGAGTAGAACGTCGGGCACAGGTTTGGAATGAGCAGCTGGGACGGCAGGGACGTGAGGAGAGCTTGTGCATATGCCCTGAGGTCCGGAGGAATCTGTGCGCTCTGCCTGATGCCAACCTACACAATCGCGAGTTAGTCCAGCGCACCTTATGCAGACGGTCTATCACGACAACTCACGTTCTTGAGCAGCCCCAGAACCAAGACCGGCAGCATCTTCATGTTGTCCGGGATCGCCAGCTGCGCACTCGCACCTGCACCGCCAGCGGTCATGCTCTGCTTGTACGCCTGCAGCATCTCCACCATCTTGCTGAACAGCGCGTCCCGCGCGTCCTCGAGCTTGTGCGTGATCGAGCGCTCGACTGCCTTGTTCGCAAGCAGAGTCGCGATGGCGATCTGGTCTGCGGACGCGAAAACCTCGGAGAGGTTGCTCGTCGTGGGCAGCGCGAGGGTGATGACACGGATACGACGTTCGCCTATGCAAGGTGTCAGCTACAAGCGTCTGTGGGAGGACCAACATGACGACAGACCATAACATGTCGTATGCAGAACGGCGGTTTGGAAAACGACGAACGGCGCGGTGAGCGTATCTTCGATCGTAACCTCAATAGCGTACGACTGGTCCTGAGGCACGGCGGGCATCGCCAGCAGGTCGGTCGAGCGCACAAAGAAGTTGCCATGGAACGACGACATGCGCAGATCTTCGGTGAAAGGTGTCAGCAGTTGACGCTGGATGCGAACACTTGCGCTTACTTTTGGATGCACGGACACGCATGACTGCCTCCAACATGACTGGCATCGCCAGGACCTCACCAAACTCGTGTGCAAACTTGATCGCGTCCTCTGTGCGCGACGCGTTGAATGCAGGATAGAAGTAGGTCTGGCCGGAGGTGTAATGGGGAAGGCAGGCTGATTTAGGCATACACTTAGTATTGTTCTCAACCGCCTAGTTAAGACGGTAGTCGCACCGAGGGTAGCAACGTCCTGATAGGATGCGCTGAATAGGAACATGTCCACGGACACTTGAGCACGTGAACACTCGATCGCGAAGGTCTTGTAGAAGGGCGACGCGGATTGAAGGAGCCCAGATTCCTACAGATGTCAAGTGAGTCGTCATTCATACTGGCAGAGCCTGTAGCATACCTTAGAAGTGCCAAGGATCTTGGGGTCCTCCCTGTTTTTGAGCGCGCCGGCTCCGATAGAGGGGAGGCTAGCAGAGAGCACGATGATCTGCCCACCAATCGGTGTCTAACACGAACATCCAGTCAGTATGAGCAAGAGAGTGAACGAAGGTCGCAAACCATCAGCTTGAATCCGGCCTGCAACGCGGGGCCAAGCGCACTGCCGATCGTATTATTGTCCGCGAACATGTCGCCCAGTCTACCCAGTAGAGACTCCAGCGATGCGCGGGCCTCCGACAGGTTCACGAGCAGATCCGTAGGCTTGGGCAAGAAGACGTCGTCGATGTCCGACACGACGAGCATGGACGAGTCCGTTGTTCCCGGCTGGACATACAATCAGGTTAGGGTCCGAGAATCGCGCATCCGAGCTAAGTACGCACGGGCATAGAGAAGAAGTATAGCGAGGCGTCGAAGGCGACGATCGCGACCTTGGTGCGGCTCTCGTCGTTGGGGATGCGGTCGAGGTTCTCGAGGATCGTACGCGTAGCCGTCGCCACCATGCCACTCTGGATGGCAGCATGGCTCACATCGATGAGGAACACGTACACCGCAGCCTGGGGAGGCCGAATCATGTACTCAGTGGGCGCGACGAACTCGACCACGGAGTGGTTCATCTCCGCACGCGCCCATCGGTCGCCAGGCTGGTTCCGGACCTGGTCCCAGTCGAACAACTGCGGGACCTCGTTTGACATGTTACACATGCAACAACGCCATCTGCAAGGGATCAGTCACGAATCCAGCGCATATGCGCGCGACTCACCGGTTGCCCCCGTCGATGAACTGCACGTATGGGTTGATATACGTCCTGCAGCGTCTGCACCGCGCAATGACCGTATCCGTCACGAGCGGGACCGGCTCCTCGTCCTTCTCCAGCGAGCGATACGGCGTGAGAATCAGCGCGAGTGGGATCTTCGACTTGTTCAGGAGCGAGGACGACGCCGGGATGGCATTCAACGTGCACCGCTGGTACGACGGGTCCGCGTTCGCGTACGGCGACGGCGAGATGCTCGAGTTCGGCGGCAGGCAGATGTCGGGCGGGGGCCGGTGCAGCTCGCGCGGGTCTGGCGGCGCAGTCAGGAGGTTCGTCGTGAACAGCTGCGGTCGCTTCATGCCCATGTTCATCTGCCCGAACTGGTCCGCCAGCGCGCCCACCGCCGGGGCCGGCTGCTGCCCAAAGCCAGGCGCGTTGATGTACTCAGGCTCCGGTGGGGGTTGCGACCCGGCGAAGTAGCTGGGCTGCTGTTGCGCCACCATTTGTTGCTGTTGGAACTGGTTGTCTGCAGCGAGCCCGGGCGTGAAGAGCTGCGCGGGCTGACCGCCAGGCTGTGGTGCCGCCGCGCCGTACTGGGGTGCGAGACCATCCACGGGACCGTAGTAGGCTTGAGTCTGGCCTGCAGCATACTGTCGACGTTTCGAGTGTTGGGGGCCCCCTGCAGGTGGTGGAGAGACGGATGGCGACATCCCGGGCGACATTCCTGGCTGCATGCCGCCGAGTTCAGGGTTCACTGCGGGCATCTCCCACTGCGAGTGGCCCGTCGCGGTCTCTGCGAATCGCGGTCGAACTGCATTCAGACTGCGTCACTCACAAGATCGACGCGTAACTGCGTACCTATGAAGAGATACCGCTGGTTGTTTGGGTCCCTAGAACCGGTCAGACGATTCACAAGGTCACTGCGAAGTCAGACACACCATTCCGCCGCCCATCCTGGTGGTAATTGTTGTGCTGGAGAGGCCATCTGCTTAGAGAAGATCTGGTTCGCGTCGAAGGAATTGTCGGCAGATATACCACACGCGCGTGTATTGGTGACACGTCACCGAGCACAGCTGTTCGCACCTAGCTCTTTTCTCGAGATACCACAGGTCGAGATGTGGGCTGATAAAGCTCTGTCAAGCAGGCGACGAGCGTAGTAGCCGAGGAGACAGATGTGGGACGTGTTCAGTGCGCAGGTCACTGGTCAGTACGTGTATTGATGATCTTCTAATGCTGCTCGGTTTCCTCTTAAGGAAATAATCGTCAATTAGGCAAGTATGTACCTCCGCTGCCTGTGACACAGATGGACTCAATGGACTCGCTGCTGCTTGCTGCAATAATGGCCCTTAAAAGGCGATTGAACTATGATTTCGTGTGCGTGAATTTGCTGTGTCACAGAGCCACAGGAGCACGGATCTACTAGACATCTACGGAGAGTGTCGGCGGGGCCTCTACAATGACATCGCATTATATGATCTTCTAACCTCTGCTCCAAGACTTTTACACCAAGGCTACGGACGCGGGTGTGGTCTACAGTATCCAAGAGCATGAATAAAACCCACTAGCAAGTACTACGGGGCTAACTTACCAAAGTGAGTGGAGCAAAATCTTCTGCTCCCAAGTCCAATCAATTACTAATGCGCATGCTCAGCCTTGACTCAATGGATCCCCTCCTCCGAGTCCCTAAGCTGGTGTTTGCGTGTTGCGGCTTATGAATTCAGCAACATCATCATCATCCCCCGAACAACGTTCACTTCGCTCGCAACCATACGTGTGCCAACTTGAATACTATACTGATCCGTAGCGGCGCAACCGCCGATCCTCGACTCCTGCTACTGCTCAGCTACTGTGACTACAGCGGCACCTGAAAACATAATACTGTATCGCAATATGTTGAGGAAACAGTATTGAGATTCCCTCCACCACCTCCTCCTCCTCCTGGCCTCCCTCAACCGAGTCAACCCGACTCAAACCTCCGAGTCCCGGCGTTCTTTTCGGCGAATACTCGCGGAAACATTGCGCTCACCGCTGGGATCCGACCGACGGAACTACCTATAATACCGGATTGGGAAGTGCGCGTGCACCGCGGTCCCTTCTGCCCGTGTCGACATGAGAGCTCACTCGAGTCGGGGACCGCCGCATACGACCAAAGGCCCTCTGCAAAGTGCATGCATGCTCTGCTTATACACAGTCGATGTCGAACGGATTAAATTAGAGTCAAAGTATGCTTGGACGTCCTTGCTATGGCGGTACTTACAGGGATCTACAAGTGATCTACTAGGATCTGCTTACTGTATTAGGGAACGAGCAATGATCAGCTGCTTGGCATCAGCCACAATGATTAATGCTAGCACTTGAGTACTTGCCCCTGACCGCATCGCTCCAATGGATTGCGCAAAAGTGCCACGTACTCAAGTACTCAACACGTATGTACTATACTAGTTGGCATGCGTCTTAGCACGCCGTTTGCTTGCAGTTTATATATGCTGAGATCATCATCATACTGGTTGGCACCTCTCGCGTGTTGTCAGCAACGCCCATATCTAGTCGAATCTGTTCTGTGAGTCTTCGATGCGCTCACCAAAAACATCTGGTCTCTAACCGTCCATTTTCCCTAGCCCTGACCGCCGCCTAGACGATGGTGCAAAATACTCAGGCTGCCGCAGGCGTCGCGACAAGCTCGCTGCGAGCGCGATCTCCGCACCCTGCAGAGACACCAACAACCAAAACACAACAGGGCTCTGAGTCCATTGAGCTCGCCGACCTGCGCACCAATGAGGACAGGTCATCAGATTCAAAGCAAGATGGGACCGCAACTTCACAGGCCGCGGGGAGTCTATCCGAAGTGGACCCGCGCATTTTGCGCCGGAAAGCGAATATTCATTTCGCTGCTATGTGCTGGTCGATGTTCCTGGCGGGTTGGAACGACGGAACGACGGGTCCTTTACTGCCCCGCATACAGGAGGTGTACCATGTACGCGCCCTTGAACCTCATCGGACTGACTACCGTACTGATTTTTCATGAAGGTAAATTTTACGATAGTGTCCCTCATCTTCGTCTTCGCCTGCTTGGTCTGTCTTCCTTGCTGAATCCAAAATCGACGTCGTCTGAGTCGCTTCGTTTTAGGGTTTCATCACCGCCGCAGCTGCGAACGTCGCCTTGACAGACCGCTACGGATTTGGCTGGGTAAGCATGCTTTCCCCCGCATACCAATTACCGACTCAAGATCATCATTAGGTCATGGTAATAGGTATACGCCTCCGCCCATCACCCTCAAACCTTTTATCTAAACCAGGCTGGTGGGACAGGTTCGATCGCTCAAATGGTAGGGTATGCATTTGAGGCATCCGCCCCGCCGTTCCCCGTCTTCGTATTGGGTTATTGCATCAATGGGTTCGGCATGTCGCTCCAGGTAAGCTCTATCTTGGAACGTCTGTCCTTCCCAGCTTCCTTACCGACATCGATGTCAACCAGGATGCAGGAGCAAACGGCTATGTCAGCAGTTGGAACGAGGCCACCGAGACCAAGATGGGCATCATGCACGCGGTATATGGTAACTGCCACCTGTGTCTGTCTGGTGCATGACATCTGAAGCCGTTGCATAGGACTTGGCGGACTCTGCTCTCCCCTGGTCGCAACTCAGTTCTCCGGGCAGCGTCACTGGTCATTCCACTACTTGACGTCGCTGGGAGTCGCTTCCATTAACACCGCTGTCCTGGTAGCAGTGCTCCGCTTCCGGAATCAGGATGGTAGGTGTTGCAAGGTCTTTGGTATTCTCGACCTACAGGCTGACCGGCCTGACATCTAGAATGCCTCGCCGAGATCGGACAACAACCGCCAGAGACGACGTCGGGGAGTAACGAAGGGAAGTATAGACAGATCTTCCGCCTGCGCGCCCTCCATCTCCTTGCGTTGTTCATCTTCATATATGTCGGTATCGAAGTTACTGTCGGAGGTCAGTCGCATGTATCGCCCTCTCAGACACACATTATTCAAATGCCCCATAACGGACGACAGGATGGATCGTCACGTACGTAATTGATGTACGCGCCGGCGGCCCGTCCTCTGGTTATATTTCGTCTGGTTTCTTCGGAGGTATGTCACGCCCAACTTTGGCGTACCGAAGCTCATACATCATCTAGGGCTGACCCTCGGTCGCGTCGCCCTTCTCTGGGTAAACAAGGCGGTAAGCTCCACTTCCCAGTGTACACCCCAACTCGTCTCACGCTGATCGTCACCGCCACCCAGGTCGGCGAGCGCTATGTCATCTTCATCTACGTCCTCCTCGCCATCGGGCTCGAGCTCATCGTCTGGTTCGTGCCTTCGCTCATCGGGGGCGCCGTCGCCGTCGCCTTCGTCGGCGTCGTCTTAGGGCCCATCTACCCGATCGTGATGAACCATTCAGGGCGCATCCTCCCGCCGTGGCTCCTCACGGGCTGCATCGGATGGATCGCGGGCTTCGGCCAAGCGGGCAGCGCGTTCCTGCCGTTCTTGACGGGCTTGCTGGCCAGCAGGGAGGGAATAAAGACTCTGCAGCCGTTGTGAGTAGTTTATCATGTGTTGGAGTGGCCATTACGCTTGAGTTGCTGATCGTGACATGGTGCAGGTTGGTGTCGATGATGGGTTTCCTGTTCTGCTTGTGGGCGATCGTGCCGAATCATGCGCGCAAAGTTGATTGATCATGGGAAGATTGGGTACCCTGTATTTTAACCTTTGGGCAGGCGTAGACCAAATCGTGCATGCAGTACGCAGGCGACACTACGAATGTGACTATGGGTGTCCACCAGATGTATTTGGGACCCGTGGCCTGTTGACATGTGTCTTGGAAAACGGTTCAGTAATTCGCTTCTTGCTTGCTTGTGCCGTATGTAGGCTCCGACATTACTGAGCTATCTCACCGCCGTTGAGTAGGAAAGGGCCGCCGATGGCGTCGTGCGAAATGCTCCTGATCTAACTCGCCATGCATGATGTCTTTTAATTATCCTGGCCATTGGAGGATCGCACGGTAAGATAGAAATGTGTACATGCGCCAGATATGAAGCAAAAGGTATATGGATGCGTGAAGGGTTAGTATGAAGTCACTACAACACAACGTGATCAATCCTCGGTGGCAACAGCGGTCTTGCAGGATATCTATGAAGGCAGTTCAGCTGAATACCGCAGCATAAGCCGGAAGCTACTCACGCTGCGGTACATGCCCGCTGCGACACAGCTAGGTGTATCATCCCCAAGGCTATTGACCCAATCATCATAGAATGCGCGGATACCATCGGCAAGCCTATCTCCGTCGCAACTACTCCGCGCACTGATGATCACCCGCTGGTCGTCGCTCCCCTCTTTCCCCTTCGCCATTCCTCTGAGTATCTCGAGCGTACCCTCGATATCCTTTGCGCCCGTGCAGCACAGTATCTCCATCTGCTCCAGGCCGCTCGCGCCACGCACCGCCGCGAGCTGGTCGAATGCATACTCGATCGCCGTGCGCGTGCTGTAAAATCTGCGGAGGCGCCGGAGGAACGGCGTGCTCGCGAGCTGCTGGACTTCCCAGTCGGAGAGGTACGTGTCCATGCTCGTCACGCAGCGCAGGGCTTGCGTGCAGCGCAGGTGGCGCGTGTCGAGGTGCCCGTGCACGGGCCCCACGTGGATCGACGTGACGCGCAGCGGAACGACGCCAGCGATGCGGTACATGAGGTGCTGCGCGAGGTTGACGAGCGCGACCGAAGTAAGGGAGCTGCACCGCGCGAGAATTTGGTGCAGCAGTGTGATGGGCCATGCGGTGGAGGCGTAGGAGAGGTCGCGCTCGGCGTGCGAGCTCTTGGGCCCGAGCCAGAGGTGCTGCACGGCGCTGTCGAGGGAGGCACTGGGTGGGGAGAGCCGGAGCGTGCGCTCGAAGGCTATGATTTGGCGTGAGGAGGTGAGGACGACAGACCGGTATAGCACGGGCTGGAGCCATTCGTGCGCGGTCTTGCAGACCAGGGATAAGGATGCGGCGAATGGTGCGTCTCCTACGCATGCGTGAAGAAAGACTGGTGCGCGATCGGTGAGCACGAGAATGCTCGGGCATTGAAAGATGTATACCCTACGGAGTGGGCTGTCAGCGCTCGAGCTTCAAGGGATGCGAAAATCGATACCGCTCACTTCGTGAATCAATTCTAAAGGAAGGACATGAGGGTACGATGCCTCCGAATCCACCGAACGAATCAAACCAAGCTCCATTGTGATTTGTCTGCGTGTCAATGTGTAAGAACGCACAAAGGATTCTGAATCAGGACGCAAATACGCACCTAGTTTACGAGTAGAAAGCTGAAGATGACTCACAGAACCCAAGCAAACAGACCGAGGTCAATCGCCACCTCTGTGGTATATAAAGGAACCGGGTGTACGTTGGAGCCCTCTCGGAACCTGCTCCTTACATCCGATGCAGTGCTCGCCCCTTTGAACCCGCGCAACAAGCCGAGTCCAGGAGTTCACTAGTCAGGAGATGGCGCGAGCCTGAGCAGAGTTAGTCACGCTGCACGCCGGACATTGATTGGGACTCAATTGCATAACTGGATACGAGATGTTACACATTAAATGCATCGGTGTCGTGGTAGTATTCTGTATACTATCTATGGCGGATGAGGACCCAAAGGAGAGCGTTTCCCAGTGAGCTCCAACACGTCGGCAGCGGCGGCGGACGAGAGATCTGGGCATCCGCCCGCCATCTCCAGAAATGGTAACATCCCGCCCTTTGTTTGGTTCTGCTATGCACGGTGGCGCAGCGATCTCACCGCCCGGTCCCGCCGCGTCTTGACTCTTGCCACCAGCCTGCCACACGCTCCGTGCTCTCCATCGCTCTCCTCAACATCGGGCCACTCGCCATGTCGTCGAGCAAGGTTTCCTTCACTATCCACCGACCCACAGCCTCTCGCGGGGACTCCGGCAGCACAGACTCTGCCCCCGAGGCCAACTTCAAAGTCCCGCCGCTCCCAAAGCGCCTCGTCGCGCCCAGCAACGGCGGCAGCCCGCTCAGGTCCTCCGCGCCCGCGCCACGGGCGCGTAGACACGATTACCATGCTCATGAGAAGGACAGCTCTGACGAGGAAGACGGGGAGACAGACGAGCTCGTAACAGGGTTTGACCAATCCGGTGTGCAGCGGTGCGTCCCCCTTCCCCTCCCCCGTTCTTTTTCCAGAGCGGTGCCGCAGCTCACAGTAGCCTCTCTCCATGCGACACATGCATACAGGTTACATGACAAGCGCAAGGCACCCGAGGGCCCACTCGTCATCCCCGCGCTTAGGAACAAAGACTGGCGCGAACTCGCGAGGAAGCGCAAGTCGCTGTATGTCCCGCCGCAGTCCGCCGCGACGGGCGCAGACGGGAGCGTCGGCGGCCTCGGCACGCGCGACGCGATCAACTCGGGCCCGCAGCTGTCCGGTCTGCAGGTGAACAAACGGGTGAAGCTCGACGAGGACGAGGGGTCCGTCCGATCTACCCCGCCCGCGGACGAAGGCGCGCAGACTGCAACGGAGAGCGTGAAGAAGGAAGAAGAGACGGAGGACGCGCGCGCCCTCCGTGCCATCCTCGCATCCACCGCGAACGGTGACGACCCAGACGCACCCCACATCGACGCCATCCCGCTCGCCACGCCCGCGCCGAGCGAAGACGACGTGTACAAGCAGGACGTCGAGGAGCTCCCCGAGTCCGCATCGCTCGAGGACTACGACCGCGTGCCGGTCTCGCAGTTCGGCGCTGCGCTGCTGCGCGGGATGGGCTGGAAGGAGGGCATGGCCGCGAGCAAGAAGAACCGCGGCCCCGTCGAACCGTACCTCCCTCAGGCCCGTCCGGCGCTCCTGGGAATTGGCGCGAAGGAGAAGGAGGTGTTAGATGATGGGAGTAAGGGGAAGAAGGGTAAGGGCAGGCCGGAGAGGCGGTATGTGCCCGTCATCAAGAAGGAACGCGCCCGGGATGGTAGTGAGGATAGAGAGAGGTCATCAACGAGGTCATCCTCGCTTGAACGCCGGAAGGACCGGGACCGGGACGGCGATCGGAGAGACAGAGACCATGGCAAGGACCGGGAGCGCTACCGGGATAGGGACAGGGATCACGGGAGGGACAAGGAGCGGGACCGGGACCGAGACCAGCGAAGGGACGACAGGGACTACGGCTATGACAAGGACCGGCGGAGAGATCGTCGAGATGGCGATCATGACTCGTCGCGGAAAGAACGCGATAGTCGTAGGGATCGTTCACCAGACCGATCCGACTCGGACAGGCGGAGGGACAGGGATCGCGACCGTAGATATTGAACGGTCCGTGGTGGTTGGATGTGTGCGTGGTGCGCACTTCTACTTTGTGTACGTTGTGGCGTTCGACTGATCATGGTCGAGTCTTCAGTTAATATGTCTCTAGACTGATCGGTGTACTCTGTTGTCCGTCTACCAAAGACTCAGAGTCCTCGCGGGTTAGCATAGAATCGCAGTGATGGTGTGTATATATATGTGCTGAATCTTCCAGAATTGTGCGCAAGGCATGAACGTTGAACTGTGTACACAGTCAAGATTGTATGAAACGCTAGATGACAATCCGACCAGCGCAGGGCTGCATTTGCCAGTAAACGTTGGTATCGACCTCGTCGCGCCTTCGAACCTACAAGTTTACTACAACCTTGGTCCGTGCGTTCGCCCCTGCGGTTGGGCCCCACCCACCGTCCCCCGCCGCGTCCTCCGCGGCCGCCGGCCGCCGTCCCCCGCATTGCGCACGATTCCGAAGAGGTCCCTGGGAGTAGTTGCGGTCGTGCACGTGCCCATGCCAACCGTGAGGATTCTCAAGTGGTCTTCAAGCTCAAGGCTTTGGGAGATGTCGGCGACGGCCTCCACCATCCCCCGCGCAGGCAGCGGCTACGTGCGCGCCGCGTACGCCATAGCCCCGCCGGGTGGCCGCCCTCGCTGCGCAGGCCGCCCGCTGGCGCTCGCCCGCCGACCACCAGTCTCATGCACGTACAGCCAACATGCCGTGACCACGCCATTTGTGGTACCCGTACGTTGTGCCTTTCGCATACGCATCCGTACGCGAAATCGGCGCTTGCGTGCCCTCGGACCCATCCCACCAGGCTGTCGCAAGTGTATGTGTGCGCACTACTTTCGCGTACGGATTCGTACGCAAAGACAAGCACTCTGTGAGCAACGTCGCACAGGTTCTCTCTTACCGCCCTTGGCCGCGGCCTGTCACCTCCGGGTCACCATGCCCCCTGGCAATGGCCGATCGCCCTTTGCGGCTGACGATGCTCATCTGCGCCTGATGTGCCACTAGGACATCATCGGGAGCACGATATGAGCATGTGCTATCCAAACTCTCGATACCCTCGCAAGGGAACAGGCTCCAAGGAGCCTGGAGGGATGTCACTCGCAATCAATCCTTTTAGGGAAAGTGCCCATCGCCTTACCGCACACGCTTCTTTTTTTCCTCCCAACGTCCTTGTTTGCTCTCCTCTGGAAATCGTCCTTCATCATGGCCAATCTCAACAGCTCAGATCTCACCATGCAGTTTGAGCAGGACGCTGTCGTGATGGCAAAGCCCGGTGCGGTCCCCTCTGCTCCGCGGAGCTCTTCGTTGGCAGTATGCAACATAGCTCCAGCACCCGCCCCTGTGAGTTTCTCTGTGCCAGCTTCTCTTCGGTCTCTGCACTGCTGGGCGAGTACGCATATAACGATCGCTCTAGCGATACGGCTATGGTAAGGGCACGACGTTGCTCTGCCGCGGGCGCACCGTCGCGAAGGCCTGCGTTTTCGCGGCGGGTTTTCATGTTCTATTTGCTGCGCCAATGACTATATGCTGACCGTCATCAAGGATGTTGCCGGCACTGAGGTACTCAAGGCTTGTAGCCACCAAGATGTCAAACAGGCCACCTCAGAGACGACGGCGCCGGTCAGTGGACTGATTATTCGGCGTTGTCCCTGCTCAGCCCATGTATTAGGAGGCTGCAGATGCCTCAAAGACCGTGCAGAAGCGCAAGGGCTCCACCATCACCGAATTTCCAGACACGAAAAAGCCAAAGGGAGAGGGAGAGGGTAGAGAGGCTGACGCCGTGATCATCGCCGAAGTAAGCGCATATACTCCGCTTGTTCATGTGCTTCAGAAACCCACTGACGGTTACAACACCAAGGACTCTGATGATGCCTCGTCCTCATCCGGTTCCTCGTCCTCATCGGACTCCTCATCCTCCTCGGATGACGATTCTTCGTCGGATGACGATTTCATCGGACAATCTCAGCAAGACAGTTCATCGGAAGACGAGAGAACCCTAGGTGTGAAGTTCAAGGTAGTAAGCCTTTGGCTCGCCCGTGTGATTCATCACTAATCTCTTTGTCAGATAACTCAACAGGTCGTCGCCGTCCCGGCCGAGTGGGGACTACATGGCGCCGATCAGGTAACTCCCTCAATGAGGTCTGTTGAAGAAAAAGTAAGGGCGCGGTTCTCGCATGATCGTGAATATCAGCTCACCTCCCGCAGGCCCTGCGCTTTGAGGACCTTCGTCTTCGGATTCACGCGTTCAATTGCGAACGTGCTGCGGTCACCGCTGATCTCATGATCAAGCACGCCAGGCTCCAATCCCAACTTCGTACGGACGCAACCACAGCTGCCGCGTACCAGATGAGAGCATGGAGAGACTACTACACCGCCAGCAAGGCCGCTGGAGAGCTCGGCGAAGAGATACCTCGTCCAGTGTTCCCTGCCACTCTGGAATCGTTCGAAACGTTCCTGCCCGATATCTCAACCCTTCTCAAAACATCAATGGCTCCGTACTCTCCAGGCTGGATCAACCTCGGGCATGGCCAATCAGCTCCTGAAGGCTCGTCCGCGACTACGGGAAGCTCTGCCGCGACTACGGGAAGCTCTGCCGCGACTACGGGAAGCTCTGCCGCGACTACGGGAAGCTCTTCCACGACTACTGGAAGCTCTTCCACGACTACTGGAAGCTCTTCCACGACTACTGGAAGCTCTTCCACGACTACTGGAAGCTCGACTCCTGCAGCCTACAACCTCCGTGCCACTGACTTGGACAAACATGTTCAGATTCATGTTGCCGGGGCCGACATAAAGGGCCAGAATACCGACTTTTCGCTCCAAGATTAAGTACAGATCCAGCCCATCCCAAGTGCCTCGTTTCGGACTCGTTCTCGGTTTGGACTCGCTGTCGTTCTGGACTCGCTCTCATTGTAGGCATGCTGTCGTCTCGGGCTCGCTCTCGTCTAAGCCGCTCAAAGGCTGTACTGTGTATATTTCTGGCTGTAATCCCTGGACAGCACTTTACACCGTGTCTGCCTTCCGAATCTCTGTACTATAATTCATGCCCCCTAGCGTACAAACGCATCTGTTCGTGCACCTGGCGCGCAAGTTAAAGCCTCCGCTCAGTTGCAATGAGATGTCAGACAAGGATGTTACAATCACTGCCATTTGTTGGTCTCCGTTCCTTGGTCAATAATGGAAAGCCATATCTACGCACCTAGTAGCCTCTTCTTCTCTGGATGTGCCGTGCCAATGCGTGAAATTGGCCGCGTTCAGCTCGCTCGCCAAGGGCAGCTTCCAATGTCGCGCGCATTTCTCGAGGAGAAGCCCGATTCAACGCCACGTCTCGAACCCCGAAGCCCAAGTTGAAGGAGGAGGCGAAGACGGTGGCGCAGGCCACCGCACTTGTGATGTCAGCATGAAGTCATCCCCACTCCCGCCCACGCAGATACTGGAGAATTGGCGTCCGAGTTTATATATCAACTGGTGGTCTCGGGGCCTGGCTTTCTTCAGCACTTTTATCTCGACTTACACGACTCTTGACGAACACCTTCTTTCAATCGTATTCTCTGATAAAATGACCGACCCCACGTACGCAGGAAAGAGCAACGAGCAGATGTACGTGGGCTTCGCTACGTCTTGATACACCCAGTTACTGACTCGGACTTCTGGGATGCAGCATCAACGAGCAGGCCGCCTCGCTCGAGGAGAAGAGCCACTACCAGCATGGCGCGCGCTTCCACCGTACGTCCTCACCTTCCTCACCATCTTGTACTCACACGCGCCTCAACGCGAGCAGCCGGCGGCGCAACGGCCACCTCGCTCGAATCGGGCGTGAACGAGTCCGGCGTGGCGGGCTTCCCGACCGCGAGCGGGATGGAACAGGTCAGTGTCGGCCGGACGGGCCAGACGGGCGGTGGCACGAGCGACCAGGTGCGTTGAGTTCGTCAAGGGTACTGTGGGCATGAATGCTGAGCGTGTGCGTAGTGGATTCCCCCGAGGGAGGGTGGGGACCATAAGACGGGAGAGGACCGCGCGAGCGCGTTCGGTGGTGGAGTGAAGTATGGACCTACGGGGAGTCGTCAGTAGAGGTGTCGGTCGGATTGGGGCCCGGTGAGGGGCCGGTGTTGCAGAAGAAATAAAGTGTATACATAGCATTGAACATCTCCTGGGCTGTATAGGCCATGTGGGGTAACGACTACAGCAGTTGAGCCCTGTAGGTCCTGCGTAGAATGCATGAGCCAGAACAACAATGATTGAGTCTTGGCGCCCTGTACACACGTTCGTCTATACATGATGAGACAATGGCGGTGCCCCCTCTAGTAAGTACGAGCCATCCCATTCGTGGCATCGGTCCCGATGTCAACTCGCAGCACCGGCACTTGTTTCGGGAACACAGTGACGCGGAGGGCGGGTCTATGCGACCGTTCGGGCGGTGTTGTCATTGTGGGCCTGAAACCTCGAGTACTAGTAAGAATACAGTGTCAGAGACATGGGATGGATTGGCACCTTGGCAGCAACTTGTAGTGAGTGCTGGTGTGAAGTCCATCGAGGCGCCATCGGGTGATGTTGACGACGGGCGGTGATTGAGGACGAAGACGCGGAGCGATGGGGAGGCCGGTGAACGAGCGATATTGAGTCGCAACACGGTGCAGGGAGTAGTCAATGGTCGGCGTTTCATACGATGAGCTATAGGACTTGTGTCATATGCCTCGCGCGTTCGTGAGTGCACATGTGAACGCTTCCTGTTTCAAGAGCTCTGTCGACGTACGACGCAGAGCAGTCAACGATACTCGAGACTCGAGAAGGAGCGCACGTGTGACAGCCACGTAGATTTCAGTCGAATGTCAGTGCACCGCCGCAGCACTGACTTCTACGGACTCGCTCACCAAGCGATGATATGAAACGAGCATCAACAACAGACGATGATCAGCGCTCTTCATGACGGACTCGCTCACCGCGGTGTGAAGGCCATGGGGCAGAAGCTTCAGACCAGTGTCCGCAGCCAGCAAATGAAATACAGGTGCCCGAAAGCAAGGGTGCCCCAAATATACATCTCAATGTCAGGAATACCTCCGGCCAGCGTTTCTCGGTGTACGAAGGACGAAGAACGGTCTTCCAACACGCTGAAAACATAGAAGGAATCTTCGTCGTGCATGCGCGTCGAGTCTGGGCTGCCAGAACGTGGTTACGGCGATAGTCAGCAGCGCCGAGCCTCTGGGGAGGTCCCCGCGACTGGGTTTCCAGGAGGTTCCTGCTTCTGCCCGCTGCCCAGCGTGTGTCATAACCACGAACAGCACCAGTTCCGCGGCGGATAGCTGGGAGAGATAGCGAGTGGCAGGCAAGCGATCTTCGACTCAGAACGTGAAGCCCAGAGTCCGCGACGGGATGATCTCACTCGCGGCACAGCCGCCCCGCGCGCGACCGAAAGCGGACAGATGCGTCCCGCGCCGCCAAGGCCGCAGAAACAAAGGAGGCCTGTGCAGAGAGGGGGCAAGGGGCAGGGCAGGCGCGTCCGAGACTGCGGTGCAGAGCGGTGGCACTGGCGGCCGAGCGAAAGGCTCGGGGGAGGCGGGTGGCGCGCAGGCTGTGAGCGCGACCGCGTGTGTTTGCGCGTGTTTGCGCACCGCATCGCGATCCGCGCTGGAGGACAACCGCGGGGGGCTGTCGCCGGGTGCGTATATAACCTCGCCTCCACCTCCCCTGTTCTTCTCCCTCGCCTCCTCCTTGCCTCGACACCCCATTGCTTTAGGTGTGTATGCGCGTGGTTCATCTGCGTGAGAGGGTCGCTGATGCGCCGTGTATGCGTCGTAGATTGTTCACGAACCCCTACACGACCGACGAGATGTGCGGCATATTTGCGTACTGCAGTTTCCTCCAGGAGAAGGTATGTGTTGTGATATCCAGGATACGTCTCGTGTCTTTGCTTTTGCATCTATGCGACGCGCTTCGCCCCGTGTCGCCCCGCCGGGTTGGTTGGGAACGACACTTCGCTGCGACTGTATGCTGCAGACGCGATGGGGCGCTTGCCAAGGCGCGTTTCGGCGTCCGTTGACGCAGTTAGGTCCATTGGCCCGCATTGACGATGTCGTTGCGATGGGCGGCGCGCACGCTGGTGCAGACGTGGCATTCGATCGATGTGCACGCGTATGACGCGTTCGCGCACAAGTTGTGGCGGGCTTGGCGGCGAAGATGTGGCTTAGGCCAACAACTCACTCAAGGATGTCATTGTTTGTTCAGTTTGAAGAATCATGATATACGCTTTGCTCTTTGTGAACTCAACGTGTTCACTGGAAACTGAGAGTGTTATTCGTCTTGTACCCTGCCACTTGCTATGTGAAACCCACTCTTGGGTGTGCGGGATCTGACACTGTTGTATAGGACCGCAAGACGATCTGCGAAATTCTCGCCAATGCCCTTGCGCGTCAAGAGTACCGAGGCTATGATTCTGCGGGCATCGGCATCGACGGCGACAAGCCCGGCGAGATGTTCTTCTTCAAGGAGGTCGGCAAGGTCGCTGGCCTCCGCAAGAAGATCGCCGAGTCAAGCGTCGACACGTCCAAGACGTTCCTTTCGCAGGTCTCCATCGCGCACACGCGTTGGGCGACGCACGGCCCGCCGTCAGTGGTGAACTGCCACCCGCTCAAGAGCGACCCCAAGGCCGACTTCACCGTTGTCCACAACGGCATCGTCACAAACGCGAGTGCGCTCCGTCTCGTCCTCCAAAAGCGTGGCTACAAGTTCGAGAGCGACACGGACACAGAGGCGGTCGCGATCCTCACGAAGTACATTTATGACTCCCAGCCAGACAAGTGCATGAGCTTCACGGAGCTCATCAAGACGGTCCTCAAGGAGCTCGAGGGTTCTTTCGCGTTCGTGTTCAAGTCTGTCCACTACCCCAACGAGATCGTGACTGCCCGCCGTGGATCGCCCCTCTTGATTGGTGTGAAGACGGAGAAGAAGCTCAAGGTGGACTTCGTCGATGTCGAGGTTGCTGGTCCCGAGGAGACTGTCGATGCTCGTGAGTATCCTCGATCACGATACTTTGGCGCATATTGACATGCCATGCAGTCGCATCCCCTGTCCAGAACCGCCCGGGAGGCCTGCTTGCTCCCCCCTCTTCTGGCCCGCCCAACCTGCTCCGCTCGCAGTCGCGCGCATTCATGTCTGAGGACGGCATGCCGCAGCCGATCGAGTTCTTCGTCGCGTCTGACGCCGCGGCGATCATCGAGCACACGAAGCGCGTGCTCTACCTCGAGGACGACGACATCGCGCACATCGCCGAGGGCGAGCTGCACATCCACCGGCTGCGGAGCACGCACAATGAGGGCGCGCGCGCGACGCCAGCGCACCGCACGATCGAGACGCTCGAGATCGAGCTCGCGGAGATCATGAAGGGCAAGTTCGACCACTTCATGCAGAAGGAGATCTACGAGCAACCCGAGTCCGTCGTCAACACGATGCGTGGGCGCGTCAACTTTGACAAGAGCCAGATCACCCTCGGTGGCCTGCGCGCGTACCTCCCGATCATCCGCCGTGGCCGCCGCATCGTGTTCTGCGCGTGCGGTACCAGCTACCACTCGGCGATCGCGACGCGCGCGATCTTTGAGGAGCTCACGGAGATCCCCGTCAGCGTAGAGCTCGCGAGTGACTTCCTCGACAGGAAGACCCCGATTTTCAGGGATGACATCTGTGTGGTCGTCAGCCAGAGCGGTGAGACGGCGGACACGATCTTGGCCCTCCGGTATTGCTTGGAGAGGGGCGCGCTGTGCGTCGGTGTCGTCAACGTGGTCGGCTCGACGATCTCGCGTGAGACGCACTGTGGTGTTCACATCAACGCTGGCCCCGAGATTGGTGTTGCCTCGACGAAGGTAAGGTGTACGCTTCGCGTCGTATGAATTTGCGTGCTGATATTCACCTCAGGCATACACCTCGCAATACATCGCGCTGCTCATGATAGCTCTGCAGCTATCCGAGGACCGTATCTCGCTGACGGAACGCCGGACACAGATCATCGACGGCCTTCACGCACTCCCTGGTCAGATCCGCAGGGTGCTCGAAGGCGATTCGAGCTTGCAGGAGTTTGCCACCGGTGTGCTCGCCAACCAGCGCAGTCTCCTGCTCATGGGGCGCGGGTACCAGTACGCGACGTGCCTCGAGGGCGCGCTCAAGATCAAGGAGATCTCGTACATGCACTCGGAAGGCATCCTCGCGGGCGAGCTGAAGCACGGGCCGCTCGCGCTGATCGACGAGAACATGCCCGTGATCATCGTGATGACGCAGGACTCGCTCTACCCGAAGGTGCAGAGCGCGTTCTCGCAGATCACCGCGCGCAAGGCGCAGCCGATCGTCATCTGCAACGAGGACGACGAGGACATCCCCAAGGGCGTCAAGACGATCCGCGTGCCCAAGACGGTCGACTGCCTCCAGGGCCTCCTCAACATCATCCCCCTCCAGCTCCTCAGCTACCACCTCGCCGTGAAGAACGGCTTCGACGTCGACTTCCCGCGCAACCTCGCGAAGTCGGTGACGACGGAGTAAAGGCATATTGCGCGCGGATGGATGTCACATGGAAGCTGGGAGGGATTAGGAAAGACGGACCTTCGCATTGTTGTTGGACGCTACTGTAAGACTTTTGACTACCGACTTTCGGATACCTCTGTTTGGGCTCTCACGTGTGTAAAAGTAAAGGTAACGGAATATTAGACCTTTCCAATCATGCATTCGGCCCTGCTCTGTCTACACGCAAGCGCAGTAGAGCTCCAACTGCACCATCCGTACGTAGATCGACCATTCTGGGAACTGCGCCCTGGCGAATACGGAGAGGTCCTCTCCGCCTACAAAGCGGCCCATCCACTCCTGCAACTCAGTGTCTAATCCGGTGCCACCCTCGCTCAGGGAGCAGTCCCATTGTATGCGGTGCGTTTGAAAGTCCGTAACGGCGGCAGGGGTGTGCATGATGATACGCCTTGCAGCGTTGTCGCTGCCCGCTTCGAACCAGGAATTGTCATTGTCGGACGTTTGCAAGCCTACGAAAGAGGGAAACGGTCAAACCAACAGTACGCGGCCTCCGCAGACGGCTGTCCCTGACGAACCACACGATGAGGGACAGGCATACCTCGAGAGCACGCCTCTATCTTGAACACGACCCTGCGCAGCGGTCTGTGTTTCTTCACGAACGGCGGCAGCTTCGCGGTGCAACAGTGCGTCTCCTGTATCGCACCACTGTCTGCTCCGACCGACAAGATCACCCGTCTGCTGTGGCCAATCGAACAAACCCAGTACTCGGCCTCGTCCAAGATCGCCCACACGAGTGGGAGGGGCAGCCCCAGACAGGCGTGCAGTATGTGTTGCGCCTGCAGGACGTCGTCGTCATCTAGAGGAGCGTAGCTGCCATGCGTTGCTAAGTACAGGTCTGGGGGATTGACTGGACGCGACCTGACATACGTTTGCGCAGCCCTCAGCCCTGTAATGGTCTCCTGCAACTTCCCCGCTATGCTCTTCATCCGCTTTGCTGGGAGGCGCTGCGGGTCGGAGCGCTGCCCGATGCCAGTGCCCGACCATCCGTGCAGAAGCCTGGAAAGTCGAGTACACAGGCTTTGTGAGGCACTGGCATCGAGTATCACAGAGAGCAGCCTTTGTTCGGTGATTTGCAGCGTCAACTCGTCTGGCCATGGGGCCAAGCGCATTTGCATGACTAGCCGCTTAACCTCCTCCAGTTCTTCGAGCAACGGCTCGCAGTTGGACCAACGTGAGCCGAGAATCTGGGATAATGCGGCAATTGCACCTTCATTCCTCGACGCGATGTCGACGCGCATGTAGTAATAGTACGATCCGACTCGGATTGGACGCGGGCGTCGAGGGCACATACTGTATGTGGGGCGAAGGCAACCAGCGTAGCTGGTGAGTACACTTTACTCTTATAGCAAGCTCTCACGACCATGATACTCATCATTGATATCGACTACCTAGGGCATGAGTCCGACGGCAGCCTCTCACGTTCCCGGAGGCAGTGTACTTGGTGTGTGCAACTGGAACAGTCTCAATCGCCCTGGCAATGGCGTAATGCACACCAGTTGAATATGGCACGCTCATTGTCGCATAGACGTTGAAGTTCTATATGAGCTATCGCCGATTCCAGAAGCACCCTCCCACAAGCTCGTTCTGGCGTTACAACTAGACGCAGGCGCAGTAAAGCTCCATTTGCACTCTCCGTACGTAGCACGCCCCGGATCCTCGATACAGCACAGAGGCCCACAGGGTAAGCTCCTCTCCGCCAGTCAAGCGGCGCATCCACTGCTGCAGTTCAGCGTCAACTCCGGTCCCGTCACGGTCCCCATCATTGAGGGCGAGGTCCCATTGGACGCGGCGCGTTTGGAAGTCACGGCTGACGGGGTTGAGCATGACGACCCGCCTTGGAGCAGTAATGCTGCAAATTTCGAACCAGGAGCAACCGCCGGCATCGTTGGGGGTTCGCCAACCTAAACAATACAACAATTAGTCATAGACGTACTATGCCCTGTCAACCATCGACAGCCAATGGACTTGAACACGACGACGGTGCCGTACAGTGGACGTTGAAACGTTGAACATTGGCACATACCTTGATGATGTGATTCTATTGTGAATATGACCCTACGCAGCGGTCTGTACTGCTTCACTGATGATGGGATTCTCGCCGTACAGCAGGTCACCCCCGCCGACCCACCACCATTACCACGCATAATCAAGTCTCCGCAATGCCCGATAGAGCGGACCCAATATTCGGCCTCGTCAAAGATAGCCCATACGAGTGGAAGGGGCAGTCTCAGACGTGCATGAAGTATGTGTTGCATCTGGAGGACGTCATCGGCATCCCTGGGCGCATACCTATGATATGCCCGTCAGGTCATGCTGGTGATTTACGGTAGAGCTGAGCATGAATAGCGTACGAGCTGGATGCTTTCAATCTATCGAGGACCACCTGCAATCCTGCCGCTATGTGGTGATTCCGCTCTGGTGAGAGGTTCAACGGTTTGGAACGTGGTAAACTGATCCCCGGCCATCCTTGCAGACGTTTAGAAAGTCGTGTAATCCAACTGTCTGAGAGATCCATTAGGGGGCGAAATTGGTATTCAGCCCATACAATGGTCAACCCGTCCGATGCTAAGGACCGTTCCGAGTCTCTAGTCAGTCGCTTTATCTCCTCTAGTTTGTGAAGTAGAAGCTCGCAGTTGGACCGTTGCGAGCTGAGGGCTTCCGAGAATGTTACAATAGTAATCTCTAGCCAAGCCCGGCATGTCTCCCAGTCGATGTGGGAGGCCATGTAGTAGTGGTAGGAAGAAAGGTGTTATCGATGAGTCTGACAGTGAGTCGACCCGCTAGTAAATTTGGGGAGAGTCATCCGTGAGTTGGACTATGCAGTGCAACCAGTTCAGCTGCACAGTTTGCTTCCGAATACTCAGCACCAATCATAATATAGCAAAGACGAACGTGCACGGTGCACACTTGGTGTACACGCATGTGCTCCAACTCGGATAGACGCCTCAGGCTGCTCAATTGGACCAACATTGGCCGCCTCACTTCTTACGGACAGGCAATGCACGTCGTTGGTTAGTACTACTACAGTGTGACAAAACAGATCAGCTCATATGTTGTCTACCGACGTGAGTAAGTATTATTGTAGCTTTGATGTCTCAATTACCTATGCCAGTGGTGAACATTGGTGGTTTCCATTCACTAAGCCATCCGGTTCAATAAGCACCCGCGAACAAGCTTGTTCTGGCGTTACAACTAGTCACTAGACGCATGCGCAGTAAAGCTCCAACTGCACTCTCCGTACGTGGTTCGACCATCCTTGATACTGAGCCCTGGCGAAAACGGAAAGCTCCTCTCCGCCAGTGAAGCGGCTCATCCACTGCTGCAGTTCAGCGTCTGCTCCGGTCCCGTCCTCATTCAGGGCGAGGTCCCATTGGATGCGGTGCGTTTCGAAGTCGCGGCTGGCGGGAGGGTTGCGCATGATCACCCGCTCTGAAACGGTATAGCTGCCCGCTTCGAACCAGGTCCAGGATCCGTTGTCGTTGGAGGATCGCCAACCTGAACAAAAGAACAATTAGCGCACATAGTGTGAATCAGCCAGTGGCCAGAACGCGCAAGGATGCTGCATGTAAATCTGAACACGTAGTACCTTGATCATGAGATTCGATTGTAAAGACGATCCTGCGCAGAGGTCTGTACTGCTTCACGGACGATGGAATCCTCGCCGTGCAACATAGCGACTCCTCCATCGCTGCGCTGTTCGCGGCGACACTAAGGGGTCCGCAATGCGCGACAGAGCGAACCCAGTACTCGGCTTCGTCGAACACCGCCCATACGAGCGGAAGAGGCAGGCCCAGAAGATGATGCAGTATATGTTCCGTCTGCAGGACGTCATCGGCATCCCTAGGAGCAAAGCTGTGATGTGCCCGTCAGTTTGTGCGAGTGATATCGAAGAATATATAGCACACGGGCAGCATGTCTTCAGTCCATCGAGGATGATCTGCAATCTCCTCGATGCACGGTTGATCTGCTCTGGTGAGAGGTTCACCGCTCCAGAATGCAAGTGTGGTTCGCCGGTCCCCATCCATCCTTGCATCAGTCTAGAGAATCGAGTGCTCAAACTCTCCGAAATGTCGATATCGGCCATCACGGAGTGAAGTTTGTATTCTGTCAACTGAAGAGTGGACACGTCCGAGGACATGTACCGTTCCTTAGCCAGCCGATTAATCTCCTCCAGTTGATAAAGTAGCAGCTCGGAGTCACTGGCAGAGCATCGTGAGCGGAGTGCTTCCGAGAATGCTGCGATGGCCACTTCCATCCTACGTGAGTTGTCGCGGTGTAAGTCTAGCACGAGGAGAGCTGTTGTTGGCTTTCGAGTCGACCCAGCCGCGACTGCGAGTGCAATCAGTTCGAAAGCTGCACAGTATCAGTGACAAGAGCCCTCAGGCAAGTTCAACTTCGGGTGACACTGAAAGAATCCGCCACTGATGTTGTTGACGGTTGTTGTGCAAAGGCTTTGACGCCCACCGCTACGCCGACACGTGGGCACGGCGCTGCCGCCCGCGACACCATCTCGTTTCCTCGTTTCCACTATGACGTGTTTGCCGCCACTGACTCCGCCGACACCGCGCGGGATGGCGTCGACGGTCCTAATGTGTCACTTAGAACATCCTCATGACAGGAACAGAGCTGTGGGTCGCCGCGACTCGTGGGACGGTGGGGCAGCGTGGTGTCCGACTCCAGATTACTCGGGTAAGGCGTCATTTTGGAGCGTAGCGCAGCGGACTCCGCACACTACAACATGGTACGCATATAAAGAGAGCACTTTGCAATCCATGGTCTCTCCTGTAATCTCAACTTTACGAACCGTCACGACTCACGACCTCACTCACTCACTCAACATCTCAACACAATGCCCCTTTTTAAGAGCAAGGTTAGTGTCGTTCGCCAGCTGTACATAGCGGCGCTGATACCTTACCGTCATCTCTAGGCCCAGAAGGCTCAGCAGGCCCGCGACGCCGATGCCACCCACCATGACATGAACGACCCTCATACTGCACCTCATGGTCACGGTGCTGGTGCTGGTGCTGGTCCCGGTGTCGGTGCTGGTCCCGGTGTCGGTGCTGGTCCCGGTGTCGGTGCTGGTCCCGGTGTCGGTGCTGGTCCCGGTGTCGGTGCTGGTCCCGGTGCTGGTGTTGGTGCTGGTGCTGGTCCCGGTGCTGGTCCCGGTATTGGCGCGAACGACTACGCGCAGAATAACAATGTCCCGGGACATACTAACGCAGTTGGCCGTCACGAAGGCGGTGGCCGTCACGTACGTCGCGCTCCCGCGCCTTGCGGCCTCCACATCTGACAGTTCCCAGCAGCACGACAACGTGAACGCCAACAACGCTCCCCCGGGATACACAGGCACCGGTCACCACAACGGCGGCCCTGTCGACCGTGCCGAGCAGCACGTCGAGAATATCGTCGGCGCGAAGGCCGTGCGCAACCAGGCTGGTGATAAGGAGTCGGAGGTGAACGCCATCAAGGCGCAGAGCGCAGAACTTACAGAGGCAGAGCGCCTTGAGCGGGAGGCGAAGATGCATCGCGACCGTGCTGTTGCCGGTGGTGAGTGTTTATGTCAAACGCAGTCTGTACCAGACGCTGATTGTAATACAAGGTGCACACCCCGCGAATCAGCGTCTCGGCGCTGGTTGGGCGAACTAAACAGCGCGATCAAGTGGTTATTGTACGATACCGATTCGAATTGTAGCGTTAGTATATATGCATGGTCGGATCTGGACCTGTGATTGACGAATATGTTACCATGTCAAGTTCGAGTGATTGAACAAGATAGTTGTACAAAAACTCTGCGTATTGACCTCAAGAAATCCCATCAATACTCGAGTTCAGGAACGCGTCCACCCCACTTGTTCGCCGCGTCCGGGTCGTACTTGTAAGTGTCGGTCCCATAACCCATGAGTGCCTCTACCACACGGGGTAGATCTTCCCTCATATTGGCGTTGTAGTAACGAACGCAGTACATCAGAGGTTTCTCATGCCTCACTACGAGAAGGTTCCCTCCCCAACTATGCGGCGCCATTCCTCGAGTGAGGGATTGAACGCAACGATTCACCGGAGATCCGTTGATTGAAAAACAATCGTCGTATCTGAGGGCAAGGTTGTAGCCGGTGGTCCCGGTGACTGCCCCGCCGCCGAAGTCGAACGAACGAACGAACGTCTCCCCTTCGAGGTCGAACCACTCGCGTACATCGAGGCGATGCATGATGAAGAATGATGGGTCGAGGTAATCATCGCTGTCATCATGCCTCACGTCGCAGGGGACCTTGACCATGCGCGGCATATCCTCGTCGACGGGGAAGAGGATCGCGTCGATCGTGATGGGTCGCGCCTGAACGCCCTCTGCAGGCACGCAGAGTCGCTTGTGACGCTTCCAGTCCTGAAGATGAGTACTGAGATCGGCGACGATAGCCACGGGCACAGACTTCAAGCCAAGACTCACATTGGCAATGTGCTCCTTGCAACAGTAGTATACGTCTTTGCAGCGAGAGCACCTGGTGGATGCCTTCGCACCGCACATGCGGCATGTGCCTGTACTCGCGGCTACGTCGGGTGTCGACATGGTGCAGTCAAAGGGATATGCAAGAAAGAGATATGAGAAGGTGCGCACCTTATTATATGTCTTCCTCGATTTGGATCCTGAGGCCTGACCCGATGAACTCTAACCTTGATCAGCACTCATTAGGAGCGCCGGAACGTTACTTCGGGTTTCGTTTGAGGGGACTTGAACCACCTGAGTGGTCATCTGCGATCCAATATTTCTTGAGATGGTCCGGGATAGGAGGCTATTCAACTGCGTCGCAAGTACTGGTCAGCAGAACTAGTATCAGGGAAGAGGTCCGTTAGTGACATTTGGGTACACCATGCGCCGGAGGTCGCTCCGAGTCCTTCTGCGTGGTAGCCTGTATAGAGGCTAGTATTAAAGTCCCTCCAAAATTGATATAAGCTGTCAACGTTGAACGTTATAAGCCTTTTTCAAAGTCGCTGTGCGGTGGTTGCTGTACGGCTGTGCCGCCGTCCACAGATTACTAGTGAGAGTCGAGACCGCCGAGGCCGAATGAGGTCTGAAAATGATCTCGCCGATTATGGGTCCGGCAGATGCCGGGCCATTGTCTGGCCACACAACTCACCGCGATGCTGCTCAAGCTCGGATTCTCGCCCGAAGTTCCCTCCTTCTGCTCATAGCCACTGATACTGTGCCACTGGGATCTGGATCTCAATACCAGTTAAAATCGTTTGAGCTGTCGTTCAACGCCGCAAGGTTAGTGAATCGGCAACGAATGCATTTAGTGACCCGAGTACTTCTGAACATCTATTTGTAGGTCACACCGTGACGCTCATTGCTGGGCTGTCAATCAGTCATGTCGGCAGTGGCTATATCTCATTCGAGGCTGCCTCTTGAAACATGGGACAACATCATTGAATGCCTCTGCGAGGATCGCGATGACAACGCCGGCACGCTTTTGGCGTGTAGTCTCACTTGCCATGCCCTGCTTTCTGCCTCCCGACGCCACACATTCTTTCATGTCTGTCTCCGCGACACGGCACGCTATCACTCATTCAAATCCCTCATCAAAGGACCCAACTACGTTGCGCCACATGTCCGTGCGCTCACTGTCCGTGGGACCCGCTCGAGCGACCGCGAACTCAGGAGGTTCCCGTCCAATGGACAGTGGCTACACCTTCTTCCGACATTGACACGCCTCGCACACCTCCGATTGTATCAATTCTCATTTCTTATCCCTCGCAAACTGAAGAGCGATGTAGGCGCCCTCGTTAGAAACTTACGGACCCTGGACCTAACCTTGACTTCAAGCCGAGCAGAGAGCCTCGCATCGTTGTTACGTGCATGCGGCGACGGACTGTCGAGTATCATACCCCGGTCAGCACCCCGGTCGCTCGAAGACCTGTCGTCTCTACTGTCAACCCAAAACGGCGCGGATTGCGCTATCAGGTCGATAGTGTGGAATCCTGGCGGTCCCGCTGATGCGGGACTATCCACGTCCTTGGCGACACTCACGAAATGGCTCGATCATGGACGGCGATCCCTCCAGAAACTGGCCATAGCATGGATAGGTTCGAAGTATACGCCACTGTCGCTCACGCAAAAGCTGCTCAGAGATTCGGAAAATTCACTCGAACATCTGCATCTCCACTTCGCCGAGTCGAGAGATGGCCACGGTAGCTCAGCTGCCTTCCTCAACCTCAACGGCAATACTCGTCTCAAGACACTCCATATCGTACTCTACGTCGGTCGGCTGCCTGACGTGACTTGCATGTTGGCCGCGCCGGCGAGCTCTGTCAATATGTTCGTCAACCTTACGTACCTCGTCATCCGGATCGTCATACGAAGAGATACCTTTATCAGGATGGCCAGAGAATGGCGAACTTTCTGCAAGGAGATCGACGGCCTGTGTTCCGCTCGGCCTCTCATCAACTTCGAGTTCCGCCTTGACCTCAGAATCAGCATGCACCCCATCGTGCCGATCACTCAACTTCCCGAAGACCTTCGAGCTATGATGGAGACCATTGCTGCGCTGTTTGTGGAGGCAACCAGCGGACTGGCTTCATGCCTCCCGCCACCTGAGAGGACGGGAGGGCGCGTGCGGTTCGGCATCATCTGGCTGTGGGGCGGGAACTTGCCCTTTGCTACAGCCTTCGATAAACAACACTGTCCGCCGGAGTACTTCCTCGGTGATCCGGAATGGTATCGCAGCAACGAAGCTCCCTGGGACTTCCGGTGAGTTAATACGACTACTGTACGGTGTGACGCTGAGTTGATATCATGTAGTAGAGCATGATTGCTGCTGCGAGAACGGGAACGGGAACGAGAACGAGAACGAGCGTCGAGAACGAATGTCCTGGATGAGTGCGAGGTTATCACCGGAAGACATTATTGGTCACATGCATTCCGACAGCACCGCCAGTTCAAACCTAGAAACGCGGTGTCAGGCTGTCATAGTATCACCAATCTACCACCTACTAGTTTTTGCACGTGTATTTGGGCCGATGTAACCCAGTTATACTATCTTACCTCATAGAAGATAATGCGAGACATCGACTCGAAGGACAAAGGAATACCGCGTCAACGGGCCTCGATCCGCCACAGGCGCGTCAGTGGCACTGACGCGCCTGTGGCGGGTTGAGTCGGCAAATGCCGAGTCATAGACGCGCAACACCCACTGGGCAAATTGGGCGCGTCGCGATGTGTGTCGTTTCAGCCAGCTCCACATAGTAGTGAGTAGCGTTTGCATGGTATGGTTTGCCATTGACGATTGAATTTCTGCAGCATCCGAGACAGTGTCATTCTATCCGCATCATGGCGAGTATGTTGACACGACGTTCTGTTCGCCGGGGTTTGAGAAGCGGTGGTATGTCTTACGGAGTCTGCTGCTATATAGGCGTTACTGAACAACACTCCCATGTTGAAGAGCTCACCTCCGGCGCACGCGACGCTTTGCAGTTACCTCTCGAGATATGGGATCATATCGTTGATTTCCTCCACGACGACCGAGACGCGCTCCTGTCCTGCAGTCGAACTTGCCGCGCACTGCTTCCCGCATCCCGCCGCCATGCGTTTCGGCACATCACTCTCTATAATGCGAGCCGCTACCATTCATTCAAGGCCATCGTCAAGAAGCGCAACTACGTGCAGCCCCACGTTCGGGTCCTTACTATCCAAGGAAGCGACCGACGGGACCGCAACTACCGGTCGTTCCCCGCGAATGGCGAGTGGTTGCACCTCCTCCCGAGGCTAAGCCGCCTCGTGCACCTTCGACTACGCAGCTTCCCGTTCTCCATTCCCGACAGTCTGAGGAACGGCACTCTCACCTCAGTGACGTCCCTGCGTACGCTGGATTTGACGTCAATGGGCGGTAAGACCGACGAACTTGTGGCATTGACTTGTGCCTGTGAATCCCTGTCGACCCTAGTACTCGTCTCGACGCCGACCTCGCTGGTGGAGTCCGTCTACCTACTATTCCCTGTGGACGACTTGCGCAGGGGGAACATCAATACGTTCATCTGGGATCCCGTCGCTGCTGCCAGTGAGAAAATGCTTTCCTTGGGAGCGTTCGTCCTCCATGCAGCGGAGCAACCCATGCGAAGAATAGCCGCGATGCGGATCGACTCGCAATCCACCCCTGCTCGGTACATACAACAGTTGCTCCTAGACTCGAAGGACACAATCGAAGAGTTGTTCCTCGGCTTCGCAGGTTCGGAGGACGCTCACGGTGAAGAATCCCTCTATCTCGACCTCTGCGTCTGCACCCGCCTCAAGGCGCTGCATATCACGTGCCCGATTGGCCGCGTTTCCGATGTATCCACCACTCTGTTCACATCCAGCCCACAGGATGCATTCACCAATCTTGCATCCGTCGTCCTCCGCATCGTCGCCCGCAAGGGAACCGTCCATCAATTCATAGAATGGCCAGAATTCGCTTCCGACCTCGAGGAACTCTGTCTGACTTATCCCCAGATCAACTTCACCCTCTGCTTAGATATCAGGATCAATGACCACTTCGTCCAGCATATGGGGGGCGCTCAGGTGACCTCTCTTACGAACTCGTACGCAGAGCTATGCTCCTCTCTCGTAATGCACCTCCCGCTTCCTAGCAGCACGGGAGGGAGAGTTCGGTTCGGCTTGGTCTGGCTGTGGGCTGGCGGGGATTCTCTGTTCTGGACGACCCATGATGGACGACCCTACCCACCAGAGTATTTCCTCGGTGATCCGCAATGGTATCACAGCATTCAGACACCTTAGATCTAGTGGTGAGTCCGCACTGCTATCTCATACCAGCTCGGTTTCAGTGAATGGTTAGTAGGATTCAGACGCAGGTTCGAACGGACAGGACTCTCTGTCATGCATGGATCGCAGGGTCAGCCTGGGCCCTGTGTAGGATACAGATGTGGGTTTGGAGACGCAGGCCACCAGTGTTTCTGGGGCATGAGTGCGTTTCTGGTATTACGCAAACACGCATTTGCGATCATGTACTTAGTATCACCTACAAACAGTGCGCTCGCGCATCCCGGTCCCCCTTGTCTGGTTGCAGGTCATTGAAAGGTTTCAGAATCGGTGTTGTGCTCATCGTGACCCACAGCGACTTTGACTTCATTACATGCCCCCCGCGGAACACGGTACAGCTAACGTATAACACTACTAATAGAATGACAGCAAAAGGATGATTTCACTAATTATGCGAGATTGCAGCTTCTGGCCTCCAACAGTGCCATGTTCGTCATGTCGCCCATAGCATATAGTACAGAGCAAGACCTCGAAATTCAGTGAATGGCCTTCACCCACTCTTTCACCGCCTTCTTCATACATCTCTCCAGATCCTCCGCCACGATCGTCCGGTCCGTCTGCAAGTCACTCATGTCCTCGCCATGCGCGCGGAACACCTCCAGCGCGGCCCCCGCGAGCTCCGGCCCGCGCTTGATGCCCGCGACATGCTCGCCCGCGACGAGCGGCGCACCGCCGGTGCCCTGGCCGGGCGGCGGGATCGCCCCGCGTGGCGCGACGGCCCAGCACATCTCGTGCATCCGCGTGCGGAGCACGTCGAGCTCGGGGACGGGTGCGAAGTTGATCGGGAGGGAGGAGGAGGTTACGCGGTTGGCGATCCCGGTTGCGCGCGCGGCGCCGGTCCAGGACGAGGCGGACCACACGGCTGTGATCTCGAAGGGCTGCGGGCGTGTGGTCAGGCATGGGCAGGAAAGGTAAAGGCGGGAGCACGCACCCCGGGTATGAAGGTGAGCGTGTCGAAAGCGAGGGCGAACGGCGCGAGGCAGGTAGAGATGACGCCGTTCATGATCGCACCCTTCTTTGCAGCCTTGACGAGCTCGGTGAATTCCTGCCGCACGTTCTCTGCGGGCCAAGACTTCGGGTATAGGAAACGCAGCTGTTCGGAGTGTTTAGGGTGTAAACGCGATGGGTGACATGAGTTGACATACCTCCTTCAGTTTCTTCTTGTTGGGTGTCCGTATAAGAAATTCGATGCGCGAGTTCTTCGTCGCTGACATGCCTTTCGATATGAGCTGCAGAACAGGTGGGTACCGCTCCGTATCGCAAGGAACCCGTCACTCACCCCTACGGCCTTTGCTTTGAAGCCTGTCTTCTTCTCCCTGGCTTCAGTCTCCTCCTTCTGCCACTTCCGGACTGCCTTGTCCTTCCAGCTCTGCTTCTCGCCCTCCTTCGGCGGTGGAAGTGGTGCAGCCAGCGGCGCATACATTAAGAATGGAGGCACCTTTGCGTCCTTCTTCGACGGTGGCCGGAGAAGCGTAGGGAACGGGATAAGCAATGCGACGGTTGGGTGGTCGGCCTCAGGCAGGTAGTCCGTGATGGGCTCGTCTACAGATATGCGGGACTCCATGGACGATCGCTGGGAGACGTCACCATAGCCGTGCTCGTCGTGCTGCGTCGCGGGGGCCTTCTCGTGGGCAGTGTCTGGCATGGCGAAGTGGACGGCCGTCGTCGCAGCGGGATCATTGGGGTACGCCTCACTGTTGGTCGTGGATTGTACATGGGACTCCATGGATGGTGGTTCGGAGACGTCGCCGTAGCCGTGCTCGTCGTGCTGCGTCACGGGGACCTTCTCGCGGGCGGTGTCTGGCATGGCAGGGTGGTCGGCCTTCGTGGCAGCGAGGTCGTCGGGGTGCGCCTCAGTCTTGGTCGTGGATTGTGTGCGGGACTCCATGGACGGTCGCTCGGAGACGTCGCCGTAGCCGTGCTCGTCGTGCAGCGTCGCAGGGCCATTCTCGCGGACGGTGTCTGGCATCGTGGGGTGGACGACCGTCGTCGCGGCGGGGTTGTCGGGATACGCCTCGGTCATGGTGGTGGTGGGCTGTGGCTGGAGAGGGCCCGCGTCGAGGCGAAGTAAGTAGAGTGTTCCTCGATCGGGCGGATCTGACGTCAGTCACGGCCGGGCTGCGCGCGCAGGCCCCTGGCCGGCCGGAAGCAGAATGACGTCCGGCCCCGGGCCGCAGCATGCTGACGTCGGCGTCCTGACCTGGACGGGCCATACAGCTGCCCCTGCTGTGCGGAGGGAGGCAAGTACTGTCAGCTGAAGGACGGCGTATAATATCGACTGTGTCATACCTGCATTCACCGCGTGCCTTTCCGGCGATGCATCATCATATGTGCATCATGTAGATTCCTGTACGATTCAGGAGGGCATCAGGCGGATCTGCGAGCTCATAACGTAGATTGGAATAACGTACGGGACCAAGTGACGACCCACATGTAGGTATGCTTGTGCAGCATTTCCGGCTCTGCATGGATGGTGACAGTTATGACTTTGTTCGACACTCTTTCGAAAGTCTATGCCGAGAATACCTATAGCGAGAGCTGCTGAATCGATGACATTGATCCAGAAGGACGTATGCGGTTCAGAAACAGGGCAAAGGGTATCTAGTACCGCGTCATCAGTCGGTCTGGAAGGGTGAATGAATGTGAGACTTTCTCACCTACTAGGGTCGCGTTGCGGACGCGATCCGAGAGCAGTAGGTGCGTAAGGGTATATACAATCTCATCATTCCTATCCTCGGGAGGGGGACGCAGCCAGTGTACGTATGTTCAGTCATTAAGTGGCTGGGCTCAAGTATGAGTTTCAGCAGAAGCAGTATCACGGATGAAACGTACCAACTCACCACTCTTGAGTCATTGTCTCGAGGACCAATACAGGTGATCCACCCAGTCCTCGAAGAAGACTTCCCACGCAATCGTACCGTCCACCGTCCGGAGCACGAACAGGCCGGGGCGGACCGCACCATGCGAGGCCTCCGCGCATTTCTCCCGCCACCGCGGCGCAAGCTCTGGCGAGCGGAACATACACCCGACGATCTCCACGCGCTCCATGCTTTCCGCATGCTCGACGGCGGCCGCGCGCCGCAGGGCTGCGCAATGTGTGTCGCGCAGGGTCGGGGGGAAGAAGCGGCGGAGGGTGCGGATGCCGGGCAGCGTCGCGACGGCCTTGTACATGCGCGGCGACCAGACGCTGTCCAATTCCATGCTCGTGACGCTCGCCAGGGCGGCGTAGCACGGCATCGCGCTCCAGTCCCACTGCATGTATGCGCGGACGCTCCCGAGGTGGATGGACGCGACGGACGCGGGGAGGAGCGGGCCGATGCTGCCCCACACGTCCTCTGGGCAGTTGACGACGGCGAGCGCACTCAGGGACGTGCAGCGGGGCAGGATCGAGCATATGGCGTCCACGGGCCAGACGTTGAGCTCAGGGCTCTGCAGCAGATCTGAGGGGGAGTGATGGTTGGGCCCCATCCAGAGATGCTGCACGTAACGACCTATAGTCAGCTCGCCGTTGGGACGTGGATCCACTGTCCGCTGGGGGGACCGGAGGGCGCGCGCGAAGGCGTTGACCTGGCGCCGAGTCGTGAGCACCACGGTGCGGTAGAACGCGGGCAGCACCCAGAGGTGCACCGCCTTGCTAACGCATAACAGAGCTATAGCAGAAATCTTGTCGTCCACGGCCAGTTGTTCCAGAGCTGCGTGAGGGAAATATGGGTCAGCCTCTATCAAGACGTGCAATCTGCAGCGATGGTTACCCTGAGCATGTATTAGAACGTGGCCACGTCATGAGGATAGGTGATCTTCACTGACTTCACGTACAAGTTCTGCCGGAAGGGCAGAGAGTGCCGTCATGGTATCGGTGGACAGATGGATATACCGCATGCAAATGCTTGGACAGTGCTTTTAGTTGAACCGTGCCAGCCTGAGGCACCTGGTGAAAGCGGAGCCTGATCGGAGAAGTTGCAGCGCGAATACTTAGACACAGCCTAGTAGTTTGTTTCAAGAGCGAGGAAATCAAGAACACAAGTGCGTGCGTAGACACATGTAGGTGACGACTGGTCAATGAACCCAGGCTTGCATTCGCTGTCGAGTACTGATCACGATATGAATAGAACATCCAGTTCGCGTAGCGATGTCACGCACGTCGCACGGGCGTCAAGGCTATTAGCTTCTGATCCTAACAAAGACAAACAACCACCAATGATATCATACCTTATCATCCCACACCCGCCGCTCTCTCGACTGCATCCACGACGAAGAGGACATAGCGAACAATGGCGACACCACCCACGGCGAACCCTACGACGCTCACTGCGCACCTCCTCTCGCTCTCGACTCCGCGCCCATACTCTGCGGCAACGGAGCACCCGTTCCTCACCGCCGCCGGACTAGGCACACTCCCACCGGCTCTTCTCTCGCTCTGGCTAGCCCAAGACCGACTATTCGCAGCCCATGGGGGTTCTGCGTTTATAGGCAGGACTGTGGCTGCCGTGCCGTTCTCGTCGCTCGACGAACCCGGCTCGCCGAGAGAGCAGAGGAACCAAGAGCTCGTGCGCGTATTGGCGTACTCTCTCACGAACCTCGTGCGGGAGGTCGGCTTCTTTGGGGATGTTGCTCGTGAGTACGGGCTGAAAGCGGAGGGATGGAAGGAGCGCAAGGCGACGAGGGACTACACGGCGGAGATGGTCAGGGTCGGTGCAGAGGGCAGGATCGAAGACGCGATGGTGTTCTTGTGGGCCATGGAGCAGGTGCGCGTCGACTTTTCCTGACAGTCAATTCGGTTTCGTTGATTGCCATCGTGTCGTGCAGATATATCTGGACTCCTGGCTATACGTTGCGTCGCTGAAGCCAGTCGAGGCCGAGGGCGGCACCGCGCCCGCGGTGAAGACACTCGTCAACAACTGGACCAATCCGGAGTTCGTCAAGTTTGTCGATGAGCTCACTCAGATTGTGAACAGGTAAGCCTCAGAGGACCCATCCCATGTCACCGAGGCTGCAGGTAATCATTTTGTTCCGTCTCGTTCCCCTGTGCACGCGCTGTACGGCAGCCTTGGCATCGAGCCTGGATCCCCTGCGTGGATACGTGCGGAGTCCATATGGGCTCGCGTTATTGAACTCGAAGAGGCCTTCTGGCCCGTCGGGGGAGAGGAGCTCACGCTGCTCAACGAGAAGATGTAGAGAAGTGCTGGATTGTAGAAAGTGTATGTAGCGCAGAGTAGTAGAGGAATATGTATATCATAGTGCACCGGCAGAGAAGCCCGAGGTCCCGCCTGCGAACAGACGCCCATAGTGTTTGCTACTGAAGTTGGCCGCGACGACCGAGCCCCCACTCCTCCCGCTACGACTGCAGGAAGTGGAACATACCCGCAGACGTATCCTTATTCGCAAATTACCCTAGCTCATGCTGCAGTAACTGTCTGGAACAGTCCGCCGTGTTACTTTGACCAAAGACAGTGCCATGTCACAGCCCTCGCACTCGCGACCCCCCTCGCCCGCGCACTCCGTCGACACGGAGATGCACGAGCTCAACCACGAAGCGGACTACCTCGAGGAGAAGACGCTCGTCGTGCCCCACGGGCCCAACGGGACCGACGTCAAGCTGCAGCGACACAACAGCGACCCCGACGCGCAGGCGATGGTCATCGGCTCGCTGCGGTCGCAGGTCCAGGACCTCTTCTCGCAGGTCTCGCAGCTGAACAACAAGCTCGTGAAGTCGTACGACCGCATGTCCGACCTCGAGGACGACCTGCACGTCACGACCGCGAACCTGCGCGGCGCGACGCTCAAGATTGGCGAGCTCGAGCTCGAGCGCGCGCAGCACCTCTCCGCGCTGAGCTCCGGGCTGCTCGTCGAGAAGGACCACGTCACCACGGAGCTGAATCGGCTGATGGAGCGCGCGACGGAGGAAGCAGCGCAGCGCGGCCAGGCGGAGAGCGCGCGCGCGGAAATCGAACAGGAGCTCGACGACCTGAGCGCGGGGCTCTTCAACCAGGCCAACAGCATGGTGGCGGAGGCCCGCATCGCGCAGGCGAAGAGTGAGCGGAAGGTGGAGGAGACGGAGCGTGCGCTGCGCGAGGCCGAGGAGGTCGTTGGGCTGCTGCAGACACAGATGCAGGCTCTGCAGGCGGAGAAAGAGCGTGCGGATCGGCGAATGGAGGACATGCGCGTCACGATGGGCAAGGGCAAGTGGGTGGACCGGGTGCACGAGCCAAGTCGGGCCATTCCTCGTCTGCTCTGTTCACATTCTCCGTACCAAGAGTATCTGTCCCTCATCGCCCACCTGCGCTCAATACGCCCTGCGAGCCAGCACCCGCCAGCTATGTCGACGCTGCTGCCATTGCCCTTCTTGGCTCGGCTAGTAACGGAAGACTCGTGCGTTGCAATCATCTACTACATGTGAAGGTACTAATGTCGATTGACAGTGATCCGACAGTCCGCCTAGACCTTGCGCCCTCACTCAACTGGTTATCGCGAAGATCCGTGATCTCGGCCATACACAGTGGAGAACTATCCATCGAGCCCATGTCCACGGCTGCCTTGCTACAAGAACTTGCGCCGTCTACTATTCCGGGCCACCCGCACAATACGCACATCTCATGCGCTCTCTGTGGCATGACCATAATCTCCCCGTCCAACAGTGCGTCGGGCTCGCCTACCACGGCTACCTTCCCGTCTCCAACATCCGCCAGACCGTCCCTCAACAACACCTGGTCTGCCTCCCGCTTCAGGAACTCCCTCGTCCACACCCTCTCCTCCGCTCCTGGCGCGCTCGTCCAGTCCCGTAGCCAATCCCCCGCACCACCTGCACCAGGAACCGACGTCATGGAGCCTCCTACTCAGGTCTACATCTTCCGCATCGCAGCGACGTCCTCGGGGCTTCCAGTCTCGCTCCCGCTCTCGCCCCAGAACACCACTCAAGCGAAGCCGACGATCTACCCGCTCTGCACGACGCACTGGTGTCTCGCGCGTCTGCGCATGACGTGTTCGATGTGGTCGTTTGTCCGCACGGGCATCGTCGAGAAGATCTGGGAGGACAGCGTGTACGTCCCCCCTGCCAGCCTACGGGCCGCGCAGTCCCCCGCCGCGAACGCCAACGGGGCAAAATACGATGGTGTGAACGGCGCAGCCCAGGCAGACCGGAAGCCTCCCATCCCTCCGAGGAGAACGAGAATGGGAATCGGTGCGCTCTGGGGCTCCGTGCAGCGCAGCCTCAGTAGCGGCAAGGAGATCGAGGCGGAGAAGGAGCTGGAGAGGAAAGACACAGAAAAGCCGTTGCCGCAGTCGCCCAAGAAGCTCCCTGTCCCGCCGCCCCTACACCCGTCCATATCCGCGCCCACTCCCAGTAGGCCGTCCGCCCTCCCGCCGCCTCTCCCCAAACGCAATCGCGGCCGAGAAGCAGCGACAAAGGAGATCGCACCGTCGGAACCCGCTGGTACGACTAACGATGAGCTGCCTCTCGAGCGCGTCATCTCGGCCGATCACTTCGCAACGCCTGACGAGGAGCCGTCGTCGTACATTGACTCCGATCCTGCCACTGTTCCCCTGCCGCCCACTGCCCCCACCACGCCTGAGCCGGAACAGCCTTCCGCCCAGCCTGAGCAGTCTGGCGACCCAACGCCAGCGGGGGAAGCAGATCAGTCGTCTGCGCGACCGTCAACAGACGAGCCAAAGCCGGATCCGTCCTCTGCAGCGCCGTTGTCTGCAGTCAATGTGGCCAACGTTCAGGAACCGCCAAGCTCCCGCAGTGGGTCGCCTGCGCCGCCCCCGCTTCCACGTCGTGCAGCTGCACGCCCAAGGCCGGTCTCTGTCGTAGTCCCAGTTCCAGAATCGGGAGCAGTGGAAAACACGGGTGCTGCGCCAACCGAGCCGAGCGCACCCGCTCCAGCGGAGGACACGCAGTCCGGGGACCAGACCAACGCGCCATCCGCGGATGCCAATGCGACAGAGAGCGAGGTCGTGGATGCGTCCGGGACAGAAGAGCCGACAGACGGCGGGAAAACTGGACCGGTGGTAGAGCCCCCTGCAGCCGCCGATGACGCTACGCCGTCAGCAGACCCTTCGACACAAAGCAAGACGGGGGCGCCAGCAGAACAGCCAGATGCAGTGGATCATGTTGATCCCACTACGACACACGAAGAGTCTAGTGCTGCCCACCCCGCCGCTGAAGACTCGGACGTAGCACCACCTTCGCCCCTCGCCCCTTCAACGAACGGTGTCGTCGACGGCGTGGAGGGACAGTCACTGAAGGACCTTGAGATGGTTGATGTGCCCGCGCCGCCCGACCCGGAGACTGATTCAGATCTGGATGCCTCGACAGTCTATGTGGGCGATGCGAGCTGGGAGGAGCGCACCTGGAAGGAGCTGACGCGGCTTCGGGAGGACATGTTCTGGGCGCGGGTTGGTGGTGTGCGATAGAAGTGGTACTTTCGCAAGGCTCCAGTTGCTCGAGGATGCGTATCTACTCTTGCGTAGGTTAGATGAATTTACTCATGCATTTATGGACATGCCGTCTCGAAGGTCTCGAAGATATATGCATCATGAGCATGTACTCGGCCACCGTCGCGCGCAGGCCACCCGAGACCCCAACGAGACCCGTACCTGCGCAGTATGTGCGATTACACAGCTGCCAATCGTGCACCCATCTCGTGCATCACTAGTAACTTACTCGGAGTCACTGAGTTCCACTGCCAGCCTCCAATCGCTCCGCACTCGCCTGATGTGGCTAGTACAGCGCGTCGCACGAACTGAGCAATGAACCTCGCTTGTCGTGTCAATATTGCATTATCGTACATTACCGTCGCTGTACACGACCTCGTCTAATACTACGCTACACAATACCCCAGACACAAACACTCCATACAGGGCAGCCTCTCCACGCGTTACGACGGCGGCGCCAGGCAGCGATCCGCCGAGAGGTTGAAGTCATTACCCCACCACTGCGGGAAGAACACCGTCTTTCCCGCTGCGCCGAAGATGGCGAAGTTGAGAATGAAGACAATCACCTGGGTGCCGCCGTCAAGCGCCGCCGCGACGATGTAGTTGTACTTCGTGAACCAGCGTGGGTAGCGCGTGCGCACCCACCACTGCGAGAGAATTCCCAGGGCCATCGACGTGTTCACGGATGTGTTCACGCCGACGGACAGGTAGCACGAGTACTGCATGATGATCGACGTGTTCAGGTTCTCGAAGCCTGCCTTGGGCCAGATGCGGTACTGCAAGCGAACGGTCAGTCAGGGTCATGGTACCCGGGCAGGAAGGGTGCGTACGCAGATGTAGAACGGCAGCGGGAGGAACAGCCCGATCGCGAGCGAGATCGGGACCATCCTGTAGGTCGAGTCTGCGCCGAACATCTGTGGGGCGAGCGCACCCCACGCGATCGCGTTCGAGTTGTAGCTCTGCGCATTCTGGCCGGACCACAGACGCGTGCCCGCGATCGACAGGAGCGCGGCGCGCTGCGCGTTGATGATCGACAGCATCATGACGTAGTTCAGCACCGTGCCAACGACCGTCCCCGCCATCTGCATGCAGAACGTCACGCGCGGCGCGAGCTTGCAGTACTGGCCCAACTTCAGGTCCTGCAGGAACAGGATACCCTGCTGCAGAGGGTGTGCGCCGTACATCGCGCCGTACATGTTCGCGACGGGACGTCCGGGGACCATATACGCTGCGAGAACCGCTCGTCAGCAGGGACGACGCGGGTAGTACAAGCAAACACGAGCTCACCGGTGATCATCTGGAAGAAGCCATTGCCCGAGGTGTTGAACTCAGTGAAGCCAATCGTGGCCGCGAGGGTAGAGTACAGCGCGCAGAAGACAAACCCGATGAAGAGTAGAACCGTGAGCGCCCACCAAGGGAGCCCCGACTCGCCGGTGTAGTTCGTCGCCTGCGCGATACCATACGCGGCGAGGAGAATGACGAGGTACCACCAGCGCGGGATCTGCTTGTACACCTTCATCTTCTCCCAGTGCGCGTCGTGCACGAGGTGCTCCGTCTTGTTCCACGGGTTCAGCGAGAGGACGAACGGCTTGAGGTCGTTCCAGTGGAACAGCGCGATGTGCGTCACGATCGCACCGAGCGACAGATTTGATGTGATCAGGTAGAGCGCGTTCGTCGCGGAGAAGTACGCGGGCCCTAACTCCTCGTACTTGGTGGCGTTGAATTTGCCGTCGCTGAGCAGCGCGGTCTGGTCGTACACGGACCCGTTCTCTGCGAAGATGTCTTGGCTCATGAAGGGGAAGTCCTTCGCCTTCCAGAGGTTTCCGTAGTACACGGCGGACATGAGGATGTACGTGAGGAAGATACCGATGTCCTGATTGAGCTGCAGCCAGAGCGGTGCCCAGAGGCAGTTGGATGAAATCAGGTTCCAGTCGAAGCACACAGCGAGCAGACCCATGCCCTCGTTGTTGGACGCGCCTCCGAAGACGTTCCGCACGACGGACGAGTGGTTGTCCGCCAAGCAGAAGACTGATACACCGGTGAGAACAGGGAAAATCCCTGTCGAGGCATTATCAACATCAAGGAATTAGGAGCGGCGTCGGCGACAACGTACACTCAGGAATGATTTCCCAACAGAACATGACGGCGAAGATGGTCCAGAAGAGGCGCACGCGCTTCGAGGTCATCTGTCTATCGTAGTGGAGGGCCTGGAACAGGTTGGCGATGTAGACTGAGCACTGCATCAGTAAGCCATGCAAGGCACAGACAGCTCAGTTGGACGTACTGTTAGCAGGCCAGAAGCACTTCGTTGGACGAACGAGCGCCTCAGAGAGCAGACCAGCATAACCATACCCAATTAGCTGCGATCCGATCAGCGTGAAAATCGCAATCCCGGGGTTCTGCGAAATCAGTATGATGAGCGTCCGACGGACTGCGGGATGCTCGACGTGCGACCGACCATGTCATTGTTGTAGTACACTGTCGCAGCCATCAGTAAACGGCGCTCAACCTTAACTCAATGTGACCTACGATTCTGCACGGAAATGACCTGAATCGCGACAGCGGAGGTGGCAGCCGTGGAAGACATGATGATAATGGCCGTGTGTTCCTTGACTACAGAGATAAGAGGCGTCAGCCAGTCTGCTCCCGCGCGACGGCAATGTACGTACTGTTGAAAGGACCAGGGTTCAACCAACGCCACCGTCCCTTGGTCGGGATTGCCATGTGCAAACCATTACCGAACCAGTACGACAGGATGAGCAAGAGTAGCGTCGAGACGTTGAGCGTCTGAGGCTTGAAATAGTAGATCTGCGCCAATACACTGCAGACGCATCAATTTTAGATTTGCTCCCGCGCAACGTCGGCGGTGATACGCACGCTCCGAAGGCTGAGAAGCCAAGGCCCAGGAAGACAGTGCGGAATGTGACCGCCTGAAGCTCGGGGTCGTCCCTGGCCGACAAGACCTAGCGGTGAGGAACGTCAGTGGAGAGGTCGGTGAGAGGACGAGTATGTACGCTACCTTGACAGCGACTTCATAGGCCGCCTCGACCCGGTACTCCGCCTCGGTGGCCTCGTCGTTGGCGATGCGGTCCTCCATCGCCTCGACCTCCTTGGTGAGCACGACATCGTCCTCGAGCTTCAGCTTGTCGTCGGACGAGCTGTCCGAGAGCTGTTTATCGTCATCGTACATGGGCAGGTGAGACACCGGATCGGCCATGGCTGGGATGCGGTGGCTGGCGGGACCTGAGACGCGAACGTCGACTTGCGAAGGGAAGGTATTCCTCGTCGAGAAGCAGTCTCGGGCGCCCCGCAGGGTATTTATGCAGGATGTGGCTGTTGGGCGACTCGGGTCATAGAAGTGTCATAGAGATAGGTAGATGGACTCCGCGTGGTTACCCCGCACGAGATAACAAAAATGTAACAGCTCGACCTGGTGCTACGCACCGAGGCCGGTCCTCGGCGCATGGCTCCGACATCTTGTGTGGCAGGCTGGCTGTTAGAATCGTCCTTGATGCATGTGCTCGAGGCCTGCTTCCTGTGATGAGTAGCTGTCCGTGCACCTACCCGGTAAGTGTGGAGAATGCATACCACCCGCGAAAATGGAATTGCCTGAGAACAGTAGTCAAAATCCCCATGCAGCCCCATGCATGGCTGACAAGCCGCCGGCGCATTGCCCTGTGGGTCGCACGCGGTGCCTTGGAATGCCGGCACGGATCAATCGAGATATGTTGGTGCGACCGGTGGCGTTGGGGAGGCGCGTCCTATCAAAGCCTCCATGTGCTCGTGTGCAAGTCCTGTCCATCCGCCGCCCAACCACCGCGCGCGCGTTTGCCCGAGTGTGCCCGTGGTATACCGTGTCTCCTGCTCTTGCCTAGCCGTGACAAAGAGTTGCTGTGATTTACCTTTGTGTCTTCTGGAAGCATCACAGCGTGAGCAATGTGCATGTAATTGCTTCCACTTGCTTGTGCCGCGGCCCGCAACTAGATCTTGCCGCCGCTGAATTCATTATGCACCAGGCCCCGATCGATCATTTCGATGATGCCTACCCGCCCCATATTCAGCATCATGGTCGTCTGCAACAGTCTGCAGCTCACCACGCGTCGGCACGCGACCTTCGGCCCGCGCATTTGGTAAGGAGCAAATATTGCAGTCTGAATGCAGTGCACAGCGGCGCCTGCCCCCTGGAAGTTACTAATTCAGCGTGTAGATAACAAGAGCGGCAGACCGAAACGCCAACACGGAATGATGTTTTCACAGGGTTCCTCACTGCTAGTACGTTCGCCGCCGAACCTTGGAAGTTCGCCCGGATACTGATCCCAGGAACTGCTCCGACACTGAGATGGTCGTCAGGTCCTGCCTTGAGACAAGTACCTGGAGTACGGGGGACCGCCGGGATGTGCCTTCCCAGACTATGCTGATTTCCGACACCCTCGGCATCCTTCTAATCCCTGCTCAACTTGAACGGTCAAGGTTTCCTGCGCAACTGAATTGCACAACTCACGAATGGATTCGCGTCAGCGCCATGTGGACATCGAGCGCCGCGGAGCGTCGCTCCAGGGCTCTTCCTGTATAAACTCGACACGACGTCAAGATGCGACGTCACCCCGCGATAAGCCCCCAGTTGGCCTGCCGCGGACCATATGGCTAGGCACTCGGTGCTCGAATATAGTCCATCGGACAACACTGCATCCGGTGTAGGTTTGCTCAATGGGCTTCGCAGTTGTCAATACATATGCCAATCTATAACATGGATTTTTGCGGTCTGCTTTGGGAACTAAGTTATCTATGAACGTCGGGGATTGGTGAAAACTCTCACCGTCTAGAATCAGCAATAGGACAGTTTGACAGGCGGACACGACGGCCCGCTTGCGACCTCTCTTGCCGCGATGGACGGAACATCTACAGATGGTGCCTGGATGCCAGCGTTCAAAACTTGTGGTCTGGCTCCATGACGTGAATTGGTGCCTGTATACGCTCAACACGGGCATTTCGGCAGCCACAAAGTCGACTTTGCCATGTCCCATAGGACGACGCGGCGTTGGCACCAATACTTGATATCAAGCCAGCGGTCCGTTAAAGGTCGGTGACAGTTGCCTGGACTCAAATATTCAGCTGTGCTTCATGCAGTTGATTGAGCATGTTACCATCGGTGGAGGTCACGAGGACAACAATTCTACAATGATACATGCGCCGCTGTGTGGCGCCCAATTGCCACTGTGGTGGAACCGCGAACTCAGTGGGCCGTATTGGCAGAGGACTCACGGACAGTGACCTTGGTAACTGATTGATTCCGATCCATCCCCGACGGTGACGGCAACGTACGACCTTGAGATGGGAAGCAAAGCATCTGTAGCTCGGGCAACCACATACTTAGTTCGGGCAACCACCTACGAGAGGTATTCCATCAAAGTCGCGTCGCGAACGCTCCCAGTCCATTGAAGTATGTACAGGCCGAAAGCATGAGCATTCCACGGCGCCACGCAACCGTGGAACCGCCTCAATGACAGCTTTCCGGTGCTCTGACCAACATCAGCGTCATGTCGAATATCATCATCACAAATGCGCACCATATGTATCTCAGAACTCCAGCCAGTCTTTCGTGGACATTCTCCAGTAAGTTCTGGTGTAAACTGTAAAGGTCATTCGCCACGTTGGCTAGAGCGCATGTCCGATTGAATGACAACGTGATGGATGGTCCACGACACCCCCGCCCCGCCTCACAGCCAGACGAGCTCCATCCTTGCTAGGCTCGCGCTAGCTTCCTTCGCGAGTCGTAATTTGTCCGTAGCAATCTGAATGGTGCGGTCCCCATCGCACCAGGGCACAACGACGTTCATCTGTCCCAGCGCCGGAAGACGGGGATCGCGGGAAAGTGAGGAACACGACGATGGCCTCGTTGCTGAGCATCGCCTCGGAGTTGCATTCCCCGCGGAGTCTTGTGAGACGGGAAAGGTCGTGAAGAAGGTAGAAGTCCGGTAGGGAGTGAGGGGTCTCAAGCGTGCCAGAAAGTGCGCGGTAGAGCGGGCCCCAAGGACAGTTGATGAGTGCGAGAGAGCATAGTGAAAGTCGTTGGAGCAAATGGTATCTGGATGTCAGTCTTCCCTACGCACACTGATTAGAAGTCAGCGACACACATCCTCAATTGCTGATGGTCACTCACAATTCACAAAGTGGGCGAAAGAGCTGTTCGCGCCTGCCCATACAGTGCGCCGCTCATGTATAACCCAGTGGGGCTGCTGACCTTGACTGCGTGTCTGCCATCCATATATGCGTACCTAAGAACCTTCGTCATTCGACTCGGCGTATGCAGGTCACAGGACGACTCGGGGGACCACAACGTAAAGGCGGCAACGGAACGCGAACGAAATATCATGTATCGCCCAGTCAGATACAGCTAGGGACACAGTACTCTGAGGTGCTCTGAGCGCTGTGCAACGAAGACGACGACGCGGTTGGCTGGCCACTGGCAGAGCAACTTGAACTTGAACGCGCTTGTGGCTGAGCCGGCCGATGCCGGATGCGCGTTTGAAGGTCACGGTGTCGTCCTCCTCCCCCTTGTACGGTCGTGCCTGCAGTCACAGGGCGGTCTTTGTCGCAGAGACGAACGAGTTGCATAGTGAGTAGCGATAGTGTTGTACGATATGGTGTCCGCGGCTGTGGCATGATCTGGAGTAGACATGACATGCGTTGTATGCTGCAACGCCGCATTAGCAGCTTTGACGCTCGCCTTCGCGCTTCGGTGCTGCACCGCACGCAGTGACTTGACCGTTAATCGACAAATTTGTTGCCTTTGGGACCAACGCCATTGATCCTCCCTCAAGTCCAGGAGTTCACGTCTTACATGCGATTACTTCACGAAACATGCGACAACATCATTGGCATCCCTGGGACATTTTGCTCATGCTCCGCTTGTCTCCTTCTCGACTGCATCCGCCATCTCGCCCAGCGTGTCAAACCTGAATGTCGCCTTCGACCCCTCGGCCTCATCCCAGCCAATCTGCGTGCCCTTCCTAGAGATCCACGCCGTCCCCAAGCCTACCTCACGCGATGGCTGAATATCATGCGCCACGCTCGCCGCGACGACGAGGACCTGCTCCCTCGGGACGCCGAGCTCCGCCTCGACACGGCGCAGCGCGTACTCGCGCGCACGCGGGTCGGGCTTGTACGCGCCGGCGTCCTCCGCGGTGTAGATCGCCGAGAAGCGGAAGCGCGGCGCGTCGGGCGGGCCCTCAAGCGCGTGCTGGGTGTGGGCGAAGGACGCGCGGTCGACGTTGGAGAGGACGGTGAGCTTGAAGTGCTTGCTAAGCGTCACCAGCGCGGGGATAGTGTCGGGGAAGGGCGCCCAGCTCCCTATGCTCTGCCCGAAGGCGGTGTGCGCGTCCGGGGGTTCAGATGCTGACGCGGAAGACCCGACGGTGGTGCCCGAGGTGACCGTGCCCGTGCTGGTCTCGACGCTCGCTGCGGTGGTTCCGGAGGGTTCGGCAGGCGTGAGCTTGTTGTGAGCGCGCGCCTCGAGCTCGGCATAGACCCGGGCGAGGACCTCGCTGTAGAGCATAGTGGGGTAGCGGGTCTGCAAATCGCGCTCGACGCTGCAGTACGCTGTTAGGGCGGCGTCGCGGGAAGCGAGGGGCGTCCCTGCGAGAGTGGGTTCGAGGGCACGGGCTATGGCCGTCTCCCAGTCCTGTCAAGAAGTAGTGAGCATCTCACAGAAAGAACGTTGCGCGGAAGAAGGTGGAGGCACGTACGATGAGCGTCCCGTAGACGTCAAACATGATGACCTTGTAGTCGGTAAGCTTCGGTGACATGGTAGCAGACTGGACAGTGAAGGATGCAAGCGGGCTACAGTATATGGTACTTATGCCGTGGTTTGCCCTGCGCGAACCAAATCAGTATATATCCTTCGTCGCATTCCTGGTCACGCTATGCGCGACGGACGACTCGGACCCGTCGAGCAAGATGCGCTGGGGTACAGTCAAGCTGACTCACTGGATGGTTATCTGACGCTATCCGTAGTTGCTGCGACTAGATGATGATGAAGATAGAGAACTTCGTTCGAATGAGTCCATCGCTATTCAGTGCCGTTGCGCCCGCATGAGCTCACCGTCGTTCGGAGCCGTGTAGCGCTCGCGCGGTGGCTGCACCAGCGTCATTGCGGCACGTGATCGGGACGCGTTGAGCACGAGGCGAGGGCGAGCTCGGAGCGCGTCGAACGGACGCTGTACGCTGCCTGTACGCGGCAACCAATATATTCCTCGAGGCCTCGCTTCAAACGCGCTGCGGGCCAGACTTCTGTTCGCACACATTTTTACTCCTCCCTCCTCTACCCTATCCCCGCCCTCTCTGACGAACGTGCACGACCCATACTACGACCAGCTATGAAGTTCGCGAGGTGCGTCTCCCCATTGCCCCATACGGTGACACCGTCAAAAGAGAGCTGCGTGCTCATGGACTCGTCATAGGTACCTGGAGGAAACTCAGGTGTGTGATGTGCATAGTCGAAGTTGACGTTCTCATTCTGGAGAAACGTCCAGACTCCTGAGTGGAAAAAGGCCTACATGTGAGTACTTTTCTGTCAGGTCAAGCTTTGATGTGCGAACGTTCGCTCCGGCGGGGAACCCAAATTTGCCGACTGCGAGGCGTCTACACACTGTCTACACACGCCTCGCTCGTCAAGCATGTCACTGCACCGCTCGTGGCGCTCATCACGAAGATGCATCGACCGAACTGCAGTATGGGAACGCCCACAGAGCCACAGTGCCGGACAACTGCGATCACCTGCTAGCATGCGCTACATTTGTTGTCGTTGAGGGGTCGGCTCTTCGACGACATCTTCCCAAGGACGCTTCGTTGGGCAGATACTCGCCTTCTCACTAGCGAACTCGAGAACACACTCCGATCCGCGCCCATATGAGGCGTAGAGTTGCGAGCTTATGAGCCCCGAGCCCTTTGTCAAGCTGATTACGCATTATCATGCGTCACTTCCAGTACCTGATGGACGTCCTCTAAATGGGCTAACATCTCGAAGAGGCGGGGTATTGTCGCCATGCTCTGCACGCGTCATTCGCTGATAATTGCCTACTGTAACGTGCAACAGTGAGCCTCTGTAGCAGCAGTGTGTCCAAGTCCCGGTGATGGTCAGATATCATCTATTGTCTAGGTCGACGGACTTTGACAGCATGCGGATTCTGTAGCCTATGTTGCATTTCTAAGCACTTGCACGAATCGCGATGAACAACCTGTGCAAATACTCTCTCCGCCTGTATCTCATTCGATAGTACACCGAGAACTGACTCTTTTCTGCTCCTGTTCGCAGTGACTACCGGGGTCTCAAGAAGAAAATCACCGCCATCAGACGTGCCCAAGAGCTCGACTTGGACACCAGCGGTGCCGGTACCACACCTCTTCTCCCGCTTACACCCTCGCCAAGTCGGCTTCCCGACGCTGAAAAGGAGCCTTCAACGCCAGTATCACCTCGTACCGCGCACTTCAGCCCCGATGCCACGCGTACGAGCACGTCCTCCGCCTCTGTGCACCCAGACGCAGAACAGGGTACGCCTGGACAATCCCCTTCAGATTTGGGAGCGGATGACGCGCAGGCCCCGGTGCAGACGGACGCGAGCGCGAGTCCGAGCCCAGCACGTACTTCCAGCAGCGGGTTCCCGCGCCTCCGCCGGCGGACGACAACGGGTCTCTCTGTATCGACTCGCGCGCGGAGTAACTCGGGCTCTCAATCGATTGCGCGGGATGGTCGCGCTGCGACGCCCGTGACCCCCACTACGGCGAAGAGCACGGGCAGGAATTGGCCCTGGGCACCGGGAGCGCACCCGCCGCTCAGAGAACTGCTACCCAGGCTTCCGCCCGTGGCACGTTCGTTCTTCGACATGCTGGACGGGGAGCTGGACAAAGTAGAGAGCTTCTATTGCGCGAGAGAGCGCGAGCTCAGAACGAGGTGGGTCTGCGCTGTAAGCGGACGAGTCAGCGAGGGCACTCATGGTCACGGCAGGTATGAGATGCTGAAGCAGCAGCTGCAAGAGCTCAAGGACCACAGACGGGCCTTCTACGTATGTCGCGCCTATCCCGCTCCTCTCCCCTCCCCTCACGTTCTGATTTTGCCTGTCCGTCGGGTTATCAGGAAGCGCATCCGAAAGCGGGAATGGCCCCTGCGTGGCTCACTGTGCCCGCGCGTTTCCGGACGCCGACCGCGCACCCCAGGAAGCTCACGCGGGAGAACGACGGGCCGTCGTCGCAACACGCGAGCGACGAGGACGTCGGGATGGAGGAGAAGGCGATCGCGCTCGAGGCGCGCGCGGCCAGCTCGCCGACAACGGCGACGACGACGTTGCATGATCTCGAGCACGAGGACGAGGCGGGCAAGAAGGGAACCGTACGGACCGTTGAGCGCGCGGATGGGCCTGGTGCGCGTAAGGGCGTGGAGGAGCCACATCGCCCTAGTGTGCGCTTGCATGAGGGCTCGGGATCGGCGGGCGCGAGGCGGGACCCGGAAGAGTACCATGAGGCGAAGAAACAGCTGAAGAAGGCAGTACAGGAGTGTTATCGGTAAGTACTGTGAGGGTTTGTATTTCTGAACGCTACTGGTCATTGATGCGCTCCTGTAGCGGCCTTGAGGTGTTGAATAACTACCGAGTGAGTTATGTCCGCGCAGTCTACTTCAGCTTGCTGATACGCCTGAACTAGACTTTGAACCTCATCGGATTTAGGAAGGCTCTGAAGAAGTTTGAGAAGGTCACGCATGTATGTTGCATCCTCCATGCGGCACTGGCTAGCCTCTCATCCTCTTGCTCCACAGATCCCCGCGATGCAGGCCTACACGATTGAGAAGATCGAGCCAAGCGCGATATCGTCGGGTGCGCGACTCGACGCAATGCTTCGTGAGATGGAAGATCTCTTCGCAGCTCGCTTTGGTGAGTTATGCATACTCGTGACATTTGTTCTGCGTTCTCACTGTCGTCATGGCCGCCTCATAGCGCGCGGCGACAAGAAACGTGCCCAAGCTCGTCTACGGAGCGGAGCCACGCACAAAAGCCATCATTTTAGTACCTTCAGGTCAGGCCTGCTCCTCGGCCTGGGAATCCCCGCTCTGGTAGACGGCCTGTATAGAAGTGAGAATCCTGTCCCTCGTGTGACCAGGCAACATCTGATGGCTACTATGTGTAGGCTTTCAGCCTGACACGCGTGCAGCGATTCCGTCGTGGGATGGTCTGCTCTTCGTCTATGGCATCTTTGCCGTGCCTATCATTTTTTCGTGTCTGATCGGAATCAACCTGCTTGTCTGGCACAATGCGCGGATAAATTATGTCTTCATCTTTGGTGCGCTCCCTGAATTGCTACCTACACACCGTGTTACTGGGTCACTCATGTTACCACGTCTGTTGACAGAACTGGACCTACGGACAAAGTTAGACCATAGAGAATACTTTGAGGTACGTGGAGAACGCAGTTGCGCGGCCCGGCAGACATTGATGATGTCTCGGCCGCAGATACCTGCGTTACTACTATCTACACTCTGCTACGCACTCTGGCTGTCGTTCGCTCGAGTAGGCTCACACACCATCGAGCCACCATACTGGGCACTTCTCTGGGTCGTGTGGGCGTTATTTGTTTGGTTGAACCCGCTGCCGATCCTGTTCCGGCCATCGCGTTACTGGCTGTTGAGAAACTTGTATAGACAGCTTACGTCTGGTGTGCGACGTGTTGAAGTGAGTTCCTCGCTACCTGATCGTGATTTTGCGAAAGCGTCGCTGATGAATCGATGCTCTGGTTAGTTCCAAGATTTCTGGATGGGGTGATTCGCCAAGTTTCTACGCATTCGTTGCTCGGACTGAGACTTTCCCATTGCAATCTTCAGCGACCAGTTCTGCAGTCTGGTCTTTACGCTCGCGGATCTATGGTTCGCAGGCTGCGCATATAGCCACGGACTTAGGAATTGGCGAGTGTGTACGGCCGGGAATAACTGGGGTCCGATGTTTGCGCTCGGCGCGTTGCCGCTCTTCGTTCGGTTCGTGCAGAGCATCCGGCGATGGGTTGACTCGAGGCAGTGGACCCACCTAGTCAACGTGAGTAGTTTTGACAGATACTTCGTAGCGTCGTTTTTGACCCTCGTGCAAGGCTGGGAAATACGGAACAGGCGTCATCTATTATATGACCTACTACTTATGGAGAGCGAACGGTAAGTCCGCTGGTCGGCATTCTTGTGTGACGTACGCTGATATTCGTTGGTACCAGGCGGAGGGTATGGCCCGAGGTTCATCCCCTGGTGTATCATGGGCATGCTTTACGCTACATATGCTTGTGCATGGGTGAGTTGGACTCGTTTGTGTTACAGTTGCAGGACGTCCGACTGAGTGTGACCGCGTCCAAGGACTTTATCATGGATTGGTCGTTCTTCCAACCTCATGCGAAGTATCCTCTGTTGCGGTCGGAGATATTGTATACCTCCTGGCTACCAGTGAGTTTCTTATATTTATCGAAGGCGTCAGTCATATCAACCTTGCGCTCTAGGTCTACTATATTGCAATTGTGAGTATCCGCAATGCATTTCAGTCCATCTGTTGAGCTGACTCCGCCAGATCACGAACATAATCATCCGCTTCGAATTCGTTATGTACATCCCGCGGAGCGGTATTAATTACACGATACGCACGTTCATTGCCGCTATGCTGGAGATGCTTAGAAGATGGCAGTGGAACTTCTGTAAGTGTCTAAGCTGCCTTTCGATGAGCTGATGTTCTGACGATCTTCCGTGGGCAGTCCGGCTCGAGAACGAACACCTCGGCAACATGGATCAATACCGCGTGACGCGGGAGGTCCCGTTGCCGTACTCGTTCGACGACACCAACCATGATTCGGATGGAGGTGACGAGGATGAGGATGTAGATAGACGGAGTCAGTCGAGCTCTTGGCGGCGCCGTAGGTAGTCAAGTCCGGATGTCCTACGTAGGGAGGGTATCAGCGGGCTGCTACCCCACTGTCTCGCTTGCTAAACTGGCCGTTCTCTTTCTCGATTGCTCAGCAGTTCACAGTGTCAGGTGAAATTGGACTGTCGTCTAGGCACGCGGACCGGCAACTGTCACTCTGCCTCGCCACAAGTACATTGTTCGGGCCCCTGGGCGCGCATTGCTAACTGCAACCTGACTAGAACTCAACCTTGTGAGTGAATAGTAATTATTGGCCACGTATTATTGTGAAATGAGAGCTGACCTGGTATGAGTAGCAGGCCATGGTTTCAATTTGGGTCGAGACAAGCACCCAGGGATACGAGCGGAGACTGTGACGACATGACACTACGGTCCGTACGGACGTGCGCAGATGATCCGCACCCGCTGCGACAGCGCCAGAGCTAACAGTTTTATGTTACGCGCATGGAATATGCCGCAAATGTCAATGGTCCTTCTGCTCTACACCTGGACAGCTCCTACGCTTGCTTTGCACGCTTGGAAGCAAACTTAAGGTTCAAAATCAGTGAGGTTCTTTCGCCGGAGTAGTTAAAGTATGGACGCACCGTGTTTGCATCATGCACGCCTTACCCCCACTGTGTCCACCCTACCGTCCTCCATGGCGATTCCCGACCCAGCCATATCCACGAACTTGCAGTGCTGTGTCTGTGGCGCACAGGCATACATCAGGTGCCCTCGATGTAAAGATACCTCGTACTGCTGCGACGGGCATATGCAACGGGTGAGCTCTTCGCTGCTCTCACTGTAGCCGTATTGCGAGATACTCATGCACCTGCAGAATCTGGACCAGCACAGGAGGCACTGTGCGACTCCGAACGGCGCTGGACCTCGCTCCTTCAAGGTCAATGCCATCCTTTTCCCTGTGAACGGAGGTAGACCGCGCATGATCAAGGTCCACTGCAAGGTGCAGCACGAGGTTCCGGTGTACCCTACCGGGGATGTAGTCGTTGCGGAGATCCTAAACTTCAAGAAATGGTTCAAGCCCAGGTCTCTGCGACCGACGCTCCCTGTCCTGATGGTGGTCGACGGCCAGAGCTTCGGGCTGGCATATGATTTCGCGATCATATACGATGCTTACTTCCCCATCAACGGCTCTCGGCCCAACGAGTGTCTTCGACAATTGACGAGGGAGTTGACGCCAATTCCCTGGGCAGGAAACATCATTGCGATGAGGATGGAGAGGCTCCCTGATTTAGTGCGATTTCCAGACGCGGATATGGACAAGGATTTATTGAAATTACTGGGATTCTTCATTACGTACGGTACCGCAGGGTGTGCACACCATACGAGGATCAGATGGGGTGTAAATAGTCTCTTCAGGTCGTTTTCGAGCACCATGACGATCGTCATCAGTGTACTGTTTGTCAGCTTGCTTGGTTACTGTGCGTGGCGTGTATTCCAGTGATCCACTGTGTGTTGATTGTATCGGTACCTCTCATTGCACCCGACAGAGTACGACAATGCAGCCCGTATCAAAAATGCATGGAGATACGCTAAAGCAGTCGCCCATAGACAGAGCTTCAATATCAGTGTGATTCTTCTGAATCGAGGAGGGCCGTCGAGTTGTATTGATGTTCAGCACCTGTCGTTCGCCGCTCGCCACGGGCGTTGCTTAGCAGGGACTCCGGGTGACCATCTGGGATTTCTCGATATCTATCCCAGCCTACTACAGCCCAGTCCATGTTGTCAGGGCCCCGACCTTGAGACGCACATGCGCGGAGTCCGACGGTTTCGCAATGGCACCATTCCGGACGCAGAGGACTTGGACGGCCGGACAGGGCCAGGCAGACGCGACCTCGGCTGCGGTGACCCAGCCTGAGAGGTACACCGGACGAATCACTGAGAAATACCGTCCGGAGTCCAGAGCTTTGAACGCACCATTTGCGTCACAAGGCTAGGGCCCAACGATGTGGACCAATTGGCTTTCAATTCATACCAACGCCGTGCAAAGATGTACCTTGCGGCTTAAGTGTCAATACTGCTCAGAATGGCACCTGAAAATGAACCTTTGCACACGTCAGAAAAAGTGGCCCGATGCATTATGTTGCAAGGCAATAAAACACAGGAGCGTCAGGAAGGACGACCATGTGCTAGTGGCTGTAGGCGATAACACCGATCCTGTTACGAGCCTCGTGGACTGCGTATTGAGAACAATGGCAAATGCGACTCACCGCGACTAGTTGAACACTGGTATCTGAGCATGGTGATACCAAACCGGATCGCTGAGGAAGTATTCTGGGGGGCCGTAGTGCCACCCTTCGTGTGATGTGAAGAAAAGTGATTCCCCGGAAGCCCACAGTCAGACAAGACCAAACCGCACCCGGCCTCCTGTGCTCTCGGGAGGCGGAAGGTTTCGTGCGATGGTGGAGCACATCTCTCGGTGTCAATCCGTGACGGCGGCCACCTGGGCGGCATTGTACGATCCTCTTGCAAGAACCTCCTGGGTGATGACAAAGTTACGCTGGGGCCTGAAGTCTAGGCAGAGCGTAATGTTGAGCAGGGGATGCGCGATACAGAGCGATCCGAGTGTGGAGCAAAATCGCGACTATTTTCTGAATAAGCCATAGCTCTGAGGCCCCTTGCGTGCAACGATGCGAAGGGCAATCGACCTGAGGCTCCGGAACGTGTCCTGAGGCCTTGAGGGCGCGGCGTGATCAACATGTCCCTCACGAAGAACATGCGCTTCACCGGGAATGACAAGTATAGTGCTTTCAGGCAGTACTGACACTGAGGTCAAGGGCAAGCTCATCGTTACCGGGCCGTGAGAATACGCATTCGAGAAAGAGTTCCTCCAACGTGTCCTTCGAGTCGACGAGGACTTGTTGTATGGACTCCGAAGGAGTGGCCTCCGAGTAGACTTGGTCCATGGCGATTCTGCGCAGCCGACATTGCGCTCCCTTGTCCCATGCCTGCGCCAGTACGCCCAATGATAGTGCTTGTTCCTGACTAGCGAAGACGGGAATGATGGGTTGCCGGAGCAGCGTACTGACTGTGTGGCGAGGCACCAGGTTTGGCGGGAAAGATAGGCATGATGTGTCTATGAGTGGTTTAGGTGTCCCGTTGAATATGTCAATGAGAGTCGACAGGTCATCAAGGGCAAAGATGAACAAGCCTAGATCGGAGCCCTTGCTTCCTACTGTCATGAAGTCCAGTGTTCGTAGGCTTGGTGCGAGGGCGCCGACGTCGTGTCTGAGATCCTCAGGAATGGAGAACGAGAACAGGAACATTCGGATATGAGAAAGACGGCCCAGCTTCGGCAGAAGCCGTAGTAGCCACTGGCCATTGGCCGGGAATGTCCTGTCTTTGCTGTCCTTCCTACCGCTCCCGCGGATAGTGAGCGAGCGAATGCAGTGTTGCACGTAGTTGGGTTTATTGAGAAAGGCTTCTAGAGAGTTGAAGTCCGCCGCACTGTTGAGACCTACGCGACAGAACGCATGCCGTCGGGATGGGGGAAATATTGCACGGCAAGTGAGGCTACACGCCATGAGCGGGCCCATATCGTTTCTGAGCCATCCGATGATGTTGTCCCAGACCTCGACAGGTAGTCCGCCGGTTGGCGTAGCCTTGACGAGCATTGATGCTGTTCATGGACCACCCTATAGCCTGCAGTAAGAGTCAGTCGGTCTCCTGCAGCGACTGATCAAACATACCGTGACTTCAGCCATTATTATACTCACCCAGATCCTCCCCAGAAGGTAAATGCCAATAGTGTTGTCTGAGAGCGATACGACTGCAACTTGAGAGTAGAGACGGAGGAGACTCGAGCTTGAGCTGCTTGGGCTTGAGTCACAGTGGCGCGAGCGTTCACATTGTCAAGTAAATATTGTTTCATCTGCCGCGCACGAGCCTCCACGGATGCATCCGGCGTCTGCCGGCGCGGCTCAGCCACAAGCGCGTCGCTCAGCCACAGCCAGCCTGAGCAAACCCGGAAACGCGAACACAGGAATGCAATTCTCGTGCAGTGCGCACATGCCTTAGTCCCGAGGGTCTATGCTGCAGTACCCTGAGTCAGTGCTGTACATATAAGTATCTCTGCTGGCTGTTGCCGGGCGCTATGTCGGGCGCCTATCAGCATACGGGCTGTGCTATAAAGGGCGACCGTTGCGTCCCTTCGTACTCGAGCTCCTCCCTTCCTTTCGAACCAAGTTCCACGAGTACAGGTACTGGCTAGTGAGTCTGTCATCTTCTCATGCGCTCTTGAGGATTCAGTGAACATCATCCTTGCGTCTAGCCTTGCTTGTTTCGATTTTTATCTATATTTCGTCACGCTACTCTTCTTCACCTTCGTCAACGACTTATTTGCTGCTTAACGATCCGTCTACGATGCGTTCATCCGTTGTTGTCATCGCCGCTCTTGCTGCTACCATCGCCCCTGCATTGGGGCTTCCGATGTGTGTATCTTACCCAGTATCTCGTGCAATCTCACCTGAACGTGCCGTTTGTTGTAGAAACGAGTTCGGTATCGCCGCGCGTGCCTCACAGTATGTCTTCGAGAATGTCTGACACCGGAATGAAAGCTCAGCTAGTATACGCAGGTATCGCCGGTCGCCAGATCTGGTCGATAGCATGTACGCTCGAGACGAAGACGAAACGTTCTTGTACCGCAGGTGAGCTGCATTAGTGGAGCAGTTGTCTGTGTTACGCTGACACCTCGTGTTAGGGAGCCCTTCGACCTTAGAAAGGCGAGGATCGGGGTTGTAGTGCACAAGCGCTCCCCCGAGCCGTATGTGATCTTCAACAAGGAGTGAGTCTTGTTAAGACTTGGCCCAGGTTCCTGCTGAACTGAGTGGACTGCTTTCAGTGCGCCCATCCCTCCCGCCTGCCGTAGCGGAGTAACACACTGCTTGCGTGCGCTCGAGGACGAGCTGGATTGAGGAGGTTTGCGCGGATCGGTGATTTATAGTAGCTTGTGACTCTTGACGATTTTCATGCCGAATACGATTACGATTGAGGAGCTCAGTATTCGAGGGACTGGGCGAAACTCTCTGGATAGCCTTGTGAACACACAACTTGAGAGGAAGCCATACGAAAACTGCCATGCCAAACGCATCCATTCAGTCGTGCCCGCTTCGTGATACATGCTCTGAGTAGGATGAGGCGACCGGGTGCGGCATGCGGGACCATCAGATACCTGCGCTCGCAAACGACCAGTTTTCCCAGCAGCCCGGCGCAGGCCCGGCGCCTGCAGGGGGGACGACGCTCCTGTACGCGTCCATATGAAGACGTTGGTGGCGCGCAGTGCGGGAGGCGCAGTGCGGCAAGTCTTGCAGCGGGGGCGGACATACGTCTCCGAGGAGAAGACAGGAAGGCCGCGCGCGTTCAGTATCGGATGGGAAGGATAGGCTCAGCCCGGATCGTGGATAGATCGACTGACTGTTCGAGTGCTTCGTCCAGTTCGCCGATGAGTACTCTAGATCGCACAATGTAAGCGAGGATGACGCAGCGATTGGGTATACGCACATTTGGTCGCCCTTGACGAGATACAACCCCAGCTCAATCTCCTCCACGCCGGCATCCATGCTATATACGCGCTCTTTTGAGTTGGACAGGACGACGTTCGATTTTTGGTCGTAGCCAGCCATGACGCCCTGTTAAGTACGTACCAAAAAGCGCAGTTAGCACCATTGACACACATGGTAGAAGGAATACACGCACCACTATGGCGCGTCCATCCTGCAGGATGAGGAGAACGCGATCTGAGAAGCAGAGGGTAGATGAGACGACGTTCCTTAAACCACTTCACAACTGATGATTCAGAATAAAAGCAGCGCATGAAGTATGACTTACGGTCAACATATCCTTGCAGGGTCGCCATGCTTTGCAAGGCGCACGGACGGTGGTAGTGGTCGAACGCGGAGGGTCGCCGCCTGAAGCGCGCGCAGCCTCCGGTGGCGCAGAGGCGGACTGTGTACCACGTGATTTTGCACTACACTATAACATTCAGACTCTCGCCGCGTCTCATCGAACTTGTCTTCCACCGTGCTCACTCTCTATAATCATATTCAGTCCACCTGCATGAATGTTTGTGGCAAGGAAACTTGTAGACTGCAAGACCTGATCTCATGACTGCGCACGCTCTCTTCCGGACCGCCTGGCAAATATACTCTCACAGTGAAGTAGCCAGTCATTGGCAGCATTTATCCTCTGACGCGATGCTCCCACACCTCCGTGTTGACCAACTCCCTCGCGGCCCGCCCAGCCCATATTCTTGACCGAGATATAAGAATGCGGTATACGACAAGATCAGAGTGGTTGCCCTCAGGACCTCTGTGGCTACCGAAGACGTCGCCGTGACCAACCGTCATGATCGTGCTGCTGTACGCGAGCTTGACCCTCCTCGCATCCGCCGTCTCTGCATACGAAAAGGTATGCAGAGTGACACCGCTGGGTGGTGGGCAAGACGATGGCCCGACCATCAACAATGTCTTCGCCGAATGCGCGTCCGAGGCTACCATCGTGTTGGATGGCTACTATAGCGTGAACACACTGCTACTGACCGAGGGCCTCAGCCATGTGGATATTCTGCTCAGTGGAACAGGTGAGCATGTTTTGCAAGAACCCCTGTTTTCTCAACTAACCCCAAAACAGTGCAATACACTGCGGATATCGAGTACTGGTCTCCGAATAGTCTTTACTTGACATTCCAGAACGCGTCCGTCTGTCGTTTCTGAGTGTTCATCGGGTATATGCTAACCTACTAGTATCGCGTAGGACGACGTTTTGGTTCCTCTCTGGCGATGATATCCATCTCTACGGAGGTGGGACAATCGACGGCAACGGCCAGGTCTGGTACGATACGTTCAACATAACCGGAGTATGATCTACCATTTTTCGTCCCAACACTAGCTAACGTGCAATTGTGCAGGAATCTGCGACAGCGGGTGCTTCTACGCGGTCCTTCTCGCGCCCCATACCGTTGACGGTTGGCAATGCGTCGAACGTTGTCGTCGAGAACATCACGCAGTGGCAGTCGCCTAATTGGGCAAGTTGTCTCGTTTGCATGTTCAGGACGGGGTACTGATGTACTCGTGTTGCTATGCAGAACAATGTATGTGCCTATCAAGGTTACGTGCAGTGTCATTGACATAGCTATACTGCAGTTCGTGTACCAAAGTACCAACGTTACGTATCGCAACATCAAGTGTGTCAACTCAGATCCGTTGACTTTGCAATCACTGATCTAGCACGCCAGTATCAACTCCTTCTCGTATTCGAGCGCACCTGCCAAGAACACCGGTGAATGTCTGTCATCTACGCAGCTGACAGCGGGCTGAACGCTTGGACTTCATAGACGGTTGGGACATCTACCGCTCGTCCCAAGTTACTATCACCGACTCCATTATCAACAACGGCGACGACTGCGTCTGTAAGTTTGGTATGCTGTACTTTCTATGAACCACTCAATTGAGCATAACCCTGGCAGCTCTGAAACCGAATGTTACCGAGGTCGTTGTAACCAACCTGTGGTGCAACGGCTCTCACGGAATCTCCGTGGGCAGCCTTGGGCAGGTTGGCTAGCACGTTCGCTGAATATTCGTTGCGCTCATAGATTCTCATTCAGTACGCTGGCGAGACAGACATCGTCGCCAATGTCTTCGTCAAGAACGTTACTATGCGTTATGCTGAGAATGGCGCCCGTATCAAGGCCTTTGGCGGGAGTCCTGACGCAAGTACGTCGTTTCCCAACCCTGCTGTAACATGGGCACGTGCTATACTGTACATGTTTCCATCCAGATAGTACAGCTGGTGGAGGCACTGGCTATGTCAAGAATGTGACATTCGAGGACTTTTTCGGTATGCTGCTCCGCTATCAATTTCAATGTGCAAGTGGCACTGACGCAAAAGGATGCTTGCAGTCTATGTCGTGGACGACCCAATCGTCATTGATCAGGTCAGTTATTGATTTGCACGGTACCACAGCCCACACAAACATGGGCGTCTCACTAACGCACATCCAGTGCTACTTCACGGACGCTTCTGTCTGCGAGGAGTACCCCAGCCAGCTCTCCATCTCTGACATTCACTGTACGTTCTGAGTCTCTTGGCCCTCTCGACACCCCGATTCACATGGCCACTCGTAGTCATCAACGTGACAGGAACCTCGTCTGGGGCGGAAGGTACCGTCGTCGTCGACCTGGAGTGCTCTCAGGAATGCGAGGACATCACAGCGAGCGGAATTGATGTCACATCGCCGGACGGCCCTGCTACGTATGTCTGCAAGAACATTGCGAGCACAGACGAGGTGAGTTGCCCGGGGCATAGTAACACCACCACTTCACTGAGCGCCCTGTGTAGCTGGGCTTCAACTGTAGTGCTCCTTCGAGCTGATGCAGTTGTGTTGGAAGTTGTGTTTGCCAAGGCATACTTTGCCGGCAAGATTTCTTGGTGTCTTGACCCATGTAATGCTGCTATTGAGAGTTCGAACGGACGACAGTACGAAACCAGATTAGTGAGAGCTGGTTTCTATACGCAAGCTGCTATATGCTTCCCGAGTTCTTATTCAAATCAAGCTTTGGATAGGTAAGGTTTCTGCTAACGGCATCCAGGTAGGTGTACGCCCAACGAGCCCAAAAGAGCAAGAGAACATGTGGACGGGCGCGTTCTGACCTGTTATGGCATTCGGGTTTGCTTCCAAGCCAGGCACATACTTGCGCCCATCTTCGCCCCTTCGGATTTGGGACGAGGAAAGAATGATGATATGCAGGTGAGTGTTTTCTTGACCTCATGCGTGGGTCGCGCGACACGGGTCTTAGGAGCTGAGACTAAGCTGGGACGCGTTGGACAGGGAACGCTCCTCACGTGACGGCGACACGGCGCTCCCGGCCCGCCGCACGCCCGCCGCACTCATTGACTCAACGGCTTCGCACACCTCAGCTTCGGCTGGGCGTGCAGGGCGTCGTTCACGCTACCACGGTCGTTTGACGGCGTCCCTCGCCCCATCCCCGTGCGGCCCGCTCGGTGAGCGTTCTCGTAGTGTACGGCAACCCTATCATGTGCACGAGGATCCGCGTGATCGTGGCAGGGTCTTCATCCTCAACGAATAAATAGCGCAAATCGTCGAGGACAGACCGAGCTCCACCCTCGGTCTTCCGACGCGTCTTTTGCTCGTATACTCACCATGTTCAAGGTAGTCCTGGTACTTGTCTCCCTCGCTGCGCGCGCGCTGGCCTGGGACACTGTTTGCGCTGTGAAACCTCTTGGTGGAGGACAGGATGACGGACCGAACATCAATGCTGCATTCGAGGAATGCTCAAGCAATGCAGCCATTATCCTCGACGGGTACTACAGTGTCAATACTTTGCTCTTGGCCAAGGGGCTAAGTCACGTTGACATCGTTTTGAGTGGGACGGGTAAGAGTTATCTTCATTGCGCGTATTCATGTCTGATGGAGATACATGCAACAGTGCAATATACGCCTAACATCGCGTACTGGTCACCGAACAGTCTGTATCTGACATACCAGAACGCGTACGTATCATGCCTCACTGTTACGTACATCGCGTCCAACTGTGTGTCAGGACCACCTTCTGGTTCTTGTCCGGACAGTACATTCACCTCTACGGCGGCGGTACCATTGACGGCAATGGCCAGGTATGGTGGGACACCTTCAACACCACAGGGGTAACATTAGAATATCTGGCACTCCGAACAGCTCGACTGATGAGTGTTCAATCCAGAATTCGGGGACTGCGGGTGGCTCGTCTACGACCTTCGCCCGACCGATCCCGCTTACCGTGGGGAACGCGTCGAACGTCGTAGTTGAGGATATCACGGAGATTGGCTCACCGTTCTGGGTACGTCCAGTGTTTTGTTGCACACGCACTAAGCGTGTTGTACTAAGCGAATACATAGAACAACGTAAGCATACTATATTGCAGACGTGCCTACGATCTGACTCACACATTGCCGATACAGTTCGTGTATCAGAGTACCAACGTGACTTACAGCCGCATTAAGTGAATTTCTATTCTGCACTCCTAGTGCTTCAGCCCGTGCGCTGACAAAATATGCAGCATCAGCTCGGTGTCGTACTCAAGCGCTCCGACCGCCAACTCGGGTAGGTCCAGGCTAGTTGCATAGTGACCTCTCAGAATAGCTAACGTCGTGTCTAGACGGTTGGGACATTTACAGGTCTTCATATGTCACCATACAAGACTCCACCGTAAACAACGACGATGACTGCGTCTGTAAGTGAACTGCAGCAGTTTTTAGGGACATTCTTAAGTGTTGTCTAGCTTTCAAGCCGAACTCTACCAACATGGTCGTGCAGAACATGTGGTGCAACGGATCTCACGGAATTTCCGTCGGCAGTCTTGGGCAGGCACGTTTGCTGCGTAACAGTGGCGGTCACCACACTGACCCTCTCTGTTCGTCAGTACGCGGGCGAAACCGACATCGTCGCGAATGTGTTCGTCAACAACGTGACCATGCGCAATGCAGAGAACGGTGCACGCATCAAGGTGTTCGGTGGCAGCCCATACGCCAGTACGTGCAATCCATATCACCTGCATGGGACTGAGGTATGACTTTTTGCAAAGACAGCACAGCTGGCGGCGGCACCGGCTACGTGAAAAACATCACATTCCAGAACTTCTACGGTAAATGCATCGTTATGCGGACGCGAGCATGCCCAGTACAACTGACCATACACTTCTAGTGTACAATGTCGACAACCCGATGTACCTCAACCAAGTACGGCTTCCATGCCGAACAGTATCACCCCATCTCACTCTGATCTGAACAGTGCTATTCGACGCCCGCGGCGACTTGCGAGGAGTACCCCAGCACCCTCAGCATCTCCGACATCCACTGTACGCTCTCCCTCAGCCGCCGCCCTACCGCTCCTCCTGCTCACGCTTGAACGACAGACATCAACGTGACGGGCACCTCGTCCGGTGAGGAGGGCAGCGTCGTCGTCGACCTGGAGTGCTCCGCCGAGTGTGAGGACATCACCGCGACGGGCACGCACTTGACGGCGCCGAACGGCACCGCGACGTACGTCTGCGACAAAATCGCGACTCTGGACGAGGTATGATATGTCGTCGTGGCCCACCGTTGATAATCGTAGGAGAACTGACGATCGGTTTGTACAGCTCGACTTCAATTGCACCGCGCCATCGTAAGGGTCTCCGACATAATGCGTATGATACGATGTGTGCCAGAAATCCAATGGGATGTGCTATCCAAGTTGTAATAGTACTTTGGTGATCGTCGGATGAGACTCTCATGCCGTGCTTGAGCTTCGAGCTCACTCCCAGCGCTATCTCAACATCGTCCTCATGCCGAACGTCTGGCCACTGGGGGCAGAATGCCAAGTTCCGTGCATGAATACCGTAAGGGCACGTGAGAAATCGGGATCAGTGTTCAACGTTCAACGTTCAGCGCGCGCCGTGCAATTACTACTTACAACCCACTCGCAGTCGCAAGTCGAAGTCGCACGGACCAAAGCTACCGTTGTACAGTGCACCTACGCCTATTGATTGAGATACCTATTCTCCTCATGCCCGCCAAACGAACCAAGGAGTCTAGCGGAAATGGGCAGAAAGCGAAGGTTCGGGGCAAAGTTGGTGGGAACGCAGTAAGCTTGATCAGATTGTCCCTCTGAGTAGTAACCCAGTAGCACTGATTCCTACCATGCGGGTCAGCTCACTGGGATCAATCGCTGTGACCAATGTGCCACCGAAAATATCGAGTTCTGTCGTATAAGCAAGAACCGCAGAGCATGCAATCGTTGTCGTGTCAATTCTGCTTGCTCCTTTGCAGTGAGTTATCTTCCTTGTGTACGTAGATGATGGGTCGGCACTGATATAGTGCAGGATGGCCCTGGAGCAAAACAAGGCGATGAGGTGTCCGATGCGGAGACTGCAGAGTCCGATGATGTACAGTCCGATGATGAGCAATCTGTGGCGGCCAGCCACAGTAGTAGTGCTCCAATCGCAGGGCCATCGGGCAATGCAGGTAAGTACAAAGTAGACCAATCTGCAATAGTGATGGCTTGCTCACTGCCAGCACAGGGAATGGGGCCTCAGCTGCAGAGTTGTCTCAGAGGCTTGAAGACGTGGAGGGTCGTCTCCGAAGCATGGAGGACCGCATCCGCAAGCTGGAGGGTCACGGTGTAACCAAGCATGATCGTTCTGTTCAAATCTAAGCTGGAAGCCTAATAGCTGAGCTGTCTATCACTACACACTGAGGGGGTTCATTTGTCTTGATAACAATGCATGATATCAGTTCGCTTCTTGGAATTTATTCGCACATAGTCTATGATAAGTATGTGCCACTAGCTGATACTGTACTTCCTGACCCACATCAGCTTCGTCGAGACGTTCCGGCCCAAGCCTGGGTACAGCGCTGCGCACCTCAACCGGCGCTCTGCTACCTCGCTGCACAACGTCCAACACTCAATGGAAAGACATGCTGGCGCCGGCGCGTCTTCTGCAGTCGATCGCCAATTCTGCTGCCATGCACGAACCCCATCGAATACAGTTCGTGAAAAAACAGGCGCTCCACCGATTCCTCCAATCTATGTACTTATCAATTCGGTTGAGTATGATAGGGATGGTGGTCTACAAAGAGGGAGGCGCATTGTCCAGAGAAGAGACCAGCATCGCCGTCTAACGCCATTACATATGTACAAGAGAGTGCGCACGGACTCGGGGGAACCGAACCAAGAATGCCGGGGGGATCAACCGTTCGAACGAGACGCGTCGTCGGTGCTCAGTAACCAGTGTCACGTACGTGTAGTAGAATGTATCCTACGCCAAGCCAACCACAATATAACACACGACTCCACTGTCGGACAGAAGAGTGGGGGATCTGCCAATGAAAGAGGGCAGCCCCTTCACTTGCTGCCGGACGTCTTATAGAGCACGAGCCCGCCGAGCGCGATCGAGTAGCCGAACACTTGGAGCGGCGTGATCGACGTGCCCCAGATCAGGACGGAGCCGCTGATGAGCAGGATGTCCTTGAAGACGCCTGCGAGCGTGAGCACGAGCCCGCTGCCCGCACCGACGAGGAACACTGCTGCGATGTTCAGCAGGAATGCCACTGCTGCGTTACTCAGCAGGATCCATGGCCTAGTAGACTTTCAGCATGTAATGCTGAGACGAGAGACAGAAAGAACACGCACCCAATACGAGCTATCTCGTAGAAGGGCGCGAGCCCCTCGGTGAGCGGAAGCACGGCAAGGTTGATGATGGCGCACACGGGCGCGTAGTAGTGTAGCGACACGAGCGGGTCCATCTTCAGGCCGTGCAACAGGATCTGGATCATGACCAGGCGCGACGCCTCGAACTGCGACAACCCCGGGTCAGTTTCCTTAGCACAGGCCGAATCAAAGTGACATGAGGACGTACGACAACAGCAGCGGCTTGCGTGAGGAAGCCGACGATGTTGAACTTGAGCTCACCCTGGGAAGCGAGTGCGACGCCGGACGAGATCATGACGACGATCACCGCAAGCTTCTTGTTGGGTTCTGCTATCCGGAAGGTCCACGAAATAAGCAGAATCGCAACAGGTACAAAAGCCTATTGGGGACGGATGTGAGATCGGGGGGGATGCTGCTATGACGGCAGCGGACTGACCTTGAGCATCTGAATATACGCCACGCTGAGGTACAGGTATGCGGTGTTGCTCAGGATGAGTGAGGCGCTGAAGAGAAGGCCGATAGGCAGGATCGAGCGGATGAACAGTTCCTTAGAAACATGGACGTCCTTCGCACCATCTAGGAGATGCGTCGTGCGTTGTAGGACACGGGTACCGATTGCCTAGAAAGATAATGAGCATTCGTCCGTCATCAGTGTTGGGCTCACAAGATGACTGTATGCCTTTTCAGGTGCTCGGAGCGGTTATGGCGCGCTACCACTACAGCCCACAGCACTGAGTCGAAATGGCCGCTGCTTGGGTCAACTTACGCGCCATATGATACGTGGGTTCCAATCCAGAACAACTCTGATGATGGAGACCACTTCATACCGGATAGAGCAACCAAATTCAGTCGCGTAAAGAAATGACGACATTCAGATCGGACAACGTGCACATAGCCCGTCCGATCGCGTCGTGTTCCGTACGTGTGTGGTTTGCTCCAGGGAATCCAAAATACAACGTTGTAACTTGTATCCCCCGCAACCACCGCTCGAGCTACATTCACCAGACGAGCACAGCAATCAATACTCACCGCGAATGTTAAGTGCCATGTCACCAGGAACACGGGGAACCGGAACTGAAGTGTATTGTACACGTAGTTATTGTAGATGATGACAGCCGAGCTCAGGACAATCCAGATAGGGATGATAGCTGCGGCAGAGAGCTTCGGCTTGTTCGCTGGTCGGGCGACCTGCGCAGTAACTGGGGAGGGAAGGGGGTCGTTAGAGGTCTTCTCGTCGTGGACTTCCAGTGTCTGAGAGCCACTCTGCTCTGAAGAAGAAAGCGCCTTTTCGTAGTCTTTGCTAGACATGGATGGCTTGTTGAGATAGCTGGCCAAGAGGTGGTGATAGTGCTGCTGTAGCGTGTGGGCGGTGTCTCGGAGGACTAGATGGGCTCAGTGTTGTGCAACGAGGCGAAAGGAGAGACTAGTAGTCGGATGGTGCCTTAGGAGCCAAACAAGCCAGACAGGAGGCGCAGTGACCGCCGGGAGGATGAAGGGCGGAGGAAAGGAGACGATGCCCGTTTTCTACGCCCAGCCCCGACACGGCATATCCACACCACGTGACCCAAGCCGCGCACACGTTGGCGGCATCCGGGCGCTCCTCCGCGCTCAGCCACCATCACTCACGTCCTTCGGTTCGCTACCGGGATTTGGTCCTCAGCCGCAGCGACCTCACAGCACTGTCACTGTCATGCGTACAGCTGGGCTGCACGTAGGTATATATTTTTACTTTATTTTGTTGTTATCGCGTCGGTCAGCTTCTCGGTCTCCTGACCCGGAGGAACTTGGCCCGTCTCACGTCGGACGGTTTGCGATACTTACCAATAGCCTCTCTCAAAGTTCGCGTATGAATGGGCGCTACGGCAGACGCACATCGCCAGGCGTAGCCCCCATCAATCGATGCTTTCCCTTTTTTCGGTTTTCATTTCGATCCCAGCTGGGATCCGTGACAATCTGTCACACAGTTCGCCTCGAGGCGATGGCGTGTCCGCATCACAGCCGCACTTCAACCACCCACTTGTACGTACGTTTACGGCGCTCCCCTTACAGGCACGATGTCCCGCCGTCGACTCTCCTTTCTCCCGTTCCCTCACTTCACTTCAGCCCTTCGACTCATACCGTCCTTGGACCCCCTCCTACGGTTTCTTCATCTCATGTCTACCCGAGGTCGACCCACAAGGAAGAGGTCGAGTGACGTGCCAGCGGACAGCAACAAGGATGATGACCGTATGACAATCCACTGGGTTGGAAAACACTCATACCGCACGGAGAGGCTCTTGGCCTGGCTCGTGGAGCATCAGAAGGCACGGCGCGAGCTCCTTGGGGACGATTGCAACGAGGCCCGAGAGGAGGGGCGCCCTATCTCTGCAGGCAGCTCGTCGCGCTCAGTTCAATGCAGAGTGATTGCTGAGGAAATTTTTCGAACTGACTTGGACGACAAGGTGGTTTCCTGCCGTACAAGGCTGAACGATCGTGTATGGAGACGCATTCAGGCGTAAGTGAATTTATTATTATGTATGTTTATCCTTCGTGCAGGCTTATGATTTCTGATAGATTGAAGAAGGACTACGGCGAGTACATAAGGTTGCTGAACACGACCGGCTACGGTCTCACCGAGAGGGACAATGCCGATGGTATCTTGACAGTGGAAGGTGAGTCTGATGGATACACAACGTCAAGCAGAGCACTGATTCGTGCCGGGTTAAGACAAAGCGTGGAGAGAAGCGAGGCTAGACCCCGAGTGGAAGGAATCTATGGTCCAAATCTTTGGTAGAAGGCCCTCCCTCGTGCTCACGGGAGCGTCCGCGGAACCTGGCCAAGACCTTCAAGGAGAAGCATCTCGGCACTGGAACATGCGTCAGGCAGACGCCTTGCGCCCTGCCACGCCCGTTGATTCCACTCCGGAGATGCCGATGCTGCAGCCTGGGATGTGGTCTAACGTCGAAGGAGGGGCTGAGGGGCCTTTGGACGACTCATGGTTGAGCTACGCTTTCGGCCAGGGTGCCAGTGCCGGGGACGATCAAATCATTGCGTGAGTGAGTGCAACCACAACATCCTGCACAGACACTAACTGCATCCCTAGCGAGGGCGGCAACCGGATCTCCAGTGATAACGTCCGTGACGATGCACTCCCCCCTGACCTCGACTTCGCCCTGGGGCTTGGGCCGAAGCCACCGAACGCGCATCAACTTGAATACCTCCAACCGTCCGCTAGCGCATCCGCTGAGGTTCAACACCAAGCTCCGTCACGTGGAGACCCCACAAGCCTCACAGCGTCCAGGTCAGGAGTATCTTCAGCCACGCAGTTGCACGTCAGCCCTGCTACCGCACACGCGGGTACGGTCACCCGCGGCTCCCTATACCACTTCTCGCCTACAGCGAGTGAGACGTCCAGTATCCATAGTGTCCCGTCCCCCTCCCATTACCCTCCTTCGCTGCATAGTGCTGGGTCGTCGCTCTCCTCCCTCCATGCGTCCATGAACACCTGGACTGTCTCGACGTCGTCTCTGCCCTCTCACGCAAGTATACGGTCCCCGTTGTCGCCATCTTCTACAGCCGTTTCGTCGCAGGGGGCACCTCGTGTTGTGACTGGCAAGCGGCCATCCGAGAAGACCTCTTCGTCCGCATCGAAGAAGAGCCGGACGAGCGCCGGGGCAAAGACTGCCTCGGCACAGCCAGACATGAGTGGTATCAGCGAGCGGCTGGACGCCGCTGCACAGGTGCACGACGAGGTCACGAAGGCTGCGTTGTTGAGGGAGGAACGGGCGACGTTAAAGGCAAAGGCGTTGCTAAAGCGCGAGGAGGTGAAGGAAATCCAGGCGCAAACGGATAAGCTGAACGCGCAGAGCCTCATGATGAGGACAGTCGCAAACCAAGGGTTTGCATACATCCCGGACGACCTTAAGGACAACATCACTCCGAGCCTGATGCCCTACGGCGTCAACGTTCCTTACGGCGTCAACGTTCCTTACGGCGGCAACGTTCCTTACGGCGGCAACGGTCCCTACGGCGGCGGCAACACTCCGTACGCCGGCGGCAACGCTCCCTACGCCGGCGGCAATGCTCCCTACGCCGGAGGCAACGCTCCGTACGGCGGCGGCAATGCTCCCTACGCCGGCGGCAACGCTCCATACGGCGGCGGCAACGCTCCCTACGGCGGCGGCAATGCTCCCTACGGCGGCGGCAATGCTCCCTACGGCGTGGGCGCGACGCCCTTCACACCACTCGGGCCTGTTGCACCCTACCCACCCATCACAAACATCGCCCCCACCGGGCCTGTCATGCCCGTCACACCTGTTATGTCGCCTGCTCACATTGTGCCCGTCTCGCCCATCGCCCCTGTCACCCCTGGCTCGTCGTTCCCCGTCGGTCCCACTGCGCCCATTGCACCCTTCACACCCTTAGTACACGTCGCGCCCGTGTCCGCTGCGTCGATCGTGTCAATTGCGCCTGCATCCACTGCGGCCGTCGCGCACGTTGCGCCTGCGTCCGCCGTGCCTGTGTCTGTCGCACCCACGTCCGTCGCACCCGCGTCCACTGCATCCGTCGCATCCATTGCGCACGTTGCGCCTGCGTCCGCTGCGTCTGTCGCATCCGTCGCGCATGTCACACCTGCGTCTGCTGCCCCCGTTGCCCCCGTTGCTCCCATGTCGCCCGACCTAGCTGAGGATCTCTATGAGTAGTGAGGGTGCATTATGTTGTGTATTTGTAGTCATTGCAATGATATGGTGGTAACTTCTATTGGACGACAATGTATTGAGGCTATACAAACAAGTCTGAATGTGATACATGAAAGGCAGTATGAACTTTGATGTCCCATACTATGTCTACTATCATTGCTGTGCAGCCAAGATCTCTCTAAGTAGATACATTCGCTTCTGGATCCCTTCAGGTGTAACTTCATCATCCCCATCACCTTCCATAGCCTCTGCTGTCACCTCTTCCTCAGTAGGAGTAAATCGAGGTCGTTCACTGGAATGAACACCAAGCTGATTCAGAACCTCAGTCCAAGTCCTCTCCTGGGTGAGGTCCTGATTATGCTTTAGTCCACTCCTGATTGCCCGGTGATACGCTCCCATCTGGACTACACCCCGATTCGTGAGGTATCGAGCTCACGCGCGCAGTTCACCGACTTAGGCATTGCTCGACATTGGCCAGCATGCTACGACTACACTAAGAAGACTCTAGCGGAAGTCCCGTCCACCGAAGGGTCCAGTGTTACGACCACGACCTCGGAAACCTCCCCTACGACCGGCTGCGTCTCGAACAGGCTCGCCGACGTTAATGCCTCGCTCGCGCCCTCCCAGTTCGGCGACGCTCGTAGAGAGCGACCCGAGGATCCTACGAATCTCCTGCTGGTCCTCGCTCAGGCGGTGGACGGCGTTAGCCAAGTGATTGAAGTTGTCGGGCAAGCGGCGATACTCCGGCACATACAGTGGGTCGAGTTGGTAGGAGACCGGAGCCAGAGGCTCGTCGATAGCCTCGCGATGCAGGACGGACTCCTCGGACCAGGCGATGGTCGGATAGGGTGCGCCCAACGAGTCGTGAGGCAGCTTGTAGCGCTGGAAGATCTCGTCGATGTAGTTCATGACCTCGACGACGTCGTTGAAGGAGTACGGCGATGGGACGGAGTTCGGGTCATCGGTGACCGCCTTGCAGTAGGACTCGAAGAGACCGCGCTGGAAAAGCTGGTGAGGATCTATCCCTGGCCGACGAAGGCGACAGAAGACCTACGAGCATCCAACGAACGCAGTTGGCCCACGACAGCCATTCGCCCCGAGATACGGGCAGGAGACGTGGCTCTACGGCGGCCTCACCCTTGATGACTTCGATCAAACGGTAGTAGCGGGCGATGTGAGCTTCCGCGGTTGGTTCGACGCGTACGTTGGGCATGGTGGTGTTGGGGAAGAATCTGCAAGACAACCTCGGTCGTATGGTCGCGGTGCTACGGCTAGCCAAGTACCGTTCGGGCGGTTGCCCGGGGCTAATCACGTTCAACAGGGCCCGAAGTCTTACGCCATTATGGCGCATTCTGTGTGTGCTCGCCGGGCAAGTCGATAGCCGGTGTGCTGGCCTCTACGATTGGACAGCGCTCGTATCGTTCGACTCGGATCATTTATATGCACGTGTTTTCCTGTTTGTGTAGGCGTTGTTCTATCCTGTATATACTGCGGGGCGAGCCCCCTCGAATACCAGATACCCTTACCCTCTCAACTTGTCCGTTCGTCGTACGTCCGTCAGCAGTCAGTCCGTACGCGAGAAGTCAGTCAGTACGATCGTCAGTCCGTCAGAGTTCGTCAACGCCCCGAGTGGTGTCTCTACATCTTGTCCTGCCATCGCTTGCCTCGTCTAGTCCCTCGTCTCGTCGTCAGGTCCTCGATTCGTTCGGTTCGTGACCGTGGTCTACTCGTCTCGAAGCGTCCGCTACTTTGTCGTAGAAGCAGATCGGGCCTGTGCGAAGCCTTGCCGACCTCGCTCCTTCCACTATCGACCATCGTACCATCTCGGTACACCTTCCTAGCCACTAGGTCTCGCATATCGTTGCTCGCCCTTCGTCGGGTGTGTTGTGTGTGGCCTTTGTGGTGCTTTCGGTCACATCATCTTGGAGCCCACCGCGAGGGGGTGAAGTTAAAGCAGGATTTCCCGGCCCCGTCTGCTAGACATCAGCCCGGCCGACTACGAGGACTACGAAGAACCGATTTTCGCGTGGGTAATCGAGAGTCGATTAGGTCCTGGGGCCGCAGCACGATTTCGTCGTAGACCTGGTGCACTCCCTTCGACTCAAACCCCTATCCCACAAGCTCCCGCAGAAGTAGAGCGTGTTCTTGGTTCCGACGAACCAGAAAGCTCCTTTGCAGAACGTCCAACTGCCATTCAGTCAGCCTCGCAGCATCCCCGTCGTCATTCGTCTCCGACAGACCGATCTGAGGACCGTTCGTCAGTTTTCGGCTCACCACTATCCTCCCTATCTCCGTCGCCACCCCTTGACGAGGTGGCCCCGAAAGCGAACACGCCTACTACGCGTAGAGGTTCGAGCAGCTTCCCCGTAACTCCACCCCCACCTACCACGAGTCGTCGAGGTTCCGGAGCCCGTCCCGGACCAGTGCAGTCCACATCGAGGACAGGTCCAACCCGCAACTCATCCAGTTCTACTACTCCTACGAACGAGCCAGATATGTCTCACGCCGCTCAGTCAGCCGCTGCAGTCGCAGCGCACCCACCTGCCATGCCTGCCCGAGGCCACTCGACCGCGCCCGTCTTCGACGAGACCGAACCTCTCTCGTTCAACAGATACTTCCAGGATCTCGAAACCCACTTCTCGCGTTGCGGTATCAAGACCGACATAGACAAGAAGTCGTGGGCCACTAGGTACCCTCCGCTACGAGTCTCCGAGCTATGGGAGATGCAACCTACGTTTAAGGATGCGACCAAGACGTACGACGACCTTAAGAGGTCGCTACGACAGCTCTACCCAGGGGCCGACGACCAGCACAAGTACTCCATCGCGGATCTAGACAAGGTCGTCACCGACCGCGTACGGCTCGGCCTGTCCAATGCCCTCGACCTAGCAGCGTACTACCGAGACTTCTACATGATCTCCGAATATCTCATCTCGCAAGGCTCGCTATCGACGCTCGAGCAGGACCGGAAGTTCCAACTCGGTTTCTCGCCAGCGCTGTGGACGCCTGTGGAGCAGCGCCTTCTACTGAAATACCAGGATCACCCTCGTCAGAAGCCGTGGAGTTTTGCGATGATCTACGAGGCGGCGCAGTGGGTCCTCGACGGACCTACTCCGGCATCGACGTTCCAACAGACCATAGTTACGTCCCCAGTGGTCTCGACGATTCCGGCAGCTGCCCCTGCGACCACGGCTGGTGGTGTTAAGGCGGAAGAACTACTACCCCTACTACAGACGTTGATCAAGACGCTCGAGAACCAACAGACCCGCGGTCGGGCACCCGCCGCGTCGAACTCGACCACGAGAGATGGGCCGTTCTGTTACTACTGTGGACGCCCCGAGTGTCGTATTGGCCGTTGTGAACTTTTCGACGAGGATACGAAGAAGGGACTGTGTATACGCACGGCGGAGGGCAAAATCGTGTCTTTCGATGGCAAGTTCATGAGCCGCGGCGACGGCCAGACGCTACGTGACGCGATCTTCGAGTACGCGCATCGCATGGGCAAGCTAGGACACGCCTCGACGCCTGCGACCGGATCAAACGCGATCTTGCAAGGCTCTAGGGCTGACACCATGCTATATGAAACAGTTGACAGCCACCAAGCCGCGACCTACTCGCTCGGTCTCGAGGAGCGCCTCGACCGTGTTAAGGACGAACTTTCGTATCTGACGGAAATCTACGCGCAGGAGCGACGGAGGAGACCGGTCTTCGACGGGGTCGTGATAGAGAAACGTCAGACCAGGTCGACCGCCAGACCGGCCAACCTACCTGCGGACAAGGGCAAGTCTCCCGCTCGGGCACCGTCAAGCGAACGAACGGTCAGATTCGAAACCCCCCCGGAGACGCCGCCTACGAGCAGGAGTACTACGCCCTCAGTCGAACCGTCCACCGCACGCTCCGCGAGCCACGCGCCACCTACCGCCGCTGCGAAGGCCGCGCCAGCGGGCTCGAGCACTACCCCGACCACGTCGACGCCTAGCAACACTGCGACAGCCGACAAGTCTGCGCCGATTCACCCGTTCGCGAACGTGAAAGACGCGACCTACGCGCCACCAACTACCCGTAACTTCGGTGCCGCGCCGACCAAGGTTAAGAATCGCGATGGCTCGTACACGAATCTCGCTCCGGTAGTTCAAGCCCAGATTGCGGAAACCGTCTACAAGCGGTCGATGACCACTCCAACCGTCAGCTTGACTATTGAAGAGCTCCTCAGCATCTCGCCCGACATCCGGAACAAGTACCGCGAAGCGGTTACCCCTCGTCGAGTAGCGCACGATGCCAACACTGTGTCGACGAACATGGCCTCTGTGGAAAGTAGCGCGAGCGGCAGCGAGCAGGAGCTCGACTGTCACGACAACGAGTTGGATCCGAACGCAACGATCATCCCCGACACGTACGAAACGTATCTTCGTGTTCTGCCCAAGGGGGTTCCGCCTAGCGAACTAGTTGTCGCAGCTGAGTCGCACGCGCTGCGTACCGTTGACTTGCTCATCGACCGTAAGGAGAAAGTTGCGTGCATCCTCGACCCTGGTTCGCAGGTCATCTGTATGTCGGAGGCCCTCTGCTACCACCTCGGTCTCGCATTCGACCCCACGATCTGCCTCAGCATGCAGTCTGCGAACGGTGGAGTCGACCGCTCGCTGGGCCTAGTCCACAACGTACCCTGCCAAGTTGGACCGATCACACTGTACCTCCAGATCCACGTCATCCGCAGAGCGTCGTACGACGTACTCTTGGGTCGTCCGTTCGACGTCATCACGGAGAGCGTGGTCAAGAACTACTTCAACGAGAACCAGACGATCACGCTTGTGTGTCCCAACACCAACGAGCAGGTCACCATTCCGACGATGCCTCGAGGACGCCCCCGATTCCAAGAGGTTTTTCAGAAGAGATCGTCGACACTTTCGAACATCTAGTTCAAGCCGAAGAGGATGAACAGGTCGCGTTAGTGATCGACTTCGAGAACGATACCCCTTCCATTTCCGCCTATGCCAATATCTCCTCGCTTGATAACCCGGTCCTAGCGGCCACATACCTCTCAGTACCCGACACCTATTCCAACTTTATTTTCGACAGCGTCCGAACCAGTACAGAAGCCAGCCAGTCATCGACGAATACCACCTATGCTTCCCACGTTCCTTCTACTGTTCCTCTCTCTCATACCCGCGCTGGCGATACCCATAGTAGTACTTCTTCGACCGAGGATGACGCCGACGTCGCAACGTTCGCGCAAGCAAAATCAAAGAAGAAGTACAAGCCAGTCGCACGCAAGACTAGACCAGTTCTGGGCTCGTTGCCTGCCGAGTTCCGCATCATACGCGACATCAAGGGAGACCCGCTCTCGACGATGCGCGAGCTCAACCCGAATCCACCGCCGTCCGAGACAAGAGGCCGCTATACCGCTGAGCGCGCAGCGACCACCGATAAGTTGCACGACGATGGACTTCTACAACCCGCGGAGCGGGACCTCCTTCATCATTTTATGGCTACGAATAACGACGCGTTCGCGTGGTCCGACGACGAGCGTGGTAATTTCAAGGCCGAATACTTCCCGCCAATCGACTTTCCGGTCATTCCTCACACGCCCTGGGTCCAGAAGAACATACCGATCCCCCCAGGACTCTACAACGAAGTCTGCGCACTCATCCGACGAAAGATCGACTCCGGAGTGTACGAACCCTCGAACTCGTCCTACCGTTCGCGATGGTTCTGTGTGGTCAAGAAGGATGGGAAGTCTCTGCGACTCGTCCACAGTCTCGAGCCACTTAACGCAGTCACGATCCAACATTCAGGGGTTCCACCCACACCAGAATACCTGGCCGAACAATTCGGAGGACGGGCGTGCGGCGGAATGCTCGACCTCTATGTCGGATACGACGAACGGTACATCTCCGAAAGCTCACGCGATCTCACGACGTTCCAGACCCCTTACGGTGCGATGAGGCTCACGACGCTTCCCATGGGTTGGACGAACGCGGTTCCTATATTCCACGACGACGTTACCTACATCTTGCAACCGGAGACTCCCGAGTACACGATACCGTACATCGACGACGTACCCGCGAAAGGCCCAGCAACCGACTATGGCGGCGAGGTCATCCCGCAGAACCCAGGCATTCGACGCTTCGTGTGGGAGCACTTCCAGAACCTGAATCGTATCGTGACCCGCATGCGCTACGCTGGAGGAACATTCTCGGGCGTCAAGAGCGTCCTCGCGGCTCGCGAAACCATGGTCATCGGTCACCGCTGCACGCCCGAGGGACGATTACCCGACGAAACCCGGGTGGCTACGATACGGAACTGGGGGCCTTGCCATACCTTATCCGACGTGCGAGCCTTTCTAGGAACTATGGGCGTGTGCCGAATCTTCATTCGCAACTTCGCGCATCGTGCCGATGCATTGGTACGACTCACCAGGAAAGACGTGCCCTTCGAGTGGGGCCCGGCGCAGCAGCAAGCCCAGGACGACCTCAAGCAGGCCCTGCTGGAAAGTCCCGCTCTACGCTCGATCAAGTACGACACCACGTCGCCGGTGATCCTGGCGGTCGACACGTCATATATCGCCGTCGGATATCTTCTGTGCCAGTGCGACGAAGAGGACCCACGAAAGCGCTTTTACAGTCGATTCGGTTCCATCACGCTCAACGATCGCGAGCGCAGGTTCTCCCAACCCAAGCTCGAAATCTACGGCCTGTTCCGCTCGCTGCGCGCGCTACGGCTCTACCTCATAGGCGTCCGCAATCTGGTCATAGAAGTCGACGCTCGCTACATCAAGGGAATGTTGGCCAACCCAGACATTGCGCCCAGTGCCAGCATTAACCGCTGGATCGTCTCCATTCTGACTTTCCATTTTACGCTCGTACACGTTCCGGGCTCGTCGCACGGACCCGATGGACTCTCACGAAGGACGCCGCAGCCTGGAGATGCGGCGGTCGACGAAGACGACGGTTTCGACGACTGGATCGACAACATGTACTCGTTCGTGCACATGGTCCAACCTCTCCGTCCCACCCAATCCCACCCTCCAGACATCTTTCAAGACGATGAGCCGATCGCGGTCCTGGCACTGACCGAGGACGGTCAGAATCTCAGTCAGGGGGAGGATGGCGACGACTACTCGATAGTACCTCGTTCAGACAAGGCAAAGAAGCTCGACGAACGACTCATCGACGTCAGGAAGTTTCTCGATCAGCCCGCGAGACCGGAAGGAATGGCAGACCGCGCGTTCGAAGCATTCTACAAGTACGCCGTCCTCTTCTTCCTTACGGCAGGAAAGCTATGGCGACGAGACTCCCAAGGAGCGCACAAGGTCGTACTACCGCAGGAACGAAGGATTCGAGCGCTACGGGAAAGCCACGACCGTATTGGACACCGAGGTATCCACGCAACGATAGTCGCAGTCACAGAGCGTTTCTGGTGGCCCGACCACAAGTCGGACGTAGCGTGGTACGTTCGCACCTGCGATCTATGCCAGAAGCGTCAGCTACGGCAGATCCTCATCCCACCGACGGTACCTTTACCAGCGGGAATCTTCGTGAAAGCGTTCGGCGACACGATGTTCATGCCTCTATCAGGAGGTTTCAAGCTCATAGCGTCGGCCCGATGCTCGGCCATAGCGTACGCAGAAGGACGAATGCTCCGGCGCGAGACGGCCCAGTCACTAGGCGATTGGATGTACCAGGACCTGCTATGTCGCTGGGGCATGCTCGTCGAAGTCGTCACGGACAACGGGGCGCCATGGGTCAAGGCGCTCGAGTACCTCTCGAAGAAGTATCACATTAACCACATCCGAATCAGCGGGTACAACTCGCGCGCGAATGGCATCGTCGAGCGCTCGCACTTCGACATGAGACAAGCGCTATTCAAGGCAGCAGACGGAGATCAGTCAAAGTGGTCGCAAGTCTTCCATTCTGTCTTATGGTCCGAACGTATCACGACAAGGCGCCGACTTGGTTGCTCGCCGTACTTTGCTGCTACTGGGACTCACCCTATCCTACCTCTGGACGTTATCGAAGCTACCTACTTGGTCCCGCCACCCGACGCAGTCATCGACACCACCGAGCTCATCGCGAGAAGAGCCATCGCACTGCAGAAGCGACCAGAGCAACTAGAGCGAATTTACTCGAAGGTCTACGAGGCACGTCGCGAAGCTGCACAACGTTTCGAACGGGAACACCGATACACGATTGCGGACTTCGACTTTGGAAGAGGCGACCTAGTGCTGGTCAGGAACACCGCGATCGAGAAGGCACTGAACCGCAAGATGCGCCCTCGCTATCAAGGACCCATGGTCGTAATCTCGAGGAACCGCGGAGGCGCGTACATCATTGCCGAGCTCGATGGAACGGTGCTCGACCGTCCCATAGCAGCCTTCCGAGTGATACCCTACCTCGCGAGACGTTCGATACCTATCAGGCTCGACCAGCTTGACATCCCGGTCACGCGACTAGAAGAGATGGAGGCTACCACGACCTTGGGAGACGACGAAGAGGAGGGCGAAAGTTCGGGCACGGACGAAGACGAGGACTCGGGCGAAGACGACGCCTAAGCCCAACCCTCCCCAACTGAGCCCTTATATACCCTGCTCCCTTATTTTCATCTGTTATTCTATCAGATTCTTAATGTCGGACCGGGCTGGCTCCCACTACGACGAGTGGACCGGACTCGAGACAACGCGTAGGACAGTTACTCGAACGCCGATTCATTCTCAATACAAGCACGAACAAGACACGAGGACCGTTACACAACCAGCGAGCAGGTACTACGAAGTCCTTAAGTACGCGACGGGCCCGCTTTCGACGCACCCAGCTCAGCCTGCCGAGCCTCGAAGCCCTCGGTGGCGAAGCTGTCCAACTGGTCGCGCACGGCCTCGACGCACGACAGTTCGATCGACAAGACCTCCATCTGCGTGGTCAAGGCCTCAGCGCGAGCGGCGGCCACCTCGAACGCCTGGCGGACGCGTGCTTGGGTGCCGAGAGCGATCGCCTGGGTCTGCGCAGCTTCGGGGATGGACCTGAAGTCCCCGAAGAGCTCTCGCACGCGAGCCTGGAAGCTCACGAGGCTTCCGCCGCCGAGGTTACCATCCTCGAGGCGGGGGCGTTTGCTTGGACGGGGGACCGCAACTTCGAGTGGCTCCTCCTTCTCCTTCTTGCCCTCTGCAAGCATACGTCAGTCCTCGAACGCAGTAGAAGGTGGGCGAAGGGAGACTTACTACCGCTGCGTGACAGCTTCAGCTGCCCGTTGAACGTGGCGCCACCGTAGTAGCACGCCTGGTGCTGCGAGAAGCACAAGTCGCACTTGAGGTTGTGCTCCTCGACGAACACGCACTTACGGACTTCGGCGAAGCCGGTCGCGCATCGGTCGCACTGGGCCAGAAAGCGAGGATGGTTAGAACAGCACGAGCTATCAAGGAAGGACTTACGACCGGGTTAGCGCTCCAAAAGTCGTACGCGCGTTGCGCGCGCACCCTCTGTACCCCCTGGAGGTGCGACAGATCGACTCGAACCGTCGAGAGGGCGTCGTTGTCGGCCTCGGACTGGTCGTCGGCTTTGCGTTTCTTGCCCTTGTCCTTCGGAGGGGCGGGGGCTTGGTCAGTTACGTCTTCGACGTCGTCGTCACGAGGCGGGGCAGCCCGAGCTTCAGCGGCCTTCGCGAGAGCCTCGCGCTGCTCGACGGCCTTACGCTCCTGCTCCTGTTGAACGAGGAGTTCCGCCTCGCGGGCACGGAGGGCCTCGGCTTCACGCGCGGCGCGTTCCTTCTCCTCTTGCAACCGGCGGAGCTCGACCTCACGCTCGATCAGCGCGATGGCCGTCGTGAGCTCGGCGAAGTCAGGGGTCGACTCGGCCATTTGATGGGCGGCGTCGAGGTTCGCACGGGCGGCGGTGCGAAGGTTCATGTCGACGATGTCGACGAGCAGCTGCTCGAGGGGTAAGCCGCGCGCGAAGCGTCGGTAACGGTTCTAGGAGCGGGATGAGCGCAGAGACCAAACGAACAGGGTGTGCGATACTCACCAGTGCCACGTAGTGACCATCGAGGAACTCCAAGACTTCCTCGGGAGCCACCGGGAGCTGGTGTACGTCGAGCCACGAACGCAGGACGTTGGTGGGGTCGGACGACGCGGCTGACGAAGGGGCGCGAGAGGCGGCAGGAGCGGACATGGTGTCGAAGGCGTCGGGAGTGGTGGGCACGGCGTCGTGGAGCGGGATCGGGCAAGGCGAGCACGAAGGAGAGAAGCTGAGCAGGGAAGGCGTCGTCAGGAGCCCCAGGTATATATTCTGCCAGGTCTTGTGGGTCCACCTTCCTGGCTGGGCAAAGCAGCGCCCGGAAGTATCCCCATCGACGCTTCCATCACAACTGTCGAACACGGCTCGGCTCAGCGCTGTGGCTAGCCAATCATCAATTCCTTCTCCATCAGGCCGTGCCAGCCCTTTATTCTGATTGGCTGGGGACTCGCACGGCTGTGCCGGACTGCTAGAAGGACCGCCGCGGAGGCAAATGGGGCATCGCGGGATCGGGCAGAACGGCGTGAGCGCGAATACGTGACCATCGAAGCGCGATCGAGCCTGGCCAAGGACGCTGCGCGAGCACGGTTCGTGCAAGTCGAGCGTGGACCGAGGACGGCCCAGATTTCAGTCAGGGGGAGATGATACGCTCCCATCTGGACTACACCCCGATTCGTGAGGTATCGAGCTCACGCGCGCAGTTCACCGACTTAGGCATTGCTCGACATTGGCCAGCATGCTACGACTACACTAAGAAGACTCTAGCGGAAGTCCCGTCCACCGAAGGGTCCAGTGTTACGACCACGACCTCGGAAACCTCCCCTACGACCGGCTGCGTCTCGAACAGGCTCGCCGACGTTAATGCCTCGCTCGCGCCCTCCCAGTTCGGCGACGCTCGTAGAGAGCGACCCGAGGATCCTACGAATCTCCTGCTGGTCCTCGCTCAGGCGGTGGACGGCGTTAGCCAAGTGATTGAAGTTGTCGGGCAAGCGGCGATACTCCGGCACATACAGTGGGTCGAGTTGGTAGGAGACCGGAGCCAGAGGCTCGTCGATAGCCTCGCGATGCAGGACGGACTCCTCGGACCAGGCGATGGTCGGATAGGGTGCGCCCAACGAGTCGTGAGGCAGCTTGTAGCGCTGGAAGATCTCGTCGATGTAGTTCATGACCTCGACGACGTCGTTGAAGGAGTACGGCGATGGGACGGAGTTCGGGTCATCGGTGACCGCCTTGCAGTAGGACTCGAAGAGACCGCGCTGGAAAAGCTGGTGAGGATCTATCCCTGGCCGACGAAGGCGACAGAAGACCTACGAGCATCCAACGAACGCAGTTGGCCCACGACAGCCATTCGCCCCGAGATACGGGCAGGAGACGTGGCTCTACGGCGGCCTCACCCTTGATGACTTCGATCAAACGGTAGTAGCGGGCGATGTGAGCTTCCGCGGTTGGTTCGACGCGTACGTTGGGCATGGTGGTGTTGGGGAAGAATCTGCAAGACAACCTCGGTCGTATGGTCGCGGTGCTACGGCTAGCCAAGTACCGTTCGGGCGGTTGCCCGGGGCTAATCACGTTCAACAGGGCCCGAAGTCTTACGCCATTATGGCGCATTCTGTGTGTGCTCGCCGGGCAAGTCGATAGCCGGTGTGCTGGCCTCTACGATTGGACAGCGCTCGTATCGTTCGACTCGGATCATTTATATGCACGTGTTTTCCTGTTTGTGTAGGCGTTGTTCTATCCTGTATATACTGCGGGGCGAGCCCCCTCGAATACCAGATACCCTTACCCTCTCAACTTGTCCGTTCGTCGTACGTCCGTCAGCAGTCAGTCCGTACGCGAGAAGTCAGTCAGTACGATCGTCAGTCCGTCAGAGTTCGTCAACGCCCCGAGTGGTGTCTCTACATCTTGTCCTGCCATCGCTTGCCTCGTCTAGTCCCTCGTCTCGTCGTCAGGTCCTCGATTCGTTCGGTTCGTGACCGTGGTCTACTCGTCTCGAAGCGTCCGCTACTTTGTCGTAGAAGCAGATCGGGCCTGTGCGAAGCCTTGCCGACCTCGCTCCTTCCACTATCGACCATCGTACCATCTCGGTACACCTTCCTAGCCACTAGGTCTCGCATATCGTTGCTCGCCCTTCGTCGGGTGTGTTGTGTGTGGCCTTTGTGGTGCTTTCGGTCACATCACCGGTTATGAAGGATAATGCAAGTCCTGATCCACATGACAGCATTTGTCCACTGTACCTCATCTGAGATATGAATGCGCAGCTCCTTCAAAGACTGCCATCGTATCTTCAGAAGGCCAATGGCATGCTCCACAGCCACGCGGATCTTGGACAAGAAATAGTTGAACTTGCGTTGCTCACGAGTGAGCTGTCCATTACGAGGTTTCTTGAAGGGAGTGATGAGCCATGGTGCTAGTGTATAAGCGGAATCAGCCCAGATCCACTCATATGGGTGGAGAAGCTCGTCATGATGCTTGAACACACGAGTGTCTTTGAAGGCGGTAGAGTCATGAGCACTCCCAGGTTTCCCCACCACATAGTCAGCGATGATAAGGGAGTGCACAAAGACCACAAGCTATGAAAGCATTTAGCTTGAAGGTCACTCAAGCATGATATCATGATACTCACTGTGAGCTGCAGAGCATAGATTTTGTCCTTCCCATAGAAGTCATTTCCAAACCATCCCGGCCTTGTGAATAGCTTGATTGGGGTCCCATCCGCAGACAGAAAGCCATTTCTCCATGTCTCTGTCCCAGCCTTCTTTTCTGCACAGGCCTTTGCACCCTCTACCTGGGCCTCATCCCGGAATACAATTGCATCGTCATGGAGGGATAGTAGGGCAATCATGCAGCGCCGGGAGCAGTTGTAGATGGTACCAAGAGACACACCAGCCCAGTATGCGATTTCTGAGCCCACTGCACCTGTGCCATAGCGCCCTGCACGATAGAGGTGGATGGCAAGCTGAAGTTCAACCTCCATTTGGCGGTTATTGGAGTTATTCTGGAAGATGTGGTGGTCCTACTCAAAGGCTCAGTGAACAGTCCAAATGACATGATCAGTCTGGACTAAGAACCATACCTTTATGGCATCAACATCCTCCCAAAAGGCGTCTGGTGGGATACGTATGCAATGGTGCCATTGTGCAACATCACAATTCTCATAGTAGTGGAGTTTTGACATGAGATCAACGGGCGGCGGAGGCTCCCGATTGACTGACTGCAGATAGCGTGACTGGGATATATGGGGTTAAATGATTGTTCCAGCGTTGGTGGATATCCCGCATAGTGTTGAGATATGCTGCACTTGTATTGATTAGGATAGCATCAATGTCAGTCCCCTCAGACATGGCGTCAGAGTCGGTACCAGTTGGAGAGGGTGCTTGTCTGCCAGGATCTGTTGACATTCAAGTTGAACATCAGCACCTAAGTTTGGAGACACAGATACATACGTCCAACAGCATGATCATCAGAGGGATTGACCACTGCTAAGTCATCCAATGGTAGGCCAGTGTCTAGGTCAAAGTCGAGCTCTGCTTCAAGTTCCTCCATTTCAGCCTCCATTTCAGCCTCCATGGACCTGCCAGATTCTGACATGCTGTCATCCTCAGAAGTTCCCAAACTTGATGTTGACTCGTTGGCCAGTGAATTAACTGGTGAGGAGAAGTCAGCAGAGTGTACTACTACATTGTACAGTACAAGCATAATGTAAGAAATGGGTTACCTAACATAGTTGTCTGTTGAAAGGTCTGCCATGCATCAAATACACGTCTAAACTCGTCCGAATAGGCGGTGTTCACTTGCGCAATGAGCTGTTGACGGTATGACACACGTGTAGACCTCGCTCGAACGGCACCAGAAGGAGTGTGGGACACTGGCATGACAGCGGCAGCGAGTGGGATGAGGTGAGCGGGTTCGAGGCGACGGCGGCGGGACGAGGCGATCGGGTTCGAGGCGACGGCGGTGGGACGAGGCGATCGGGTTCAAGACGACGGCGGCGGGACGAGGCGATCGGGTTCAAGGCGACGGCGGTGGGACGAGGCGATCGGGTTCAAGGCGACGGCGGCGGGACGAGGCGATCGGGTTCGAGGCGACGGCGGTGGGACGAGGCGATCGGGCACGAGGCGATCGGGTTCAAGACGGCGGTGGGAGGCGATCACGTTCGACGCGGCGGGAGGTCCCGGTCAACGGGTAGGATGAGACAGTCAGCGCGGAATACGCAGGAGCAGACAAGGCGGGACGCAGGACGAGGACGAGGCGACACAATTGATTGAGCAGCGCAGCGCGATCGTATTATAAGATGTTCTATTGTTACGCTAGTCACACGTTGAGGTCAATTTCCTCTTTTTCCAACGCGCTTTCCCGTCTCGGCTACGCGATTTCGCCCTCTTGCGTTCACTAGCGCCCATTCCCGCTCGTTCCTAAGCGAACTTTGAGGGAGGCTAATGGCATCACCGCCCCGGTTATGACAGCCACGACAAGGCATCAGGAAGCTCGCGACACGGCCTGAAAGCTCCGCTGACAACGGCTTCTCATGTGTTGAAACAGTGTTGTGTTTTCCTGACTCGCATACCCGATACTTCGACTTGAACCATTTGGAGAAGGGAAAGAGTCGATCGCGAGGCCCACTGACCCGGCCCGGTGAATTCACTGTGCCATTCAGTATCGTGGTGCGAAGGTCAGGTACCACCGGTGCGTGTCCCCGAGGTTCTGTTTCATTCGTTAGGACTGACAGCGAACTGATGAAGTCCCATCGCGCACGAAGACCGCTTTGGTTCTAGTTCATCATTCATTGATCACTTACTCGGAGAGGCCGAATGCGTATCATCTCCGTGTGTCATCTCCGGACCCCAGCAGCAACGGTTGACTATGGTGCCGGGCACACCTTGCTGCAGTACACATGTGCTGGGATTCGGAACATCGCAGGGCCCTTCCGCTGTGACATTCAGGCACGGCAACTCGTGCCCATTCAATAACCTCGATCGTGTTGGACAATCGATCCACGCGTGTACATATGGCACTGTATCGAGTACTCACTTGGAATATGATCCTCCCTTTCCTCCAAGATCGGAGTACAGGGAGAACGGCGCCCGCAATGCATCCCACAACTCTGTCATCGCTGCGCTCTCGTCACCTCCTTGTGCTTATTCTCGGGTCGGGAAGGTTTCCAACCATATCGCTGGGTTGCTGTTGTGCCTATGCTGTCTCTCGACGTCAGGACCCTCCGCCAATGCTCACCAAAACATGAAAGACCTACTCAAACGACTGTACAACTTGCTGGGCGACGGACGCAACGGACAAGCCGCATGGCGGAGGTCACTTGTGCTTATTGCAGACGATTCTGAGTCGGTGGAATTGCGGCATTACAGAACGAGCATTGATCTGCTGAAGTAGCCTTCCCGTTTGTGGCCCTACAAACACCTTAGAAGCGACGGCTACACATCAGTTGCATGGGACAGGGTGCAAGGATAGGAGGGTCCGTAAACAGTCCAAGTCAATATATGCAACACTTGCTGACGAAGCTGAGCCAAACGACTCGGAGTCGAATGATACGTACAGGAAATTCAAGGAATCCGCTCGATGAATTCCGTACTTGGGGAACTGGTCATCCGTGGCCTTGAGGGTACATTGCGGCTCCTCGTAGATGGGCCACTGTGACGGTCGCATTCAAGTAGTTGTTGCGTATGCCGATTACGGGTCGAGCCACAAGGGAACGGAGCGGCGATGCCGATCATATATTCCATGCTGGCCGAAAGAGAGCTTCAGCGTCGTAGCTCCGTTCAAATGAATGAGACGACTCGCATGCTTCTGCGTGAACCGCGCGCAGCCGCGCCAGGCAGGGTCAAGGCCTGCGAGCCAATCGTCTAGCCATGTCTTGACATGATCCAAGTTGTGACAAGTCGGCGTAGGAGCGGCCTTGGGATCGACCTGCTACCGAGCGAGGCGCAAGTCAGCGAATGGCAAATTGGCGGTGGTCTGGGGAGCCATTGACAGGACCCAATCACGAGCGCGCTGGCGGCACACGCATAGTGTGCGTTGTATACGCAAGTGAAACTGTAGTCCGTACGCTGGGCATCTGCATAAGGCGGGATGGCTGGCCTGAGACGATCAAAGTTCTCCCATAGATTACACAACACCTCGGCTCTTGGGCGAATACGTCCCGTGAAGTAGTACTCGAGACTCCGTCTACACATCCACGGGCCTCAAGCACCTGGCTTTTCTCAAATGCCGAAGATACGAGTCGCCTCTGCTAAAAGTTTTCAAGCAGCCTCCAACCATTCTCCGACCTCCATACTCGTAGCTTTCTCCAGCGAGCTCGAGTGCATCCTCCTCTGGGACTCCGCAGCAGACCCACTCCTGTCCACGACTGAGAGCGAAATGCGTGCGTACGTGTCGCTTGAGGTCGCCCTTGCGTTGCGTAGAGAAGGGACAATACAGGCAGGCGGACAGCCCTTCGTGGGCGACGAGCTCGGCGGAGGGTACAAAGCCGACCTGCTTGTTACGAGGCGACGTGGTGCGCACTCGACTAGTGCGAGAATACGGGACGACAGAGCTGCTGGGTCGAGTATGTTTGCGGCGAGCGGCGCTCGTGCCCGACGTCGGGTTGGCTCGCTTCTTCGGCGACTCATCAGCGGGGACGTCTGGCGCGGTATGGTAAATCATAGAGGTCGGCAAGTGGGCATCGTGGCAGGTCGCAGATGAAGATCCTGCGCCCGGTGTGTCAAGAAACAACTCCGGGGAGGGGTCGGGGGGTAAGGTGGAGAACAGGTCCATGGTCGAAGAGCGCTCGCGGCAGGGGCTCGAATACGCGGTCTCGTCGCTGTAGTAGAAGAGCGGACTCTGTGACGTGTCCACCGCGCTAGGGCTAGGCGAGCCATACGTGCATGATCCAGGAAGGGCATTGTGCCAGAGCGACCTGTCCTCCGCGAAGGTGGGAGATGGGTATGCGGGGTGCAGCTGCGACGCGGTGCCTGCTGCTAGCGCGAGAGAACTGTATGATTGTATGCGTCAGTGTCATGATCAGGAACGTGAGCGTTGGTACATACTCATGGCATGGGACCGACGTGCTCAGGCTGTACGGGTCACATAGCCCATGGATGAGAGCATCCAGGTCCGCGTCCGGTAACTCGAAGAGCGAGGGTCCCTGGCCGACGGAAAGCGCTCCGAACATCCCTGTTTGATTCCAATACGGATCGACGACCCCTTCACAAAGGTCGTCGAGGAGTCCGTCTTCGGGTCGCGTGTACGCCTCGGAGACGGGCGAGTTGAGTGCGGCGGAGGCGAGGCCATCTTCGTAGTAAGGCGTAAGGTGAGTGGCGGACATTGTGGATATCCGTTCTCTGAGTGGAGGGGTATGGGAATGGGGCCATCTTGGCGGGTGATGCGTGCTTTTATACCTGTAGGGGAAGAAAGCATCGCGCCGCTGTGCAGCGCAAGGCGGCAAGGATCGAGGGAACCAACTGCACCTCTACAAGCACCAAGAGGCGCGCGACCATACCTTATATGGTGCAAACGGGGTGTCGTGATGCGAACGAAGTGTACCTCTACAAGCACCACGGCGTTAGCGGGAGTAAGTGCGAGATAATCATGGGAGATCAGCGTACCTCTACAAGCACCATCCAAATCGAGCAACTGGACGAGCCATGATGCATGAGGCCTTGAGGCCTGGTGTAGTAATATAGTATCAGCGTTGGTGACTTGTATGTCATCTGGCTCTCGACAGCAGCTGGCAATTCTACGACATTCTGTGCGGTGCTCGCCGATTTAAAATCACCGTGTCTACAACGACTCTCGTCCATGTCTAGATTTTGCGAGTTTGAGGCGCACATGTTCAGGTTGGTCGATTGAGGCGCCATCGTTGAGAACGCGATGATTTTTTCAATGCATGTACTGCAAAAAGACGTGAGAAAAAGACTGAAAGGATGCTGGCGTGCTACTACTATCGCAGTACTGTCAGTACACCTGACGACACGTCCAAACTCAGGCTAGTAAGTTGAAGTGCCAATTACTCACATGTGGTGCCGCGCAGCGTTTAGGTGCATGCCTATTAGACATACATAGAAGTCCACCATGTGTTACATTAGAGGGTTTCAAATGGAGTGCTCAAGAGCGAGGTTGGATCATCTGTTTTCAGTGGAGTGGAGCTCGAGCGTAAGGCTACGCTGCTGAAGGGCTGGCGCGCTGACGCCTTACGGTAGCTCCGCTTGAAGGAAGGCGATGTCACGGAAGGAGGGCAAGCGGGATATGTCCAGTAGCTCGGGCCCCTTGTACCAATCACCGACAGCGACGGACAGAGACTAGCGTATCCGCGACACGGGGGACAAGTCCTCGAAGGATCGTAGAGGGGCAGTGGATGCCCTCCAGCGCACATGTCTGCGGGCATAGGGAGAGGAGATGGCGACTATAGCTTCCGTACCGTAAATATGACCAATAAGTCATCGTGATGGTGCTTCCGAAGAAGGTACTGGGGAGACCTTGAGAGAACGATCTCTCAGTGTTTCCCAGCTACAGGTGACGGACATAGTCACCCAGGGGGGCGTTCGAACCCCTTGCACGGATTTTGCGTGCTCGGAAGCGAGCAACATGCTTTCGAAGGTGAAAAGGTGGGTCCGAGTCGTCAGCACCACTGTACAGGACAAAAAGGGGACTACTCAGGCGTAGACACTCTTGCACGCCCGGGACAGAGTTGCTGTGATCGCTTCATCCCCTTCGATCGCGTCGAGGAGTATCTAGTAGTGTACGGCCGTGACAGTCTCCGAGAGGATTGCAGTAAAGTGAAGCGGGACTTACATCATGAAGAGTCTCCCGTGGCAGGTTATGGCTATCATCGCCCGTGGCTATTGAGTGCCGCTGATGAACGGCTTGGGGTTGGGTCGAGCTGGGTGCGCATCGACGACAATATCGTCCTCGAGCGCGAGGATCCACATATACTTTACGCAATCCGCCCCCCTGCTGGGTCCAGTCTGAGTGAGCCAATAACGTCTCTTCTGTTTCGAAGCAGCGCAGCGACGCCTGAGACAGCGGACATAGCCTGAGTGGCATTCTGAAGGGAAAGCTCTGTCGATCAAGGTGTAGGATACGCGGCACCCAAGAACACAGCATTGATACTCCATGTAAGTTAGCAGACAACGACACGGTCGCCTCCAACACACCCCTTAAGCCGAGAGGCTTTTTTCATGGTTCTCCAGGCCCTCGTACAGGACGTCGCGTATGACCCACGGCGAGTCGTACCACATCCGCTTTTGCAGCACGAGGAACTCCACGACGGGCTTCGGGTCCTGCTTGTGCACGATCGAGCCTTTCCTTGTGTACACTGCGAGGCTCTGGACGTCCATGAGCACCCGCGAAAGCTGCGGGTGGTATGCCAGAGCTTACCTGGATCGTGTCGAAGCGCACGAGGACCTGTGTGAGCAGGCGCGAGCCGTTGTTCGGGACGACCTTACCCAGGTGCGCGGGCGTGGTGCGCACGCTGAGGATTCGGCACGGCGTGCGCTCGCCCACGAGTTTCCACATGTAGCGCCGGGTCGGATCCTGTTGGCGGACCAGCTTCAGGTAGTGTGTGCGCATGTCGCCGATTGAGAGCTCCTTGATGGCCCGCTCGTCATGCCTGCCAAACATGAGTCAGCGAGCGAGCACGAAGGGATGGAAAGATAATACGTACTCTGCTACGGCACGGTTGATTCTTGTATAGGTGTCTAGTGCCAGCCGGCGGAGGGGTGCGACCCATGCCGAGTCGCTTGTTGACTGCGCCTTGAAGATCTGCAGAGACCAGGGTGACGTTTTTGCAATCCCGGGGAAGCCCTTGTCGCCCGCCATCATCCGCATACTGCCCGCGAGCGTAAGCTACCCATGGCCCAAATACCACAGAAGCCAGTGCACCCACCTCAGGGCATTGCGCGCCCAATTCCGGAACGTCGCCCCAAGCGACTGGAGGTGGTCCGAGAGCGCCGCGTCCTTCTTCTTAGACAGCAGGCTGGGAATAGTCAAGTCTTGCAACTTTTCCGGTCAGCACGATGCGTCACGTCTACATCCGCGCACGCCGGACGGAGGACTCACCGAACGTCTGCACCGACTGCGCCCACGGGTCGTACGGCAGCTGCTTCTCCATGAGCTTGACCATTTCCAGTCTCTGGATGATCTCATCCGACGACAGCTCATCCGGGTCTTTCGTGTCTTTCACCCATTTTGCAGCGTACGACCGCCGACAGGGACTCCGCACCAAGGCCCCAAGCAGTCGCGGGTTCTCAGTGCATCGCGCACTGAGCAAGTTCGGTCTCCGTGAGGCCGCGCTGAAACATCGCCGGGCAAAGTGTGAGGACATGACCAGGCGGAAGGCGCGCCGGCCGGTGCAGAAAGTCAGAGACAGCGACAGCGTTTGAAATTGCCACAGCGAGCAAAGTCTCTCTGGTCCTCGTGAAGCGCCCAGCGCCTTCCGGGAATAGCCGGATCATGCTGGCTTGTGCACGTGCGCGGCCGGATTTCTCGGGTTTGCGTGGCGGGGACGGCTTCGCAAGCTCGACGTCTGCACCTTTCCTCGCAACCACCACCACCTCGCTTTCTCGTCCTTGCTCTCAAGCATGCCTGTACGTCCTAGAAACCCTCGAGACATGACAGCCCTGACCAACGTTGTCTCTTTTTGCAGCGTCAGTCCCGCTCTTCCCGCCCAGCTCCCCGCGCCGCGCCCGCGCAAAGCAGGGGCGCTCACACCGCCGCGGCGCCCTACGCCGGTGCGCAGGCACCCTCTGCGCACCACGCGCCGCCCGTCCCGCCCCAGGCGCAGACGCAGACGCGGGAGCCGGGCATGTTCGCGCAGATGGCGGCGACCGCGGGCTCCGTCGCGGTCGGCTCGACCCTCGGCCACGGCCTCTCGAACATGCTCTTCGGCGGCTCGTCCCATGCGGCGCCCGCTCCTGAGGCACAGGCCTTGCCCGTCCAGCAGCAGAGCTACCAGAACCAGGCGCCGAGTTGTGAGGTGCAGGCGAAGGGTGAGTGTTCGCGCATGTCGTTGAGCGGTGATAATGCTGACAAAGGCGATGATGGCGTTTAGACTTCACGCAGTGCTTGGAGAAGGCAGACCTGCCGTCGTGCACATGGTATCTTGAGCAGCTCAAGGCTGTGAGTTCGCTTGCATCCTCCCTGTCCTGGTGGGTTTGCTGACACGTCGTTGTAGTGCCAGGCTGCCGCTGCTCCGTACTAATCGGGGGGCACGGGTATCTGTGCTTTCCTCTTCCTGGACAACCCATTGTGCACAATGTCAGTAATGTCTTTGCAATTGAGCATCCTCAACGTGGACCACTCTCCACCGAGTGTGCGCGCATTTAGCTTCGCGGGAGCATACATGCGTCTCCATCAGGTTTAGTGCTAGCAAGAGCTCCGTTATGTCCGACCCTTGACGCGACAGCTTGTCGAGGGGAGCGCGCTGAGTGTGGTGGTTGATCTATTCGTCATCCCAGTCCACGCGGCCTTAGCCAAATGGATACAGTGCGCTCAGTCTGGACTCTGCACCGGTTGTTTTGCCCTTCCACATAAGTTGTCTCGCGTAGGTAGCAGTTGAGCAGTTGGATCTCCAATGGTAGACGTCGTGTAGACAGTTTTGACAGCCTGCAATGTTAGATGAAGGGTCCGCAGTCCCAATGACACCTGCTATCTGTGCACCACCCTTCGATGGAACTCTCCCTCACGTACATAAAGCACCTCGCCCTCGCCTCTCAAATTTCATGTCTCCTGCATCCCACTCCCATGTTCATATCCGTTGCTGCACATGCATGCATGTAGGCCGAAGGAGCAATGCAGGTACGTGTTGCCGTATACCTACTGACCCGACATGTTCTCGATAGCGATGGAGGCTTCGACGGGAACGACATGTTCCGAGTTGCTTGGCAATGCGCTGGTGACGGCAATGCCGTAGCCACAGTGTCCTGTATCGCAGGGCGTGTACTGCCTGACCTTGATCGGGCATTGCGTCGGCCGGGCTACGCGCAGTGGCGGCCGCGACAGCTTAAAGTATACGACTTGTATACCGCCGACGCCACAGCCAAGCCCGGTCTTGCGAAGGGTCGTCGAAGCCGGCGGGAGATCGCCTGGACGCCTCGACCGCGCCTCGAAAGGGATAGCGGGCGGGGCTGGAGTTCTGATTCGTCAGATGTGGCGGCGGGCGAACAAGCGTCCAATCAGAGGGCGCAGATCGCGGGGGCCCATAGGCTATCGGGCTGATGGGCAGCCAATGGGCGGTTCTGCCGCCGCGAAGCGAAGCAGCGGAGGGTCGCGCGCTTGATCCAGCGAAGACGCGTGGAAGAAGAGCGCAAGGATGATGGCTCCCACTCTGTTAAATATAAGGCAAGCCGGCCTTCGTGCGCGTCGCGCTGCTCCGTCCCTTCACGCTCTGCCACCGCCCGCTCCTTCATGCCGCTCTGACGTTCTCGCGTTCTGTACGGCACACTACCTATGGTTGCCCGGCCTCGCCTCGATACCGTCCTCGGACGTGCGCCCTCGATCGACAGCCCTGATTCAGGAGCAAGCCCGAGGGGCCGACGATCGCGCGCTAACAGCCTGACCAAGCTCGCCAGTGCTCTCGCCGACTCGGACATCCCCCGTCGCTCGCGGGAGACATGGTTAGGCAGGCGGTCGCGCAGTCGGCCGCAATCGCAGTACGCGCCTTCCAGCTTCCCCTCTCCTCCCGTCCCCGCACCAGAGGAGCCGGCGTTTCCCAATGTCTCAGTCTTCAGGTGCGCCGCGCTCGCCCCTCCTCGCATCCGCGCCACTAACCCCGCGCAGGGGCTCGAGTCAAATGGAGTTGCATGTATGGAGCCAGTCAGTCAAAATGACACGGCCACCAGGGCATGAGATCCCCCGCTCCCTGCCTGTGTTCGACACGCACAGCAAGATCTCCGGGACAGTGCTCCTCGATTCGGGGCTGGCGGCCAATCCAGGTCGCCTGGCCATCTCGGTACGTGCTTTGTGGGCCGGAGGCTCGTCTCTTCCGTGTAGAAGTTCAAGTTTCACTGACGCAGGCGCTCAGATGGAAGGCACGTTCGTTTACATTTCACCACCTTCAACGGCGAACAAAGTCTCTGGGAAGGTGCCGCCCTCAGGGATGCACCGTCATGTGTTCGTCATGTCAAGTATGGTCGTCCCCGTGGAACAGCCTCAGCTTGCGCGGCAACGGTCAAACTCCTCATTACGAGATGCGATTACGGCCACCGTTTCCCCTCGCAAGCCTAAGCGACAGCCGAGTCAGTCCAGTGCGAATGGCGTGCTGAGGCCATATCCTTTCACGCTTGAGATCCCGCCGCCCGCCCAGCTGAGCGAGGAGCTCCCCCCTACATTCTCTGCAGTCGTGGAGGGACTCGTGGGGCCTCGGGGCCGAACGTACGTCGAGCGATCGGAGATCGCATACAAACTCGTCGCGACCTGGGAGGGGGATCCGACCTCGGCCGGTGCCGATCTCAAGACGTCGTGAGTAGGCGATTGCTGTGTATTAGTGCTGATGGATGATTGACGAGGATGGCATCTAGCGTTGAGGCGCCAATCATATTTGAGCCTGATCGCGACTTCGAGTCGCTCGACGGGCGGACGGGCGACAAGGATGCGTGGCTGGAAGTCGTGCTGCACCCGGAACGTCCCCTCCCGTTTACATGTGCGGTAGGTAGTTCCGCTTCTATGTGTGGCGCGCGTTCTCACAGAGTGCTCCGGCAGGTCGCGATCCCGGAGACCCCGGCCTTCTCGCGGTCCTCCACGATGCCGTATTATGTCGTATTTACCACGGCACCCCGCTCTCCCACCCTTGCGCGTGAGATCGTGCTCGACGCGACGATAACCGTCGCGCTCGTGCGCCAGGTGAATATCGAGATGCCGCCAGGATCCCCGGCGTCCCCGTACCCCTCTTCACCATCACTATCCTCGCCCGCGCTCACGAACGCGTCCTCGACGAGCCTTAGCTCCAGCAGCGACGAAACAACATCTTACATCCTCGCTCACAAGACGCGTCTCCTCAAACGCCTGGTGAACAGCGCACCGCCGCGGCTCCCCCGGCGCGGGCTGAAGCTGCCCAATTTCCCCATGCCGGGCCACCACCGCAGGAGGACGCCCAGCGAGGTCATCGTCACACCCGTCGAGGAGCCGGAGGGGTACTCGGACGAACGCACGCTGTACACGGATGTGTATGCGGGCTTCCCCAAGCGTCCGAAGCTGCGGACAGAACCGGGGCAGAAGCACCCGAGCCTGAACGCGACTGCTCTGCTTCCTGACGGGCTGTACAAAGCCAAGATGCAGCTGCATCCGCAGATGATTCCCAGCATAGGTTGGGCCGATCTGAACGTCAGGGTACGTGTAGCTCGTAGTTCCTACCCGGCGGAGTGATGCTGATCCTTGGGGCGACGCTGTAGTACTACCTCGACGTGTCGGTCGTGTTCGGCCAGGACGAGTCGCGGGCGCGGATCCCGATCCGAATAGCGTGAATCAAGCCAGACAGAAGCGAACTCCTCGTCGTGTACAAAAGCTCTCCTCGCATCGCAGTCTCTCAAGTCCCGTCTCCCGACCTCTCTCGCCTCGTCCGTACAGTGTACCATCTGTAACGCAGTTCACCTGGCGCCTCCCGCATGAGGCCTCCCCACGCTCTCAATACACACGCCCCCCTTCCCGACGTCTCCTCGCCTTTGCATTTAACATTATTGTTTCATTCGCACCGGATAGCCTGCTTTGTTGGACCCTTCGCCCGTCCGCGTCCGTTCGTTTTTTACGCCCTGGCACATCCTGCTGCACTCGCACACCCTGCTGCACTCGTCGCGCACGTCGAAGTTTGTCATATGCTCTCCGCTCCATTGATGTCCCCGGTATTGCACATACGGAAGTTCGTTCACGGAATTGCAAATATCTAACTACGTGCTTTCGAAGTCGAAGCCCAGGACCCGGCGCAGCTGCAATTGCGAAATGGGTAATAGGAACGCCTAAGTGGCCAGCGCCTCGAGTCTTATGTGTGCTTAGCTGTCCTTGAAGCTTATTTCTGGGGCGTTCTATCGTGCAGGGTCGACACGGAAGCATGTTGGGGAATGGAGGGGTCGAAGTCGAAGGGTGCCCTGGCCATTCCCAGAGGATGTCGATGCGGGTTCACGTCAACCAGCCCTGTCACCAGCCTGTCACGACACCCGGAGTACGCGCGGATAAGGAGAACTGCCCCCGGGTCTCTGGATGATGCTACGAGTTCTCAGACTACCGCCGGATGTTCTGCGTACTGATCTTGAAGCTGATGAGCCCTATCGGGCCCGAGGCGTCCCACCGTTATAACAGTACGGGGCGCAGGGCTCGTGCGTTTCGCACGTCGCGGAGGTTCAGGGGACTTCTGAACGTCGAGGAACGTACATTGACTCATGATTCGTCAGATAGGCTTAACAACAAAAGCCTATCCTTGTCCGTTGTCGTCCGAATACCCCAGACCTCTTGAACCGCTTGATCCGCGCGAACCGGGTGTCTTCTTACCAACACCTGGATGCCCGTATTTGCACCACTTTTGGAAGAACGTTGATATATTAATAGATAAGGGAGAAGCGAGCAGGGGAACAACAGCTAAATCATGGAGTACTTGTGATTGGTGATATGACCTACGGCAGTGGCCTGAGATTTTGGGAAACATCTCCTAATTCGAAAGGATGCTTGCACTAAGGACCAACCATGTAAGGACTCCAGTTCCGGCGGCTCAGCATAGCGTGCTCACCGGTGGGGCTTCCCTCGGATAATTGAGTTGATGCGCGAGCTACGTATCGCGGGAAGAGTGCCTGAGCGAGGGACGACGAACGAAGACGCGGAACTCAAAGCTAACCGTTTGAATGTTCGATTCAGAATCCGCGATTCAGAACAGGCTTAGGGTGAGTCGTCAGGCGCCGCCGGTGTGTTCCCGCCGGATGTTCCACCGTTTCCATCGCCTATCCTCGTACCGTAATGGCATTGCGGCGCTGGGAGACACATCAGGCTCGAGAATCGATGTGAGTCGTCGGTCCTGTCAGAAGACGGGCAATCAAAGTACTGGGCATTGGGTGCCAACTCGGAGTTGATAATGAGCCCCTCCTCGTCGAAACTCTCGGTCGAGTTGCGAATAATTGGAGAGCCGTCCATTACCACGACCAACTCTACAGGAACGTGTATCCACAGCAATGGCGATGGCTACACTGTAGCTGCATCGGCGAGTCTGTCTGAGGCATTGTCATTAGGCATGCAGTCCTGTGTTTTCTGGACACGTACCGAATTCGGAAGACACCGTCGACGCGCCGACATAATGGTTTTCGTGAGCCTGAGGGGATATTGTCACCGTGTCATTAGCGTGTACTATACACTGAACTCTGTACAACCGCAGATATTTCTCATCGTCACTTGGCGTCTGACCACGGCTTCTCTCCGCTCTGCGTCGGGAACACAATCCACAGCGCCCCTAGGAGCCGTCGACTTGAGCGGTCACTGGTCTCGAAAAAGCCTGAACTTCGGCGCTGAGTGCACCGGTTGATTTGTGGGTATCAGGGCCTCGCAGAACGTTAATTCGGAAGAGGTGCCTTGGGCGTCATAGATGATAAAGACCTCTAGGCTCGACGGGCTTCATACGAGCAGCCATATACAGTTGGTTCAGAAGGTCGGACACACAGCAAGACTCACTGTACAATGCGTCCGCAGGCATGATTTGGATGAAGCTGCAAATACATAATTCTTTGTCACATATATTGGCTAGGATTCGTCCGAAGGTTTGCAAGGGGAGGTGTCAATCGACGTCTCCTGACCATCGAAGTCGCGGATGTACGGGATCCAGCCCAAGGCCTTGACCAACTGTGAGCATCACATGTGGACTATTAGTGTTATGGAGCCGCCGTACCGGGTATATGAAGGACGAGCTGGACGACGGCTGGATAAGTGTGGACCTTGATGTGTTCTGACCAGAATGGACGGCAATGGACTATTGAGGAAAATTCCTCTTGGAAATTGTGACATTCGGATGCTGAAAACATCCATCAGCGTACTCACGGGCCACGGTGCAATAGAAGTCTGGTCACTAGCTTTCCCGGTCGCTGTGGTACAGAGTCGCCCCGAGTCACTTCTAGAAGAGAAGCTTAGAGCTACGACGAGCCGTAGCAATCAACTCGAATGAGTCATCGACAGTCGTCAGATGTTCAGATAAAGATAATAGGAGAAATATAGGGGACACGACTTTCAGTCGGCGGAGGCTCAGATATGAGCAGCAAGGGCTCGCCTTGGTTCCCGACGCGCCTCTCGGGCATGTTTCAATTGGGACTTGCATGTTAGGCTGTCGTAGGCACGCGGATGGCCCGTCAGAGTGGAACATCTCGAACATCTGTCTTCACAGAGAAGTACTTGCTCCTGATAACTTACTCTGTTTACTAGATGTGACTAGGAACATGCCACGCGCGCCTTGATGTTGCTGTTTGCTCGCAACCACCGTCGAGTTTTGGACCGACGGTCGCGCTATCGGAGACGGTCATGATCGCTGTGGTCGTCAGCCATGCAACTTCTTTTCTGTTCTGTTCAATTTAACAAAATTGGCTCAGTATTTCCAGTGATGCATGGAACTGGAGCTTGATAGTAGGCAACGGGCGTTGGCTCCATATTATCGGCGACGGATAGCCGCAGGCTAAATACACATGGATTTAGGGTGGACTAGTACCTTAATCAAAATAAATCGCACCTAAAGCACGATGCTTGAGTCATGGCGTGTAAGTTCGGCCTTGAAGATTCCGGCAGAGCGAGTTCTGTAGACTGTAGTAGTAAGTAGTTGGCAGGCCGCCTCCCGCCCTGATGCGCCATCGTCGGTAAGTGCCGCAATCTAGATCTATATGCAGCGAGCGCTTAATATACTTAGGCGATGCTCACCTCAACTGTGGCGGACGCACAGGGTCGCGCTGTGCCGTGTCTGCACACACTCGTCTAGCGCATATCGGCAGGAGCCTACGGGGATCTATATACTAGACCAAACTAGTGTGCGCGGTAAGTAGCGATGGCTATGGACATCTGTTGCGTGTGACTTACGCGTGAGTACCTTACACTGTAGCGTCCCCGTGTACCATTGCATCAACTCTTACCTTTCAACATACGGAAATCCATTGCTCAGACACGAACTCAGAAAGGAGGTTACACGAAGGACAGGCACTCTCGCTATGTCAGACCACCCGACGTCCTCATGGGAGGCCATGCAAGATGGCAATGCGTTCTACAAGCGGCACCAACTCTACTCGATACCCGGCAAGTTGCCCGACCTCAGCAACTTCATTGTTGCCGGATGTCGTTATGGCGGACCCATAGGTGCGTTCGATTGTTCATGCGCCAACTCCACGCCTAACACGACTGTACGAAGCACTGATGAGAGACACCACGAAGATGGTCGCTCTCGGGCGCGCGACGACCTCTTTCGCGAAGGCGCAGATACACGTCTACTCCTCTGCGGGAGAAGGCTTGCTCATGTTCAGTGTGGCTATCCCTTCCTCACTTACTCTGGGGCTGCGCTCACCCATTTGACAGTGGGACCAGGGCAAGATCGTCCGGTTTGGATGGACACACGACGAACGGCTGGCGGTTCTCAACGACGAAGGCGTTTACCGACTGTACGATTTGCAAGGCGACTATGCGCAGTACTCGCTCGGAAACGAAGCAGCAGAGATGGGCATCATCGACGCGCGGATACACGAGAGTGGGCTGGTGGCATTGACGGGGTCGTTAACGCTACTGGAGGCGAAGGGCTGGGACGGTGGCAAGCCAATGACGCTGGCGAATCCAGGTGAGCTCACAGTAGTCCTAGCTCCTCCCAGTGGTACCCACACGCGCCGCAAGGACTCTCGCAGCCACCACACTCCTGGGCCGTCGTCCCGCCGGACCTCACCATCTCGCGGCACGTCGAGGTGCTTCTCTCTGTGGATTCCTCCATCTACAGCGTCGACAACCTCGAGTCGGTCGACCAGCAGCTCTCGCGTGGGCCGTTTACGTTCCTCGCGCCGTCGCCGAATGGCAAGTCGCTCGCGCTCCTCACGTACTCCGGCCTCCTCTGGGTCGTCTCAGCCGACTTTCAGCGGAGCCTCGCCGAGTTCAACACGGCGGACGTCGCGGGCGCGGTGGGTGACGTGAGCCAGGTCGAGTGGTGCGGGAACGACGCGGTAATGGTGACGTGGGATGGCCTCGCGGTCTTGGTGGGGCCGTTCGGTGACACACTGCAGTGCGTTTGCCTGACATTGTCATTCGTGCTGATCTTGACGGCCTTACTAGATACTTCTACTCGGGGCAGACATTCGCCATCACCGAGGTAGACGGCATCCGCCTGATCGGCCCTGATAGCTGCGACTTCATCCAGAAAGTACCACGTACGTAAGATGCGTCGACTGTAGATCTGGCGTCTGACATCGCCTTCTAGCATCCTCCGTCTCTGTATTTAGGCCAGGGTCGACGTCGCCATCAGCGATATTGTATGACGCCTGGGAGAACTTCGCGCGGAAGTCGCCCAAGGCTGACGAGAGCATCCGTAACATCCGCCCAGAGCTCGGCGCTGCCGTGAACGAATGCATTGATGCTGCAGGGAGGGAGTGGGAGCCCGCCTGGCAGCGGCGGCTGTTGAATGTCAGTATGCCTTCGCTAGCAGGAAGTCTGTTTCGCTGACTCAGGGTCAATGCAGGCGGCGAAGTTCGGGCGGGCGTTCCTCGACCTGTATGACCCAACGGACTTCGTACAAATGGGACAGGCGCTCAAAGTCCTGAACGCCGTCCGGTTCTACGAGATTGGGATCCCCATCTCGTACGCGCAGTAAGCCCAGCCCACACCTTCTCAGAAGCCCCTCACCTACCATATCTGTTAGATACACACAGCTCTCCCCCGCCCACCTCATCAACCGGCTGACCGCGCGCAACTTGCACCTGCTCGCGCTCCGCATCTCGTCCTACCTCTCGCTCAAGCCTGACGCGGTGCTCAAGCACTGGGCGTGCGCGAAGATCGTGCGCTCTAAGCCGACTGCGACGGGCGCGGGGCGCGATGCGGAGCTCGACGGGGACGACGCGGTGTGTAGGAGCATCGTCGAGAAGTTCGAGAGCCTCGGCCGCGGGGAGGTGAGCTATGCGGACATTGCGAAGAGGGCGTGGGAGGTGGGGAGGGCGACGTTGGCGACGAAGGTGGGCGGCTCCCTAGCTTGCCATTGCGACTAATGACGGATGCTGAGGCGCGCTGTAGCTGTTGGACCATGAACCGAGGGCGTCGGACCAGGTGCCGCTCCTTCTGAGCATGAAGGAAGACAAGCTCGCGCTGACGAAGGCCGTCGAGAGCGGTGACACTGACCTTGGTACGCCTGTTCCCTGCATGTATGCATGCATCCAGTATTCTTGACATACCGGTTCATCCAGTGTACCACGTCCTACTCTATCTTCAGCGTCGACTCCCGCTTGGCTCGTTCTTTCGGCTCATCGAGGAGGGCGGGTCGAAGCTCGCACCAGCGAGCAGGCTCCTCCAGGTGTACGCGCGCGAGCAGAATAGGGAGATGCTTAGGGACTTCTACTACTCGGATGACCGACGCGTGGAGAGCGCCGTGCTCTGTTTGGAAGAGGCCGCGGCGATGCAGGTCAGCCACAATCTCAGCATGGGACACAGGGCACATGTTGACGTTTATGTCGTCTGTAGGACCCGAACTCGAAGGTAAGCTCCGTGAAGGCGGCTCAGAAGTTTTTTTCTGAGGACAAGGAGCGCGGATTTGAGGCCAAGGTTCGTACCGGCCCTACCTTCTTACGGCGTCCGGTACCGATGATTCAATCCTGCATCCCAGATGACCGACGAGTGTGCGCGATTGCTCGCTGCTCAGCAGCAGCTGGAGAAAGAATCAGACGGAAAGATCTCGTTCTTCGGGCAGAGCGTGAACGATACCATCCGGACCTGCCTGATCAACGGTATGGCGAAACGCGTAGACAAACTGAAGGCGGACTTCAAGGTCCCCGACAAGCGGTACGCAACCGCCATAGTTCCCCTGCTACATTCTCATCCCACCACAGATTCTGGTACGTGAAGCTGCACGCGCTCACGGCGATCCGGGACTTCGACGGGCTCGACTCGTTTGCGCGGTCGAAGCGCTCGCCGATCGGCTACGAGCCGTTCGTGCGGCACCTCGTCGAGAAAGGCTACAAGAAGGAGGCAACGTCGTTCGTGCCGCGCTGCGACGCGCACAAGCGCGTTGACCTCTACGTGCTTTGCGACGAGTGGCGCGCGGCGGCGAAGGAGTGCAAGGATCGGGGGGATAAGGCGAAGTTGGAGTGAGTATTTGACTTGGGTTACGGGGTGTGCTGGGGACTGACGATGATGTGTAGGCAGCTGAGGAAGTCGTGCCCGAACTCGTTGATTGCTAGGGAGCTGGAGCAGGTGGTGGCGTCTATGAAGTGATACCTGCGGTCGACGTGAGGTTGCAGGTTATGCAGTATAGCCAGCATGCGTACGCGGTACGCGATATTTGCACTCGTTCCCTCATCAAGTGGGCCATTCCGAGGATCGCTCGTGCGGATTATGCTCGGAACATAGTCACACCCTCGCATCCGGCGACCTCGAGATTCGAGTGTATGGATTCTTTAGGTATACAGGATATCCTCTCTATCGTACACCTTCCCTTCTAAATCTGTTCGATACTCTCAATCTGTCTTCACCTTGTCCTGGATACATCCTTGAGTGAGCATCATACGGTGCCATGTTCGTCGTACACCTGGACTCACCGGCTGCCCGGAACCGACCTGATCTGCGCTCTGCTTGTCCGTCTCTGCGCCCTGGAAGTATTCTGTATGCGATGTCCATTAGTTGCTCACGCCTATTTGTCAACGGCCGACAGAAACTCACGTTGGCGCTGCTCAATGTCGGGCACCGCATCAGGCTTCGCGCCGCTTGCGCCCGTCACTCCCATGGGCTTCTCTTGGCCTGTTGCCTCGAGCGGTGGGGACTGCGCTCCGGATCCAACTTGGCTTGACATGTTTGTGGGAGTCGTGAATGGATGACTGTGGTGCTGGGATGTGTGGGACGATGGGGGTGGCGATTCAGGCGAACAAGCTGCGAGTGAGGTTTATATACGTATGCCTGGGGTAGCGAGTCGCTGGCCGGTGGCGCGTTCTCTGAACTGTAACAGGGAGATGACGTCGTGTCACGCAACGCGTTTGGTCACTTGCACGTGATACCTCCTACTCGTGAACGTCACAGGTACTGCAAACTTATAGACCCGACCAGGAGCTCTCTCTGGGAGCAATATTGTGTTTTCATGCAGCATGTTCATAGCCATCGCTCCGGATCATACATGTACAAACACTTCATTCCAATTTTGCTTCTGCCCGCCGCCGACTTGTTGACGATCAATCTACTGCTTGGTCTTCAGATACTCCTGCCACCACTCCTCGAACGGAGTCCAGCCGAGCCCGCCATAGCCCTCGGTTAGGTCCTCTGTCTCGCGCGTGTACAACTGGCAGTCTCGCGGGCGAGTTGTGGCTGCGTCTCCCTATGTGCATGGGACAAAGCCGTGGGTCAGCAGATGTACTCCGACGACAACAGGGATACAAAGCACCTTTGGAGCTTCGGCGTCCGGAATGATATGGCTGTGAGGCACACCGAGCAGGCGAGAAAAGATCAGGCACATCTCGTACTTGGTGAAAGGCTCGCCGGAAGAGTAGTGCAGGATCGGCGGGATCGCCTTCGACGTAGGCAGCGCTATACACGGAAGGGTAATCGGTAAGACGCGAGCACGCTCATCAGCCAAGCGGGCATGCTCTCACCAGATAGCCTGAGGAGGAAATCAGCGATGTCCACGACACACGTTGGGTAGCGTGTCGCGTAGTGGTCCATCTTGTACTGTTTCCCGCTCTGGTCCGCCACGACGTCGAGCAGGATGTTCACAGCCGTGTCCGCGTTGTTCGGCGCGGGGCCGTAGAGGACGGGCACGCGGAGGACGATCGCGCGCGCGCCGACGACGCCGAGCACGGAGAGTTCGCCGTCGCGTTTCGTGCGCCCATAGAGGTTGACCGGGTTCGTGCGCGCGGAGGGCGGGTACGGCGGGGAGGTGCCGTCGAAGACGTAGTCCGTGGAGATGTAGACGAGCGTGAACTTGAGCGCCTTCGCGGTCTTGGCTAGGTGCTCGGGCACGCTGACGTTAAGCTGCGGGGGGAAAAGAGTCAGGATAACGATGGTAGAGTGCGGAGCTATGATAGTATTGCGACAGACCTGTTGGGCACCCTCTGGATCCTGAGATGGCACGGATCAGCTTATCGCGTCGAGCTTCAGCGATCGAGCGGACGCAACCTTCTCTGCGACATCCGGCCTGCGCTCTGCAGCACAATGGATAACCCCTACCGACACCTTATCCCTGAGCCTGTGGACGACGTAGGATGATGCGTGCAGGACTCACAGTCTGGCTTGAACTCAATGAATGCCCGCTCCACTTCCGCAGAATCGAGCAGGTCGAGCTTCTTCAGCTCTCCAGTTGGACGCGAGTGGGCTAGACCAAGAACATCGTTTCCAGCGGCCTTGTATGCCTTGTATACGGCGGATCCGAGGATACCAGAGGCGCCTGGACGTTGAGGGAAGTGTGTGTGAGTTGGTGGGCAGACCTCATCTGTGCTTAGTGAGCACTCACCTGTGACGATGACACGCATGGAGACCGTTCCAATCGACTGCGTTTGTGAGGACTCACTGAAACGTCGATAGTATCCGCACGAGTGTCAATGCAGGATGTTCTTAATGAAATGAGTACTCGCTGAGATGAGAAGAGCTGAGCGCGCTGAGAGCTGCTGCTCAGGCGCCCATGCAATCACCAGCCACTGTGGATCTGAGATCCATACATCGCTCCGAGTCCTTCCGCATGTTCGTCTTTCCCTCTGTCTCATTTTATGTACACGTCGACTGTCGAAGGGTATGTGCTTCCGCTCACCTGGTAACACTATAACTTACTGATTTCTACCTACAGTCTCCGCTGCTAAGGTACATCTAATGATAGCTGAGTCGTCATTCACGCCAGTCGACTGAGGTCTCCGCTACGTAGCGGGCTCAACACACCGGTACCGTAACTCTCATACACCACTCAGCAGGCATGGGCAATGACAGGCACACTCTACCGCTGGATATCATTCGCTATGTGAGCTTTCCACCTACTCCACCTCTGATGCGTTCCTCAACTTGAATGTGCACCAGATACTACTCGACGCGATCGATGGAGATCGCGCAACAGCAGCAATACTGTCGAGAATGTGCAAGACAGTGAACTTGTGGATCGTCCCCGTCCTATACTCCACGGTAATTGTGACCATATCGGACCTGAAATCATTCGAGAGGACATTGCTCGCTTCGAAAGACCGCGCGGAACCCGTAGGGAAGCATAACGCTACTCATCTCCTTAAACGCCCCCTGGGTGCCTACGTTCGCCACCTCTGGATAGGGAGCAAGGGGACGCATCACACGAGCAGACCTCCTTGGCGAACGATCGATCCTGTTGAGCATGCCGAAGAAGCATCGAGTATGGTATTGAAGGCCACCATTACCATCGTGTCCCTGTGTCCCAACTTACGTGCGCTTGCAATCGCCCATTACCCCAGCTCAATCATGCGGCAGCTCGTTCCTTGCATTGCCGAAACGCTCGAGTCGCTCTCTTTCTGCCCCGGCACCGGTCACCTGACGTCGCTGGACCTGGCGGACATGTCTCACTGTCATTCCCTGCGCGACGTCACTTTCCTGCAGACGGAGCTTACAGATGGAACGCTGTCCCGCCTCCTGCGGATGCCCAGCGTTCAGCACATTACCTGCATTTACAACAATGTTCCCCACACTATTGGCCTCCTCCCGGCCCTACGCCCGGTCCAGCGAGACCGCTTGAAGCGCTCCTTTCAGGCAGCCATGGCTCAGCTCCATTTGGTCGGCGAATGCGCGTCCCCTGCTTTCAGGCGCATGAAGGTCATTTATCTGTCCTGTGACAACTCGACCGTGAGAGAGATCAATGAGCTGCAGCGCTTTATGGGGGTGCATGGACCTCCAGGACCCAGGGACAAACGCATCGTATTATCGGCGATAGATGGGCGTAACAACCTTGACCGGTTTGTCTCGTTCAAAGGCTATGGGGGTCCATATACCATCAACTACGTGAATGACACCAAATATTGGCTCGACGAATGGATTGCAAGCCTTGACCCCGCTTGGCCCGGACGCGGCTGTGTGCCACACACCGTGACGCAGTAACATGTAAGTTGTCTACTTGTTGTCACGTCATACGCCGTGGCCTCTGAAGCAAATCGCCTTAGCCATATCAAGACTCATTGACATCGGTGTCAAACTTTCGAACCTGCGGCTATCAAGATTCGGAGCCCATCGTGGAGCCTCTCATCTCGGTGCAGAGGCGGATATGTTAGCGCGACGTATTTGAGTCGTGGGTCATGCCGACCCAGGAGGGTCTAGAGAACCGGGAAGAAGACTCAGCGTAAATGAAATGTTCAGAGGTCATGAAGTCTGCGGCTGTCCTACGGGCTTCGCTCTCGCTACGGGTTCAATAGTCGAGTAGTAAACACAGACATGACGGGCATGTAGGCGGTTCTGAATGATCATGCAGACCGGATGTTTTCCGCAGACGTTATAAGAGATGATATTCCAGGTCAAGACGCCGAGGATCACGCGTGCGCGTGCGGCCGGTGGCTACTGTAAATCGATTCCTGCTCCTCCTGCTTGACTGACTAGACATCTACTGTTTGTTAATAGTGCTACAGTAAGTCACCTCGTGGTCTTTACGTCTCAGGCGCTGATTATACTCTAGCTCTACGGAACGAATCGGGGCGGCGAAGGACATGGATAGCCTCGAGAACCACAGCTTACCGGTAGAGATCATTCGACAGGTTCGTCTCGGTTTCTGTACATCTTTGGACCACCGCTATAGAGCTAAGATCTCCATTGCATTGGCTTTGTTAACGCAATGCAATTAGGTGGTCCTAGGCGCGATCGAAGGACATACAGCAGTAGCTGCAACACTATCTCGGACGTGCCAAACCATCTACGCATGGATCATCCCCGTCCTATACTCGACGGTGGTGCTCACGACGGAGACCGAATATTCCCTCTTCCGACGCACACTACTCGCCTCACACGAACCTGCTTGCAGCTGTCTCGCAAAGCGGGGCCCTCTGTATACTTACGTTCGGCACCTATGGCTAGGGAGTCGGCGATGGAACACTACGATGACTGCTGGGAGGGTAAATCACTCCTGGAACGACATTCCCATTCCTTTTTCGTTGGATATGTCGAGCGCTACCATTGCGATCGTGCCTCTGTGCCCTGCTCTGCCACGCGTGCTTGCGCTCAGCGGCTGCCCTACCACCACCATGCATGCGGTGGTCCCGCATCTGCCAAAAACCCTCGAATCGCTGTCCATTTGCGCCAGAAGCAACGGCAATATGGATCTTCCTGACATGTCCCACTTCACCGTCCTGCGCGATATCACCTTCGTGCAGGCGGGGCTCACCAACGACGCCGTACGCACACTCCTGCAAATGACTGGCCTGCGTACTATCACGCGCCTGTACAACTGCTCTGAAACCCTGCCGCAGGGGGCGCGAAGTTGTATGGACGGGCTAGCTCAACTGCGCTTCGTTAGTTCCTGCGCATCCGCAGCGTTCGAACGCATGCAGATCGTTTGTCTGTTCAACCGCAACTGGTGTACTGAGGACGTTCTATCACGGCTTCATACATTCTTTGTCAAGTGGGCAAACGGGGCACACGAGGATCCCCGGGCGGCAATGTCCGCTAAGGACGGTGGCGACGAGCGGGGCGACGTGGACCACCTCATGACGTGGTACGATGATTGGATCGTGGGTCTCGATCCTGCCTGGCGCGGCTGCGTCGCGGGGCATTCGACACAGGAACATGTGAGCCGTCTTCGAATATCCATCGAACCTAGGTGTTCATGCTGACGCCTGAGGTCCTCCTGCAGTCGTCTTGGGACGTCACCCAAGCGTCACCGTCGCACTAGTACCTTGCATCTGCGAGGGTCGTAGTATTGACGTCACTACAAAACAGGGTATAAGAGAATAGCGAGATTGGTCCTGCGGTTTCGTTCCATCGCATCGTCCGCGACCTATGTAGTCGATCCGTAAGAGGGGATATCGAAGTAGGTCGGTAAAAAAAACCTCGCCGCGTGCGTGTAATATTCGGGACGATCGTGTCATGGATAACCTGCTCAGTTACATGAGTTTGCTTCCTGTGCTGTTGAGTACTACATATACTTACCCAAAGTCTGGGCTTTGACGCATCCGCGGTCGTAGCTGTGAGTGTGCTGATTGGGAACAGAGCTGAAGAGATGTGATTGGTCGATGGGAGCGGGAACTGATCGTGTAAGTAGCATGTGTGGGTCCGTAGGGTGGCACCCACATCTTGACCTCCACCATCACCTCTTCATACTTGCGTCCGCTCTTCACACTCGTAGTACTATCTTGTAGAGTAGAAAGGGCCGGAGGGAGCGTGAAAGCAAAGTGATGTGCCATTTGTTGTTGTCTACACTAGAAACGCAATTGCTGACTCGGTGTGGGATACTGAGGTTGTGCTGGACGCACCCCTGCCAGTGACTGCTGTCGATACACACATAGACAAGATCGCCAGACTTGTCCAGATCATGACGGTCAAGCGTCCTACCAACCTGCCTCTCTTCCGCTGGAGCTGATGCGGAAGTTCGCGCTCCCGGCACTCTACACGACGCATCGCAGACGCCCGCCTCATCAGCGGTTTCCCGGGTCATAAGTCCAGAACGTCTGCTTGACGACACGGCCAAGGGCATCGCAGCCCAGACGTCCTGGCTCTGGTCCACCGCACGCAACCTCGCGTTCTCGAGCCACTTCCTCGCCACCTGCGGCGACCTGCATCGCGCCCGTGACGCAGACGTGGTAGCCCCGCCGCCGCCCGTCTGCAGTCTTGTGACGATCCATGGCGACGAGCTCGCATTCTTCCCTACACTTAAGCCCGGGCCAACATGGTTCACACATTCGACCATAATACCTAATGCCCGCTTTTCAGCCAGCGTATTCAAGCATGAATACGCTGGCTGAAAAGCGGGCATGGAGTATCAGAGTGAACGAAGTCCGGACGCAGTGAGAGGCCGCTGCGGTCGGTGCTGAAGACTCGGACTTCTGGCAAATAGTTATTAGATCAAAGACATTAAAACATCCACAGGGCAAATATCACTCACCGACTCGACAACTGTAAACCTCCAAGTACTCCGTCCTCCTCATCGACATCGTGGGGAGAAAGGTCTCGGTTGTACCACAATGCTTCATGGACCGTGAAAGAAATAAGGTATATTTTCCGCGAGGCTGAGCAAACGCAGAGGCTAGTGCCAGTGGTCGAATCGCCACGGTTGAGTGCAAGACGCGTCGAGGTGATCAAACGCGTCTGAGGCTTATGTAAGCCGACGTGTCATGCAATGCAGACAGTCAGCCACCGCCAGCCAACGGCCAGCCAGCACAACACTTGCCAGCCGCCTCCGACGTGTATTTCTTCTCCACACCGCCTTGTCTTACCTCCTTCTGCTTGCCCCGGCCATCTCTGTCCTTTCTCCCTTCGCATCACCTCACGAACCCGGCACACCCGTCGTCACGACCCGCGTGAACGCGTGCCACGATGAACGAACAGCAGGCGAAGGCACCGCAGGATCTCCGTAATGTCGTCAACTATCTGCGCAGCAGCAAGGCTGGGATGAAGATCCGGGTGGGGATTCTGAACGGGAAGCGGATAGATTACTTCAAAGGTACGTGGTACGATCGCCACTCCGTCGCCCGCTCCGGAAGCAAGGGGTGGCTTCTCGTCCACCGCGGTGCTTCAGAGAACGATGTAACGAGCGACCATGCATTCTGTCTGGGCTTTCGGAGGTATAGAATGGCATGTCCACTCGTTGTGGCGACAGCGGCTGGCCTGCTCCGGCGGGATCCTGTTGCAGCGCTATCAGGACTGCTCATTGAATACCTGAGGGTGCTGATTGCCATGCAATGGTATGCTGCTGCACGTATTCACATCTCTGTGGCCATGGCAAGGGATGCATCGGTTCTAGTTCGTGCGAGTCGTCTCGCGACCGCACACGCGTTCGGGAGTGGCTGACGGGGTGCCTCGCGCACATACACGAATCTGACTGGTCGGACACAGGCAGAAGCGCTATCAAAGCCCTCCTCGCACCAACATACACGAAGCTCAAAAACGTCCCGCCCGTCACCAACGAGGCAGAGGCCAGCACCGTCCTCACATCCGTCATCCCCTTCGCCTTCTACCTGCACGTCGACCGGGGGCAGCCCTCCGGCTCCTCCAACTCGCCCAAGCTGCTCACGCTCGAGCAGATGCAGACCGCGTTCGACGCGTCGCACTACTACGCGTGGTTCTACGAGGGCTCGCAGTGGACGACGTACGCCGGTGGGCTCGCCATGGTCGCGATCATGCTCGCCGGCGTCATGTTCCCGCTCTGGCCGCCCGTCATGCGGCTGTACGTGTGGTACCTCAGCATCGGCGTGCTCGGCCTCGTCGGCCTCTTCTTCGCGATCGCCATTGTGCGGCTGATCTTCTACATCATCACTGTGATCGTCGCAAGTCCTGGAATCTGGATATTCCCGAAGCTTTTCGCAGACGTCGGATTCGTGAGTCGCCAATTCTTGTGTGCGTTGCCCCCGTGGAGAGTGCGCCGCGAGGTCGATGTGAATGCTGTCCTGTCTTGCGGCGTCCTCTCCATCCAAGTCTAGCGTGTTCGGCCATTCCACCTCACAGCTACTGACGGCATCGTCTTCCTAGGTGGAGTCCTTCATTCCACTATGGGAATGGGACTTCCCAAAAAAGAAGGGCAAGAAGAGACGTGTCGAGAGGGAGAAAGGAAAGGGTCGCGCCGCGCCCACAGAAGAGGGCAGCGCCCTCATCGAGGAGGTCGGCGACTCGGGCTCCTCGCGCCCAGCAAGCCGAACCGCACGGGTCGAGGATGTCCCCGAGGACGATTAGGCTTCATGCTGAGTAGTGTCGATGATGCGGGGGTTGCTGTATCTATTGGCTAGGCATTCTTCTCTCTGGGACGATTAAGCTATTATAATCCGATTAGTTCTCTCTATGCTCAACTATTCTCCGTCGATAATGAGTTGGCGGGGGTGACGCGGCTTGAGGTGCGGTCGAGTCGTCGGAGTGCTGCCTGTGCTTCCATGACGCCCTCGCGCATTTTGATGCTCCGTGCCTGGTCAAGACTCTGCTTGAACAGTTGTCTGGACTGATCGACGTCGCCACCCATCTGAACGCCCCTCAGTCGAGAACAGCGACAATGACGGCGCTGCGAAACTTACCTCATGAAGCGATCCGAGGTTGAACAGCACTGCCGCAAGCGTCTGTTCGCAAAGCCAGAGGTCTTCAGGGCTGCCTCCGGATTCTTTTGTGCGCTCGATGGTCGCGAGCCCTTGCTGCGCCCATGCGATAGCTTGCGCCCGCTTCTCATCCGTCTGCTTGCCCCGGATGCTCAGTTCCGAGATATTGTTCATGAGCTGTGCGCCTGTGGACACGGTCAGCTCAGTACGCCAAGAAGTGCGCGTCAAGCTCACCTCTGCATCGTTCCTCAGCCGTCGCCGTCTTCTTACTTGAGGGCGGCGGGACGAGCAAGCTTATAGCCTGCAGATACAACGGCATAGCATACCTGGAGCACAAGTCAGTTTAGACCACGGCGCGCACCGACTGCACGCACTCGACATTCCCCTCCCTCGCATAGAACCGTCCAAGGGCCTCCAACGGCGCACCCACATCCGTCTTGGTCACCCACGGCGGCAGCTCGAGCTCTACCAGCATAATCGGCATAACATCCCGCTCCTGCTTCTCGCCCTCGACGACGATCTTTCCCTTCCCAGCCTCGTCGCGGACGACGCGGAGGAGCTCCTCGACGGCGTACGTCAGCCAGCGCTCCTCCTCCGCGACGGGCAGCTGGTACGTCTCCGCCATCTCGCCGAGCTTCGACGCGAGCGCGACGGCGCGCATGCGCTCGGGCCCGCTCAGCGGTGCAGCCGCGTTGGCCGCGCGCAGCCGCGAGAGCGCGTCGGAGTACACTTCGTAAGCGGGCTCCGGCCGCTCGGCGGCCTCGAGTGTGGAGGCGAGCGCGATGGCGATCCCGGAGAGCTTGAGGTGGGCGGAGGGCGAGAAGGTTTCGAACGGGAGACCGAGGGCCGTGTCGTATGCTCTGCGTGGGAGATGAGGAGATGTCGGTGGGGAGAGAGGGGGACGTACCGGCGGAGGTATCTCTCGCTTAGGATGAAGTCGCCTTGGTTCTTCGCCTTGATGCCTGCTCGCAGATCGCCCCGCACTTCTTGCGGCCACATCGTGAACATCGAGTAGAACTCATATCTGGACGAGAGTTAGATTCAGCATCGATGCCATTGTAACAGTGGATGAAGAAACCTCGACAAATAGATTATGAGAGAGGGATACGGTGACTAGTTGGCCTTCTGTGAACGTGAGGACATTGGACGTATGTAGAGGCATCTGCGTCTTGTGTCCACATAATCGTTACAGAGCACGAAGGCGACCAACGACGCGATACTACGAATCAGTTCGGCCTGCTCTGAGCATGTATAAAACCGCTCATGATCCCCGCAGGTGCAAGGAGCATACATGCCAGAAAGAGACAGTCGATTCGCTTGGGGTGACTACTCTGACGCAGATATCCGTAACATTAGCCACGCAAAGGGTATAGGGCGCACGGATCGACGGGTTGTCTCGAACATGCATGCGCGTAGGCATGCGAGGGTGTTCAAGGCACACGTACCAGGCGGGTGTACTGACTATGCATGCATATGCCTCTTGCGCGTGTATCATCCAGAGAACCTGCGTATCCTTCACCCACAATTTCTGCGGGGTCGTAGAGCGACGCACAAAAAACACCTTCCCCGCGCTCGATACGGGTCTGCTCATGGCAGTAAATCACGCTGTACACGCCAGTCATGTAGCGGGAACCACAGTTCCCAAGAGCGCTGTATGCAATGCGATCTCTGCCGTGACAATTCTTCATCCAGCCCGGTCGACCTCTGTCCGCGTCTGCCCCATACGGTCCACAGAAATCCCATAGAGCACCGACTCTTGCGCCTCGCCAGTGCGTGGAGCCGACCGGTGTAGGAAGATGGGACCGAAGTCCAAGGTAGGAGAACAAATACCGCGAGAAGGATGACTTACACGCCGTACACCGTGGACCCCACTCCCAAAGCAATCAAAACCGTAAACACAGTTGATATCCGAGAATTCGAGCGGACCCATTGTTGCAGGGGCGAAGTTGCGTAGCTGCGGGTGAAGGGTGGCAAGTAGTGTCGACGGCAGACGGGCGCGAGGTTCGGAGCATTTGACTGAGAGGACGGCCTGGGACGGAGAGTGCGTTTGAGAGCACTTGTAGAGCGCAATGGAGAGTTCATAGCACGTTGACTCCGACGTTGACTCGGCCAAGTGCTATAGGCGGCGCAGCGGGGCAGCTGCAGAACTACAGCAAGCGCTGGCAAGACGCTTTGGAGCGTCGGGCCACATGTCACGTGCCTACGTCGCGCTTGTGGCTGAAGCTCAGGCCCGACGACCTCTGAGTACTTGAGTCCCGAGTCGCGCGACAATCCTCATGTTGATTCTGTCATTGGCTTTGAACTATGGCTCGCTCTTGTTTCTGAAGCTCGCATCGTGACATCTCGACAAATACATGATCAAGAACACTACTAGTACGACGGGCATCCAAGAATCGGGTTATAGACTTCAAGACTAGTGCTCCACATGCGACAGAGGTAGAAATACAGTACGGATATGATGGAACTAACGCAACAGTACGGAAGCATACATACAACGAGGCTCACGACTCGTGAGTACAGCAGCGACCATAATACACAAGATACAAGATACGCCCACGGCTCACGAACGTTTCAAGTCGGCGGCAAGGGTACTAGCTTGAGGTAGTTCCTCGATGGTACGTCTTCGAGACTCGAGGCATCTGCGTCCTCGAGAAGTTGCCGGAGGCACTCGGCCGCCGAGTCCACCGTGAAATGCCTCTTAAAGGCATCTGGACGGCTCAGTGTCCTCTTGCAAGCGGGGCACTCATATACCCCTGAGGCTTCTCCCCGGTGAGCCTTCGTCGTCCTCTGGTGGCGCACCATATCTCGCTTGTCACTGAATGTCATGCCGCAGTGACACACCCACTTCTTGCTCCCCTTCCCGGTGCGGGTTCTCTTCTGTGACCGAAGATGAGTACGACGAATACCACGAACAAAAGTAGACCCACTTCTCTCGAGGTGCCCGCCTCGGCGGCGTGAGTTGAACTTGAAGCCGACGCCCTTTCATCGTCATCGGAAGACTCTGCATCCTCGTCTCCGTCCACCTCCGAGTCCGGGTCGCCGACATCGGAGAGCAAACGCTTGCGCTTAAGCACCTGCTTCGTCTGCTTCCGAACTGGCTCCTCAACTTGAGGTTCGTCTTCGACGAGCCTGGATGACGACGCCGTTAACGTTGGGCTCGCCGCTCTTTCCGAATGCGCCTCCGACTCGAGTACGGCCGTCCGACTTTCGTCCGACTCGGAAGACGAGTCCTCGTCGGCGTCTGAAGTAGGTATTCGCTGAGGTGGCGAAGGGAAGAGGGCCTCAAGGTCGTCTTCAAAAAGTTCTAGTAAGCCCTCGTCTGCGAAGAGTTCTGGCTCCAAGGGCGGCCCCTCTACGAGGCGGCATGCCGCCTCGACAACGTCATCGTCAAAACGGCAGCGCAACCGCTCTTCTGCTTCCTCACGCCAGAATAGAACTTGTGCCGGTGTCAGGATCGCGGGATCGCGGTCAACCCTCTTTACTGGATAGTCGATAAACTGTGAGAGATCGGGATCCTCGTCAACGTGTTTGAACTAAGTACGACCATTGTCAATCATAAAGTTTGCCAGATTAACAATAGGCCAACGTACTAAGATAGAAGCAATCTCATGTATGAGGACGAGAGGCATCGCTGTGTTGGAGGCTGAGGGGCGACGAGGAGGTCTGGAAGGGTGGAGGGGTAGTGGCAGGTCGCTTATTGCCTCGGGATTGAGGACGTATCGGGGGAGGGGCAGCGCCGTACTTATGCCTTCTCGGCTAGGATCCCACGTTCAACTATCCAGTTGCACGTAACGTGCCGACTAGACCTAACCTACGCAGGACGCACATAGAATCAGTAGGATAAAGCGTACCCGGGAAATGAACGCAAATTTCAATAGCGCGCCGAGTCGCATCAACACCGGTCGTTCCGCCAGAAGGGCTTCCTTAGGGTTCGCGGCACCAATATAGGCACACGTCACAGTCGCCAACCCCATCTTGCATTGTCCTTTGCCATGTTCCCAAATTGGACACCAACCAGCGCATGGCTCCCGCCGAATCGAGTGTGTCTGACCTCGCGTATCGCATCAGATAATGCGGATCTTGCGCGCGCGCCTGCCCGCCGCCGTACCTCCGCCGCCCGCATGGAACTTGAACGGACCCGGAACAACGGAACCAAACACGAGAGTGAGGGAGGGCGTGCTGGAAGAGAAAGTCGCCATCCATGGTGCCGCACACAGCGAGAGCATTTCACATGGCAGCTTCCCTTTGCTACTCCAGGGGGGCCGCCAGTCCCATCCCTTCGGACGGGGTCCCCCCCCCCCCGGGAGGCATGCCATGCGTATTGAGCGCTTAACTTCCTGGAGAGTGGTAAGTCAGCTTGTCGCTGCGCACAGGCACTCAGGCGTCTCGTAAGGCCTACCTCTGGGTTTCCCATGCCTCTGCGCGTCGGTTCAACCGCAAGCCTCGCTGCTTACTGAGGGACGAGGGCTGTATGCCTATGTAGGATTTGTGGGCAGACGCTGGGTTAGTGCTTGGCGATTCGGGAAACGGACTATCTATCGTGTCACATTTTCGACAGCCACTGCGAACGTCCACCGGTTAATGATTTTTGCAAAGATGCATAGCTTCCCAACGTACTGGATGTTTGGTCTGTTTCGGAGCGACGCGTTGTATCGAGGTGAGGGCCCTCTCATTCGCTCCGATCCCTGAATCCACCTCATACTAGTAGTCAGCCCAGGCTTTACGGAATAGATTGTTTCCAAGCATCATACAATCATTATAATCTGGCGGCGCTCGACGTAATGCATGTGCGGCTTACGATGTCTCCAGGGCTGCCAAATCGCGTCGGGCATGTGTACACGTGTACAGTGTGCCACTCGCTGTCTGCGGCGACAAACTGTGAGTCCTTGCATCGTCTGGTACGTGGAGCATAGTATTCTCACTGATTCTTTTGCACAAGCCTTCAGCCGACGCAAAGGAGGCTGTAGCTTTTCTGGGATGCACATCTTCCTCAATCGAGGAAAGATCGATGTGTTCCGTCTCTACCAACGGGAGAGACGACTACAACTGCACTTCACTTCGTTCAGTCTTTCAGTGAATACGCCCCGAGCATTCATAGACGACCGGTGGGACGGGATGATAGGTGCGTCCATAGGTCGTAGCTGTGCGTTCATGAGGCCTTTCCGCGGCATCGACGACGGTGGCTGTCCGGTGGCTGTCCGGTGGCTACCGTCCTGCAGGCAGCGCTTCGTCGTTCTTTCGGGACCCCTGACACAAGTTGAGTAGCTGTCGCTGGCCGGCGATCAAGCTCGAGCATCGCGGAGGACCCGATGGGCTCCGATGGGCCGCTGGGCAAGCTTGTTTCCCCGACTCGGACTTGCCCGCCCGATCGACGCAAGGCGGATGATCCATGACGCACACGGAGGCGGATTGATTTGAAATGTGAGTAGGATCGTCTCAGCGCAACGGTACTAGACATTCATGACGAGTTAGACCGCGTTACCCGTTCGCTAGCATCGCTACAGTCCAGGAGAAGCTGCCGCATTGATCATCCTTCCCCTACGATGTCACAGCCCAACGGACGGCAATCTCTGTATATCCGTCTCGCGCATATATCAGCGAAGTCAGTTCACAAGTTCAGAAGGTTCGTAAAGAGCTGTGGCATGAGAATTTCAGGCAGCTCCGACACTAGTGCTCGCGAGTCATGCAGTGAGGACCAACAGCCCAGATCAGCATGTGCACCGCTGAACTGGGGAGAACGCGATGTCCATACGCCTCGGTTTCTCTTTGAGCTGGTCGGGATGCTCGCGGAGTGAGATGAGCTTGGTTCCGTGGCGTGGCGTACTAAGCTCACCGTTAGGCCGGCGTCGACACGAAGATGCAGAGGAATCGGAACATAACCGCCAATCTTCGCCTATACGCATTCGAGTATAGCGTGGAACATGAGCGTAGACCATGTGTGATCACAGTAGATGCCAGGAATCCGTACCACCAGACATAGCACTGGCCGACATGTGAAGAGGTCTGCTAAGTGCCCGCGTCAGACTCGGTTTCGCAGCGCATCCACCTAAAACTGCGCACGCCGTTCGTCAGGCGCATACGACATCCTCAGTTGAATCAGAATTCGCGCGCAGAGCCGACTGCCCATCCACACGGACGCGTTTGGCACGCAGAAATGTGGCCAGAAATACCCGCTCACTACCCTATATACTCGGACCCCGGGCCATGTAATGGCGCCCGCGTACCAAGAGATACCTGACGCTCATGGCGGAAAGCTCGAGCAATAGCGCGACCAGATAAGTGATGAATGAGATGATGCAGTAATACATCGACTCGCCAGTCGCATCCGAGTCGTGTGCTACTCCGCTGCAAGGTCACTCAACGTTCAAGGAGCGGCGGCGACGCTGTCGAAGTAAGGCGCATGCAAGCGCATCATTGCCCAGCGAGTGTTCGGAAGCAGCTCACATCTATGAACCTGAAAAGCCTATCATTAAGGTAAGGAGAAGGGATTGTATAGGCTAGTAGTAGCCCGACCCAGGTGTCGGACGCTCGAATGCATTGGCAGCGGCCGCGGAAAGCCACTACGATATCGCAGTTATTCGAGCTTGGCGCAGCATGAACTCTGAAGAGGGACCAAATTCAAAAACGACATCACTAAGAGATTGAATGAACGAATTGCTATCACAGAATAAGGCAGTGGCGGTACTAGTGAGTTCATCGCGCAGAGGCTCGAGGGCGCGACGCAGTCACGTGCATCGTGTTCAACGCGTCCTGGTCGGGCGTCTTGCCTTCGACCAGTCGCCCAGGGCCTGGCCTCGTCACGTCCTCGAACTTTTGGTGTTCTATGCTGCACAACGTCTCTCAATGTCGTACCACGCAGTCGAGGAATCAAATGGCTCCACATTGAAGACCCAAGGATACTACAGGTTATTGGTACAAGGCTCCGGGGCCGCCGTGACTATGCCACTATCATACAGTTCAATTCGGAGGAACGCTTCGCGCCGAAAGGACGAGGGATATAAAACAATACATGTGTGGGCTCGAGGGGAGGTAGAGAGAGGGGAATGCGGTATACGCTGTAGTGCGTCGTCTACTTCAACACTGGTGCTGCAGTCGCAAGGCCTTAGCAGGTTGAAGACGAGAGGCAAATACGGGAACGTACAATGCGCGACGTTGATCAGGGCTCCTCATCATCCTCGTCATCTCCGAGGTAACCGTCATCTTCTAAGATTTCCTCAGACTCGTCTCCAACGCGAACATTAGGAGACAGCCTTTGCGGGCACATAATCTCCAGCAGCTCCGCCTCCGTGAGCTCCATGGAATTCTCCCCCCCAGAACCTTCTTCCCACGCAGAGCATGAGACTGTTCGTGAGTAGACCACGCGATCGGGCGACGCTGGCCGTGTGCTCATTGGCGATATGTCGGACACCATGTCGTCCGACGACGGCTCCCCGACGTCGATGGTCGCAATCTATGAGGACATAAGCCTTGAACAGCCGCCTTACTGGATGTAACAACTCACAAACACTTCCTGAAACTGTCTAATGGCAGTCGTCAAGAATTCCAAGTCGAGCTGAGTCGTCTCAGAAGTCATGTTCAGGGGGAGTATATGCGGGGGTGGGGAGCGGGTGTGGCAGGCGCTGGACACGAGCGACGGCGGACGTTAGGGAGGGCGCGCGGCGGAACGACCGAGGTGGGGCTGTAGGCTCTTGCGTTGGGGTGAGACTAGGAGCAGTCGGCTCAGACCGCTATTTTTACGTGTCCTGGTCGGGGACTGTATGCAGCTCTCCGTAGATCGGCAGAGCAGGCAAGGGTACGGGAGTGACACGGCCAGTCCTTTCCCCCAGTGATCACGCGCACTGCACCAATCAGCAGGATAAAGCGTAACCGGGAAATGAACGCAAATTGCACGCACACGTTGTGTTGTGATCAGAGACTATGCATTCCGACAGAAGCGCTGTGAAAGGCCTGGGAAGCAATAGGCGCCAGAGGCTCCGTAGCCGCGTTCGCCTTGCATTGTCCCCCGTTATCAGTCCAAATCCGGATGCCATTCCTGATGCGCATCTTCCACGGCGCATGCAGGGAGCATCCAATCAGATGCGGTAGGATGCGGTGCATCATCCCTTCATGCGGTGCATTCCTTCCTCCGGACCCTAGTACCGGAGCCCGCTCGATGGTGGGATTCCGCTGCTGCACATGCCAGGTGGAGAGCAGACCGCCTCGCGTTATGCATCGCAGAGAGGTGCAGACTAACACTGTTAGCCAGAGAGACTTTGCCGCGTGTTGGAATTATCCCTGGCGTGCGGCGCGCGCTCGCTCTTCTCAGGGTGACCCTTTGGTGGGCGGGGCACTCAGGTGCGATGTCGCTGACTTCGTCAGGCGTAGCATGTCACCACACGTGATGCTTCCCTTCCGACCCGTCGCGCGAGGGGATGGGATCTAGGGCTAATGCCCTTCCGGCCTTGCCAATCCCGGCTCGTCCGGCGGAGATGACAGGGCGCGGCGCGCAGGTCAGCGTTCGTGACAAACATTGAAGCTAGTAACTCACTTTTGCTAATGTGTAAATGCCTGTACAGTCTAGCGCATTTCCTCTCTACGTCCTCTTCGGATACGTCGGGGACAATCACGCCTAAGAAACATGGCCAAATTCAATGAGAGGTTGAACACGATTAGGTCTGGACAGGAGACGCCAGTGTCCCGCAAGAGTGGCATCCATACTCCAAGATACGGTTTGTATCGTCTTCAAGGCTTGAGATGCGTTCTGTCGTACAGGATATCCAGGCCTTGGAATCACGGGCCCCTTGCGTGTCAGACGCAATCCATGACCTGGCAAAACGTGTACGTCCCGTGGTTGTACCCTGCAGGTAGAGACAATCAGAACACATTCTACACAGGAATAGTCAATTCAGCGTGCTGACGACTGACAGCTTGCACTCTGCAGCGGTAGTAAAGACCACCGTTGACTCCCGGCGTTCGCCTTGTGTTATCTGGCAGCCGCAGCCAGATGAGTGCTTCGTCCGCTATCATGTCGTTAGTCTCGCGGATGGCATACTCTCCACTTCGCAGGGAGGTTCAGGTTGTGCACAATGACTCTGCGCCAGTCCATGGCAGGGTATGGGTGCCCAAACCTTAGAGAAATGCCCTCCGGGCGATGACTCGGGGCGGTGGAAAAAGGACCCCGGGGACCTCCGGCCTCTACCACTGAGTTATAGCTCTAAATGAATATCGCGATGTACAGGACAACACATCGGAATTCGGCGCGGGCTTGTTTGTGCAAGTGGGCTCCAGCGTCGCCTTTTCCTCGACTCGACGTCACTTGGATTACATAATGCACCAACGATACAACTGGTAAGTTACACTACGGAGACTAACGCTACAACCGAGACTCTGCAGTACTGTACATACACATCGCTAGAACCTGATTATCAGCCTACATACTAAGGATCCGTACTGTCCTTCTGCCTCGTCTCAGTAGCGTCACTCTTATAATAGAGCTTGATATGATTCGTTGGGCTGATCTCTTCGAGCGTGCCTATGCTCGCACCCCTTGCCCTCAGATCCTCTATCATGAACTGCGAGCAGCCCTCAGATGAGTTCGTGATGTGCCTTTTGAGTTGATCGGCACGTCCGAGGACGCTCTTGCACCTCGGGCATACATAACAGTAGCCCAGGTGAACGGATTCCTCATGCCGCTTCAGGTCCTTTGGTTTGCTAAAGCTCGCATCACATCCGACGAAACAGCATGCGTGCGGCTTCTGTACCAGGGTCAAACGATGGATGTCAGTCTCTGTATCCGAACAAAGCAAAGCCGTAATGCAGGCACTCACAGGCAGGGGCACTACGTCACCAAAGTCCTTGGTGGTGCGACGCTTCTTTCTGCGAGGCTCTTCCCTCTCGTCATCCTAAAACACCAGACACGAGTGTATCAGCCCCACCTGAACTGTGACGCGTCATGGTAAGATGTCAACTTACTCCGCTCTCACCAGAGACGTCGTTCCCTGCCGGTTCAGGACCTTCAAGTACGAAATCCTTGATCATGTGGCCAAGCGTGATTTGGGAGCGATCGGAGGTCTCCGGGGAGGTAGTGAACTCGGCTCTCCAGAAGACAGAGACAGCCAATTCGTAGGGAAGCATGTTCCCTGATATGCCGCACTCGGTGTGAGGGTTCAGAGAACCCATCCTAGATGCCCAGTGGTTGGAAGGGAAGACGGCAGGGGGCTATGACCAGGAGAGTCAGCACGTAGCACATGTGGAGCGGAGTAGTACCTACGATAACGAGGCGAGGCGCAAAATCAACAGTCTGAAGAGACTCAAGTGGGAATTTGAACATGGCCATGTTTCAAGTCAGAGGATAGACAAGTATCTCGAGGACGTGATCTGGAAAGGGCAGCTAATCGCATCCCCCCGCACCTCTCTTTAAACTCTCGAGCGTGGTAATTCGCTGAGTCTGATCCATTCACCAGCGAGTTATGCATCGGGCTCGTAGAGGGTTCTGTCGTCGATCGAAGATCTCGGAAGAAGCCTGCCATGGAGGATTGATCGTCGATGACCAATTTGAGCAAGTTTCCATCGACCACTTCGACCGCTTCTCCGCATGACCCACTGTGCGGTAGCAGAGCCGAGCCTGCTACGTGTAAGCCCGCGCTCACTTCTGCACGATGGGCAGACCGAGACGTGAGTGACGGATGTCGTGGCTCGAGAGGCAGGTGAGCGGCGGCTGGGCTGAGGCCCCTTCGGTTGAACGATAGCATCTGTAGACGCCCGTTGAGTTTACGTAGGAAGGAGTATTGATAGACATTTCCAAAACCTACTTTGTCTGAAGTGAAACATGGGCACCCTGTCGGCGAGCTCCTACATCTCCGTTACCTGATGGAAGGTTCCGCCCCGCGATCGGGAAAACTAATTAGTACGACCTATTGAATTGGATAGCAAGCCAGACGTCGGCCAGGATCCTGAAGGCATGACCATGACCTGCTAGCAGAACGATCGAAATGGCGGGTTGAACACGGACCCCGGCGGTATACCGGTTGGTACCCCAGATACAGCAGACCTGTTAGGTTTTCCAGCTGGCCTTCGTCCGCTGTCCCCATATTGCACGTGTAGTAGCCTGAGCCTGCCGCTGCAGTCACTTAATGTGCCTGGTGGCTGTCACTAGCATAGCCCGCCAAAGCGTCCGGAGGGCGCTCGTCGGCACACCAAAGTCGGGTGCGCGGTCGCGGCGCCCGATGCGAAGCCACTGTTGGCCACGTTGCGCGGCATCGCGAACCCATTGTCCTCGCCGATGATTTCCCCTTTTGGTCGTTCGTTTTGTGAACACGCGGTCGATCCGCGAGGCCGTCAGAGTCCGCCTGCCTTCGACAGCGATGCAGGCAGTCGGACTGGAGCAGTGGTCAATTACAAGTACACCCGACAGCGGGGAGGGGCTTACAGGGCTCTGATGCTGGGGCCGACGTCAGGCCTCGCTTTGGGACAAGGCCGACGTCTCGAGACGTTTCTTGTAGGCTGCGCCTGTAAAGGACTGCAACGCGGACTAACTCGCGAATAAGATCACGTACCAATGACCTCGGTCGCGTTACTACATTAGCGCCCTCTTCATCGCAGAAGACCGAAAGGGTGGGCACATCGGCAGCACATCTGAAGCGCATGGTCTGCATGCTTCGACGTCTTAGTGACTTTCTCTTATGTTGGCAACAGAGCATGATACGCTGGGGTACTAGACGTGAGTTTTTTTTCGGGACTGTGTATCCATAGATGATTACTTGCCAACAGAACGCTCGACGTGGAGCTGCAGGGCAGCGACGCATACAATCGGGCGCACAATCTCGACGAACCCCGCACGATGGTGGTCATTCCGGCCGAGACGTACTCGAATCCGGCTCTCAACCATACTTCGCAATGTAGACTGTCTGTGTTCGACAAGTCAACTCTAGAACACACGTATTCTGCCTCCGAGAGTCCGCACGAGTTCCATAGCAAATTTTTCATGTATTCTGCACAATTGCCACTATCCGTTGATTCTTCACTTGTCATCAGGGCTGAGAGCTTCCTCCGCCGTTCATGAGTTCAAGGATTGAGAGGGTCGCGGTGGCGCGGTATGGTCGGTCAGAGACTGAACAGTGCTACATGAACACGACAGTCGATAGCCGAAGCGTCTACCCTTCGGGCGTTCTCGGGACCCCGGAAGAGCTCGGAGGAGGAGGAGGAGGAGAGTGTATTGTGCGTTTACATCGTGACGACCACTATCAGCTACAGAGACTCAGACACGAATCGATAGACTAAAGAAACACTTGCTACGAACACTGACAGGGTATGAGGGACAGGGACACTAAGACATAAGTATAGCGAACGAAGTAAAAGTATGCATTACACACGATGCGCGAACAGGGGTCATGAAGCATTGGCGACCGCGTTCGAGCCGTTCGACTTGCCAACAGGAAGCCATACCGTGCAATACCCGAGATGACGTTCGGGTTTGAGCTGATTCAGGCTGTCGACTGGCCCGCAGCATCTCTCACCCCTTGCCCGCCTCTCCGCCAGCTCTCTGTTAACGTCGGCCAGGATCGCAGGACCGCAATCCGTTCTCTTCGCGTGTCTCTTGAGTGCGTCCGCGCGCGACAGGTGGTTTTTGCAACTTGGGCATTTATATGTCTTGCAGCAGTGCACACTTGCGTAATGCCGGCCCACGTCCTTAGTGCAAGATAATCGCGAGCGACAGTTGCCGAACCCACACAGATAACCCGACTCGTCATCAGGTTGTTTCCGAAGCGGATAACGAAGCCCCTTGTACTTTCGGTACTGCGAGCAATCGGTTTGATATTACGTGTTTCATCGCTGAGATGCACTCACATATATCTGACCGAGATCGTTGTCCGCATCTGGGACCAGCTCCGGAGCAGCGTCGACCTGTCCAGAAAGTGATGTCTCGCCAGTCTGCGCAATGACCGTCATCATGGAAGTCGAAGAGTCTGCCAGCATAGGCACTTACGGTAGACATATATGAGCTATGGTGATAGTCATATTCTGAGTATCCGTCCACCATGTCCTCGCCGTTACCAGGTATCTCTTCTGGGGTGCCCCAGTCCTCCGATGCAGGCATTCCGTAGGGTACTTGCAATGCGGGTGTTAACTCGGGGTCGAACATGGAATTGGGGTACTCGGGCATGCTTCCGAGCAAGAAAGCGTCGCTCCACAGGCTGTAGGCCGACGTGTCGAGCTGGACGATAAAGTCAGCTAATGCCCACTACCTTGAGAATCAATGTAGTACGCACCTGAAACTCATTCTCGAAGGGTATTGGTCTCCCTGTGAGAAAGGACATGTTGTGGACTGGACGTAGTAAGAGGATTGTACAGGTAAAGGTCTGTCGTCGAAGAAATCCGCAGCACGAGAAGCGCAACTGGGAGGGATATTTATGTTACAGTAGATTGTCCCTAGAAGCAGAAGTCTAGTCGATAGACGGCGGCAACGCAGTTTTCACGGGCACGTGTGAGAAGTCACATCCTCGATAGATGACCCAGTTGAGACTAGAGTCTCGGATATTGCTTCCGGTGCGTCTCTGGCCTCGCCAAAACGGACTGCACAGATCGCAATCGTAGACACTGAGAGCGCCCGCTGTCAAAATTGTTCTCGAGCCGAGCAAGTGCTCCTTGTACTTTGGCGACACATCAACCAGTCTGATAGGGGCTACTTCGAACTGCAGCTACTTAGCGAACTGCCTGAAAGGGGATAGACGGCGCGTACTCGGGTGTGCGCCCGGAGACGAGATGGGTACTCAGGCCAACCGTCCGCGGCTATGGCCTACAAGGCCTGCCAGAAACAGCAATATGCCACTACCAGCTGAGCCACATCGCGATCCCATGGCACGGGCAGAAGCAAGCCATTACTACCCGAGGGCCACTCCGTGCCTGACCATGAGAATCACGACGTACTGGTCTTTCCTCCACGAGATGAGTGACGCGTTCAGGGCGGCCTCTCTGGACTTGGCCAAACCAATTCCGGAGCAGTATCATTGCGAAGAATTGATGTTTCGTGGTGAAAGCACGCATCCTTAAGTTACCCTCCGGCTATGGATGTGTCGATTGAGACAACTTATCGTGGAGTTGTACAACAGCCCGATCAAAGGGAGGCGCGCACCACCCGCACGTCTAACACCCAGAGATGGCTCGAGTGACACAAGGTTTGCAGAGTCGTGGACGCTGTCATCTTGTGAACAGTAACGTAGAAGAGATGAATAGATCCGTAGGACGTACGCGGACAGGACGAGATCGTGGATGCATTCAAGAGAAACCAGGACGCCGCCAGCAGCAGTCCTCGGACTAGCGCCGTTGGCACGGCCAGCCTGAGAGCCTGAGACAGCCGATCCAACGTTGCGCGAAGCCCACATTAAATGCGACAGGAGACAACAACAATGTTGAGATCAGGTACCGTCGAGTTCGTGGTCCAAGAGCGTCAGGTCGAAAGGACCAACGACGACGAACGTCAAGACTTGCTTGACCGGGACTGCGTGTTTGACGTTGTTTGGTGCCGATCTGCAACGACGGGCTCAGCGGTCCGCCACAGCTCATACTGGTGCTCGTCGCCGACCTCTCCGCCTTCGCCGCCGTCTCAAACCTCTGGGGCGCGTGCATCACCCCACAATGGCCGCCTTGCAAGCAATCAAACAGTTCCGACTGAAGGAGCTGGCAACAGCCCTGACTGCGGCCCCCGAGGCGACTACTCGTCCGAAGGTCCCCAACCCGTTCCTCCCGCGAAAGAACCCAGAGTCTGGACGTTGGGCTCCGCCGAAGTACTCGCTCCGTCGGCAGGCCGAGCTCGTAAAACTTGCCCGCGCGAGCAACACGCTCCATCTTCTCCCTCCAGGACTGAAACTCGGTGTCCAGCAGCTTGCCACGGCAGCAAGCACGCAGAGTGCCACGGGCACAAGCGCGTCACCGAGCGAGGAAGTATGGGCGCAAGACGTAGAATGGGAGGGTGAGCTGAAGAAGAAGAAGGCAGTACCGGGTGCGGAGATAGGCAGCAAGCTGTACGCTGGGAGGCGGAGGATGTTCAAGGGTCACAAGTGGGAGCGAACGCGCGAAGCGAGGGAGGAGGAGCGGCGCAAGGCGATGGAGCATATGTCGAAACGCATTGTCGGCTTCAAAGCGGTACGTTTCCTGGCTTTTGGCCTTGACGTGCGGAAGATTGAGTCTGCGGTAGTCGTACCGTCGGAAAATCCCCAACCCCGCCAGCATCCCTCAAGCCACCAGCTACACCAAGCTACCGTTCTAGTCATGATGGGATTATCTCCCCTCCTCCTGCATGCTGTTTTGCTGTTCCTTCCGAGCAAGGGCCGTGGCGTACTATGGGACTTCTGGCCGGTAGACATCCGACAGCTTGTACACCGTAGGTCAGTTCGTGCGCGACCTGACTTAGATGGAGCTACGCACCATAACCTTCATTGCTACCTTGTCCGATGTCTGATCTCACCTCAACGGACCGGTCGCTCTTCGTTGAAGATGTTCCGAGGCGTTGACCATGCGCGCAGCGCTCCCTGACGTGCTTGCGTGAGTTGACTTTTGCAGGGCATGTCAACTAAGAGAACGGTAAGCAGTGTGTAGGACTCACATTCAATCCAAAGGACGACAAGAGTTGCTTTGCACTGTGCGTGTTTCGACTTCTCTACGATGTCTTTTTTCTGAGATGCATTCGAGTTGTTGCCGGGCCAAGAGCGGTACAAGCCACAAGGCCTACAGGCTCGCGGATTCTACGTCGTCTGGATGCCGTCCGTCGTGCGAGACATGTAGGTATACATGTTCGTTCTGTAGCTCTCCTCTCGAAGGGTCGAAGAATACGACCTGCGAGGTCAGCTACTGGTCTGATTTGGAGCAGTGGCCGACCTCGAGGTGCACGATAGAGAGGACTGTTCAGGTCGTCTCGTCGTTGTATCATCGAACGAGTGGCTGCCTTGCGCGACGGGATCGAGAGCAGCCGGAGCGGCGAAGCTCAGCGTCTGAGGTACGTTGATGAGGTTGGACGCGTCTCGCATAGGTGTGTCGACTTCAGTCGTCGCGCGGCTCGGACAAAGACAAGTGGACGGCACAGGGAAAGCAAGGGCAATTGTCAGAAGCAACCTTTGGGAGCGGGCCACGACCTGCGAGCACGACGTCACCGCCGTGCCCCATGGCAATGCCATTGTGTATCGGTTCCTGTGTCCACTCCCAGGTCACTTCTGGCCGCCAATAAAGGCGGCCGACAAACCCTGCGCCCGCGTCGCACTGGTCAGTGCGCTACCGTCCGGGGGGGGAGGTGCATTCCGAGTCCCTCGGAAGCGCCTTGTCCGGGGTCTGCTCTGATGACCAGTAACGTTGACGGAAAGTAGCACACGCCGCCTTCGCAGTCCGGCCACCGCCTCAGTCCCTCGGGGTCCTGGACTTCGTCCCAAATCTACCCGAGTGGCACTTGCTGACGCGTCCCGTTTCCTAGATCTCTCAGATCTCAGCGGACACGGTGGCGGATGAACACGCTTTGCGCCCGATCGTTACGTAGACGAATACAAGCACTGCCCAAGCGGGATGCGCGAGGCCTGGGGGACAATAGAAACGTGGGCGACAATGGCGGAGCGTCCGCCGTAGGCAGCTGCCGTCGGCGGAGGTTCGTGGCTCGAGCTGCCTACTCTCGTGGGCTGCGGGCCGCTGCACAGCATAGTGCTCGAAGGGAGGAGCCGGGCCAGGGCGTCCAGAGACCAATCCTCACCAGAAGCGCTGCACGAACTGACGATCTCGCCACCATGCCCCCTCGTCCAGGACGAAAATTTACGGCATACACCACTCTTCACAGAAGCACAAGCATCGCCATGGCCCCTGAAAATGGGTAGGGAATGTCTTCCATGCGCCTGTGGCCAACCTGCGGCTGACTCTTCTATCGCGTTTGGTAGACTCAGATCGCGGGATCTGACCGCGAACCGCGCCTCAGGCTTCTGGCGCCAACGGAGCTCGCCAACCTAGCAACCTCGCGCGGCCTGCCGTGGACCAGCTCACAAGCGAAATGAAGGGCGCCGAGTGGCTCGATTGATCACCGGCGAGCGCCGCGCATCGGTGCAGCTACAGACTGCTACAGAACGCAAGCGCCACAGCCTCGCGTCCCGATTTGGTAAGGATGTCTTCCAGCGACGACAATGCAAGCTCAAGTGGACGCGATTTCTAAGCTTCCCGACCTTCCTGGGGATCACGCGCGTGCCGTTGAAACGGTAGCCCAGCGAGAAGTCCCACGCTCGACTGGCTGACTATGGCAAGTCTGTTCCCGGTCCTGCGGTCCTTGGGGATTTGTTCAATTTCCACGCAAGTCTGGTTTCACCAACCAAATCGTCGTCCGAAGGAAGCCGTCACTGCGGACTCAGGGTAGCGCCGACGCGTCTGCCTCATCACTCCCGCCGCCTTCGAACAGAGCCTCATGGCAGACCCTCTTACTATCACATTCAATTCATTCGTACCGCATCCGGTCGTCCTTTTGCTGCCTCGCGTCGGTAGCTTCTATTTGCCTCAGATCCGCCATCGAAATGAACGGGCCGAAATGCTGCACAATGGCTGTACGCGTCGAAGGATTTGGACGCGTCCGCTCGCCCTCGTCGGCACCTCGTGTTTCCTTACCTCAGCCGTGGACGACGTGCTGCTATAAATGACGGCGCAGACTTGCAATGGACGCTCCTTGTTTCAACGCTCGACAATCCTCTCAGCCAAGGCTTCCTCAACCTCAGCACTAGCCTCTCTTCACACACTCGCCCTACCCGCAATGGCCGACAAGTTTGGCACCGACTTCGCCTTTGTCTACTCTTTCCCCTCGGTCATCGACCCACAAGTTCAATTCCCGCAGACCAAGCCAGCTCCTGCGCAGCTCGGGTCCTGTGATGACTGGCAGAATGCGGTCCTGGTACGTAGTACAGTTCGTCCATATGTCTCACAAGCATTGAGATGTCGCAATTAGCAATACCTTGACGGCGACTACGCTGTGCCCGACTTCATTGATATATCCTGGGTGACCTCGGTACGTCGTACTTCGTATTCTCCATGTAGCATCATACTTATATGTGCTTACACTGAAACTAGGATATACAGCACGCCACATGGACGGCGTTCTACGCGAACTCTAGTCTTTCAAACGAAGAATTCTTTGAAAGGGCAAACACGGAACGTGCTCCCATCTTGCCAGACCCGACCAACTCTGCAAACATGGAGTCCAGCTGCGTGCAGCGCTGGGAGGACGGCGACGTCGCCTCGACTCCACCATCAGTGCCTGCCCCTCCCCCCGCTCCCACTGTCTCTCGCGGACTCAGATTCGATCCAGCCCCACGGATATCGCGCTCACGACAACTGGTGCAAACGCTGTGGGACCGGCCCTTGCCGGGGGGCACTACGGTCGAGGCACCCCCGGTGCCCAGGCATCATTCAGGCGGAGAGGCTCCTGGTGCGAACCGGTCCATCCTAGAGATTGTACAGGAGAAGGCACGACGCCAGACGGCGAAGTCCACTCCTGCTACCTCCGACACCCACTCCATGCCGGCCACCGAACAGGCGCAGGCTCCAGCGCCAACATCGGGAAGTCAGACGGCGTCACTCGTTTACGAATTCATTGAGTACGAACCCGAGTCGTCTCAGTCGCCGACCACCTCGAAGAAGAGGAAGACGCCAACTCCGCTGCCTGAGGAAACCCCGAAGGCGAAGCGGAGGAAACTTCCCATTTATGCAAAGTCATCGGCACTCAAAACGTTTTACTGGGAAGCGCGGCACATGGGCGGGGATGGCAAGCTGCTGCCAGTGAAGTAGGACGCCGGCACGGTCGGGTGCCGCATTTTTGACGAATTTCGAGCGGGCCCTTGGTAGTGTATTCGTATGATTTCCTGTTTCCGTCTCTGTAGCCGTATACCATACTACATCATGTATTCCCTTTGTTGCTGAATCGTCCCTGTTTGCGTAAATTACTCCAATCCAATACCACAGCCACTTCCTGATACCAGGCGTATGTGTCCGAGTCCCTTTGAAGTGCGAGTCCTGCGACAATGACTGGCAGTAGCATTAAGTGCCGGAGTAGAGGCTCAGACGAAGAGTTGTAACCACGGCCAAGCGCCCACGGCCTCAGGCTGGGCTCAGCGGGCGGAGGAGTTGCGAGCAGCCTGGTAGACATGATGATCGCCAATCAGGCTCCTATTGAGGCACGCCGAACTCTCTGAGTCCGTGGCAACAGGGCAGTTTTGTGGGGAGGGTGAGCGGTGACGCCACCGGCGCTGACTGCGAGCCTCGGGTGGCCGGTGTGTGGCCACCGGATCACTCGTTTTGTGCGACACCACTCTGAACGCCGTCGTGATGTTGGGTCTTGGCATTGTTCAACTTGACAACGCCCACGCCCACAACTTACAAACGAGAAATTCCAGCCGTAGCAACCCACCAGCGGGCAGTGGCAAAGGATAGCAGCCCGGGGTCGGACGCGCGGATATGGAACGATGTGCGTCGAACGTGACGATAAGCATTTGTCACTGTCGAGCTACAGTCAGTAGTGTACCGTGGGCGGCGGCGAAGTGACCCTCACAAGAAGACGCAGACATGTGGCGGCATCCCAGATCCAGTGGGGCGTGGCCCGGCTACCACGTTTGGCGTGCTTTGTTTTGCGCGCGTGTGCTGTGGCCAACCTGGCGTTTTCCTTTTCTGTGAAGTTGCTTGTGCTGGGTTTCAAAATCGCTACCGGGAAGGTATATATGAGTGGCCCTGACCTCGCGACCTGAAACCACAGCCGCCGACCGCATCCCACTCGATTTCCCTGCGACTGTGTATAGCCCTGCATAGCCATTCCTCAAGCACGGATTTGACTATCACGCACTTCCAATGGCGACCCAGCGAATGATCGATGACTTCGTGAGTCTGTGCAGAGCATCGCATTGCGGTCAGTCACTGAAGCCAACAGTAGCTTGCCTTCGAGGAAATAGTACAGACCCGGACTCGAAGCCGGCGCGAGCCCGCCCCACATTCTCGACACCCTCACGCCGGTGTCAGACCTCAACTGGTGGCGTCTCGTCTACCCGTTGAAGCAGTGGAACGCATCGAAGAACACGAGAGGGTGATCACATCCGCGTCCACAACCCGAGGACCCGGAGTACGAGGGCACGTGGGCTCCCCAGTGAATGCCAGGCTTCGACCCGGGCATACGGCCACAAGCAATGATGCCCGGGCGAGGCCATCAGTGCAAGACGTTGTTCCTACTATGAGGAGGGATAGGGATCAATATGTCAGAGCAGCACCTAGGGATGTCATCACTGTAAGTGCTCCTGGTCATACAACGGCCGACGAATATTGACGATACCGTTAAGATAGAGCAACTCGGTCGTTTGCGCACTAAGGCCGCCGAGCCTGAGCACACCCTACGTCACCGCGACGGCGAGCTGGCGACCGAGCTAGACGTTGATGGCTTGGCTGGGCCATCACTTGCAGATTCTGTGGACGTCAATTATGACTCCGAGAGACCATTCCCTCGAGACGTAGAAGAAGCGGAGTATCCCACCGACTCGACCGCTCCTCATGAATGAAATCAACGTCGACGGCCCACTATGATAGTTCCTCATCAATGAAGATGAAGGTGTTGGGTTTATAGCAGCATATCTTCTGCGTCTTGCGATCGGCTCATTGTTTTCGTGTGCGACTATCGTGTATGAGTATGTAGCTTCGTGTATAGCAGTGTCGCGTTGGTATAGACGTATCCTGACTTGATCCCGAGGCGAGGAAGCTTCATTGTTCTGCGCGTTTGATAGGCTAAGTAGACGAGCCCGTCTGGATTGCGTCGGTATGGTGCTGCCAGCTTTGCAGCTACCGGTCGGCGTATCAGTTCAACTTGAACGCGACGAACATCAATTAGAGAGGTCAACAGCTGTTGTTTCCCTATCAAAGGTAGAGCCGCAGTGGATGCAAATAAGCTCGAGAAGACGTACACGTCGAGGTCGCGAGCAGCATACTTATCATGAAATCGAAGGTTGGAGGCTCGGGGTGCATGAGTCGCAACCGGATGACTGTTATATCGCACGTGATCGCGTTCAGGCGAAATCCAGAATCCAAGCGCTCAAGCTCAAGTGCGCTTACCGCTGCCACCTATTAGTGCCAGTGAGGCTAGTGGCCGCCACCGTGGCCGCTCGAATCACCGGGATTGACTGTCATTGGTATCCATCCACAATCTGTTCGCCTCTGGTATATCGCCTTCACAGCGATGAAAGCGCGCCCCTCCGAGCTTTTTACTCAACGTCGCATCTACTTCTACAGCTTTGACAGTCGATGAGCCAAACAACACGGGCAATACGAGGCTACAACCGCCTAAAAGATCGCTCCTCAGTGACGCTTCGAATTGTGTTATTCAAAGCGGAGGGAGGTACGTAGCTTGTCTGTTTCATGTTGTTACGCTACATCCACTGCAGACTCACATCCACTGCAGACTCACATCCACTGCAGACTCACATCCACTGCAGAACCAACAGGCCTTCAGAGCAGGCTTCACAGCCTGTGGCGTCCAAAAGCTGTGGTTCAGCAATTCCTGTCATCGTCTCTTGATGGAACAGGCCATCCAATCACAGAACAGGTCTCTTCCATCATGCCGCCGTTTGCGGCCCCCGCATGCCATGTCCCAAACAGTATGCCAAGAACTGGGTGCATAGGACGGCTTTCCATGAAGGCAGCGGACAAGTTCTTAACTCGCCTCGCTCCATTGCAGCGCACCAGATTTGTCTCTCGCATTCTTTATCTGGTGTAATGGGCTCAGCATGACATCGGCGGATATGCTCATCGAGTATATGAGCTGCTCGCCCAAGCGTTCTGCTGTCTCATGTCAGTGACGGCCAAATATGTCACTTAACTACCTCGGACCCCCTGTAACAGCGTTATATAGCCCGCCTAGAGCGAGCACGACCCCGAAGACGACTTACATGCCGACCATCAATGCGGCGCTGCCAAAGCGGCCTTTCCTGGTGAATATATGCTCTTCGTGTCGTCCCCTCGCCTGCAAGGCCTCGCTACTAATCATGCCTACCAGAGTGCCCATACCTGTCGAACACGACCATAAGGATGGCGCCTCAGGTGGTGAGCGACGCAACCACCTCGGGCTTATACCCCTTCCGAGCAAGCTCCTCGCGCATCGTAACACTTGGTTCCTCAAGATGGACACCCTCCTTTCCGCGACTTCTCTTCCTCGCTGCTATGTCGTCCTTGTGCTTGGTGGTAAGCACCCTCTTTCATAGTCCGGGATGGATGTATCATTGCTAATGCCCACCCGTCGAATCGACAGCACCGACGTACAAGGAGCTCTCCCCTATATTGTTGTCTGGGCACTACGCACACTCCTTGGTCATTGTCGTTACACACGAGCCCCCCGACATCCCTAACCTCGTCATCCCTGCTCTGCGGATCCTTCATCTGTCGAAACCTCTCTCGACGGAAAACGGAGACACGTCGCGCCTGGTCAATGTTCTGCTCTGGGCAGAGCACGTCGCGTGCGATTGGCGGGAGTACGGTGGCTCAGGCATCTACCAGCTGCCCGAGAGCGACGAGGACGACACCCTACCGTCGGGCAGGCGTAGTGGACTCAACGCCTTACGCGTAGGTCGCCACTCCGCTCGTAGGCACTCCATGCCTGTGGGTGCACCCATGGCGACGAGCGTAGATGCCAAGCGGCCGTTCGACGTATTGGTCAACTTCCTTCCGAACCAGCTGCCTGACAATGTCTTGCTGCGCCATACTATCTACATCACGACCATCAGTCGGCCGTTCTTCAAGCTCAACACAACCACGCCTTCGTCCACGCGAGGCTTTTTTGGAAAAGCGAAATCTATCTTCGGTGGCTCGACCAATGCGAACCGGGAGAAGCGGTCCTGCAGGGACATGCCTCGCACGCACGTCGAAGCGCTGCTTACTCCCAGGGCCACCACTATGCGGCCTCTCATTTCCGCGGCGTCGCCGCAGATCATCCACCTCTTGCCTCCGGAGGCCGCTCAATACCCCGAGGCCAGCGCGAAGCTCGTTGACAGCATGGAGGCGTTCATCGCTTCCTTCACAAGCGCGATGTCTCTCGAGGCGGATGCGAAGAAGGCCGCGGGCGCAGTCGAGAGCGTCCAGTCGTACATCATGCATACTGTTACCTTCGGGAAGGCCCTCGACTGTGCCCTCGTGCCCCTGACGCCGAAGGAGGAGGTCACGAAGAAGGACGACAGTTGGGGCTGCGAGTGGACAGTGGCGGACGTCCTGATCTCTGGTGGGCTGGACAGCGCGCCGACCCTGTCTAACGGCGCGACGTCCCCAGGTGGTAATACTACGGCTTGGATCTCAGGACCCGAAGATATCGCCCTTGTGCCGTCTGGTCGCGCCACCGCCGCTGCGTCGCTCACCCCAGTAGCGCGCGAGGTCGCGACCAGGGCGTTGTTGTACAAGACTCCTCACGCGGTGCCGCCCGCGCCTATCCAGATATCTGTGGAGACTGCTGCCAGGACCGAACAGAAGGTCGTCGAGACAACGGAGCGCAGGCCTGCCAGTCCCAGCTCAACCTATTCCACCTCCTATGGACACGAGATCGGTATATCGCCGCCACCCTCTTTCCACGAATATGCGGACAGCGCTCATCTGCTGGGTGATCATGTAGCCCATGTAGAGACCGAGGTCGGCCATGGAGACGGAGACCATACGTCCAACGAGCCGCCGGAGATCGAGGAGGTCCCGAAGTCGCCTGGGATGCCGCCGGTTACGCAGGAGCTGCAGGAGCTGACGGAGATCGTTCTGCCCCGCCGCGTGTCGCTCAAGCGCGTGGAGTCTCTGCTCGCCGGGTTGAAGGACGTGGGCGCGTGGCGGTCCAGGAGGGCAAGTGTGGACCTCGCTTGAGGCACGCTGACCAAACGCTGCCGCCGATTGACACACGATCGGGTTTGCGGAACGAGGCGGAGCGTGGTCATGGTACAACCGGTTTCGCAGACCGATCTGATGTTTCGTTTTTTTTGCGATGTCTCGCTCTGATAATTGTTCGTGCTGACGCGTAGATCTAACACTACGAATTATGCCAATGTTTACGACTTGCTGTACGCTCGGACGGCGATGTATCAGCCAAGATGTGATGTAGAATGACGGTCACTAATCGGATTGACTTGCTGTATCATTCGCCGAATCAGGTTGTGAGTGCCTACGACGGGCCGACTGGAGGACGCAGGAAAAGAACGGGCCCTGTATCGCCTTCTACCTGCCGCAGGCCAGGACGAACGCCGTTCCACCACTCTCTAGCCGCCAGCAGATTGCGATCTTGCTGTTTCACCTGCAAGGCCAGGACGTTAAGTTCACTTCTGCTCAGTAAGGTTTCCCAGGCCCTACTCACCTTCTGTACACTGAGAACTGTGTCGGAGGCGCAGCGGACGAGAAGTGAGTCGGTCGGTCGATGATAGATAGCCGTCCCAACAGTAGTCAATTGCTCTTCTAGCACGTCAGCTGCATCAGTGACAGCAGTGACAGAATGCAATTGAAGCGTGCGACGGTTCTTGAGGGAGGTCACAACGGGTCTCTGAAAGAATGTACGCGTATCAGCGATGTACGAGGAGCCGGACATGGTGCGACGTACTTGGTGCGAGATAGCACGCGAGCGCCGAGCAATCTGCTCCGCAGTCATGCTTTCGAAGTCGATTACTGCATCTTCCAAGTTTATAAGAGGCGCTCGAGGTGTAGTAGGATCCTCTGCTTGTGGTTTCGACGTTGCCTGCAGGGCATGACAAATCTAGGTGGCAATACACTATCGTGTGATGGCCTGTATGCGCACCTTTCCGGACAGCATATCACGAAGGACAGAGACCAAGAGCCTACCGCCTACTGGAGCCAAGGTGTCACGCAGGTTCGCATAGGTAGCATCTTTGGGAACGGCCTACAGTAGAATACGTGAGTTCCTGACGGCGTTCCATGTTGTTCTACACTTACAACCTGCTCTTGTCCCCAGATAGCCCCTGCGTCAAGCCCCTTTGCGCGTTCCATCATCTCGACGATGCACACCCCCGTTTCCTTCTGCCCATCGAGGATAACATGCTGGATGGGCGCGGCTCCACGGTACGCCGGTAACAACGATGGGTGCACGTTGAGACGCCTGTTCGGCAAGAAGAGGTCGAGCACAGAGTTGGGCAAGATGCGGCCAAAAGAGGCGGTAACGATGATGTGCGAGGGAGACGGAGTGGCGCCTTGCAAGGACCATGGTGGCGGCAGCTGTACATGGATATTAGTAAGGGAGAGCGTCATTGACGAATGTGCGTACCTGCCATGTTTTCAAAACATCTTTACCCTTGCCTGATGGAATGAAGTGCACCGGCAGATCGAGTTGTTGTCCGAAAACCTTGAGAGGAGCTGCACATAGTCAGTGTTGAGGGCCCGATGCATATTGGCATTGCAGCGTAAAGCAGCTCAACGCATGTAGTGCTCGGTATAAGATGGGAAACGATGACAAGCCGGCCCATGGGCGCGATAAGCCCAGCTCGAAGAAAGAACGGAAGCGTCTTCCTGTGAGATCCTTCCGACTGCTTCTTTCCGCAGAACTGGATCACTACATCAGGATGAGTAGTATCCCCAACCTGCCGAGACGACCAGCAGCGTTACGGGATCTATTACATACCCTGGGTCGCGATGCTCATTGGCACTTCATCTGAATTGCTTGTCGGCCAGCGCCCGCCACGCCCGCCACGCCCGGCAGCAAACGCATCCATTGAAACATCAGAAGACAAGGGAGAGACTCACAGACAGCCAACTTCTCCCCTCGCCTGCCAACCCTCGTGTCCGGCGTCGTCACGATCGCCAGTTCCTGCCACACATCTGTGCATTCCGTGTTACACCCAGTCAGCGTACATTCATGGCAGAGGCGTACCCTTAGCCTTGAGCAACTCTTCAAGCACCGAGCACGAGAATTCGTCGCGTCCGAGGTACAGGATCTTGAACGGGTCGTGAGCGGGAGCTTGGCTGTACGTCCGCGCACCGACGCCATTCCACGGCACCGAAACGCGCCGCGATCTGTTCCGGTTGTTAGAGCATTTTGAGACACTATAGCAGGCCGCAGAGGGCCTTGGCAGAGCAGAGGAGATATGCGCGGCTCGCAGGTTGAGCATGAAGTCGTGGCTTACGCCTGTCCTTTGCCACCGCAGACTTGTATCCAGCAAGTCGCGTGACCTTCTGCCTCCTCATCCTCCTTGTAATAGGTACAAACAGTAGACTGTAGCATACTGCAGCACATATGACCCCCGTACTAGCAGTGTACGATGTGCAGATGATCTCCGGGGGCAGAGAACACTCGAGGAACAGAATAATTGTTATTTAATCTGTAATGTACGGTGACCTATTTTCACACTGAAGGAACTGAGAGCAAGACGGAGAGCTGAGTACAAATGGGGAGTGGGAGGGCCTTTGACGCGGGGGGTCAAGGGACGGAGGAGGATGTCGGCGAAGCGAGCGGTATTGCGAAGGCCGACTGCCCGGGGCGGACGGGAATGGGTTGAGTTTGGAGTCGGATCCGAAGCGGACACTGACTGTCTAGCCGTCGGACGACCTGCACCTGGTGAGGCAAAATGAGATTCTATCAGGATACTGCAACAATGTCCGGGTTGAGCCAATAGATAGGTAGAATGGAGTGATACAGAGGCAGACACGGGCGGAGAGAATCTGGGTCGTACACAGGTTAATCGTGCAGAATAGAGGTGCGATAGCGTATTAAACGGTGCTATGCAGTCGAGTCCATGGGCATGCGTGCGGATCCTTCCGTTCGTTTTTGCGGCCATGCGCACCGCCCCCGTCAGCCCTGCCGGCCGAGCACATCACATCACTGCCCCACGGGGCACGGCGTCCAGCGTAGATCGTCCGCCGTGTATTCCCCATTCTCCCATCCTTCCGCTGCACCCATCCACACCTCTGCCCACGCACGACCAGCCACCAAGATAACCGAAAGAGACCAATGAGAGACATTGAACGGAAAGAGCGTATGTGGCGAGTCTGACCAAGAAGGCAAGGATGTACTGACAGGGTGCGCGCCTCAGCCCATCTTGCTCGCATCCTTCTTCTTTCCTTTGCGCGGTGGTGTAACCGGCCGTCCCATATTGACACCACCATACGGGTACTTCGCCTTCTTCTCGGCCGGCTTCAGAATCTATATGTATCGCCGTGGGTACTCAGAGTGGCGCCATTGAACGAAGATAGGTATTACTCACCTGGAACGAACAAAGTAGCGTCTCGTCCACGCTCATCATCGCTCCTGCATTGTCGAACTCGCCGCAGTAGTTAGGCGCCGAGAAAAGGGTCACCAGATGCCGCTTCGCAAAGAACTCATAACCATCTTCGACGACCTGGAACAAATCGATGCCGTTAATGAAAGGGGCAACCCCACCGGACATCCTCGAGAAGTAGTAAACGTACCTGATGTGCGCGGCATATAAGATCCATATCGTGCTTCTGCAGGAATCTGGACACCACGTCGGGCCCGAATGTGAACGACACGCCTCGATCGTTCTCTGACCAACCCGTGATGTCCTTGTCTGGGTCTGACCAGAGAAGATCACACAGCAAGCCTGTGGCGAGGTGAGAGATGAAATAGAGCATAGAGCAAGCCACATACCTGTGTCCGGGACGTCCGTGGGCCTCATTACCCTCCGAATCTGCTCCATTGACTGCAGGTCGGGTGACAGACCACCATGCATTGTAAAGATCTTTTCGTCAATGATGGCGGCAATGGGCAGGCAGTTGAAGCAGTCGGTGAACGTCTTCCACAACTTGATGTTGTATCTGCGCTTGCCTAGGACGCGCGTAGGCGGTAAGCGTATGGCGCGATCAGGGACATCGTGATGACTCACATTCGTCATAGAACCCATAAATCCTGTTGATGCTGGCGCATTCGTGGTTGCCCCTCAGCACAAAGAAGTTCTCCGGGTACTTGATCTTGTACGCCAGCAACAGACAAATGGTCTCCAATGACTGCTTGCCACGATCGACGTAATCGCCCAGAAATAGATAATTCGCCTCTGGTGGGAATCCGCCGTACTCGAAGAGTCGCAGGAGGTCGTAATATTGCCCGTGGATGTCGCCTGCGCCATATGATGCGCTACACGTCAAGCGGGGTGGAAGCAAAGAAAGGCGAGAGACCTACCGCATATCTTGATGGGGGCTTCGAGCTCGAGGAGGATGGGCTGATTAATGAAGATCTCGCGGGCTTTTGTGCACAGATACTTTATTTCGTACTCTGCAAGCTGGACCGGCTTCCCCGGACGATTTCCTCGCACTGCCGGGCGGCGCTCGCCGCGTCAGACACACCAGCGCGGCCACCGCGACTCGCTCACCTTCCAAAAGCCTGTCAATGACCGAATCGAGGTCAATCTCGGTGCTGGAATCCGCCATGGCTTGACAAAGTCAGAGAGATGGTCGTGGAATCGGTCGTGAGCGTGGGCGTTCCTGGTCGTGAACGAGGGTGTTTTCGGTGTCTTTGTGAGCGGAATCTGGGGTGGATGCACGGACCACCTCTCGGAGAGAGAGTGCGCGACGATGAGGGCGGCGGTGGTCAGCCGGCTGCAACACCAGAAATGCGAAATTTGAGAGCAGGTAGGGGTAGATAACAAGTTGTCAGAAGATGGTCGTCGGGCGCGCCACCGCGCACCGGGCGGAGTGCGCGGCGGACTCTCAAACGCTGTTGTCCCATCGCCCGCGTTCTGGGCCTGAGCTGCTCCATCCTGTGCTCCTCAAGCCGCGCAAGAGCATTCATCGTCCACCGAGGCCGTGAATGGACCTGCTGCGCCCGAGAATTGTCATCGATAGCCCGCACCCCCGAATCCGGCGAAGGTTTTCTTTGCAATCACCGCTTCAGGACGGGTGAGATGCCGTAGCATGCCCGTCAATGTCCTTGTCTTCAATCAGGCATCCTTCTGATACTCTCGAGAGACGCGGATATTACATATGCGCACGATCATCGAGTCGAGTGCTACTGGACGGTGCGATGTAGTCTGGTTACGTAAGCATGTAGTGGACGCGTCTGTGCGACTGGAACGGCCACCAGTACTTGCTTACATCTGTCCTCACTCATGGGCCCGTGCAGAAACTAACGACACGGTCATCCAGGCCGGCATTGCGACCCCGAGAACCCACGAACGCGAATAGCATACTGGGCACGGTGCTTCGAGTGTGAGGGAACGACGACGACCGTCACAGCACCCCGACTTTCGGGCTGCCTCTTCACGATGTCAAGAGGCGACTATACCCGTCTCCCGCTCCATGCATTCTCAGAGACGACTGCGCGGCGACGCTCTGAGAGCGGTGGCTCTTCGCCAACGGCCCACTACCAAGACTTCCCGGACGCCCCTCCCAATCCTCCCCATAATTGGAGGCGACGATGGTTCGCCGCAAAGCACCAGCTCCTCCGGCCACGCATCGTGATGACCATGCTCAAGTTCGTCCTCCCGTGTGTGGTGCTGCTCCTCCTCGGCGGCCTGCTCGTCTGGGAGCCACACATCGAGCTCGCGTTCTACTCGCGCGACTGGATCCAGTCCGAGATCGCGCCCGTCCTCCCGCTCGCGGGCTGCTTCCGCGCCGACCGCGTGTCGCCGCAGTACAACGTCTCCGAGGCTGTCTTCGGGCTCCGGCTCACGGAGGTGCACGCGGGGCTCCCGCTGCGGCTCGGCATGGATTGCTACGACTTCGCTGGGACGATCCAGGGCCCGCGCCCCGTCGACGCGCTGGCCAGCGAGCCCCGCACCTACTACCACACGTACTGGCGCACGGACCTCGCCGCGTTCGGCCCGCGCCAGGAGTGGATGCTCAAGTCGTTCTTCGCGACGCAGGACACGGACCACGCGACGCTCGTGCTCTGGTCGAACGGCGACCTCTCGGGCAACGCGATCCTCGCGCAGTGGCGGCAGCGCTTTCCGGAGGCGTTCGAGTTGAGGGTGGTGGACTACGATGAGCTCGCGCACGGGACATCGCTGGAGGGCAGCGACCTGCTGCGTGTGAAGGACACGCGTGCGTGGATCGACGGTGACCTGGTGAGGTTGCTCGTGCTGTGGGCATTCGGAGGAGTATGGGTGGATATGGACTCGCTGCTCACTCGGGACCTCGCTCCCTTGCTAGAGCACGAGTTCGTGACACAGTGGGATTGCTATGGTGAGCCTTGCTTTCCGTTCACGATGCTCGTGACTGAGTACGGTGCAGACAAAATCTACATGCCTTTCAATGGCGCGCTCATGCGCTTCCGACAACACTCGGCTTATCTGTGCGAGGCCTTCCACATCATGGCGACGTCCCAGCCGCCCCGCAAAGGGTCGACGGACTGGGGCGCACTCCTCTACCTTAAGCTCTGGCGGCGGCTCGTAGCTGCCGGCGTCCCTCCGCCCAAGGTCCTGCCCTTCTGCTTCTCCGACGCACGTTCATGTAGGCTCGACAACCGACTGCCCGATCCCTTCACACCGGATCCGAAGAATGGACAGTGGACGATGGGGCTGGACCGCGAGGAGGGCGGCGGGCTGGATAGGGCACTGAGGCACGTCTTCTCAGTGCATCTTCACAACCAGTGGGAAAAGGCATATCCCACAGATGGCTGGGTGGAGCGATTGCTTCTTAAACGTTATGAGGAGGCTCTGATAGAGACTGAATATTGACGACCTTCGGAACGTGCTGGTTGATGGGACTAGGGACAGGGCCCATGCACGGTTGTAACTTATTGCTGTCGGTCATACTGTATGTTGCTGCTAACCCTTTCTTCTCCTGGACGCAATATACATAGGTAATTGTGGGCTATGGTTACAGGTCCGGCATCCGTCTGACAGCCTTGCCCTCATTGCGGACGTGCACACGCAACTTGTCCAACAGCTTCGAGTTCGCCCACCGCTCCGGCGGGGCCCTCTTGCCCGTCGCCCAGTAGTAGATGTCCCAGTCCGGCTCGTCCATAAGCTGTGCGACCGCAGCCCACCCCTCGTCAGCCACATAACCATCACGCGCAGCCCGCCACGCACCTTGTCGAACTCGCGCAGCTCCGCCTCATCCATCCCGCCCAGCTGGTCCTTCGCGAACGTGCTCAGCACCAGGTCGCTCTCCAGCGTGCCCCGCTTGCGCGCCTGGTACACGAGCCGCGCGCGCATCGTCTCGACCGCCTCGCCCGGTCGCGGCAGGGGTTCCGGCGGAGGTGCGTTTGCGGGCGACGTTGTCTGCGCAATGTGCTCGGGTGTGCCCGGTAGCAGCCATGGGTCGGCGAAGCGCGCCGCTGTTGTCGTAATCAACCTGTTGAACAATGTTCGACGGCATTGCGAGAGGACGGGCAGCAGATGCGCCATGGTGGTGGTGGATGAGCGGGATGGCGAAAGGCGCTCGTAGGCTTCCCATTACAAGCGCCGGCGATCGACGTCACGCGTTACTGCGCGTCTGTGGCAACCGCGTCTCGAGGCTACTGTACTTCGAGGTCACAACTACAGTTCACTCCAGACACACGCGTCTTTCGCTGCGAACGCCCTTGATTACTGCATATCACTGTGTTTTAAGCTCGGTAAGTTCCTCGACGGTGTATATATGCGTCGGAATTGTGCCCTGAGACCTCCTTTGACCAGGCTTGTAGCTCAGGATCTCGGACACGCCGCTTGTGCTGCAATTCCAGCTTCAGTATCACTCCTCGTACGTAAATGAGACACCGCGACTGCGAAGTGCACATTACGTGCGATGGTCGGACGCTGGATGAATACAATGTCGAAGTTGAGGGCAACGTCGTTGAGTGCTACGTGGCTAGTGAGGCTGGCAAGGTATGTGCTTTCAAGACTGAGTGGAAATTTAGTGTGACAACAGGTGCCATATGTAGACATTCAAAATCAAATGCAGTAATCACTCCTTGGAGCACGTATCAGTCTTGACTGCCGTAGACGGCCAGCAGTTTCCTCGACCGGAGGCCATGAGCGGAGGCCGCTTAAACAGAACGCTTCGTTGCGAGGATGGCCGCGTGGATGGGACGAGGACACTGCTGTTTGCAGAAATTCCCATCACAGGTCCGTTTTGCTCCATCGTTGTGCAAGGTATCTCCTGAACGGATGTGCAGATGATGAAAATGCTCCGAGAGAGATACCTGACGGCAAACGACCGGGCACCATAGAGGTTAAGATTACGCGTTCACGACTCAAAAGGAAGACCTCATGGGCGCCCTCCCGCAAAACAAAAGCCCAGCCTGAGAACATCGAGACCCTCCATGAGACGACGAAGAAGAGCGGGATGCATTGTGTCTCGTGAGTTTTTCATGGGCCTCAGACCTCGACCTAACCGCCAGTTAGCTTTGGAAAAACAATTCTTTGTCGTAAGCCCACGAATACTAAATATGTCACGCGCATCGATCGGTGGTCCGCACCATATGTCACATTCAAGTTCCACTATAGGCCTCACGGTGAGTTCTAGATATCTCAACACCCGGTTGTGGAATCTCATTCCATGCCAGCAATCCTCAAGGCACGCGGTATCATAGAAATGATTGAACTCAATGGGCTGGACGGTACAGCTCCCGGGGACGGCGTCTTCGCAGTACAAGAAGACCCATTGACCCCTGCAGCGCTGCCAGGCGTCGTTGACGTGTCTTTGCGTCCTAAACGACGAGATGGATCCCAGGCTCAGGCGGACATGCCGAGAAAGAGACTGCGCCGTGACAGCAACCCGCAGGCTGCAGAGCCTCCCACCGAGGACCGCTTGTCCACAACTGACGCGGAGGACGCCAAACCGCTTGTGGTCAAAGGCGAGGTCGACGATGGCGTAGAAGACGTGGATGCGCTGGAGGTGGGCCCGCCAATCTACCTCCGAGACTTTCCATGTATTGAACACGCCTGCACCTGAATAGGCTCAGATACGGGCTCTACGACAGCGGGTTGATCGAGCCAACACGATGAAAGCGCACGGTGGCCAATCTCGTGTCGTCAAGAGGGAGGTGTCTCCCATTCGGCTCGGTGGATTCAATGGCGGTGTCATAGACCTCACAGACGACTGAGGCACTTCGCCGCCGGGAGGCCTTCTTTCACTGGGCGGGTGTATTTTCTGAACTCTTCCATTGCAGTCTTGCAGATGTCAGTGCGTAATTGGGATGATTATTACATGATACCAGCTCTCTTGCAGTTCTCGTACTGTACCTCGGCAGATACTGTGATGTGGCCCTCGCTTTGTCATGCTAACAGCGGCATATGATTCTCGTGTCTGATTTCACTTACTGTACAGACACTAGTCCACAGTACAGTCCCTATTAGGGGTGCGGATGAATTAATATCGGCTTGCACTTCAGGTGATCGAACGCTCCAAATGCGACTGCGGCCTACTACTGCTGACTCCTTCAACACTTGAACTGCCACTTGACCTATAATACGGAGGTGCTCAGTGCTCTACCCATGGCTACCGTGTGCAAAATCGACATTCGCTCTTGAGATCATTGTATTGTCTTCACGCTATCCATGGTAAGTTGTAACCACGGTGTTCGACCTGGCGCTGGCAGGATACGGTACTAATACTACGTCGTGTCACGTGTGCGTGTCGACTACTAGTAGTAGTACCCACCGTGGCGCGCCGGTCTACTGCCATTACGGCTGCGTCGCCGCTGCGCATTTGTCAACTTCGCACAACTGTGCTTCTGCTCTCATTGAGTTCTTAAGCTACTAGTAAGCGCACGAAAACGTTGAGATAGGCTCAGTGAGTCTTTGATTATTCCTCGTGTTATCCATAGGTCATTTTATACGGCGGACGGTAGTAGTACAGTTGCACTGAGCACGTCCGTTGGAGGGCAACCACCGCGATACTGCTCCCGCGTTGAGCGACGTCTCATCTTCCAGTTGCATACACCAAGAACGATTTGGAGCTCTACCGTCTTGTTTCGTCATGAGGCATCGCGACATTGAGATTCGCATCACATGCGACGGCCAGGCACTCGACGATCACAACCTTCAGATCGAGGGCAATGTTGCTGAATGCTATGTGGCAAGCCAATCTGACAAGGCACGCATTTGGTTCATCGACGCTTTGTGTGCTGATGTACTAATATATTCTATCACAAGGTGTTCGAAATAATATGTAGCAATCACTCCTCGGCGCAGAGCATGGTACTCAACGTGTATGTCGACAACTACGAGTTCTCAAAGACATCCATCATGAAGCCGAAGCGCCTGAGTCGATCGATCACTTGCAAAGTTGGGAGAAATGGAATAAGGCCAATGATGTTCTCCAACATCTCCGTCACAGGTCCGTGTTCATGGCCAACTTTTGTATGAATTTATGGCTGAATAGCCTGATAGATGATGAGGACGCTGCGGAAGAAGTACCGTGGGTAGACGATCTTGGTCTCATTGAAATTTTTGTTGGCCGGGCAAAGGTTTTACACGAAGTACCTTGGAGTCCACCAGTCGGAGAACCGCACAACTTGGGTCCCGTTCATGAGTCCTTGAAGAAAGGTGGCATGCATTGTGTCTCGTACGTATGCAGCTCGTAGAATCACTGTCAGTCGTTATTTACTTCAGCTAGATTCGGCCCAACAGTCGCAAGTCCCTATCGTAGAGGGCGAGCAGTGGAGATGGATGACATCGACACCTGGTCAGCACCATATATTATTTTCAAGTTCAAGTATAGGCCCCTAGGTGAGACATTGGTATCTTGAACCGACGTGCACGTCATCTCATCTACCGCTAGCGATTCTCCAGGCAGGCATCCTACAACCGATCGTCGTTGATCCGCCGCGCGATGACAGTCCCGACAAGTTGCCTCGGTCAGAGCGCCCGTGCAAGAGGCCTCGGCTAGATGGCGTGTCGTCCACGATCATAGATCTCACTGACGATACCGAGGACATAAAGTCATCCGTACCGAAGGATGAGGATGACGACGACATGGAGGATGCCGCGGCGCTCGAGGTGCGTTACGATGTAGTATCTCCGCCTGTGTTGCGGCTCAGGTGTTATACATGGCAGGCCCAAATACAGACTTTGCGGAAGAGGCTTGATCGAAAGCGGTTACGCAAGGCACGACGGGGTCAGTCTGGTGCTGTCAAGAAGGAGGAATCTCCTACTCAGGCCTATGGCGTACCGTTTGCTGCAATATTCGCCCCATCCCAGAATTTCGCACACGCCCCCATCCCCGAATTTCGCACGCCCCCATCCCAGAATTTCGCACGCCCCCATCCCAGAATTTCCGCCCCCGCCACCCATCCCACAATTCCGGTGCCATCCATCCCACAATTCCGCGTCGGCACCCATCCCCATAATTAAATTCGCTCTCCCCATCCCACTTTTCGGTCTGGCTCTGTCGTCGAATGTGGTAAGTCGCGCTTTGAACTGCTTATGTAATCGTTGTGGCCACAGGTTCGCGAGCTCACGCGCGATGCCCTACACACGACCACCATCGCGTGTCCACCATCGCGCGCGACGCGCTACACAGGCCCGCTGTCGATGCTACACACGCCCGCTGTCGACATTGCTACACATGCCCGTCATCGCGCATGCGGCGCGCTATGCACGACCGACATCGCGTGTGCGATGCGCGATGCGCTACACACGCGACTCGAAGCGCCCAAATGTGTCGAGTGCATCTCTCTGTGCTCGACTATTCTGTTCATCCTACCTCCTCTACCTCGGCTTGCGTCGTGCGAGCTCGCGCGTGATGCCTCTCCTGCACTCAACACGTCCAGCTTGCGCAATTGTGCTCCCTGTATCAATCTCTGCTCGTTTGCAACTATTTGTAAACCCGACTAGTAAGGTCCTTCGCGTGCCCGCAACCCAGTTCGTGGCCTGAGCGAGTAGGGCGTCTTTGTACTCCGACACTCAACCTCAGGCTCCGAATCATCAATGTCCCCCTCCAATCCCTCCGCATATTCCTGCATCGCCTCCTCATGCGAGATCTTCTTGTCCTTGTAGTTCCTCCAAGACGTCGCGAGTCGAGTGCTCGTGACAAAGGCAAATCCACTTTGCGCGAAAGGAGCAATATTGTCCTCGGGCCGATCTCCGAGCAGGCTTGTGCCATGGTAATGGCGGGGCTGCCAGACGATGAGTGTGTTAGCAGCCTGCTCGATCTTGATACCATACGATGCCAGGTAGAAGTTTCCACCAGTCTTCGCCCTCCTGCCCGTCGTCCAGGAATAGGCATATTTATGGGGTGCGTGTTCATGGTGGATATACCTGCAGCTGAGTTAGAACTACAAATCAGAGCATCAATGTGAAGCTTGCCTCGCATAGTTCACACCTGCTACGCCTGCAGGCGGCGCAAGTTTTGCGCCATGGAAGGTGAACGTTTTCCCACCCTTCTTCACGTAATAGTCACCGCAGCCCTCGTCATCGACAGGTATTGCACCACGTGCGTCCATGCGAGGAAAGCCATGCTTAGCGATGTACTCCTCGTAGTCCTCCAGCACTTCGTTGGGAAGGTTTGCCCTCATCAGCTGGTAGAAGAGGCTGAACGAGGAGGATACCGCCATGTGGTGGCTGCGCACAAATTCCTCCGACAGCTTCTTGGCCTCTATGTTCCGGGAATAGTCGAAAGCGGGTGAAGAGCGAGAACCCGCAGAATAGCCCACAAGCACAAGCTTGCCCGGATCATCTAACTGTGGAGGCCATCAGTACTGTATAGGCTAGAGAACAGCAAGTTACGCACCCGAGCACCTTTCTTCATGCTGCAGTCAAGAACCACAGTATTGTCGGTGCCAGCCAGTACCTCCGCATCGCTGCAGAGGTTCCGCCTGACAATGAGAACAATCTCGCCCGTTTCCTCGTCGCGGACAATAACATCCTTGTCTTTCGGAACGATGAGCTTCAGCATGTCTGGGTCCACGCAGAGCATTGCGCACAGGGCTGCCTGGGTCTATAACTGGTGTGAAGTGCAGCTAGACTTCTAAAATCTTTACTCACATCACGTTTGTCATGCAGATTGCGTGTTAAGACCCAGTCTGACCAGCCTGCCTTGGACACCTCTGTCTCGCAGGCCAAGAAGCCTTTGGGAGGATAGGCAACCTCGTCCGGGAGCTCTCGGAGGGAGTACAGAGTTGCACAGGCTTCAAGCGCAGCCAGTCTGTCCTCGTTGCTTCCCTGCATGAGCCCCACATCTGCAATAAACCTCCGCTTTGCTTTCCTGTTCAGCTCAACCTCCCGCTTCCGCTGCTCCAGCGCTGCACAGAGTGCGTCGGGCAGGCGGCCTTGCAGTCGTGAGCAGTGGCTGATGAACTCCGTAACTGGAGAACGGCCAAGGTCTATATTGGTGCCAGCGGTTTCATTGGAGAGGAAAGTGAAAAGCTCAGCGAAATATCCAGGATCGGCAGACTGGTTGAGGAGGGGGAGGCCTCGCGACAGAGCAAAGGATTGGCAAAAAGCGAGAAAATCAGCATCACGGGCTTCAGTTGCTGTGGCTGTTGCCGTTTTGCAGGCGGGCCTTGTCTTTCCATGTCCCATGTGAGCGTCGTTTGCCGCGAATTGCGTGTAGGGAAGGTGCGTCAGGGTCGTGTGCGAAGCCGCAGAGCTCTCGAGGCTGCGGCGCGAAAAAGGCGCCGGAAACTTCCGGCGGCGGGCGCTTATCTTGCGCAGCCCGCGCGGGCGGTCTGCGCGAGCCTTGCCACCACCCCAACACCACCCACCACACCTACCGCGAGCACCTGCCGCCGCTGCAAGCACCCGCCGCCGCCACTACCACCGGTCACCGTCACCGTCCGCCGCCGCCATGCGCACGGGTGCGTGCCACGTCACCGACTGCGCGCAGGGTGCGCGCCACGTCACCGACTGCGCGCGCGGCTCACGACCTACCCCACCTGCCGCCGGGCTGGCTCTCCCACTCGGGAAACAGCAGCTACCCCTGCAAGTGGTACCTGCCACTGCGGCGTGCAGGGGCTGCAGCTGAAGGTACGCGCCACGCCACTTGAACTGCGCGCGCCGGACTGACCTCGCTCGCGACCCAGCACCCGCCGCCGCCGCCGCCAGCGCACACCCCGCGGCACGTAGCCGCCGCCGCCATACGCAGGGGCGCACGGTGTCGCGCCGCGTCACCGTCTGCGCGCGCGTCCGGATGCGCGCCACGTCACCGACTGCGCGCGTGTCTCGATCGAGACCCAGCACCCCACCCCACCCCCCCCCCTTCCGCCGCCAACAAACACCCCACCGTGTCGCGCCGCGCCACTGGCTGTGCGCGCGGCTGGGTGCGCGCCACGTCACCAACCGCGCGCGTCTTGCTCGCGTCCCAGCACCCCCACCACCGCCGGCACGCGCCCCGCCGCCGCCCCGCCGCCGCCAGCACGCACCCCGCCGCCTGCAGGTACCCGCCGCCGCCACACGCGTGGGCCCGCGGTGTCGCGCCGCGCCAGTTAGTGCGCGCGGCTGGGTGCGCGCCGCACCATCAACGGCGCGCGCGTCTCGCTCGCGACCCAACACCCCCGCCGCCGCCAGCACGTGCCCCGCCGCCGCCAGCACGCACCCCGCCGCCTGCAGGTACCCGCTGCCGCCACACGCGTGGGCCCGCGGTGTCGCGCCGCGCCAGTTAGTGCGCGCGGCTGGGTGCGCGCCGCGCCATCAACGGCGCGCGCGTCTCGCTCGCGACCCAGCACCCCCGCCGCCGCCGGCACGCACCCCGCCGCCGCCAGCACGCACCCCGCTGCCTGCAGGTACCCGTCGCGGCCGCGCGCGGGGGTCCGCGGTGTCGCGCCGCGCCACCTTCGGTGCGCGCAGCCAGGTGCGCGCCACGTCACCAACGGCGCGCGCGCGGTTGGCCTCGTTTGCGACGCAGCACCCACCGCCGCCAGCACACGCCCCGCGCCACGCGGGGCCCACCGTGTTGCGCCTCGCCACCGTCGATGTGCGCGACATCATCAACGGCGCGCGCGTCTTGCTCGCGACCCAGCACCCGCCATCGCTGCCAGCACGCGCCGCGCTGCTGCCGCTGCCAGCAAACCGCGCTGCAAGTACCCGCTGCTGCTGCACGCGGGGGCCCGCCGCGTTGTGCTGCGCCACCGTCTGTGTGCGCGGCCGGGCGCGCCACGTCGCCGAGTGCAGGGGCTGGCCGCCAATTGCCTGTGCAGGCTCTTCCTGCACAACCACCTTCTGCGGGCCTGGTGCTGCAGAGCAGCAGCTGAGGACAGTGGCTTGGCCCAGCCGGTCACCGCTCCCGCTGTTTGCTCTTGTGGCTGCTGGGCTCGCTCGCCAATCGTCTCTCACTCTTGCCCGCATTCCTGATCTCACCCCCGCCCTTGCTGCAGAGCAGACAGCTGAGGACAGTGGCTTGGCCCAGCCAGTCACCGCTCCCGCTGTTTGCTTTCGTGGCTGCTGGGCTCGCTCGCCAATCGTCTCTCACTCTTGCCCGCATTCCTGCTCTCACCCTCGCCATTGCTCTCGCCCCCCTCGCCATTGCTCTCGCCCCCCTCGCCATTGCTCTCGCCCTCGCCCTTGCTCTTGCCCTCGCCCCTGCTCTCGTCCTCGCCCCCATTGTTCTCACCCTCGCCCCTGCCATTGCCCTCGCCCTCACTCTCGCCCCCGCCCTCATTGTTCTCGCCCTCGCCATTGCCCTCGCCCTCGCCCTCGCCCTCGCCCTCGCCCTCGCCCTCACTCTCACTCTCACCCTCGCCCTCGCCATTGCCCTCGCCCCCATTGCTCTCATCCTTGCTATTGCTCTTGTCCTCGCTGCTGTTGCTCTCGTTCTCGCTGTGGCTTTTGTCGTCGCTGTTGCTCTCGCCTGCCCTTGAACCCTTTTGCTGGCTCTTTTTCTTCAATTTTCTTTTCTGCTGGCCTTATTGATAGATTCAATATTGAGGAGTCTGGTAGTTGTACATGTAGTACTGAATCTGAGTGCCTGATGCATGGGGTTCGCCAGCTTACATGCTGTGTCAATAGTCCAAAACAAATGTAAACAATGGGTTTCGCCTCTGTGGCCTGCGAGTAATCTCTTGCACTCAGTCCTGCTTGATGTCTCTGATTCCCTCCCTCCCTCCATGCTTGGCTGAAGACCAGGAGAGCTGGTCGGGTGGTCTATTCGCTGCACACACCCAAATAACGAACCTATGCGACCATGTCTCGAGGCTGCTGCTTCAGGAAGAAGGCGATCGGGTGCGACTAAGCATCTGCAAGGACACTCTCGAGCGACAAGTAATTCCGCTGATCAAGGAGATGGCGCCAGAGCTTCGGAGGGGAGGTGCATGGAGCTGGGTCAAGACTACTTGTGCAGAGGTCGGGAGAATGAAATCGGGCCTCCAGCTAGCCATCGATGCAGATACTGAGCGGTAAAGCTTTCTGCTTTAATCTGCAGTGTTTCAAGTACCCATATGTCATTCAGGGAGCACCGCAGTGTCACTGTGGTCAACCCTATCGCCATTGAGCGATCCAGCGGACCGGGGCGCCCGCGGAAAGTGATCAGCAAGTCCTGGCTCGAAGAGACCTTTGCTCCATATCGGAGCATAACCATCCAGCAAGCTGCTGCAGCTCTTGGTGTAAACCGATCGACAGTTACCCGCTACATGAAGAGCTATGGCATTGACTACTCTTATGCAGCACTTGGCGACGAGGAGATAGACCAACTCGTTCGCTCATTCAAACTCGAGCGACCAAATGCAGGTATCCGGCATGTCCACTCCTTCTTCCGTGCCAATTGGCTGAGGGTCCAGAGGTCCCGGATAATCGATTCGTTGCACCGAGTTGATGCAATCGGTGCTGCACTGCGCCGGAACAAAGCAGTAGAGCGCCGGGTTTACTCTGTTCCACGTCCAAACCACCTATGGCATATCGATGGTCACCACAAGTTAATTTGCTGGGGTATGGTCCTGCATGGTGGGATTGATGGTCACGATGATGCTGTGCGATTTCTTGTCTTCTTTGTTTGCCAGGTCTTTGACGCCAAATGCTGCAGGTCGTGTGGATGAGAGCATCAAATAACAACCGGCCAGCAACAGTTCTGCGGGGCTTTGTGCGAGCTGTCAAGATCTTTGGTCTGCCACTCCGGGCCCGGGGTGACCGGGGAGGGGAGAACATCTTAGTCTCAGCATATATGATCCTGCTGCGGGGCCCAAATCGAGCCTCGTTTATGTTTGGCTCGTGAGTACAGCTTCTAGACTGATTAGGCAAGTTGCTGAGTTCTTATCCAGCTCAACGCGCAACCAGAAGATCGAGCGAGTCTGGGTCGATGTTGGGGAAGGCTTCGTCAGGCGATGGCGAGTTTTTTTCACCCGGCTTGAGGGCCTTCATGGCCTTGTCGCTAGCAATCCAACACACCTATGGCTCTTGCAAGAGCTTTTCCTCGGCGACATCAATCGTGATGCCGACGACTGGACTCGCCACTGGAACATGCACAAGCTATCGGGAAAGCATCGGAACCAAACACCTTCAGTGAGTCGCTTCGCAAGCCTGCAGTTCAAGGAGGAGTCTTACATATTCTTGTAGGACATTCGGCACTTGGCACGTGTGACTGTCGGGATATACGATGATGACTATGCCACTGTCCACCCAGACCTCCTTTCGGAGCATTACGGTGTTGCAGGAGCTCCAAAGTTGAGGAGACGGAGCCAGACTGGAGCAGGGCATTCCGAAGATACAGACGACGAAGATGAGCCGATGGAGGACGAGTCAGATGGGGAAGCCGAGCAGGAAGAGCCCAGGGAGGAAGTGGATGTGGGCAAAGCATGGCTCGGGACCTCAGCTGGTGAGCTTTTTATCTGCAGTTAAGGAAACAGTGATACCCACAAGAGCAATCATACAGGCGAGGTGCCTGAAAGTGGCACTGGTTCCGACAGCGAGGACGAGGATGATGACGAGGATGACGACTTAGTCGCCCAAATCATCGCTAGCCAAGAATCAAATATCCGCCATGCTGCTGTCAAGGTTGCCCGGCACTCCAACCCATTTGAGTCACAAGAGGACGAGGATGCCTTCTGGGCAATCTTGGAACAGGTCTCCAACACTGGCTTCCTACCGCCCCACATGAACATTCGGAGCGATGATTGGGAAGACATCGGCTACCCGACATACGAAAACCTCGTCGTCGGGAGGAGAAAAGCACCACTGCGGGTTGAGCTACCACACGAGTTGTGGTTGCCGCGGGCTGAGAAGTGGTGCAGGGCTGTTTCAGTTCTTACGCGGATTCTTAGCCAGGGAGACTCTGGATCAGAGAGTAGCACATCGGGCGAAGCGCCGTCAGATTATAGTATGGGTACCGAGTCTGATAGCTGACCTGGTACAAATGCAGATGCAGCCAACTTGTTACTGTACATACACTCCTAGTGTGGCCCATCAGCAAATCCGTCAGTTTGTCTAAAGCCTTCTAATACTGTCTAAAACACCTAAATACAGACAATTAGGCAAATCAGACACTTCAGACGTGAGCAGTTGGATTAGTAGATTCCTCTCTAATACAAGACACCTCTAGACACCTTTAGGCTAGTTAGACTGCTCAGACTTCAAGTGCATTCAAGGCATGCTAGACACAATGAGACACAACGAGACACAACGAGACCCAATAGTACGTCAACAATGAAATATATTCAGATATCGAGTATGAATTCTACTACATTGTTCATAGACGGTACGGGCCCTGTTGTGAAGGTGCTGGCACTGGGCCGAGTCTCCTGTAAAGCGGTGCCGGGCCCATCCGCGCAGCTTGCGCGGTGGCTAGGTGTTCGTTGCGCGTAGGTCGTCTGATCGCGGTTTTGACGAATGCCTCGGCGCGCGGGGCTCGCCACTGCACAGAGCGCGCGGATGGTCGAGCTCGGGCCTTGGGCTAGTAATGGCAGGGCAGCTACTGGTACCATGTGCGCAGTTTCGCACAGCTCGTCTTGAGGGCCGTCCGCGGGGCAGTTGCCGTGAACGTTCAGGTGGACGGCGGAGCGCGAGGGAGACGGCGGCAGCGGAGGATGACTACGTTCGGGAGGAAACTTCGCATCGAGCGGACGCGACGGCAGAGCCGCGACACGCACAAGCGAGGGCGGGTGCAAGCGTGCAGGAGACGGCGGTCGGCGGGAGCGCTCAGACGGAGAGGGAAAGTCGAACGACAGCGACCTGGGCGTGGCGGTCAGAACCACACAACGCACGAGTGAGGGCGGGTGCGAGGACGTACGAGATGGCAGATGACGGGCACATTTGGACGGGATAGGTACGTCGAGCAAGGGTGAGTGAGCAAAACGAGAGGGTGAGAGAGAGGAAGACAGTGAAGAGTCGAGGCACTCACCGCAGTCGTTCTGACTCCCCTCTACCGATCCCCCTGCTCGTCCCTTCGCGGTGGGTCAGTGCCGGTTGACTGGCTGAAGCGTCCTGCAAGGCGGTCTTGCAGGCGCATGACGCGCGGTTCGTGAGCGCGGCGCGCGGGTCGTCGTCTGCGTTTGCTCTTGCGCGCGTCGAGTCGGCCGGTGCGTCGGGCTTGCGGGTGCGCTGGACCTCGGCCGTCCGTGTCGGGTGAGTGAGGCAGCCCACAAAGACGACGTTTCTGAGGGGCGGAAGGCGGTCGTCGCGGCGGGGAGGAACGGAGTCCAGACAGCAATGCAGTCGTGACGTGGCAATGGGAGGTTTAGGGCAGGCTTCCACCGGAGTTTGCCACCGGTCGGCGGTACTTACTTACCTGCGCGCGCACACTAAGTCCGCTTGCCCTTGGCCTGCCCTCACTCACCACTTGCTCACCGGTGCGCTCACCACCCGCCCCTGTCTCCACCACGAGCTCTCACATTGAGTTCGCTCCAGTCGAGCGTGCCTGGATGCCCGTGGGAATCGCATCTGAGCGTGTTGAGTGCGCTCGATTCTTGCGTCGACCTCGACCTCCCCTGTTGAGCAGGCAGCTCCACGCAGTGGTGCGCCCTCACAACTTACCTGCAAGGTTGCTGATGCTTGATACACACGCAAGTACTTCGACTGAAGGTACTGGGGATTGAGCTACGCTACTGGGGTCCTTATATACATGAGGAGACCGCTTATCTAAGCTACTGTATAGTACGTTCCCACGACATACAAGGTAAGTGGCGTAGCCATGTGATAACACACAAATGACATCATAGATGACATCACGGACCCGGAGCTTCCCATAGAACCGGTCCGGCCTGTGATTGAACCCGGCAGCCCGGTAGGCGCCTTCCTAGTTCAACACTCCCCCTCGCTTAGTGCGTTGTAGACTCACATAAGCGTACTAGGCGCATAACGCTGCCAATGGTGCTCTAGGACGATTCATAGAATCTAAGTCCGAGCATTCCTCTAAACTTAAGGAATTTGACACGGCCTAAGTTCTTGGTGAACAGGTCTGCTGGATTTTCATCCGTACTGATGTAGAAGAGCTCGACTTGCTTCTCCTCAATCAGTTCCCTGATGTAATGGTAGCGTATGTCGATGTGCTTCGACCGCCTCTCAGTTACAGGGTTGGAGCCGATGAATATCGCTCCTTGGTTATCCGAGCAGATAGGGAGTGCGCCAAGTAGGTAACCGATCTCCTTGAGGAGCATCTTAACCCAGACGACTTGGCGGCTACAGTCGCTGAGCGACATGTATTCAGCCTCAGTTGAAGACAGTGCAACCGTCTTTTGCCGTCGAGACAGCCAACTGAACACTCCGTTCGCCAACTTCATAAAGTAGCCACTCTGAGACCGTCTCATTTCTGGGTCATTGGCCCAGTCAGAGTCTGTGCATGCCGAGACACCTTGTCCAGATTTGCCGCTGTATACAAGCGCATAGGACTTGGTACCCACGAGGTAGCGGCAGATATATAGCGCTTTATCCAAGTGGTCCTGTGACGGATTTGCAGCTTGTTGCGCGAGTTTAGTCACAGCAAAGCAGATGTCAGGTCGAGTTCCGAGCATGATATATAGCAAGGAGCCGATGACGGTCTGATACCGGCTTCGAAGTGCAGGATCAACCGGGCCAGTGTGCGGCTCAGGTTTGTAACCCGCAGGGAGTGGAGTAGGCGCAGACTTTGCATTCTGCATGCCACAGCGCTGCAGCACAGTCTCAAGGTAGGCAGTTTGGTCGAGATGAATCTCGTCGCCTTTCCGAGTAATGCGCATACGCAAGAACTCCTTGACGTCGCCTAGGTCGCGACACTCCCACTTCTTCATGAAGCGGTTCTTGAGTTTGGCTACAAGGGCCTTGTCTTTGCCACAAAATAGGGCATCATCCACATAGACTATGACTAGGACAAAACGTCCGTCTTTCGTCTTATAGATGAAAATTCCGGCGTCGGATACAAGGCGTGTAAAGCCGAGTTCCTTGAGAGACTCATTCAGGGTGCGCCACCACGCTAACCCTGCCTGTTTGAGTCCATAGAGAGCACGCAATAGCCGGAGGACTCTGTGCTCTTGGCCTTTGACTTTAAAGCCTTCAGGCTGCTCCATGTAAATCTCCTCGTCGAGTTTACCATAGAGGTACGCATTACGGACGTCGAGTCCGGAGATGTGCATGCCCTCGAGCGCAGCTAGCGCGAGTATAAGGCGCACGGTCTCAAAGCGAACGACTGGAGAGAAAACCTGATCATAATCGAGGCCTTCAATCTGGGAGTAGCCTTTTGCGACTAGTCTAGCCTTCTTTCGACCGTCAGTTTTGACGTCGAAGACCCAGCGGTTTTTGGTAACCCTACGTCCCTTAGGACGGTCAACCAACTCATAAACACCACGCTTGCGCAGAGCCTCTAACTCTTCGCGACACGCAGCTTTCCACTTCTCTTGCTCCTCTTTAGGTAGCTTCGAGATATCACGGAATGTCCATTCGCGTACGCTGAGCTTCGGAGAATCTTGGTCAACTAGTGGTAGCGCTTTTGCAAGCAGCATGTTAACCAATCCTACTCCCCCTTCCCGGCATAGTTGTGCCATGAGTAACTCTTCGACTTCGTCGTCGTCAGAGCCCGAGGAGGATCCAGAAGGTTGGTCTGGCTGTGGATCAGGCGCAGAACTAGGTCCGGGAACCGGTTGCTGCCTTGACTGTGGTTGAGAGCGGGAGCTACCCGGCTCTTCTCCGACAATCTTTCTCCATTGCCCCTTCTTTTCGATCTCTTTGTATATTTCTACGGGGGTCCGTTTCTCCCCATAGACATTCCCTGGGCGGGTTACTGGCTTCCGCTCTCTCCCTGAGCGCCGCGGCGCATCATCGCGCGCTGGCTCTTCCGGAGGTTGAGGCGGCGGAACTGGACTGGGCGCCCTAGGCTGCTCCTGAGCATCGTCACGCTCATTGTCCGCTCCCTTTGGAAGGTGATGAGAGGGATGATCGTTGTCATCGTCATCATAATTCTCCTGAGAAGTGGGTTGGCGACCCGCTTGGTCAGGTCTAGGTGCAGATTGCAACCTAGTGTTGCCTCGCCGTTTCATGTCCGGGCATTTTGGGAACATGAGTTCATCAAACAGAGCGTTCGATGAAGTGTAAAGCACATTATTAGGGCTGCGCATGAATCGCGCCCCATGCCCACCAGGGGCAACCCCGAGGTACACCATTAACTCAGATTTCCGAGATAGTGTATTCTGACGCACGTCTTTCGGTATGAATACATATGCGCCGCACCCAAATATTCTTAGGTGCTTGATGCTGGGAGCCTCGCCATTTAACATCTCATAGGGGGTACGCCATTTGAGACGTCGGACAGGTGTCCTGTTGTAGAGATGAACAGCGTGCTCAACCGCAAATTCCCACCAGGATTCAGGTAGACACGCTTCATGGCGCATGGCCTCAGCTTTGTCCATTATCGTCCTGTTGAGTCGCTCCGCTCTGCCATTCTCCTGAGGAGTGTGCGGCGAACTTTGCAGGATCTGGATACCCTCGTCTTTCAGCATTTTGTCGAACGCTTCAGACTTGTATTCTCCCCCAGCATCTGACATCCACTTCTTAACCTTCTTGCCGTACTGGTTTTTGGCCATGGCTAAGAATTGGCGCGTGGCCGTGATCGCAGCACTCTTGTTGCGCAGATTCACTGTCCATGCATTGGAAGTGTAGTCGTCATAGTACAGGATGTAGTACCTATACTTATGGTAGGAGTCGATGGGAAACGACTTCACATCAGAGTGAATGAGCTCGAAGGGCTCTGTCGCTCTCAACGTAGATGGCGGAAATGCTTTGTTATGCATTTTCCCTTCCGCGCATCCTGGGCATATAGGATCCTCCCTAGGGAACTCTATCGAAGGTGGGAAACCCTCGGTGTGTTTCTGTGCTTGCCGTAGTACGTCCTTAGAAGGATGTCCTAGGCGGCGATGCATAGTGTGGTAATCGACGGAATAAACCGTCTGATGGATACTCATAGCGTCCTGTGAAGGCAAGGACTGTATCTCGAATATCGTTGAACTAGGGTGCCGCGGCTTGAACACATATAGTGGTTCACGCGCTCCTTGTTCATAGAGGTCGACGTGCTGCGCACCACCGCGCACTGTCATTCCTTCACGGAGGAACGTTCCCATGGATAGGAGACGTTGATGAAGACCTTGGAAGTAATAAACAGGGAATAATCTGGTCGTCGTATGACTACCATCGTCATTCTCAAAGTTCAAGAAGACTGTCCCACGCTTTGTGCATACGGCAGAGCCGTTTGCGGTCGACAAGACGATTGGCTCACTGAGGTCCTCAATCTCAGCAAAATCATCTAAATTGTTGGAAAAATGTAATGATGCTCCAGAGTCCAACATCCAGGAGTCAGACGACTCAACCGGCTCTGGTTCATGCCAAGCCTTAGCTTTTCCCTTACATTTGGTGCACGCAGCGAAATCGCGCGAATGCCGACAACCAACTGATTTGTGCAACGAACTACTGATATATTCATTCGTTACACTGCGACTACGACTGCGAATACTACGTCTCTTTAAAGTAGACCTAGTGCGTCTACTACTACATGCGGCTGTATGAAGCGCAGGGTTAGTAGGTCGCTTGGGAATAAAAGCTGAAGGGACTGACCCAGCATCAAAGTCCTCCCCTAAACCGGCGGCGTTAGCCAGCTCGTCGTCGATGTCGTACTGACCGTCTGATCCCCAATCAAGTGGATCCTGAGTCGTAGGACCTTCGTCCTCGTCGTACGAGTTGTACGTCCCGTCCATGATCGCGTCGATCGCATGGCCTACTTCAGAACCATGACGAGAGCGTTTGGACGCCCGAGACTCTGACTCCGAGTTGGAGAGGTACTCCTCAATCCGAGCGGAATTGTCAACGACCTCAGACAACGTTGTGAGACGCTGTGAGGTGCCAGAGACGTCGATGTCTTTGGCGAGCTCCAGGGCACTCTTGAGCCACCGGTGAGCATTCTTGCTGTGGCCGGTTTTGGCGGGACGGGTGGTGACGGTGTGAGACTTGCTGCCCGAAGGCGCTATCTCGACAACTTTGGAGGTGGTAGGACCCGCTATCGACGCCTGTGAGGCGAGATGCGCATGGTCCGTATGATCTCCCTGGTTGGCGCGGGACTTAACTTGCTTGCCGCTGCGTTTACCGCGCTGCTTGCCTTTGCCCTTGCCTTGACCTTCCTTCGCACCGCCGCTGCTGCTGCCATCCTGGCGCTGCTGCTGCTGGTTGAAGTTTGGTTCGCCGTGCTTACGCTTAACGGCGGAGATCTTCTTCGCGCTCTGCGAAGATGACGCCTGCTTGCCGCCTTGCTCGTAGGCAATGACGACAGACTCCCGTACATAGTCGATCTTCATCTCCGTAAGCTCTTTGGCTTGGAGGATCGTGGTGACGACAGTGTCGTACCGGGAGGGCAGCGCATTGAGCGCTATCATCGCCCGCAGTGAAGCGGGGATGTCGATCCCTTCGCCCGCAAGCTTGTCAAACGCAGCTGCGATGTTAGCGAACGTCGGGTTTGGGTGCTCGTTCGGAGGGATCCGAGCATTGATCGCTGTCCTAAACTCCTTGTAAACACCGGCGGGGGTCTGCTTGTCATAGAGCGCCTTCAGCTCGTCCCAGAGGGCCTTGCTGGTCGTCTTGTTCTTGACAGCCGCCTTGACGGACGACGTCAGGCGAAGACGGATCGACCCCTGTGCCTTCTGATCGCGCTGCAGCCACTCGTAGTAGACTGAGGGATTCTCTGTGTCCAGAGTAGGCTGGGGCCAGGTCGAATTGACAATGATCCAGACCTCCTGCGCCATGAGGAAGGCTGACATGGATTCAGCCCAGGCGCGGTAGTTGGAGCCATCGAGGATGGGGACAGCGGTGAAGAGGGTGTTGGAGGCCATTGGTAGAGGGTTTGAAGTGATAAACTCGGTAAATGGGGAATACTGACAACAATGTCATCAGCCCTCTACTCAATGACGAGTGCAGCCTTAGAGGCGCAACCACCGCTATGGTGCATGTGCTGGGGATAGCAGCAACAGAGTTGCGCTAAGACCTGCAGCGATGTACGCGCATAGTCCCCCCCTGGCTTCAAGCCACTAAGGCGAAGCCACAGGTAAGCTGGTGCGCACTCTGAGACGCAGCCAGTGAGGCGCAGTACTCAGGCAGTGACCAGGGCTCATAACCTGTTGAGCAGGCAGCTCCACGCAGTGGTGCGCCCTCACAACTTACCTGCAAGGTTGCTGATGCTTGATACACACGCAAGTACTTCGACTGAAGGTACTGGGGATTGAGCTACGCTACTGGGGTCCTTATATACATGAGGAGACCGCTTATCTAAGCTACTGTATAGTACGTTCCCACGACATACAAGGTAAGTGGCGTAGCCATGTGATAACACACAAATGACATCATAGATGACATCACGGACCCGGAGCTTCCCATAGAACCGGTCCGGCCTGTGATTGAACCCGGCAGCCCGGTAGGCGCCTTCCTAGTTCAACATCCCCACCTTGCAGCCTTCGAGCAGACCACGGTTCCCGCGCATCTCGCAGCTGCCTGGCCCCCGCTGACGCCTCAGACGAAGACCGCCGTGCACTCGTCCAGACTCCGGGCCACTAACAATGGGACTCGCGAGGAGAGGAAGCACGCCCGCGCACTGCGCTGCGACTAGTCCACCTGCGTCGTCACGCCGCTGTAACACGGCCAAGCCCAGGCGCGTTTCGTGCCGCGAGCTCGAGGTGGCCGTGCAAATTGCGCCGACAAGCACACCGACTCGGAGGGACCCATGTGAGACGGCACTCCCCGCAAGTGCGATCTGTCATGAAGTCGTGTGTGGGTCCTCCGAGGTTGGAAGAGGGGCCCGGGCTGGGTCGGCACAGATAGTGCACTGCAAAAGGACGTGCGCAAGCCCATGTACTATAGTATTGTAGTATTGTATCTGGGTACTAGTAATGTCAATACATGATGTTGCCTTGAATTCGAGTACGATTCAGAGACATGGGGTGAAAGTCTAGACGAGACTTAGACAGGTAAGGTATTTTAGACAAAGATTAGACAGGCCAGACACATTTAGAGGGTTAGGGCCTGTCAGACAAATCACAGCTTTGCTGATGCATGTGCGCGGGCGAGGAGCTCACGAGGTGCGGGTAGCCGAGCCTTGGCGAGGAGCCGGCGCGGGTTACGCTAACGTGCATCGGTGAGGAGCCAACGAGAGGCTGGTCATCAGTCTAAGGCGAGGAGCCATTCAGACGAGTAATCTGACGTGCGAGGGCGAGGAGCTCGCGAGGTACAGTCGGTCGGGCCTTGGCGAGGAGCCGGCGCGAGGATAGTAGACGTGCGCTGGCGAGGAGCCAACGAGACAAGCGTGCTCGGGGCGAGGAGCCCGAGAGACGAGACAGCGAGGAGCTGCTCAGTTTGTCGAGGAGCGAGGAGCACTCTCGACGACAGCGGACTCCAGTTCGGACGGTGCGGGTATCACACGCGGACGAAGTGGTAGGAGTTAAGATGCTTAGCGTCTATTCGTTGCGCGCGCAAAGTGGCTGCACGCGCGCACTTACAGTAATTACAGAGTAGAATACAGGTGTTAAATGTCCAGTAATTATATACGCGCTACGAAGACGTGCAGCTCGCGATTACCGAAAGTGTTCTTGTAGATAGTAGTGTACGCGGACTTAACGTGTTCTACTGCATCCGTAACATCACCGTAGGACGAAGGCGGGCGATGACAAGTTGAGTGCCGCACCTGTTGGGGGGCCCAGGCCGCGAACGTCAATAGCACCTCTCGCTTGCTGTCAGCCCCGCACCGAGACAACGGTCCGCCGTCAATGCCAGGAAGGGGACCAATGTACGTCGACACCCGGGTGGGTGCTCCTGATTCGTTCCATATGGTACTTCCATATTAGGTATCATTCCTTCCCGATCTGTCAGTCGATCACTCATTCTTCACGCATCACGTTTCCATTCGAACATGTCATGTCTTCTCGTTCTGGCCACTGCTCCCTCTTAGTTTTTACCTCTCTCGAGTGCCTCGGTCTGCTTTGGTCTCCCGCTGTATTTGTAGAGGGCCGTGTCGCCCGTTCTTGCATCGAATCATACCCCCAGCTTCTCCTCTCTCGCTCACACGCGCTTCAGGATTCGGCACGGACGAGCGGCTCGACATCGCGCGTGCACCTCAAGTCGAGTTAGTCGAGAAGTATTAGCTACGTATCCGATTTGTATTAGTTGCGGCGCCACTACCTCTACAGAACATCACCGCCGTCCTTCTACAGCCCTTACACCCTTCGTCGACTTCTCTAAATGCCTGCACCAGGACGAGTCATTGTGTTGGTGTTGGTTCGCCAGCACTTCCGCATTTCTCTCCGACACTGCCTGCTCTGCAATTCACTAGTCTTGTCCCGGAAGCACAGACAACCGATCTGCCCCGAGGCAGCACGATTGCCGATGTGAAGAGACTCTTCACTATTTGTCGGCGATTCAACTGCAGTCGGGGCCCATCGGCTGCACCGACCACCTCTCGCTTGCCACCTCCTCCTTCCCATCCCTCAGCCCCTAGCTGCATCCATGGCAAGCTCTTCCAAGCGCAACAAGAGGAAGGCCTCATCGCCCATTGACACTGCTAGTCTTGTCGACGAGTTGATTGAGCACCATCCCAAGCGAGTTCGGTACTCGGCCAAGGCAAGCAGTACAAAGGCGACTCTCAAGGCTGCTCGACTCGAGACCAATTCGGGATTGAGAAGAAAGGGAAAGCAGGTCGCCAAGAGCTCTCAGTCATTGAGAGCTAAGGTCAGAACCTGTTTGTGCTGGGCTTGCTGATGTCGCTCACAAATGCTTTACTCGTCACAGCCCAGTGCTTCTTCGGGCTCTGCTGATCGGAAGGTGTGTTGCGAGGCTCATCTCTCTCTACCTGTTGGTCTTTGTGCCTGACTGAAGGACCACTTCATAGGCTTCAGGCTCATCAGGCTCGGCAAAGGGCATCACTCTGAAACCCTACCTAGTCGGTCGGATTATGCTGTTGCCCTATGGTCTGAATGTTTGTCACTGGACCTCTTGTCATGTCATTTGCTTGAGCTCACTATCTGCATCATCCAGAAGAAGGGTGCTATCCGAGTGACGAGGATGAGGTCTGCAGGCGATAGTATCAATTCGCTGAAGCGACAAGGTCTCGTTGCTTCGAAGGATCTTGAGGACGAGTACCTTGCAATTGAGCCTGATATGGATCGAGCTGCTGTCGACGACCTCCTGAAGGGTTTGTTTCCTCGGTACTTTGCCTGGCTGGCTAGCATCGGCAAGGACCCTGACTCGCCACTTCACTGGAGGGTTGTTGCGAAGGACAGGCAGAAGCTTGAGGTCCTGGAAGACGACACCGACTGGCCTTCCTTCCCTGATCTCTGCAAGGCTGTTCACGATCGCAACTCGGGCTGGCAAGAACGAACCTGGTGTTTCGGTATGCATTGCCATTCAGAGTATCTGTTGTATGATCTGGCTCATGCATCCTGCAATACAGTCTCGGCAACACAGATTCCATCTGCTGTCGTCAAGTCTTGGGACAAAGGCAAGGGTAAAGCAGGTGCCAGCAGTGCTGAGGTTCGCAAGCAAGGTATAGGGCTTGTTGGAGATGACGAGGCTGTCGACGATGAGTCAGAGGCTGTCGAAGATGAGCCAGAGGCTGTCGAGGATGAGTCGGAGGCTGTCGAAGGCGAGGAGGAGGCTGACGAAAGTGAGGAGGAGGCTAACGAAAGTGAGGAGGAGGCTGGTGAAGGCGAGGAGGAGGCTGGCGAGGGTGAGGAGGCCGATGTTATCAGCATTTGTAGGCTTCTATTGTCGTTTCTTTGACCTATGTTCTGATGCTGCAGATCATCTAGCTTCGGCCAACACTGAGGCTGCTACTGAATCTGCCCACGAGACCGAGGGCTCAGAGTGGGAAGACAAACCATTGGCTCAGACAAAGTCCAAGAGTGAGTACTTTAAGCTTTCTGTCGCCTGCCTCAGGTTCACTGATCCTGTTGGTGCTGGATGTCCAGGAAAGCTTCGACGAGCTCTCAACACCATTGAGAGAAGCTTCTCGAGCATAAACTTGGGAAAGTCTATTGAGCCCTCGGTTTCTGGTAAGCCTACCTCACATTGTCGCTGAAACAGCCTTATAACCTTCTGCGATTAGGTGGCTCTGGCACCACCTCAGGCCCAAGCCTTGTCGCTGCTGGAGGGTCCTCGTCCGGTGGCTCTGGTGCTGTTGCTGTTGCAGGCTCCTTGTCTGATGGCTCTGGTACAGTCGCTGTTGAAGGCTCCCTGTCCGATGGCTCCAGTACAGTTGCTGTCAGAGGCTCCCTGTCCGATGGCCCTGGTGTGGCAGCTGCCCTTCCAGAGATTGACTTTACCAACCCTCCTTTCGCACAAGCGAGTGGATCAACAGCAGCCCCTGTGACTCGCTCTGCGACAATGTCAGGCCTACCTCGGGTCCTGCTGTCCAAAGACACTATTGCTGACGACCCTTGGGGAATGTAAGCATGCGAAAGGTATGCCAGAGTTAGCACACTCCAATGCTCGTTCTGACACATCATTCAGATGCTCTTGGGCCAACAGGAGCATGGTCCAAGCCACCCGATACTCGCTTCTGCCACTTTTTGACTGCCTAATCTGCGACATTGACTGCCTCGGCCTTCCACTGCTATCTTAGTACAGATTCTAATCCAGAACCCTCTCTCCTTCGTAACTTTCTTGCATCATTTCCATTGCCAAATACCAACATAGGCCCATTTAGATCTTTTTAATCGTGCTGATCGGTGATACTACACTCTCTTGTCCAGTATCTATGCACCGAGTCGCCTACTACCTAATATCATGGAGTTCTTCGCTGTAACCTGCAGTGCTCTGAGTGTGAGATCAGGCATGTTGGAGCATGTAATCGTGGCAAGCTTGCGAGCTCGGTGCAGATCGCAATCTCGGTAGGTTCCGAGTGGCTGAACTCCTCGTCACATCGAACAGCCTTCCCTTCTTGTCCTTCAGCTGCCAAGTACAATGGCATCTCTCGCTCAAGCTCAGGCTAATTGCCAGACTGTAAGTCACATCTCATCTGTAAAAGTGTTCAACTCATATGTGTTGGGCTAGCAGACTGCTGAGAGATGTTCAGTCAAGCTGAACACGACACTGGTGATGACGATGATACGGTCCAATCGGTTCTGGTTCCCCAATGGAACACTGGTCATTGGAGTAAGTCTGCATCACTGCAACTGTTCTGTACAATGTAAGGATTACTGATTGCCATCTGCAGGTTGGCCAAACACTGTACAACATCAGGAAAAAAAAATTCTGCAAATTGCACACACCTGAAGTTATGTAGCCCATGTGGCCTATGTAGCTGTTATAGTCGGAGCAATTAGCCACATAGCAAGCTGTAGCACACTGTAGACACACACTTGTACAATGTATGGCTACTCAGTATTACTTCATACCTACAGCGTACATCATGGTGATTGCCATTGCCATTGTATACAGAGCACCACATGAACACGAACCGTGAATATAGCCCGCAAACTCATGTTGATACATGTCCAAACAAATTTGTCTTTTTATTTGAGGAACAGTCATTAAAAGCACATCGGAACCGTACGTGTACGTGACTAAGGGGGTGAATCGCACAGGTAGTACCCCGGGTGCGCGGGAGCCTACCCGTAGTATCCGTACCCGCTCGGCATGTACGGGTTGTTCGTAGGTCTCGCGGGCATCCGCGGGTGCGGGTATAGGCGACGGGTCGGGCAGGCGAGGAGGCGAGGGGATGGGCGTGCGAGTGCGCGAGCACTACACAGGTGCGCGGGCGATCGTGCGCGGGGGGATCGTGCGTGCGTGCGTGCATGCAATTGTGCTCAGAGGGATTGTGTGTGCGGGGCGTGCGTGCATGCGTGCGGGTGGGTGGGTGGGTGGCGGCGCCGTCGAGGGGCGCATCTCGTAGTCGTCGCCCGGCGTCCAGTCCCAGCTGGTCACCGCGGGGAAGCGGTCCCAGAGACATTCATTGTCGGCGGCGAGGTGCCACCAGAACTCGCGGGAGCTTGCGCAGCCCTTGAGGCCCACGAACCCAAGCGCGTCCTCCTTCTGGTGCATCACGATGTCGTCCTCTGCGTGGCCGGGCACGCGCGGCGGGTCGGGCTTGAGTGTCCAGGAGCCGTTGGCGTACGCGCGGGGCCTGCGCTTGAACGAAGGTGGGCGGAGAGACGTGCGAACTACTCACCTGCAGCATCTGCTCCCCAGCGGCCTGCCCTCTCTCAACCTCGCCCCCACTCATGACCGCTGCCGTTTGCTCGCGCTCGACCTTGCGCGTGCGTTGCATTCGTCGGCCGTGCTTGCATGCCGGGCATTTGCCCTGCATGTTCGTGGTCGATGTGTGCCTCGGTGTTGTTTCGCTCGCGTTTGTGACGCAAGCGCGCCAGTCGTAGCCGGCTGGTGTTCGCTCGGGTTCGTGGCCCAGTCTTGCGTTGGTTCTTCGCGTGTCGCGTCACTTGTCGACGATCCTGCTCCGCGTTGAGCGCAGGAGCGGCGGTGACATGCCGCGGATGTCTTTGCGTCGAGTGGGCCGTCCAGACTCCAGACGAAGTGCGCGCGGGAAGCAGTGAGCTGGCGTGCATCGGGTGAGGGCGTGTCGAAGTGGACGTTCAGCGAGCAGCCCAGGCAGCGCGAGCGGGCGGCCCATCGCAGTGTAGCGTTGCAGCGATGAGTCGGTTCGTCAGAGCGGATGGGACTTGTGCGCGCGCACAGACCAACGCGCTGCGCGCCTCGGCAAACTCCGAGGCGGGCGCTCTTGACTTGCGCGTCGCGTTGCGCAGCGACTTGTGCCACCTCTCTTCCTCTATCTCTTAGTCCGAGTCTCCCACTGGCAGCTAGTACCCGTCGTACTCGTCGCTCCCCTCCCCCGCCGCTGAACACTTCCTCCCTGCTCGCCGCTATGCTCGGCGCGTCCGCAAACTGCTGCCAGCTCATCATTTCCCCGCCGCCCTTCCACTCGACTTACATCGTCACACGACGCCCGTCGACATCGACTTGGAGCCCACACACACGCTTTCCACTCATCCAGTCTGTACCCAAGTACCCGTTCGCTCGCCTGGCAGGGCGATGCCGCCCTGCCTTGCCCTTCCCCAACAACGCTCGCCACGTCCGCCCCCGCTGACGTGGACGCAATGGACGTGAACTGGTGCCCCACCTGCGACCGGCACATCAACGCGGTACGTGACACGCCCTCCGCACTCATTTCCGTCCGCTTGCTGTGTGTCTTCTTAGGAGGGCTACGCCCCGTACCGCTCACGGGAGTGCCTCGCCCTTGCATCTCCGGGACAATGTCAGTGGGCAGACCCTCGAAGTGGATGCTGTGCACAGGTTCGCGCGGTTCATCGTACGTCCCCGTGCTCCATTTCGTGCGGGTAGATTGGCTGACGGGCGGTGGTGCATGTAGGAATGCGGCACGATCAACGAGTACAATTCGGCGGGATATGCGCCCAAGAACCTGATGCTCATCGTCGGAAGGAGATCCGTCTGAGCGGGTTCATCGTTGGAAGCCTTTACCATAAGGTCTGTGCCTGTCCTTCTCACCTCGTATCCTTCGCTGACTGCGCCCGCCTGTGTAGTATTGTGCGCAATTCTACAAGGAGATCCTGCCCTGGGTGGCCGTGGGCAAGATCATGTACAAGGAGGACTGCTCCGTCGGGCTCGACATGAGCAGAGTATAGCAGCGGTGAACCCTGCTCACGCTGCTTCTGCTGGGAGCATGTGTGCGTCAGTCACCTCGCGTCCCGCTGTCAAGTATTAGGGTATGATTGTGTGCTCTACGTCACCGTTGTGTACATTATGTATTACCTGTAGTATGAACCAAATATATTTCATGTAGTCAAAGCTTGAAGGCAACCTGGTTATGCTGAAATATGCCTAGCTATAGCTATCTAGTCAATGATTATGGTGTACTATGGCACATGGATGCAAGGCTATCAACTGCCATAGAGTTCAGGGGTGGTACTATGAAGTGCTATAGAGTGCTACAGATATGCAAGGGGGAGCTATCACATACAATAGAGAGGGGGGTATGCAATGGCGCTATGAGGTCTATGTAGCCTATATGGCTGCACATTGCAAACTACTTTTTTCCTGATGAAGCTCTACGGTGGTCTCCTCGCCAATCTCTCCGCTGTATTCAGCAGCATGTACCTCGCCTCTCAAGTGGCAGGTTGCCAAGTTGATGGGACCTCGGAGGAGTCACCACTCTATCTCTGGGATGTCGACGCATTTGCTTTTGAGGCTCTCATTGAGTACACGCATGGTGCAAAACCGTATGTTTCCGATTCTCGTAAAAGATCCAACCTGAGCCTAACAGTCAGTACCACCTCTACTAGTGTCGATGGAGATGTGACGGGTAGGCAATACTATGCCTGCCCTAGTAGATAAGATTATGAACCGTATAGTGTAGATTAGATTAGATTGTCCATACTTAGCCATCTGCCTTCCTAATTGGGAAGTAATCCATTCTTACACCTGAACTACCACATCGTCTGTGTGCGAACCCCGCGCCATCCGAGTACGTTCAGCCCTCCTCGGCCTGCGCTCCTCGCCACGCCTAGGACCAATCCTAGACAAGGCTCCTCGCCTGCGTCCAGGACTCCCCCTCGACACGGCTCCTCGCCCTCGTCTAGGACACGCCCTCGGCCAGGCTCCTCGCCCAACCTAGGACACACCACGCCACAGCTAGGCTCCTCGCCCGGCTACGACTATAGCGGGAGCTCCTCGCCTCGCTAACGACGTCAAGACCTCACGACATTCTCCCCGGTCGCGCCGCGACCACCAAACGTCAAGTTCACGGGCAGCCCGGCCCCCCAATCAAGGGTTCCAAGCCCACGAACTCTTACATTGGTGGACACTCAGGGGACCGGTCCACTGCCCTGTGAACTCCCTCGTATATTCGGATCTTTTCTATTCCTATTCCTAGCTGTTCTATATTGATTCTAATCTAATGCCCTCGGCGACGTGGCTCTCGCGATGCCATTGGGATGTCCTGTCACCTATTCGGCAGCTCGAGCACACGTCGTTGTCAAACGGTGCACGCGCGTACGGTGCCAGCACCTCCTCCTCGACGAGCATGCCTCGAGGCTACCAGCCACTCCCTTCCGCCACTCCCCGCGACTTGCCAGCACCCGCCGCGCCCTCTACACCCGTTCCGAGGCCCGTGGGAACCGCGCGACCGCACGAGCGCCCGAACGCGTCGAACGCGCGGCCCTCGGCGCTCGACCGTCGCGTCGACTCTCGCCGCGACCCCCCTCAGCCTCTTTCGCACCCCGTCGCCTGCTCAACACGCCTACCGCGCTGCGAGGACGAGCGACGGCTCCGCTCTCCTCGCAGCCAACCGGCCCCCGCCCGCGACGCGAGCGAAGACGCGCGCGCGCGCGCGCACGCCCAACGCGAAGACGACCGACCGCCCCGCAGCGCGACGCGCGACGAGACGGCCCGCGCCCACGCGCAACACGACGCGCCGTCGACACGCGCGGCGTCGCCGCGTCGGTACGTGCAAGACAGATCGCGCGCGCACCGCCCCGAACGCGAGTTCGAAGCCGCCGCGCAAGTTGCGCGCACGAACCTCCCGAGGCACCGGACGGATGCGCCTCGCGCCGCAAGTTCAAGCGGTCGCGGAGTCTCGCAGGGGGAGCTGCCCGGAGGATTGCCAGCCGGGCGAACGGCAGAGAGAGATCGAGGTCGAGCGGGCATGGGAGCGTTGGTGAGTACCCACGTCCATCCGCCCACTGGGCTCTCCTCTCCGCATCAGGATTTCGTGTAATTCCTCTGAGGGGCCCTGTCAGGGGCTTCATAAGCGCTCAGAATGCTTCAGGTCACATCAGAACGGCTCATATGGCCATCCCTCAAGGACTCGAATTTTGGCGAATTGTTGTCGTCAGACAGAATTGTCAGACAGACTCAGACAGCCTCAGAGTGGTCAGATACTGCATCAGACTGTCAGAGGCACAAGCTGTCATATATTCAGCACTCAGATGTATTGCTCGTAAATGTCACAATTGTTTATCAGCTACACTAGCATAGTACTTATATACAGTTCAGTAGGCTCGCGCGGTACGCCACACGCCCGTGCGCATCATAGCGGCGATCCTCCTCGTACTCGCCCCAGTACTGCAGGCCATGTTGCGTGGCGCGCTCCCGTCCATTTGCTGGGTTCACCGCGCTCGTCTGCGTCGTTCTCGATGCAGCTGGCAGCGGGCGCGTCGAGGTAGGATATGCACTCGGTGGCATCACTCTTTCTCGGGCTGGAGGGTGGCGTGTTTGTCTTCAATGGGCCTCTATGCATCGGGCTGGAGCCTACCAGGTTGCCTCGAGTTGTCAACTCCTTACGCACCGCGCTGGTGCTTGGCGGTGGGTGCTCGGCGGGAGCTTGGTCGTCGTGTAATCTTCCTCGGCTGTCTAGGCTGCCCTGCGCTTGGGCTTGATTCATTGATGTTGTGCGTAGCCAGCTGCCGGCGGAGTCGTTGTTTGACAATGAGAAAGCGAAGTACTCACGGAGGACGGGTATGGCGAACTCACCCTCCGCGTTGAACGTCGCAGACCCATGTGTCTCGTACACCTGCACGGGCTCCACTGCTCCTCGAACGTGCTTGAAAGTGTCCTGGTTCTTATCGCGCGTGAGGTTCAGCAGTGCCCGGCACGGTTCCTCAGGTGGTACATTCGTGAGCTGTGTGATGTTGAGCCGCGTGAGCTTCTCGGAGGTGCCCGTGCTCGCGGCGCCGTGGACATTCCCCTTGGAGGGACGCGCGCTGTGCTGCGTGTAAAACCCAGCGATCGGGCGGATGGAGAGCAGTGGCTGTTGCCTCGCCGACGACATATAGCGGGACAGTCGTCATCAGCGTGTTGCATGCCTGAGGTGACGGACGCAGACACTCACTCGCATCGCCCTGCTCCGACTTCCGACGCACTGACCTTCCACACCTCGCAGCTCCCGCGCTCGTCACGACCACCCCGCCGAGCCCGCCGCGCTCTCGGCCTACAACTATTCTCTCCTTGAGCTTGTGCATGGTACGCGATCGTGGGGCGCGCGGCGGGTTGATTCACGTGCCGACTTTTCTTGTAGACGGGCCCGCACGTACGTTCTCGAGGTAGGCGGCAAGAGGGCAATGGTGAAGCGAAGGTAAGACGGCGATGAGGGTGCTGAGGCCGAGTGTGGACGTGCGGAGAGGAGGGTAACAAGCGCGCTTTCTGTGGCGTGTCGTGGCAGGTCGTGGCTAAGGCGCTTAGCACTTCAACTGCGCCTGCGGTCGTGACTCACAGCCTCCACCATCGTCTCACTCAACCACAGCCGCCGTCGGACCACCCCACCCACTCTACCTGAGCTCGACGTTCAAGCCCGACACCGCATGTATCAACATGTGCTAAACACGACGGATGCGAGGGTGGCACTGGAGACGGAGGATTCGGGCACGGTAGGTAAGTGCTCACACTCGATATTTGCTGAGTTACCGCTTCTTTGCAGGCAAGCGAGTGAACGTCGTATTCGTTCACTCCTGATACTCACTCGCGCACCCGACTGCTTGATCATGTTACATGTATACACACGCTCCTGCTCACTCCCTCACTCGCGCACCCACCTGCCCACCGGCTTACCCGCCTCTCCGACCTACCCTGTGGTGCCTCCGCCTCCGCCGGCCGACAGCGAGAGCACGCGCGAGCGCGCTTTCGCCGCCGCCGCACTCAAAACAGGCTTGGATGTCTTGTTATGCAGCCACGCGGACTCGTAACCCGACGCTCTTCTGTTCAGCAGGCTCTCTGCGATCGCCTGCGCCTGCGCACTGAGGTTGGGCTGGCTCGATAAGTGCATGACGCCCGCGGGGCAGCTCCTCTCCGATAAGCTGAACACCCTGGTGCGTCTTCCCATTCGCAATCGGCGCGATGGGCATCGTTAAATCGTCCATCCCCTCCGAGACTCGAGTCGCTCGATCCTTCCTTCAAGTGCCAGGTTCAACACAAACTCCTCACACGTGAAAGGGTCTTGCGGCGAGACTACTTCGAGTGTGCCGTCTCTGCACGTTGTGTGCACGGACGAGCACGCGCGGAACATCTTCCTTGACCGCTTCCTCTGCGGCACGCCCCGTAACTTCGACATGACCAAGGCGGCGCCGCAGTGGACAAGTGGCACACATGGCCTTGGACGTACGAGCGCGGGTCGAGAGCGAGCGCGGGGAGTGGTGATGGGATGGTAGGATGTGCACGAGTGCAAGACTACCAGGTAAGCCGTTGCCCAATCTTCCGTTCGCGCCGATCCCTTCTCTCTCTCGTAACGCGTCCTCGAACGCACTCTGAGCTTGTGCAGGACCCGCGTCCGTGTCATCGAACACAGGTCACGTCGATTACGGCAAGACCACATTGGCAGCAGGCATCACCAAGGTTCTCGCTGAGCAGGGTAGTGCACAGTTCAGGTACTCTGATGTCGACAGGGCTCCCAAAGAAAAGGCCCGTGATGGACGGTGCCATTATTGTTGTCTCCGCTACCGATGGTCAGATGCATCAGACCCAATAACATCGCCCCTCGACACAGCGCTGACGATGTGTAGCTCCTCCTCAGAGTCGTGATCGAATACATCATCGCCCACGCTCAACTCGCTCATCACGCCATTCCCTGTGATGCAGTCCACGCGTCTGTCGTGCCACGTCTCCGCGCAGATGCGCTCCCGGACACGTGCCTCCTCCTCGCGGCGCAAAGCGGCGAGCTGCGCGTTCTGCACAGCGCGATCGTGCTGCCGCCAGTGCGTCGTGTTCACGCGCCCGATGCCCGTGCCAACGATCTCGACGATCTGCTTGAGCTGGTTGGTGAACACCTGCCTACACGCCACGCTCTGATATGTGCATGTATATGTATTATGATCATTATGGCAGTTTTTAAATCCACTGCATTTGTGCCAATTTACGTGCAGGGGGTGTTTTTCTGACGAAATGTGTGATATGTGCTGTCTGATGTACTGTGTTACTGACACTGTCTGAGACAAAATGAGAAGGTCTGACAACATCTGATGTCTGGCATGCCCTGATGCTTCTGAAGCTCTCTGAAGGCCGACCTTCAGAGGCTCATACCTTCAGAAATTGCACACTTTCCTGATGCGCCCCATCCACGCGTACCCCCGGCGCACCTGCTCCCGAGCGACGCTGTCGCGCTTTTCACGCGCAGCTACCTCTCCCCGGCTCCCTCCTCGTCCGACGCGCCTTCGCGCTCTGCGCCTACAGCGTCGCTCGACGCACCTTCGCCCAGGCACACGCCCACGCGCGCCCTCTCCCCGTGTTCGCAGGGGCGAGCGGACGTGTACGCGTATTTCGCGGCTCAAGCCCAGGCTTTCGAGCTGCGCAAACAAGCACGCGCTCGTGTGCAACACGACGACCCGCCCGTACACCCCTTCATCGACGACCCTTCGTCTGAACATCCGGCGGTCGATCCTGCTCTCTCGCCGCGCTCGCACGCTCGAGCTGTCGTACGCGCGCACCACGAGCGCAAGACCCAAGCCGCCGAAGCAGCTTGGAGAGCGCATCAAGAACGGTGGTCACCGGATCGCTGGCCCAGCACTCCCGTCCCTCCAACGCCGGCTCCCCCGCGTGCACACCGCGCGTCCATCCCTCCAGTCGATGCATCCCCGCCGACGTGTAATCCCCGCGCCGGCGCGCCCTCGTCCCACGATCTAGCGGCCCCCGCCTCTGCGCCGCACCATCAGCGCGCGTCCGACGGCCCGGCAAGGTGTCAACCTGCCCCAGCAAGTGGCCGTCAAAGCAGCGGCGAGGGTGCGCGACCACGCCGCGCCCCTCCTAGCTACTTGGCTGCCGCGACAGGCGAAGATCCGCGCGCGCGTGCACACGCTCAACGCGAAGACGAGCGCGCTGTCGGCAGCGCAACCCGCAACGAGCACGCTCGAGCCCACGCGCGGCGCGAAGCTCCGCCCGCACGCACCGTCTCCCCGCAATCGCGCTCGCGAGCTCTCGAGCACGCACATCCCAAGCACGAGACTCAAGCTGCCGAGCAAGCAGCAAGAGAGTGCGAAGCTGCGTACTCGACGGAGCACCGACCCGCAGCTCGCGCTGCGCCGACGACATCGCACGACCAACGCCGTCTTGCGCCCACGCCTTCGTCTGACGTACACGTGTCCGCGCCCCGTCGACAGTCTCCGGCTCGCAGCCCGCAAGCGAGCGAGGTCGTGCGATGTCACCGCACACCTCGCAGCCAACCGGCGGCCCACGCGAACGAGACGAGCAAAGACCACCACGGCTACTGCAATTCGTCTGGGGGGCTCGTCCGCGCGTCCGCGACAAGGGAAGGAGCAGGATCGACTGACACGCGAGAGGGTACAGCAGCGCCTACGCGCAGTCCTCGCGCCGATGCGCGGTCGTCCGACGCGCTTCTGCACTCGCGACGCCCTGTTAACGACCCGTCCCCGTCTCGCGGACTGGCGGCACCGTCTCCCACATCGCTCCCTCGCCACTCTTCCGACATCCGCTTGCGCACGCTCGCGCTTGCACGCCCTCCGATCAACGGTGAGGACGTGTGTCCTCCGTCTCCGCTCCCGACTGGGCCACCCGCCTCGGTGTTCATCCCAACATCCGACCGGCTTAACCATTCGGGCACATCCGCTACTAGCAACATCGAGGATGCGCGATTCTGCGCTCCCCGCTGCTACCCGACCGGCGAGACAAGGGAAGAACTCACCCACGTTCGACGCGACGAAGCTTTGCGTGAACCGAGTCAAGCTCGTTCCTCCAAGCAACTCGGAGGGCAGGAACTCCCAGTTGAGTCGGCCGTACTTCGTCGCCCTTCACGAGAACATTGGCCAGCTTCGGCGCGCACGGGCCGCGAGTTTGAAGCTTCCTTGCGAACCACGCGGAAAGCCTCGTCGAGCCACCCGAGTGTGCTCAATGCCTGTCCGCCCTCTGCGTGTTCACCCGCGGTCTCGACGGACATGTGCGGCTCCTCGCCTCCACACGCAATCAGCCTACCCACCAACGTGGAGCCCTCTAGTCTGCCTCCGCAACGAGAAGAATTGGCTCAATTCTGGAGCAGCTTCCTGCGGAAACCTCAGGTTCCGGCAAGTGTGTGATCTCCACGCCTTGTCTGAATCCTGGGGGGCAGCATTCCCATCGCCTCCGTCTCTTCCCAGCCCACCCACCCTAGGCTTGTCTCCTCTACCTTCACTACCCTTCTCGACAGAATCTCGAGCCGAAACTCTCCGACTGGATCCTTCCGACTCGAGATTGGGGGGCAGGGGGTAGGGGAGGATAGGGTACAGGGGGCAGCTATGCCAGGGCCTAGCCGACCCTAGCCCGAGGGATGTGCAGACCCTTCGCGAGGATGATAGCTCGGGACGCTGTACAAGCAGGAGAGCACATCCTCTGTGTAGGGAAGAGGGCAAGGCTGCTACGGGCAAGGGAGGTTAGTGGAGCATGCGGGGATCTAGCTGAGCATGCGAGGACGTCGCCGACGGTTGCCTGTGCATCTTGGCTGATGCGCGGCAGGGATGGATGCTCGGATGTGGTGCGTGCGGGACAGCTCAGCCTCTGCGTGGCGGAGCCGCAGTTTACTGCCAAATTTTTTTTTTCTTATCTCTTGTTCCCTTTCAACCCTCTATTCTACGCTCACATGTACTTCTTCTATCTGCACTTGTTTGACCCCTCACCTTCACACTACACACTTCATAATGGGGGGCTCTGTGACGGGTAGGCAATACTATGCCTGCCCTAGTAGATAAGATTATGAACCGTATAGTGTAGATTAGATTAGATTGTCCATACTTAGCCATCTGCCTTCCTAATTGGGAAGTAATCCATTCTTACACCTGAACTACCACATCGTCTGTGTGCGAACCCCGCGCCATCCGAGTACGTTCAGCCCTCCTCGGCCTGCGCTCCTCGCCACGCCTAGGACCAATCCTAGACAAGGCTCCTCGCCTGCGTCCAGGACTCCCCCTCGACACGGCTCCTCGCCCTCGTCTAGGACACGCCCTCGGCCAGGCTCCTCGCCCAACCTAGGACACACCACGCCACAGCTAGGCTCCTCGCCCGGCTACGACTATAGCGGGAGCTCCTCGCCTCGCTAACGACGTCAAGACCTCACGACATTCTCCCCGGTCGCGCCGCGACCACCAAACGTCAAGTTCACGGGCAGCCCGGCCCCCCAATCAAGGGTTCCAAGCCCACGAACTCTTACAGGAGAGCTGCCTAGCCTCTTCACTCCCTCAGTACCACAGCTCATCGGTATTCTGAAGCTTGCGATGATGTGGGAAATGACGAGAGCGAGGCAATTTGCTATCGATGCCTTGGACTCCCTACCCCTTCAGGGTAGTCCCGAATGGGGGCCGATTGCGAAGATCGCCTGTTGTATGTCCTACGGTGTTGAGCCTTGGCTCATTCCTGCTCTCTAGTGCCGAGCACGGGTATACCCATGGGTATCCCGAAGTGTACCCGGACCCTCACCCGCACGGGTTCAGACCCGTGCGAGCGGGTACGGGTGGCGCGCGGGTTGCCCCGGGTAACGGCGGGTCACAGCGGGTACATGCGGGCCACGGGTACACGTATATATTTGCTGCGGAACATCGCAGGACGAGACGTACATTTCGAGTAACAGCACTGATGGTTACGACATTAGGTTACGACATTACATACACCTAGTTATCAGTCACCCCGCGCACAAACATCTTCGCGCCGTTGTCGGATTCAGAAGTGACCTTCAAGATGTCAGTGTCCTTCACAAATCCGAGTTTGCTCCAGTCACCGAGGCATAAGACTGCGCGGATTGATTGCGCAGACATGCCGTTACGGATGTGCGGCAGGACCAGTCGTCCGCGACTAAAGATGCGCTCGACGTCGGCAGAGGTCGCTAGAATATAGGTGCATGAATAGCAGAACACAGAGATCGAAGACGGTACGAACCAGGTATGGTCAGATAGCTAATAGCCATCCACGAGAGGTTCGGATAGGTGCGGCGATGCTCGTACCACCAGCGGACCGGGTCCTGGACAGCCTCAACGTCGGACGCAAGGTATGCCACGAGTTCGTCGGCGACCTTGGCCGGCTTTGGAGGCGCAAGGGCGGGAAGGTTATCGAAGATGTTCTTGGACTATGTCATCGCATGAGCGGCAGACAAAGCTGGTAACGCGAATGAGACGCACCTTTTTATCTCCTTCATCATCGCTGCTGTCGGTCCCCACAGTTGAGCCGGCATCTGACGCCCTGCGCTCACCGTGTCGCGACCGCCAGTCTGCATACTCGTCGCGAACGAGCTCCTCCGCAGTGTTGATCCACCCTTCCTGCCACCTTGCGTTCTCGAAGTAGCGCAGTTTGTAACGCGGATGCAAAACTGACGAACACGTCAGCATGGAGACCTCTCCGAATTTGTACACTTACCCATTGCGATACGGTAGGTGTCCGACTCATCTGTCTTGCCGTAGTACCTATTTAACGTCTTCTTTGCAAGCCCGACGGCCGCACGGATTGACGGGAGAACACTCGCTTTGAGCGAGTAGTTCGTGAGGTGCTCGTCGAGGTGATCCATCACCGGGATCACCATCGCAAGGTTGGGAGTCGCCCTTGAGAAGAATTGCGTTGCGTCCCAGAAGATCTAAAGGCGCGTGGCAATGCAGAGGCAGTGAGTGGTGACTGTCAAAGAGTGACACAGCGTGACTCACCTTCAGAACGTCACAGAGCTGGCTCACTATCTTCCACTCACCATCGTCCAGCTCCATCCGCCGCAGGTCCATGGCGCGGTCTCCCGTGAGTGCATTGATAGCATCGCGGTACTCGAGCGCGAACTGAAGCATCATATAGGTCGAGTTCCAGCGCGTGCGAACGTCGCGCGGCATGTTCTCCTGCGGCAGATCATTCTGCTCGAGTTTGCTGGACCACGCGGGGAGCAGCTTTGTCGGGGAATGGATCACGCTGAACGCAAACTTGCGCAGCTGTGCAAAGGTGAGTACTTAGTTAATCCAGTATAGTATTAGACTCGTTACAGACTTTTGCAAGGACGAGCTTGACGGGCCGCGTAGTCGCATCAAGCTCAGCAACCTCCTCCGCCGTCATGTTCTGTTGCTCATCAACCCAGCCGTCCACATCATCATCCTCCAGGTCCACCGCGTCAAGGTCCCACTCATCGACATCATCGTCATCTTCAATATCCGCCATACCCTCGGTGAGTTCTCGCAGTGCTGCCTCTGCAGCGTCCAGGCCGTCATCATTCCCGTTCCTCCTGCGTCGTGTCGTGTCGAATTGCTTCAACAGCGTCTTCACGACGAGATTCAGGATGTGATCGAAGCATCGCACACGTGCCCGCTGTCCACGGAAATCGTCGATGAGCTCGTCAAGCTCATCGATCATGACGTCGTTTGCTGTGGCATTGTCGGCGGTAACAGCGAGCATCTGCATGAAGTAGTGAGTGCTTTGTTCAGTTGTCTTATCATATTCTGACCTTTGTATCAATGCCGAGGTCTTTGACTAGGTCCGCGAATGCAGCCGCAAGGTTTACACCGGAATGGGACCTCGCCAGCTCGATGACATCAAGGACCATGCGGCACGGCGCACCGTCGATCTCGAAGTGAACCGAGAATGCGACCATCGCCTTGTGATTGGGCGAGGTCCAGCAGTCGGTGGCGAAGTTCAGCTCGCCTTGATATTCCTGCAATCGCGGTAAGTCACAAGCATCCTGATGTGTCCCATGTATGTGCTCACCTGCAGCATGCTCGCAATACGTGTGCGCGTATTCTTGAAGACGTTCTGCACGTCGCGCGCGACAGTCCAGCGCGACGGGAGGTAGTATTCCGGCCGGCCCGTTTTCATCAAGGCCTGAAAGGCGCGGTCCTCAACGATGGAGAATGGCCGCAGGCTTTCTGCTACCCAGCGGACAATCTCGGCCCTGGTCAAAGCTCTTAGGTCAGTGGCCGCTTTGTATGTCCTGATTGCTACACTGACCGCGTCTCATTCTTTGTATGCTGGCGCACAGAATACGTGACTGGGCCCTTTCCCGTGCGAGCAAAAGCCACGGTAAGATCGCCGGAGCGCATGTAGGCCTTCACACCATCACGCGCCTTTGCCGCGGACCCTATGGCATCAGCAGACGCCAATGCCTCCTCCCCGAAACACTTCTTCGTGTGTTTGCGAAGGTTGCTGGTAGAGTTTCTGTCCTGTTTGTCGAGCCACCGTTTGATGATGATCTTGCAGCCTCGGTTCGCGCAGTGGAAGAGGTGAGCACGCTTGCCGTCATCATCGATCTTGATGGTCACTTCGGGCTTGTAGAACGCGTACACTGGCGCAGACCATTCCTTACTGACGCGCGCTGGCAGTGTCCAGTCAGCGTCAGCACTTCTAGATTAAAACATGCTCACCGAGTTCTTCTTCAGGGCTTTCTTCCTTCGGCGCGCGATCTTTCTTTCGGCGCCCGTTCGCATCAACTTCGACAACTTCATCATTGCTGCTGCTGTCTTCATCCTCAGGGATGTCTTCAACGCGAACACGGCGATCGGGGACCGGGACAGACGAGGTGGTCTTCTGAGCGGCCTGCTGATTGGTCGGGACAGGTGCTGGATCCTGGGAGGCAGGACGCGATTGACTTGCCGTCTGCGTGGAGCCATGTGCAGCCGTCTTCTTCGGTTTCGAAGGACGCTTTTCGGCGTCGGCGGCAAGTACCTTCTCAGTGGGAATCCGCATGCGCTTCCCACCTTGCGGTGTTGCCTCGGGACTGCTGTTCGTGCGCTTCTGACTCTGGACCATGTTGATGCCGTGAGATCAGACAAGTCTCCACTCTGTTGGACCGTTCTGCTCTGTACAGTAGATTACAGTTATAGAATTAAGGTTTGCCAGCCACCACGGAGCTATCCCGAGTGCCACCATAGACCCCAAATGGCAGTCTTACCCACGGGTATTGCAACGGGTACCCCGGGTCGGTACAAGTGTACCCTAACCCCTACCCGGGCGCACCCGTACCCGGTACCCGGGCGGGTTCGCACGACCCGTGCTCTGCACTACTGCTCTCAAGGCTGTCGTCCAGCTGGAGCCCATTGGTTGGGATACACCGCAGTTCGGCTACTTCAAATCGCCTCAGGATGCGAACCGAATCCATGTACTGTGGCGCCGTATCGACCGCCACCGCAAGGCGCTTGCATGGGCACCTCCGACATACGAGGCAGGTGCAAGCTGCACCTCGCCTGCCCAGTGCAGTGCAAAGTGGACAGCAACCTGGAGTCAAGCCCTCGCTGGCAAGCTTCTTCACCCAGATGAGCCGATCCCGGATTATCAGCTCGTCCAGTTTGTCCGCGACGATATGGGCTGCCGGACTGGATTATGCTACTCATGCAACTTTCATGCATCATTTGAGATGCGGCAGAATCCTCTATGGTCGAGGGAAGAGACAATCATTCAGAGTGTCGCCAACAGCATCAAGAGCGACTACACCTTCGATGCGGCTTAGGTGCTGCCTTGGTGAGCCATTGAACCAAGCAATCGCCTACAAGTCGCCTGTGATACTAATAGGTGTTTTACCCAGGCCATTGTTCCTTACTTCAAGTCTTAGCATCTCGCTTTGATTGCTCGCACTTTGTAGTACTACACAGGCCACTCAGTACTTCATGACAGCATACTAGTACTAGTCTCACTGTTGCTTGTGGCTCTCGTTCATTGATAGATCCCAGTATACAACACACTTATACTGCTGCATGTGCGAACAGGCAAAAGGTGATGCAGCCTGGTACACAAGTGCCCGAAGGGCAATCAGATTGCACAAAGCCAATACAAGTCCTCTGTACATACTGCTCCCCTGTCATGGAGCTACATCGATGACACCACAGCACTCATCAGCTCTCCAAGCATCAGTACTCGTGCATTGTCGAATGAACACGGGAGGAGCACAGGCTCCGCAGCGAGGCGCACCTGAGTGCAGTGGGACTGCGAGGACTGCGAGGACAACAGGCCCGCACTGAGCTCCTCGACAGATGGCGTCGGTTCAGGGACATTCATGAACGCGCGCGCGAGGAAGCTGTCGGCGAGGGAGTCGTGTTGCGAGCGCAGGCTGGACAGTCGGCACGGGAGTGACTTCGGATTCTGCATCTGCGCAGTGGCCTGCGAGTCGCGCAAGGGCGTGAAGTCGAGCGGGGTGCCAGGCGAGGTGCTGAGGCGCCGGGAGGACTCGTACGGGGGGACACACACGGGGGCATCCGAACGTTGCGTGTGGGCCAATGGCAGTCGTATGTAACACGTCGAGGCCGCAGGCGGCAGTGGACATAGCACGGGTATGGCAATCCTCGTCAGCAAGAGCCTGGCAGCTGTGAGACACAGTGAACACTCACCTGCACTTGCTTGCTCTTGACCTCGCCCCACCCACTGCTCACTCTCGACCTCGCCCCACCCGCTGCTCGCTCTCGACCTCGCCCCACCCACTGTACTTGCCATCATGCTTGACCTTTCGCATGCGGCATCCATTCGTCGGCCAGCTGCTCACCTTGGGCGATGTTGTCTGTCTCGTCAGCGAAGGCCGAGTGGCGAGGCACGCGGAACGGTCACACTGCCTCGCTGTCAACCTGATGCGAGGCTTGACAGCGAGGTTGCGCTGCTGTGCCGTCGATTTGACGCGGGCTGGACATGTCGGGTGGGCAGCTGGGTGCAGGAGAGTGGAGGTAGTGCCTCGCGCGTCGCGCGCACGATTGCGGTCATGTGCAGGGTGTCGCGCGCGATGACAGTCGTGCGCAGGGCGTCGCGCGTGAGCTTGCGCAACGCGAGCCGAGGTGGAGGTGGTAGGGATCGACGGGAGAGTCGAGCGCAGAGTCACGCGCTCGACATGTTCGGGCACTCCGAGTATGTAGGGCATCGCGCGTCGCGCGTTGCACGCGCGATAGCGGGTGTGTGTAGCGCGTCGCGCGCGATGGTGGCCGCGCGATGGCAGTCGTGTGTAGCGCGTCGCGCGTGAGCTCGCGCGACGCGAACCTGTGGCCACAACAATTACATACTTACCGTGTACGACAGTATCGCGCGTAGGGCGTCGCGCGCGACGGCGGTCGTGTGCAGGTGAGTTTGCGCGACGCCAACCGAGGGGGAGGGGGAGGAGTCGAGCGCAGAGTTGCGCGCTGGACATGTTCGGGCGCTCCGAGTCGGGTATCTAGTGCGTCGCGCATCGCGTGCGCGATGACGGTCGTGCGTAGCGCATCGCACGCGCGATGGCAGGCACGTGTAGCGCGTCGCGCGCGATGGAGGTCGCGCGATGGTCGTGTGTAGCGCGTCGCGCGACGCGAACCTGTGGCCACAACGATTACATAAGCATACCAAAGACGCGACTTACCGTGTTCGACGACAGAGCCAGCACCGAAAAGTGGGATGGGGAGAGCGAATGGAATAATGGGATGGGTGCCGACGCGGAATTGTGGGATGGGTGGCGGGGGCGGAAATTCTGGGATGGGGGCGTGCGAAATTCTGGGATGGGGGCGTGCGAAATTCGGGGATGGGGGCGCGTGCGAAATTCTGGGATGGGGCGAATATTGCAGCAAACGGTACGCCATATCGATCTGCATGGTCACTGACGGGCTGCTCAGGGAAAACGGCAGTGAGCTCAATGCAAGGCATTCGTTTACTACGCGGGGGTGTGTTGCCGAGTGAGTCCTCATGATGCACATGTGTGGCGCCGCGTACAACCCATCTCTGATGCGCGTCATGCCCGTTTGACTCGTTGAGCGATCGTGATGACCCGGGGCTCAGACTATACGTGGTACTGTAATCGACATGCACCGCTCATGGACCTCGTCAATCCACGTGTGCGTACTATGTCCTTGATTATCGAGAGTCTCGTAGAACCGTGACTTGAAAATTCAACTTTGACTGCTGATTTTTCCGTTAAGTCACGTGCACGCGATATGTGCGTCCGGACTCCGCCAGGCACCTTAACGTTCGACGACGGCCACCACCGCGTACTGTTGTACTTGCATTGTCCGTTCGTGTCGCTTCAACCTGATTGGAGCTACTTGGTGAGCTCGTTGCCCATGCATCTTTATGTAATCCGAATCAAGCAATTCAATACAGCTCACTTCGAATCCCCCCCCTAACAACTTGAAAACGTCCACGGCATTCTACGTTCGGCCCACCAAGAAACAATCATTGACACGACACTCGTTCACCCACGTCCTCGCTTCGGTGACCAACCCACATTGCCCCGCATGAGACATCGCGACTGCGAGATACGCATAACATGCGACGGTGAAGCGCTCGACGAGCACAATGTCCAATTAGTAGACAATACTGTTGAATGTTACGTGGCCAGCGAAGCTGGTAAGGTGTGTGTATGTGTCTACCGATATTGAAGCGCAGCTGTACTCATATGTGCTGTTGCGAGATCTTCGAAATCATATGCAGCAACCACTCCTCGTCACGAACGTCATCGCATGCTATGGTTGATGGTCGGGAATTTCCAAGAAGGTGGACCCTCGCTCCGCAGTCAAAGGATGTGACATTTCTCTGCGAAGATGGCATCGACGGATTCAAGCCGCTAATGTTCTCAATGATTTCAGTCACAGGTCCATCTCATATGTAGATGGTGGGAAATCATTGCTGACGCAGAATTTACTTGATAGATGACGAGAGCGCTGCGAGAGAACTACCATGGGCAAACGATCTGGGTCTCGTCCAAATAAAGGTAGTCCGTGCGGAGGTGGTAGGCGCAGTGCCCTGGTCGCCGCCTTCCATTGCACAAGCACAAAACTTTGGGCACATTCATGAGACTGTGAAGAAGGGTGGGTTGCACTGTGTTTCGTGAGTGGACAACTCGTGAACGCTTGTCAGCCTTGACTGGTATGTTCTAGTTTTGGTCCAAAAACACTGATGCCGGATGCCAAGAAGCAACTTACACGAATCAACTGCATTGATGACTGGTCTACGCCGTATGTTACATTCAAATTCAGGTACAGGCCCCTGGGTGAGAGCATTGTTTTTCGTGTCATTACGCAAGCCGTCTCAGTGCGTACTAGACATTCTACAAGCGCAAGGCATCGTAGAGCCGCCTCAACCAGTGCTCAATGACGAACCTGGCAACCCGTCCGCCTCGCGAGACACTTCTCCGGTAACGCGCACACGGAGACGAGAAGACGAGCCCGCTCAACCTGGCTCGGTTCGGCCACAGAAACGACAACGGCAAGCGGACGGCTCATCGTCCGTGCTCGCAGACTCCCTTGCGGACGAACTGGAAGACGAGAGGTCGTCAATGGTTAAGGACGAAGATGACGAGAGCGCGGATGACCTAGATACGCTCGAGGTTTGTTCTTCTGCACCATTGATATGCTGCACGTCAAACGTGTACGTTTGCAGGCTCAAATGCAAGCTATTCGGCGGAGAATCGACAGCGCAAGGACGAAGAAGATTCGCGGCAGTGGCCAGCGTCGCATCGTCAAGAGGGAGCCATCCCCCATTCAGGTCGGCGGATTCAATGGCGGCGTCATAGACCTGACGGACGACTGAAGCCTGCGTTGCGTGCGCGGAGTATTACCGCGCCTCGAATACGCCCGAGTTCGCTGATCTATGAACGCGGCTCGCTGATCGTTCATTTATCTTGTTTCGCAATGGACTCCTTGATAGTGTATATACTATGAATTAATGTAGTAAACCGACACAGTAAGGTTCTGTACATAGCACGGATAATTCTCCTAGGGTACCTCTGTCTAATCAGGCCATGTTCAGTCGGGTTACGTCGGTACAGCCGTATCTTCATTGCATCCCCGAGGGACCGTAGTGACCCAGCTCGTCCTTTTGTCCGTGTCTCGCGCGATCATCGCTTCCATAATTGTTATACCTGATCGTGACTGTAGTCTCTGTGGTAAACTTGGGCTTTGATATAAACGACGAGGCGTGCTAGGTCCTAGTGTCAGCTAGGACGTTCTTCATCGACTCGCGGGGCGGCTATTCGACGACTCGATACAAAGAAAGCCCAGATTGCGCATATCATGGAGAATGATGACAGCCCGGAAGTTCTGGATCGCTTGAGACAAGCTTGAGACGCTACAGACTACTTATACTTAACTTGAAGGTGCTCACTGCTCGAGTCGGTTTCACGGTGGCTCCCACTTGTTTGTTTGTTTGTTTTGTCCCTTTAGGGTCACTGAGCGCGAAGCCCTATGTAGACCTAGAGACATCCTACGCTCATCCGTCCTGTCCCTTCCTCTTCCTCTCCTTCCCTGCGCATGGCCGGTGGCTCCCACTGACAGTCACCCGGCTGTCCGAAACCGCGATCACGTGGACATCCGTCACGGAGCGTCACGGTCACCGTCGTTGTTCAACTACTTACAAGTCGATTGCGAATATGTTGGCACTCACAGAATTTTTCGACACGCGCGTGAACCTTCCGACTGAAGTTCCCACGCATCTTCCGGCCCATCTTCCGAGTCGTCGAATGACGAATCTCTCATGTGTTCTACCAAAACTATAGCAATTTACACTACCACATGTTACTCTATGTGTCTTGGAACAGGTCTATGACATAAAAAAGGAGGATCCATGAGCTGAATGCGCAATAAGAAGTCTGGCGTGTCGAGCACAGAACAATCACGTGCATTATTACCACAATTGGATAGACCGCGTAACAGAACCCAGTTCTACGCATTGCCGTATTTTTCTCCATTAAACCTCACTGCTATGATAACCAGGGACTTATCTGGTAGTGTTATTGTCATTTCCAGAACAGAGAAGCGAAGTTATGCTGCATTATCATAGCTAGAGACACTGGTAAGGAAGCTCGGAACTTTGGGTCGGAAGATTCACGCGCGTCATTGCGCGCGTCGAAAAAAATCCGCGAGTGCCATGATTTCTGCAATCGACTGTAAGAACTTAGGCACGAACTAGTTCTACTACATACCACATAGATAATACTTCCTTCGATCAATCAAACCGCACTCCCCTATGGTTGACGGGACGTCCGAGGTTCGTTTGCCGCGCGCCTCGGGCATCTGCGGGCCAGGCCGCTTACGTAAACTGACCTCGCAGACAGTGTCTCGCTAGTATTTGGCTGCTTTTTCAATAACGGACACAACTCAGAATGCTGAAGAATACCATACCGTGCTTTACTGGCTTTTCCGGGTGTCGAGATCGAGTTCTGAGATGCACTGTCCGCAAAACCGCCATTTCTGCGCACGGACAACATAAGCGCCGGTGATAACGAGCATATCAGTGATCTAATCTGACATGGCTACCTAAACGGGCGGTCTTCGGACAGATTACTATGTCAGGTTGCGATGCTAGTATCTGAGTAGTATGTGCCTCACTGACATTCCTTGGTTATGCTAACGTGCATCGGGCTGGACAAGTTTTGTGCTTGAATGTTATTGATTTCTCGGACGAGCAGGTGATCTCCAGCTACATCTACCCATTTAGGCAGCGAACTCAGATAAGATCACTGATGTGCTCATTATCACGGGCGCTTACAGCATGTCTTCCCAAAATGACCATTATTACGCGTCCTTATCCCACACAGACCGGGAAACCTACTGAGAACATCTGTAAGGTCCATATAAATCGGTTCAAATGTACCAAGAGTGTGTTGGGCAGTCCGACACGAGCGAGGGACACTGTGCGAGCGAAGCTTACGTAAGCGGCCTGGCCCGCAGATGCCCGAGGCGCGCGGCAAACGAACCTCGGACGTCTCGCCAACCATACTCCCCAACCTTACACACCTTTCATAGACCCCTAGTGATTGAAATAATTGAAATAAAACACGGTGAGTCCGACTCCCCGTTTGAAAGGAGTATTGACGGAATGGATACTTCGTTCTTAAAGCCAACCTGCAAACGGGATACGCGCCGTATCTCCGACTACTGCAATAATCATATCCGAGCGATACTTGCGCAGCCGCAGCCCTCGACTAGCCGCAACCTGCTGAGCCGCCATTCGACGCTTCCCACTCGACATGAAATACCGTGACTGCGAGATATACATTGCGTGCGACGGCCGACCGCTCGACGAATACGACGTACAAGTCGAAGGCAACGTCATTGAATGCTACGTAGCCAGCGAATCTGGCAAGGTGCGTGTCTTTTGCTTTGGGTAGCTTAAGCGCACTTGTACTTAGCTTGTCTAGGTATTCGAGATCAAGTGCAGCAATCTCTCCTCACACGCTTTGGTAGTCAATACTGCTGTCGACGGCCGGCGATTCTCTAGACCGATCTCCTTGAGGCTGGGCAGCATGAATAAATCGCACTTTTGCGAAGACGGCGAGGGTGGGTTGAGGTCGTTGATGTTCTCAAACATCGCCATCACAGGTCTACCCTCTCCACGACTAGTGCAGAATCATTTCTGAACCATTCCGCAGATGATGACAGTGCCCCGAAGAAGCTACCGTGGGCCAACAACTTGGGCCTCATCGAGGTGACCGTCGTCCGTACAAGGATCGAACACACGTTACCTTGGTCGCCTGTCACCGCGAACATAGAGAACTTTGGGCCTATACATGAGACTGTTAAGAAAGGTGGCTTGCATTGCGTTTCGTGAGTGCGCAGTCTCCGAATGTCTGTCAAGCCTCTCACCAGAAACCGCCAGAGTCGGTCCGAGAACAGTCGACCCCAATCCCGCAAGGTCACTCGTGCACGTCACCTACATCGACCAACTTTCTGCACCGCACATCATCTTCAAGTTCAAGTACAGGCCTCGAGGTGAGATCAATGGTCTCCGTCGTTACAAAGCCGTTGTGGAAAGGCATCTCACCGACTGTCAGCGATTCTCCAGGCACAAGGAATTATACAGCTAGACGCAATTGAGCCGCAGCGCCGCAGCGCATCTGAGGATCCACACGCCGCGCGAGGTGTCTCGCAGCCTTTACGGCCGGACCGCCCGCAAAAGAGGCCTCGGAGAGATTCGTCATCTTCAGTGATAGATCTCACTGACGAGACGGTGGTTATCAAGCCGCCTAAAGTCAAAATTGAGGATGGTGACAACGCAGAGGATGCGGCCGCGCTCAGGGTACGCTGTATGCATACTTGCCTGGACTTCGTCTCACCGCATCGTGCGTGTCAGGCACAAATCCGGGCGCTGCAGCGGAAACTCAATCAGAAGAGGATGCACAAGACTCAAGTGACCGTCAAGAAGGAATCGTCGCCCATCCAGGCCGGTCAAATGGATGAAGACATCATCGACTTGACGGAGGATTGATTCGTCCGATCGCGTCAGCATGCCATTTGCGGACTGGCGTCGAGCGAGTCAATTTCTCGGGGCAATCCAGCCATTCCAGTGTCACAGTTCAGGTGGCTGCCGAAAGGGTGTATGGTTGTGGTGATTCTTTCGGGTTTATGGGACCATTCGAGTCATTGAGATGTAATGCGCTATCGGTTTACAACGCGAATCGGATAGCAGCCTGGTTATTCTCGATGCAGGATCCTCAGTTTCTTTCGGCATTAGCTGATAGCCTCCGGGTGAATGTCATAGGGCGCACGCACCTCAGAAGTAAGTATACAATGTGCGGATTTGAAGATGTATAACGCGTGCATAGGCTCGAGCGAGTTGCGGAGGACGGGGAACAGTACTTCCAGGCTGACGACTCGGTACTTAATCCTTGATTGAAATTCTGTGGCATCCGACAGTACGACTCACCCATGAGACCGCTACATATACTTGTCGCCGCGGCAGCATCAGCTACCGCTGGTACATCGGGCTTTAAGTTTAGGTTTTGAGAACAATGAACGTCTGGTCACGTGGGCGCGGTAGGCGTAGTGACTCTACGCGTCGGTGGCGTGGGCGCTGTTGACTTTGACTTCGAACTACTGTACTTACGAGTCGTCGCAAGCCTCCGTCATCACTACTACGCGACTCTCGTGGTCCTACTCTCCGGAACCAGTGGTCTCTGCGCAGGCGACTTCGTCAGCTGCTGGTGAGGTGGCATCACTCGTAGAAACGACGCACCTCAGGCTCAGGCCGGTCCCCCGCTCGCAGTGCACTCCCGCACTGTCCTTCCAGGAGCGAGTCTGGTTTGACCCGTGAGTTCGTCGACGATGTACACATGATTGAGAGTCGAGAGATTTACGGGACGCATAGTACGGGCTAAACACTGCAACACCGGCCAACGACTCTTCTGTTACGGTCAGCCTGAGGACTAATTACCGACTATGAGACACCGCGACTTTGAAATACGCATTACATGCGACGGAAAGGCGCTCGATGAGTACAATGTCCAAGTCAAGGGCAACACCATTGAATGTTACGTGGCTAGCGACGCTGGCAAGGTGCGTAGATCTGTACATGAATTTCGAGGTAGACCTGTATGTATTGATGATCACTTTCATGAGGTATTTGAGATCAAGTCTAGCAATCACTCCTCGCAGCATCTTTCAGCCTTTATTACCATTGATGGCCGCAAGTTCCCAAGGAGCGCAACCATGAAACCACAGGGAAAGAACAAGTCGTTTGTCTGGAGAGATAGCGTGGAGGGGAAGCAGCCACTGATGTTTTCGGAAATCTCCGTCACAGGTATGCTTTCAGGCTCTGCCTGTTTTGGAGAATCATTGCTGAAAAACTTCTTAGATGATGAGAATGTTGCGAGAGAACCGTCATGGGCAATTGATCTGGGTCTTGTCCGGATGACTGTTCTCCGTTCGAAGGTCTTATATGAAAGACCCTGGTCACCACCCCCTGTTACACCAATGCAGAACTTTGGGCCCATCCATGAGACTGCAAAGAAAGGTGGTATGCATTGTGTCTCGTGAGTGGACAGTTGCTGGAATACTTGTCAGCATTGCCGATTGTACTACAGACTAGGCCCAAGAACAGTAGATCCAAACCCCACGCAGAAGGCCTTAAAAATCTGCTGCATTGACAACCATTCTGCACCGTACATAACCTTCGAATTCAGATACAGACCCCGTGGTGAGCGTTGAGTGTGCAAGCACCCGTGCAAGTCATCTCACCTATCACTGGTAGCCATTCTCCAGGCGCAAGGCATTATAGAGCGTCCCAAGCAGCCACTCGTCGACAACCTCGACGACCCATCCGCGGCACGAGATGCGTCGTCGCTAATGCGGGTTCGAAATCTAGGTGGTGATCTATCTCGCAGTCGCGAAGATGAGCCCGAATTAGGCCGGCCACGAAAACGACCACGGCGAGACGACAAATTGCTGTCTTCCATTGCGGACTCCCCAACCGAGGAGATCGTGGACGCCAAGCCACCTGTGCTCAAAGACGAGGAAGACGATAGCACGGATGATCTTGACGCACTCGAGGTGCGTACTTCCACGACCTGAGCATGCCACATGCCGGATAACAGATGTCATCAACAGGCACAACTTATCCAGACCATACGGCAAAGGATTGATAGGGTGAAGAGTAAGAGGTCCCGAGCTAGTCAGCGCGGGATCGTCAAGAGAGAGCCATCCCCTATCCGAGTCGGTGGATCCAGTGGCGGTGTCATAGACTTGACGGACGATTAGGGCTCGCAAGTGATCATTGCATGCACGCGGAGGATTGGCGACTGGGCCCCTCGACTTGTCTTCATCGTGTTTGTTTGTTATCCCTTTATTGTCATTGAGGGCCGAGCCCAATGTAGACATAAACACGTCCTGCTATCCTTCTTCCCTTCTCCGGCTTCCCCTTCATCCCAGCGCATGTCCTCTCTTCATTTTGCTGGGTTCATCCCGGGTCGAATTTGTTGACTGTTAGGCGCGTCGAACGTATGGTCATTCGGTCGTCTCAATATACTTTCTCTCATTGGTCTTGATACACATCACGGTCCCCCTGCCACGCATAGTATATTCACGCACCGTCTGGGTGCATAATATGTACCGTCCCAGCGAATGTTACTGTTGACTCCGAGTCAACTGTTAAGTTCCTGTCTCCAGATGGTGTTCTGAGAAGATCAAAGGGTGCCCTACGACCGGCTGCGGGTGAGGTTAACGCGTTACCCTCATTCCGCACTCCGGAGTGCTTGCCTTCGTGCTAATATGTCCACTGGTCGATGGGACGCCGTTCCGTCGACTTGCGTGCCAGTCTAGTAGTACCGCATGTCAGGCCTAGGGTGCACTCGCTCACCCCATATGGCTCCAGGTGGTACCAGACAGCGAGGAAGACTGACAAACGAGAGCTTACCGATGATACCATACCGCACGTTATTCTAATGAGCGTTGCGGCGCGTATCCGGATGGCGGGAAGCGGTCTGCGCTGCCAGCCATATTCGAGGGCGGGGACGGCTCATTTCCGCAACTCCCTTTCGCATACGGAATCCGTATGCATACCTGTCGCATACGCCGCTCAGATGTACCGTTAGCAGTAGACTGTGACCCACCCAATCGTGACAAGCTGGCCTACCTACACTGGGAACCTGCGACGTTCGTGATATTTTGGTTATGTCAGGACGGGCTAGAGCTCGTTCCGGCCCACCTGGGTGACCGTTGGCGGTAGAGACACGAAGTCGTACCAAAACGTACGTCGAGTACAGGGTTAATGCTTGCACCCCTGTGCGTGTGAGTCATGACCAACTGCGACATCCATTCCACCTACGACAATCATCAGGGCTACCAACAGCAGGAGAGGGGCGAGGAGGGGGGCAGGCAAATATGTAGTAGTAGTAACAGCGACAGAAGCTAGCGAGACGAGCGGACCTATACGGTGGATAAACTAAACAGACAGCAAACATTTGCGCACATGCGGTGATGCAACAGGTACGGCGGATATTGTATGTGTGTATCAGGGCCGGAGCGGTTCGGAAGACGGTGGTGGCCAGTGTTCCGGCGATGAGCAATGGGAGCCGTTGCGGATGTTGTTGTTGTACAGGACCCCTCCCCGCGCAATAGTCCGTGTGAAGGCATAAACAGATGGATTCGCAAGCTTGGTCTCGACGCACCTCCCTCCCACCATCCCCATCCTCGTCCCCGTCCACACTCCTCACCTACCACCCACTCGCGACACGACTCACGCCACCATGGCGACGAGGAACCCAGGAGCTTCATCGCGCGACCGGTACACCACGATGAGGTGCCCTCTGTGCCGGTGGTACGCCGTTCCCATTCGCCGCGACAGGCCGAGGAGAGCTGGAATATACAACCTGCGGCTGTGCCGATCCCTGCTGTTGAGGGAGTGTGGGTTGAGGCGCAACCTGGCGCTGCGGAGGGTGCTGAGCCGGTGTCGCTCGGGCTTTCTGCTGTTGCTGCTGCTCGGCGTCGTCGGCCCCGGTCGGCGCGACATACAGGCCTTTATCAATGATTTGAGGGATGGGCTGGATCTCCGTGCCGAGCTCCTGTTCAATCTTGTACAGGTTGAATCGGTCCTCGTACGTGACGAGGTTGATCGCAAGACCGAGGTGTCCGAAACGCCCGGAACGACCAATACGGTGGAGGTACGTCTCCGAGTTCTTCGGAAGATCAAAGTTGATGACGACATTGACTGCCTGGATGTCGATACCACGCGTGAGCAGGTCTGAGCAGACCAGGTTGCGGCAGACGCCGTTACGGAAGTCGTGGAACACGCGGTTACGGTGCGATTGGAGCATCTTCGCGTGCGAGTAGAAACATGAGTAGCCCAGCTCAGTGACTTTCTTCGCGAGCAGCTCGACTCGGTTCGTGGAGTTACAGAAGATGATGGATTGGTTAATTTGGAGCTGTCCGAAGGTTAGGTGCATAGCTAACAGTTTAAGGGTGCAGCGCACCTTTGAGAACAGCGTGTTCAAGCAGTGAACCTTCTGTCGCTCCTCGACGTAGGCATAGTATTGTGTGACACCGCGAAGGGTCAGCTCATCCATGAGGTTGATCTCATGGGGGTGCTTCATGTGCTTTTCCTAAAAGGGCGTCAGTACGACCAACGCATAGAGTCTAAATATGCGAACCTTGAAGTCCTTGACAATCATAGGGAATGTCGCACTGAACAACATGACCTGGCGATCTTTCGGCAAATACGAAAGCAATTGCTCCATGACGGGCGCAAACTCAGGCGACAGCAGCTTGTCCGCCTCGTCCATGACGAAGACCGGGCATTCGCTGAGGTCCGCCACCGTTTTGCCCGCCAGGTCCAATATCCGACCGGGCGTGCCGACGAGTACGTGCACGGTCTCCGACAGACGGATAATGTCGTCTTTGAGCGTCGTACCGCCCGTGGTAACCATGATCTGCGCGCCCATGTGCTTGCCAAGTATCTTGCACACATGCGCCGTCTGCAGCGCGAGCTCACGCGTCGGCACGAGGAGCAGCGCCTGGATCTTGTTCTTGTTCACGTCAATTTGCTGGAGGGACGGGATGACGAACGCGGCGGTCTTGCCCGTGCCGTTCTTGGCTCGTGCAAGGACGTCGCGCTTCCCGAGGGCGACGGGGATGGCCTCCTCCTGGATCGGTGACGGCCTCTCGAAGCCAGCCTCGAATATGCCCATGAGCAGCTCGCGTCGTAGGTACATGTCCTCGAAGTCGACGCCTTTCGTGTTCGTGACATCCTCGGTTTGTGGGCGGCTGTCTTTGGGTGGGGGGCGCAGGCCTGCTTTCCAGCCGTCTCTGTGTTGTCATTGTTACCCCCGATCGCTCTGCGCAGAAAATGACAATGTATAAACGTACGACGTGGAGGAAGATGGGCGTGCTTGCTGGGCCATTGTGGAGGGTTGCGAGGAGGGGGTACTTGGGTGAGGGTTATGTGTACGCGGCTAGGAGGGTTTTTGCTTCTTGAGGCGGTGATGGTTCTATGTCAAGAGGTGACCACGAGTGTGTCGTTTGTGGAAAAAGTGGCCCAGACACAGGCAAGTCGAGCGGGGAGGTAGAGGCGACGAGTGATGCTGGAGACGTGGTCGCTGGCGAGGAAATTGACGAGGCAAGCACAGAGCGAGGCGTGAATTCGCTAGTCGGCGCAGTGACCGTCACCACCCAGTCACGAAGTCACACTCCCACTCCGCCTGAATCTGATGCGCCATCTTCATCCGGGTGCACATAGGCTAATGTACGAAGCAAGCTGTGCTTTCCCTGCGAAGCATCTAGACACAGGATACAGGACACTCCCAATCGCAGAAAGGGGAGAGAGAGATTATTGCTGGCACACTATTATAGTACAGTAGCTGCTATCTCACACATCCGATCATACGGGGAAAATGGAATCCGAGAACTCAGAAAACAAAGACATGCACTGTCGTAATGGAGCTATGGCTAGCAATGCAGGGTATGCAGATGAGGGCTGTACAGGTGAGGGATGGCGAGCAAGGGAAGCTCTCGCGGAGGATAAAATGTTCTAGGTACACAAGGAAACGCACACAGATAGAGCAGACAAGAACAAAAGCAAGATACGACGCCGACGGGAGACGGCAGATGACGCAGTACCTATGCGTTCGTGGCTGTGGCAGCCGCGGTACCTGCGGCGACACCTTGCGGGCGTGCTCTCCTCCTGCGTCGTCTAACGCCACAGCGTCAGTGCATGAGCAACGCATCTACTGCAGCCAAACGTACCTCGGAAACATCGGGCCCTTGGGCATTGACCGCTCGTCTAAGTCAAGAGAAATGTTCGTCGCAGCTTGAATGCCCTGCAATTCAAAGGCCATCAGAATCCACAATCCCAAAATGCAAGCGTGCATAACATACCTCGATCCAATCAATCACCGCCGCCACATCCGGCGCCTGGAGCAAGAACTGCTCTCCCTCCATCCGCACCCGAATCACGTTCTTGCGCTTCCCATAGTCGCTCGCCAATCCGCTCTCTGCCTGCTGCAGCGTGTACTTCCGGATCATATCCCTCTCGCTCGGCTCCGGCGGCTGCTTCGGGCCTGCGTCGGCGGGCGGCGAAGCGTGCAGGATGCGCGAACGGAAGAAGGACGAGCTGTCGCTCGCGGGCGGGGAGGTCGCGGATGACCGGTTGGACGTGGCACTCCGTGGGGAGGTCGCGTTCGATGACACGAAACTTGTCCGACGAGACGGCGTGTCGCTCGACGCGCGCGCGACGGCAGATATCGACGAGTGGTCGTCTTGTGACGGCTCCATACTCCGGCGCCTTTGCGTCTGAGATGAGGTACTAGACTGGCTGCTCGACACGCTCAGACGACTTGGCGTCGAGCTCCCCTTGGAGCTATTATTCGACCGATTAGGGTGCAAAAGGCTTCCCGGCAGGCGGAGCTTCGACCGCGTCGGTGGAGGAGTCTGCTGTGCCGGTGGAGGGGGCTCACTCTCCCTCGCGTTCGGATCTGGGCTCGCGGGGTCCGTATCCTCCTTCCCCGTCCGCTCGCTATCTGCACGTCCCCGGACAGCACTCACCCTGATCCCCGACTGTGTCACTGCGCCCGTGTTCACGACAGTGATGTCGCCCACGCCGACCTTCTTTTCCCACCACGACTCGATCGCGCTGACACCCGCGATGCTGGGCGGGCACTTGTACACCTTGAACGCGGTACCCTCGAGCACGCAGAGCACGCGCCGCCATTTACGGTCTTTCGCCTGCACGCCCGGCGAAGTGAACTCCACCTTGCGAGGCATGACCGCAGTGAGGTAGATGGAGTTCGAATACGGGGGCAGGCGCTCCATGCCCTCCTCGTCCCTCGGTTGCACGGCAGGACCTGGTTTACGAGGATGAAAGGAAGGATAAGGTGGTGGATCGGAAGATACTTTGTACAGAGGCAAAGACCGTTGTCGGCGCAATGTCGGTGTCGTCGGAAGAATGTCTTGCGGTTCAGTCGATGGCTTGGGCGTGCTCTCGTCATTCTCCTGTGCTGGCGGCGCACCGGGCAGTGGTTTGCTCCTGCGCTCCGCCAGTGCGTCCGCCACCATCGATGGCGACGTGGCTGTCTGTTTGCCTTTCTTCGCCATCGAGAGGAGGTCGACCATGCTGCGCGAGCCAAGATGGTACAGTCCCGGACGTCCGGGGGAGCCTGGTGGCATAGCTGCGATATGTTGTGCATGCCCCAGCGCCGCAGTACGCAGGGCGGGCGAGCCGAAGAAGTCGGCGGGGCGGGGGGTGCGCACGGGTGAGTCGGCGCGGTCGGCCTGCTTGTCTGGCCGCTTGGAGGTGAAGTAGTCTGTCGCGGCGGAGGAGGACGAGCCGGGGCGGAGGCGGGGGGTGGACTGGCCCTCCGGCTTTGGGGTGAAATACACGGTGCCCCGAAGCGATTCGGTGACTTCCGTCTGCAGACGCGACGCTTCGATCTCAGGAAGCCCGCCTGCGCGATCGCCACGTGACCGAGGCGTTTCAGCCGATCCCATTTCCGTGCTGTCTTCCATTTCGTCGTCGCTCCCAGCGCCCTCCGCATCAGCGTTCCTATTAGCACCCGCCCCCGGGCTCGCGTCCATGTCGTCGTCGACCTCCTCGTCCTCGTCGTCCTCGTCCAGCATCGAGTTGTCGTGGTCCGCCTCGTCCGCCTCGGCCTCGCTCGGGCCGCGCATGGGGAGCGCGGGAATGCTACGCAGCGGAGCTTGCTGGCTTGGACGCTGGGGCTGCTGGGAAGGAGTAACGGGTGGGAGCGGCGGGAGGCTCAGGACCGGCATCGGCGGCTGTCGTGAGACGATGGACGGCGTCAGGCGTGCGCTCCCCTTCGCCATGTAGCTGGCCATCATGGGCGGGGGCAGCGTCGCCAGGCGCGGCGCGAGGTTACGTCGATCGGACAGGCCTGGCGACACTCGTCCAGGAGTGAGCGGGGCTTGCGAATAAGCGGAGCTGCTCGCGACGGGGGATGAGTTGGGTGTGCTATTCTCAGATGTCGCCGGTGCACCCATGGCGAACGCGTTGAGTGTCGTTTGACTTGTGGTGGCTAGGTTGCTCGGTTGCGCTACAACATCTGTCTGTTGTGAATGAGTATGCGGTGCTGCTGTCGATCTCGGGGGTGTGCTTCGCGACTCAAGCCCGATCCCGCTCTGCTCGGGGACCTGCGCAACAGAGAGCGCGCTATTCGAGACCGCTTCCGACCGTGCTGGATCCGCAGTGGAGGCACGTCGTCGAGAATTGGTCTGTGTGTCGAGCGTACCTCGACTCGTGGAAGCTGTGCTGCTCACAGGCGCATTGGCTATTGTTGTGGGTCCCGGAGGCATGTTTGGTGATTGAAGAGTAACCCCGCTCTCTTCGGGGGCCTGAGGGCTGGAGGGCACGCTGTTCGAGACCACTCCCGACCGCGCCACACTCGCAGTAGAGGCAGATCGTGGGGAGCCTGTCTGCAAATGCACGCTGGGGCCTTCGACGAGGGACTCGGGTCCGTTTTCGGACGAACGGCCGCTCGGGGAGGGAGTATCCGAGTTCCGGTCCATATGGGGAGCGGTGTGCTGGCTGGTGAGCACGGCGAGGTCCTTCGGGCCAAGGTCCATGGAGCGCGTCGTGCGCTGAAACACGTCGGGCACGCCGAGCTGCTTGCCATCGGTGCTCTGGCGGCGGGTGCTGCGGATATTGGACACCTTCTTGAGAAAGTGGCTCGTCCTGACCTGCTGCTGGCGTGTGAGAAGCAGAGGGCGAGTCCAGACGGTGCACTTGCCAGAAAGTGGGAATGCCTCACATCTGCGGGTGCCTCTCTCCGGGGCCTTTCCACCGTCTCTACTCTGCTCGCGGACATTCAAGTCGTGCGATCGTCGTGTGCTGCGCGTTTGAATCTTGATTCGCGGGATAATGGTCGTGGGGGGCTACGGGCGGGATGAAACGAAGTGAAAGAGGGGCGACCTACGACCAGAGTGGGTTCCGCTGTAGAGACGAGCCGCGAACAAGCCGTGTCGGCGTGGTTCGGAGTCGTCACTCGATTACGCCAACCGTGGGGGTCGAGTGGGTGATGCGGGTCAGCTAACTTTAGCCGGCGCTCCGGGTGGCGGTAATACTGCTTTCGTGAGCTGCGGCGAGGCTATCGCAGACGGCGAGGTGGAGGGAAGGAAAGAGACGAGAAATGGGCAGCGGTGGTTGATGTCGCGCGCAGCGTGCAGACGGTGCCACGCAATATTGCTCCGAGTCGCGGGCAGCACTCAAAGCCTGACGTCGGGATCATGATTCGTGAACAGCCTGAGCCGGGACGCGTCATATGTTTACAGGATAATTTCGTCCGCTAGCCTTGGTTACAACGACGCTTAGTACGACTGTGCATACAAGATAGCCTACAAACGGAAATTCCCTTACTATGTTATATGTAGGCAGCGTGAGTGTGGGGCACCACCAAGGATACGCAAAAATAGCTCACTGCTCAGGTTGATCATTGATCAGCCTTTGCCTCGAGTTTGCCTGGCCTTGTGGAGGCTTCGAGCGGGGCTGAGCTCATCGTGCCTTACAGTAGAATGAAGTCACATATGCCGTCAGACAGCCATATCCAATCCATGTCTGAAGCAAAACCCCGCAACGGTCTGCTACGGCACCATGGTAACTACGTACATATTCATCGCTGAGATACAAGACTGTGCGGCAGCCACCGCTCGAATGAGATGACGGCAGTATGTCGCCCCACGCCCTGCATCGAGCCCATGGCAATATTATACAGTACAACTTCAAGCGAGGCGCGTTACGAGGACCAGAGGGTTGAGAAACGTATACAGCCATGTGACTACCGCAGTCAGAGCAGACTCAATCGCCAGACCCGGAAGACACTTCGCGCACATACAATCGGCGCGTACCTCAGTCATCCGTCAGGTCGATGATGCTGCCACGGAACTGGCCGAGGTGAATGACAGACTGCTCCCTCTTGATCACACGAGGCTGAGGGCTGTGATTTCCCCTCATCCTGGCTCTCTCGATCCTCTCCTGTAAAACTCGCATCTGGGCCTGTCGCATGCGTTAGCCGTTCAACCGAAGTAAAGCATTATCGGCTACGTGCATCAACGAACCTCTAGGGCGTCCAAGTCATCCTCGTTGTTGTTGTTCTGGGCGCTGCCAGAGGGGATCGGCCGTTGTATAATGCCTTGCGCCTGAAGGATCGCTGCTCATACGTTAGCTTAAACAGCTCTATTCGTGAGCTTGATAGCTGAATGTCTTACCACAGGTCCTGTAGCGAAACTTGAAGGTGATGTACGGGATATCCCAACGATCAAGCGCAACCACGTTCACAAGCCTCGTGTCTTGCGGCGTTACTCCGCTTGAAATCCTTGCACCGAACCTGCGGCGAACAAGGTGAGGTTCACATATATGCAGATAACTACTCTGTCCTTACTGGACGCAGTGCATGCCTCCTTTCTTCACGGTCTCATGAATAGGCCCAAAGTTTTGTACGCTGATGACAGAGGGCGGTGCCCATGGCATCAGTCCCTCGCATCTCCCGCGGACGATGCGGACCTCGATCAAGCCAAGTTCGCTCCCCCGCGGTAGCCCTCTCACGGCGTCCTCGTCATCTGCTAAAGTGGGTCAACGATGCTATCACAATACTCATAACGAGATCAGACCTGTGAGGGTAATGTCCGTGAACATCAGTGGCCTCATTCCATCAACGCCGTCTTCGCAGATGAGCGGCTTGCTCACACCCTCCCTTACGAGCATTCTCCTAGGGAACCCCCGTCCATCGACAGCTATCCCAGCAGAGATGGCTGTCGACGTCTCGTTCTTGCATATGATCTCAAACACCTAATTGGAGTGGCCCTGAGTAAGACATTTCCTCGTTAACCACGTCAACACACGCACCTTGCCAGACTCGCTGGCGATATAGCATTCGATGGCATTGTTCTCAATCTGGACATTGTGCTCTTCGAGCGCCTGTCCGTCGTATGTGATGCGTACTTCGCAGTCGCGGTGTCTCATGACGATGGTGAGGGCAGCCTAAGTGCCGGAGCTACCGAGGGATTGGGAGGGATTGCCTTCTCTGAGGACAAAAGGTTCAGTCCGTCAGCGTATACAACCTTGCCACGGTCAGCGGTGAACCACTCACAAAGGTTCTGAGCCACTCCGAGTCGCGTACCGGAGGTGAACGAGGTATGCAGGTCCGTCGCCACTCGAATTGACGTATATACCTCTACTAGTGAGTGGCATAATGCTACACTGCCGCGTGCCATTGTCCGCCACTAACAGCTAGTCTCGCCGTCTCAGGCTGCACTGAGGGCTCGCCGGGTGACCGTATGTAACGTCGGGACTTACGGTAACGGAGCTTCCTTCGATGAAACCCACCCCGCCGGGCGCATAGTGTTTTGGGCCTAGCACTAGCAAAGCTGAGTCGTGACGGCGAGATACATGGAAGGAACAAACTTGGAACAAAGTGGGGACAAACCAGACGGGACTGCGTCCGCTTACTTACGTTACTGAGTTACGTAGTGGCATGGTTAGCGGAACATGTGATTTCATCTGCTTCGTTCTTCCACTCCCACAGGACACCTCCTGGGCACATCGCTTGTTCGCTGGCAGGACAGGCCTGAGTGACGAGTCGTGTGGAGCCCTCTGAGTCCGAGAGCACGAATGAAGGACTAGTCAGAGGCTGTATGCGGTACGATGTAGAATATGGTTGGTCCTTGCGAGCGACGCTTTCTGTGGGTAGATCGCGGGGTCGATGCGAAAGGGATACAGCGGCAGGCATACGACGCACGCGTGATTGGTGCTCCCTATACGCGCAGTTCGTTCCCGCCAGCCGGAGCCGTGCCATAGAGGCAAACGCATGATGATCCATCTCGTCAGCGCAGTCCGAGAATGTAACACGTCACATACATACTATATGCGCCTGAGTCGACCAACCGTCTCAGCGGCTACAGCGCAAGAGAAACCACAACACTCAATCATCCGTCAGGTCAATGACGCCGCCGTTGAAGGCTCCGACTCGTACGGGCGATGGTTCTCGCTTGACGGTGTTGAGGCGTCGGGCCTGTGTCCGTCTCTTCTCCATGCGATCCAATTGCTCCTGTAGACTGCGCATCTGGGTCTAGAGCCAAGTGGTCTGTCAGATTGAACAATCTGCGAGAAAATAACAGAGCGTACTCGGAGTATATTGAATTCAGCGGCTTCGTCATCGTCATCCTCGTCCTTGAGGACAAGTGGCTTGACCTCCTCTGCATGCAAGTGACCTTCGGCCATACTCGCGTCGAGCAGTGGTATCGCAGAAGATACAGCCTTGTCTGTACGAGGTCGTTTTTGAGGGCCATCTGAGGGGTTCCGTTCCTCTCGCCGTTTGCGGGTCAACGTGACCCTCGACTCGACATCCACTCCAGGTGTCGAGGCACTCTGTGTATTGGGCAGATCCATCGAGGTATCACTTCGCGGAGGCTCAGCTTCATCCAGCTCTATGATGCCCTGTGCTTGAAGAATCGCTGTTGCTCTTTCAGGCGCGCAACGATGAGAAACCAATAGACATGCTCACCGCGAGGCCTGTAGCGGAAATTGAACGTGACGTAAGGTGAAGATAGGTCATCAATGTACTGCGATGTATAGCCCGCTCTTTCTGGGAGCGCCTCCGTCGCTCCTAGCCTGTATGTAATAGTGAGGTCGATGTGATGGGGCGAAGCGCAAAGCTCACTCGACACAGTGCAGTCCTCCTTTCTTGGATTTCTCGTGAAATGGTCCTAAACTTGTACTGACGGTGCCAGTGTCAGTCAGTGGTTTGCGAGGCTGCTTCCTTGATATAAGTGCACGAGAGATTCGGACTTGTATCAGTCCAAGCTGACTAAGTTCGCCAAGGGAGCTTGCCACGTTCTCATCATCTCATTGAATGGTGAGCTAGGGACATGTATTTTTGGTGCGGCTCTAGTGCGGCTTACCTGTGATGCGAACTTCAGAAAACACGAGCTGCCTTCTTCCGTTACCGGCGTAATAAGGGATCATTCCGCTAGCACCTGGTTTGAAGCATGGTTCGAAGCATATTCTTGTGGGAAATGCCCGTCCATCCACGCTGATGCCTGCACTCATACCCGTAGAAGAGAGATTGGCACCCCTGATTTCGAATTCCTTAGCAAGACTCAGTAAAAACTCATGTTGTTCTCCGTGAGCCGTCACAGAGAACATACCTTGCCTGCCTCACTTGACACATAGCAACTAATAACGCCATCCTCTTTCCCAGTGGCATACTCGTCTAGCCTACGGCCGTCGCATTTAATGTAGACCTCGAAACCGCGAAGTTTCATCTCGGAATCGTTGCCTAGTGCGTGGCCGCCGATGCGGCTGCTATCCCGTCTTCAGTGTCTATCACGGAAAGAGCATATACGCACATCACCGTCGCAAGATAAGTACACTAAAGAACTGACCTGTACTAGTGTGGATGTGCAGTGGATAAGCGGGCTCGGAATTGCAACGACTCGGACGACTTCGCCGTGTACGTTCAGGCGCCCGTACTGTGACATACACGTGAGCTGTGACCGATCGCGTTGTAGTGCATACTTAAGTATGTAGCGGCGGTCAGCCCAAGGGCAGCCTCTGCCACAGGCCGTTGAGCTTTAAGCTAGAGATGTTGCCGTCTCTCATTCGCTCTCTCTTCGGTCACGGGTCACGACGAGTGCATCTATACTCTGCAACGTCGGCAAAATGCACAAGGGCAGCTTCGATGTGTACCTCAAATGCGACGCCGTGACGACGACGAGCTGCCTGAATACGAGATGGAAACCATAGACGGCAAGACCCTGGCTTGCTACATTCCTAGCGCAGTCGGAAAGGTGCCTGATGTCCGTCTCGTTGTGCTGCACTCAGAACTGAATGATTGCAGACGTTCGAGATTTTCTTTCGTGGCGACACGCGAGAGGACATCTATGGCACCGCCGTGTTGTGCTTTATCGATGGCCGGTGCGCCGAAGGCATTCATTTCCTGCCCACTGTGATAGCACGTACTTTTTGGGGCGTCAGGTCCGCCGAAGACAATTGAGCGCATGCCGTTCACCTTTTCATTATTACCCACCACAGGTACAGAGACCAGACTCACGGACCATCACCGTTGACCTGCTGAGCTACTGCCCAGACGATGACTCCAACAGCGTCGCCTTAGAGCCTCATCCAGACTTGGGTACTGTGGTAGTGAAGCTTGCCTACGTGACCTCCCGGGGCGTCACAGGGCCGTTTCGGAAAATCGCAGAAGAGTTCAAGCCCGGGATGGTGCATGAGAGGAGCAAAAAATGGGTCTGCAATGCATTTCGTGAGTAGCGCGAGCTGCCTTTCACAAGCTTGCGCTCGCTTGCACGGATGGTAACCGAGTTTTCATGACCAGGCTAGGCGAAAGTCGCGGAAGTCGAGCCAAGGCCAGAGTCCATGTAGAACTCGTCGATCCAAAGGAACCCTTATATGCGCATTTCATCTTCCGCTATCGCTCCAAGGGTGGATTACACTGTCATACCACGCACTCAGGCTCACCCGTGCATGTACTCGTAGAGTTTCTTCAAGCCGAGAACATGATGCCTCTGGATGAAAGAGCAGCCAGCGATGCTTCGGATCAAGCACCCACAGAATCCATGCGTCAACCCGTCCGGCCGCCTCAGAACGAACTCGAAGCAGGTGCAAGCCGGGAAATGACAAGGGAAGCCACTCCTGGTTCAACGACATTCCCGAAAGAAGAGGAAGAGGACAAGCCTACGATCGCTCAGTCCGCTGGTCACGAAGACGTCGATGAGCTCCAGAAGGAGCTCGACTCAGCGCAAGAACGTGTACAGTCACTCCAGAGCAGGCTACAGGCGATCAAGGCATCTGGATCATCTTTGAGGGTCAAGAGAGAACAGTAAGATAGGGACAAGGACAACATCAACGCGGCCCACGGCAACATCAAGAAGGAATGCTCGCCCATCGGTTTCAACTCTTCCGACGAGCTCATTGACTTGGCGTTAGACGGATATTGAACGGATGTTGTCCTTGCGTTTTGTATCTCGTCACGTACGATTTCACAGCGCCTGTACTCGGGTTCCCCCAAGCCTCTATAGAACACGCGGTTATGAACAATTAGTGATTCACTCTGCGGTTGCCAGCGACTCGGAGGGCAGCCTATCAGGTACGTACTGGAATGGCTCAGACGCAAGCAGTACTTAAGACAAAGATACCATACTTATCACAGCACGCGCTACAGTCCGTCGCCCGGGAAGAGCGGACTCCAGTGTCTAGCGATACAGATCCATCCTATATACATACAAATGTGATGATAGCTGCACAAAGTCCACGCCCTAGACCTCCTTCAGCCACGCCTCAATGTCATTATACACCTTCGTGCGCACGTCCTCGTCCCACCAACCCATCATGAGCACGTCGTGCGCCCCGTCCTTGACCCACACCGTCTTAACCTCCACGCCATCCCTCTCCATCGCGCCCACGAGCTTCGTCACCTCCCTTTCTAGCCGCTCCGCATCCCCCAGCACGACACACGCCCTCGGAAACTCGCTGAACAAACTCAGCCCGCGGGGCGACGCGATGATCGGGCGCTCGAGGCTCGTCGGGCTGCGCCCGAGCTCCAAGCCAGCGGGCGGGCCCTCCTCCGGTGTGTTCGGCGCGCTCTCCATCGTGCGCAGGTGCGCGCGCGCGACGCTGTTCAGGCGCGCGATGGTGAGGTCCTGCACGCTCTCCGCGAACGCGTCCCCGTAGAACGCGCGGAGCACCTTCTGTGACGCCGGGCTGACGTATGGGCTGTGCATCATCTCGAGCGGGTGGTTCCCCAGGAAGGTCCGCTGTAGCAGTGCGCGGGGCTCGGGCGTGTCGACGAGGTAGTCCGTATCTGCGTGTGGCCGGGGGACGTATGAGGATGGGGACTCTGGGAAGGCATGGGCTATCACGAGGTCAGAACACGATAGGGATGACATATAGGGATACTTACAGGGATCGCAGGAAGGCGAGAGCAACAGCAGTCCGTCTGGAAGTGGTAGGCGTGCTTCGTCTCGGATCCAGCGCGCGAGCGCAAGTACGAGGTTACCTCCCGCACTGTCGCCGATGAGCACAATTTTGCACCGCATGTTCCGCGCAGCCTGCGCCATGCGCCCTCTCGCTTCCTCGTTCTCCGCTCTATCCTTGACATGTTGTGGGACGTGGTCTGCCGTCAGATAGTCCTTCCTGAGCACATTGCCGTCATTGGTGTTTCGCGAATCCGATGAAAGCTCCGAGCTCCCTGCCGACGGGGTATTTTGGCGCTGATGCTGCTGTACGATATGGTAGTATACTGCAGCTGCGTCTTGAACCTGAGCTGGGAATGGCGCATGTTGTAGTAGTCTATAATCCACGGCTGCCGTGATGTCAACCTACACGAGCCCTATGCGAACCAACAGCTACCTACCGTAGATTTGCGTGAAAGCCTTGTCCTATTACATAGCATGTATGAGTGGCGTTCTCACATCAGCGTAAAGACGCGTCAAAGCACCACACCTTCATGAGCCGCCTGGGAATTTTCGAGGTCGGGGCGTTCTCATGCGCAGACATATGGCAGTAGCCTCCGCCATGCATGAAGATCCCGATGACGGGGACGTCACCAGCCTCCACGTCTGATAAGTCGACCTCAGATGCCTTCGGGTCATGCTTTTCGCTACTAGTGGCTGAAGAAGTCGTGAGGGAGTATCACTTCACGGAAGGCTAATAGCGTACCTTCGGGCGCATCCCTCGGCCAGGTGAAAACACCTACTCGCTTGCACTCTGCCTGCGAGTCCACGATGACCCCTGACCGCATCTCCTCCGGAAGCGGCTCGATCCACTCGAAGCGCGTCTCCTTCAGCGACCGGTTGTCGCAGGTCTCTTCCGGGTTGCGTGTGCCCCATGTCACGCCCGCGAGCTCGGTGACCTTGTAGATTCGCCGAGTGAAGTTGACGCAGATGATCTGCTTGAGGGACCACGATGGCCTCGGGCGGTGCTTCCTGGGCGTGACGGTGTAGTAGATTGTCCACCACAGCACCATGACGAGTGTGGTGAACATCCGCTGGGCGATGTAGATGGACTTGAGAGGCTGCCGCGCGAAGGGCATGCATTCCTTGTAGTTCTCCTGCTCCGCTACCCGGGTCGTCATCGTGTCGGTCGTCGTCAAGTCGCGAGCACACAGTCAAGCGTCGGCGGGAGCATGAGAGGTCGTCGTCAGACACATGTACGATTTGAGCTGCGACGGTGCGAACGGCTCGTCTCCACCTTTCGCATGCGGTAAGCTTGATCAGTCCGGACACGGATCAGAGCATAACGCGTGACGTAGCTACTGGAGAACGATCACGTGTCAAGTAGTGCAGCGCGTCGCGAGGCGCAGCAGCGAGGGTGGGCACCGACGCATTGCCATCTATGCGCGAAATATAGTCAAATTCTCAGAGACAAATGTAGACCTCACTGAAGACATGCAATACATCAATCGCCGGTATCCGTGGGTTTGTAGCGGAAGACACGATACAGGTGTTGATTACAACGATTACAACAACAATAGGGATGGTATAAGCCAAACAAAGGTATGTCGTAGTGCAACACGATGGCAGCTCAGGCATATTCAATCGTCGTCTAGGGTCAGGTCGATAACATCGCCGCTGCTCCCGAGTCGGATAGGCAATTTTTCCCTCTTGACGGCGTTGTGGGTCAATTTGCGCCGAGCGCCTGCGTCCAGAGTTTGTCGTTCCGTCTTGACCCTCGGAGACGAGCCCGAGCCAGGTCGTTTCATGGCTTCTAGCTGTTTCTGAATTGCCTGGGCTTGTCCTTTAACAGAGTCAAGCTGCCTCTGGAGCGCGGCAATGTCCTCGTCTTTGCCGTGTTGAGCCATAGATGGGTGGACATCCGTCTGCGGAGGTCGTGGTACGGCAATCTTTGCTCTCTTGCGACTGGGCCCTGCTTCCATGTCGTCTGGAAGTGGTCGGCTGGTGCGTTTGCGGCCCGCGACTGCTTCAGGTTGAGCGTGCGCAGCAGCACCCTCGTCTTCGGGTATGATACCCTCAGCCCGGAGGAAGTCTAGTAGATTATATGTTAGCCTGACGACACATTGATGTGGAATGTCTCCACCTTCTGAGCGGTATCGGAATATGAAACGTGCGTAAAAGGGAACGCTCTTGTCAACCAACTTGCTGCATTTCTGGGTCGATATGAGACGGCAAGGGCGAGCCTCATCCAACCTGTCATCTTAATATGAGGGGACTTGGGCATGACAAAACATGACTCACGACACGCAATGCAGGCCCATCTTCTTGCTCCTCTCATGTACCATCTGATCCACTAATTTGTGCGAAGTGTTGCGTACTGGCTCTTGCCCAGTCTCAATCTCATGAGAAAGCGTGACTTCTATAGCGCCCAGTTTGTCCGAGCCCATAGGAGCATTGTCGTCATCTGCAAAGCGTATAAGCGTCTCGGCGACCTGGGAGAAAGTAGCATCTGCACCTGTCATAGCCAATGTCGCAAACTTGAACGGTCTCCGTTGATCAGCGAAAACCCTCACCCCCCAGCGACTACTCTTCACTTTCCCAGGCATGCAACGATTCGCCCCAGCGCCTATGCCGTCGACATAACATATCACAGATGTCTGGTATCTCTCGCCTCGCGTGTTAGCGCGCCAGCATATCTCGAAATTCTGCAGCCATCTATTCAGCGAGAGAGACCCCGGTTGAGAGCACAATACATACCTTTCCGATCTCGCTTGGTATGTAGCAAGCCACAGTCTTGTCGTCGACGGGGTCTACTTCGTATTCGGGTAGCCGCCCCCGATCCGCGCTCTTGATGTAGACCCGAAATTTGCCTTTTTGCATGATTGCAGATACAGAAGGTGTATGTATATGCGCAGAATAGCAGTGCGCGGAGCAGGGGGAGCCCAGGATTGCAGTGCTTTGGACTGTGTGGACTGTGGTGAAAGACGACAACCGTGCGCGTGTCCGGACAGAGTGGCCCCAGCTAACGTACGCGGATTGGTCGCGGTTCAATTGTGCGTTGCATTGAGAGGGCCAAAGCGGTTCGAATTGAACGCCACGGCCTTCTCGCGAGTTAGTAGGAGATACTTAAGCACCTAGAAACGCAATGGAAGGTGTATAGGTCTCTGTTTGCCCATGTCCAGCTGCATACTCGCAGTGTGCGGATTAATTCGATGAGTCCCTCTCGGAGGTCACGGGCGCTAAGAGGCTGGCGAGCCACTGTGATGCGGTCTTCACAGTAATTGTGAATTGCCGCAAATATGACATCAATGCAACATCAATGTACAATTAAAAAGACTCTCAATACACATGATTGTTGGCGTTGAATGAGAGGTCAATGTACGAGGTCAAAGCATGTGCCCAGCCACCGGGGAGAGCTTTGGCCGTGACAAGCGTGACCGTGCATTGCACATGTTTGGCTCTATTTGCTCTCCTCAGAAAGAGTCTCCCTCGGCCTTCGTAGGCCTTTGGGTGTCCTCACATGCATCTTTATGAAATTCTGAGTGAGTGCTAAAATTTTCCTGCCATGCTCACAGCCCACACCTGTAGAAAGCTAGGCAAAGGAGGTTTAAAACATGAACGCGCCGGTGGCGGGGAGCGAGGTTGAGCGCCCTACTAGACGCGGGAAACGGCAGGGGGCACCCGGGAGCACGTTCCGTGGAAGCAACTAGGGGGGGTCCCCCTCCCCCGACCGGTTCTCGGGGTCTTGATGGCAGCTTCCGGGCGAAGTTCCAACGGTTTTCGCTGCTCCTGTAGTATATGCTCGTTTAAGTGGAAGCTACTGGGCGAAGACAATGTAGGACACTTGAGTCCCAATCTGACTGCATAAAAGGAGTGTGTAGGACAGTGATTCACGACAAACAAGAGCTGAAGCTTGGTCATGGCCAGAATAGGATGTACACGTGATCAGATCCAGATCGTACCTATCGCTGTCTAGTCCAACTACAGCGAGGCGGCGGTGCATGCCGAATTATTAGTATAGTATTATCAAGGCAATAGAATCAATATAGTGCATGGTAACTATACTCTCTGATTTTGACGACCACAATGTCCCACCCACGCCCCCCTCCCGAGCCCAAAGAGATCATCCTCCGCAATGGGGATCTGAGGACTACTCGAATCAACTCTATCATCAGCCTTCGTCATGAGGTTGAGTGCGATCTCTGCCACCAATGGATCACGCTTTCTGGACGAGACGAACGCCCAGATCCTACGCCAATCAATCAGCACCGTGGCACACCGCAATGTGCGAGAAACAGACAGAAGTATGAACGAGAGCAGGCTGCCGAAGCCATTAACAGGCTTCAGCTTCGGCGCCCTACACCGGCAGCAAGACTTTCGAGCGAGCTTCGAGCTCAGCGCACCAAGCCTGATCAGTCCGAGTCCCCGATGCATTCTGGAACGCCGCGGGTCGTTGCACAATCCGCTGTCCCAAACTCTGGTTCGATCCCGGCGTCGCCGTTGATTGCTGGGCCGTCAGCCCACTGCGTCAGTCCCTCTGAGCCTCAGGCTCATCTGCAAGGATTACACGACATCCCATCACTTCCAAAAACCCCAACATCGCGCACTGCAGGTTGTACCTCAGGCTGTCTGTCAGATGACGAGTGACTGACCCCATTACCTCATGGCCCTCATGCAGCAGATCTACTATTCGAGTTGGGTGACACCTCGAATGTTCCTCATCCAGATCGAACTGATCAACAAGGATCGCGGCGTCCGAGTGATGGCACGCCTCGGCGGCCAAGGACTTGGAGAGATGATGACGTGAGGGAATGGCACTGGGAGGATGATCATCTGGAGGAACCTGGCAACAACTCGGAGGGCTCGCAGCCTGAGCAGGATCTATCCGACTCCGATGACGACTCGGACTCACCAAGTCCTAAGCACCCGAAGTGCCAGGGAATTCTCGTGCGGTGGACGCCAGGATCAGTCTGGGATACGTACCCTTTCCATCGTCACGAGACACGCACCTTCCCTTGGGAGCTTGTTGGAATCAGCAATCGCAATTGGCTACGTCTGCGCTCGACCTCTTGCGAACGATATGCCAAGACGAGGAATGCCACGCAGTGCGCATCATGCGAGAAGATCCCGGGTCTACCGGAGTACATCAGCTTTGTAGAGAGGGCAGACGGTGACGCACCAAAGAATACTCCGTACCAGTACCTCACGCATAAGCAGCTCATTGCTATTACTACGAAGCTTGCTGCACAAATTCGTCAGCTCCAGTTACAGGTATGCCAGTTTACATACCGTACCTAGTAATGCATGCCAGCGCGCTCAGTGCTCACCTATAATATGTAACAGACGTTCAACCAGAAGAAGAAGATCGCTCGGCGGGAACGCCGTATCAATGACCATCAGCGGCTCACGATGCTACTTGCGTCGAACGATGTCAAGCGGCTTCGTCAGCTGCTCACTGTTTCGCTGCGAAATGGGTCAAGTCCCCGGTACTTGCTTGCTCAGCTTCAGCGTGCAATAGCCGGGGTTTACAAGCCACGCGGTCCTGGAGGGCGTTTTGATACACGCGAGCTGGAGATCGCCTTCTTGGCAAAAGCGCTGGGGGGCCCACGGCTCCTGTACGCACTCAACAAGTCCCTTGGACTACCATCCCCATCGACAGTCAACGAGACGTACCCCGTACCCGAGCTTCTTCCCTGTGTCAAGTCGCCGACAAACCATGAAGTCTTCGGCAATGTTGGTCGCCTGATGGCGCCTGAGGTCAAACCGCCTGCACCTGTATATGCATCCAACAAGCGCGCAGGCTTGATTGCGATGTTTGACGGGGTGTCGATTGAGGAGAAGTGTCGCTACCTCCCTGCTTCCGATTCGGTGGTAGGCCTGTGTCGTGAACACTCAGCAGACATCGGTACGCGGGTTACCAGCATCGAGGATGTCGAGGCGATCGAGCATGCACTACACGGGGAGACTCCAAAATGTCATTACGGGAAGGACGCAACGATTGGGGCTGTAGCACCTTACGCACGCACGGATCACTATTCTGCTACGCCACTCTTCGCTTCGCCATCCTGCAAGACGGAGGTGGGTAATGACCTTGGCGTCTGGCTCCGGACCTTCTTGGATGCCTGGAAGTCACATCCATACGGAGAGAGGCTGCAGGGACCTATCTGGTCCGTCGGGAGCGATGGCGAGGCATCTTTCCGGCGGGCTAAGTTTGACCTGTGCATGGGCGAGTTGATACCTCACAGCTCGGAGCTCGGAGCCCATCTCGTGCGGATGACCGGCATGAACATGGCGTGCGGATCGGACGGCATCATAGCCACCTGTGATCCAAAGCATGTTATCAAAAGTATGCTTCAATATCGCATGAGTGTCTGATCCGTGTACTAACGATGATCTTGCAGGATTTGCGACTCTGCTGCGGAATCCTAAGGGGATCTTGGTACACGACACAAGCATCCAGGCACTCGATGTCTACCAACATCTCCAAGATTTGCCTGCAATGAATGGAGACAAAGCACGTCAACTGCTTGATCCCGCAGACAAACAGAACGTACCAAAAGCGGTTACCCTCATTCAGACAATCCTCCAGCTCAGCACAGAGGCCAAGCCCTCGACGTCACCTAGCCACCTCCATCGACGCAAGATGCTCACGTTCCTCGCGCGGACCTTTGGGTACTTTGTTCTGCCATTCACGTCCATCGACTACAGCCTCGCGCAGCAGATCCGGTCACTGGCCACCTATGCGTTCGTAATCGCGGCCATGTGGATACGACATGGAACTTCGTTCATGACAGGTGCCCTCTATGCCGATTCACAGGCAATCGTGCGAAATATTGTCATTACAACATTGCGGCTGCAGATTGTCGACAAGGACGTACCGTTCCATATCATCCTGGAAGGTACAGACCGTCTCGAACGCCTATTCTCCGAGTGCCGCACACAAGATCATAGCCGGAACTTCGATATCCTGCAACTCTGCGAGAAACTCAGTGTCAGTGCCCTCATCAGCTCAATTTTCGAGCGCAATCCAGACCTAGATCGCGGACATCGGCGGCTCAATCTCCGCAATGCACAGGGTGTCGACCACGTCAACCCAGCTTCATGGAAGGGCGATGTTGTAGTCGGCCATGTCGAAGTGGAGGTCGAGTGGGCACAGGGTCGCCGCGATGCGATTGCGCTCCTTAAAGAGTACTTCGGAGAGGGAGGACACGTGGACTTTGGTGCCCTGTTTGCTGACGGCGTGCGCGACCTGCTCCGCCCTGGTCCACAGGGCAAGTACGTTGGGTTACGGCATACAGAAGACGACGACCGCACGGAGCGCCAAGGCGATGTTTCTACCGACGCCCCACTCCCAGGAGACCCTGACGCTGGGAATGCCGCAGATCCACCTCAATCAGAGCCCGCTGCTCCAGAACCAGAAGAGTTCAACGACGTACCGCCCGGAGTGGACATTGATGAATTCCTCCCGGATACTATCCAAGCCGCAAATGGCAGTGCAAACCTACCGGAGGAGTCACCACTTGTGCACAACACCCGACGCTTCATCCAAGTCGGCGACAAACGCTTTTTGAAGTCCTCCGTTGTCGCCGCATTCCTGACGTCCAATCGGGGCAAGAAAGTCCCGATGCGGACGCTTCGCGCTCAAGGTGTCACGCTCGAGGCACTGTGTAGTACAGACAAATGGAACGCACCTGACGTAAACGGCGAAGGCGTCATCCGCTCTGGCGACACTGCGGCGACATTGGTCTGCATCTCGGAGTCGGGGACCATATGTCTTGCTGTCGTCGAGATCATGAAGTTTATGCGGCAAGGCGAGACTGCTTGGCTTACCAGCCTCGAAGTTGATGATCTCAGGCGATCCGACGGCTCGGCCGTAACGGTAGAGGTCCAGATCCTTCAGCTTGCAGAATCCCAACAGACAGGGTCTGACACCTGGCGCTGGACGAGGCAATATGTCCGCTCTGGCATCAAGAAGTCAGACAGCGAGCAAGCCACAACAAAGCAGCACACCTTGCTCATCCCCGGCTACCTGATCCATCCGCTGAGTGCCCAAATTGTAGAGCTTGCGAACGCAAACACCACCGCCCAGCCTGAGTCCGGCGAGTCGAACTCAGACCGCCCGCTGCATGTCCTGGACGCAGCCTCCGAATCCGAGTCATCTCCGAGTCACGTACAGACAACGTGGTCATACATCGCGTCTGAGCTACATGACGCGCTCAGCATCGCATGGGAGGCCCTGGGATCAAGCCCGGAAGAGCTCATGGCCAGCGTTGCGGTCTTACCAGCTCTTGAGACGACTCAGTTACCATATACTAGTGTTCGCGGCGAGACCAGTAAGTAACAACTTCAATTCATATAATATGATATTACTCACGAACGGCGAACGTGCTAGACGAGTCGAAATTTGTGGTTGTGGATCTTCCCGCAGAGTTAACTGTGGAGAAGAAGTCTGGATCCACCAAAGTCACCTGTTTTGTTTGCGGGCAGCCGGAGACCATCGCTCGGATGCGGAACCATGTAGGACAGCACCTACTATACGAACTGCGCGACGTACCTGATCCTCTGCCCCGAAAGATCGAGGTTAGTCTGGTGTCATTGCCATAGTCATGTGCTTACATATCCTGCACGCGCAGATTGGCACTGAGCCTTGCGGTTGGTGCGGACGCGATGGCAAATGTGTCACGCAGCTTGTGAAGACGGGCAACTCACGGACCATTCACTCGAGCTGTGAATATCATCATACCAAGATGAAATATGGGCCAGCATCGAAGTCGAGCAAGAATTCGCCATGTTCTAATGTCCCTATACATTGTCCGCTATGCCCATCAACCTCGGCTGGTCAACCACAGACTATATGGAAGTACAATACACTGATCCATCTCCTCACCGCGCACAGCCCTGCAGATGCAATCCGACCGCCTATCATCCCACCGCAGCTTCTCCTCGACATGCACATCACGAAATCCGAGGAAGTCTTGATGAACATCGACCGAGAGGTGACGACGAGCTACCGCGACCAGTTCGAGATCCCGGACAGCGACGAAATCGAACAGGTTATGGAGGATTTGCAGATCGGTCAGAAGCGAGGAAGGGGACAGTCGACGGTCGTGAGAGAGCCACGTTCGAAGGCAGCCAAGACGAGTTGATATGCTGGCAGACGGAGAGAGAGGAGAGCTGAGGGAGGGCTAATAGCGATGTACTGACGGACGCGCCTGGGACGCGCGTCGCGCTCTCGCGCTTGTGCGATGTATGAGTGCTTCCGCATTGGGCTAATCTAATCTTATCTGGGGGGGTCCCCCCTCAACTGGTTCCCGGGGTCTCGCTTCAGCGTACGAGGGGTTACCTTCCAGAATTTGCGTCCCGGGCGCCCCCTGGGAAACGGTGCGTGTGGCGCAAATCAACCGCGACCAATCCGCGTAGTATACCCAGCGCGTCTGGTCACGCATCAGGTGCATGTCACAGTCACAGAATTTATACTCAGGAATTACTTATGGAAGTACTTACAGCAATAAAGTGCATGGCTTGGGAACGCGGACACGCGTGAAACATAGTGACATGCTAGGTTCGAGTGACATGCTGTGAACTGGTTCCAATCTGCACGATGAGAACACACATGGCGCTACAGTGCGTGCCCGCTCGAGGTCGGTCACCACAAGATGGTTCAGCGCGCACAAGTCCGAATGAATGGGAACATACAATAGGAATAAGTAACAGCTACGAATAGCAATCTAATCGTCCAGAGTCAAGTCGATGACTACCCCACTGGCCTCTAGGCGAATGGGAGATCGTTCCTTCTTGACGTCGCTACCAGTCAAGTCGATAACATCCTCGGCAATGCCTCGCCGCTCCCTCTTGACCCTCTGCGACGAGTCGGATCCCTTCAGGCCCTTTGTCCTCGTCTCAAGGGATTGCGCTCGTCCCTGAACAGATCCGTGTCCTGGCTGGAGGTCACCGAGGTATTCGTTCCCAGCAAGTTCAGCTGCGGATGGCTTCACGTCTTTTACAGTGCGGGCAGGAGCTGCGGGATCATTCTTCCTTGCTCTTTTGCGATTTGGGCCTGCCTCTAAAATGTCTGGGTGTAGTCCGGCGGATCGGCGTTTACGTCCGCTGGGCGCTGGGCTGTGAGCGCCACCACCATTCCCCTCGTCCAAAGGCATGATGCCCTCGGCTTGCAGAAAGTCTGGGAATCAATACATTAGCTTGAGAAACCGACAGGAAGAAAGCAGCCATACCGACCTTTGGACCGATACCGAAAGATGAAGCGCGCATAGACGGGATCACTCTTGTTGATCGGCTTGATCTTCACCTTGTCATGGCGCTCACACTCACGGCTGTCTCCCAAGCTACATTGTTATATATCGCCAGAATGAGCGCAGAGTCATATTTAGAGCGGGCACTTCGACTCACGAGACACAATGAACACCCATCTTCTTGCTCTTCTCATGCACCGTGCTGGGTTGGATCGCATCCGGACGTTGTTTGAAGTGCGTTGTGCCCAGACGAACCGCATATAAGAGCTTCACGTCTATCGTTCCAAGGTCTGGATGAGCTTCCAAGCTAACAGCAAGACTCTCGTCATCTGTACATTGGTGGGTAAGCAGCAGCCGCGCTCTGCATCATCAATACAATTCGGTTACCTGTTGTGGCCAAAGGCGCAAATACGAAAGGCTTGCGTCGATTCGCAGCGTCTCTAATACCCCAGCGACTGATGTCGACGATTCCGCGCATACAAAAAGTCCCGCCAGCACTCCGGCCGTCGACGGAACACCTCATGGTGCTGTCATACTTGTCGCGTCGCGTGTCGCCGCGCCAGCAGATCTCGAAAGTCTATGATGAGGCATGTTCAGTGCAACAACCAGAGAAATGGGCCTATTGTATCACACCTTCCCGACCTCGCTAGGAATATAGCAGGCCAACGTCCTGTCGTCTACGGGGTCCACTTGATACTCCGGCAAGTTACGACCTTCGCTCCGTACGGACACCTCGAGAATGCCCTTGCGCATATTGATGAAAGTATGGTGTATAGCCGTGGTGCCAATTCGATTGGCCTGAGCAGAGATTGTCGACGAAAAGCTATATGCCGCACGAAGGGTGACTAACCAAGTTACGCCGTACGGTGGACACTGGACTGGTTGTCAATGAACGCGCCCAGCAGCCACCACACGTGATCGCTTCCCACCGGATGAAACTTTCGATCCTTCAAGTGAAAGATCGATAAAATTGACAAAATCTTTTTCACGATATTTCGTATGAAAGATTGTCAATAAAAGTCAGAAACAATCAATTAATCATTCAGACTCGAAGTATCAGGAACAGATCACAGAAGGATTCATTGACAAGTGTCTTTGATCTGTTTGTGATCCTCTAGGCAAATGATTGAGAACATGATATTCAAAAATTCTTGAACACTATGTGGCTCAATTGTTCTGAAAGGATTGAAAACAGATTGTCACATGGGGTGTTACAATCTTTTCTCAATCTTTCAGGCTGTCACAATCTGTTTCAAATCCTTCCAGCTGTTGATATCTTGGTGAGATTGGAAACAATTTGTATCCCAGGGGTTCAAAACAATTTGCCCAAAAGGATTGACAAGAGATTGTGACACTAGCTGTGACACTGTGCCACTTCCCTATGACAGAGCAGTGAAGGCAATTATGCCAAACCTATGATAAGCTGCCTTCTGCTGGTATGCTCAGTCATTTTTGGTCCCTCATTCATTGCCTGCCATCACATGAGTCTCATTAGATGCACTCAGTGTACAGGGTTGTACTTGTGATTGTACATTCCTAGAGATGTGCATCTCATTGTATGACTAATGAACATGTCCCAGACCTGTGCATGTCCAGATGCAATGAAAGAGGGACCAAAATTGACTGAGCATACCAGCAGAAGGCAGCTTATCATAGGTTTGGCATAGTTGCCTTCACTGCTCTGTCATAGGGAAGTGGCACAGTGTCACAGCTAGTGTCACAATCTCTTGTCAATCCTTTTGGGCAAATTGTTTTGAACCCCTGGGATACAAATTGTTTCCAATCTCACCAAGATATCAACAGCTGGAAGGATTTGAAACAGATTGTGACAGCCTGAAAGATTGAGAAAAGATTGTAACACCCCATGTGACAATCTGTTTTCAATCCTTTCAGAACAATTGAGCCACATAGTGTTCAAGAATTTTTGAATATCATGTTCTCAATCATTTGCCTAGAGGATCACAAACAGATCAAAGACACTTGTCAATGAATCCTTCTGTGATCTGTTCCTGATACTTCGAGTCTGAATGATTAATTGATTATTTCTGACTTTTATTGACAATCTTTCATACGAAATATCGTGAAAAAGATTTTGTCAATTTTATCGATCTTTCACTTGAAGGATCGAAAGTTTCATCCGGTGTCCGCCCCACAGGCAGTGGCGGCCAAAGGAAGCAGTATCGTTACCATCCTGCACGCCATGTCGCATAACTTGAACAACCACCACCATCTCACCGAGAGCCGAACCTCCTGCCTGGCGCAGACAGCTCCTTACTCAACACAAATCTCGCATAATTCATACAGATAGTTCTAGACGAACTCCCCGTGCCATGCCTTGTCTCCGCATCCTTGCTGGACCGTCACTCGATGACCTCACACCAATCACGGCGAACTCTGGCAAAGCGTTGAAAATCCAGAGCGATGTTTTTGAGGGGAAGATCGCGGCGTACATCAAGGGGTTTGCTGACCCGAGCGGGAACGTTAGCGACAGTGCGTATTTCGACAAGCGGTCGGGCGTGTCTTGGAGCATACAGGTGCAGGGTGAGTGACCTGCTCGAGTGTGTGTGTCTTGAGCTCACGCAGCGCTGTGCATAGGTAGATTCCTGCAGCCGCATTCCGCGGATGACGTGCTCTTTGGCAATGTCTTCGAGCGACCGCTGAAGCTCCCGTGGGGCTTCAGCGCCGCACTCAAGTTTATGCAGTACGTCTGCCTGCTACCTCCGCGATGACCATATCTGCGCGGTACTCAACGATATGTCATTTACTTCTATGCAGTTTCGTCGACCCTACGCTGGAGCAGGACCTCGCGTCCGGCAGTAAGCCATGGGCTCTTTCGCCACTCATCTCGACGATGCCGTACCTCGAACATAAGAGGGTCAACGGCCCTGAGGACGTTCCGCCGTTCCCGCCTGACGAGCTCGTCGGAAACGATCTGTCCCAATTGCAGCTAGAAAGCACCAAGAAGATGGACGTCTCCAAGGACCGCCGCACGTTTTTCAAGGACGCGGCTACCAGGAAGGAGGTCGTATTCGGTCCCGAGGTACGTTCGTTCCATTCCGTCCAGTGCCGTCGAACTGACGACGCTCTCTCCACGTAGGACTTGATCACCGCCGACTTCTGCTATGACTACCTAGACTTCAGCCCGCAAGGCGTCCAGCTGCGGCTCCCCGGAGGCATCACGATCGACATGATGAAGTACTGGGATGGACAGCGTGTTCCGTTCGTCTGCTGCGAGCGTCTGCATCCTGGCGATGAGCACAGTGAACCCTGGGGCCGGATCCTCTGGTGTATTGTCATAGAGGCTGTCGATGAGGACGAGGTGCCCGCCGCGCATGGAGGCAATGTTGATTGATGTCTCTGTGTTCCAATAGAATCCTTCCATATCTAAGAATCAGGTTTTTTTGACAAGTGCGCACACAATGAGGGCGTGTTCGTAAGTAGAGCGGTACATTGGATGATAATACACGTTGTTACACTCTGTGTCATAGTGGTCTAATGACAGTTCAGGTGGCATTCGGCGTCACAACAGTGTTCATGGATTTGATCCCAGGATGCTACGGTTTGAGGTACGTCGTCCGGCTATTAAAAAAGAGAGATATGTACTTTAATCGAGCCAGAGATTGCTGTCGAGGCCATAGAAATAGCGTAAGCAACTTCACGCGTCTGGTTTGGTGGGCTGGTCGTCGCCCGCGGCAGCCGACGAAGGTCGGTCAAGGAGACGGCTGAGCTTCTCCTCAATCCGGTCCAGCTGTTTCTTCATATCCTGCATGCCGTCATACATCTCGTCCACCTGATAGGCTATGAACTCCATCTCCGTCTGTCGTCTCGTCAGCCGTTAGTCTCGCTGGAGGACAGACAAACTGCACCTTCAGCGAGTGCACAGAAGCGGAGTCGTCATTGTCTTCCTTATCAATCAGGCCTGCGGATCCGGAGGTGATGCTGCTCGGCGGGCGCAGCGCGAACGAGCCCGCTGCCGAGGGCGCGTAGATGCTCCCCGCCCGGCTCGGCGCGGGCGCCACTGGCAGATACGAGCCTGCGCTGGCGATGCTACTCGCGCTGCTTATGCTGCTGGGCCTGGGGATGGATGCGGGCCGGATGTATTGCAATAGTCTGGGCTGGAACCCCGAGCCATTGCTAGAGCGGCTTGGTGGAGGCATGTAGGGAGTCCACTGTCCCTGGACTCCGTGTCCCTGGTTCAGCCGTACTGGCCGTGGGGCGAGCGGCGCCTCAGGCTGTCGTCGCTGGATCACACCGATGGACTGAAGTATCTCTGTGTAAAGCGAATGGTTGGGCGACCGATCAAGATAGGGTTGAGTATACGCACCAATGGGTCTGTAGTGAAAGCGGAACACCGCGAAAGGGTGCTCTGGGGAGTCCAACGGGAGGCTCGCGACGGGCAAGTTGCCAATCACAGGTTCGGAGCCCCCGAGTCTACGCGCGTACGTTTGTGATGAGTCCGAGGCCGAGAAGAGGTGGGCATCTTACACGGTGCAATGCATGGCGGCCTTGTCCTGCTGAGCCACAAGAACATTGTGTTCGAATTCGGCCACTTCGATAGATGAGATGTGCGACTGAATGAGGTGTTGCGGAACTGAGGGCGCATCATCGCCCCTGCGGCACCGCCACACCTTCAGCTCGATGAGCCCGAGGTTGTGGGTATCTGGGACCATCCATTGCATCCCAACACCTATTATATTTATCACGAACGGCAATGTGGAATGAGACAAAGTAGCACTTCACGGGAGGGGAGACGAACCAGGTAGCATGACCTGCGCGAACTTGAAGGGTTTGATCGTGTTCGGCCCCGCACCCACCTGGAACGCAGGGCTGTCTTGCTGTGGCGGGCACCCGCACTGCTGAGTGATCGTCCGCCCATCGAAGCTGCATTGTATGGAGAGCCACCACCCCGTTCGGTTATTGCAGCGAAGCCGAAATTCCTGGCGTGACCGCGACAGTCAGCGACGGACGAGCGTAATAGAGCACGACTCAGGGACTCGCCTTTCCTGTCTCGCTCTGGATGAAGCAAGACATGGTGTTTCCTGCCCCCTGATTGATGCGATGTTCGTGTATCTGCGTGCCGTCGCACTCGACGTAGATGGCGCAGTCGTAGTCCGCGGCCAGGCGGGCACGGGCAGTCCCGTCGGAGAGAAAAACGGGGCCGTCACTCGAGAAGCGCATGAAGGGCAGGAGAGAGAGAAGGTAGCGTCAGTTCCATCGAGCACAGAGTGAGTACTAAGAGCGATGCAAGAAGACAATGAACGCTGCTTGATGCATGGCATTGCATTGTGCCAATAGCCGTACTATGCAACTGCTTTCAGCAATTACGGCCTCGATATAGCCTCCATAGTGTCGCTGATCACGGTCGGCGTGAAGGATGATTGAACATTCTCTGTAAGACGTTGCGCGTTTTTGCCAGCTAACATGATGAACGTTATGGTTGAACGTTGAGACCCGAGAGCATCTTGAACCAATTGAGTCAAACTATTGAGCGCTATCGCGTCACTGGCAGTGGCAAATATCAGACGCGTCGAGTCACAAATCACATGTGCGCGTCACAATCGGGCTGCCAGTTCCGAGTCAGGATGTCGCCCAGGTGTCCGGGTCGCGCAGTGGTGACTCTGTCCGAGTCTGCCACATTAATCGGATCACCTACGTTCCGGTTCACAGGCATGTAGCTTTATTCAACAACATCTGCTGAGTTCTCTTGAATTCAAACTGCGACTTTACGCTCAACTTTAGTCAATATGCGCAAGGGCAATTTGGAGGTGTTAGTACGGAGTGAAGGCCGTGACTTGCCGGAATATCAAGTGGAACATGTAGACGACAGGACGTTGGCCTGCTATATCAATAGCGAGGTCGGGAAGGTGTGATACAATAGAGCCGTTATTCTGTTTGCTGCTGAACCTGCCTCGTCATAGACCTTCGAGATCTGTTGGCGCGGCGACACACGACGCGACAAGTATGACAGCTCCGTGCATTGTTATGTCGACGGCCGGGGTGCTGGCGGAACTTTTTCTCAGCGCGGAATCGTGGACAACAGTCGCTGGGGTGTCAGAGAAGCTGTGGATCGACGTAGACCTTTCGTGTTTGCGCCTTTGGTCACAACAGGTACCTAAATCGTATTGATGATGCAGAGCGCGGCTGCTGCTTACCCACCAATGTACAGATGACGAGAGTATTGCTGTTAGCTCGGAAGCTCATCCAGACCTTGGAACGATAGACGTGAAGCTCTTCTATGTTGTCCTTGGGGACATAAGACACTTTAAACAACGTCCGGGTGCAATCTACCCAGGCGGCGTGGTGCATGAGAAGATCAAGAAGATGGGCATTCATTGTGTCTCGTGAGTCGAAGTGCTCAGCTCCGCACATGGCTTTGCGCTCATTTTGGCGATGTGAAACAACGCAGTCTGGGAGACAGCCGTGAATGCGAGCGTGAAGCCAAGGCGAACATGAAGGTGATTAACGAGAGCGACCCCATCTATGCACGCTTCATCTTTCGGTATCGATCCAAAGGTCGGTATGACTGCTTTCTTCACGTTCTCAAGCTAATGTGTCTATGCTTAGACTTTCTGCAAGCCGAGGGTATCATGCCTTTGGGCGAGGGGAATGGTGGTGGCGCTCACGACCCATCGCCCAGTGGACGCAAACGCCGATCCGCGGGACTACACTCCATCAGGAAATAACCCACCTGAGAATTACCGTAAACACTGAAGAATCATCAAGCTTTCGCGGTAATATTGAGTTTTACCTCGTATCTGATAAACCGCAGAAATAGCCATGTCCAGCCTCGTCGAGTCAGAATTACGAGGTTTCTCAGGCAGTAGCTGGACATTACTTGGTGTTTCTGCATACAATGCAGGTACTATTCAGCTCTCCTGACCATATTCACAGCACGGATTCATATGCACATGATAATGGGTCAGATAAATGATATTGACGACCATCTATTACAGTAGCTACAGTATCAGGTCTCTACATTCTGCGTAGTATCTTCCAGCCATGACCCTCGCAAACACCGCATCCGCACGCCCCACCCGTCCAGCCACGCCCATCTGTCTAGTGTTATGCCCTTCTTCTCGCCGACCTCAGTGTCACGCCGTGTGCCCGAATAATACGGTTCTTCAAGCATCTCCCTCACCGCATCCCAGAACGCCGCCAACCTGTTCTGACGTTTGCGCAGTTCGAGGTCCGACACGGTCAGGCCAGCGCGCCGCCGCGCCTCCACGACGGAGAAGTCCTTCACGAGCGCGAACCCGCTGCCAGGCTCGCCGACGTGCGCCTCAAGCTTCCCGATCGCTACCGTGCCATCGTCGGCGAGCGTCCCGCCTGCGAGGGTGATGAGCCACGCGAGTCATGCGGCGAGGTGCAGGTCTGCAAGAGAGAGCCAGTCGCCTATCGGTCACGCGGAAGGAGATCCACGCCCACAACTCAACGACGACACCCCGCTCAGAAGCCCATGCCGCCCATACCGTCGCCCGGTGCCGCAGGAGCCTTCTCTTCCGGAGCCTCGACGACGCACGCCTCGCTTGTGGTGAGTAAGCTCGCAACACCGGCCGCGTCGACAAGCGCGGTACGAACGACCTTGAGGGGATCGACGATACCGCCCTTGATCATGTCCACCCACTCACCCTTGCTCGCGTCATAGCCCCAAGCGAACTTGTCCTCCGCGCCGTACTGCTGGATCATGGTGCCGACGAGGACAGAGCTTTCCTCGCCCGCGTTCTTGAGGATGGTCCGTGCGGGGTGCGAGAGCGCGCGCTTGATGATGGACACACCGAGGTCCTGGTCGAAGTTGGCGGTCGGGATGGGCTTGACGTCGGGCGAGGCCGTCGCCTGCGAGCCAGGAGCTTTGCTGGTGAGGGCGAGGGATGCCTTGAGGAGAGCGACACCACCGCCGGGGAGGATACCCTCCTCGATGGCCGCGCGCGTGGCGTTGAGGCATCGTCGTAACGGTCCTTCTTCTCGCCGACCTCGACCTCGGAAGAGCCACCAACCTTGATGACCGCGACACCGCCCGAGAGCTTCGCGAGGTGCTTCTGGAGCTTAGTACGGTCATACTCACTTGTCGTGGGCTCCACAATGAGGGAGCGGATCTGTTCGCAGCGCTGCTGGATAGCATCCTTGGAGCCCTCGCCGTTGAGGACAATGGTGTCCTCCTTCGTGATGGTGATGGACCCGAAAGAGCCAAGCATGTCGGGGGTGAGCTGCTCGAGCTTCATGTCGAGCTCGTTGGTGACAACCTGGCCGCCGGTGAGGATGGTGAGGTCGCCGAGGACGGACTTGCGGTTGTCACCAAAGCGAGATGCCATTGAGTGCTCATGCATGACGTGGCGCCTGGCAGTCGCCGGATCCCTGGCAAAGAGTCATGTGACACAGCAACCCGCTGGCACGCAACTCAAAGTCCCCGGCTCAGTACTTTGCACCTCGACGTCGCCCCTCCGCCCACGACTTTCATCTGACAAATAACACACCCGGCCAAAATGGACTCGGATGATATAGGGGACGCCTCCGCGTGGCTGTACAACGACACCGTTGACAGGGAAGGTGCGTCTGCTCTGCCCGTGATAAGGACGGCGCGACTGATCACTGGCACAATACACGCCCGTGCCCTACAGGCGAACATGGCGCACGCTGTAAGCGGACCACTTCTTCTCGCCCTCGCTCCTCCTCGCAGAGCGCATCGGGCGCGGGCTCATCCCGCTGGAAGCGAAGACTGGTATGTACGCCCCCTCCCGCGCTCCCCTCAGTCACGCACCGGATGGACAGTGGTCGAGTTGGGCGCGGGGTGTGCGTTGCTATCGCTCCTCACGTCCACCCTCGCCCGCCCGCCTTCCCTCGTCGTGCTCACGGACTATCCCGACGCGCCGATCCTCGCCAACCTCACGCAGAACCTCCAGCAGAACGTGTCCCGCGTCTCACAGGGGTGCACCGTGCACAGCCGCGGGCATGAATGGGGCTAGGACCCCTGGCCACTCCTGTACGTCGACCCCACATCTGAGTCGGTGCCCCGGCGCGACTGACAGTGACAGGAAACCTCAAAATTTCTTTCGTGGACGCGCCGACGGACTGGCAGATCCAATGCTCACACTCGCCTCCCTTGTATGTTACCTACGCGCCACCGACTCAACCAAATACGATACGCAAGCCCCTTTCTTTCAAACCTCGGGCGGGCGCGGTCAGCCGGGCTTACCCACCTTGTGAGCGGACGCATAATTTGCAAGGCAACTCGGACATGCACCTCACAGCAAACGCGGATGTGTACGTGCTCTCTCTGTGCTAGTGACGGACTCGGCGGTGGAGGTGGGTGAGTGATCATGTAGGCTACTCTTAGATAGGCAGTCAAGAGATGCGCGCGATGTACAGTACCTTACCCAAATCGCAATTGATATGTCTACTATTCGAACTTCGCATGGTGGTGCCCAATACATGCATGCTACCCATGTACTATACCGACTCATGACAGTGAATGGCGCCATGACTTGCATGCGCCATTCCACGCTTTCGGCGAAATATCACTTGTCCCCACTTGCACTGGTATCGGAATAGATTTACTTAGAAATTACTGGCACGTTCTCACAAGGTGTACACTGCTCTGAGAATTCTTGATATTAGTCTCGGAATGATGGTCGATTACTGACCTTCTGAGTATTCCCGAGAATATCGACCATTGCCCGGGAATTCTCAGGGGGGTATTTTCCTGATGTCGGAGGCAGGTCCAAGCCGAAAAAGAGCAAGGACGAATGACCCCGCAGCTCCCGCCCGCACCGTAGAAGACGTTAAGCCATCCGTAGCTAGGAACGAAGACCTCGAAGATCTCGAGATTGAACTCGATTCTATTCAGGGACGAGCGCAGATCATTCAGGCGAGGATAAAGGCCCTGAAGGCATCCGACCCGTCGCAGAGGGTCAAGAGGGAGCGGCGAGACATTGACGAGGACGCCGTTTACTTGATTAAGGGCAACGTCAAGAGGGAGAGATTCCCCATTCGCCTAGAGGCCAGTGGAGATGTCATCGACTTGACTCTAGACGATTAGATGTTGAGTATATCTTCCCACCTACACAGGCGACCGACCTCGGGCGGGCAAGCACTGTGGTGCCGTGTGTTGTTCTCATCGCGCAGATTGGAATCCATAACAGCATGCCTATGTTTCACGCGTGTCGCGCGTGCTAGTTACCCCTAGGCAGACTGCAAACACGACCTTCTTGAGGGGAGGAGAGCGGCGCGCGTGCCAGTTCAAATGGTGTGCGCGACCATCGTGACTGGGCCGCAACCACTTGAGTTCATCCTACTAGCGCAGGCATATGCAGCAGCTTCACGCATTCATGGGACGGATACTTTGAAGTATACTCTCGGCAACCTTCTCAAATCTAGTCGACAATGCAAGACATGTTGATGATCATAAGCACACCGTGAGCAAACCTTCTTCATGAGTCTGGCGACCCATTGTGGATATAGGCGCCTTATCATTTCCGAATGCATTCATGTTTCGCTCACTGGCTTGATGATGGCTGCAAGGCTAACGGCGTGTAGACAGATATCCCTACCGAAGCATCGTGCTATTCCTATAGCTAGGTGGTGTCGCTGCGCTATGTACATACATCTTGCGTCAACGATAGCTCATTCGATGCCAAAAACACTTTGATTATCCAGGTTCCCGGTCCGCGGTCCCATTCCGTTTCGAGCCATTTTGTGGCTCATTTCTTGCTCATACCTGTCCATGACGTCACGCACGGCTCTACGAAGATCACTACCTGTCGACCAGAGGGTCCACGTATAAAAGGCACGTTTGCTGGACGAAAGGCCTTTGTCTCTTGCCATCATCCTCTCCGCGCTCCCAACCGGCACAGACAAATTTACGAGCTGTATGCGAGCGCACCGCGAATGACGACCCATTTTGAAGCCGGTCTCGTTCTGAATGTTAATTACCGTGGCCAGATACCGTATGGTGCGTGATAGACGAGGCTCTTGCTGCGGAGTGACCGGGATGATCCTTGTCTGGCTCAGGATCCTATGATACAACATCGCTGAGATCAAGTATGGAAGCTATCTAGTCCAAGCCCCGGTGGTAAGCCTCGTCCGCGCCATGACGATCTGACATTACTTACGGGCGGCGTGAGGCCTACTTGAAGCGGCCCCGAAGTCTGACGGCGGTCACGGTATGCCGGCGAATCGGGCCTCGGGCATCTCGCCCAGTACGATCGGAATCATCGGATTCGTAGGCCATCATTTCTTCTGTTTCTCACATGTCTGAGCGCATTCTGAACAGCTTTTGTCATGGTCGCTGCAACTTGATGCAGCCACACTGTCCCAGCTGCTGAATTCTGAGTAAGTCGTGGGTTTCACATCGCACCTTCCCCCTTACGGAATGCCGCTCCAGCTATTTTCGGCTGGCCGCATCTGTTGATGACGACACCTTCTCAGGCTTCCGTACCTGCCTTGGAAGCTGCCAGTGGTGTTGAAGCATCTCCTTCTAGTCATCGCTCAGCGATGTTGTACTGTTCAACTTCACGATCCTGTGATAGGGATGCACTGCAGCTCAAGGCATCATCTCGTCGCACACAAGACGCAGCCGAATCGCCTCAGATCAAACCCAGGCGACATTGTGGGCTTCGAGCGGCAAAGCGACACACGAGGGACCCGGGGCGAACGCTCGTACCGCCAAGATAGGCAGATGCGGCGCCGCGATTGGGCGCCTCGAGGTACCCGGTGTGCAATTCTGCATGCTGATTGGCTGGAAGGAGCGAATCCGCACACGGGGGCCTGGGCCTGGCTGGGCAGCACTGGCGTCGAGCGTGTTGTTCCTGAACAGGACGGTCGCCGGTCGGACGCAGAGGGCTGCCTCCGTGGGGAACAGAGCTCGCCGCTACGCCCATGTCACTACTGTCTGCTCACTTTTAACAGCAGTCACTACTGATAATCGCACTCCTGCCACCCCAGAAGTCTGTGAGTACACCGTTCTCCTTCACCCCAGAGCTGACGCCGCACGTCGTGTGTCTCGTCTCTGCCCACTCCCTCTTGCCCGTGGACTAACTGATTTGTTCGCAGGTGCTGAGTCGGTGCTCTGCATCAACGGACCTCCCCGCATCCGCCACTCCTTTCGGATCACACTCGTTCACAAAAGCAAGCAGCGCCCCGTCGTGCGCACCTGCGAGGCCCACCCTCCTAACGATCGTTCATGTTCACGCCCCCGCCGTCGCCCGACCCGCCCCGCACGCATCGCGGTCGCAATGAACACAGACCCTCATGCTCATTCGATGCCCCAGGGGAACCGTTTCTGACTGTCACGCGATCGAGCTCACCTGCGACCTCGTCTTCGCGTTCGAGCAGTCCCTCTCCGACCCCGGTCTCATCATGTACGACCACTCCAGACGCCCATCTAGCCACCTTCGAGAAGTCGCACGCCAGTGTCGACCAGGCGCACCTGCGCATGCTGATGAAGAAACGCCGCAACGCACGACGACTGAAGTTCTCTGTCCTGGTAGTGCCCGCGGCTCTCATTATCATCACCCTGTCTACGCGGTACATGTCGCACCCCGCCGTACTCGACGTGTTCTCTGGGGATAGTGCAGCGCCGGGATGGCGAGCGCTCGCAGCCTCGGTGCTCGACTGGGAGGGCAATATTCACGAGCGACACGACAAGCGGGAACTGGAATATCAACTAGACCTCGAGGGCCGGTCACCACAAACAGCCAGCGGGATCTCCTTCCCCTCCGAGACGGCCACAAGCGCGTCGACTGCGTCCGCCACGGCTACTGCGACGTCCATCATGACTGCGTCCGAGACGGACACGAGCACGGCGCCGACAGCGACCGTGACCGACAACTCGGCTGCCCCGACAATACCTGCGGAGGCACCGGTGCTCCCGACCCCGTTCCCGCAGCCATTCGACTCGACGGGGATCACGACGAACTTCTCGACGGATGGCTGCCGCGAATTCTTTGTCAACATGACTCAGACAGCGCCGTTCCGCGAGTGCAGGCCGTTTTCGCTGCTGGTGCAACATTCGAGCGCGTTCATCGAGGTGCGTCCTTCCTTTCGGGCTTAGGGTTTCGGGGCTTGGACATGTTCGGTGTTCGCGTGAGCGGGGTATCGCAAATTCCGGGTGATGGGCAGGAGTGATCTGCACAGACGTGATCGACGACGGCCTCGGCTGTGATCGTGGGCAGGAACCGGCGGCGGGAGACATGTCTCCATGCTGTCCCGATGCGCTGTGCAGATCTACCCCGGCTCGACACTTTGATCGATAGCTCGCTTCTCCTATCATACCCGTCGCCCCTCCCTCCCGGGTCGATCTCCGTATGACGTCGATAGCTGATCTTGGGAGGACAGGCCCAGTTTAACCTCACGGAGCTGAATAGCATAATCTGGGGAACGTGTAATACGGACCTCAGCGCGGACCAGTGCGAGGAGAACATGGCGTATTTCGCGGACGCGCTCCAGGACGCGTGCTCGACAGACCTCAAGGCAAACAACCAAGTTGCTGTAAGCAGCCTACTAGGTACGATCCACCATTCTTTCACATCCCCTTTGATCATTAACGTGCCTGCAATCGATCAGGCCTGCAAACCTACTCATTCATGCGCGAGACCGCGTGCCTCTCCTCATCAACCAACACCTACTGCTACGTCTCCGCGTTCTCCTCCACAGCGCACCCCGCAGACGCGTATTACTACACGCTCCCGCTTGGCACCGCCCTCCCGAACGCGAGCGACCCCAGCTGCTCCTCGTGCACGCAGCACATCATGGAAGGATACGTGGACCAGGGCCTCAACACGAGCGGCCTGCAGCAGACGTACGCGGCTGCGGCGGTGTTGACGAACAAGGTGTGCGGGACGGGTTTCGTGCAGGAGATGGAGACCAAGAGCAGTGCAGCGGAGCGGGCGTGGGGAGTGGATGTGGGGTGGTGGGTCGCGACGAGTGTGTGCGTAGTGAGTACGCTGATCGCGATGGCCGGAGCGTGGTAGTAGCGGGGGAGGTCGGCAAGTCAAGTGGGCAAACACGGACACTTGCATGGTTTCTGGAGGGCATTTCCCTTTCGGTTGTTGCGTCATCGGTATTTTTGTTGGTCGAAATTTGGGCTGCGAGGACTTTGCATGTTGTGTTTTGTTACTGCTAAGTACAGTACGTCGAGTCTGCTACTCGAGGTCGTACTTACACATGGTTTGGGCTATTCGTCGCGCGCGATCATTCTTTTCAAAGCTGCTTCTACGCCCATACCTGGCCGCTTGCTACCTTATTATTCGTATATTATCTGTCGTGTAGTCTTTCACGTTCTAGACTCTTCTACTACATACGGGTGCCCGAGCACAATGCACATGCCTCTCATGCCACTAGTGCCACTCATGGGTGTTAGTTGTGTTGTGCACGTGACATGACAGCGACGGCCTCACACGTTGCTGTAAGAATAGCGAAGTCTGCTGAATTCATCTCGTTCTCGTTCTCGGAAACAGACTTTCAGTAGCTTATAGCAATTGCTTGCGACATAGGATGAGCAAGTTTTGCACAATTCGCTCTGATCACAATCATGCGAAGCGGCGGGCGGCAATTGCCAAATTGAGACGCCGCGCCACTCGATACGGCGACTGGCCGCCTTCGTGCCACTCACCCGCGTTTCTCGCCACTGCCCGAAGCTTGATTAATTGATTGTCTACCAAGTACTGTTTCCAGATGCCGTACTTTCCCCGTACTTTCTTTGCCCTGGCCGAGAGCCTTGGACGTGGCTTCCGAATCCTAGCTTCTGTGCAGACTCGCAACCTCGCGCTGCTTCGCTCGACGCTCTTTGGCCATGGACTATCGGCGACTTGAGAAGCACAGGCAGCACAGCTCAGGCACCTACACTTTGACCGACTATTGTCATGATCACGCATGGAGGGATCTCGCTTGATCAATAAGATCGAGATCTTACGTGCACCGCAAACCTCCGCGAACACGTTTGCTTTGACTATGCCCCTATTGTCACAAGCCAACCCGAGTGCTATGCTACCGCCATCCTGTACAACACAAAGCGCTTCGCTTCCCCTACTGGCTGCCCAGCCTGTACTTATGGCCCCGGACTGTCGGCGTGTCCCTGGAACGAACGTCTTCTCTCACTCCACATCGCAGCCATGCGCGTACGAAGATACGATGCCACCCTTGGCAGGACCGACACCGGCCGATATGAGGAGCACGAGTATGAGGTACATGGCACTGTAGCGAGCTGCTACCTCGAGATACCTCGAGAAAGACCTGTAAGTGGCTTCACCTCCAATGCTCTTGCTCGAAGTCGCGTTCTCATGCCCTGCGCCTTCCATATACCCAGAGCTATCTCTGTGAGTTTCACAACGCCACAGACTGTGACGTCCGTGTCTTCATGTCGGCATCGGGGTATGGCCTGTGCAACTCGAATCACTTCCGCCCCTGGGAGCGTGGGTGCATCAACCAGTCGCCGGACCCGAACGAGGTGGATCTGCGGGCCAACGGCCGGGGGAAAGACGTCAAGCTGGCGCCAGTCCGGCTGCCTCCGGATAGTAAGTCTCCCATTGAACGAATCTGCTCTTGTCGCTTATCATTCATTGTCTGCGATGTTCGTAGACCCTCACTTCGCAGCACACCGGGGCATAGTAGAAATCCGCGTCTTCAAGGTCGCGCCACTCACACAATCAGAAAACGGCGAGAGCACCAGTGGACAGCCCTCCGCATCTGCCGCGCCAGCGCCAACACCGTGGTTCGTCTCTCCCGAAGTATGGGCACACCCGGACGCCGTCTTTCAATTCGTGATCGCGGATGCGGGCCTCCCATTGCACCACGAAAGACACCCACCCTCTGCGGCGACTATGGCGCGCGCTAGGACATTATGCTCCTCGACGCTGCCTGTCTGCCTACCTCCGTTCGTTGCTTTGAGGTCGCCTTTGCAGCCCACACCTCGTCCTCCGCAACCGGAACCTCTGCCTGTGCCCGAGATATGGCGCCCCGCTCCCTTTCTACCTGCGCCAGTCCCTCACCAACTCCTCTCTCACTCACGAGCGCAACGCCACCCCAACCGTGGACTCAGAGTCACTACCGACCTCGGCGCTCGGGGGCTCATCAGTGGCGCTCAGGCTCGTCCAGGAGTCGGCTACGCCGAAGGACGACCCCCGCAAGGCAGTGCGGTCGCTGGCGAGCCTACGCAAGCCCACGGACGCGCGGCCCTTGTGGCGCGGTTCTACGAGACCCAAATGCGGCGGGACGCGGTGCGATCTCAAGAACGTATGCGGAATCACCGGTTCAGGACGCTTGGCCTATGAATCATGCGCTATTTTGTTCGATGTATGCTACCCTTCGCATGTTTTGTTATGCGACCTACGATATGTACGCCCTTGTGAGGTCCCATCAGAACATACCGTGTTCTTCTCTGCCGTGCCTCCGTACTCTCTCCGCGAGGATTCCTCAGTGACTCCTCGTGCTACCTTGTTCTTGACGCCACCGTCACCACTGGTGGTGAACTGGAATTCTTAGAAGGTCGCCAAGCACATGCACACTGTGCACCGGCCAAAGCAGCGGTATCAAATGACAGAGCTTCGCGAGATTCATCTGAACAGCGTGCGGGCTCTGTTATTGTGGTTTACGACATGTATGCTGCCCTTCGTACGTACTTCAGGGCCAAAGACAGTGCTTGGCACTGCTACGTCCGACGTCTACGTTGCCTCAGTACGACGGGCGCCTGATAGACACCCCGGAATGGCAACTAGCTTGAACGCCACTCGGACGCCACTCGGACGCCACTCCGAGTCGGATTACGACCATACTCAAGTTCCTTAGGACTCCCACCCGGCAGCTTAGCTCTTGCTTTACTTCAATTTCGGGCGGCTGTCGCGACAGAGGACTGGTATCTCCCAAGTCCGAACTTCCTTTGGTCGGGTTCTGAATGCCACCGGCTTGATGCCATCGTGGTAGCTTCTGCCACCTCAACACCCTGTACCGCAGCAGCCGGTGCTGCACACCGGGATGCATCTGATAGAACCACCGAAATGCGCGAGTTCACCTTCATCTTGCTATACACAGGTACTCCGCGAACCGCCCTACCCGATGATCTTCTCTGTGAGCCTCGTGGTGTGTGCGTTCTACAATTGACTTTGGCCGTCCCGACGCTGCCGCCCACTGCCTTCCGCGTCGTCATATGGGATACCGTATCTCATTGAATCGAGATTCGGTTGACGATGTATATATACGATGTTATTGTGCAGTGGGATACTCGGACCCGGCTCACTACTACCAGTTGTCATTCGCAAGCATGCGCCTCCTCGATTACAAGGTAACGCTCGTCTCCGACAGCAGCGATTCGGAACCCGTAGAGGAATTACAAGAGTATGAACGCGAAGTACACGGGAATGTTGCGAGCTGCTACGTCGTGTATCACAGCAGTCTGCGGGATGTGAGTATAATCGCTGTAAGATTTACTGTCACACATAGGGCCGATCGCTGACGTTGATCCGTTGTCTAGCGGTACAAGTTCAAGTGCCGTAACTATATGGGAGAAGGCGTCTACGTCTCCACCTTACTCAATGGCAAGAAAGTTTGTGAAACGACGTACTTCCCGGATGGTACCCGCAAGCATCTACGCCTGACAAAGCTGGTGCGTGAGTCACACCAGGCGGAACAGTTTCAACTCCCTGTATTGTCTGATGGTAAGTACCGTGTCCCATCACATCCCTCCATCTCACGCATTTGCTCGTAGACCCTGATCCTGCGGTCACGGCGTGGATAGTCGAATTCCGCTTATTCGAAGAACCGGAGTCCAGCCAGCCTGGGAACGTAGATCCTTCCGCTGTAGCGTCGTCCGTCGAAGGAGGCCCTCCCTCTAGAGGACGCCGCACCTGGGAGCCCTCTCCCGAACAGTGGCAGCATCCTCACGCAGTCTTGCGATTCGTCTTCTCAGCGAAGCCAGGTGGCTGTAATAACCCCACTCAGCAAGCCGAGGACATCATGGCGAATGCTCGGACGTTCTACCCGCCCTCTGTCGCTCTCCCCCCTGTGGCAGCCTCCGAGTCGTCGAGGTCTGGGGAATCCAGGTTCCACGAGAGACGGCGAGATGAAGAACGCAAGGCACGCACGGCCGAGAGGAAGGCGAGGAAGGCCGTGAGGAAGGAGGCAAGGAAGGCCGCGAAAGAGGCCGCGAAGGACGCAGCGAAGATAGCGGTCAAGGCGGCAGTGAGAGCGACGGCACAGGCTAACGTCAGCGGTGGACTGCCTATGCAGGCCGGTACTTCTCGACAGGGCGGAGGTTCAGCGCAGGGACGCCGCCAGAACGTCTCGACTCGGCGGACTGGGTTGAACTGGGGCGTGTACGAAGACAACTTCCTCGAGTTCTTGCAGCTTCTGCAGGTCAGTCTCCAAGCATGAGTCTCGTGATAGTGTCTGAAAATGTACTCACACAGACTGCAGGAGCGGGCCCTTGAAAAGAACAGTGACTTCAAGAACGCGCAGGTGACGGGAGACTCGGATCGTGGCGCGATTGGATCAACGATGGATGCCGACTGAAGTATGCGATATCTCTATGCCATCCGCACTCACTCTGTACTACTACCATGCCGCACATTCTATGCTCTATGCCAGTATGCCTTTATGCCAACACCCGCGACCGTGAGTTGCTATGCTCCCGACGTATCGATCTGGGCCCACTAGCAACATCATGCATCATGACTCGGATGCATGCCAAACGCTCAACGTCAACTCTGACCGGCCATGACAATAACTGCCCTGGGTTGCCTTGACTACCGGTACGCTCCGTTTGCTTGGTCCTTTCTTCGCCTCATCGTGAATCTTAGACAGTGCACTCTTGACTCGTGAACAATGGTCATGCCGCCGGGCTTGGCAATATTGCTTCAGTACGCCGGGCGCCTGCTAACGACGGGTGGCATTCCCAAACAGGCAATGGTCAAGTTGAAGCCCACAATCCGACTCGTTACAGTATCTCGACCGCGGCGTCCTCAAGACGGTTCCCTCACTCGTCGACATATCGTGTTGTCCAACACCATGAACTCGATCTGTGAGGTCATATGGGCCCTCAGGCTGATACCGCCGTCTACCGCCACTCAGGCTGAATGGCGCCGTTCGACTCAGAGTTGAGCAGGTTGCCGCCTGCTGACATAAATGGTGCGTACACGTTGCAAATTACAAGACAAAGCCTTCATGAGGAGGTGCCGACTTGACTTGCCAATCTTGGCACGAATCTCGTTGCTAGGGGCAGACTCGCGGGGTGTAAAGCGATCGCTTTGACTGTGGCCACGCCTTCTGGGCCACGGCGTCTTGAAGCGCTTCGATGTGGCCGCTGCCCATGCAGTATATATATAAGCCTGCCCATCCTTACAGTCCCGCAATTTGTCTTAACTCCTTCTCTGGTTTGCGATGGTTGAGTTTTCTCGTCGGGGATGTTATCAGGCGACCATGGTCTCCGATGGGCCGGATCTTACGGATCCTACGGATCCTGAGTCGCCTCTCAAGGAGTCGCTTCTCAAGGAGTACGATGTCGAGGAGCATGGGATAGTTGTAAGTAGCTTTGTTGAGGCAAATTGGAAGCAGCAGGCGGTGCGCATCATATCAACTGTGTCCGACAGGATTATCGCTGACTTTCGACGTTGTTCTAGACTTACCGGGTGAAGTGCTACAATAGTACTAGTCATGGTGTCTATGTGTTTGCGCTCTACAACGGCAGAGCCCTGCGATCGGCGACCTATTTGCAAGCTGGAACTAGCGGCCGGTTGCAGACGGCGAAGCAGCCCTACGCTAAGGGACAAGAGAAGGCGTCGCGAAGAGTTTATGATGAAAATGGTAAGTACTTGAACCAATGTTTCCCCACTCACATGATACATCTGTTCGTACTATTTCTTAGATCGGCACCAATCCACCGGAATCGTGGAAATCCGTTTCTATGATCCCAGTGAAGGCATGCCAGTGCCCTCCTTTGAACCGGACACAATCTACCCCGACCACGTCGCCATCTTGGCCAGAGAGAAGACTCCGTTCGAGAAACAATGGCTCCCCACTCCCGAGCAATGGGCGAATCCACACAAAGTGATTCGCTTTGTCTACACGGGCAAAGGCGGCTACGCCAACATAGACCAGAAACGCAAGGACATCATGGCGCGTGCCAGGGTCTTCCGCCCCCCATCGTCACACGAGTTCGTCCTACCTCCCATTGCAGCCTTAAGCAGTCCAGTGGTAGCCAAGGAGCCTACGACCATATCTCAGGATGTTGTGAATTTTTGTGAGTTTGTGGGCTTTGTGTGGGTGAGTAATCCGTAGCCTCCTCCTAAATCCACAGCGCTGACAATAAGTCTAGCAACGGGCAGAGCAAGAACAGGCATTGGCCATGGGTCTTGCGGAAGCAGAAGCTATTCCAGAGAACCACGGAGCGGATGACGCGGCGATGGATGTCAATTGATAGGGCCGACATGCTCACCCAAGCTTGGTTTCCTATCTTATGTTCTATTACTACGTGTTCTGTCATCTTATGCACTATGTTTCTATGCCTCTCCCTATGATCGCCTGCCTGTGAACAAGATCGCGAGGACGCTGTCATGACTCTCGAGCTTGGACACTATGGCCAGCTGTTTGGAAGGTGGTCGTCCGACGTCGATGCGCACTATCCCTGACTCGGTCTCACGTCGTTCGTAACATCGTGATCCCATGGACATTAAATCGCATATCATACAAGTGTAGGTGAATTAAACAATGAAATAATCGGTAGAGGCGAGTGACGTGTGATGGGTCATGTTATGAGAGGCATCCGATGAGGCAGACTCCAGAGAACCGGCAGGGTGATGCTAGTCGTCGTCGTCGTCGTCTTGGGTAAGATCAATAACATCAGCGTCGACATCAATGACATAAGGATGTCGCCTAGGCGCAGGTGGGAGGTCGTGCAGTCGCTGGGGCTGATGGTACGGGGCGGGCACCTCGTGCTGAGCGCTTCTAGCGCGCAACATGTTCTGCAACAGTGCAAGTTACAGAGCCAGGTTCGATAGAAGATACGAAGGCATACCTCGACTTGCATGTCGTCGTAGTACTCGGAGCCCAAGCGTTCCGCGAGTGGCCGTGGCTCGGCCTTCACCGGTGCTTGATAGTTTGGGGGGCCCGCGCTGCCGGCATTCGAACCCATATAGAGCACAGAGGTGTTCCGTTTCCTGCTCGGGTGGAACGCCGCGGGCTGGTCTTGATAGTACGCTTCTGCACCATCGTCTCTCGGTATGATTCCTTGCGCTTGCAACATTGCTACGGGTGACAGGGCTCTTGAGATGTCAAGGCATTTCATGCGTGTGGCGCACCTCTTGGTTGATAGCGGAAGATGAAGCGAATGTAGGGGTCATTCTTTCCATCGAGGAATATCCTTCTTGGTCCTGAGGGTGCGTAGGGCTCGCACCATTTGCCCTCGCCGAGTCTACGCAAGAGGCAACATATAGCTCGATGAGGTTACATGCCACGGTAGCTGGACAAACCTGACACAGTGCGTCCCGGCCTTCTTGCTCCGTTCGTGTACAGGTGGTCGATCTGCGTATTCCTGAGGCCGACGGTGATGGTTGGGCCGGAACTCCTCGTGTGAGTATCTGATGCGATATACCCGGACTTCAATGACGCCTAGGTTGTTGTTGCTCGGGTCGTCAGGATCGGCCATGTCGTCGTCGTCTGGAGAGCTGATGTCAACGCTGTGGTGTGCTCAGTAGATCGGGAGGCCCAACACAGCCCAGCGCAAGCCTGTGGCGCCAGATAACCAGGGAGCGCGACTCCGTAGGTTTGGCTGCGTTCGTGACCGCTCGTGAGCGGAGAGCACGCCAAACGAGCGTAAGCAGGCCACATCGGGAGGCAGTCCAACGTCTTCACTGGAACGCCACTTGCATACGACTTGTGGCTTGACGTGTGAGACGTTGTCGTCGTTGCGACAACTACGCATGTGTATCTTCCCCAGTTTGAGGCGGGGCTTGGTCATGGTGTTGCCGCATAGTGAGAGTGCGCTATCATAGAACGGGGTACCCGCTGTGTGCGTCGACTCTGTTCTGGTCGTGCAGCACAGTCTTGACCGCTTGTGGCGCCAGTTGCTACTCTAGTTGAAGCATAGAGAACGCACCTGTTGTAGTAAGCGGCGCAAACTGGAAGTATTGTTTGTAGTCTCCGCCGGTGCGGACACCATTCCGCGCACCCCTCTGCCCCGGGTCGACATTTGAACATCCCATGCGCTGACCGTCCATAAAGCACTCCGCAGCCGCCGGCCCGTACAGATCGTTCTGCCACCTCACTGCGAAGCTCTGTGACATGAATGGCATGCGTCTCTTGAGTGAGTGAGACGAGTGCGAGTGGGATGTGGCGCTGACCTTGCCTGCTTCGCTAGCGATGTAGCACGACACGGTGGTATCGTCTACAATGCGAAAGTCATACTCGTCGACGATATCTCCGTCGCAGAAGACGAAGGTGTGCCAGTCCTTGAAAAACATCAAGCGTTGCAGTGGCGGGGGTAGCTGCGTGGTGAGAGGAGACAAGACGCGTTCCCGAATCCCGAGCCATTGTTCGCCGCTCTTGGCGTAGGCGCGGTCACATGATATGCTACGCGACACAATTACGGGACGTCGTACACATCGGTTCCGGGAACGTCACAATAGCCTTGATCTAAGTTGTATTGTTAGACAGGTTCTCTTCTCCAGTCTTGAGTAGTTACGGCGTTGATGGTGGGCGTATCACTGGCTTTCATGCCCTGAATACAGCAAGAATTTCGCAGAGATCCCAGAGCGCATGTAGGTCGTAGATAGTACATGCTATACATGACTACTGGTCTATGAGGTGGGCGACGTCTCTATCCAGGCGCGATGCCTGTGCACAAGCTCTGCGACGATATCCTCCTCTACCTCCTTTGTTAAGTCTTGCGACGGGTCTATCCGTACCCAAGTCTCGACGTACTCGTTGTCTAGCCCCGGAGATGGCGATACAAAGATGACCTGGTGCTTGCGAGTGTGTAGATCATTGCCGATCACCACTTGGTGGCCATACCGAGCGAGTGCCTGGCGCGCTTTGGGCACAAGGAGCGACGGATCGGTCTCAAGCTGTAAATGAACGGAATCAGTATCCGATATGGATGAAGATAGACGTATACTCGCCTTGAAGGACACGATGAAGGCTTGCCCTTGTGTCCACTCGGACACTAGGGGCTTCAGAATCTTCGGAACCTGATCCATCTCTATGTGCAGGCTGCCCTTCCCTGATTGTATCTTGTGCTCAGACTACCGGAGTCGTCAGAAATGCAGGAAATACAAGAGTCTCATCAACTCACCATCTTCTGTCTTGGTAGGAAGAAATCGCTGACGGCGGCGGCAAGGTAGTACAACGCGCGCCGTCCCAGAACAGCAAGCTCTTGGCTCACGGCGCGCAGGAGCCAGAGGTAGTCGTTCACTGTGACGAAATTGAGTGTGTGTAAGAGACCCGCGGTGTGTGCGCTCTTGTAAGCGGTGAGAACCTCCAGCAACGGTGCGCGCTCCTTCTCCGTGACATTGATCCGTGCGGACGAATGATTGTCGTCCTTCTCGATTTCTAGGAAATCAAGAAACGGATGCGTCGAGTGTGAATAGTGTCTGCTGAAGGGCTGCAGGCTGAATTGACGGTGCATGAATATGACCGCGTAGCCTGCCTTCAGGAAGTATTCGGCAGACGTTGCTCCACGAGTGCCTGTACTTGACGGTGAGCGGACAGATCTTCCTGATTTTCCTGATGAAGAGAGGACCTACCAGCGCTGAAGTTGTCCAGAAAACGAACGCTGCAATGCACACGCGCGTGAACATGGTGTCCTGGCGGACGAGCTGTAGGGCTCACACGTTGAGTTCCAACGGAACAGTTGTCCCGCCACTCTGCAATGCCCGTCAGTAGTCCTCTCTTTGGCAATGGCCTAATCTGTCGCTTACCGTCACGAGAACGACATTCCTGCCCGCGTTGACGTGCTTGCGGACGAAGTCGCGGACGTTCCGCACATCGTGCTCCAGGCTGGGCGGCGGAGACTGCGTCGCATAGTAGCTCTCCGCTGAGAAGTTAGATTCAAAAGTGGTGGCGTCTGTGGACATCCTGATGAAGGGTGTCTAGAAAACAGATCTATGCCTAGAGTCTGCCACTATGAGCAGCGATGTATTAGGCTTGTCTACTTGACAAACCTAGTGTCCTTGATTGACCTCCGAAGCGATTTCCGTACTACAACGTACTAGAGGTCTTCTTGGGAGCTGGACTGTTCACAGCCGGAAAAGGGGGGCAGAACGAAGGATTCGGAATGCCATTGCCTGTCCCGGCCTCGTCAGTCAGTGCTTCCTATTACTAAGCGGGCGCTCCTTGTAGTCGTCTAATTTCACGGTCCACCTCGCTCGGATCCTCCTGTCGCTCAGATCTGAACTCAGTACTCAGTTTTCAGATCTGGCTGTCATATTTCTATACTTACGCTCAGTTGGATATGTCTCTCGATGAGGTACAATCCCCTACCCAATTCGTGCGATCGAATGCAATGGCGCTGAAGGATGAGCATCATATTGCCTGCAGCCACCCACCGTAGGGAACTTGAATCGAGATGAGATCTGCCATGAATAATTCTCGTTGAGCTCGAGTATACCAACTCCCTGTGGTCGTCCGCTTCTGGGAAGTACGACTCGAATACGTACGTATGACGATAAGCTTAAGGGTTTTCACTTAGGTACACCAAGCCGCGGCGTGCACGCGCGTGCTGACTTCGACTGAGCTCGAGCTCCGACGACGTTCACGATCTTAATTTTACCGTCGTCTCGCCATGTCATTCCATAGCACCTCGATCATTACCTGTGGAAAGGTATATTGTACACAGCGGTTGAAGCCAGTATGGATACAGTAACAATCTCATCGTCCGTCCGTCCCGCCGACGACATGAAGAGCCTGCTCAAGACAGCTTGAAGCCTTGCTGCTCAAGCCTCGTCGCCTGCTCGCGTGCGAATTGTTCTCGAGCGATCCGGTTCTCCGCCTCGGGAACCAAGATGATGTCAAACTGAAGCAATTTGAATGAGTTGCCCTTAGGGAATCCACGTTTGCGCGCCTCCGCGTCGTCGTATACGTCTTTCAGAGTCTGTCAAGACGGAATCAGTACAACAATTCGCGGAGTAAATTTTGCGGTGGATACTCACTACTACAAGCGACTTCTTCACGCCGAAGACCGCGTCGCTGCTCATCCACTCATCGCCCACCGGATAGAGGGCCGTCGTGAGCTTGTTGAAGCCCGGAGCCTCGATAATCAAATGTAGGTGGTTCGGACGCATGTTGTGCCGACCAAGCTTAAGGAGCATATCTCCGACGGGACCCTGCAGACACCAGACGTATGTCAGCGTACTGATCGTCACAAATCGATCGACGAAGACCGACATCTCCGGGGATGGGGTATGCAACCGGAACTACTGCACGGTATCCATAATGCCCCTCCTTGTCTGTGCGCAGACGACCGCGGCAATCGGGCTTCTCGCGGTCCTTGTATTGGGTATCATAGAAGCCTGTGTGTCCATAGGTTCATGATGCGACTCAATAGCAATACGTTCAACAGCACCCACCCAAGGCATCGGTTTCCCAAGTTTCGATGAGGGCATCGGGTATAGGAGTGCCATCTGTGCTGAGCACGCGACCCTCGACATACATGTAATCGCCCTTGCCTTCCGACGCGATCGAATCGCCCAGAGGAACTGCAATACATAAAGACGTCAGCACTTAGCGTCTCAAGGAGAGGACTGCTGACCATCTGGCGCGTCGTCGGTGTAGAACGGGCCGAGCACGCTGCTCTCCGTCCCGCCGCTCACGGGCGGGTTGTTGATCGCGTCGACGAGCGCGGAGACACCGAGTGTGTCGGACAGGAGTATAAACTCCTGTCGCAGTGGCGTGCACGTCTGGCCCACGCGTGTGAGGAACAGGAGAGCCGTCATCCATTCATCCGTCGAAAGGCTGCACACGACGTTCAATCGTGGCCACGGATTGAATTTCACCGATCCTCACCTCGTCTCGTTCACGAATTGGTGCAAGTGTTTGATGAGGTTCCCGATGAGGAACCTGTGGCGCCTGATGGTGTATGTCAGTCTCAAGTGCACATGCAGCTGTCCTGCGTTTGACACTTACGGATCCGGGGTCAGCTCCACGAGCTTCATGAGGTTTTCCGTAATGAGCTCCGGCCGGTCAGGATACTGTCCACAGTGCACGATCAACTCGCATATTCCCCATTGCACGCACTCCAATCCAACTTACCGGCAAGAAGAACGGCGGTGCAGGCATCCCATTGGGAACTGCCTGGTCTCCTACGTTGGCTTCGGACATGTTTCAGGCGATTTGGGATGTGGAAAGTATACTAGAGATAAGTGACGTCGTAGTCGGAAGTGGAAGATGAGCGGAAGGGCAGTGTTTCCGCTCCATGCACGCGGCCCCTTATATACGACCCTCATGATTGTGACACCACGGCTTTGCGATGGGTGCGGCGAGAGTTCGTACACCATAAGAGGCAAATCATTAGTATCACCAGGCCAGCCTGTTTGTCAGTGACGGTACAGAACCGCCCATCGGCGTCCGCCCAGAAATTTGATCACGCCTGAAGCTTCCGCGCCCCGCCTTCCGCGCTTCTGCCCCTTATTCGACACAAGCTGCATCCACAGAAATAGCGGGCGACTAATCGAGTCTCTTCTTCGCATCTTTGGCAGTGTCATGGACGTACTCATACACTGACGTCCGTCCACGCTGCTATAACTGTGTCCATTCAATCATCGTTGGCCGATTGCATGCACATTACAGACGGAAGTTTGAGCGCTAGGAGCACTGACAAGAGAGGCTCAAATGAGGGCGCCATATGTACGCGCCGGGTAGGCACATACGTATTCCCGGCCGTATCTGAAGGTCACCCGAGCTCTGCAAAACGCATTTGCCAACCCGGAGAAGCGTTTCTTACTCAACTCGAGTCTCGAGCTGAGGTCTGCGTCCGCAACGCACAGAATAGACAGTCCCGTTCAGGTGTTGCGGCTGACACGCACGCGACGCATCCCGGATTCTCGACCCTCCAGAGTGCCAGAATTGTTACGCTTCGACGCGGTCTTCTGTCTGACTGTACGTTGAATAATTGCTAGTCAGCTGGGTGCGCGAAGAAGGGATGAGAGCAGTATTATTACCAAATCATTACTCAGTAGTATCGGCCGCCGCCACCTGCGTTTAGCGCACAGATGACCCTGCCAGCTGCTCCATGACCAAAGCCCATGTTCCTTCCTTGACAGGTGGCAAGGCGCGAATTCCCTGCAGGGCGAGAAGTTGGACGCGGATCAGTGGCCACGAAAGGCCAACGTAGACACCGGAAAGCAGCCTGCGCAGAACGGCTTTGACACTACGCATGCATATGCATGCAGCTGATACGTACGCGTGAGACTGTACCTAGTATTGCAAACCAGATAGAGAACATACCGCCGGTTCATGTCGTCCCACACGGTGTCTTGCAGCTCCAAGCGCCGGCAGGCTGAACCTCCTCATCGAGATCGCATGTCCAGCTCTTGGGCACCCAAAGCATATGATTTCGACAGTCGACTGCTTCCAATGACCTGTGAGAACAGCGAGGACATGAATCATGGTCCGAGTGAAAATCAAAATGATCGCTACGCCGAGAATGGGTGGCGACGATCCGATCATAACGTACAACCTAGATCGCATGTTCGCTACCTCAGCGGGGGTTTAAGCTTTAACGCTTATGGGATAGAAGAACACGATCTCGCACTGTCGGGGTGGAGCCAGCCTGTTACGAGCCAGGGACGGCATAGCTCTCTCCATATGTACGCGTTGGCAAGTCCTGAAACGCACTCAGGCTATCGGGTAGACATCGATACCTTAACAAGACCGGCCTCCAGGGAAAGGGCCATATTCAAAACACTACCTAACGAGCACCATGATCAATACAACGTTATGTCATCCACAGGAGTGGACGCACCTTCTTCAAGAACCGCTCGATTTGTCTCACGACCTCCTCAGGCTGCTCCTGCTGCACCCAATGACCTGCACCCTCAACGAGGACGACGTCTTCGTCCTCCATCCGTGCACAAGCGTCGCTCTTCATCCTCTGTAACGCCCCCGGGGCTTGGAAGACGCCCCAGTCCTTCCTCCCAGACAGGAACATCGCCGGGCGCTCTATCTTCCTCCCCGCGAAGATAGCTAGTTCGTCGGAGAGCTCGGGCTGCATTGCACGATACCAGTTCAGCCCGCCCTGGAAGCCCGTGCGCCCGTATTCTACGACGTACACCGCAAGATCGCTGTCTGGCAACCATCGATTCTGCGCGGCGGCTTCGCTTGAAGGCGCGTGAGGCGCCACAGCTTCGGGCATGGTCGCAGCGAGCGGCATCATATAGTAGTGAGGGAGCTTCGCCAGCTCCGACGGGTCATAGGACGCGAGTTCGTGAGGATCGTTGTGCGGCCAGTCCGCACTCTTCATGTGGAAGTATGCGCGGAGGTAGGCGTAGAGGCCCTGAGGCGCGTTCATTATGTCGTCGTTCGCTCGCGGCCCGGCGAAGTAGCGTACGTAGTGCTTTCGAGGGGGGTCTAGCGTGGCGAACGCGGCCCCAGCTTCTGCGCTGAAGATGCTCGGTAGCGAGGAGCTGGGCGCCCGATCAACGTCGAAGTGGAGAGGCGGCGGGCCACCGAACGGCGCGGACATCATGACGACGGACTGGAAGATGTCCGGGCGGATGAGTGTACAGTACGCGGCAATGGGCGAGCCGGCGTCATGTCCTAGCACGGCAGCGACAGTGCGGTATCCTAGGGCGTACACGAGCGCGATGGCATCCCGGACGATGTTCAGTATCCGATACGGACGGGGGTCGTCTTCATAGCGAACAGAAGTATCTGTGCCAGACTGACTGCGGTTCCGAGTGCGGCCAAAGCCCCGTTGATCGGGGACGACGACGCGATAGCCCAGCTGCGCGATCGGTAGGATGACCTCGCGCCAGGAGAAGGCGAGCTCGGGGAAGCCGTGCAGCAGGAGGATAAGGGGGCGGGCTGGGTCGCCGGCTTCGAGTATGTGCATGTCCAGATCCGCGACTGGGACCATCCTGGACGACACACCGTCGGGCAAGCGGTTGCTGTATGAGGCCATACTAGGGTACTGCTGCGACACGGGTGATATTATGCTGATTGCCCCTGCGAAGACACGACAACATACCAGTTTCCTGAACTCTCTCCTTATATTGCTGCGGAGCACGGGATTGCTCTGAAGTCCCACAGTGGTGATCCTGCGAAATTCGACTCCAATAGTTGGGACAGCTCTACGAGCACGGGCATCTCGTCATGTCAGCACTGCTCGCACTAGCATTGCGCTCCGAATAAAGACAGAGATTCAGAGACAAGTACTGAAGGATAGGAGATCAGGATTCAGGAAGACTCAAGGAAGACTCAAATCTCGCTCTACTTACTACTGAGTCACGTTGCTGAGCATGTATCGTGGGACTGTCACTGAATACGTGACATGTTACGGGTCGAATAAGTAGCGCTCACATCGAGACAACGCTCACTGTCAGCCCTAAAGTACTTACTTGATATAGGCAATGAAAGGCGGTCTACCAAGATGTCGCGCTTGTCGCGGGCATTCATGTAGACTACTTCCTAGTAACTGTGCTGCGTATAATTACCCTCTGTGTTCGCTTTGCGTTGTGTCACGATTGTGAACGCGTTATTTGGCCATGCCACCGGCGAAAGCCGAGCAATGTAGCGCGTCTTGCTTGCACGCCAATGCACGGTGCAATGTACGACTCGAACTTGACTAGTCTCCGTTGCATACCATAATAGCCGAACTCACACAGTCACACGAGACAGAACCAACGTCGACGTCTGCAACTTACTCGTCTTTCCTCCGCTATAGTATCACTGCAATATCATCGTATCGAGGCATAGATATAGGCTCCAAGTCACAGCCCCACTGACGACAAATTTGGCAGTACATAGCCCTACTCACAATCGTACCACCTTCCATCTCTGAGATCTGAGACGTTGCTTATCCTGGACCAGTGTCTTTGTCGCTTGCTTCAGTATAATGCGACATGGGATGTCAAAGTCTCGACTTCAAACATGCATCTAGGAGGGTCCCTGAGTGGAAACCGAAGACGGTATGTCTCATTATACTTCGAATTCGCAGTCACCAAACGTGCTCCGTCTCAACGCAAGCTGTTTTTAAGTTTGGCGCACGCTCTGACAACGCTCTGACAATATTGACAATCGATGACCGGGACCGCTCACCGCTGCGCGCATACAGGCTGCACGTGATTGTACCCCGAGAAGCAGTACTTATCAGTGTCACCCGTGGCACGAAGACGAGACCAGCCGCCTCTCCTCTTGTTGTGTGTGAGCGTACTTCACTTTTGATCCAAGTACTCCTAGCTCCGGCCCCGACCCTCTGGGCTGACTTTTGTACAACGCGCTTTGTCTGGCAGACCGTCGTGGAGGTATGTTGTGTGTCGCGTCATCGCAATTTCACGAGCTGACGTACTAGAAGAAAACGCCACCGCACGCCACACTGGGCAGTCGAAGAACAGCTCGAACAACAATGGGAGGACCGCTCCACCCTCCACCAGAAGTCTACGAGCGATGGATCGAAATGTTGCGGGAAGACCGAGTTGCACTGAAGACATGCACTCTGGCGTGCCGGGAATGGGTCCCGTTGTCTCAACGGTACCTCTTCGAGCACGTCAGAGTGCAAGGTGCACCGAGATGGCTTCGATTCCTCCACTTACTAGAGTCGTCTGCGTCGAAAGGGTCGGACGTCGGACGATACATTCGCAAATTCGAGTTGATCGATATCAGCCTCGGTTGCGCACTCCAGCCATTGTTCGAAGACATCGTGCGCCGGATTGGCCACCGTCGTATGCCGAACGTGGAGCACCTCAGCCTACGCGGGTGGGACTGGGTGAGCGTAGTCGAGCGGGCTCAGGATCACGATCCTGAGTCCGTTCCTAGGCGCGTCCTTAAGGGCCTATTCCCCTTCAACAAGCTCATAGAACTAGAGCTCATCGACAACGTCACCCGATATCCCCATATCATTCCACAGCTTTTCACCTTCTTCCCTTGTCTATCAATACTGCGCCTCAAAGACGTTCGACTATCAGCCGACGCCCCGATTGGCCTCACTAACATGCCCCTTGAGCGGGAAGTGCAGGTCATTGTCCCAATCAAGATTCAGGAGTTCCACCTTCATGGCCAGTCTTCCGACTATCTCACCGTCAACCTACTGGATTTCATCGTCAAACCCCCGTTCCAGCTTGCTTTACGCACTCTCGACCTCAGTGAGCTCGATATCCCGCTGACCGGGCGTTCTGTCTCCGACATGCTCATGCGATCAACGGAGACTATACAACACTTGTGCATCACACATCAATGTGAGTGAAAAAAGACTCGCCTTTTTCTAGTGCTGTTCGTGGTTCTGATCTGGTCAACGCAGTTATACATCTCCTCAATCTTTCGCACTTCGCTCAGTTGCATTTTATCTCATTGCACTGGTGTGTATCGACAGACATATCCGTAGCAGACGACATCCAAGCTCTCTTCTCGGATATCGCGGGCCATTGCAGCCTCCGTGTGGTTGAGATGCGCTTCTCCCTCATGCAATCCCACCGTCTCGTCGAAGAACAGATGCCCTTCGCAGGCCTGGACGCGATTCTACTCGCTCTGCACTCTCGCTGCCCCGCCATCGCCGTTCGCTTCCACTTCTCGTTCCATGTGTTCGTGAAAGCCGGGAACATGCTCTCAAGACCACAGATCACACCTCTCCTGAAGGCCTCTACTGGGCTTGCAACGGCTGCGGGACTACATGCGACCGTGACAAGCCATACCACGTTCTGGGGCATGCCAGGGAATGTCGAAGGGGAGGAGGCTTTGGTTGAAGAGATGGATCTCAGCGGCGAGTAATGTCGGTTGCATCAGTTATACCAGTCTCGTCTCAATTTTTATGTCCTCTGAGTCTCCCTTGAAAGGGAAAACCTCATTATCAAGTATGAGCTCGTCGTGGTACTTACCAGAGCAGTGACCTTTATGGCCCGAATGTATTTGTACGATTGTCTGCTTGTTTTCAATGTCTTGTTTGATCTCCAGCTCTATGTACTAGTATGGTACGAGGTTGTATATCCGATTGTCATGCTCAACAAGTATATGCAACGTCTGACGAGTGAGTTCAGTACGCACACTGTACGGTACGTGCACTAGCCACGGTCATGTGGGTCGCGTTGGAGCAGCCTACGTCACGCTGTGACGCGACGCGTTTTGTCACGCGTCCGCGTCTGTCCGAGGCCGCCGCCCAACAACTCCTACTCGACACCAACCTCGAAGTGGAATCCTGGACTCGCTTGCCTTACCTCTCTAAACTTGAATAACTCACATGGAGGCTTGGCTGTGATATGGGAATCTCTGGTCTACTTCCTCTATTGAAGGACATTCAGGTCACTCGGCCACTCTCCGACTTCGCGGGACAGACCATTGCCGTGGACGCGTACGTCTGGCTGCATAAAGGGACATACGGATGTGCCGCGGAGCTTGCTACGGGGAGGAGAACACACAAGTGAGTGATTTCCCGCTTCTGACAGGAGCGTCGCCGGTCTGTGGCATGTCTCGCCGGGTGGTAGGCAGGTTGTGAGACGGTTCAGGATGACATAGTCAACGCAATGCCCTGTTTCTCCAGAACTGGACTCTGGAGATGAAGCGGAACTCGTGCGTTCGCGTTTCTCTACCCTGCGTCCTCGTTCGGGAGAATAGTGGCGCCGTCACCTCAGACCAACTGCGAGGCAGGCTGAGGCACGTTGACGAGCCGTCTGCCTGCTGGATGGTTGCTTTCGCACAGCCTGGAACTCCTGGATGATGCGAAGTTATGATCAAACCTGCGACGTGCTTGCTATTTGCTAGAGAAGCTCGTTTCGTGGGCAGGGTGTGGGATGCAGCCCAACTCTTGACGGATGCGTGCCGGCTTCTCCGCCTTGGGAAACCGCGCTGTTCGCCGTGTCTGATCGGTGCCTGGCCTGCGAACACCATGGGCGGCCGTCTTCGCGATGGGCACCGTGTGCTGTCGGCACCAGGCATTAGTCACGGCGAATGGCATCGATGGCTCGCCTCGTCTCGGTCCGTCTGGTTTCTCAGCGGAGACGACGAGAAACTCAGATTTGGGGCACAGCGGCGGATGCAAGAGTAGCGGGAAACAATCCGAGCTGCCGCCCGCACGTCTTTGCAATACGAGACTTTGACCCTGTCGGGACGTCGAGCTGGCGCGTTGGGTCAGCTCAGACTGGCGGTCATGCTGTCAATGCTAGCTGACTGTGTCATGGCGGCAGTCGTTCGGTGCGCCTATCGTCGGCGATACTAGAGGCTGCGCCCAGATGGATCCATAACATTTATGGGAGGTTCCGGCGGCCACCTTGTTCGAGCCATCTTTACCCGAACCAGAAGCTACAATAGGAAGCAGTATTCACTCTAGTATTGAATATTGCTGCAATCGGATGAATGGAATGGTCTCTATATTGCGGTGACAACACTGCGATGTGGGAGTCCAGATGCATTGGGTGCCCGTCCCGGAGGCCTCGCGTTGATGTCGAAGTAGCGGAATTTGCACTCTGCCATGGCGGGTGTGCGCGTTGTGCAACGGAATCGATGCGACCACAAATCTCACAAGGCAAGCGGGGCCGCTGCCTGTACCAGTTACGTTTCTTGAAGGCCCGTACAGCGACATTGAACGCCACATCCCATTTGCCTATCCTTGATGCGAATTCCGGCCTGTTCACCTCTGCTTCACTTCGAGTTCATTGTCTCCATTCATTGAGCTGACACGCGTGCTCATAGATATGTCGATTATGCCATGCATCGCGTGCGCCTGCTGCGACATCATCGCATACAGCCATACGTCGTATTCGACGGTGGGCCGCTTCCAGCGAAGCAAGGGACCGAGTCGGAGCGCAAGAAACGTCGAGATGAGAACCTCGCACGCGCGAACGCATTCGCAGCGCAGGGCAAGCACACCCAAGCCCGAGAGTACTACGTGAAGTGTATCGACGTTACGCCTCAGATGGCATATCAGCTTATCAAGGTCAGTGTGCTCCCCCACGCTCCTTGAATACTGTTGACCGACGAACACACGGTCCAGGCATTGCGGGCGGAGGGCATCCCCTACGTGGTTGCGCCGTATGAAGCCGATGCACAGCTTGCGTATCTGGAGCGCATCGGTGTCGTCGACGGCGTAATCACGGAGGATTCTGACCTTCTCGTGTTCGGGTGCAGGAAGGTGCTCTTGAAATTAGACGTCGTTGAGAGCGTCGTCACGTGCATCTCTCGCGGGGACTTTGGGTCCGCCGGGGCCGCCGGCGGGATGCCCCTTCTAGGCTGGTCGGATGCCCAATTTCGGCGAATGGCTATCCTTAGCGGCTGCGACTACCTGGCGAGCATACCGGGCGTCGGGTTGAAGACAGCATGGTCGCTTTTACGAAAGCATAAGACCGTGGAGAATGCGGTACGAATGTTGATGTTGGAAGGGAAGAAGAAGGTGCCGGATGGGTACCTGGATGCCTTCAAGTTAGCAGAGCGCGTATTCTTGTATCAACGGGTGTACGATCCGAGGCAGAAGCGTCTGGTCCATCTAACGGAACCGGCGGAAGGCGAACGGTTGGATGCTGAGACTGACGCGTACGTCGGAAGGTGAGAGATGATCACAGTGCGGTCCAAGTCTCCACGCATGATGACACTGACGACGCATGTTTTCAGTGACATCGAGCCAGCTTTAGCCAAACAGGTAGCGGAAGGCGACGCATGCCCGATTAGTCTGCTGCCTATGGATGATATCAATGCAACGTTCGTGCCTCGCGCGCTGAAGACCATTCCGCTGAACGTGAAGGACGCAAGGATGCCAGGTGGTGGAAAGGCTACCGGAAGCCGCCAGAACGTTGGGAAAGGAACGGTTGGCATTTTGAGTTTCTTCAGTAAGTCCGATATTTCGCAGACTGACACGCTGGGTGTGCCACTGACAATCGTTTTACGTCTGGCATGAACCATCTAGAACCACGCGCAGAAGGCAGTAGTGGACAACAGACCGCCACCTCGCACGCTCCGGGACATTCCATAACGGCAGGGCGGGCGAGCGGGAAGCGGACATTAGCGGAAGTGATGGACCACGATATCGCTGTGAAACGAAAGAAGCAAGAGGGGGCACAGCGTGAAGGTCCTTCGAGGGAAGTCAGGAACTCGAAGTTCTTTGACGTCCGTCAATCGTCATTTGGAGGGGAGGACGAAGACGCGATCGCTAGCGAGGAACCCGACTATCCCGTTGCAGGCCCATCTCGCATCACGCTAGACGCAGGCAAGGACAAGGAAAACGTCCCGTGTGCAGACGATGACGAAGTCTTCATGGAAGACGCGGGTGCAGTAGAACAGGAGGACGGCTACATCTCGCCATCGCCTTCTATGAGACGATGGGATAGTCCTGAGGTCTCGTCACCGCTGAGGGTCCGGTCCGGGGCTCAGCTTGATGTGGAAGAAGAAGAAGACTTCGGAGCGGACATCCTGTCGAGCCCCCCTGTCGCTGCACGACAAACCAGGTTTTCAATGAACATGGATGCGGCTAGAGCGACGTCTGTGGTCTCCCATGACGGTGGCATTGTCTTAGTCCCAAACACGCCATCCAAAAGAGAACGCAGGAGGCGAGGTCATCATGCCCGGAATGACGGCGCTGGACCCGATCTTCAACACATTCTTGGGGAATGTGACTGGGAGTGGGACGACAGGACAAGTGACATTGAATGTTCTGGCCCGCTGGACCCCTCACCCAGCAGTGCGAGTACCTCGTCGGGACCCGTGACACCGAGTGATATCCCGTCGCAAGGCGAAGCAGACGCGTGCGCGCAGGCACTCACGGAGGCGGAAGACACGGACGAGGTGACAAATTCACAGAATGCAGCTGCTCGCCATGCCAAAGTCGCGCACGGTTGGTGGGAAAGGTGGGGTCGCGGTGCGAGGTCGCCTGCCGTTGCTCCAGTTGAGTCAAGTCGTTGTCTTGGACTGATCCCATTCGTGTTGCTAATGCATGTATGCCTAGCCCCAAACGCCACTGAAACGAAGGGAGACCACCATTACGCCCGAGGGCCGCCATCGACCGTTGCAACAGCGTCGGCCACAATCTGCTACAAATAATTCCAAGCACAAAGGCAAACAGCAGAATCTACATTCAGCGGGCAGAAGGCGAAGTTTGGTATTTACCGAGACGGTGAAGAAAACACCTAGAGGTGGACTTCTTCGTGGTACCTCTTCGCGGCCCGATACAGCGAATTCGGAGCAGGGAGAGGATAGTGCCGGTGCGAGTCGGAATAGATTCGCCGAGTTCAGGTAGGTCATGGATCTTCCCAATAGCCACATGAATGACCTCACACAGTACACGGGGCGTACAGGTGGGCGGGTGTTGAAGATTCGGTCGGTCCGTGCAGGATCTGATATTGGTGGTATCGTCGCTCTGGGAAACTATCGACGGAAGATTCGTGCACGTTACGTGGTGTGATTGGTCCATTCTCCCTTATTCGCATTGCTATCGATTGCATCTAATGACATCGCACCTTCTGGGCACGCGTAAGGGCGACAGCAGGCAAAAGCTCTTGCAGTACACAGATCAAGGCTCAGACGAGTGCCTGCTGAGAGAAGCAAGGCGGCGGGATGTATCTCGCATCTGCCCGTGGTCAAGGATGCTATTACGGCAGACCGATCTCGACCAACAAGAACACAATCGGTCGCGTTGAAATAGCCGCGGAGCCTTAGAAGCCGGCGCCATGGTCGACCAATCCGTCCCGCGGAATCGAAAGAGGCAATGCAAACCTACCATCCAGTAAGAGCCATCTGGTTGCGTGTCACTCACAGACGCCTAAGGGGTGCCGCCCGAGCGGCGGACTATCCAGACTGCCCGGGCACAATCCGCAGGTGCTACTGCATCGCAGGGCTTGGCTGCAGCTTCACTTCAGCCTCCGATGACGCTTCATCCACCTAGATCTCGGACACAGAGAGGCGGGAAGTTCCTTGCCTGATTCGCACATTTGGTCAGCTGCTGTTTGATGCACCTTGATGCAACGAGATAACATGGCAGTTGGAAGTCGCGCGGTAGCCTTCTCAGATTAGGACAAGGGAGGCAACTTCTCGTATCTCACGTTATTCCAGTGCTGTCGCCGCCTATGGTAGGTTTGGCACCCTCCTGTCTCGTGTCCGAACTTCCGGCCATATGAATTGCGCGTTGCAACTGATGAGTTGCTCATGTCGCAGTCATAAGTGAACATCCTCCGAGTCTAAAGACCACCGTCTCGCAGCTCAGTCGGCTCGCCCTCCCACCCCCAACAGCGTAGGATCGACCGGAGCTTACGGTAAGTCCCTTTATACTTTGGCGCTGTGGCGTACTGACGCAGGTCCCCGTCGTTCAAGCCCTAGATGTTTGGCGAGAACACCATGGCCGGTTTCTTGCGCAGGCACAGCGAAACTCTTTCTCGCTCCCCTCCGAACACGCTACGGATACCGAACGCCACCTTCGCATACGGCGAGCACTTCTCTCAGACGAACGTCTCGTCGACGCCACGATACAACGTCGGGTCTTACGCAGGACCGAACGTCCAAGCACCTGCCGCAGGGCCGAACACTGGCGCAGGATATACCTCCATATCGCCTCAGCACGCTTGGCCCATGGGGGACCAGCCGATGCAGTTCTCTAACTCGCATCCCGCCTTCTGCGAGCCCGCGCAACCGACCTCCGCCTACTACAATGAATCGGCCGCGTCGCACCTTGTAGGGTATCCCGAGTCTTCCCAACGTACCCTCCTCCCCGAGACCACGTATGGCTCTGCGTACGGTTCGTCATATCCGGACGCGGTCTCCTTTGGCGAGTCGTCGGCGATGCACGGGTCCGTCTCTGCTGGCGCGCAGTACGGTATCTACGGGATCCCTGCTGCTGTGAGCGACCGTCAGCATGGCCACGGCCAACAGCAGAGCTTCGAAGCCAACCGCACCTCGACATATGGGACTAATAACCAATATTTGAACGCGCAGGCGGACTTCGAACAGCCTAGTGCCACCCACCGGATGCTGCCACAGCTATCACCTACCTTGTTCCATGGACTCGGTGCCACCCACACAACCTCCCTATACCCGATGGTCTATGCATCACCCACGTCGACCACGTCGACCTCCGGGCCATCTACGCACTCGGAACCCTCGTCAGCTCTGCACGATACCCAATCATCGCGCTTACCACAATTCTCACAGCCGCTGCGCCGTCACTCGATGGACTCGGTACACTCAGTACACGATCCCATGAGCCCGTCGTCCGTCCCGGCTCTCGTGTATGACGCGGATACGGGTGACGATTACGACGATGATTCCGAGAGCGACCCGCCCTCTGCCTCTTCTGAGCTCGCCCACCTGCCTTACCAGTCGACACGCACCGCGGGTATCAACGGCCCTAGCAACTGGTCGAGGTCCTCCTTTGATACGGCTTACAGCGGCACGTCGAGCGCACAAGGACTTCATAAGTCGGGCGTTCATCACCCGCGCAGCCCCGGAGGATCTGCCGACAGTAACTCGACCGCCCCCATATCGCCGTCCAGCGCGTCGTCTTCGGAGCGGCCGAAGCCCTCGCAGAAGAAGTCGAAAATGCATCAGTGCAAGGTTTGCCTCAAGTTGTTTCCCAGACCTAGCGGATTGGCCACGCACATGAATTCCCATTCCGGGGCCAAGCGTACGTGCTCCGCCAAACATTGTTCCGCGCAGCTAATCTCACCCAAATATCTCGCCGTTCATAGCGTACAAATGTCCTATTCCGACGTGCACGAAGAGCTTCGCCGTGCGATCCAACGCCAAACGTCATCTGCGCACGCATGGCATTTTTCCTACTTCGGACCACAGCAGCACTTCCCAGTCTCAATTTACCGTGGGCTTCGACACGCCTCTAGTTTCCGATGTGCACGAGGTCGGGAAGCTCCCGTCGAAGCTCCGGTGGATTCCGCAGAGTTTGTCCACGCGCACGAACGTGGAGCACCTCAGGGATGCGCCGTCTGACTCTGAGGAGGAGTACTTGCGGCCTTCCTGCCCTATGCTGTCTGTTCCGCTGCCGCCTGTGATATCTTCTTCACCCACGTGGAATCCAGACGATCGCTATGAGGAGCGCGACTCGTACGCGGATGCGGAGACGAGCCCATACATCCCTAGTCAGGTACGCATTCGTGGCCGGTGGAGTCTCATCATTCACGACTGACCTGTGTCTCCGTAGTGGCGTGGTCTGCCTGGTCCGGCCATCATGTCGTCAAGTAGCATCTGAATACCGTATACGTCCTATTCCATGTCAGGCATCTTGCATCAAACTCTATACGAAGCACACGCAACCTCTTGTATTATTCCCCTTCAAGCATGTTCTCCGGCCGTAGGTACGCTATACCGCACGTGTTCTTGTATGGCGAAGTCTGGGTTGTATCTGGGACTGGCTGTGCGTCTTATCTCAAGTGCATCATCCGAGGCTGATATGTCGTCGATTTGTAACTATACCGCTGCTAACACGTCCGCTATAATAGATAATGATGTAGTCCCTGTGAGGTGCAACTGTCCGACTCCTGGATGCGGTGTTCAGGGAACATTGTATGGCAGATGATAGGCTCCGGTTCTAGTCTTGTCCAGTCGTCGCAAAAGTGTCATCCGCCGAACGTTCTATGGGTACCTATTGTGGGAAGGGGCTCCCGCTGGCCACATGCGAGATGACAAAGGGTCCATGTATCGTGCACGAGCGTGCCACCGAGGAGAAGTTGGCAATGGCTGCAAGTAGTACTAGTAAGTAAGAGGTAGCTGCTTATCTCATACAATTTGTCTCGTGATTTGGCTATGGCCGCGCACTCTCTTGTACAGCGCGATTTCTGCGGCTGCCGTATATGACACGATTAACCATCCCTATGGGGATATCGTACATCTGCGAGACAGAATTCGGCCTTGCATGAGCAAAATATGGGTTCTCTCCACCTCCAGGCGGCAGATGCGCTCTTGAATCTGTGGCGTTGTGTATTCAGTCGGACATGCTACAGTCGCGGACGCCGAACACGCGCACCTGTTATCGTACTGATATCAGAGAAAGGTGGCGTGCCGGACAGGGCCAGTGCGAAGTAGGTGAAATACGTCAACAATACTAGGACCATTGAGTATGCCGGAAGTAGGATAGCCCATTCCCTAAGCGTACAGTAAGACAGCACGTTGCACGGAAATTGTTAGCATGCGGGCAAGAAACATACGAACGAGACCTACCTATTCGGGAACCAAGAGATTCCGAGACAGATGATGTATTCGTCCGGAAGAAGGGCCCATAGGAGGTAGAGACAAAACAACAGATACGTGGATGTCCAGGCCACGAAACCGTAAAATTCTGGTGCCCTACTGCGGGACTCCGTCGGCGGCAATGGCGGGAAGGGTGCGAGAGGCGATACAGGCGAAGTCGGGTCCTTCTCGACCATGCCAGAAAGCTGCTAGCGGACAGTCAAGCAGGCATGATGAGGGGAAATGAAAAGCAAACCTGGAACTCGAGCCACGGACGCACGCTGCCCGCGTTCTTGACTTCCCATATATGGAAGCGAGCGCCCAGTGTGGCGGGGCGAAGGCTAAACAACTCGCTGTGGGACCAGCCTTGGTCAGGAGGAACTTCCGTCTGTGGGATTCCGAAGCCGACATACGGTCCGTATCACGGTGAACTGGTCCGGAGCTCCTTCCGCTGACGATACCATGGGATTGTGATGTGCAACCGCAGGACGACATTGCTCCGGGCAAGTCAATTATACGCTGCAGCGTTTCGCATGCCCTCTACTCATAACTTAGACTTAGCCAGCTGTGAAGTCGGTAGTACCCTTCTCTTCCGCTTCATACAGGTTTCTCAGAAACCTCCATGTCGACCTTGCAAGCTCAGAAGAAAGCCTTACGCAAGGCCATGGCGACAAGATTGCGTTCGCTTCCCGTATCGGATGTTCAGCAACAATGTAACGCCGCCCTAGCTTGCTTCTGAATTCAGACCCAAACTCAACGGGATTGTATCTCAAGCAAGGATGATAGCTGACCGCGTGCTGGCTTCGCCACATTTCGCACGAAGCCAGTGCGTGAGCTGTTATCTCAGCATGCCATCCGGGGAGGTCGATACAACCTCCCTGGTATCTGCAATCTTGCGAAGTGGTGTGACGTCCCGAACTCCTTCACAACCCTATTGAATTGATCACTACCGAGAGCAGGGAAGACGCTCTTTGTTCCAAAAATTGACACCGCTCGCGATGGTGCGATGGACTTCTTGCAGGTGTACGGCGAAGAAGACCTCCGCTCCTTCCCGAGTGGTACCTGGGGGATTAAGGAACCCACTTACGAATGGAACGGTGTGCAACGTCGTAGCGGTCCGTACGCCCGCCTTCCGTCATGACCGGGATTGACGTATAACGCAAATCATTACACACCACAGCTATGGATGACGGCACGGAGCTCGATCTGATCCTGCTACCAGGTACCTATCGAGGTGCCGGCCTCTACGCTCCTATGCAACGATGCTAACGCATGCGACGACACGCAGGCGTCGCGTTCGATCGATCCATGTTGCGACTGGGGCATGGCAAAGGATACTACGATCGTTTCCTATCGTCGCACACGGCTGCCAAATCCGCAAAGGGCCAGCGGAAACCGCTGCTAGGTGCGCTTCATCCGTCGTACCAGGTGGCAGATGCTCACCGTTCATCAATCAGTGGCTCTGGCCTTACGAGAGCAAATCCTTGAAGCAGGACAAGTTCCGACAGCACCGCATGACTGGACGATGGACGTAATAGTAGGCCCGGACGGGCTCCTGGGTGAATCCGCTGCCGGTGGTTCACAATGAAATGAAACTTCAGTTGCTTCGGAATACCAGCCATGGAAACGTGGATGTCCGAAAATCGCCCGCTTGATACATGAAACTGCTGCACTGTGGAGAAAGCCAGCCGCAGTCCGTGCGCTCTGCATGCGTCGTACGTGTTTGCGGGCCACGCATCCGTTAGAAGAACATGCAGCCAGAGGCTTAGGCCCAAACGACCAATACAGCAAGTCCGGTCACCGCGCCAACTGGTATGCTTCTTCGACGGGCGGCTGGCTACCGTGCACAGCCAAAGGTGACGACAGTAGGCGGAATACACTACCCACATCGTCAGTTGATCTCATCGATTAATAGGGCGGTCAGCCAAGACTCACCCAGCGGTCCTAGACCGTGGTACAACACACACTCTGTATGTTTTCGCCGAGGGAAGGTACGCAGGCCCTGAGACGCGTGTGACACCGGTATGAGCGTAACGGATGTGGTTTGGAAATGTCAAGAAGCAAACCTAGAGCAGGTGCCATGATCGCCCTCGAGCCTGTCTCGAAGTCCGCTGCGGACCCGTCGGGCTTCAGCAATTTAGTTGCGAGCTGGCTTGTGATAACGACCTGAAGGTTATGATGTTTAGTAGTCGGGGAGTCCGGGCAGTTGTCCGCGACATTACGCACAGTCAGCTTCGTGGAAGCAGAAGCGCGTGTGAGCGTCTGCTTCACCCTGTCCAAGAGGGCAACACGCGTTGAATTTGACAGGCCCGCTAGAGATTGGAAGGGATACGACAGAGAGTTCAGCACGAGCAAGGCGGTCTAGAAGCGTGCGGACGAAATTAAAAATGACCGAATCAGCGCCCGAAGACGTGATAGTGATTTCTTACTTCCGGATGGTCTTGTAGATATGAGGGCAGGTTTCGAAGAAAAATCATGAGGTCTGGAAGGGTGTGTATTCGGAGATGATGGACTCGTCCCTGGCAGTCTTGAGGAGCTGATGACGATGCTATATAAGGTGCGAATCGGTTGTTCCTACTGGGACCGGATTAATGACACACTCACTACGTAGTGACCGAACGAGGGTGGCGGGACTTGTCATGTTTTGCATATCTGCATTTGTCACTGGGGCGCAAAGTACACTTCATTGACAGGACGTACCTACGAATAGCACGTGGTGAGATGCCTCGACGAAACTGCTGACGACGTTCATCGCTACTGTCTCCTTGATAGAACCTGGTGGGCCAGACAGCTCTAGTATGAAGCCTCGCTTCAAGCCTCCCTCAAGCAGCGCATCCAGTTCGGCAAGCTTAGTAGAGTAAGCCTTGCTCCCCCCCACTAGTAGGGCCGCCGATTGTGTCAGCGGCACACTCCTCGGCATTTGCGTAGCCTGGAAGACGGCCTGGGAGGAAGGCAAGGATATATTAAGGTCTGTTGATATTATTCCTCATCAGCTTCATCGTTCCCAGCACGGTCTAATCAATCCATCCCTTTCGACAGACTATCAGGCGTAGCACCGGACAAATCTTCAACTGTTTGGTACCCTGCTCTGTCCAAAGCAGAGAGCACAAAAACAGGCAACGACAGGGTAGCTAGCTGGCGTTTGGCCATGGCTGTGTATACTTGAGCAGTATACCTCTACCGAAGTACTGATACGCGTAGCAGCGCAGAGGCGATAGCTTCAGGATCGCGCGTAAGCCAACGCGAGCTATGGCCGGGTGAAGGGAGTGATCCAGTGAAGGACGCGTCGTAGGTGAAGACGCGTCAGTGGCGTGGGAAGTTCACGGAGTATGAAATAGACCTCGAACGTCGCGGAGTCTGCCGGGCTTTCTTGAACTCCCTTGCTCCGTTTCTTGCTCGCCTCAAACGCTCCCGTAGACAGTATCATACACTACTCTCGTATCTTTCTTGCTCAAACACAAGATAAAAGCGATCCCCTACCTCCATCACCCTTAGATATGGCAGCCGCCCTGAACCCCGTCTTCAAGTTCAACCGTGAGATGCATACGGTGAAGGTGGAGAACATCGCAGAATCGGGTAAGCGATCCATGTATGATTGGGGGTGATTGATATGTGATATTTGGGCGTATGTAGCCAGCGTGCAAGATATTGTGGAGTTGTTCACCACTCTGATTGGTACTTTTCTTCGCTTTGACATCTCCATTTTTGACCACTTGCTCACGGCACGCCTTCAGGCGAGGTGCGCAAGTGCGAGGAAATCAAGGACGGCAGCCGCCGGGTCCTCGGGCTAACCTTCTTGACTCATGACGCCACCAAGTAGGTCATTCTCATACGTAAACATGATACAAGTGCCTGAGAGAGCTGCTATCACTTTGAAGGAAAGCCTTGTGCATGTCGGGCTACACGGTTGCCGGTGTCCCGTTGTATGTGGCATACCAGCGTTATCGTCGATGCATCTCATTAGCTCGTGTTCAGGACCGTCACCGCCGTGTCGCCCAGTGAGGTGAAGAACAGCGCCAAACAAGGCAAGCAATCGGACACCCGCCGTAACCTTTACGTTCTAGGATTGCCGTTTGAACTCACCAAGTAAGTTGTCTCGGCCTCACTCTGGACGCTGGTTGACAGATGTATGCCAAGGTCCGAGTTCGTCGACATTTTTTCTCGCTACGGAACGGTATCTCATGCCGTCGTACTCGCCACCGTCGACAACGCCTCCCGTCGTCGTGGCTTCGTCGTGATGAGCACCCACAACGAGGCTAGAGCCGCCATGGATGGTCTTGGTCGCAAGGAGATCAAGTGAGTCGTATCCTTCGGCGCCCGTACTAGCATTGACAAAGGTATATCAGAGGGCATATCATCGACGTCTCCTGGGCTGTTGTCCAGCGTTCCCAAGGTCTGTCGTGATTTATACCGCACGCTCGATAATTGTGTTCAGCACGTAGCTTTCGATAGGTTTCCTAGATGGTGGCGATCGCACAACCGTTCTCAGCCAGTCACCCCCCTCTACGCCTTCGCCCTACGACTTTGGGGTCCCTAAGTCTAGCCCCCCCTCGGCTCAATGCTCTTTGCGATCAACGCCTGTCCCGGATCAAGGTCTCATCAGCTTACTGTCGGCCCAGCCAGCGTCTCTCTTGGTCACCAATCTCCCCGCGGTGCTGTTCTCGGAAATGGCTGATTTGTATCCCCTCTTCTGTCCGTTCGGCGAAGTCAAGCATCTCGAGATCCTGGACTCTAGTGTCGCTGCTCTCGATCGAGGCGACATCTCTGTTCAGGTCGAATACGAGACTCTGGCACAGGCTCAGGACGCTTATGGTGCTCTCCAAGGCCAAATGTATTCCAACAAGCCCGTCAAGGTCGAGTTTACGCACAAGCCCGCCGTCGACGTTTCTCTCTTTGCTGGAAAAGATCTGAAGGCTGGACTGAACCCTCATGCTGCGCCGTTCGTTGCTCCTACTGGTCTGCCGCCCGACACACTCTTCGCCCCTGTAACCTCGCTCTGCGCCAAGCCGGACCAGGACCATATCGCTGCTGCGCTTCCCAACGGACTGCTTGCTGTGAACCCCTACGCTCTCTCCCAACTTGCGATGCCCTCCTCCATGTATAGCCACTTGTACGTCCCTATCACGGGGACCATCAGGCCAAGCTCTGCTCCTTCGTATGCCCCTTTCCTCTTAACCGCGTATTGTCGCTGAATCATCACATCTAGCTGGTCGGAGCCGACTCCTGATCGGCGCCCGGGTCAGTGGGCCTTCTCTCAACTCGAGCGCATGTCCAACATGTCCACGCCGTCCCTGGGACAGACCTTCGCTGCCTAGACCATTGCTGCGCTACTTCTGGCAGTCCAATCCTCTCTGCTCTACTGTCCGTATACCCTCAAAGTACCACACCGTTTAATCTGGAACTCAGTCCGCCCGGGTACCCTACATTCTTTCCTCATAATCTCTGGTTCGTGCCGACTGGTGGATGTTTGCGTCTTCAAGGGGGGTTTTCCGGATGATGTCAGTGAGGCAATGTGCTTCGAGTGCTTCGTGTCTGTGTTCCAAACTTGTGCCTCTCTTTACTACCTTTGTTCAGGACTGTGAATTGCCATGGAGTTTGTACTATTTCGTTATGGAAACCATTCGTTCAGGACGCAGTGATAAGTTGTGGCCGAGTTTTTGCCTGATTAAGGAATGCCGAAGCCCGAACTTGGCCCGAACCACGACTTGATGTACGGCGTGCTTAGCGCCTGCGACGCGATGCTGCGCTCAGCAGTCGCTTGCCAAAGGTTCTGGATAGACTCACTCTACGAATTGTTACCATTGTTACCCTGCCTCTATCATGCACTATCAGCACTGAGACACGACGTGAACGACTATTAGCCTGCAGTACGCAAGTTGTGTCGATCTATCAGGGGCTCGGAGCGAGTGGAAGTCGTGAATTGACCGTCGAACTCGAGGTGCGTGTGCTGGATCCATGTCCGGAGTACTGCTATTCAATCAAAGCACCTTTGAACTAGGCTAGCACTGTGCCATGGCATCTAGCAGAGATGGGTCGAGGAGACCAGGGATCGCACGTCCGCTTCCCAGACGCCTGTTCTCAATCGACTCGTTGCGTAAAGAGAAGTCCGGTTCCGACAGCGACGTCGCGTCGACCGGTCGGGATGGCGTGCAATACACTCATGCGCATGCGGCGTCGGATACGTCTTCCATACGGGCTCCGAGGTTGAGGGAGAAGACGAGCGAGGGCAGGCCGAGCGCGATACCGGAGCAGGTCGAGGGATCCACCAACTGGACGGAGAAGGTACTTGTTACCTCCCCTGAGGCAGTGCACGCTTCTCCCCTGTCGTACAGAGCACATACCCCAAGAGCGAGAGGCAAGGCTGCAGCGTCCAGGCCCATGCCCCTGAACCTCAACGTCGAGGGAGCGGCATTAACAGGCGAAGATGCTCCGGTCCCTTCACCGTCGAAAATGCGTTGGGACACACTACGACAACACGTTCTTCCCTCCGCTACCAGTTCTGTGTTCTCCACCACTCCCCGCCCGTCCACCCCTGGCTCAGCTGGGTCTAGCACTCCTCCGCCCTCGCGCCCCTCCACACCGAAATCGTATCGTTTCGGCGGACAGAAAAAGATCTTCCGTCAGGTCGTTGACCAGGCTCGCGAGGCGGCCGTAGAGGAATATAGGAAGCTGTCTGCGGACATCCTCCAGGCATGTTGGATAGCACGGTTCGGCCAGACTTCAATGCGCCCAAAGACCGAACGCGAGATGTCGCAGCATACACTCGGTTCAAGTCTGCATTTACCTTTCAAGGCCTCTGCGACGTCTCTTGTAATGAGTCCTAGTGTATCATCACTAAATTCCTCGCCTGGTGCCCAGCAGTCCGAAGTCGTTGTTATGGACATCCGAGATGTGCCGTCTGTGCATCCCCTGTCCAGAACCCTCACATATATGATCCCCAACAACCGTCCACCAGTCCTCCCTCACGAACCGCATGTCCTATCGGCACTACTTGTCCCCTTCCTGGGACCCTTCACTGGTGAGCGTCTCGCTGTAGAGCAGCAGACAGCTGTCGAGACGTTCGAATACATGATGAGGACATGGAGGGCTCCTTCCAACGAGGTAAGTTCAAATCATATGTCTGGAGACATCAAATGAAGTGTGTTCCTGACAGGAAGAATTGGGGCGCTGTCTCTGGTGTTGCAATGCCGCTTCGGCGCCTTCAGCTTCGCGCGTACGCATTCTAGGTGCTCTGTCTTCTCTCCTCTTCTCTCGGGACAAGACATTCACTGCCGAGACGCCTATGATTCTTCGGACGCTGTATCAGGGTCTGTTCTCGCTTCTGCTTTGCCTTGCGTCCTCCGGCGACTCAGTCGCGGCGGAGTCACTCAGAGCCTACATTGCCGCTGTACGAGACGGCCAGTGTGGCAGTTCCTCACCGCAGTCACTGGAGAAGGAGTACGGCGTGCGATGGACGAAGAACGATAGCGATACGCGTGTAAGGCATGCTATCGCCACGGAGAGCGTTATCGGATGTATCGAGACTGGATCCGAGAATAGCCGCAAGTGGATGCTGCACAATTTGCTGGAGGTGAGGCGAGGCTCCGCCATTCTTCAGGAGACATGCACTGAGGGCTCTATACAGGAGTTCTGGCCCTTGCCCGAGGACACACTATCGCCGACTCCATTGGACTCGTGCATCAAGGCCCACAAGCTCCAGCTGTTTGCGAACGCCGCGACGGCGTTGCTGTTCTCTTCGGCTGAGACGAATACCGGAGCTCAAGTGGCTGATGTGGCGGTCATAAGCCGCGTCTTCCATACGCGTGTGCTGCCGGAGATTCATTCCATACGGAATAAGGATGCTGGTCAGACTCGCCACACGGTGATTAGGTTCGCGCTGGACCTGGCATGCACTCCCAGCAACCCCGATAGAGAGGCATTTTTTACTCAGCTTTCGGCCTGGCTAGGAGACAAACAAGATTGGAACATCGCCGTAGAGGAGACGATAAATGAATTGGTGGGATCTCTCCTCCCGTCCCGTCGCAAAGCGTTCCTCACCAGCGGATAGATCACTAATGCGGAATGGACGACTATTCTTCGTCTATTACCCGGCGTCGCAAATGTCTTCCCCGAGGAGTTACGAAGCCGGACAGTCACCCTGATATTGCCTTTGCTGCACGACGTGAGGTCATGATTCCCGTCATACGTGACGCATGTACTCACGGACGACTACGGCTTTACAGCGGCTCATAGACAACGGCCCCGACCATCCGTGCAAGCCGCTCACCGACTTCCTCGATGTCATCTCCCACGCTTACCCCAGGTTACTCTACAAGCCGATCTTCACTTGTGCAGCATCTGCGAAGGACCTGACCATAGGGACGCAACTGTGCGTACTGACATGCTTGACAAAATTCCTGACGGATTTCTGGTTCCACGATGCCGATATGGTTTCCGTCGCCCTCATGAGCGATCCTGCGGGAGCGAAGTCGCCTCCTGTCCAAGGCGCGAAGTGGGGTAGAGCTCGTACCGGTCAATCGGTGCTACTGGTAGAATTGATCACGGCGTTGCGAGCTGCTCGTCACTCCCAGGACTTGAGGACGGTGCGCGATCATTTCTCTCCGCTCGGCGATGCATTCATGTGGCGCGCGCAGGTCTCCACCGCAACACGATTCGTGACCGCTGTGGAGGCGCGGCTTGGTGCATTGATACAGGCGAAGGTGGAGTGTTCACAACAATCTTTGGTGATGATGATCACTGACATTTATGCAGGAGCAAAATACTAGAATCCCCGTGTCACAGAGAATATTATTCTGTGCTCTTTTCCGTGAGATCCGGTTGTTGACTCGGTCCCTGAAGCCGTACGTTATATTCCTGAGGTTTCAGAGTACTTACAGACTAATGACGTCTCCCATAGCACTGCTTGGCTGTCCTCGGTTATTTCTTGGGCCTCGTACGATCCGGACCGAGAGGACAACGAGGATGTGTATCAGGAGGAGGAAGTTGGGATCAGTCTCGACAAGCTTAGAGCGCTCTATGCGCATGCCAACGAGGCCTTGCGGGGCGGCAGCAAGGTGACTTCCCTTTCCATTTCCTCGTACCTGCGCTCATTGACAGTCAAGCGGAGGACTACAGCCTTCGTGTCTCCAAGCCTCAGCATTCAGCGGTCTGCCTCCTCAGCAGATATGTCAGTTTCAGGCTTCCTTTCTGACAGGCTCGAGCTGTTGGATTCTCTGCAAGGAGCGTCCGTGAACACCATGTTCCCGCTGCTGGTGCTGGTCTCTGGGTTGCTGAACCAGGACCACTACGCCCACTTGGCTCCTACCCTCTGGAGCAGATGTCTCTCGGAGGCTAGTGTCGTAGTAGGCTCATCGGTACGTGTCGATATCTTGCTCAATAATAGCGTGTCGTTGATCATACAACAGACGACATTTCTTGTTATGCAATGTGCAGAGAAGGCTCCTGCTGAGATCGTTCGAGCAATCGAGCATGATCTCTCGCAGTACGTCTCCTCAATTCCATTGCGCACATGTTCTGACCGGTATGCACAGTCAAGACCCAGAGATTTGTCTGTCTGCGATCAAGAAGATGGAGATGATTGCGAGCTGGCGTTCTCACCTGCTAGCCTTGGACGTCATCCTCGACCGCACGTACCGACGGCCTTTCAAAGTGGCGCGACCGCCTATCCCATTCGTGCCAACCGACATGGGCTCGAGCCTCTTCGTCTTGGACGAAGACGTTTATGAGTTCAAGGACAATCACGGACATGTGCTACCTCTTGAGCTTCGCAGGCGACTCGCGGAGATCGGCTGGGACGAGGAAGATCGCACCATAGATCCTAAGACACAATGGATCAAGACGCCCATGTCGCTGCTACCGAGTCTGCATCTGGAATCCCTCGACGCACCAGTCGATGACATGGCCGGCATCGGTCGGGCTTCTAGTCACAGTCCTAGTCCTGATCCATCCCCGACGGCATCGCCGTCGAAGGAGGGACCACGCCTCAGACGGTCGTCCAGTGACAGTAGCATGCGGGGATCCAAACGACGGCCTGTCTTCGTCCCCGCCTTGGTATCGTTGCTTCCACGACTGGCTGCTATGGACAACGATGAAGACTTCGAAGTTGCCAACACGGCGAGGCATTTCATCCTTGATCTCATGCGAGATGACCCTTCCTTGCTCTCTCGCTCTGCGTACCATTCCATCTCCGGAGAAGAGAGCAGCCTAATTTCCGCCACTTCGTTGGTTATGGCCTTCTTACATGCTCAACATGCGCTGCCGCCAGCTATGGCTCACCACCTGCTGAATCACCTGGCTGGCTTCCTGAAGTCGTCCGCCAGCCAGCAGGCTCGCGCACACCCGCTTCAAGGCTATGCATACGCGTTGCCAGCCATAGCCAGGCTTGTCACGCAAGTGAGCAAAATGTCCGTCCGTGAGCTGCGGCGCGCAAAAGTCGACACGTTCCTCCTACCGTCCGGCGCGCTCTGGTTCGCGCCGTCTGCTCCTGCTGGGCCGTTGTTCCCGCGAGGGCTGGATGAGAATCAAGATCCGTTTGAATCCTTGCCGAGGCCTCTCGTATGGATTACGCTCATCAGAACGGCACAGAACATGCTCTTCCTCCGCATGTTGGAGCGAGATCCGCAGGCATTGAAGCATATCAGGAAGAACTTGGTAAGACTGGAGCTGCCGTCACTTGATGGCGACGGTCATCCCGGATCTCTTGCCTTCGCTTCCTTCTTGCCGCACAAGACCCGAGCACGGAAACCTGACAATGCGGTCCTCATGGCATTGTCTCTGACCCTGGCCCGGAGCTACTTGCTTTTGGCCGCACAGATATTCTGGTCTATGACCCGGCACTTGAATGACAGGCAAGAATTGGCCATCCTCGTCGATGGCTTGAATCGCGTGCTCCTTACGCACGGAGACGACATCGGGGTCGTAGGACATGCCTTGCTAGGTGAGTCAGCGTGATGTCCAATGGTGACGATAGGATTACTGACTTGTCGATCTTAGCTTTCATGTTGGCGAGCACGCGCTTCAAGCGCATGTTCATCTCCGGTGGTGCATACGCGCTATTCATGCCCGCAATCATCAAGACGTATTGCGAGGCCGAATTCCATCCGGGGATACGGGCTGCAATCGAATATGCCGTGAACCGCTTCTACGCACTGCACCAGGAGTCCTTCGTCTTCCAGAGCTTCGATGTCGTATCGCGGATGTTCATGTCCCCCGACATGGACCAGCCGTGGCTCGCCAAACAGGTCTTCGCGTTGTTCTCCACTCTCAAGAATGGCACTGCGCCATTGGCACCCGACGTCGCGGGCATCTACGACCTTACCAAATTGCAAGAGCAGGAAAACCGGATGGTTGCTGTCGCGGAGGAAGTGCCTCAGACGTTCCTCGCATCGCTTCGCAGAGGCGGGAACGGGAAGAGACAAGTCACGCTAGTGCTGCCTGAGGACTACGAGTGGAAGCGCCTGGGACTTGACAACCTCGTGCGCCTGTTCTTGACGGTCATCGCGCACAACCCTGCCATCCAGCGCGCGGAGCGCTTCATGCGCTCTCTGCGGCTCCTGGCGCCCTACCTGTATAATGCATCGAGCTCGTCCCGTACGGTTCTGCGCGACGGCATTGATGCGCTCGGGGCGATCCTCGTCAGCCGGACCGCTGCCAAGGCGAAGATGCCCGACACGATGCAGCCGCGTGCTACGGATGACTTCACGTATGAGGTCCTCGTGGAGGGGAACTCGAATGAGTCACAGCCGGCACTGTCCCCTGCGGATATCGTTGCGATGCGCCTGGACTATCTGTCGCTGGTCGTGGCCTTTGCTCAGGCAGGCGGGGAACTAGGCACAGCTGCACCCGGACGCGTCGTGGAATTGACGAAGATAGTCCTGAGGGATTCGATCATTAGTGCAGACCGTGTCGCTGCGTTCTTGACAGACTACATGAAGGCTTCACTACTCAGGGAGCCGACGCCGAGCCTGAAAGAGGCGCTTGCGCTACTGAACGACTTTGTGCCCGTCGTGAGCGCGTACAGCACGTCGGTCAACTTCTCTGGGGTGTTCGATGTCTTGACCTCCCTCTGCGGCAACTCGGTTTTCGCCAACCAACCACGATTCGCCCAAGTAGTCGTGGCGGGGTATTGCAGAGCTGGACTGGAGGCCTGTGAAGCTGCTGCGTCGGAGAGCTGGCTCCTCTCTCTACCATCTCGTATGAGTGTCATCCGGCTCATGAACGCTGCTGTCACCCTCGTGGGCGCGGACGTCCTGGAGGAGCTGGCAAAGCACCCACCCTCATACGACTTCCTCACCGGTGTCGTGCTCCCTCTGACCCTCTCGCTCAAGACCGCGGGCGAACTCAGCACAGGCAACCAATGGACAGAATCATGGCACAGGGAGGCGCACTCCCGAGCGTGGGCCCGCCTGCTTACGTACACCCTCTCCGCCTGCCAGAACCCACACGTACCGCGCGAGCAGGCCGAGGATCGGCGCAAGTCGTCGGACAGCCGGCTTTCGGGCGCGAGCAGCCAGAAGGCCGCGATGTCGCTCACGATCGCGCTGCAGATCCTCAAGGTCGTCGTCGTCCGTGCGGAGGACGACCTCTCTGCGTTGATGCCCCACGTCTGGGCCCACGTCGGCGCGCTGCTTCGGAGCCTCTTGGATGATGGCGACGCGGCGTTCGCGACGAAATCAAGGGACTACTCCGAGCCCCCGTCGCCCTCGCTCTCGCCCAAGGGGAGCCCGACGTCGGACCCATTCCTGCCGGGTTCGTCGTCGAGGCCTTGGTCCGGGTCCCCGCCTCGCTTGATTGACTATCTAATGTGGTCGTTCATACAGTGGCTTTGCCTACGGAAGAGCCCGCTCGTGGTGCAGATGCGAGGGTTCGTGCAGGAGAAAGTCGCGCTCGTCGATCAGGAGACTGTCCGCGCGGACGATCCCAACATGAGCACGTCGTTCGGGGTCAGCCCGATCTCGGTCCGCCGCTTCTCCATCTTCACGAAGCCGCGGCGGAGTATGGCTCACGAGAGCGCTGCTTCTTCAGCTGCGTCGACGCCGCGCCACTCGACTTTTCTGAACACCTCGTTGTCGCTGCCAACGTTTGACGAGTCATATCTGCGCGCGTCGACCCCGCGGAAGGATGAAGGGACGCGGCTGGCGGGCTACGCGCGTGATGTGAGCCCGATATCCCCGTCTGGACGTACAGGAAGAGAGTCTGGACCCAGGATCGTTCATCTTGGCCCGGTCACCCCGCTGTCAGTCTATGGTGGGCTCCATGCGAAGAGGGCCGCATCACCCAGTGGGGCCTCGCGCGGAAAGGCGGGGACCGTCTTGGAGGCTGCGAAAGAGCGCACGGTGACGAGCGTCGTGCTCGTACGCGGGACGTACCGTCGCATACGCCTAGCTCAGACCGTTCTTGGCTACTCGATGGTTCTGCCCCTTGGGGAAGGCGAAGAGGAAGACATGAATGAGATGCAAGTGCGCGCGTGGACGAGGAAGGAGGCACTGGAGGCAGTCCTGCAGGAGGTAAAGGATCTGATGGAGGAGTTCCGCGAGGAGTACTCTGGCGTGGGCGACGATAGTCTGGTCATCGTTGATGCGGAGGAACCGAGCTCACCGTCGAAGTGGTAGTAGACGCAACTTTTTAATGTATCTCGTTTGAGCTTCGCATGGTCTTCGCGGTTTCTTACTGTATATCTGTGTATCATGTGTACATTACGCCATATAATTGTTATGCTGTTGCCTGTTTACACGGATGCCAGTCGGTATGCCACGAGCAAGCGACGTCGACGGACCACCGAATAATAGGATGATCGTCCGTATTACCTTTTTCAGCCCTCCTCCTCCAGCTCCAATAGGCGCTGGCACGCGACCCGGGGCCCTGGACAGTGGACACTGGACACGGAGCTCTGCGAGTCTGCGTGCTCCTCCTCCTCCAGCCTCCCACCTCTTGGCACAGGAGGCCAATGCACTGCACCCGCGAAACTAGGCCTGGCGAAGAAAATCAGACATATGCCTCTCTAATCACTCGCGAGTATGATATTCGACAACTTGAGCTTTGCAATAATCTTGGGGACCTCGCCTCCGCGAATCGTGGCGGCTGACGGGAAAACAACCGTTCCCTGCCTGAACGGACAGTACTCCAACACGCATGGTATGCCCCTGTCTTGTCTCTAGAGATGGTATATCCGTGGTAGTGTCATAGGGTCTCGCACCGCATACAAGTTGACGGAGTGTATGTATTTTCTAAAACATGACTTTGCCTCATATGCAACCGGATCCGTGCTCAAAACAAGCTCCGAGTGTTTATCGCGCGCACAGGTAGGTTGTAGGAAGCTATATAGTAGTTACGAACGAGCACTAACAACTCTATTGTACTAGAGTGAGTGATTGGCTCCCAGGAGACCACTTCACGGACAAAACCTGGCTCCAAGGACTAGTCCGCTACGTGGATGAGCATCCAAAGGAGCTTCACCCAGTACTGAGAGTGTTTCAACAGCTCATCGAGAGCGAAAGTCAGCTATATTTCCTCGCACAGTCGATGTTCGAACAGGTCCCGGCGAAGGGACCATACGCCGACGATCCCTCTGGTTACAGGCAAATCCGCGACTTCGAGCATATGTTACGGGTACTCAACCACCTCATCATAACCGCGCCTCTCTGGGACGAGCAGTCCGAACGCCTCAGCATGATCGCCGTACGCATGAAGGCCGTCCTGGACTGGCCCATGGGCACGCGCAGCGGTTTCGCTTTCTTCCTTGACCCCGTCGTCAACAGGATGCTGAAAAGAGTACTCGATGCATGGGGTGATTTTCTACGCTCGGAAGAATCGGCGCGGCAGGCTCTCGGGGAGGACGACAATGGCTGGTTCAACCCGAAGGCTAAAGCCGCCATCACCACAGCCGCAAACCAGGCAACCGGGACAGCGCACGACTTCGCAGAGATCTTCGAGTGCGATCCTTCAAAGCCGCATTACGGCTTCCGCTCTTGGGACGCCTTCTTCACGCGCACCTTCAGGGAGGGCATCCGGCCCGTCGCCGCACCGGAGGACGACGCCGTCATCGCGAACGCATGCGAGTCAAAGCCATACAAGGTCGCGTATGACTGTGCCCTGCGAGACAAGTTCTGGATCAAGGGCGAGCCGTACTCGCTCGTCGACATGCTCGCGCACGACGCGCTCGCGCCCCGCTTCGCCGGCGGCACCGTCTACCAGGGTTTCCTCTCCGCGCTGTCCTATCACCGCTGGCACGCTCCCGTCGCTGGGCGGTGCGTCAAGGCGTACGTCCAGCCAGGCACGTACTACTCTGAGCCGCTCGTCAACGTCGGTGACCGTGAGGCGAGGGGCGGCGGTGGACCTGAAGATAAGCCGACCTCGCAGGCGTACGTCACCGCGGTCGCTACGCGCGCGATCATCTTCATCGAGGCGGACAACCCCGCGATCGGCCTGATGGTGTTCTTGGGCGTCGGCCTCGTGCGAGATCACGGTGCAGGAGGGGCAGCGCGTGCAGAAGGGCGGCCAGCTGGGGATGTTCCACTTTGGGGGCTCGACGCATTGTGTGGTGTTCAGGAGGGAGACGGATGTGCGTGGGTTCCCGGGGCCTGGAACGGAGACGATCGTGCCTGTGAGGGGACAGCTTGCGGTGGTGGAGGGCCGGCGGACGTGACTTTAGGGATACGTGTCCCGGATTTGCGATTGCTCGCTGAAATCGATGCAGACACTACTGTAGATAGGTCTCGGGATGCATACACAATTAACAGGTCTACTTCCCTAGAAATGCATACCGCACTCCTACATGTATACCGGCCATAAGTCTTGCCACGTAGCATCCGTGTCGACATTCTGATGACTGTGTCGTAGACCTGCTTCAGCAAGGTTCCAGCCTCATACCAGGATCTTCCATCCTCCCGTGAGCCCCATGACGTTCTCCGGGTCGTACCGCTCCTTCAACACCGTCATCTCCGCGAGGGACTCCCCATATATGCTCGCCACGCCCGTCCCAAACAGCACATAGTTTGGATAGAGCGGCGCCCCCATGACGAGCGTCTGGCCATCCGCGACGGCGGTGTCGGTGAGGTTCTGTGAGGACGCGACGATCGCGGCGTAGAACGCGTCGTCGTACGTCGCGTCCGTCCAGAAGAAGTCCATGTTGAACGGGAGGAAGCGCTGCGCGCGCGTCCACGGGTAGGCGGAGGCGCCCCCGTGCGTGAGGATCGTGGGCAGGAAGGGCTCGACGTCGTAGCTCACGAGGGTCGTGGAGCTGTTTGCTAGCGCGGTGCCCCAGTACTGGGTTATGCAATGTGAGTACGAGAAGTGAGCTTGGACGCCTCTGGGAGCGTACCTCGAGTTGGGCTACGATGGCCTCGAGCAGGGGTAGGGTGATCTCCATGAAGGGTACAGTGTTTGAGAACCCCCTGTCGGGCTCGTGAATAGAATCCTCTGGGAGGGAATGCAAGTCCCCCACCTCATGTTCGCGGACGTCGTCGTCGGCTCGACTTGCACAAGCGAAAGGAAACTCTGCGTGGAGATGTTCGTCGAGAGCGCCGTTATGGCGAGGAACTCGTCGAATATGTCCGCAGGTTGCGAAGGCGCGTCGTAGAACAGTATCACAGCGGCCAACAGCTGCGACAGCATGTATATTCAGTGCCAAGCACACGGACGACAGATGAGAGGGAGACGTACGGCGCCCTCCTCGTAGTCGTACGTCGCGATGATCTGTGCCTTAGGATCGGTGACGTTGGCTGCGAAGTTGGCGGTGGCGGAGTTGACTTGGTCGATGTATTCGCCGAGGATGATCAGTTGTCCGCCCTGTGAAAGTCATCGTCAGTAAGGACATCAACGCAACAATGGAAACCCACTGACCCAGACGAGTCCTTGTGGGTATGTCTGCAGCGTGAACGTCGTCACAATCCCCTTTGACGCGCCCTCAGTTAGAATCGGCTACGTCGAGTGAAGCAGGGCGACCTACGTAGTTGTTGTAGCCGCCCTGTCGTTTAGATCGTATCGTTAGCCTGATGCGAGCATATATGCAATGTACTATACTGCTGACCCACCTTCAGGCCCCAGAAGAGGTCCGGATACGTCGATTGCGTCACGTTGGTAACAGTACCATTCGGGAGGACCAGTTCGAACGCACGGACCGAGTCCAGCGCCAGACCATACTGATTCGTCAACCAAGAATAGCCTGCGTGCCTGGTTGATCAGCCAGCCACGCCAACACGAACTCAACCTTGAGCTTACCACCTCCTAGCGTGAACCCAGCCACGCCGATCCCGCTGACCCTGCCTCCGACGACGTTGACGCCGTATGGCTCCAAAGCCGCGTAGACATCGTCCCAGATGTTGCCTGCGCCGACTGCGACTGTCTCGCTGCTCGAGTCGTAGTCGATGGCGCTGAGGCGGGTCATAGCAATCTGGATGCCGGTGCTGGACGAGAAGTTGGGGTTGTTTGCGTGGCCGCCGCTTTTCACCTACGCGTGTAACATCGTTAGCTGCTCATAGTACGGAAACGGGACGAGCTGATGATTCCCTACCCCGAATGGAGTCGACGTGGAGCCCACTATTGTGAGCTGCAGGTAACTTCAGTGATGAACATGCGCGGATCTGCAGCAGAAACTCTCACTCACGATCGTCCCCACATCCTCTGTTGTACCTGGCTCCACCGAGCAAACTGCTTCTTCGGTGCTAGAGATTGAGTAATGGGCAATGTCCGCAAGGTACGAGCGGTCCGCTGCGTACACAGTCCCATCAGGTGGATCGAGCGCGAGAAGAGAGATGGGCATACGACTGTAGAAGACTTCCGAGGCGGAGGAGATGGCGTTGGCGATCTGCTGGCAGGTCGCGAGGACGTCTGGGGTGGCCGCGAGGGATCTGGGCAGCAGAAGCGCGGTTCCGAGGATGCGAGCGAAGCGAAGCATGTGTAACACCGCCGATGCGTCTGTCGAGGATGTAGAACCTGCGAGGGCAGGCCTCGATGTCGGCTGGGGAGGTCCGGGACGTCCTCACGGACCTGGGTCCCTTATATGCGGACCTGCGAAACCTGCGAATGTATGCGCTTGAGTATGACTGATACTGCGAATGGAGCTGTGTGGAAGACGGCGTCAGACTACCTCGGTAGCTAGTGAGATCGCACTTGGCATGCACGAATGTAGTTGTCCATTAGACTCACTCACCGAGATCGATCAATGCATGGCCCGAACATGCACCGGGTGGCACCTTCAGACGCGCGTTATTGATCTAGTGCATGGGAGCTGAAGGCATTGCGACGACCAAAAGCTCTGCAGGCACCAAGGCAGGTGAAGCATCTCCTTAAAGAGGACGCTCGGTCCAATCCTCGCCCGGAGCCTGTACCAACATTTGCGAAGTTAGCCCTGTTCTCGTGTTTCGGATGCACATGGATCGTGGAACGGTTCTGTACCTACCTCAGTGCTATGGTATCTCGGAATATTGAGCTTGAAGAGAACAGGTGACGAGGTTGAGAAGCAAGTCGCGGATGGTAGAGGCCTGGTGCGGCGACGAGAAGTTAAATATAAGCGCACGCTCTCACAGACCGGCTTATGGCGGGCGGTACAGACTATATGATACTCACAGCGAAGGATAGACGTGCATACATCAGTCATACCAGCAGCGTAACCAGCTGCGAGCCGCGTTCTCGGGCGTCGGCCTGATCGACGAATGCTGCAACCACAATTCATCATGAGTCCCCGGTAGCCACCTGAACTAGCTAATGAGATACCTGAGGGGGACCACATTGCGCGTGGCTGCGGGGTCAGTCCCTGTTACGTTCAACGGCAGGGGGCTGATGCGATGAAGAGTGTCAGGTAAGCTTCGTGCCTGCATGGAGGGAATTCTGCTGGAGCGACCTAAAACTACCGTGGTGTGGGGTCGGCAGATGATACTTTACAGCAATGGGCTTGCTACGATCGGTTGAATGAGGCGTGGATGACTAGCAAATGGATTGATAGAAAGGTCGCTACATACCCGCTCGGTTTACTTCATTCTGTACCTAGAACCGCGTGCATGTGGCTATGTGGAGATCAAGAATGGTCCAGTCAAGAATAGCACGGCGAAGCTATATCTATATCCAGTGCGAACCTGCGTACAGACAAGTACATTATTAGCTCATGTCTTAATGGTGGAGTCATAGCCAGAACTCACACGTCGCTGAATGCGGCAATCAGAGGGTGCTGCGATAGTCTCTCCTAGGCAGACTCTAATTACGACGTTCTTGAGGGGAGGAGGGCGGTTGTATACGAGTGCTGCGACAGCGCCGGACCGTCCTCTACTGCACTTCGAATACTCGCTTCGGTGGTGGCAGACAGAGCACCTCGCGCCGCATCACGATGAATGAATCACACAAGAATCAGAGGTTCTGAAGCTCGTGAGCCCCGAGCAGAGGCTCAACGAGTGGTGTAGGTGGGGCGAGCATAGCTGCTTCGAGTTATCGCGCGATGCTCATAGCTTCCTCGCGTTCTCGTGCGGCGTTCGCGCATCGAACACGTTACAATCTATCTCCATTCAACTTCAGCCCCTCCTTCTACGCGTATACTTGACTGAAACATATAACTGACCTTCACGTCGCCAGTGGTCAACTGGTCACACGTAGCGACTGCGCTGCGCGTGTTCCTTGTGCTTTCTTTAGCCTGCGCCGAGCGACGGCTGCTCACTGTGTACTGTACTAGCGCGCTGAACAGGCGAGAGTAAGCGATGGTGGCGGGGCGCAAAGTAATGAAACCCTCCGAAGGGCGATGCAGAGATGACGGTCGACAGCCAGGAAGACGTCGCGAGTCGGGCAACGACCACCGCAGCGAGTGCAGTGCGAACATAACACGCCCGCATTTTCGGCGGATTTTAGAGCCCGATGTGGGAGAACTGCCATTTCTGACGTTAACGGCCATTTCTTCGTTGCTGCCGAGCCGTGCCGGGGACAAGCGATTGGCTGCGATCACAAATGCGGGGGTTCCGCGGCGGCTGCCGGCCGGTCACTGCCCTGCGAGGCGGTCGGAGAACGCTGCGCGGTCTTATACTCATACATCGACGCGGCACTCGCTCTCTTCCCACCACTCGTTCCCTCTCCCATTCCTTTGCAAAGATACCCGACATGCTCTCCGCACACCGAAGCACGGCAGCCCTGCTGTCTTTGCTTCCTCTCCTCGCGTCCTTTGTGCCTGGGGCGACCGCAGACTCTTGGTGAGCATGCTTGGGAGGTCGCGTGTGGCTTGCTCTGAACGCGGTGTGTCTAGTAATGCGACTCAGTTGTGTGGGTCGCAGAACCCCTGTTGCAGTGCGTAGCATGTCCAATCCCCCTCTGCGAGTAGGCTAACCTTGCGCGCGCAGGTTCTTACGGGTTCTGTGGGAGTGGTCCCGTATGTGCCATGTTCGGCGATCTGCACCTCAAGCCTCTGACCCATCCTCCAGGACTTCTGCTTCGGTGGATGTGACCCCCTCGGTTCCAACACCCTGACCTCCTGCATGCCCGAGCCGCTCTGTGAAAGCCAGAACGTGCGTACATCCCGTGCCTGGGTGCCAAGGGTGTCTGATCCCCGTTCCGTTCTCGCACAAGCCTTGGCCTCTCGGACAATGTCCCCTGCGTGTCGACTGCCGGTGTACGGCGTGTTGGGTTGGGAAGCCCTGGGCAACTTGGCGCTTAGGAGCTATTTTGAGTCCATGCGGTACCCATCAGTCGGCCGAGCGCAGTCGCTGGCGGAGCTTGCCTGCATCCTTCAGTTGAGCGCAGCCAACTGCTTCTTCGCTTCCGCTTCTGGACGGCATGGCATTCAAATGTCAGTGGCTTCATGAGGGCATGAACATCACTCTGCCGTCCATTTAGACAGATCCTGCCCATAGTCATGGTGCGCTTCCTGTCCTGTGGAACGTGATCATCCGTGCCCGACTGCGTGGTTCGGGGACCAATGGACCGGACATCCTCTGCGAATGGGTCTGGGTGCGGGGTGCTAAACATGACTACTACAGATTACCTTCTCCAGCTTCGACCGCATCCTCATGAACACGACGCAATACAACGGCAACGCGAGCGAATGGGACTTCATCCTCCAGCAGGGCAACATCCTCAACACCACTGCCGGCGAACTCGTCCTCACGCTCAGCGAAGAGAACAACGGCACGTTGCTCACTTCGACGCGTTACGTCCATTATGGCCAGATCACGGCAAGGAGTACGTCCTGCGGCGTTTCGATGATTTCAGCATTTGCTGAATGGTGGTCATAGTGAAGACTGGCCGGTGGGCTGGTGTCGTGACGGCTTTCATTACGATGTCGGACATCAAGGACGAGATTGACTGGGAGTTCCCTGGCAACAAGACGACTGAGGGCCAAACCAACTTCTTCTGGCAAGGCCTGATTCGTACGTCCGCATTGCAACGTCAACCCGATGCACTCTGACGATCTGACGCATCGCATAGCTACGCAGACCGCTGGCCAAACGACCGGTAACCTGACTGACACGTTCAGCAACTACCACGACTACACGGTACGCCCCTCAACTCTCGCATACAGTGGTTCAGCCAACTGACGAGCGCGTCGCAGCTCGACTGGACGGAGGACAGCCTGACTTGGCTCGTCGACGGCAGCGTCGTGCGCACGCTGACGCGCGCGGAGGCGACCGACAACTCGACGGGCGTCAGCCGCTTCCCGAACACGCCGAGCCGCATCGAGTTCTCCCTCTGGCCCGCCGGCATCAGCAGCGAGCCCGCGGGCACGGTCGAGTGGGCGGGCGGCATGATCAACTGGGACGACCCGGACTACAAGTCTGCCGGTGCGTGTCTCGCTTCACCCCGCTCTAGCGAGTCCGTTTCACTGACGAGACGGAATGCCCGCGCGCAGGCCACTTTTACGCGTACATCGAGTCGGTCTCGGTCACCTGCAACGACCCGCAGGCGGCCAGCGGGAACATCACGTCGTACGTGTACGGCTCGAACTCGTCCGCGTTCACGCCGGCGATCACCCTCTCGAACGAGACCACGATCGAGAGCAACGGCGCGCTCGCGGCCGTGCCCGCGTCGTTCAAGTGGGCGCTTGTCGCCTCCGGCGCGGCGATGCTCCTCGCGCTCTTCTAAGCCCGCCTCGGCTCGACTGGACTCTACGACTGGGACTGGGACTGGGACTTGGACGTTCACTGGGCCCGTGACTGTCGCTTCTCTCTGGTTATGGCAAGCAGTCTTGGAGTTGAACTCTGGACTCGGAACGAGGATGAATAATATGTTTTCTCTCGGAATGGTATTGGTATTGGTTATTAACGGTATTGATTGAATGCGCTAATGAGCGTTGCGGCTCGGATGATGTTGTGAATATATCCCCTCGATACGGTCCTGCTGGGTGTGGGGCCGTGCGGTATCTGATCTTTTGTTTTGCTTTCATGTGGTCTGTGGTCGAAGAAGTGCCTTTTCGTGCCTTGATGTACTGTAAGGGGGACTTGCTTCCTTGCTTGTTTGCTCAGAATCTCAGCTTGTACCTCGATCATTGACGCGGTCGATTCCGCAGAACACGGCCTCGATGATCTCGATCAGGTTCAACGACATCTACTTACTGATCTCTGTGCAAACTCTGTTCTATAAGCTTCTATGATCCATGATTACGGGGTCCACAAGTCTATCTACACAAAATTCGTCTAATCTAATTCTACTGCCACGATTGCCAGCGGCGATCGACAACTTCCTCATGGGACGATGACAGCACGGAACCGAGCGGTAGCACGGTGGTCGAAGGCATCCTGCGCCTGGTCGAGAGCAAACTTCTCCACCATGACCTTGACGTCGTGGGCCCGCGCGAACTGGACGGTATCCTCGCAGTCCGCCCCGGTACCGTATGGCCACCCACGGACAACCACGCGCTTGGTCAGGAGGGGTGCTACAATGAAGTGAAAGTAAGTTTCAGCCCTGTCTTATGCAGAGGAGCGAGGCTACTTACGGATCGGCACAGCGACTGCCTCTCCCGAGACGGCCACGACGAGGAGCTCGCCCTCGTAGTCGAGCCCGCCGATGAGCGTGCTCATGGCCTGCGCGTCGGGCGCGGTGCACATGATGAGCCGTGCGCCGCCGAGCTTCTGCAGAGCCGCCGCCTGCTCAGCCGCCGTGCCCGCGATGAAATCGTGCGCGCCGAGCGAGAGCGCCAACTCCTTCTTGCTCGTGCCCGTCGAGAGCGCGATGGTGCGGAAGCCCATCTTGCGCGCGAACTGGATGGCGAGGTGGCCGAGGCCTCTGTGGACAGGGTCAGTTTGCGTTTGAGGGTGAGGGGCGGGAGGGGGCGTACCCGATGCCTTGGACGGCGACGATGTCGGGGGCTCTGCTTTGCATGTGTCGGAGAGCGTCTGGGTTCGTGGTCAGTTGGTGGGATGTTGCATGGTCCATGCGACGACTTACTGAATGTTGTCACACCAGCGCACAAGTGAGGTGCTATTTCGGCAGGGTCCAGGTCCTTCGGGAGGCCAGCGAGCGACTCGGACCTCAGCGTGGTGTACTCTGCGTAGCCACCATCCCTGCCAACGCCTGGAGTGAAGAATTTGTCAGCTAGGGTGCCTGATCTGAACGACACTACTCACCTGTTGGGCAGCTAGCACCGGTCGGGCATGTCACGAAGTCCCCGACGCGGCAGCGTTTGCAGGAGTTGCAGTGGCCGCCGTGCCAGCCTGCGCCGACGCGGTCGCCGACCTTCCAGAGCTGCTCGCCTTCGGCGACCGCCACCACATCGCCGACAACTTCGTGGCCGGGCACTCGCGGGTACACCTGGTTCTGGAAGAAATTGCCCTTCACCGCTTCATCACTGGAAGGGGGATCAATACCGAGAGGGGAGCGAGGCCGTCGAGGGATAGATACCTGGCGCAGACTCCGCATGCAAGAACCTTTATTACGACCTCTCCGGGTGCCGGGTCCTTCCAGTCGAGTACGATGGGCTTGAGAGGACCATCCTTCTCAAAGAAGGCGTATGCCTTGTAGGTTTTCGGGTGGGTGGTCGTCATGTTGGGCAGAGGGGGTGTCTTGAAGTGCATGACGACACTCGACCGATTTTATATGGCGGCGGGCACATCGTTGAAGCTGTCAGCCTCGCGCTGACACACCTTGGCGACTACTAGTTTGTCATGGTGGGGACTAACAGTTCGTCCTGCAGCCGTCACTTACGGGCGGCGGGAGGATACTACATACCCTCGGCCCGAATTCGGGGCTTTCCATATGCGGCGAGCATCCATGTTCATCCGCTGTGCGCCGCAGTCTTCACGACAGACTTTGAAGATCGATTGTATCCTGGCCCCAGGATATTCAGCTGTCTCTCCTACAATCACTGGACACGAAATGCATTGTTTGCATTGAACCTTGGTATCCGACGTGGTGAGCATGATGTGGCTACACGACTAAATCGGTGCGTAGTATTTAATTCGTTTCTTCAAACGTTGTGGCGTCACACGGGCGTCAAATGCTCCGGCTTTCTGCCATCAGGCACGCATGTGGTTTAAGCCTCTGCGATCGACCATCGGCAATCCCAGCCTCGGGCATCCGGTGTATATGCCCGACGGGCGCATTGTGTCTGGGTCGAAACAAGGTCGAAACCATGGTCTATCACTATTTTAGCCTTCGTCAATACTAAGCTGTGCTTCTGATCCGCCTCCACTGGCTCGGGGGATCAACGGCAACCGGGTACTCCACAAGCGCAGGAACGTCGTGTAGTACAGCATGTACAGTAAGCTGCAGCATTTGCCTAGATTTGCCTCCGCGATCGGGTGGAAGCGGGCATCGGTATGTGCGGTCGAATTCGAGAGGATGTCCGGCTAAACATGTTGTCATCCTGATAGGATACGGAAGACAATGCTCTACAATGTTCCGCAAAGCCTCCATCGACAAGGAAAATCCGTCAATGCTGCTGCTATTCTTTTTGAAGGTAATGCGGTTGACATGCGAATATCCGTCATTATTGTCTCCGCATGTCGTTGGTGTGACACGACCACGTTCACCCCTTCCTTTGAAGTAGGTATGTCTACGACAGGATTAGAGCACGGGGCCAAGGCAGTGTAAAATTTTGTTAGTCTCGAGATCTCTAAGCAGAGCCCAAGACAATTTTTCAACAAGACGTCGCAACACAGGTATGCAAACCAGAGTATCTACTCGTGTGTCACAGCATTACTCATCCCTGCGCCTTACAGCTTACCTCACGATGTCCTTGAGCTGCACCGTCAGCAAATGGCACGCTCGATTCGAAACCATACGACTCAAACAGAATGATGTTACTTAATGCGTCCAGGTGCGTCTACGAGCGCACTGCCCCGAGAGTTACTAATACCTGACAATTCAATCCCGGCGGTGCGCTGTGCGCTTTAGGAAATTTCGTTGCGGCGCCCCACCATCCACGTAACGCTCGACTTGTACCTCGATAGTTCCCGATGAGCGACGAGATGATTCATCAGGCCGACACTGGACGGCTTTGGGGAAGCCTGAGGAGGCACAGGGCCCAGGGCGCGCCTCCACTTGACCCCACTTTCCAGGCTGCGTTGCCGCTTAGCTGGTTCTCGATTGTCGTCGTGCTGGCTGCGGGCGCATTCATTGTGGCCATGACAGACAGACACCGATGAAGGCGTCATCGACGCGCGGCCTGAGCTAGTGTGTAACTGTTACCCTACAGCATGTCTGCTCGACGAGTGCTTCGTTCAGTACCAGTTGCTTCTAGAACGCCTTGCATACTGCGTTAGCTGCATTCTGCGCGTCCATGCACAGCACAGTGAGTTCGCGTCCATCACTATGCTTGCTTTGTCTGACTCGAGCACGAAGACACTGTCAACTTCACTACTGCCAGCGACTCGCCTCAATTGCCATCGTGACATATGTCGAACAACCTCATCCCGCAACATCCGAGGGGCAGCGCCACACTCAACGATGCGTTGTATGCCTCGTCATACGGCACGCCGTTGTCGTGGGTCTGCGTTCTCAACGCTGACTACACCGTCCAACCATGCTTTCCGAATGCGGGTTTCACGCATTTTGAAGCTCCAGCACGCCTGGGAACCAGGGGGTCTAATGTATGCATTAATAGTTGCATAAGCGCTGTCAGTATCTGACTCCGGTACGTGAGCTTGAGTTAAATATCTGATCCAGAGGCCCATGCACATCTGCTCGGTATGGTCACAGTGCAAGCTCGGGGATTCCGCTCGCTCGGAGCGCATCATGGGCGGTCTTTGACTCTACATGCTCACAAGCCGTGCCAGCTGTGTTTCGAGGTTCAATGGCTCCTCGTCTTTGCATCTGAGCGGAATGCGACGCGTCGACAACTCATCACACTCCGCTATGTTGGGTGGCCAAATTCCGTGAGCCAGAACAATCCCAAAGCAGAGTGAGTCTAATTGGCATCCTGGGCTATGTGCCGTAGCTTACTTGCATATATAGATCCTCCATGCGCTCTCTCCGAGTTCTCGCAAGCTTATGCAGCATATGGAATGAAGGTGTCGTCGCTCCGGTTTCAGGCTATGCCCCGTGAGGTCAAGGGTCTCCAGCTTGATTGCACACATGCACGGTCCACTGCGGGGACGGCGTGTCGAATATAAGCAGTGGGCTCTCAGCCCTCCAGTCAGAGTAAGTGGCCGCCTACCCAGGTCTGACTCGCCCTCCTCACTCCCCGGTGTTAGATTGTGGCGCGCTAGATAGCGCCTCGGTGACACCCGACGATCCATTCACTCCGCGATGGTTCATATCAGGAGGTTCGCTTTTAGAGTGGCCGCAGCACTGGTATACGTCTCGTTTGTTCAGGCACAGACCATTTCGTCGGTCTGTCAGAGAATCTCCAATTCCATATCCCTGGCATCTAGCGTGTTCTACGATCGTGAGTGATTACCGTATGTTCCGATGTACCGACGGCTGATCTCCGAATTGCTGCGTCACAGCGGAACCTTCGTATCTCGCGGATATCTATCACTATGCAGAGTCGAGCTCTCAGACGTCTGTGTGCTCCGTAGAGCCAGGAACAGCTGAGGATGTTGGTATTGTCGTATGTCGGTCCCTTCTACTGAGCGAGCACGCTGGTCGCTCATTGGGCGTATCTTCTTCCGACCAGCTCACCATCTTGGGATCTACACGGACTCTATTCGGCGTAAGCAACCCGCAGAATCCGCGTATGTCAGAGGTTGACCACGTTCCCTTTCAGATTAAAGGCGGGGGTCATATCATGAACCCTAACTATTCCTCCACCGCTGGCGTGCAGATCTCGATGTCGCGTTTTACTGCCGTTGACTATGACTCAAGTACCGGTACTGTCGTGGTCGGTGCAGGTAATATCTGGGATAACGTATACGAGGCGTTGCTGCCGTACAACGTGAACGTCGTGGGCGGCAGAGTATCAGGTATTGGCGTGGCTGGATATACATTAGGAGGAGGTGCGTATCATGAATATGAGCTGCTTCTGTGCACTGACATGCATGCTAGGATACTCGTACCTCACGAATCAGTACGGACTGACCATCGACACTGTTCGTGTGTTCGAGCTTGTCTTGCCCAATGGTACAGTCACGAACGTCACGGAGTCGAAACATCCGGATTTGTTCTTCGCATTGAAGGTCAGACTTGTCTTGGATATGTGGACCACATACGCGGAACTGAACTCAGAAATAGGGAGGATACAATAACTACGTACGCTGTTCAACAGGTAAGACCCTGAGTCGACAGTAACTGATAAGACGCTACTCGCCAGGGGATTGTCACGGGTTTCACCTATCAAACGTACCCACAAGGCCTCGTCTGGGTGTGTCTGTCTTTCTAAGCGGGTTTTCCGTCCACTCTGAAACCTCAGGAACGTCCAGGGTGGACAAAACATCTACCTAGGTCAATATGTCGATCAAATCAATGCTGCTACTGCGGACTTCGCGAACAACGTGACCGATCCCAAAGCGGCCCTCATAACCACATACGATTACCAGGACGGTGTGGTACGTGTGACTCCATGACCGTCTGCTGGCAAATGAAACTCACCCTGGCATACCATTGAGCAGTTTGTCATATCCGTGCTCATGTTCTATGACGCCCCGACTCAGCCTGCTGGGATATTTGATGGCTTCCTGACTGTTCCCGCGCTGTCTGCCGATGTCTCCACCCGCGACTACCTGGATCTCGTGCTCACCGAGAATACGAGCACCTCCGCGAACATGAGGTGAGTCTACACCTGCACTTGCTGTAATTTGGGATTAAAATCCGCCCGATGGTCGTAGGGGATATTACAACACTGTCCCCTTGATGGATATTACCTTACCACTGTTGGAAGCTGTGGTGAGCCAGTTACAGGTACGCGATAACTATTGTTGGAATTGAACGACATCTGACACCGAGTTGTTCTCGTCAGTACTGGCAATCCATTCTGTCATCAGATTCCGGAACGCTCTTCAGCTACGACGTCGAGCCGTTCCTACCAACGATCCTCACTCACGGCAGCCCATCAGCGTATCCTTGGACGCGCGCTGAACGGTTTCTCCCGTTAAACGTCTACTTCGCATGGACGGATGCAGCCGACGACTCAGACTTCTATAATGCTCTCGTCGCAACTGCAGCGAACCTAACAGCAGTGGCCGTCAGCGAAGGGCAGGTCCTCGTTCCGGTCGCTCCTCATTATCCGAACTATGCACTCTACGGGACCAGTCTAGCGAGCATCTGGGGGACGTCCTTAGGCGAGATGATAGTGGTCAAAGAAGAGTGTGATCCGCACAACGTCATGGGCCTCACTGGAGGGTGGAAAATACCGATTTGAGCATGTACGTAGCATACCATATGGACTCAGCTACCGTCACGCACTTGCTCAAGCGTGTTACCACTAATACTAGCTAGGCGTTGCTGCCTGTTCCTATTACCGCAGAGTGGGCGCTATCCATATTTGTTCAATCACGTCTTCTATGGTGTGTCTCTTTCCGGTAGAAGCGAATGCTTTGATGTGAATACTTGGCGCAGGAGGAGCATTTCATAGGCTGGAGATGACGGGAAACTGTCGCAGTTCGACGCCCCAGAGAATCCGCGTTGCCGAGGTTCAAGCCCAATCGCGATCGCTGCAATGGCACACCGATTGCCGTTCAAGTTGCGTCCGTGTTTCGGAATGTCATACTCACCTGGGTACTAAGTGTCGAACGAGGTATCAGCGATAGCGACATACAAACCACTCTGAATCGTATCTTGCTCTTCAATGGAAATTGTGTCGGCCATGGCTTGATGTTGGGCAAACAGCATATGAACAGGGTATCGTGCGAGTTGTTCTGCTCACGAGAAAGGGCTTTGGATGGCTTCGGGATGGTTATTATTGCGAGGCTGGCTCAGGGCAGCTGAGACAAGCGGTGAGTCTTTGTCGACAGGGCTGTACCACCAGCTCCAACTGACAACACAATTGAGCTTAGGCCACATCATGTCGATGCTGACTACAAAGCCATACAGTGGTATAGTATCCATGGCGATTAGGCGATACAAGGAGTTGCGACGTGACGGAGAAGGCGGACTGAAGTACGTAGGTGTGCGCGTTCCGTTACCTTGACGCGCAATTCAAGTGAGCACCATTCGACTCTTTTGTATTCTGCAAGATGGCCACTTGATCGTCACGGTATTGTCATTTGCGTACTATGTGCCGTGTATGACGGGAACACAAAGTGAGCAGGAGGGCATCCGGGCGACATGTAGTCCCACTATCGTTGAACACAATGTGGTCTACCACTGAGGAGGAGGAGGAGGTGGTGGTGGTGGTGGTGGTGGGTCCATTTAGCCGCAGTCTATTGAAGTACTGACGTTTCGCAGTGAACGTGCAGTCTCTCCCATACGGTGCCCTTTGGCCGCGTGCGCCCCTGCAAATCAGTGCGTCCTGAACGAAACCTTTTGTCTAGTAATTGGCAGCGGCTTACTCTCATAAGAACAATCAATTAGGCTATGTGTTGGTATAGTGGCATGATGCGCCATGACGAGCTTGCTCGTCACTACAGGTTACAGCTACAGAAATACAGCGACTCAAATATAGATGTGACGGTCATAGGACACTACTCCAGGTCAAAAGTATATTCGATACGAACTGTGAACGAACATGTCAACACTGCTCTGGCGACCTTCAGGAAGGCGACGCCGTGGCGTCTTATGCGCCTTACGCGAGTTCTCAGTTTGAACTTCGCCGCATCACAGAGATCTGCGCGGCACGTTAGTACATCATGTAACAGTCAAATCCCGGCAAACGAACCAGGTAGTGTTCTCCGCTTCCGTGAGGTGGTATCCCTTTGCTCAAGGATTGATGGGGCATCTAAAGTAACGTCGACCCAAGACATGTCGATGCTTGCAGCGTGAGTGGATTCGCAGTGATTCCATTCAGCGCGAGGATGTCTGCTTCGATGCTCCAAAACGAGCCTGCGGCGTTCAACGTTCATCAGGGGATGAACAGACAATAAGCATGACAGACAGGACTCGCCGCTCGATCTCCTTAATTTCTTTCAGGAACGCCATCGGATCATTTACTTCGCCGACTTCCAGTAGATCCAAGGAGATGGTGACAAGCGGTATGATGTCGCGATCTTCTTCAGGATCGCCCAAGAAGACTCGGGGTAGCAGATCCGACGGTGCAGGGCTGGCGGACCTCGGACGATCAGCGATGGATTCGATCATAGAGGGTACATAAGAGTCGGAACGTCCGTCGTCGTCGCCGACATCTTGTCCATGCTGTTGCGAGTCAGATAGTGACTGCCTGCCAACGCTCTCCGCATTGCGATGAGCGAGTTCGGCGGTATCCACGCCGGCGGGTGTGTCAGGCGGGAGAGCTGCTTCGTCGGCTTTGGACTGGTGCACATGCGCTGCAAGACACGACGCCTCGTCCGCAAGACCGGTTTTCGAGTCGCTGGTTGTGAACTGCAGTGCCGCAGGCTCTGGCCTTGACGTGTCAGCGGAATTGTCATCGTGCCGCGCGTCTGCTTTGCCGTTCGACGTCCGAGGCTCGCCATCGAGCGCGTCAGTACCAGTCTGAGTTTGTGCGGTGCCTGCTGGTATAGTGTCCACTGGAGCAGCCAGCAAGCCCGTCCGGTCTGACTCACGCGCCAACGAGATCGATGCTGCGTGTACGCTCTGGAGATGAGTCTTGGGGGCATCATCCGACGGCAGCAGTTGGGCGTCTGCTTGTACCCTCGCTGCTAGTCGGGCATCCCGTATTTGGTGGTCTTCGTTGAGATAGAGTTTGACAGGAAACCTGTCGTACGGGGGTATGAACGTAGCGTTCGTGTGGTCGTAAAATAGCTTGGTCTGGATGCGGACAACCGGCATAGCTATGCTGTGTTGGTAGCAGCCTGGAAAGCGAAAGGGAGGGGTAGTAGGAACTGGTGTCCGCGACAGCGGGTGTTCAGTCGCTGGCAGAATCGGCACACACATGGCTGCGTCAATGCACTCTTCGTCGTCCTGTCGACATAAGCCTCTACCAACGAGGGCAATGCGACACTTGTGGTCCGGTCTTCTTGGAAGCGGTAAATCCAAAGTCTGGCATGAATGAAATTAGGGATGCTCCATGAGTATTCAATGGATGGATACCTGGAATACATAAGCGATGTATTTTTTCGGCTGCAAGATCTGAGCAGCAGCAGTTAAGTCAGGGTCACCTAGCGGTTGGACCATGTTGATAGGAGCTAGCTGAACGACAATGTATGTGCCGTGCGTAGGCACGAAGTATTGTCGATCTAGAAAGTATGTCAGCCTTGGCAGCGCTGCACTCAAAACTAGAGTACTAGTGCCTGACTCTATATCCTTACCATTCGCCACGTCCGATGAGTTGTCAGACATTTGCGACATAGTGAAGCTATCCGTCGCCGAGTCAGGAGTGAGTCGTGGAGAGGACAACGGCTACTGCGAGTGTCTCGGAACATAGGTCATAGTAGAGAGAGAACAAGGGGTTGTGTTGACGGACAATAACTTGAAGAACATGGGGCGTGCGACCTCGCCTGTTGTTTCCAGGGCCAAAGCTTTGCGTATCATTCTGATTCATGATATGCATGATCTGGCGCGCGTTCGCGTGTACGTAAGTATCACAAGGGATTGCTTCGCTTCGCTCCGCCTGGCCGGTATGGCTTGCTTGAAGCTTGCTCAGAGGTTGCTTGAACGAGTATGAGAAAACCGTAGGTGACGGAGGTTACGATAGTCAGTGTTTGCGCACACGTAGGGGCGACAATCTAAACAGCTGCCCGGGCCCCTGATGCGGAGCTCGAGGAGGAGTACTATATACGTAGTATCACTTATGTACATGTAGGTCTTGCAGACCTTGGACTGAGGACTCCAGTCGGCGATCATCGCCCTTAAGGCTACTAGCCGACTCTCATGTGCACACGGCCGTAGGTGTTGGCATGCCAGTGGTGGCATGGATGCATCGCGACGAGCTGACGACTCGTATATATAACTGTAACGAGATACTAATCCTAGTCAACTTGGGTATATTCGATACGAACTGTGAAGGAACATGTCAATACTGCTTTGGCGACCTTGAGGAAAGCGACACCACGCCGTCGCATGTGCCTAGCGCGAGTTCGCAGTTTGAACCTCGTCGCGTCACACAGTTCTGCACGGAATATTAGTGCACCAAGTAACCCTCTTATGCTAGTAGACGAACTTGAAATCCTGGTCCGTTTATGCGCGGTGGCATCACGTTGCTCGAGGATGTATGGGGCGTCCGCAGTAACGTCAACCCACGATGACGTGTCGACGCTGGTAGCGTTGCTGGACTGACAGTCCCATTCACACTGATCAAGTCTACTTCGGTACTTGAGGACGAGTCTGTGAAAGTGTTCAGCCGAACATATCCATACATAAGGCGGCGGCCAAACGGACACTCACTGCTGGATGACCTCGATTTCTTCAAGGAACGCCATCGGGTCGTTGACCTCGCCGGCTTCCGACAGGTCCAATGAGACGGAAACGAGTGGTATGATATCTCGGTCTTCATCAGGATTGCCCAGGAAGATCCGATGCAGCAGATCTGACGGTACTACAGGACTTGCGGACCTTGAACGGTCCGCAATAGATTCAATCATAGAGTGCGTGCTAGAGCTGCCAGTGGAACGTCCATCATCGTCACCGGTATGTGACTCGGAACGTTGTGAAGATGACCGCTGCTCAAAGCTCTTCACACTACGATAGGCCGCAGTGATATCTACGCCAGCGGACACGTCAGGCGCGTCAGCTGTCCTGCCGACTTGGGACTGATCCGACTGGCTCGAGGTACGCTGAACTTCGTCTGCTGGTCCGTCTTCCGATATGCCGTTCGCGTGATGTGGGGCTGCAGGTTCGAGCTTCGGCGTGTCAGTGGTAACGTCGCCGCGATATGCGTCTGTGTTGGTATTAAACGTCGGAAGATTACTTTCGAACGCGTCTGCGACAGGCTCGTTGCCCACTGGTGGTCCATCTTCCCCCTGGTGCTCACCCGCGACCGAGCTCGATGCTGTGCGTGTACCGCAGTGGTCCACATCGTCTTCGTCAGACAGCGGTTTGCCGGCGGGTTGGCTCCTCGCTGCTTGTAGGGTGTCCCGTTTTCGATGGTCCTCGTTGATGTAAGTCTTCACGGAGAAGAGGTCGTATGGGGATATAGCGATGGCATTTGTGTGATCGTAGAAGAACTTGGTCGGAATACGAACAACTGGAACAGCCATGCTGTATTGATAGCAATCGGGGAAGGGGAATGAAGGCCTTGTCGGCACGGGTTTCCTTGAAAGGGGATGCTCCGTTGTTGGCGAGATTGGGATACACATGCTGGCGTCAATGTTCGCGTTGTCGTCCTGTCGACACGGTCCTCGGCCAGCGAGCGCAATGCGACACTTATGATCTGGTCTCTTCGGTATTGGTAGATCAATGATCTGCAGCAATACACATCTCAGCATTGATCAGTAGTTGTTCTTGGGAACGTACACGGTACACATATGCGATGTACTTGCACGCTTGCAAGGCTTGAGCGGCAGCAGTCAACTCAGGGTCGCGTAGCGGCTCGACCATGTTGACAGGATCTAGCTGGACAACAATGTAAGTGCCTTCTGTGGGCACAAAATATTGCCCGTCTGAGCAGGATTACATCCGTCATCGTGTAACTCTCGAGTGCAGTATACTTGACTCTTACCATCTGACGAATCCGAGCTTGACGTTCGTGGCATGGCGTAGCTAATCCTCGTCTGGCGGGAGATGTGGATGGGGGAAGACAGCTTTCGACGCTATGCCGATGGTTGAGAACAAGAGGACGCTCGTGGGACAGTGTCAACAATAAAACCTTCAAGTTCAACAAGCACGACTGTTGTCTCCAGGCTGTGCACAAGGTGTGCGCTTGGTAGAGCACAAGCGAATGCATCTTCCAATAATAAGTGGTCGTCGGACCTGCGGTGCTCCGCATTTCCCGAGAGATCCCAGACAAATGCTACAACGGCAAAAAGTACGTTGAACAATAACAACCACTTGGAGTACTATAGGCGCTCACCTCCGAGTCGTCTCATCCGCCGCATCGAGTAACCGAGCTCGCAAGAATTGACTGCGCCCTATGCTGCGGACACTTACATAGTCGACTCGGGCAATGGAGGAAGTGAATGTATCAGACCCATCTTTCAGAAGAAAGGGCGATGCTATTGTGGCTATTCATCTGGAGTCCCAGAGCAAGTGACGCGTCGTCACGCATGCACCAGGACAGCATAACCGCCAACCCGCGACGGAGCCTTCTCCATTTAGAACTTCAATTTCAACCAGTAGAGTATTTCTTATGGATACCCAATTTCTGGCGAAACAAAAGACAATAGTCACCCGCCCTGTCAGTGTGACGGGATGCTTGATCGTCGGAGGGTGCAGTATGTAGCAACGAACAGTACCTGGAGCATCGCAGGATACAATAATTCTCCGTCAGATAATTCTGATGAGTCTTGTATCAGCCTCGAATACACACACAATGAGAAGTGAGATTGATATGTACGAGAAGCGCACATGTAACGAGAACTCACCGCACGATGTGCTTCTGCGACATACGGAGTTGTTCGTCCCGTCCCGAGTCCTTATCACTACGATTGGGATGCGAGAGGTCAGAAGAAGCGAAACGTTCCTGATATTTCGGAAGCACGTACAGTATGTGCCGCCCGACGGAGCCGCTGGCCGTACTCAGTGTCATGACGGCAGCGACCCCGAAAGAGGCATGATTGAGCATATCGAGCTTCCAGCTATCTTGACACGATGCGATACATACGTAGGAGGAGGAGGAGGAGGCCGGGACAGGGCTCGGACTCACCGTCGCCATCGTCCGCAGGCAGGCCCGTGTCCTCCACCGCCTCTGCGCCGCGCTCAATGACGTGCACGACACGCACGACACGCCCGGAGACGCGTCCGACAGTGTCGAGCACATGTCAGCAGCCGGTCGTCGGGCGCTAACGCGTGACGCACCACCGCCACCGCACTGCTCTCAACGGCCACCGCCTCCGCACGACCATCCGTTGGGCAGCCACCAGTGACAGTCACCCGACCACACGTCAAGACACTCGCGCCGTCCCAATGGACGCGCGAGCATCGTATCAGCGACTGGATAGCTGGATTGCCGTCAGTCCAGCTAGCGGCGCCCAGCGACTCGCGATACTTACAAGACCGTTCGGTCCTTCCTCCCCGGATCCTCGTCTCTGTGCTCGCGCCTCCTCCCTCAATTTAAGAGGCCTTTCACTCGAGCTGGCAACACGCAAGCCGGCTGCGCAGCTCAGGTAATACGCCGCTGCGCGCGCAAGTCCAGCACCGAGTGGCAGGACCAATCAGGACGCGACGCACACAGAGCAAGGAGGGGTAGAGGCTGGAACAAATGAGAAGGAGGGGGAGGGTTATAAGAAAGAGAAGGAGAAGGAAGGACTGGGCGAGAAGAGCATAGACAAGCCTCGCTCTCACTCGAAGTTCGAAGGTACGTCCTCATTAGGCCCAAATCCCTCGCCTCCACCTCTCCCTGTGCCTGCGCGAACAGGGCGCACGTCCAGCTTATTCATCTGATTCTTTACCATCGTCCGCAGGCAGGCCCGCGTTCTCCACGGCGATGCCCGATGACGCGCGCGACATGCGCGACTACGCGCTCGACGACGGCGAGCGTGTATCGGTGACCCACCGTCAGGCGCGAACGCGCGACGCGCTCCTCAGCTGCCGCGTGGCACCGCCTCGACTGCGAGCGCCGCTCGGGCAGCCCCTGCGCTGCGGCGAGGTATCCGTGCTACCCTAACGAGCGCACTAACTGTTATGCGCGGGCTGCTAGCAGCGCGTGACATCGGCGAGTCTCAAAGCCTGCTAAGTCCCCGCATCAATGCAGCACTTGAGCAAACTGCGAGGTCATGCGACCGCTCCACGCATCTTGCAACCGCTCAGCCCTCGTTGACACGACGAACGAAAATCACCGCACCCGTGCAGCATGCTTGTGCTCGACACGAAGACGGAGGGGCCACAGGCGACGCACCACAGAGAACGGGACCATGCAAACGTGCAACGTGAGGACCCTCCCGCTTGCGCCTGCTCAACTGCGACTACTGGTACTCACAGTGACATGTTCATCTGCAGATCACACGACGGACCGGGCCCTTTGCACCCTCCTCACCGCCGTGTCAGCGTCACACATTGCCATTTCCGCAGGTGGTGTTCTAATACACCATGTCACCACCTCATTGTGCTGTCCCAGCTGCCCGGTCTTTGGATTCTGGTGCACCCGTCTACTGCCCTCCTCCCCTCAAGAAGGTCGTGTTTAGAGTCTGCCCAGGGGAGACGCCGCACTCCTTGACCTCATGGTCGTGTAACATCCTGTCGGTGCTGACCACAAAGACTTGCAGCAGCTGTATCCATGGTGATTAAGAGATGAAGGAGTTGTCATGCGACGCGGAAGGCGGGCTGAAGTAGACTGTAGGTGTGCATGTACATGTTACCAGTCACAGAATGTATTGGCACGCCTGCGTTGTGGACGCCATCACTCCTATTGTACTTGTCATTTAAATATGGGTCGTGGTCCGGGATAAATAGAAGACGAAGTGAGAGGAGCTGCCATGAGGCAGCGCGACTTGTCACAGCCATTCGCAGTGAACGTGCGATCTCTTCCGTGCGGGTCAAGTGCGGGTGCTAGTCTCTTCGGCCGCGTAGGCTCCTGCGAATCAGTACTCACGTACTGGCAGTGGGAGATCCCGCTTCATTGGCCGCGAGCGTTTCGTGGAACGAAATCAATGTTATAGGAGGAGGAGGATAGAGGCTCTGGCCGACTCTGATTCAAATGAACGCAATGAAGTGAATGTTGGTATAGTGGTATGGACGTATCGCGACGAGCTGCCTCGTCACCACAACTACAGTCTAGCGACTCGTATATAGATGTATCTGTCATGTTATACTAATTCAAGTCAAGGGTATACTCGATACGAACCGTGAAGGAGCACGTCAATACTGCTTTGACGACCTTGAGGAAAGCGACACCACGGCGTCGCATGTACCTGGCGCGAGTTCGCAATTTGAACCTCGTCGCGTCACACAGTTCTGCACGGAATATTAGTGCACCAAGTAGTCCTCTTATGCTATGAGACGAACTTGAGATCCTGGTCCGCTTACGCGCGGTGGTATCACGTTGCTCGAGGATGGATGGGGCGTCCGCAGTAACGTCAACCCATGATGACGTGTCGACGCTGGTAGCGTTGCTGGACTCGCAGTCCCAATCAGACTGATCATGTTTACTTCGGTACTCGAGGACGAGTCTGCGAAAGTATTCAGCCGATATCCATAGGATAACCACAAGGCGGCGGCCAAACGGAAACTCACTGCTGGATGACCTCGATTTCTTTTAGGAACGCCATCGGGTCGTTGACCTCGCCGGCGTCCGACAGGTCTAATGAGACGGAAACGAGTGGTATGATATCTCGGTCTTCATCAGGATTGCCCAGGAAGATCCGATGCAGCAGATCTGACGGTGCAGGACTTGCAGACCTTGGACGGTCCGCAATAGATTCAATCATAGAGTGCGTGCTAGAGCTGCCAGTGGAACGTCCATCATCGTCACCGTTATGTGACTCGGAACGTTGTGAAGATGACCGCTGCTCAAAGCTCTTCACACTACGATGAGCCGCAGTGGTATCAACGTCAGACACGTCAGGCGCGACAGCTGTCCTGCCGACTTGGGACTGATCCGACTGGCTCAAGATACGCTGACCTTCCTCTGCTGGTCCGTCCTTCGATATGCCGTTCGCGTGATGAGGGGCTGCAGGTTCGGGCTTCGGCGTGTCAGCGGCAACGTCGCTACGATATGCGTCCGCATTGGTAGTAAGCGTCGGAGGATCACTTTCGAACGCGTCTGCGACAGGTTCATTGCCCACTGGTGTAGCATCCGACAGAGAAACTGGTCCATGTTCCCCTTGGTGCTCACCCGCGACCGAGCTCGATGCTGTACGTGTACTGCGGTGGTCCACGAAGTCTTCGCCAGACAGCGGTTCGGCGGCGGGTTGGCTCTTCGCTGCTTGTAGGGTGTCCCGTTTTCGATGGTCCTCGTTGATGTAGGTCTTCACAGAGAAGAGGTCGTACGGGGATATAGCGACGGCATTTGTGTGATCGTAGAAAAACTTGGTCGGGATACGAACAACTGGAATAGCCATGCTGTATTGATAGCAATTGGGGAAGGGGAATGAAGGCCTTGTCGGCACGGGTTTCCTTGAAAGGGGATGCTCCGTTGTTGGCGAGATTGGGACACACATGCTCGCGTCAATGTTCGCGTCGTCGTCCTGTTGACACGGTCCTCGGCCAGCGAGCGCAATGCGACACTTATGATCTGGTCTCTTCGGTATGGGTAGATCAATGATCTGCAACAATACACATCTCAGCTTAAATCAACAGTTGTACTTGGAGACGTACACGGTACACATATGCGATGTACTTGCAAGTTTGCAGGGCTTGAGCGGCAGCAGTCAAATCAGGGTCGCGTAGCGGCTCGACCATGTTGACAGGATCTAGCTGGACAACAATGTAAGTGCCTTCTGTGGGCACAAAATATTGCCCGTCTGAGCAGGATTACATTCGTCATCGTGTAACTCTCGAGCGCACAGTCTATTAGACTCTTACCATCTGACGAATCTGAGCTGGACGTTCGTGGCATGGCGTAGGAGATGTGGACGGGGGAAGACAGCTTTCGATGGCTACGCCGATGGTTGAGAACAAGAGGACGCTCGTGGGACAGTGTCAACAATAAAAGCCTTCAAGTTCAACAAGTACGACTGTTGTCTCCAGGCTGTGCACAAGGTGTGTGATTAGCGAAAGCATCTACTGGGGCGCCATATGCATGATGGCTACTAGTAGTTACGTACTAGGCGCCCACAAGCGGATGTTTGCAAATTATGTAAACCTTGATTCTGTAAACATGGCCTGGCCCATATTGACAGGATTCGAACGTGACTTGTCCCTTCGAATCCCGCGACTCGTGACAGGCGAAAACGGCAAGACGCGTGACATCGTCACGGTTCGCGTCTTGAACCGTTTTCGCCATCTCCGCGCTCGACCCGCGGTGCTGCTGAGTTTTTCGTCCTCCATTATCCCTCCAGACCTCATCACTAATGGCAGAAGCCCCTGGTGCAGAGGCTGCTGGCGCGAGCACTGGCGCGACGGCAGGACCTGCCGGCCCTCAGCCGCCAGGTCCGGGCGAGAGCGAACTTCAACCAAGCGGACAGCAATCCGCACCGCAGCCGCCGAGCTCGACGGCCCCCCAGCCGCCGCCGCCGCCGCGCATCACGCGCGCTCGAGCCAAGGCGGGCGAGCAGCAGGAGACCGCGGGCGCCGACGCGCCCCCCGCGGGCAACGCGCCCCGCAGGCGGCGACAGCCGACGACGCCCGGTCGAACACAATCCGACCGACCCCAGCAAAAGCGGAGTCGCCCCACCGCGATCAGTCCGTCGGGACCGACGGCCGGCGGGTCCAACGAGCAGCCAGGCGGCCCAGGACGCACGCTGGTGCCGGACACTCCACCCCGTTCCCAGACGGGCGGCGACGACCCCGTCGAGTCGCCCGAGGCCGACGTGCCCGAGGACGACCCCATCGAGTCGACCCCGCCGGAAATCCGGCAGCACTATGCCCAGTTGAAGGCGCGCCTGCGGTCGTTGCCAACCGCCGCCAGACTGCAGTACTGGCAGTACCGCGAGTCCCTCGACGACGCGGTTCTGAGCCCCGGTATGCCGATTGCCTCGGCCAGCCAACGTAAGTGGTTCACCTCCATATCGCGCCCCGTGCAGACGCACGCGCAGCGCCCGAGTGCAGACGCGCTCCTCGTCGGCGCAGACGCGCCGCCGATCGCACAGACGTGCAGCGGCTCCGCGCAGATGCGCATATAGCCGGCGCAGACGCGCACATACCCAGTGCAGATGCACACGCACCCAGCGCAGACGCGCATATAGCCGGCGCAGTCGCGCCCATACCGTCGCAGACGCGCGGATCCCCCGCACAATCGTGCACATGACCAGCGCAGGCGCACCTTTTGCGCTCGGCCACGCACTATCTACGGCCGCGGCAGGGCACGCGTATTCGTTTGCGACCCCCGCTGACTTGTTGGCAAAGCCTTTCTAGAAGCCCCTGCACTCAGCATGGCGGAGCAGCTACCCCGAACCTATGCGTCGGTGGCGGCCAGTCAGCCCCTCGTTCCCGCCTCACCCACCATACTCGACCCGGACCACTTGTTGGACCCCCCACGGGTGGTGAAGGCAATCAAGGCCGGAATGAAGCAGTACATTCCGCTCACGGCGCTCACCAATGCCGCATGCCGGACAGCCTACCGCACTGCGCACAAGGGCCGCGACACCGTCCGTATCGAGAACGGTGTACTCACGGCAACCGCGAAAGAGTTCGACGCCTCACGCGAACTCCACCTGACCACCGAAGAGTTCCGTGAGGCGTGGCCCAGGCTGGTGCGCCTCGTCCGAGACCATCACCCCCACGCCGAGCGAGAGCTCCTCGCGGATGATTTCCACGGGTGGTTCAACCTGATCACCACCAAGCCGAAGTTCTCCATGTACCCCGGCCTCTTCATAGCCTTGGACGTCGCCGTGCGCCGCAGCTGGACGGCCAGACCAATCAAGCTTAACTTCTGGCAGGAGGAACTATACCGGGAGCACATGCAGGACTTCCTCCTGGCCAAAGCTGCCGGAACTGTAGACGAACGGGGCTACCCAGTCGAGACGACCCATAGTCTAACGTCCACGTCCAACGCAGGACCCTCAGGTGCAGGGGGACGTGCCGACACTGGTTTCCCCGGTGCAGGGGGGCGTGCTGACGCCGGCCGTCCGCCCGCGCGCAGCCAAGGGCAGAGCTTTCGTGAGCCCCAGCGAGCGCAAAGCCCCGCCCGACGCATGGAACCACTCCGATGGTGCTTCCTCTGTGGCCTCCCCTTCCACGGCGAGCCGTGCCGCAACGACAACCCCCCGTACCTTAAGCGCGGCGAAAGCGGGCTTGTCCAGCCAGACGGCTCCCGCCTGTGCGTCAAGTTCAACAAGTTCGGCTGCCGTGGCTCCTGCCGACTCGCTCACGTCTGCTCCTTATGTGGCAAGGAGCATGGCGCCCAGCACTGCCCCCGACACGCCTGACGTGCGGGCGGTCGTGACTCCGCTGCGCTGGGACGCATGGCGGAGTGAGCTCGAGGCGGCAGGCTGCCTCGACGAGTTTGCTGATGTCCCCCCTGGCATCAAGAACGGGTTTCGTATTGGCGTGTCGTCTTCCATCTCTTCCACTTTCATCCCTCCAAATCACAAATCAGCCCTCGAGCACCCCGAAGCCGTCATCGAGCATATTCAGACCGAGCTGTCCGCCCGCCGATACTCCGGACCGTTCAATCCTGAGCGGCTGGAGTCGATCATCGGGCCCTTCAGAACCTCCCCGCTAGGGACGGTTCCAAAAGCAAATAGCCCCGGTGTCTTCCGCATCATCCAAGATCTCTCGTTTCCTCGCAACGACCCTCATCACCAGTCCGTGAATTCAGAAATTAACCCAGATGATTTCCAGACGGAGTGGGGCACTTTTGCAGCCTGCGTCCTACTTATCGTCAACGCTCCACCGGGCACCCAGGTGTCTGTGAACGATGTCGAGAAAGCATACCGTTGCATGCCAATACACCCCGAAGACCAGGTCCATGTAGTCGTCATGTGGGACGAAGACGCATACGTCGACCACTGTGCCGCGTTCGGAGCGGCAAGCTCCAACGGCGTGTTTGGACGCCCAGCCGACGCGATTGTGAGCATCTACCGCTTTCGCGGTGTCCAAGACCTTATCAAGTGGGTTGATGATTACGTTTTCTTCCGCTACCCCATACAACAGAACCCAGACGGCTCCTACGTCTACTCCTACGACGAGTCCTTGATCTTCTCAGTTGCCGAGCGCCTCGGATGGCCGTGGTCCCTCCCCAAGCATTCACCCTTTGCCGATGTTTTCACGTACAACGGCTTCCAGTGGTGCCTGTCCGCGCGCACTGTCGAGATTGCAGGCAAGAAGAAGGCCAAGTACCTGGCCCGCCTCGCGCCATGGGTCGTAGGTGCCTCCGTGACCAAAAAGGAAGTCGAGGGTGCAATTGGAATGCTCAACCACTGCTGCCTTGCCGTCCCGGAAGGACGCTCACGCTTACCATCACTCTATCGCATGAACGCTGCCTTCGCCATCTCCGGGAACCATTTCTCTCGCCACAAGATCACGAATGCAGTCCTAGAGGACGTAGCGTGGTGGCAGGGCAAGCTCGCAGAGGATTTCTGTGGCCAGACCCTATTCCTCCCTCCACTCGATGAGTCCCTGGACATCTTTGTCGACGCATCGACGTCCTGGGGCATTGGCCTCATAGTCGGCGGCAAGTGGTGCGCCTGGAAGCTGGCAGAGGGCTGGAAAAGCGACGGGCGGGACATAGGCTGGGCCGAGATGGTTGCGGTCGAGCTAGCTGTCCGCCACCTGGTAGCTATTGGCGCTATGGGCGTGATGCACCTGATACGTTCCGACAACAAGGGCGTCATAGGGGCCCTCGACGCAGGTCGCTCCCGCAGCATACAGCAAAACCGCATCCTCCGCGAAATCGTCTCGATTTTTAACTTGCATCGCATCTCATCAGCTTTTCGTGCAATTCCTCTGACGGGCCCTGTCAGGGGCTTCATAAGCGCTCAGAACGCTTCAGATCGCATCAGAACGCCTCATTTGGCCAGCCCTCAAGATCTCGAATTTTTGGGAATTGTTGTCGTCAGACGGAGTTTTTCAGAGAGCTTCAGAGAGGGTCAGAGCAGTCCAGAGTGGTCAGAATGCACCAGAATCTCAGCTACTTCAGACGTCATATGTTCGACAGAAATATATTTCTATTACTATAGACAGTCATTACAGTTGCCCACCATACATGATGCTCCGGCACTTGCTCGGCGCGTGCGGGTCGTCCGTTGTGCTCACGCGTCTTCTGGCTCGCCGGCTTCGTTGCACTCCCCTGCTTGCGCGTCGAGCTCTGCATCTGCATCGCACGGTGCTCACCTGGGCTCTGGTCTGCACCCCACGAAACGGGCGACGACGAGAAGCTGTTGATATCGCTCGTCGGCGTGCTGCCCGTCGCGGTGTACGTTGACGGCACGGGCGCAAGCGTGACTAGCTGGTCCGGATGGCGGTACTCTGCAAACTGGAAGCGCTGCTGGGAGATTGAATCCACGGTCAGGATCGATTGCGCGGATGATCGCGTCTGCATGCCAGTCGCGTTCGCATACTGCCCGCCTTGGGCAAAGCTCTCAGCCTACGCGTCGTAGTCCGCCATGCCACACTGGTCCTGCTGCTGCGCTGATTGCGCGGGACCGTAGAACATGGGCGGCGCGCCGAACATCGGGGGCGCTGGTGTTGGGTGAGATGAAGATGACGTACTGTTTGCAGGCGTCCAGGTCGCGACACCCTGGTTGCAGTAGACTGAGCCTGTCTGCGTCCGGGGTTTATCACCCCCGTGTTCGCGTCCACGCCTTCGTTACGATCATCGCTGCAACCTGACTGCGCTTGTCAGGTAAGGTCGCGAGACGACAAGGAGCGTACTCACCTGATCGCTCTGCCTTCTAGCCACAATGTCTCCCCCTTCCTTCGTGACCATCCTTCGCCCCTCCGTCGATGTTCTTTACGTGTCGCTGGAGCCCGTTGCGGCTGCTGGGCCACGCGATCGTGGGGCGCGCGGCAGGTCGATTCACGTGCCGACATCTCTTGCGGATGGACGGACTCGGACCTGCACGTGTTTTCTTGAGGTAGGCAGCAAGGAAGGAAGGGCGAAGCGAAGGTCAGAGATGGCAACGAGTCGGGGCCGAAGGCGGACGTGTGGTGAAGTGCTGTCACGGTGAGAGCGAGAGGATGGTAGCAAGCGCGCGTCTCGTGGCTGAGGCGCTTAGCACTACAGCTGCGCCTCCGAGTTGTGACTCACAGCGTCCGTTTAGCCTCCACATCGTCTCACTCAGCCGCAGCCGCCGTTGGACCGTCCCACTTACAGCTCGATGCTCAAGCCCGGCACTGCAAGTAGCAATGTGTGCTCAACACAACGGGGATGTGAGCGTGGTAGAAACGGAGGATTTGGGGCACGACAGGGACAGTCCAAGTAAGTGCGAACATTCGACATTGCTTAGTTACCCCTTCTTTGCAGGCTGAGGCAAACGAGTGACTGGAACATATTCGTTCACTCCTGTTACTCACTCGCACACCTGAACCGTTCGTTCCAGTCATGTATACCACACTCCTGAGTCCTGCCCACTCACTCACTCGTGGACCCACTCGTTGTCTGGCCGCCGGCACGACTCTCCGACGCAGCCCCATAACCTCGACATGGCCAAGGCGGCGCCGCGGTGGACGAGTGGTGCGCGTGGCTCTGGACTTACGGGTACGGGTCGAGAGTGAGCGCTGGGAGTGGGGATGGCATGGTAGGATGTGTAAGAGTGCAAGACCGCCGGGTAAGTCGCTGCCCAATTCGCTTTTGCGCCGCTCCTCAGACTCTCGTAGCACGTCCTCGAATGCGCCCTGAGCTGCGCGCAAGACTCGCGTGTCAGAAACCAGCGTCGTGGCGGGCCATGCATCCGAAATGTGTGCCGCCATGCCTTTGCTACGCCAAATGCACCTCAGTTAGGGATACAGGACGGCGGCTTTCCCACCTCGAGCTACGGGCAGCTCGATGTATGTATCCCCTTGCGTCCAATTCCGCGCAGCTCATGTACGTCGATACAACGAGCTCTCGACGCGATTATAGCACGTGTTTCGCTGAGCTAACCTTCAATGTAAGTCCTAATATACATAGTCTTTTCATGATTGCCCAAGACTACTCAATTCGCTGACATGGTTGCACAGTACATCAAGAGATCAAGAGCCATATTCACAGGGTGAGTGTGCCTCCTGCATCGTGCCCCAGCTGTTTGCCCGGTGCCCGTCCTCCCCGGCTTGACGTGCCCACTCGCCGCGTCCCTTTACCTCCCTCACCTCTCCCTTGTCCGGACGGCCTCTCGACGTGTCAATACCACACTGCAGCAGCACCCGAGTCAACTGCAAGATAATGCAATGCACTGTCTGCGTATTTCGCAGCCGCCGCCCTTCGCTGACGCGTTCAACGAGGATCGCTACACTTGCGTCCGCACTCAATGCGAGGATGGAGAAGACCTTGGCGCCGTGTTGTGATGCTGTGCTCCGACGTGTATCTATGTATACTATGATGATTCTAGTAGTCTCTAAATACATCGTAATCGCACCAATTTACATGCAGGAGGGGTTTCCTGACAAAATGTGTGATCTCTGCTGTCTGACGTACTGTGTTAACTGACACTGTCTGGCACTATCTGAGGCCAGATGAAGTGATCTGATGGGTTATGATGTCTGGAGTGCCCTGAAAGGCTCTGAAGCTCTGAAGGCCGACTGTCAGACACACATACCGTCAGAGATTGCACGGTTTCCTGATGCTGGGCAAAGACACTGTACGTCAACACAAAGGACAACCTTGCAGACCCACCTTCACGTGGTATATTCCCGGACATGGCAGATCGTTTAGAATACACGTTTAGAATCCCTTCGCATCTTGAACCGTTCGTTCAGTACGTTACCTAGCCACGAAATAATACCTAGTTGATCCACCGAGCAGCGGCACGTGACAGCGTTGAATACGCGAACGTCGCACAGACGGTTGCATCCCCCTAAGCCAACGCGCACCATGTGGCAAGACGACTCCTTCACCAGCCGCATCCGCGATTTTAAGGCATCTATCACTGCTCACTCTCAGACAATAAAGTCCGAACCAGCCGCCAAACCGCTGCCCAAAAACCATTCACGCGCTCTGCCAAGCGTTGCGACACGCCGAAGTAGCCTCATCCTATCCGACACTCAGACTCGGAGTTTCACATCCCCTAGCTTATCCATCCTATCTGCATCAACTGTATCACAAACATACTCAGTCCTCTCGGTATGCCTAGCCAAATCAACCATGGACAAGTACGGCAGCGGGCTGGCTGCTTTCCAAACCTTTTGCGACTCCGAACAGGTCCCGCAAGCATCGCGTTTGCCAGCTGATGAATTCCTCCTATGCGCGTTCGCAGCCTCCAAAGCTGGCAGCATGGTCCGCTCTACCGTTCAGAACCTAATCTCCGCCGTCCGAGCCTGGCACATCGTCAATGGCGCACCATGGAACGGCGGCCTACGGCTCGCATACATCATGAACGGGATCGAGGCACTCGCACCACCCGGCAAACCCCCGCGCGCCCCAGTAACGCATCGAATGCTGGAGCTGGTATGCACAGAAGTCGACATCTCGTCGAACGAGGGTTTATGTGTACGGGCAGCAGCTGCTACCGCGTTCTGGTGCCAACTTCGGCTGGGAGAGATATTCGCAACCTCCCGCGCGGTCTCGGACCAGACGAATATACCCTCCAGAGACGACCTATCTTACGACCTCGACGCTGCCGGGTCGATGCAGCTACGTCTGCCATGGACAAAGACCAAACGTCACAAGGGGGAGACCGTCATCGTTACACGCCAATGCGGCTCTACCGACCCTATATCCGCACTCCATCATCACATCCAATCTAACCGTCCTTCCGCGTTTGAGCCCTTATTCTCTTTCCGCACGCCAAACGGCTCGCTCAGCTGCTTAACCAAAAAGCGGTTCCTCAGCATATGCAACAAGATATGGTCAAGCCACGGCTTACCACACACGACCGGACACTCTTTCCGAATAGGAGGGACAACCGAGTTGTTAATGGGAGGTGTCGATCCTGACGTCGTCAAGACGATGGGTCGTTGGTCTTCAGACGCCTTCTTGCGCTACTGGAGAGCCCTAGAGGTGGTTGTTCCCCTACACGCCGAGAGATTGCGAGCACCGTCGACTCAGCAACGCCCCAAGGCGCTCAAATCAGCCATCACGAAGAAACGGGTCCGTTTCGCAGATGCAAGGATTCCGTAGCCAGACAGATATTTGACGAGCGGTAGATTTGTAGGCTCGTAGACGTGCAGCTAGTTGATTGGAAGCTAGTCTCGTCTGTGGTTGGGTGTGCCGCGCATGCGCTCGTCAGCGACTTCGTCTACACCGGCGTTTGTGGCTCAGGCGAGCCTCAGCCAAATTGGGCAAGCCGCCGATGACCGATGTGTAAGGCCGTGGCGCCAGATGGTCAGGTCGCGGGACTAGTCGAATCGACCATTTGACGGGTACCGCGTAATGCGACTCTGACCCTCAGGTCAGAGTCTCAGCTGGCCGCTAGAGCTCAGGTGATCTGATCGACATGTTGATATTTAGACTGCTGCAATGTATCCTGTTCGCACTTCCGGGATGCCTCCTCAGTGGCATGACAGGTGCGGTCATTCGTGTGACGGCAATATGATGTTCAGCTGTGAGGCAGAGAATGGGTCATGCATGGCACGGGTGACCACAGGATATCTGATTGTCGTTGCACAGTGGCCGCTCAATTGCAATCGACCATTGCGCTAGCTCGAGGTCCGATTAACTTTGTTCATGATTATTATGACTCGGAGTATGATACGGGCGAAGTAAAGCTCAGGAGTCCCGGTGCACATTACTAGATGAAAATACTATCGGAAAGTTAAAAGAATGAATGAATGACGGGCACGAGCCGCACGATCGCTATCATCCCCGAAGTCGTACTCCAGGTAAAATCAGGCTGTCAGGAATGCTGCATTGCTCGGGAGCAGCTTGCCCTCTGCCGCTAGATCGACGGTGTTGTCCTGGGCGAGCTCAGCTTCCTCGTATGCGTTTCTATCGACCGTCCCGTATGCGTCTTGATCCTCACGAAGGCCGCGTTGTATGATCCTGCACAGCAATGGCCGAATCAGGATCCATCAATCGGACAGCACGGCGCAGACAATGATTATGGGCTTACCTGGAGACCTCGAGCGTGTTCTTCTGCTTGCGCAACTCCGAGAGCTTCTTGTCGACAACATTCCAATAATGTTCGGTATTTTTCAAGTTCGGTTTCTCCTGAAGCAGCCTCTCGAACCGGCGTCGCTATTACCGAAAGCCGTCAAGTTAACAAATTGTGACCAGGTATCCGACTCGGAGTCGGCGGTATGCTTACCAGATATGCAATGCGTGCACAGACTTCCAGCGTGAGCTTGATCGGCGCTGACTTATGTAATGCGGAGATCTCGGCCGCAAGCTCGAGTATGTTCAACTTGAGCGGCGGGGTTGTGACGCGCTTGTTCTTCGACTTCGTAAGATGCATTGCATCGAGCTCTGTCAGCCTCTCCGGGCCAAGAGACAGTAAGATCTATCTCAGAGTATCATTCAATGCGTTGTAGGGCCAGAGGACATTACAAGGGAACAAGAAACTCACCGCATGTTTGATAGCAGAACGACGATCAGTCAGCCGGTTCCTCACTCTCTCTGCAACAACCTCTCGCTTCTTGAGATCATTCTTGACCTCAGAGGTGAAGCCCCAGCTCGGATTCGCGGACAAAATGGCCTAGCACGACTGTAAGCCCCATGCACTGCTCGAGGTCGTGGAATGATCCTCCCTACCAGTACAACATTGATAGGGTATGATTCTGTGACATATGTGGGAAGAACCGGGGAGCAGAGGACAGCATACGTGTAATGCTCAATTTCCGCCTGTAAACATCGTGAAAGGTTGACGAGAATGATTGTAGTGAGCGTGTTACTTACGTGGAGTGCCCTTGGAATCTCCCACAAGGCATCTGCCGGCTGGATGGTGTCGATGCGTTCTCGTAACTTCATTATTTGCGCCGTGCTGTAGATCAAGAGCTCATGGGTCGAGCGCTGTGGGAAAAAGATTAGATAGCACAACGTAAGATGAATGAGTAATGAATGTCACGGTACCGCTGCGACCTTTGTGAGTTCATCATGGTCGGTCTTCTTCAGCTTGAAGTGCCGGGACACAAGGCCGACGTATTGCGACACATCACCATCCGTATCAGGAGCCCGACGCTTCTGACCGGCTACAGGTTCTGGAGATTGTTCGACCACTGATGATGCAGGCAGGCTTGCGGGACTCGAAGGATGCTGGTCCCCATTAGAGTCTTCATCCGCCGGCTGGCCCAGTGAGCCTGGCAGTGATGAGCCGTGTACCTGTGGTGACGCTGGCGGGCTCGAGCCTGCGAGGGAGATGGCGTCGTCACCTGTTGGCATTAGAATGTCGACTCAGAGAGCAATGTGTAGCGAAAATGAAGGGAAAAATGAGACAATTGAACGAGAGAGCAATGATGGGATGAAAGCAACTTGAACGGCGTTGCAATAAAATTCACGGAGAGGTTACGACCCCATCACGTGTGCTTGTGGGTCCACAGCGACTGCTCGATTGACTCGTCACAAGCAACGGGGGCCGATCTGAGAGTCTGTGTGGCACCAACGGTAAGTCTTACGCGCTCCGGCGGCGGCGAGAGTCTATAGTCATTCAATGAAGGATACATACTTAAATCACGTCATCTCTAGGATGTATTGTTTGCGTTCAACGCTCAACATGACTGCTACGCCTGCAAGTGCTCTCTGGCAACAGGAACAGCACCTGTACAGCAAGAACGGCGAGAGACGGCGCAGACGCGACAGGTGATCAAACATGTTGGTGACGGCCCCGACGCCGATCGGTATATCCTGAACATACATGCTCTTCACAATGCGGCCTTAATACGACAGACACTTCCCCGAAGCCTCACGGCGCCAAAGCCGTATATACCAATTCAAGAACGTGTCAAGAAGCACTACGAGATGGCAGCGAAACTTCAAGTTTCTGGACCACAAAAACGTGCGGAGGCTCAGGCGAAGGCAGCTGAGACTCGCGCGCGCAATAAAAGCCAGAACGCGAAAGCACAAGCTGCCCAGTCTGAAGCCTCGACGTCTTCAGCCGCCGCAATTGGTGCCAGTGGTGCCGCTGCGTCCCAGCTCTCGTAGCTCTCGAACGTTGGAACAGGCTCGTTGACTCAGTGTCTGTGACTCTGTAATGTACGATGCATGCAGAAATATGATATTGCCTAGTACCGAGTGTCAGTTTGACTAGGGATTGTACTTCTACATCCTTCGACGCGAACCTGTACATTACATGACATATTGTTCAGACTCTACCGGGGCCACTGTACAGCCTTACCCTGAGGCTGCCGTCACGTCTCCGCCTTCGTGGCAACCAGCCGACGTGGTATTGTTCTCATGATATTCGATATAACCACTTCCTCAGACTGCGTCTTGTGTCCCCTCCCGCCGATGTGTGAGCTAAATGGCACACGTCTCCCAGCCTATGGTAAGCTTACTCGTCAGCTTGCCCAGATGTGACGCCGTCAGGCAAGGACAAGCTGACGGCAATGCTATGGCCGTACAAGGAGACAGACCTGCGGCACCCGATCACTTCAGGTCTCGGGCCGACGGGCGATAGTTGGCGGTGTAGCAGGTGGTTTGTCCTCGCGCATCCACCCCCGGCACAACCCCAGACCCCCGGTCACCGGTATCCCCGGCGCCGGGTGCAGACCTACGGTCTGGTCTAGCCCAACCACATAACACTGTGTACGCGATCTCGGAATGCGCACGCTGGCAACAGCTAATAGCACAGTCCGATCGTAAGATAGTTCATAGATATCATACTACGCAACGAGTTTCTTAATAGATCATTGCCGTTGCGCCTAGGCACGAGTTGACAGGATTCGAACGTGACTTGTCCCTTCGAATCCCGCGACTCGTGACAGGCGAAAACGGCAAGACGCGTGACATCGTCACGGTTCGCGTCTTGAACCGTTTTCGCCATCTCCGCGCTCGACCCGCGGTGCTGCTGAGTTTTTCTGTACTTCGGTTGCCCAACACAGTTACTATGGTGCCGCCCGAAGGTTGATCTGCGGTCTGGAATCTCGACGTCGCTTATGTGGTGAACAACGATGTTCACATCAACTCGGGCCATCACGTTCCCAAAAGTACTCGCGACAATAGCGTTGACACTGGCAGAGTCGCTCAAAAATCAGAACGTTTGTCTTCAAGCTCTGGGAACGCCTTCCAAGGTTACCACGGGTGCTGATAATGGTAGACAATATGAGGTCGCAAACAATTGACAAGAACGGTCTGCTGAACAAGATCGCAGCTCAGTGTCCCGTTATTCCCTGGCGACGTAAAGGGTCGAAGCTGTCTGGTAACGTTATTCTCACTCCTGCGAATGGTATGTAAAGCATTCGCGCCTTGTCAGGTAGAGCAAACCGCCCCGGCCTTCCTACTCGAATCCTCTTCGGACTACTCAAATCCTCCTCAGACTACTCGAATCCTCCTCAGATGAGTTCTTGTTTGCTCTGTCTCTCACGGGAGCAGTCACCACATCACACCGACCAGTGCGAGGTGGTGTATGACGCCTCTGAGCCTGCAATTGCGGGCGACATCTATGGCGGCGAACAGTCCGTCAATACACCGATATCTCTCATACTAGCGCAAACTCTCGACTATCTGGGGCGCTCACGTACGCATTTGAGGCTCGATGGTTCTCTTCGGAGCGGTCTCACCGGGCAAAGCATCGAGCGGTCCACGTTGTCTTCCATGTGCAGTAACCTGCGAGGGAAGTATCGACCCTGTATCATCGACGATACAGTGGCAGAGGGCAGGACTAACGTGGCCATCTATCTGATGGCGACGTATGGCAGCAAGCCTCTCGAGACAATGCCCGACATTCACCGCCATTTTTCCCTTGCCGTCTACCCAAACCAGGGAGGAGCGGAGCATGTCCATACCACGCCGGAGTGGAAAGGAAAGCGGATGCAATGGATCATCGCTTTCAAATATGACGTCCCCGCACACGTCCTTCGTCAACGGTGGTTCAATCGATGGCGAAATGTGCAGGACAACCGGATGATCGGATCGAATCATCGTTTCGGACCGGAGGTAATGGGATACCTTGACGCACAATCTACCAAGAAGATGAACAGGTGGCAGAGAAAATGCTTCAAGGACCCGAGCTTGATTGACAAGATGGTCGACGCTTGCCTGTCGGTGTGTCATGATTCCCTTGAACGACAAAGAGCAATCATCTTGATTATATGTACAGAACCCGAGCAGGTTGTCTTGTCGTGGATCACACAATTCTGCAGGAAGGACGAATTGGCGGGTACAGTATTTCGTGTCTCGCTGCGATGTCCCATCTGAAGTCTCTGTTCAGTGTGGCTCCACTGTGTCTTCAAACACAAGTGACACGTCCATGCGCAGCTCTCGCACGACTCACAGCACCTATAGCACGGCTTCTTACGACAGCGTTCACCCAAAACACTCTGGGAGGAAGTCGAAGGTGCTATCTCTTCGCGGTGTTGATGGCCGCTCTATGAAGATCAGTGAGGCTCCATCCTTGGCTTCGATTCATGAGACTGTACCTGTGCAACTTCCCGAGGTGTGTGGTCATCTCATGGCCAAGCGACGGTGGTTGACAAGACCTCCTATCACAGCATCCCACGACACAGATTGGTAGCAGCCACCCAAGCGTGCGCTATACGCCTCCGAGTGTGTCATTCAACAAGCCGCAGCGCGAGGTTGTACGCAAACCTAGTACTAGTCAACTGGTTGCCGACGGTATCAGGAGGTTCACTAGCATCAGACGGATTCCTTTGCGCAGATCGGTGAGTGACTTGTCTGGCAACTTGTCCTACGGCTTTCTCACTGTGACGTATTCATACCAGAGCCGCGAGTCATGATGCAGTCGCGAGCAGCGCAGCCACGCAGTATTCAATCGCATGCTGTCCTGCTGCGTATAGCCCATTCCCGACCAATCATGATGCAGGCACATGGACTTGACAGAATTTTCCCGATCCATATTATTCATTCACTTCCATATCCTTTGCTATCGCCCGAGAACTCAGGCCTCAGGATCCAGCTTCCCGTCCATCGCACCTCGCTCGCTTCTTACCACTCCGTAAGCTATCCGCGTCTGGTCAATTGTACGTTCTATGCCTTTATACCCATCTACGAATATCGTGTACTTTCCCCTCTCCCGCTCGGACCAGATGCTTTGCGGTCATCTAGTTATACAGTATTATGAATCCTTCTCCTTGCCAGTGGGAATGGACACCGAAGAGAAGGATCTGATACGTCCAATCCACCAGTCACCCCCCGAGCAGTCTTTACGTGCTTTTGCAACTTGAGGCCCATTATGTACGTCGAAGCTACCGGACTAACCAGACGTCCGACTCTGCTTATCGGCTATGACCGGTATACCATGTACTACAACCACTCTTAGTCTACCAGTGAACGTACGGTCTCTTAAGCTGCCGTACGGATTGTGGTAGAGGCTCTGGCGAACTCTCATGAGCACAATGAAGTAAACGTTGATATAGTGGCATCGATGCATCGCGATGAGCTGCCTCGTCACCACAACTACATGAATCCAGCGACTCGGATATAGGTGTATCGAATTCTAATCCGAATCAAGGGTATATTTGATACGATCCGTGAAAGAACATGTCATTACCGCTTTGACGACCTTGAGAAAAGTGACACTACGGCGTCGCATGTGCCTCGCGCGAGTTCGCAATTTGAATGCCACAGCATCACAAAGTTCTGCGCGGTATGTTAGTAAACGGAGTAACGGTTGAATACTGAGACGAACTAGACAGCCTTGTCCGCTCTGGTGAGGTGGTACCACGTTGCTCGAGGATTGATGGGGCATCTGCAGCAACGTCGACCCATGACGCGTCGATGCTGGCATCGTGAGCGGAATTGTAGTAATCCCATTCAGTGTGAACCTGTTTACTTCGGTGCTCAAGGACGAGCCTGCGGGACTCATGGTTCAGCCAGGCATACAGGCGGTATGACAGCAGGCGGTCCTTTGACACTCACCGCTGGATGACCTCCATTTCTCGTAGGAACTCCATCGGATCGTTCCCTTCGCTGACCTCCGACAGGTTCAGCGAGACGGAGACGAGCGGTATGATCTCGCGGTCTTCGTCGGGGTCACCTAGGAAGACCTGCTGTAGTAGGTCAGATGGTGCAGGGCTTGAAGACCTCGGGCGGTCAGCGATTGATTCAATCATGGAAGGAGTATAAGACCCCGAACTCCCGTCGTCGTCCGCAAGTCGCGCAGTCTCCGCGACAGCCGGTGCCTCAGCCGAAGCAGAGTCTACGCTGCCGACTTCAGCTACATCCGGAAGACACAGCACTTGAGCTGGGGACGTGTCTTGCGAGTCGTCTTCCATGGTACGCGGGGCTGAAGGCTTGGACGGCGATGAGTCAGTGATACTGTCACCGCGACGTGTGTCCTCAGCGCCGCAGGCCACTTGCGGCTCACCATGGCGCGTATCTACGCCAGGTTGTGCAACGTCTATTGGGGTGTCAACCGTTGCGAAGGCTGAATTGACTGTCCTGCCGAGCTCCAGTGTGTTCGAGCTCGATGCTATGCGCGCGCTGTGCTGATTTTCAGAGGCTTTGTCGGGCAATGGTGGGGCGATGACCTCGACCTTCGCCTTCAATTGCGCGGCTCTGTTACAATGGTCTTCGCTGTAGTAGATCTTGACCGGAAACCGATCATACAGGGGTATAGAGACAGCGTTCGTGTGGTCGTAGAAGTGCTTGGTTGGGATGCGAATAGTAGGGATAGCCATGCTGTATTGGTAGCAGTCTGGGAAGGGGAAAGGAGGTGTAGTTGGCACGGGTTTCCTTGAAAGAGGGTGTTCAGTTGCCGGGGAGATCGGTACACACATACTCGCGTCGATGCGAGCGTCGTCGTCCTGTGGACAGAGACCTCGACCGACGAGTGCAATGCGACACTTGTGATCCGGCCTCTTGGGTATTGGTAACTCCATGATCTAAGGTCACAGTCAGGTCGGCAGTCATTTATTGAGTAGAACGGATAACTACATGGTACACATAAGCGATATATTTCTTCGGGCGCAAGGCCTGAACCGCGGCGGCGATGCCAGCGTCGTCTAACGGGTCGAACATGTTGACAGGGTCGAGCTGAACAACGAGGTACGTGCCATTAGTAGGCACGAAGTATTGCCCATCTGAAAGGCAAATACTTCGTCATGACATGTTCAGTCGAACGTGAACGATTCGATAGGCTCCTACCATCCGTTATGTCCGATGAGCTATCGCTTTCAGCCGTTTGCGACATGGCACAGCCAATCCTAATGCGGAGCCCAGGGATAAGTAGACGTAGACAGGAAGGGAACAGCTACTGGGAACGATTCGAGGTCGATGGTAAAGAGCAAGAGGACGCATTTGCCCACAATACATTTGAAGGCATGGGATCCGAGACCGTTGACAGTTGTTGTTTGCGGGGACAATTGTGAGAACGGCCAAGACTAGGTTGAACAATAGTAACCGCTTGGGGCACTATAGGCGCTCACCTTGTTTCATCTACATTGAGCATCCGAGCGCGCGAGCTTCCAAGAATTGGCTGGGATTAAGACCGTGTTCTTGCCCTTCATTAGCTGCTTTAGCCACAACAGGACATCACCGTGGTGAACGTCCTTCGAGCTGCGATACATGACTTACACTCACGTCGTGACAACAATGTGGACGTTCGTTTGCACATGCTAGTATCGTGCATGTGGTCGACTTGGACATTACCCATCAGCATCAACGACACCAGTGCCTTGCGAGGAAGTGACGCGCCGTCACGGATGAGCCGGGACAGCGCAGCGGCGGCAAGCCTTCTTCATTTGGAACATCGACCTTAACCTCGCTCAGTAGAGGCTCAGGTTTCCAAAGACCCAGAGGCAAGTATCGCCAAGTATGTCGCAAGACGTCGCAACGAACAGAAGATCTGCCTTGAGATCGTCGAACGACTGCCTCGGTCATCGCAGGTACACGACAAACCTCACTCCGACGACTCTGGTGGGTCTTGTATGAGCCTCGGACACGCACAGATGAGACATGTGGAATAATACAAGTGCGGGTGTCATGAAAACTCACTGCACGATGACCACCTGCATGCAGTGCTTCGCTTCTGCTCTTCGCAGACTAGAAGTCCTTCCGAGCCCCTTGTTGTTCACCAGGACGAACGAGTCACTAATGTGCTGCTCGACCCGTGTCCCGAGTATCACTATGATTGGGATAGAGAGGTTAGGATACGCAAGATATGTCGGAAGCATGTATGTACTGTACCGCGCGCGACCAGACCGGTCTTGCTTGCGGAGTGTCACGGCCGCGATACTCACGATTCTATCTCAGCCGCCAGGGCGTAGCAAAGGCATGACTGCCCAATGAGCATATCCAGCTTCATAGCTGTCTCGAATTGATGCAGTACATAGGAGGTAATGGTGGTCGTGGAAAGATGTAGCGGCGACCTGGCCGACGATGGTGCGCGAGTAGACGCCCACACACTCATGTTCTCCTCTGCGGTGCAACCGCCTCTCGTCTCACTTTTCTCGTCGACCGGGAGCGATCCTCTGACTCTTTTCTCATCTCACACGGACAAGTCTCTGCCCGCAGACTCTTGCATATGTCTCCTGAACGACTCGACATCCTTGCCGCACCCACCACCGCCGGCGACTCTTGTCTCGCTCGACGACGGACAGGATCCTGACCGGCCGGACTATGAGCTAAACCAAACGGTCCTCCATATGCAGTCGCCTGTACTGCGGACGACGTATGTCAGGTGCCCGCCGTTAGGCCAGCGAGAGCGTGGAAGGGGCAGACGCGTGAGGGAGGGCGATCTTGGACTCGAGCATCCCTGGATACACCTCCAAGTGCGCAATCTGCACAGGGAATGGTCGTTTGAGGTGGGCATTGTGGACCAGTCGGGGAGAGAGGGTATCGTGCGATGCTCCACGTTCCAGGTACTGTCCTCTCTTTGTTGGGTATGAAGTCTGTGTAATGGCTACTTTGGAGCACGATGACTGCCGCGAGTTGTAAGATCGTCCTCAGTATGTCTCGACGCTCTTCGCCGATTGCTCACGCATCATCTGGCAGAGGGAACCGCGATTGCAACTTACCAAATCTCCGCTGCTTCACCTTCCGCTGAGTTTTCCGTCGCCGGTGTCGCGCCCCCTGACCTCATGGTCAACGATTACGCTCAACCTGCCTTCCCTCCTGCCACACTTTTCCTCCGCGTCCCTTATACGAGTACGAGAGACGTCCGGGAACGCGGAAGACGACGTGGATGAGCAGGACTCGGACGTGTCGCACGTATTTGATGGTCCTCGGCGCGCTGCGGTGCCCAGCGGGACGTACTCGCACGTCTCGTACGTCAAGGTATACGCGACGTGTAGGTTAAGGCGAATCTGGCTCACGGAGAATGACCCGAGACAGAAGCTGCCTTGGGAGTTCGAGCTTTATGCTGCTTGACGTCTCAGTCTATAAACGTGTCTTCTATGTACCGTATCGCTGCAAGCCCCAAATCACTATACCATGCGATGCAATGCGAGCATGTCCTCCAATGTTCGTGCCCCCACTATGTCCCGGAGGTCTAGTTGTGAGTTCTCGTTACATCTGACGCCTTCATGTAAGCCATACTTAGAGTCTCGTCATGCACTCGGGGCTGATACGAGTCACTAGATCTCTCGCCGAAAGGAACACTGTCGCGGCGTTGTCATCAAGAGCGATCTTGACTCTTGAGACAGATGTGACGACCAATCAAAGCTTTTGTGTCAGGCTTGGTGATTACTGCATCGTTGGTCACGGTATTGAGGTGAGTCACAGTCAACCATTGCATCTCGAACGAAGCTCATGCCATATAACCGATTGTAGTTGATACACCTGCCGAAATTATGACAGGAATGGAGCAAGGTGGTACTGGAGTCGAGAACGCCGTTGCAGTGCCGTTGCTCGATACCGATGAGTACTGGTGAGCATGCGCATCTACAGTTCCCTCAAGCGGTCGTCATTGTTCAACGCAGAGCTTTGGCCTTTTCGCGTTCCGATGGCTACATTTCCCCACGAGTTCAATGCTGACTTCCTTATTGTTGGCAGATGCCTCCGCGTTCACTCTGCGCTGATCTTGCATAGACTCCGGCAGCCGTCTTCCTCTCGTCCACAACTTCCCTCAGCCCCGTATGGATGGTGACGCCATGGCGTCTACATGGAGCTCGGACTAGTCAGCAAGGTGAACGATCCGATGGCGTTCATAAGGGGAGTGGAGGTCGTCCGGCGGCGAGTCCCTTCCGGGTCGTTCTTAGACTCTCGTTGGCTCTTTGTCGAGTGCCGCAGCAGACGTACACTGGCTGTACTCCGCAGAACGGACCGTCAATTGGAAAGTCTTCCCTGCTACTGGGTTGTGGACGGGCACCTTCGTAAATAGGATTTGCAACATCGCTCGAAGCCGGCACAGTGATTGTGATGATACATTGGTGCGTTCCACGCATACGATCCCCATGATTCGCCACTCTTTCCCACGTAGCATGCTAAACCTCATTCTCAGCGAATCCAGCAGCACGAAGCTCACTCACGGCGAGCCAGGCAGTCCAGACGGCCCACCCTCCGAGATCCGATAACCCTGCTTTCTCCAACACGTGACATATTTGCGGTACGTCTTCTTCGTTACCCACCGCGGCTCCCCTTTATCCAGTATACGGAGAACATGATCTTCGAGGTACGGGTGAGGGTAGTTCTCTTCGACCTTCACCCAGTTGGGCGGATCCACACGCAGCCAGATCTGCAGGTAGTGCCAGCCCTGATCTTCGTATATATTCGTGTAGAGGTCGGCTAAGCTGGCTTCCTCTGGGGGCATGGGTACGGCCGAGAGCAGCGGGCCTTCGGAGGCGTACCAACCGACTTTCTCGGGGCGGGAGCGAATTGCGTACTCGCGACGTCTATCGCTCGTCATCGGTATTTATTCATGACACTTAATTATGAACGCGCACTCACGAGGGGATTGGCAGTAGCAGTCGAGAAGATCTGTCAACGAGGCGCAACGTGGGGATCGTCGGTCGATCAATGGGCAACCCAACGGTACTGGCGCTGGCATTGGCATTGGCAATGGTCTGCCGGTGCGTCTCCGGCCGCTTTCCAAGCAAGACAGCAGATGGTCGCGGTTGTCCCTCCTGTCGGCCTGAAGACGGGTCGTGCTGCTCCGGCTGGGGTGCGGACATAGGGCGTGTAGTATTTGGACTCTCGACCACTTGAATGCGCAGGCCGTGCGATCCCACCTCCCGGAACGGCGATGTTTGCTCTACATTTCCCTGGCTGGCGGCGCTTGGCTCCTTAAGCACACCCAGGTCAGTTCGATAGGTGCAAGAGACTGGGTGGCACTCACATTGCGCTCGGAGCGCGTGGGCGTGCAGTTGCATGCACTTGCACGTCTGGACGAACGGCGCATATGAGCTGGCTGTGCATCCCTGAATGTTTTGTACAGCGAGCGGTCCCAAGTATGTCGGTTGGGCAGTCGGATAAGGGATCGAAGAACGATGCTTACCTGTGCTCCAACTCGCTGATGTGTGCTAACCCCTGGTGGCGAAGGGCATGGTAGTCCTGCCGGAGAAGTTCAATCTGAAGACAAGAAAGGTTTCAATTCAAGAAGTGAACGGCGAGAAGGTTGTGCTTACGTCGCTCTCCAGGAGTTCTGGGTTTCTCGTAGGCTCGGCCATGATGGGAGGAAACAACTTGTTCAAGATGAATTGTGCGAGCAGTCCAAGCCTGCACAGGATCCGCAGTAACGTCACAACAATTATCTTGAGTATGCTTGCTGTGCCCACCAAGACAACGAAGGTCCACTTGCGGAGAGAGAGCGGCCCCATGGATCAACGCACCCGGAGGACGATGCTACATATCTCGATGAGTCGGGCGCAGCGACATAACTGTGCAGGGGATGTGCGTACCCTCAATCCTGGTGAACGAAAGAGACAAAGGACATGCAAACACGCGGTGGAAGCGATGTATATATGTCACGGTACCGTGCCACTCGAATGAGCGCCTAATAACTGTATCTGCACAATGCATGCAAGGTGCATGAGGTCTGTCGTATGCGTCGTGTCTTCGCCGTTCATCAATGATCTGTACAGCTCATGCTTTGGTCATGCAGCCACGTGCAAAAGCAATACGCCGACTGGGAGGCGGATGAAGGGAGACCGTCCACGTTGGTTGAGTATGAGGACAGGCGCTTGAGCGTATGGATGCCACGACGTCGCCCCGTGATGCAATTGCAAGCAGAGGGAAATCACTCCTGAGATCCATTCATGTCCAGGATTCAAATGCAAATTCGTATGATATAGTAGCAGCTCCAGCGACAGTATGATACGATCCATGTACAGAACAAGCAGCAATGACAAAACACGAAAGTTGTATGATACACTATACGATAGCAGATATTTTTGAGCACGATGGCACGCACGTCGACGTCCAATCACGCAGCAGCAACCTTCAAATAGCCCCTTACAGCACCCTTCAAGATTTTGAGAACTTCCCTCTGGCGTACAGGGTTTTCAGGAAGCTCTTTCTTCCCTGTCGCCAAAGCACAGAGGTAGGCAAAGTCAGCCTGTGCGACGAGCGGCAGTCGTCCGGAGGCCTTGCTGCGCTTCCCCTCGATCTTCTCTTTGAATTGGCGGGCGAAGTCTTTCGACACGACATCGGCGCGCTCGACGACTTCCTGAGGGACACCCGCGAGGCTTGCGACGTGCGTACCGAAGGAAGACGAGGCGGCTCCCTCAACAAGTTTGTACAGGAAAACGAGCTGGAAGGTACATGAACACCGTCAGCATTCCGTTCGGTGAGGGAAATGGTCACAGGAATACCTCGCGCTTCTCATCGTCGACCAACGTCTGCATATGCATGTTCCGGATATTTGGGTGGTATGCGAAGTCATCGGTCAGAGAACCGTAATGAGTGGCAAAGAACGAGAGTGCCAAGGTATGAGTAGCAAGTTGGTGCAAGACGGCCTGATGAACACTCTGAGCAACGGAACGATGAGAGGATGTTGGAAGCTCATACCCCTGCAATGGCCATACCATCCTTTACGAACGTCAGTGATGCTCAATCGCTTATAGATCTCTACACTTACATATGTCGATGTGCCTCGACCAAGCTCTGTGCCACGCATTGTCAGTACGTGCACACGATAAGCGCATCAACACTTGCCATCAAGTATCACCAGCGACTTCGGCGTCGCGTCGCGGAGGATCTTGCAGCTGTAGGTAGTGATCAGCCAACACTCCCAGCGACTCTGAACGCATGCCGCACCACTCATCCAGTTCTACCTTGAAGGTACTGGCATTGGAGAACATGTTGTCGTAGGCACCCATCCGCGTCAAGATTGAGTCAACCGGGCAAAGCTTAGCCTTCTTTGCCGGTACTAGCATGCCGAGCTGCGCCATGATCTAGGACCGATGATCAGCACAACGTCCCTGCATGATGGAGAATACTCACCACGCCCGTAGCAGTCATTCTCATCGCCTGATGTACCGGTCAGCAATATGGTGTTGAACGCAAGAAGGCTTCAACGCACGGTAGACTTCCCTCTGCAAGGAGATGTTGATCGATCAGTCATTGCGCCCCGCATGTGACTCAACTGCGTTACTCACCCCATGTTCGGTCCTGCAACACGCAGGAGTGACGAAACGTCAGCAGATTGAAAATTTCATTCGTGTAAGACGTACCCGTGAGCAAGGCTATTCTTCCGACGCCTCCTCCAAGCTTGACATCATTCGGAATGAAGTCACCCTTCAAGCCCGTGCTCGCGCAGAGAGCCGGGTGCCTCAGCTCATCGAAGTCGACCCAGGCGGCGTCGCCCTCAACGAACTCCGGTCTGCAGGATGGTTCGCCAAGCGCAGCGGATGCTTTCGCGAGGCTGAACAGACAGTCGAGTTCAGCGAGTACCCTAACAGCGCGCAACCAAACGCTTCGATCGGCATCGAATTCGGCGAAGAGTCTGTTCTTAAAGTCCTTGACGGCGGTATTTCGGTTCTCCCTAGCTTCCTTGAGCTTCCGAATCGTGGTCTGCAAAGACGGTACGACGTATCGCGCGAAAGCCTAAGAGGATCGAAGGTCGATGGTCAATCAGTATTCGGAGGCGATTTGATCGTGGAACTCACTTTCGTTGACCCGCTCTTGGTCCAGTCTCTCGGGACGTCTTTCTGCGTCGCCTTCGTCTGGACAAGGTAAATGTCCTAATATCGGTTGAGTCTGAGGAGCTGCCGTTCCGGAGCACGCGTCAGACACACCTTAGTGCCCACATTGCTATGCCAATAAGTCAGGTTGAAGCTGTCATAAAGTCAAATCCAACATCGAGACAAAACGTCACAAGGCTACGTACCCGGCTTTCTTTTCAAGCTTCTTGAGTTCATGATCAAGCTCCTCCTCCAGCTCTCGGATTTCCTCCATAATCTCGTCGAAGACCTCATCCTTTCCATCTTCGGGGACTAACTCATCGGCTTCTAACAAGCCATCAGACTCCGCGTCCTACATCATGACAACTTTCCATTGCTCACTGTCCTCAGGTTCCTTGAACATAGACTTGACGTGCTTGATGTGTGGAAGCAGGTTGGGTGCAGTCCTAAGCAGACCCAGGATAGTCCTCGATTGGAACGTCTCGGAGATGTCCGCGAGTTCTGAGAGACCGGTACTGAGCGACTTGAAGGCCTATACGGAGAATCAATCACCGAGGATCATGCTTGTAGACGTGCTACATACAGTCAGGACCTTCAGGAAATCTTTGACTTTGCAGTTCTTAGCATGTATGCGTGACACGATGCGCTCAAGGTCTGGGAGGCCTTTCGCAACCTTTGTGAACTCGCCCTCGAAGGTCGCATGGTCGAGGAGATCCTGGACTGCATCCAGTCTGAAGAGTGAACAATATGAGTAAGCGTATTTGTGAAGGAGAGCAAAATCTTCGGACCTAGCGTTAATATCGCAGACTTCTCTGAGAGGCATGCAAAGCCAGATGCGGAAGAGTCGCTTGCCTACGCGGAAGGGTTAAGAGTAGTGTGATGAACGGCCTCGATATGACTTACCCGAGGGCGTGATACAACGTGAAAGCAACTTCAGTAGAGACCCCTCCTCCGTGCCTTCACTGTTCATCAAGACCTAGCGACAACGTGAGACGCACCGTCAATCGGAAAGGAGAATGAGGCACATACCTCGATGTGCGCAAGCGTCTGTCCGTCTAGGACGAGTCCTTGACCGCGTCTCATAGGATCATAGACGTTGAAGTTCTTCATGCTCAAGATATCCTTGTCAATGTTGAGGGTGTTCAGATACCTGTCCCGAGTTGAGTCTTTAGAGTATCTGGTGGCGCGCAGCATCACTTACCAGATCATGGACCCCAGTGCCTCGATTGCACCTTGCTGGCTGACCATATCCCGGATAGCCTCAGGAACTGCGCTGCTCAGGCCATGTGCGGCATCAGCCATCTCTTCGTCGTCATCAGAAGCAGGGAAGAGCTTCTTCAGCTCCTTGAGTGCTTGGTTGTACGTCAAACCTTCGCTCTCTCGCAGACTAGTCCACAGGCAATTGCCAGGAAGTATCGCCTTCAGCAGACGCGCGGTTGACACGGAGAGGTTTCCCTACACAACGAATCAGAAACAGTTTGTCACGCAGTGAGTCAAGCTTACTTTGGTGAAGATGATTTCCTTCGGGCGAAGTTGACGCATAAGCGTCTCCAGCTTCGTCCTACACACATCGTCCTCGAATGCGCTCAAATTGAATTCGCTAGTGGCACTGTCTAGCACACAGACGCCGAAGCTTTGTTGGTCCTTCCCGTCTTCGCTCTCCGCTTCGCGTATCGAGACACAGTGGCCGGCTTGTTCATCTGTGAGCAGTTCTGCGTCCACAAGGGTCCCATTCGTGTACACTTTATTGAGTTCGCGACGAACAATCTTATCCTTCCCTTTGTCCTCGGGAGCGGGTTTGCTCTTCGTCTTGCCACCTTTCTTGTCAGCAGCGAGTCGCATCTCGGCGCCGAGCGCCGTCTCAGCTTGATCTACACGCCCAACCTTGTAGCCTGACAGAATAATCAACACGTGCGAGCATGACAAGCTCGACATGGCTCACCTTTGGCAAGAAACTTGGCTGCCCAGAAGTTAAAGGACATCTCCGGAACACCAACCTGAAGCGCCATCAGGACACCTGCGACAATGATTGTATAGACTTTGCAGACCATGCTCATTTTCACTCGCTGCGTAAGCTTCAGATCGAACTCGCGGTGCCCAATCCGCGCATCTTCTTCATACAGTTCGAGGAACTTGCCCTTCTGGAAGAACAGGATGGTATCGAAGTGGTTCTGCTTGATCTCCCAGAACTGAGGATGACATCAGCATGTGTGGCGTCGCTATACAACAATGTGGTTGTGCATACCTGCTTCTCGAACGGCGTGAATGTTTTCCACGCTTTAGCGGGAATGTACAGAGTGCGCGGATCATAGCCCGGCTCGCCTGGACGCACGCCATCTTTGTCCCTGGCGTCCTGCAGGAACAAGAAAGGATCTTCCGAGCTCTTCTTCTCCGCCTTCTGCTGTTGCGCGCGCTGTTCTGCGGCGGTCAAGAAGTTATTGCCGCCCTTCGAGCTGTTATCCTTCTTCGGTACGGGGCGCGCGGACGTCTTGGTCTTGCCAACGGAAGGATCAGCGGATTCGGACTCGGCTTCAGAGGCAGCGGATGAGTGAGCATAGGCCGAGAGTCGCGACGAGCCAGAGGCACGCGAGGATGGGCGAGACGACGAGCGATGATCGTCTTGGTCGTCAACATCATCACCCGGTTCTTCCTCATCATCGGGAACAACGAAGTCATAATCATCTTCGTATGACTTGCGGCGCGCTGTACTCAGGAAGGTCAGTAACTTGCGCGGCTAGGACATGAAGCTGGTCAATGTCACTGAATACATGCCGTTGCGGTGCACGAATTGTGAATGTCCGCGTGTCACACGTTAACAACACTCGGAGTATTAATCGCTCTCGAGCATCAGAGCTATCCATATGGAGGCTCATTTGCCATCACCATGACTGTGTGGCCAGGGTGTTACCTTGTGGGCGGGCATTGTCGCACATTCGTCTCTTGAAGCAGCAGCATATAGGCTATCTGAATCATTGAACACCTGCGCGTAAATTTGCATGCACCAAACTCGTGGGTCCAAGCATAAGGGACGTGCACACAAGGCGAACAGCGGTCGCCTATAACTCTTCGACGTGCTCCAATCGACCAGCAACAAAAAAACGACCCCGGAGGATGACATACCTTTGTTGGACTTCTTGGGAGGAGACTTCTGAAACTTCGTGAGACGCTGAGAGAAGGACTTGACTCGCGGTCCGTCTCCTACGACGTCGCTGTCATCCTCGTCATCTGAGAGAATAGGCGCTGCAACGCGCTGTTTCTTGGTAGAGGCGGGCTCTGGGGAGCGCTTCCGAGCGGACTGTCCCTTGATGTATGCCACTGCATCAATGGCTCCCTCGTCGTCATCGGAGTCCTCTACAACGGCCTTGCGCTTGCGGTTTATCGTGGCCTACAACGGGTTGTGTCGGGACGGTACAGGTCGGTATATATGCGCGTATACTCACCGGCCTCTTGACTGACTTCTTGCCACTCGCATCTACATCGTCCGACAGCATGTCCACGTCGATTGGATCACTTGTCGGCGGCGTCTCATGGACACTGAAGCCGCCGTCCGAACTATGGGTGTACATCGCGCTCGTGACGGCCGATGACTGCGACGTCGCCTTGGACAATGGAGTTCGCGCCTCTTTCACCACAGTACTTGAGGACGACGCGTCTGGTGAGGCAGGCTTCTGGCCTCCTTTCCCTGCTTTGGCCTGCGCCTTGGGCTCCTTCACCGCCGACGCGCTCGTTTTCGGCGCTGGATGTTTACCGAAGAACGACATGAGGCTCTTCTGCTTCATTTTCTGAGGTGCCTTTGGGTCAGTTTCTGTGGAAGTCATGGCGCGATAGGAGAGACGAGCTAGCAGTTCAAGAGTCTACCGAGGTCAACGTTAACAGCTGTGCGTCGCTACTAGTACTTACAACGAGTTGCGCGCGTCAGTAGTACGCGGTCGCGTTATTTGTCTATGTTTGCCTTAGGTGGCCTGATTTATAAGCCCCGACCGCCGAGCTCGGGCCATTAGATAATTGTCCCTCCCAAGTCCCTCCCTGTCCCTCCTCGGACCTCAGGCCTCAGGCCTCAGGCCTCATAGGCCTCACTGACCGTCTGACATCGCAGCTTAACATATTTCTGTGTAGAATACCGCGACGCATGATTTCAGAAAGTGACTGTACAAATGCGCGGGACCAATCACCGTCGCCCCGGTACCACGACTTCGCTGAGTTGTATGTTCGGTGAGTGCATTGCATTGTGGCCTCGATGATGGAGTACATATTACACGTTCCCAGTAACGGCAATACATGAATATGGACTAGAGTTTCTACTAGAATTGAAATACCATACAGTTCGGCATACCGCTTGGATAGGCCCGGTGCTTGAAGGGGACCTATCTGAACACCCGCTGACCAGAATCGTACGAAGAGCCTGATTCAAAGCTCTGCAGCGAGGGCGGTCAGATAGGGTGACACACCATACTCAGTGGGGTACGTACGGATCCGCGGGAATGGGCCTTGCGTTTTTTGCTGATAACCAGCCGATACCCATCCTCGTCCATCTCAGGCTGCTGGAAAGCTGTTTCGTTGATAATGGGCATTTCAGCCCGGTGTACCCGCGTCGCAGGCCTTTGGCCACCACTGACTTTTTTCAAGGTTCCTTGTGCCGAATTCTGTGCAGCGATTATGACATCGGTCAGTCGTGCTTCAATTGTCAATTGATGCTCTGTGTTTACCGTATTGACGGTATTTTCAGCTTGTACCGCAGCGACAGCGACTAGGTTCGGGGCGTTGGTACTGCGGTGTCCTGATTGTGTCACTGTGCGAGCCTGAGGTCGACCTCCTTGTGCCAGCGGGGTCATGCTCGTGCCCCGGCCGCGGTCGGGAATGGACATCCCACTTGCGTTCGGATAGATGCTTGGGGATCCCTGTTCATTCGTACAACTCAGGATGTTGTTGACGACGCTGAGTTGTGCGTGAGCATACCTGAAGGCCTCTTTGTTGGCTGGACTCGCGCAAAATCTTCGCCTCTCGGTGTCGTTTCCAGTTTTCCTAGTGGAGCTCTCAGCTGATGATACTTCGTGATTCGTCAAATAGAAATTACCTCGCATGCGTCCGCCATTCTTGTCGCCAATTCCGGATCCCTCCGACACATCTCCTGCCACTGCTCCATTTTCTCCTCTGCCGTACGTCGGAGGTAGCTCAGGGTCGTCGTCTCGAAGCGATGATGCGACCTCTGGACTCGTTGTTTGTTGCCAGTACCCTGGTACCATTCGTTGCACCATCGACTGATATTGCCAGTGCTAGTGGATTCCCGGGGAACCGTGTAGCGGACGGCAATCACCCATTGAATCCCCTTTCCATGCCACTCCGGCATAGTATGCACATGCGATGGCTCCTCGTTCGGGTAAACAGCCAGTGAAAAATGGCGGTAGATTGCTGGCATCTCCTGGAGCGGTGTGTCATCATAGGTCGCCATTACGAAGATACCCATGACATCCTCGGTCTCGACACTGGGCATAGTGGCTATGATGCACGGTCTATCCTTTCCTGAGAGAGACTGAGGACGAGCGGAGTAATGCGACGATGGTGGGACTAGGTTCGCGTCGCTATCTGCGGGCTTGCTGGCCTTCCTGCGGCGTTTAGCGCTGCGGACTGCGAGTGACGTGTGGATGCTGGAGAGTGTCGTTCCTACGCTCCATTTCCCGGCGGACTTCAGGTATCCACACAAAGCATACTTGATAGGCGTGTGCACGGATTGTTGAATAGCGTAGATATCACCTAGTTTCGCCGGTTCAGAGCGCGAAAAGAGTATAGTTTTTTTTGCGGGGTGATTCTTCCCCGTACGAGAGAGACATATCATGCAGGCGGGCATTTGGAGTCGGATTGGTGGCCTGCCGTCGTACATGCACTTAGCTTTACATAGTGGTCGAATATCGTCCACGGGCCTGTACTACAATAAGACTCCTTGTCTACGAGTTCCAACTTCTTGGACACTATGCTATATCGGTGAACAAAGATGGCAGCGCCCGTACGGCATGTCATCTGTATCAGAATACAGCTGCTTTGCTTCGTAGATGGTATCGTGTGAGTGCAGCTGCTTAGTACTAGTAGTGCGCCAAGGCACATGCCAGTCCACCGCATGTGCCAGAGTGCCCAACTGTGACGATTGCCACGTTCTAATCCACTTCAAAGTTCAACTGCTTTATGTACTACATCAGCGCTCAGTCCGAGCTGAGTCTATACGGTGACAGACAGTGTAAGAGTCCAATGACTCGCCGCTAGTATATTGGTGCGTAGTAAGCCTGAGGCGTGTTTACTAGTACTGCCAGTCTATACTATATAGTAACTTGAATCTGCCAGCTCCGAGTCGTGGTACCATATCTCCACCCTCAAGTAAATTGCTCAATTGTATATACCAACAGTCTACATATTTTAAGGACTGCACGAGGACTGTAGTCGCGCCGTCTGTTCCGGCGACGTCCGTACTCCCGGCTGGCCTATTCATAGTATACGGTAAGTATACGGTATCAAACTGATAGATGCGCGGTACATGACCCGATAGAACTCACAGCTTGACCACGCAACTACAAGTTCCGCATATGTAGAACCTAACGACAGACATGCATCGCGAATGCTCCAGGGACAGATAACGTGTGCAAAAATTCACACTTAGGGAACCCCTTTTGTGACATCGGGCATCGTTCGGTCAGCGCGTCCTCCGAGTCAGCGCCCATCCATCATGGGCGCACTCAAACGCACACTAACGCAAACATTCTTCGGTTGTTCCCGGCCACATACGAGGATCAGGTAGTCAACACAACCTTGAGAAGAACCATCCTAGACTCCGCTTCAGCTCGCTGCCCCAAATCGCCCTACGCCCCCTTGTCTTACACCTAGTACCAGTATCACGGTCTGTGTGCAGACCAGCCCGCGATACCAAACACACCAGGGGAAAGCGCTATAACGGGCTCAGGGTATGTGCCTTGTCGATAGATGACATTCCGCCCATTCATCGTAACTCAGCTTTGGCCATGGAGTATCTGGTACCCCGATGCGGAACATATCTCACAATCCAGCTTGACCCCGTAAGGATGGTCGAACCGCTCAAGAATCCTGCTCTGGTAACGGCTGCACAGGAAATGCATCCCGCAAAATACGTGGCACTTGTAACTCAGGTCCAGTAACCACAAGCTCCCGCCTATTGCATCCCTGGCTCACTGTATCTTTCTAGATCGACGAACTGCCTCTTCCGCGCAAAGCTGATCATAAGTGCTATCTTGCACTTGTGGGCCAAGGGCTATGCCGACCTGATGAAGATACCTGCATCGAATCGTCGATGTGCGTCCCCATATTCCCGGCCACAGAGCATCCCCTCTCGCGAGAACCCCTCCGACCAAAACCAGCATTTCCGTTCCCTGGATGCTACCAGTACTCCTGCAATACCTCCCTCGTTCGCATTCCGAACAAACCATACATCCTTACCAACGCCGTCTCCTTGTCGTCGGACGATATGCTTGTCAATGACATCTATGTCAGTGAAGACAGCACGAGACGGATTGCTCTCCGCAATGCCAAGGCAGGCATCGTCCCAGCCGTTGACGATTCCGAAGACCTCCGTACGTCATACAGCGTCACCAGTTCTGTTGGTCGCGAGCTCGTGAGACAAGGGATGCCCGTCGTCAACGTTGACGATTCAGAGAACGGATCAGCACGATCTGTTGGCTCTCAACGCACTCAGGACATTCAGGTAACCCGCCACGAAGGACATGGAGAAGTTGGCGGCGGCACCGGTGATCTCAATGCCAAAGCGATGGAGTGCGTCGACGAGCAGCCCAGTGTCGTCAAATTGATACCTGGAGGACCTCTGTTGAACGATGGGCCACCTCAGGCTGCCGCCAGAGACGAAATGCCGCATAGCGCCGTCGAGGGCTGCCCCGCAAACACATCAGATTGTCCGACTGCGGCTAGCGGATCCATCGTACCATGCCCTATAACTGCGGACATAAACGCTGGAGGGTTGTTGCTCGAGAGCTCGTCCGTAGGCTCAAGCCACATCTCCCAATCTGACGGACGTTCAAGCTCAGCGCATTCAATGATACGGTCATGCAGTGACTCGGATTGCCATCGTTCGGCAAGCCTGTCAACCTCAGATGTCCTACAACGGATATTCGTCAACGACCCGAACGAGGATCGGATTGTGATACCCCTTGTGTCGGTCTCCGTGGATCTGACAGAGGTATGTGAGGTCAGTGATCCCAGGGCTTTTCTTCAGGAGGTGGCGCAGATTGTGCGGTCAGTGTGCATCTCACCTACCAGTGACTTATACCTGCCTGACTAGCGTTTTCGACCCTGCATTCACAGGGTGATACAGGAGCATCGGGCTAGCCATGCCTATGCCCCTGCACCGACCGAAGCCAGAGCAACGGCGAGTCCAGTGGGTGGATCATGGGCTGATCTCGCCGAAGAAGCCTTGTCTGTGGAAGGTCACAATGTCGCTGGCAATCGACGTCAAAAGTTCAACGGTTCGTGTAATGCGTGACACGAATCATTTGCAACATTCTTACCAGCTAAAATGCAGACGTGTATAATCGTGCCCGATCGGGTCTCAAAAGAAAGGCGAAGCTAGCCCGGCGCCGCTGCCTTATTTTCTCCAAGGTCGTCAAAGCCCTTTGTACGTGTGCTTTCACAATTCGTGTCGTCGTGATCTTGGACACAGATTAGTCTACGCTCATCATGATGCGGGCGTCATCATAGTTATCTGCCGTCACTGCTTTCGACTCATTGTCCCGGTACTGCAGCACCCAGTGTACCTCTGCATGTCTTACAGACGTAGATGTTGCTTTGCCCATATTAGTATTTCTTTCCTTCATGTCTCTTTTCTGGTGTTTCCGTGCTGTCATAGATTAGTCTTTTGGGCTAAGTAGTGGTCTCACTGACTATGTTTTGGGCTGCGATCACGCGTACGGGTAGTATGAGCGCCTATTGCAGTCACGCTACATGAGCGAGGACCATCGAAAACGGGCCGCCCTACAAGCAGCGAGGAGCCAACCCGCCGCCGAACCGCTGTCTGACGAAGACTCTGTGGAACTCCGCAGTACACGCACAGCATCGATCCCAGTCGCGGGTGAGCGCGATGCGGAAGAAGTGCCTGCTCTTCCGAGTCTGTCAGATGCCACGCCATCATGGACTACACAACCTGCCGCAGACGTGCTTGGAAGTGGCCCTCAGTCGGCCAACTGCAGTGCAGGCACACATGGCGGCGACAACACCACCGAACCCAAGCACACAGCCCCAAATAACGTCGATGGCAACTCGACAAACCACGCAGGGGATGGGAAACTGCGTGATCCAGGCTACTTGGATCGATCTCAAGTTGGCATGACTCGGACAGCTCTCGCGCCTGACGCATCCGACGCCTGTGTACGTATCACTGCGGATGCTCAGGCTCATTGTAGTGTGGAGAGCTTCGGCGAGCGGTCTGTAATACGACATTACGGGCGACTTGATGGCGTGGACGACGGACAATCCGGATCGAGTACACCTTCCATGATTGAATCTATCTCTGATCGTCCGAGGTCCGCAAGCCCTGCGCCGTCGGACTTGCTGTATCGAGTCTTCCTGGGAAATCCTGACGAAGATCGGGACATCATCCCACTCGTGTCCATTTCGTTGGACTTGGCCGAAGTCAGTGAAGTGAACAACCCGATGGCGTTCCTGCGAGAAGTGGAGGTCATCCAATGGTAAGTCTAGACGCCTCGTCTGGGCCCTTTCGTGACACGGCTGAACATACACTCTCGCAGGCTCGTTGTCGAGCATCGGAGGCGACAGGCCCGCGCTGCATGGGAACACGAAGAATGTTCCGATGTTACCAGTTTCGATACTTCATGGACTGGCGTTGATGCAGACCTCCAGCGGGACACCCCGGCGCGCAACGACAAAAAGAATTCAGGTATATATGCCCACGTGCTTACACCACTATGTTCACTCAAGCCCTGGCAGATACTTATCATACTGTAATGCTCAAGGTAAAGGCTTGCGCAATGCGCGTTAGACGTCGCTGGGGCAATGTCCTGAAGGTTCTGAGAGCAATACCGACGAGTCTCAAGTCCACATATCGCGTCACTTTTCACGCTTCATAGAGACTAGGGTTGGGTACAAGTGAAATCGCCGGTCCACCAGTGGTCCAGTGCTGTAGCGTACTGTACAAATGTAGCGGTCGCGGGAGCGGTGAAGATATCGAGTCGTTCAAAATAATACTGTATGCGAAGATGCGCGCACATAGACTCAGCCGAATCAACCAAGACGAGAGTCAAAGGATCGCTGGTACTAGTATTCTGTGGCCAGATCCGAGTCTCCCAGACTTGGCCAAGAACAGCGTCCGTAGGAGCGCTAGCGTGACCACGTACTGTATGTGACCGCGCGCCTTGATGCGCCAGCGCTCCATGTGACAGTAACGTGACAATCGCGTGTTGAGGTTGCAACGGCGAGCAAGCACCTCTTTCTCCCACCTCACGGTTGGCGATGCCAACGTTCTCCGACGGCGACGAGTCCGTCGACGCCGGCACCATGTTCAACAGCTCAATGTCTCCTGGCGACATGCGGTCGCACCTGCAAAACCTGCTCGATGACAAGGAGAAACAGCTGCAAAATGCGGGCACGCTCGGGCAGCAGTTGCTTGCGCAGCGGATGGAATTGGAGGAGCGGATTAGGCACCTGCAGGAGATGGAGATGGACGCTGGTAGCGACGACGAGGACGCGGAGATGAGCGTGCGGGAGAGGTATCGAGACTTAGCGGACACGGTCAAGCATTGGGACACGGAAAACGAACAGCTCTCATTCCTGTTCAATGGGTCGAAGGTGTGCTGTGCGTACATCTCGTGAAGGTCCGACTCACTGTGAACCATAGGCGGCTCCGCAACTGGATCTTTCGCGCGAGGTTGAACGTGTCGATCGTTCATCCAAGGCAGCAGCAGGACCTTCCGCAGCGCAGTCATCACGTCGTGCCAAGAACGCGGCTCATCGCGCGGACGATGTCGGTGCGTGGTCATGATAGTCGATAGAGAATACGCAGCTCAATGTCGCGCAGAGTTTGCTTTCGAAATCGGAAGTGGGTTGCTGACGGAAGTGCGCCGGCTGCAGAGTCTGCTCGGAGAGCGCGACAAGGCGATCCAGGACATGAAGGAGGAGAAGGATGACCTGGATAAGACAGTCGAGAGCCTCCGCACTGCGTTGCGCCAGCAGGAGCAATCAGCGGATCGCTTCAAGGAGGAGAATTGGAACCTCGAAGTAACCCTGCAGGAACTACGCACGCAGCTAGTTGACTCTCAGGCTTCCGTGGTACGGCTTGAGGGCGAACACAAACGACTCACGAAGATGCTCGCCTCGGCGCGTGAAGCTGCGGACCAACACAAGAACGAGGCTGAGCGACAGCATCACGCTTTCGAGGAGCTCAAGGCGAAGCACGAGACGGATGTGGCTCAAGCTCGGAAGCATGCAGCGAGTCTACAGCGCGACAAGTCTGACTTGCAGCAAGCTCTCGATACCGCGAAGGCCGAGATGGCGAAGGGGAACCGACGCTTCCCTCGGTTTGGATCGCCACTGACGCCTAACGGCGCTGCTGCCACGGACACGCTCACTCCGAACAACTACGACGAAGAAGACGTATTCGGAACTACAGGACGAGCATCCACCAACAACAGGAAGAATGCCGATGCCACAGCCTTCTTCTCTGCGGAAGCTTTCGACGAATACGCCGACTCGTCCCCCGAGCCATCACCCTCAAAGCCGTTCCTCGCACCGAATCATCCCAGCAATGAGATTGAAGCTCTACAGCAAAGGCTCGCTCATGCTCAGCGACAGATTAATACGCTGAAGGGCAGTCTGCAGCGCGAAAAGGAGCTCAAGATCGAGTACAGACGCAAGCTCGATGCATCACCTGGTTACGCTATCGAAGAAGAGGAGGGCGACGCGGAAGACGTCGAGGAGCCCAAAGCTAAGCCGCGTCTGACACCCTATCGCGCAGCTCGGGGTCGTGGACGGGGCAGAGGGCGAGGCGGCATGACGCTCATCCAACGTCTCGGCATGGCAGCCAATAGTCCCGGTTCTGAGTACAATGATGATGAGCCTCACGAGACTTCGCCTCCGCCTCCCGTCCCGCCTTTGCCCGCTGCGTTCCCCGCGGACGAAGACCCTGGACGTCAGGAACTTGAGGAGGACGAAGAAGCGGATGTCCAGGCCTCGCCCTCGCCACCTCAGCCCAATTCGAACCGCGCCAGCGTGGACGGAATGGATCCTGCATTCGCCAACGTACTCCGTCGTACGAGTTCAGCCAGCTCACTTCCGACCAACGGCAGCCCCTTGCGCCAGTCTGTCATGGCTATGGCGACACGCGGCGGTACTCTCCCGCGGAGGTCCAGAGGCGGTGCTGCGTACCAGGAGGCACGTCCTCCTTCACTCGTTGGTGCGCCCGAGGCTCTCGCGGCCGAACTTGGCCTCGGTTTCGGTGGTATCTCGTCTGCGGCAGATGAAAGCATTCGAGAACAGGAGCAAGACACACTCCGTGCGGTCGAAACTGCCGAGTTCGGGTGCCAGACCGACTTCGAGGACGTTGTCCTACCTCCTCCTCCGATTCAAGTCACTCCTGCGATGTCTGAGATGGGTGTTCAGGTCGAACCTCAGCCCGCGCCCGTGGTTGAGACTGTGGACGGGTCTATGCAAACCGAGGAGATCCCGATCCCCGCTCGCACTGATTCTAGCGTTCAGTATGATATCGTGCAGGCCGAGCGTGTTCTGGTATCTAGCGCGATGGGCACCGACCCGATTGTCGAACCAGAGCAACTGCAGGTTCCCCCAACGGCTACGCTCGTACAGAGCGGCGTGCAGACGCCCCGGATCCAGTCCGTCGAAATCGACGTCCAGACAGCAGAGGAGCTGGTCCCTACCCCAGCTGTGAGGTCCGAGATGGACGTCCAGACGATGTCGCTCCCCGCGCCGACCATGGTGGAAGTGCAGACACAGACAGCTCTGCTAGTCTCTGCCGATGCGCAAGTTCAAGCAGTGGAGTCAGAGGTCCCGCACCTACGCGCTGTCGACATATCGACCCGAGAGTCGTCTTATGGTGATTCTAGCGGAGATACCACTGTTCATGGTCGCCCTACTTCACTCGCGTTGTCTCAAGAGTCTCTGGACGATGACATGGCGACAGAGACAGGTTCCATGATGGATTCGACTACGGAGAACTACCAGAGCGCGCACGAAGGTGCTGTGGTGCCCACTCCGACAGACTCGAACGACGACTTCTACTCCATCAGGACCGTCTCTGAGAATGACTTCTCGGACACTGATGACGATAACGAAAGCGTCGTGGCGTCCCGCCTCCCTACGCACATGTCTGCTGTGTCGTCCACCTTCTCGTTCACGCAGTTGTCGCCTTCGACATCATCTCCCGCCATCACCCCGCCTACTTATGATTCCAAAGCTGTAGAGACTGATGCTGTAGACGAAGCCCCAGTACAGAATCCCGCGCCAGCTGTTGCAATCCCCCCGGACCCTGCCCCCGCTCTTGAGCCAGCGCCCAAACCGGAGGTCAAAGAGATGTCAATCCAGACCGACGAATGGCTTCCTCCAGCAGCAATACCCGCAGTCTTGCCCGTTACCGCTCCGCCTACGCCCGCCCCCACACAGCCACCGCCTTTGTACCGTGTGGGTGTGAACTCCCAGCAGTTCCAGTTCATCTCTCCGCCCTCGTCTGCTGGGCCCATCACGACGTCGATGCCGATCGTTGCCGCTCCTTCGCCCAACACCACCCTTCGTGACTCGAATGCTACCTTCATTGCACGTCCTCGTACCTCTCATTCCGATCGGAGGCAGTCCATTGAGTCGACGCTGTCATCCGTCATGGACGACATATCTAACCGTGCTCGGACGCCGTCCGCCATCCCGGCTGCCATCGACAAGTCTCGCCCGCCCATGATGACATTACCTCCGCCTCCTCGCGCTCCTCCTCCCCCCAATAGCATGCCACCACCGTCCTTCATACCCGACAAGAGGCTCTCACAGGAAGCACCCCCGCCTCGTCCCATTTCGCCGCCCCCTCCTGAACTGATTCAGCGCGCCACGACTCCTCTAGGAAGTGTGTTGTCTGTCCCTGGTGGGCGGCCATTTGGTCTCAGACAGCACGGATCCAGCATGCCACCTTCTCAGAACGGCCTGCGTGAATTGCCGTCGACGAGTAGCTTCCGCTCTGCTGCTAATGCCGCCTCCCGCGCACCTTTGTCCAGCCCTACACCTTCCACGATGTCGTTCGGCATCAAAGAGCGCCGCGAACGTTCCACAACCTCTCTGAACTCGGGTGGACATAGCCTGGGCTCTCAGCGCTCGTCTATATCGTCTGATCACCATGCCTTCCCGCAGTCCCAGCGACAATCAGAAGGCGGGATGGTTGGGGATCGGCCCGCCGACATGTCTGCTCGTACCGCTGCAGGTGGTTCTACGGATCCAACTGTCATTCATGCTATCACACAGACCATGATAGGCGAATTCCTCTACAAGTACACACGACGGACAATTGGCAAAGGCCCTGGGACGTCGAGACACAAGCGCTTCGTCTGGATCCATCCCTACACGCGCACATTGTACTGGAGTTCTGCTGATCCTGGCTCGTCGAACGTTGTCGAGTCAAGTGCCAAGAGTGGTATGTGAATATATCAACGATCGTCAAACGAAACTTATTTTTACATTTACAGCGTACATCGAAGCAGTGCGATCCGTCCTCGATCCCAATCCTATGCCTCCTGGTATCCATCAGTACAGCGTAGTGGTATCGACGCCGCAGCGTGAGATGAAGTTCACTGCACCCACAAAGGAGAGGCATGATATTTGGCTGAACGTGCGTCTGTGATATTGTCTGCATCCTGTCGTGACATGCTCATATTGGCGTTTTTAGGCGCTGAAGTATCTGCTGACTCGCCCCAGTGCGCTGCCGTCCAACGCGCCTGTTGGCCCTGTGCCTGCTCCGTTGAGTCCAATGTCGATTGACAGGGAGCTCCCCGACGATGAGCAGCCCATACGGCCAAACGTTATGGCCAGCCCGCAGAGTCAGCGTAGCGCTCGAACAGGTCGAACGGCGCTCAGTGCGGATTCGTGGAATGCGACTCCCCGCGGTCAACGAAGTCGGTCCCAAATCTCGCTTGGCGGTTCAATAGGCAAGCGCGCCGGGACTCCTGCGGCTGAATACCTTCGCTGGAGCGAGCGCGGCGAACAGGAATTGTTGCATAGTCCTACGAAGGATTATGAGCACATCCCGGGTCAAGACGACGAGGACTTAGACTTCGAACTGCACAACGAGACCATGTCTGATGGCGGCTTCGAGGGCTTGGAGAATGTCCGGGCTTGCTGTGATGGTAGGCATACAGTGGGACGCTCTGGCATTCACGAGCACCATCATCATCATCATCACCACGAACACGATCACCACCTTCACCGTGAACCCTCTCGTCCGCTAGACCAACACCTCCACGCCGCTCCGAGAGAAATGTCTCGGCCATCCTCGCCGGCGTGGTCGTTCAGGTCTCGCGCAGGCAGTGCCACCTCGCACGACGGCGCGGGTTTCTTTTCGCGGTTCGGGTCGAAGCGGTCGACGAAGCCTGTACAAGGTGTATTCGCTGGGTCACAGGAGCAATATTAAGGCATAATAATAGACATTGTATTTGCGTTTTATTGGAAGGTTCCGCGCTGCTATCGTCTGCTTACTCAAAGTCCTACATTCATTTAGTCTCGCATTTCTTGTCCATACCAACATCCTTCCTTGCGGTTTCCTAGATTGCATGTACCCAGTTATGTTATACTTGACGATGCGATATTGATCAGGCCATTCCTTCAATCTATATGTTACTGTTCTCGTTGCACTTGCGATTGAGGTCTCGTCAACACCGCAGGGCAACTTTGCAACACCTGAAACGATACAATTCAGATACAGAGTCATCGGTCGTGAGTGCATACCACACCAATCACCGTCACTTGTCTCTGACGACTTGCTGGTTGCTGCAGATCAACAACAGTCGAGTACTACGAGCAGGTCACTCACTTCGCCGGACGGTCATAGTTCGCCACTCACGCGATGAAGATGCCGTCGCCATGTGAGTGATCCCGTCGTTTCCCCAAGATGTAGCTTGAAATTAACATACGACATTTGTGCGACATGTGCTGCGGACGTCTGTCCGTTCGAATGACCACCAATCAGCTGCGAATCAATACGCTCGCAGTCGGATGGTGTGGTCCGCGAGCTTTGAGGCCTGAGGCTTGAAGGAGCTCCGCCGAATTTTCGAACGAGCTGTATTCCTCACTGGGCGCAGAATCATGCGCAGGCGAGCGCAGGAGCGCTTTTGCATCAATCTCCAATCTACCCTTGCGCGCGGAATGATCTGCCCTTGAATGTCAGTGGTGAAGCGTCTCGGAGTCTTCGCGATGCGGCCCTTGGGCATGGGGAAGGCTCTCCGGACCATGCCTTGCACTGTTGCAACATGATCGCAGTCGTCGCATGGGTTCCGCAGGCTAGTACTGAGTACTGTTCTTGGCATCGTAGATGGGCCCTCACCGTGACGGCGTGCGTCAAGGTACCAGGACGATCGTTCTTATGAAGCGGGTGTTTGAACTCTAGCAACTATCCTCAACCACGAGTCGTGAAAGGGGGATTATGTCTTGATACTACGTGCGACATTGTAGGGTCGGTCAAGTACGCACTAAGTAGTATTGAGGCTGACAGTCACGAATACAGGATCCGTTCATGCCGACCTTCGGCACTATGAGATCAAGGCCTCGCGGAAGCATTCCGCATAAGTGTGCCCGGTCGGTCAATCGTAAGAGCCGTTAGGAAGCTGGAAAGCGCGAAGTGGACGGGAGCCGCGGGGCAAAGAGGCCGTCTGGGCTCTGGAGTCGACGCGTTGCTGCATTTCAGGAGTAGGTGAGCGTGGTGTAGCTGTAACATTGATTATTCCTTTCTTTCACAGACCGGTGAACGGTGGCGCACCGAATGGGTACAATCATCGCCGTGTCTCAAGCTCGGGCATGAGCTGAATTCGTGAGTTCTTCATCAAGGAACATACTGGGGCTAGGTACTGAGACGTTTGTTCCGCCTGCGTGGCTGTGTGACAAATAGAAGTAGACGTGCACTGGCAGATTTCTGACCATTGTCCAGCCCTCGAGTCGCCGTCCTGTTGCGCAGCCCTTCAGCCTCACCAGATCCTTGTTCCCCAACGAGTCTCCGTTAAATGATTGCAGGAAGGAGCCTTATGTAAAGTGCTAGTGAGTGCTCAGCGCTCAATATTGAAATATTGACGCTTGAAAACCAGTAGGCTCCACCGCCGCGATTGAACGCATCGCAATGACGATGGCGATCCTCAAAGGACTAGGTTCCGCCCTCGCCGGGGACACGCTGACTTTTTCTGACTTTGCTCAGCCGCCGGCATGTGGCTTCTATTTCTTGTCTGATGATTCAGATATGTCTGCAGTGTGCATCATGCAAGATTTCAACGAATTGTTCCCGTTCCATAAACTCGGTTAGTCTTGACCATGCTTGCCAGTACTATGATGCCCCCCAACCGGATCTAGTCCATTTTGTATCTTAGCATCTTGGATTGCACTCAGAACGAGCTGCGATCCACGCGAGTAACCGTACTATCCGGTTGACATCGACCCAAGAAGATTCACTCGCGGATGAATTGCCGTTACTTCGACGGGCGGCCGGTTCGTCGCGTAGTGTCCGTAAGTCCTGTCGATCCCCATTCACTGATGGCAGCACGAGAGGTGGCGATGACGGGCCTCTGGGCTCCGCTAGTACCGGGGTAGGATAACTGCGATCTCTCCCAGAGCAACGAGGATATAGTGCGGTCGCTGGCGCTGCTGCGTGCCTTTGCGTTCGCCATTTCCGTTGCATATTCTCTGCGTGATGTCCTCCTTCTGTCTTCCGGTCGAACAACTGAGTCGACTGCGAGTATCGATTCGCGTATTCAGATCGGGTGGCTTTTCCTTTAGCTTCGAGCACCATGATGGAGACCAAGCAGTGATGGATGGTTAGCGTCTCTTTCCCTTCAAGTCTCAACTTTGCCCTTTGTCTCACTGATAGCCTCGACACATCCACTGCACGCAGATTTCACCAGTCATCCTTACCACTCTTCCCCATATACAGTCCAGATAGAAGCACTAGAAGACTCGGATGGACATGTTTTGCAAGTTTCCAGCCTGTGCAACCGGACACCACACCTAGCTCCGTCGATGCAGAACCACTCCGAGTCGAGCGACTTCCACAGCACAATCTCGGTGATAACACCAGGTAATGCGGTTCAACTCTTCGCATACGGTATACAATAGCTGATACATAGGGCGAACCTAGGAGAACATTCCAACCTGTATACTGGTGACCCTCTGCTCGATCATTTCTCGGGAGTGCCTTTGGCAGGTCGGTGCAGTATTTTATCCAGGACCGTCAATACTGATCGCCGCATACTAGGGTTCAGCTTTCCGACCGGCGTAGAACAAAATCAGAATCTATATGACACTTCAACGACCTCGGATGTCCCCGAACGATATTATGAGTACTTCTCCGGCAACAGTGAGTAAATGCCGAAACATACAGTGGGCTATAGGACCTCACGACAAAGTCTGGCTCCTGTAGTACCAGCACAATCAACAACGGCACCTGGCGAGAGCCTGAGAAGACCCGAACTCAACTTTCCAGTCGCTGACGACAACGTCAACGTACTTGGCCGCTCGTCCGTTCCCGTCAATCAGATGTGGATGCAACCCGACCCCGCGGGAGCGTCTCAGTCCGATACTCAAAATGGTGATCAGGCTGTGGATAACAGCTCCATCATCTTCGTCGATTCGTCACATCCCTCGTCCACGTCCAGCACTCCCGACCCTCTGATCCCTTCAGAAGACGAGCCAGTGCCGACGTCTTCTCCGGAGGCTTCCTCGTCGAGGCGCCGCAAGCGCAGCTACGCTTGTCCAAAATGCCCGCACCGCTTCACCAGCGAGTATACCCTCAAGGTGCACCTGCGTGCGCACAAGCCGAAGCAGCCCAAGGCGCTCCCGTGCACGATGGGCTGCCAGGAGCACTTCTCGCGGCAGCACGACCGGCTGCGGCATGAGGTAACGAAACATAGGCGAGTCTGCGAGTGGGTCTGCGAGGATTGCCGCAAGTTCTTCTCGTCGAAGCGGACACTGTCCAATCATATTTGCCGGACCACAGGCGGTTTCAACCGATGGGGGATTTAGATTCGACGTCCCGCCCCGAGTTCCACTGACACAATTCAAAATATTCACCTCTTCGATGTGCTGAAATACAAAATCTGCTATACATATTCAGGGTCTTGGTGCATCAGACCGCCGTCGTTGGCGGCCTAGCTCAATCACGACCTACTCGTCGTGGGAGACGTTATCGGAGAACGACGCACAAGCCACCACAGTGTCGCTGAACAGCTTCGCCGTGTCTCCGAAGCCCTTCACAGCATCCTTGCCGAGAGGGATATTGAGCGGTGGGTCTTCCAGCTTGGCTAGTTGGTGATAGACGACCTGCATCCCTGTGGTGGCTCAGGTGTCAGCAGCCCGGGACATGGTATGACTGCGAGCTGCCTCTCACCCTTAACCGCATCACCTGGGCGAGCTGCGCTGGGCATGACGCCGCGCATCAGCTTGGTGAGGGAACCCTCGAAGTCATATGTTGGAAGCGGGTTCGTTGTGACCATGGAATCCGATGTCACTCCTCGAGTCGCAAACCGACCCGGGCAGAGGTTGATTATCTGAGGCATGGTGATGACATCAATAACCGGCAGGATGCAGAGCTGACGAACGACTCACCTTTATGTTCCACGCAGGGTTTAGCTCCTTCGCCAGCGACTCCATAACGCCTTGAAGGGCTAGGTGAATGACGCCGACGCGTCAATATAATGCTCACAGGGACGGGGTCTATGTGCGGAATCTCACCGTGTTTAGTGGCACCATAGAAACTGACACCGGGGCTTGGGGTGACGCCGACAATACTCGAGTTATTGATCAGCCTCCCGCCTTGCGGTTTGTTGACATCACGGAAGAAACGGATCGCCTCGAGGGCGACGTTGAGCGCGCCCCAGAAGTTAGTGTCGAACAACTTGCGCGCAGTGTCCTCGGGCACGCTCTCCGTCTCGCCGAGGATCCCGTAGCCTGCGTTGCTGAAGACAACGTCGATGCGTCCGTAGACCTCGCGCGCCTTCTCGAAGGCCGCGGCGATCTCGTCCTTCTTGCTGACGTCGACTCGGACGACGAGCAGCCGTTCCTTGGGGTACTTCTGCACCAGGTCGTCGATGGCTGAGGGCTTGCGCAGAGTGGCTACGACGATATCTCCTTGGGACAGGACAATCTCTGTCATAGCACGGCCCATGCCGGCGGAGGAACCGGTGACTGTACAGGATGTCGGCGGTTAGTATTCGGTCGTGTAAAGATTAGTGTCAAGATACTCACTCAACCAGATTTTTGAAGACATGTCGGATTGGGTATGTTCCAACTTGAGACGTTGACTGAAGTGCTACTGCTGAACAGCAAAAGCAACGTGCACTTTTATACTGCCCTGCGTGGCAGCGACCTCGGCGAGAAGGAGCCGGCACCGGGCATGTCGTGGATGATGGAGCAATGTCAAACAAGTTGGGTTTGGTGAGAAATGCGGGAAGGACGCGTGAGGGATCTGTATGACGACATCTGTAACTTCAAGTTCCAGCAGTATCCCTCTCTGTGCAACACAAATGTTCGGCAAGCACACATTTCAGGCAAGAACTCGACGATACCTACGCCAATACAGTAAGCAACACTGGTCATGTTCTGCATCGTCGGCATTCAGGAATGCATTCGCCGGCCAGTCGGGGAATACGATCACGGTGACCTGCGGTAATTTACTGCTGAAAGGCTGCGGCAACGATCTCCGAGTCTCTGCAGATCTTCAGAGCCTACCGCAGGTCCGCGTAGCAGTGCACCTGCTGACGATGCGGGTCACCATCGTACACGCAGCCTATAGAACGACGTACAAGAGTGAGACACGGCTTATAGTAGTGTCGAGTGTTGGTATGTTCAAGCTAGTCTCCCCTAGGCAGACCTTAAAGAAGACCTCTTGGACGGTGAGGAGGGCGGTCTTCTAAGGTGTTCAAGCCAGGACTCGGAACATCATATCCAAAGAGCTCCGCATACGAACGCACTAGAATAGTACCGTCCGAATCCTCGACCACGAGAATCGCGATCCTTCACTTGCTGAGATGAGATGTCCAAGCATAGTCATGAACGTTAACTCTCATGGGGCTCGGCAACGTAGGATGGTAGTAGTTTGGTAGTAGTACATCAGCATGATACTTAGTAGTACTGGCTACGTAATCACGTGATCTAGTGAGACCCATTGCCGCCGGTGGCTGCATGCATGATGCGGTACTTAGTACTGACGTTACTGAGCACTGAGCAATACTGTACACCATCCCCTGCTTGGTCCAGCCCTCGTCGCGACGTTCATATAATGTCGGCCGCCGATGAAGAAGAGGTCAACCCCTACGAACTGCTCGGTGTTACGATGGAGTCCACCGAGCAAGACATACGAACCGCCTATCGCCGGGTTTCGTTGAAGGTCCACCCAGATAGGGTGAGCACTCACACTCTTCGTTGCGTCGCTCGCTTTTGAACGCCGTCCTCTGACCCAAGTCTCTCCACGAAGAATCGTGGCAACCCTGATGCAGGTATGTCTTTGTGTTATCTCGTTGATCGGCAGGACGTTGACGCAGGCGCTACAGCACGGAAGTTCCATGAGCTCAATCAAGCATACGAGCTTCTGCTCGATCCGCTTCGGCGGATGGCCCTCGATGCTAAGGTGCGCTTGAAGGAGGCGCGCAAGGCGCGCTTTGCGTCGTACGACACGAAGCGCAAGGGTCTCGTTGAAGAACTTGAAGCGCGCGAGCGCGCGTTCAAGAAAGTACGGGTGGAGAAACAGCAAGAGGAGCGGGCGAGATGGATGGAGAACGAACGGATCATGGAAGAGGGGCGAAGGTTGAAGGAGGAGAGGGAGAAGGAACTGCGGAGGAGAGAAGAAGAGGCGTTGAGAGCGGAGAGAGAGCGCGCAGGAGAGGATGAGCCACCCGAGCTTGGTACGTACCATATCCTGTTGATACCGTGGTCTCCATACTCACAGGTACACTATTTTTTCAGGGGATTTGGACACGACCATACGTCTCAAGTATCAATTATCTTCGCACCCTATGCTCACAACGCCGGCCAGCCTCGTAGCCCTTTTATCGCCTTTCGGGCCAGTCGATGAAGCGTCGATGAAGCTCATACTCAAGCCTTCGCCACCTAAGAAGCCAAAACGAGGCATCGCCCTCGTACCGTTCAAGCAGATCAGTGGCGCGTTCGCTGCTGTTTGCGCTAGCGGACGAGCGGAGAGCGGGCTGGCAGACGTCGAAGTTGGCTGGGCGGAGGATAAGGAGCCAGAACTGATTGGATGGCTGAAGAGGAAGGGTCAGCTTGGGGCTGATGGTGGGGTAAGCGCGACGAAAGATGCTCAACGAAAGCAAGATGCCGATCAACCGCCTGCACCTGCGGGCGCGAACCCATTGCCGACATCGACTGCACCACCAGACAAGGAATCTGGGACATCGTTCTCTTCGTTTCCTTCAACCTTTGTGAGTTTCATGTCTAACCTCACCGCCCACTTCCCTCATGTGTTTGTCTACAGCCGAGTTTCGATGCGCCTGCGACGCCTTCCACCAAATTGGCTGAGACAGGTCTCGACTACGAGTCCCTAACCCTCATGCGTATGCGTCAGGCCGAGCGCGCGCGCCTGGAGCGCGAGATCCGGGAAGGCGAGGCAGCTGAAGGCAATTAGCAATCTAGCGATATTCCGAGCGATGCGCAGTGGCGCCAGTGTAACATCACTAGCTCCCGCTGGGCCTTCGTGGGGTCGTACTCAGATTTTGAAATCGAAGAGTATGGGGTATGAGGGTTCGTGACCCTGTTTCATTCGGACACTGTTGCCGCCGACACATGCTACATATGGACAGGGCAGGATCTGCAAGCACTATCCAGTGAAGCATCACGCGTTCATGAGGGTTCAACGTTCAACGTTCAACGTTAAACCACATAGCTTCCGCATATGACGATCAAACTACGCAGCTGTATCCGCAGCTGCATCGCCGAGACTCTCGGGCTTGCAAGCTTCGAAGTCCGGGCTGCCCGACCCAGAGTCACCGTCCAAAACTTCGGGTACCACCTGGCCTGACCCATCGAGCGGTGCTCCAGCTGGTCCATGTAAGTTGCATACACTACATGCTGCCAGTATGCCACTCAAGAGCCAGTAGGCATCTTGGTTGGCGAAAAGGTCAATGTTTTGAGCAGCGCCCGTGCGTACTGAGTGGTACGGTCAAGACGTGGTGTCAATGAGTTGCGCCTTGCGGTCGATGCCGCGGCTCCGCGAGGATCATCTCAAGGTAAATAGTCAACCCCTTGGCAACCTAGCCCAAATCTAGCCCATGCTTCCCCATATAAAGTCCGCAACAACCCGGCGTCGTAAGATCGACGCTGTCAGTTTGTCTTCTGTCGGTTTGCGAACCACCGATTTGAGTCGATTGATCCTTACTATGTAGGAGTTGTACCCGTGTTCGCGGGTTCATCACTGAAGTTATACACCGACAGCGACATGAGGTTCTACAACAATCTATGGGGCCTATAACGGGGGCTGGCGGAGGCGTACCCACCCAGGCCGAAGTTCAGCGTGGACCAGATACCCGACCTGAGCGGGCAAGTCATAATTGTTACAGGTCTGTCATGCAACGGTTCAAGCTATCGGGGCGATACTGACAACGTCAACGCTGAGCGCAGGAGGTAACGTCGGTATAGGGCAGGAGACCATCAGAGTCCGTGACCCTGGCTTGCTGCATTACAGCTTCGCTGATCATCGCGTGACAGGTTTTGTTGCAGCACAACGCGAAGGTGTACATGGCCTCACGAAGCAAGGAGAAGGCCGAAGAAGCCATAGAGGAGCTGAAGAAGCAGACGGGGAAGGAAGCGATATTCCTCGAGCTTGACCTCCTGAGCTTCCCTTCCATTCGCGCGGCAGCGGAAGAGTTCATGAGGTGCGTGGAGGATCGCGCATATTCATCCGCACTGTGTTCAATCAATTGTATAGCAAGGAGAACGAACTTCACGTGCTCTTCAATAACGCGTGCGTCGGTCTGCGGCTCGCTCGAATGCCTGGGACTCATATGGATGATCTAGAGGTCTGATGTGGCCTCCGGTCGAGCAGGTCAGCCCCGACGGCTACGACCTGCAGTTCATGACAAACGTCATCGGTGAGGAACATCTCCTCGAAGGGAGACGGGCGCGATACTGAACAGGCGTGTAGGCCCATTCTTCTTCACGAAGCTGCTCAAACCGGTGCTCCAAGCCGGCAAAGAGACGCATCCGGACCATCACTGTCGCATTATTATGGTCTCGTCTTCCGGGGCGTATATGGGCACGCTGAACTTCGACACGTTCAAGGACGGGCCCACACGGAGGAAGATGCCCACCACCAACCTGTACTTCCAGACAAAATCCGTGAGTCGCCTATATCGGTTTATTTACTGGACAGTTGGATGACAGGTAAACGGGGCACACAGGCGAATATGGTCATCGCGCGTCAGTATGCGAAGCGATACGCCGATCAAGGGTTCATCTCAGTTGCACTGAATCCTGGTAAGAGTTACTGATCGCGCTCTACAAATCCTCGTCTCAGTGTTACACAGGCAATATTGACACGCCTCTGCATCGCTACACCCCAGCTGGCAACGGGCTGTCACGGTATTCCGCTTTCATGGCGCACCGTGCCCGATGCCTCACACATGGGTTATCATTGCATAGAGATTCGTACTGCAGCCGGTCGAGAAGGGCGCTCTGACACAACTATGGGCGGGCACGATGCCCGAGGCAGTCAACCACAACGGCGGGGTGAGTACACTTAACTGGTAACTGGGAGGCTCGTAGCTGCTGACTGGGCGACGCGTCTCGCGATAGTTCTTGATCCCGTGGGCACGAGTGGGCAGGTGCCGCCCGGAGGCGTACGATGATGCCTCGGGGGAACAGCTCTACGACTGGCTCGAAGAACAGGTTAAGGACAAGTAGGCTATCTGCTCTTAAGAGCGCAGTTTTGTACGGATCGGCATAATCTATGCTATCCTGCTGTCCACTCTAGAGGCTCGGCGGTCTGATGTTATCGAGCGATGGCAAATGACCTTCATAAAAGCGCTTGTCGTTCTTTTATGGTCGGCAACGGAGACTAAAATGACCTCAGATATTGTTGATGACCTTGGTGTTCCTTTCCGGGTCTCGTATCGTCTCACATGGTATGCGGGTGAGAGCTCAAGGAATGCTGTCCAGTCGAGATAGACTATAAGACATTGCCATATAAGGGCATGTGGTGTAGTTGGTTATCACGCTCGCTTAGCACCTCGTGAGCATGCGAGAGGGGTCCGGTTCAATCCCGGACATGTCCATTTTATTTTATTGACGTGGTTTTGCTCTGTCGAGATTGCGTGTTCGCTCGACTTCACCAAGTTCATGTGCGGCTTGGATCTCCGAGGGAGGCGAACGCACTGACCGCCGAGAAACGACTGTGAAAGCAATGGAGACATAGTACAAATTAGGAGCTGTCGCATCGTGGTGTAGGCGACTCGTAATGGATATAAAAGCCTATAATTTATTGCCATTGGCTTATGTTAAATCGGGAAGATGTGTCGAAGCCTCGAAGGACTGTACTTTGAGGATGATCCTTGGAGATGAGCGCGAGCCACGTGGGCGGTTGTTTGGTCCTAATGCCTTTGGTAAACAAACCAAGAAAGGGAACCTCGAATCAGCGGCCACTACGTCGGGCGTCTAACCCATCTTCGCGCACACATGGGTCCGCTGTCCCCGACCTCGCCAATACAGCAGCCGCCACACAGTGCTGGTCTCTCATACAAAGGTCGATCCAATATGTATCCCTGCTCTTGTTCTAGCCTATTCTCATGCTCTTGCTATAGGCCTGCGCGCGGCGATCGACCCGCAGTCCATTCCGTCCCCAATTGACGCAATTGAGATCGACCGCGAGCAATGGGACGACCAGCCCTTCGGAACACTTCCGGGAGGACACGTACCTCTGTCCACGACAGACTACGTTGCAATTGACCAAGGTGCGGAGAACTAGAATGTACATCGCAATCCGGGCTGACCGGTCACGCAGGCAACTCCTCCCCTCGGTATGTCCGGGTATCGACATGGAACATGCCCAGCACGTCACGCCTGGCTTCGGACTGCGAGATCCCCCTGGCAGCAGTGGTTCAGCCCCTCGCAGACCAGGATCCTAGGGAAGAGCCTGTACCTCTCGTCGACACCGGTGACATCGGTCCTGCGCGGTGTGCAAGGTGTCGGGGATACATCAATCCGTGGTGCAAATGGGTAGCTGGAGGGATGCGGTGGAAGTGTAATTTGTGCTTGCATGAGACAGAAGGTGCGTGTGGTCCTACTCGTGTGAGCTGAAGCAGACCTGACAACGAACCGCAGTCGCATCGGAGTACTTCTGCAACCTCGATGCGAACATGACACGGTTAGACCATCTGCAAAGACCTGAACTCAACAAGGGTACCGTGGACTTTGCTGTACCAAAAGACTACTGGGCTCCACAGTCACAGCCTCGGATAGAAGCGCTATATCAACCCGTAGTACCCACGTCAACGTCGGAGAAGAGGCCGCCAGAGCCAATGCGCTACGTGTTCGCGCTCGACGTCTCACAAGAGGCAATGACGTCTGGCTTCACACAGACTATATGTCTGCAACTGCTGGACCTCTTCTATGGTTACGATGCAGAAGATGGGACGCATGTCGATCCCTGCTTCCCGCCCCAGAGCAAAGTCTGCATCCTGTCTTACGACCGGTCAATACACTTCTATGATCTCTCAGTACGCGCCTACCTCCATGCTGAGACGAGCTGACTTACGCTTGGATGCTGCAAGCTAGCCACGCGAAACCGACAACCCGTCGATGCTAGTGCTGCCGGACTTGGAGGATGTGTTCGTGCCCATACGACAGGGTTTATTTGCTGATGTGCGAGAATCACAGTTAGTATTTCTAATCCATTCAAAGACGAGCGCTCACGCTCGTCCAGACGGCCCATCACGAACCTGCTCACTACGCTAGGTGCTACCAGCAATCGCTTCCTTGAGACTGAAGCCGCGCTTGGCTCGGCATTGGCTGCATGTCTGGCTACCCTCGTAAGCATTAGCTGTCGTAGTGTTTGTTCGCACTCACCTGGGATGCCAGGCTGGTAAAGGCGGCCAAGTGATTGTCTTCCCTGCTGTCATCCCGACCATCGGCCTGGGCGCGCTCACAACGCCCGAAGACATCTCCGTCCTCATTGGCACAGAGAAGGAGAAGTCGATCTTCACACCGCGACACGAGGATTGGCAGGAGCTTGGCGAGCAGTGTGCGGAAGAGGGCATTGGCGTGAACATGTTCTTTGCCAACAATCGGCCGGTCGATCTTGCGTCAATATGTGAGTAAGACGGCATCCATGTTGCGTCAGTGGCTCACTTAGTTCTGTGAAGCGGTGGTCTCTTCGCTCACCGGCGGTCAGCTCTACTTCCACCCACGGTTTGATCCTGCACGCGACGGGCTGGTCCTCCACTCTGAACTTCGACGTTTACTTCTGCGGACAACAGGTTACTCATGCCTCATGAAGATCCGATGTTCCCAAGGTTCGTTCACAACTGTTATACTCCTTCATGTCTCATAATTCGTCTACAGGTCTGCGCATAACACAACACTACGGCAACTTCTACAAGCCTCCCACGTCAGACCTGACCTTCGGTACGCTCGACGCGGACAAGACTATCTCCATCGTGCTGGAGCACACCAAAGCTCTGACGGAAGGGGAGTTTGCATTCCTCCAGAGTGCCGTCCTGTATACGACCGTCGCCGGCGAGCGCCGCGTGCGGGTGTGCAATCTCGGGATACAGGTTGCGGGCATGGCCGGGAACGTCTTCAGGTTCGCGGACATGGATGCGGTGGTGTGTCATCTGGTCAGGCAAAGTGCGTCGCCCTGGCTTTTGATCGCTGTTATCAGGTGTTGATGACGAAGTAGGCATTCATAATACGCATTCTCAGAAGATCGCCAAGATCCAAGAGCAGCTGACGGACAAGTGCGCTGCTATCTTGTTGGCGTACCGCAAGTACTGTGCTGCATCTGCGCCTGCCTCTCAGGTGAGATCGCAAATGTCACGATCATTGGGTGTCGCTCATGCTACCTAGCTCATCATACCGGAAGCCTTCCGAGCACTGCCGTTATACACCTTGGCGATCATGAAGTCGCGACCGCTCAAAGGTATGTCAAAACTTCCGCACTCAAGTGCGTCCGTACTGAGGCAGCATAGCTCAGAACGTGGTGACCGACGTGCGGTTGTACCACGCACACAAGATCATGGCGATGAGTGCCCGAGCAACCATGCAGCATCTACACCCCCGTCTCATGGCTTTGCACGATCTCACTATGCGAGCTGCGATGCCGGATCCGCAGACGGGTCAGATGCGGTTACCAGGTCTCATGCGAGCTAGCTACATTTTCATGGAGTCGTATGGAATCTACCTCATCGGTTCGCGGCCCATTATTCAAAGTAGCTTCGACGAGCTCACACATTGCGCAGACAACGAAGAGCTCATGGTGCTCTGGATAGGCTCGGATGCGTCGCCTCAACTGTTGAAGGATCTGTTTGACGTCGACGACTTCTTGCATGTCGACCCGAAGATCGTTCGTATGCATCAGCGTTCTCATGAATGTCTCCTGACGCTGCTCCTCGCAGACTCAGCTTCCGGTGCTCCCGACAAGATTGTCAGGGCAGGTCCGCAATATCATTGCGTACCGACATGCCCAGCGGGGGTGGACGCCCAAGCTGTCGATTTCGCGACAGAACATGGATGGTGCAGAGCTCGAATTCGCAGACATGCTTGTGGAGGACAAAAACAATGCGGCAATGTCATACCTCGACTGTGAGTATCCTGGACCTTTCAACGGGACGTGCCTCTGATACCCGTCGTGATACACAGATCTCTGCCTGGTACATAAGCAGATCAATGCGGTGGTACGTTGCGCGCGTGTCTTCGAGGTTCGTGCTACTGACGTTGTTTGTACAGCTAACGGGAGGCTCCTCCTCCAACAGCAACCGCAATAGCTACAAGTCGGCGCCGTGGTAGATTGGTTAACATGTACGCTGATGCACATCTAGATGCAGCAATATTGTCGTTGTTGTATGCGCAGGCAATTCATATCTCGTATTGCTCGGTTGCAGTCCGTCAATCCGTTCAGTGACAGTGCTCTGCAGGACGCCGCTCGCTAAGTTGGGGAAACACGATCAACATAAGCCCTCAAACGCGGCTTGCGCGATCTCCTACGTTCCACTACACATGTGGATCGGCACTGACAGCGTGATAAGTGAAGATTGTCCAACAGGGCTGACAGTAGTGGCTGAGATGCCTAGGCCTGTCCTTTCCACGATGGCTGACTAGGAGGCTGACACCCAACGGCTTCCGGTCACGATCACAACACTGGCACGCTGAGGTATAAGAACCCTGCCTGATGCGTCACTGCATCCCATCCTTCTCTGCCCTCTTCCTCCATCTCCCCCTCTATCGAGCAAGATCCAAGTGACAGACGAGTACCATCCTCCATCGTCCTCACTCATCAAGACCCGTGGATCAAGCCTTCAAGCTTCAAGACCGAGAACACCCCTCGTCGACACTGCAGCTGCCGCCACAGTCCAGCGTTGAGCAGCTTTGCGACCCACCGAGTGTAAGTCCACCCGCCACGATCGCAATGTCTACAAGCTCATCGCCCACACTCTTCATCCTACCTCAGCTATGACATATATCATCGGTGGGCAGCCACGTTTCACATCTGCGCACCCCACAACAGCAAATGCCCTTGCGGTGATCGGCTCGTCACTGTCCCAGTACGGCCGCAGGGGCGCGGACAAAGCACGGCGTGCGGTGGCAAAAGTCATTCGTGCGAATCGGGCGTCCGGGCTGTCAGCCTCGTCGCGCTCCCGCGAGCCCAGGGAGGACGCACCGCCGGAAATGCTCCGGTGGAGGAGCGCGACACTGTGCGACTGGATGGCGTGGCTGGCATGCGTGGCATATGGACGCGTGAGCTACTTGAACCGGGCTCTTAGTCGTCGTCGACACTGATGAGCCTGTTTTCGCAGCGCACAGTGGGCCGTGTCCATTGCAGCTTCAGACGACCGAGCGTAGGTGTAGGTGCGTATGTCTCTTTTCCCGGGGTAGGGGTCGTCTGTTCGTCCGTCCGCAAGGGCAGGCGAGGGGATGGATCCTGGCATGGACCTTGTCGTTGGTCCCCGGGCTGAGTACCTTAGCCCTCTTGGCTATATGTGGTCAGAGGCTTGGGGAAACTAGCGCATGCCGAATATCATCTTGTGGGGCGCGCCGTGCAAATGTCATATGGTGCAGGCTGTAGAATACAGGTTGAAGAGTCTTGTCTGCAGTCGCAATCTGATGATGTTTGATTGCGGAGTCCGGACGGTCTGAACATGTAACTTTATACACGCAATAATGCTGCATGTATGGAGCCCCAGAGTCCCGAACTGATGTTACAGTAACGTCCTCGGTTGTTCGGGGCACGCACCTATCGCTTCACCGTCCATACCAGGCATGGGACGTGGAGTGGCCCGGCGATCCGGGCTAACACGCTGGATAACATTGCAAAACTCGAGTAAAGGCCTGCCGAGGGCACTGGCAAGGGCGCGCGAAAGAGTGTGTTAGTATATATCTAAGATGAGTCGGAAGATGCGAGCTGACAACACAACGCGATGATGGTCGAACGGGCCGGATGCTGTCATGTAAGTAGTGAGCGCTAGTGAGCGCTGTCGGGTGTCGCGTGTAGTAGACACGCGTACACTGGCTAAATGGAAATACCTCCTCTGTACTCGAGGAACGCAGAGTAACGGATCACGAGATTGTGACCGATCGCGATGCGGAGGCCCGTGTGACATAGTATCGCACGACGCGTACTTACTCACGACTTTGCGACTGCCATTGACGGCAGACAGCGTAGCCTCCGAGTCGTGAGAGTTCGGCTGCTCTTATATGAAGTTTCTGGCCATTCCATTATCCTACTGAGCTAGGCTTTGTGCTCTCAGCTCCAGCTTGAAGGTGAGCATTCGGGTCTGGACACTTTGATTGCAGGTCCAAGTTGGTGGTCGTTGTTGTGGCTCCATTCTCATCCACTGGAGAAAATGCAGGCATCAATATTACACTTCATACAGCTGTAGTGATGAACTTAGAGCCAGGAAATATGGTAAGCTTCCGCTGTATCACTTCGCGCAAATCAGCATTTACCATCACATTCAGCCGCTACCGCCGGGCCAACCGTCGCCTCGTGGAGTGTCCGTCGCGATCCAGCGCGTGGCAGACGACTTTGTCTTGCTCATCGAGAGTGAGCGGGTGAAGGCACGAGAGCCTCTCGAACGGCAGCTCGCCAAGCTCGAGAACGAACACGCGCAATTTCGAGAGAACGCTACCGCGACTATGAACGCGGCCGTCGCGCACGCGACCTTGGCCGAGCAACAGAGGCGGATGGCTGTTGCGGCGCTACGGGCCGAGTCAGCGAAGACCAAGGACGCCCAGAGTGCGCTGACGGGATCGCAGGAGGATGAGGTGAAGAGGGTCCAGGACGCACTCGTCGCCAAGGAGAAGGAGGTTGAGGTCCTACGGCAGGCCTTCTCGGAGCGCGATCAGGAGATCGCGTGGCTGCGCCAGCAGCTGTTGATATCGCGCCAAGGGACTGACGGGAATGGCAGTGGCAGGCAGGAGCCCGCTCCAGACGCGGAGGCACAGGTGCGAAGCGTGCGCGAGATGCTGAAGGAGCGCGACGAGCTCCTCGCGAACAAGAATGCGCAGATCGACGCGCTCAACGCGCACGTCGCCGAGTTGGAGGGTAGGATTGTGGAGTTGCGGCGTGGCTCGACCCTCAGCCTGGGTGCGTCGACCCGAGATGAAGACACTTTGATGGAGGAGGCTAGCATGGCGGAGTTCCTGAATATCGACCAGTGCGATCAGGTAAGTAATGGTGTTATCCTTCCGTCGAGAAATTGAATCATAGACGGCATGAAAGAATAGCACGAGCAATTCCTAGGGGCATCTACTATGGAGTGTCTGTCTACCACAGATATGGATCCATTGAATGATGTTGCGACCACTCAAGAGGAGCAGGGTCTATCATCCCGGAGTACCCTCTATCCAGAATTCTCAATTCCAACAAGTGAGGAATTACTTGACTTCATGTCCGCATTTGCCTGTCGTTCTCCTATGATGGATCCCAGTCTGCAGACACTCGGGACCCCTGGTAATGCCCTGGCAGAAGAGGTTGATGTCATATCATGCCCTTCTGATGCAGTATCAGTGGAAGTTTACACTGCACCCAGTCCTTTCGACGTGCCAGCAGAGATTGTCACTGTACCAAGTCCTTCTGGTGAATCCCGCAGTCAGACTCCTCGCCCTGACCCATTCCCGTTGCTACGAGTACCTGACTTTCCCTTTAAGCCACGTCGATTCAAACCATACATTCCACCCCTTACAGATGTCGAAAGGCAGCGATCGATATTCGTTCCAGCAGTCAGGAAGTCAGATCAAAGTTAGCCCGCCGTCTTGTATATCTGGAACTCTTCATGCTATCGTGCTTTCTACTGTCCTGTTTCTTGATCTCCTTTACCACACAGTGCTTGTTTACTCTACCACTGGGATATACATACTATAATTGCTTTCGTGTCGTCCTAGTAGTACGTGTTGTACAGTCGTCGGGCTCATTAATTACTGCGGTGTTGCGCGTGCACATGATCGTGGAAGACGCGCTGGTGTTCTCGATTTTGCGATCGAGTGCGGGGTGGGCGCTACCATTGTATGTACTTACCAACGACGCAGTGCTGCTGCTAGCACTGCAGCAATTCTCTCTCATCTGTGTCTCCCCCTTCTCCTTGTGGACTTTCGGAAGACTGTGCATCGAAGACGTTACAACGACAGCGACAGAAGATGAGCATGAACCCTATGAACGAAGTCGTCCCGGGCCTATGGATCGGCGACCTCGCAAGCGCACTCAACTCAGAGAAGCTGCGCGAGCACAACATCCACAGCGTGCTCACCGCGATGCGCGGCCGCGTGCGCATCAACGAGGTGCGTCTCTCTCTCAGAAGTCCAACGCTCATGCCGGACGCGAGCCGAGCAGACTTGTAATAAACTGCAAATCAACCTGGATGACACCGAAGACGCAGACGTCCTCAGTCACCTCGTCGCCGCTATCCAGTTCATTGAGGCTGAGCTGGAGAAGGGAAGAGGAGTGCTGGTGCATTGTCAGGCGGGGCTGAGTGAGTACCGAGTCTTCTGCGGGAATGCGCTGTAGTGCGGATGTCTACATCGCGTGGGGGGATGCGTGCTCGAGACGCTGCGCTCGCTGCAGCCTGATAAGGACGCATCGTCCTTCGAGCATCTTGATTTTGTGTCTCACGCCAGATCACTGATCTAGCACATCCAGGCCGGAGTGCGACGATCGTCGCTGCTTACCTGATGTACGTGCAACACATCGACTACGAAGCCGCCCTTGACCTCATCCGGGGAGTACGGCCAAACATACAGTATGCGTTCTCCTTTTCCCCGTGTCTGATGGCGCTCAGGATCACCGCAGACCTAATGATGGATTCCTACGACAATTGGCTGTGTTTCAAGAAGCGTCGTACAGAGTGTCGAGACGCGACAAGGCGACACGGATGTACTACCTTGAGCGTGTGGTGGAGGAAGTCATGAGTGAGTGCATGTCACTGTCTCTACCCCTTACTTGCATGACCTGGTCCGTACACTGCTCAGACGGAGAGGGCTCCTTTGACACGGACTTCTTCGCCAAGTTCCCGCGCACGCCCACTGACTCCGCGCCCGCGACTCCGGGCGGGCCCCGTCGCCGTATCCGTTGCAAGATGTGTCGACAGGAGCTCGCCGCACGCGAACACATGCTCGATCATGGTCAAGTCGGCCCTACCACTCCCGCATTCACCCCCGTTGCTTCTCGCCGGCCATCGTCGTCTCTGCACGATGCACCCGTTCGTCCCTTCGCCCCGCTCACGCCAGTCAAGTCCCCACCGAGCTCGAGGAGGCCGTCTATGAACGACAGCAGACCGGCGATCTCGTCCCCGCTCTCGCCTACGGGATCGAGGAGACCGTCCATGAACGATGGCAGTGCTAGGCCGGTGGGCCTCGCCGCATTGACTCCGATGACTCCGATCAGCACGCCTGGGCCAGCACCGATGTCCCGCCGTCCGTCGGGCTCGAACTACGAGCCCCAAACGCGCTCGCGGCTAGGGAGCAATGTGGATACGCGCCCGTTGAAGAGCAGCCTGCTTGCGTTGCAGGGTGCGGCGCAGTTTGGCCAGGACATCTCGGACGAGCTGTCGGAAAGCGCGGTGGAAGGGTCGGACGATGAGGAAGAGGAGGCACCGAACCCGCCGAACACGGCCTTTCCCCGACCTGAAACGGATGGGGATGCTTGGGCGGATCCTCCATCGGCTGCGACTTCACCAACAGCTGCATCGAACCCGTCGTCCACGTCGAGAGATCTGAACGTCAAGTCGCTGTCTCTTGGAGGTTCCATGCCGTCCCCTCCTGCGCTTTCCACTTCTCCTTCGGCTTCATCTGCCGAGCCGCTTCGTGCGATCCCGCCCTCGCTCGCCCGCCAGTTCTCTTCTTCATCAGGCACGCCGCTGATGCACGGCTCTGACCTCGCGGCCCAGCTCTCAAACAACCCCAAGCTTGCGGGGCTCCGCTCGCCCACCAGCGGGCTCAACATGACGGCGATGACGCCGTCGAGCCCAGGCGCAGGTGCGAGCGCGAACGGTGCTAGTCCTGTAGGCAGGGGTGGATCCGCGTTGAATATCAGCCCGCCGCTGCTCGCGAACAACACGTGCTCGGGCTACTTCGTCGAGCCGATGAAGTGGATGGACGCCTTCCTGCAGGAAGGCCAGATGGCGGGGAAGATCGTTTGCCCGAACAAGAAGTGCGGCGCGAAGCTGGGGAATTATGATTGGGCGGGGGTGTGTTGTAGTTGTAAGCAGTGGGTGGTGCCGGTGAGTGTTGTTGCGCTTTTTTGATTGCGTTGTTGTGGCGATGCTAACTGAGCCAATTCTGGTAGGGATTTTGCATACACAGATCGAAAGTTGACGAGGTGGTGGTATAGTAAGACAATCGCGGAAATCTACCCTCCATTGTATCTCTACTTACGGACAAGTCGCTGTAGCAACAGAATGCAGCTGCATACACGCAGAGCCCTCTCATGACTGACTCCTGAATCCTGCTCATTCGCTATGGGAGACACTGTTTCCGTATCAATTGCAGGACAGTGGCACGAGCAAGCATCGCTGCATATCAGACCGATCGAGGGGATCGAGGGGATCGCGACCTTCGTAGGTGGTCGATCATAACTGTTGTGAAGGTGGGTCAGAAACTCGGATGCAAGCATATGCTCGGAAATGCCATGGTTGTGCGCTACGACTCCCAGGTTCTAGGTGCGTGAGCAGGCTCTCATGATTTGACCTTGTGACACTCAACCGAACCCTACACGACAGAGACGAGGCGAGACGAGAACGTTTGATGTTTAGCACCGACCCTCAGAGATGAACAGAGTCGAGTTCTGAAGTATAGCATTCGGCAATGACAGTGCAATCATGCCCCACCATCGCCAGTATGTGTGTCTCCCATCGCAAGCGTCGTCATTCTCTAATGTTTCATACAGTATGCATGCTGCATGCAGTGTCAAAGTGCTTAAGTTACCTGACTTCGAGGAGCTTATGCGACGGTCCGGGAGCTCTCACCGTGAAGCCGGGGCCTGCCGACCTGGAGATCGGTCGCGGAAGCGGCGGAGCGCTGAGCACTCTTATTCAAGTTATTGCCCGATCCTCCGTCCTTACCACCGGTCTCGTCCTGACAGTGCGATTCTTAGACTGGACGGTTTGGTGTCATGATCAACTCATATAGCAGTCTCAGCTTCTAGCTCATGGATGAATGGTACCTGATGAGGCGATGTCGCCAACTCATTCCGAGCGGGTGGGGCGAGGCCGGCGCCGTTATATACCCTGACTATTGCTGACGGAGTGATGGCGACAACGCTATCGACCCCCTGCTAACGGGACTAGAGCGTCGTTATTTCACTCACAACAACAGGACCCAAACAGGACGCTCAGCTGTACGGGTTTGCACGGCTTTTGTGTCTTCGGAGCTAGATAACGCGCTCAAGACAAATCCGGGGTATGTCTTGACGCCCTGTCCTGGATGGGGTCCTCGGGCTTATAAACGCAGTAGTATACAATTTCACAGTCGGACTCATCATCGTGAGTCGCGTAAGCTTGTGTACACGCCTCCGTATCGGCTTGCAAGATTCCTGTCACAAGGTAGGCTAGTCTCGGGAGGGTATCCTCACGCTGACATCTGACACCGGAATCATTTCAGTGCCTCGATAGCAAGGTACATCAAGAGGTACGTCGCTGACGTGAGATTGCTCCTCCGACCTCTCACTGACTGGTCAAATCTTCAGCTGCTACACTATGTCTTCCGGTCTTCTCCTCAGCAGCGTGCTAATTGTCACGCTGTTATGGAGAGTATTCATCTACACGCGCCTGCTCATTGCTAGTGCTCCATTGAATCGTCTACCAGGTCCGCCGAGGGAGTCATTTTGGAATGGTGAACCTGTATTCATCATGCCAACCTTCGGTTATACTGACACGCCTTTCGCGCGCATCGTTTCTTAGGGAACCTGAGGCAGTTCCTCGCGCGACACGCTGAGGACTTCCAGAAGCATGTAGCAGTCGACTTTGGTCCAGTCGTCAAGATGTCCGGATACTTCGGTGTATGCTGAGCGACCTACAATGATATCTCTTGGTTTCCTGGCTGATCCTTGCCCTTCCCCCTTCAGCGTCCCTTATTATACGTGTCCGACTCGAGGGCACTGCATAATATCCTTATCAAGGAGGAACATATCTTTCAAGAGCAAGAAGTGTTTATATCGTGCGTTTGATTTTGAGTTTCTTAGGTCTCATACGGACATTCATTTAATCTGCCGCAGATCAAATCTGAGGCTATTTGGGCCATCTCTACTGGCTACTTACGGTGCGTGCAGCAGATGACAGTCTCCGTCAGGATATGCATACTGACATGCCCTGCGTAAATGCAGGCCAGCGCCATGGTAAACAACGTAAAATACTGAACCCCGTCTTCTCTATCAACCATATGCGTTCTATGTTACCATTGTTCTATACCGTTTGTCACAAGGTGAGTCGCTCAGCACTCAGCGTTGCCGGTGACTAACCTTCGTACTCTTAACTCGGCTCCGGATCGTAGCTTCGAGAGGCGATCACAGGCCGGTTACAGGACGGCCCTCGGGAACTTGACATGTTACACTGGACGGGCCGCGTCTCTCTGGAACTTATCGGCCAAGGGGGCCTCGGCTACTCGTTCGATCCGCTGGTGGAAGACAAGGAGGATCCGTACGGTCAGGCGGTCAAAGCCTTGATGTGCGTCCCCACTCCTTCACTCCTCGCCGAAACACACTTGGACTTACGTCTCGAACGTGCAGACCGAACTTCGGCCGCGTGCTGCACCTACGATGGCTCGCGGTACTAGCGGACAAGTGGAACGTGCCCAGGTGGCTGCAGCGCGCCGTCGTGCAGGCGTTCCCGGCCGACTCCCCGATTCGTAAGCTCCTGGAGGCGGTCGACACGATGGACAGGCAGTCGAGGGCCATATACAGCATGAAGAAGCGCGCGTTTGATCAGGGCGATGCGGAAGTGGTGAAGCAGATCGGGGAGGGGAAAGATATTTTAAGCATCTTGAGTGGGTGATATAGGATTGGTTGATGCTGAGCGTGGATGCTAAGCATGAACGCGAAGTGCGTGCGAACGCACAGGCGGACGTGAATGAGCGGCTCTCTGAAGAAGAGGTAGTCGCACAGCTGTCGTGAGTGCTCACGTTTTTTCGAAACCCATTCGCAACAACTCGTTGGTGACGATACCAAGGACACTCATCTTCGCCGCGATGGATACGACATCGAATACGCTCTCTCGTACGCTGCAATTGCTAGCGCAATACCCAGACGTCCAAGACAAACTGCGCCGTGAACTATTGGAGACGGGCGCTGCTCAGGGGACTTCGTACGACCAGCTGAACCAGCTCCCGTTCCTAGACGCGGTGTGCCGCGAGACGCTCAGAGTGTGAGTCCGTGTTTAGACGTGGATCATCATTACGTTGTTGATGGAATATCGCGTGTAGACATCCTGCGGCGGGGAACAGGTTCCGAGTGTACGTCTTGCACTGCAACCCTCCGCCACATCGAATTGACTAAGCAGATCAATAGGGCTGTCGCTGACACAGTACTTCCACTCTCCGAGCCTGTAACCACTCTAGACGGTGCGGTCCTGTCCAAGATAGCGATCCCGAAAGGGACGGAGGTCCTCGTCGGCGTCATGGGCAGCAACATGAATAGGGCACTCTGGGGGGAGGACGCGCTCGAATGGAAGCCCGAGCGTTGGCTCTCGCCGCTGCCGTCTGCTGTAACGGATGCTCGGATGCCGGGGGTGTATTCTAACCTGTGTGTATTGAGTTCGCGAACATCTTGATACCGTGCTTACGGACTGGTCTTAGGTTGACTTTCATCGGTGGGAAGAGGTCGTGCATGTACGTTCATAGTACTATCACTTGATGTGCCACCGTGTCCGTTGATGCCCTCCCAATAGTGGTTTTAAGTTTGCCGAGATGGAGATGAGTGAGTCTGATACTTTGGCACTTTGCGTAGTACATGTATGACTGATCCACTTGAACAGAGGTCGTGCTCGCGGTAATGCTAACGACCTTCACCTTCGCGTTGACAGACAAACCGATTCTGTGGACCTCCGCCAACATCATGTTTCCGACCGTTGGGAGGAACGCCATCAGATCAGAGTTGCCGCTGAGAGTGGGGTTGTACAAACCGGCTCGACTGTGAGCCCTCGGCGTCCGCACCATGACGAAGTGTTGTAGGAGAGCAATGCATGCAGGAATCGGTTGTACTTATGCCCCATCCTACAGGTGCTTCATGAGCTAGGTTAGAGGAACTAATACAATTGACCTCGTTGTGCTGCCTGGTTTACGATAGTCGACAGTCTTGTTAGTAGCATTCGTTGCTCCATAATTCGCACAAGAGCGCACTGAATGACTGAGCACTCATGCATAAGGACACTGATCGTCCCGAGTGTGTATCCTGGGTCAATATACTTGGACAAACTCACAGACAGTCCAAATCAATGGTCGACATCATCACATTCGATCAACTTCTTGCTGAACAAAGACTACAAGGATGACGACCAGTCTTCATCGACCACTCAACAGCAGGAACAGACTCCATCTACAACTGCTCAGTCGAATGCATCAACTTCCATCCGCACCCAAAGGTCCTCGTCGAAGCTACGCCTGGAGTCAAGAGGTGAGCGCGTTCTGAATCGGGGACCTCATCCTCCTTGACAAGGGGGTACCGGGTGGGAAGTGTACAGGGTCGCACTGTCAGCCTCACTGAGCGTGAAGGGCCCAAAGTCTGGCTTTCCTGGAGGTGCTGATCGGCGGAGGCGGCGGCGTGTAGTATGGGTTGTCATACCGGGGACTGGGCTGGGACGTCGACGGGTCGCGCGCCCAGAGGTCCCCCTCGTCCTCGCGCGCGAGCAGCGCGTCGACGAGCTCGTCGAGGCTACGCCTGGTGCGGCGGCCACCGTGGCTAGGTGGGGGCGGGGGCGGGGGACCGGTGGGCATGGGCTTCGGCGGAGGTACAGGCCTGGGGTAGCCGGGGCGGGGCCGGGGCGGGTCGCGGGCGTAGATCTCGGACGAGTCTGAGTCGACGGTGCGCCTGGAAAATCTGTGGGGGGCGATCAGCGTGCTGGTTTAGAGGGGTAAGGGGACGATGCCATTGCTTACGCGTCCGTGGGCAGCGCCAGTGCCGGGGCGGCGGCGAACAAGACTGCGAGGATGGTGGAGAAGCGCATCGCGGGATGCTGGGTTTGTCGTCGAAGAGCGTGAGGTGCAAGGAATGTGGGTCGTCAAAAAGCAGGGCTGGAGAGGTCAGGTCCGTCATCAGTATGCATGAATGCCGCATCGCTGGGGAGCTACTCACTAGCCAGTACCACTGTTTGAGGGTGAGCTCGAGAAGGAGAAGTGAGCTGGAGAAGACAGACGGAAGGGCCCTCCTTATATATCGTGGCTTCCCGTCACTCGACTGCCTACATCAGATAGACCGTTACGTACGACGGGTGCATCGCTGTCGGACGGTGCAAAACGCCCGGGGAGAGTGTGGCGATGCTATGGAGGACTGTATCACGGGGACCGAACTTCACCGACAGCCAGCTCATCGTGGATGAACAGCGCCCGCCGCGGTTACGTGAAGTGAGCGGGGGCGAGGTCGTTCCGAGGGTGCTTGGTCAAGTCCTGTGGCATATGGTGACCAGAAACGCGACACGGGCCGTAACGTCTGTCTGCAGCTATCGGGCATCAGTGAACTAGAGAGTATATGCGGGGAAAGTGTGAAAACAATGTCAGAGCCATCCAATGGAGCGACTGGTCACTGGTTGTTCAGGACACTTTTAGTGACGGCCTAGTACTTAGAGGGGAACTGGCGTACCTGCTCTCATTTCGTGTACATCAAGGACATGTTGTAGCTCCGTGGTTCGTCGCGTACGCTGAGACGGCGCTATGTAGGACCGTGACAATCCCGCCCTGTGCGTCTCTTCCATCTCGATGCATGTACGTACTATTCACGCTGCAGTGTACGCGGAGAATGAATGAATTCGGCAGCGAGTACAGTGTCGGACAGACCGGTCACGGGACCCACGCGTCACACGAGCAAGGACGCGTCCAAGCCGCGTGATCGCGTCGCTCCCTGTGCAGGACACGGCGACGTCATGGATCGCGCAAGGGATCCACCCTCGACGCGTCCCCCAGCGCCCCCAAAGACCCCGCCTGCTCTCCAGCCTCCCTCTTCCACCCACCACATCCACCAGCCATGGCCGAACAGGATCGTACGTACCGTCTCCCTCCCGCTGTCTCTCCTCTGACCGCCCTCGCGTCTAGGCTACAACGCCCACTTCACCATCCAGCGCGACAGCCCGCTCAGCGTCGCAACCAGCGTCGCAACCACCGTCGGCATCTTCAAGTCCACCATCCTCCCCTCCTTCGGCTTCCACACCGGCCTCTCCCTCGTCGCGTACGGTGTCTCCCGCTACGCCGACCGCGCTGACGGCAAGGACTGGCTCTGGCCCGCCAGCCCCGTCGCCAACGCCTGGTGGAGCGCCCTCGGCACGCGCGTCGTCTACGACGGGCTCTCGCTCCCCGCCGCCTGGGCCCAGCTCACCTACTCCGAGAAGCTCCTCCTCGCCGGCGTGACCACCTGGGGCCTCCGCCTCTTCTACCGCATCGCGTCGCGCTCGCTCCGCCGCGGCGCCGACGACCCGCGCTACGCCGCGGACAAGCGCGACCCCGCCTTCTGGAGCAGGGCCTTCCTCGCCCAGTTCCTCCCCGAGGCCGCGGTCCAGACGCTCATCACCCTCCCGTTCACCCTCCCGTTCCGCGCGGGCCTCGCCCGCGCGCCGCTCCCGACGTACGCGAAGCTCGCGCACGCCGCCGCCGTCTTCCTCTTCTCGTCCGGGTACGCGCTCGAGGTGCTCGCGGACGCGCAGCTCGAGACCCACAAGCGGCGCACGGGCGACATGGTCCTCAACCGCGACGGCGTGTGGAGCATCGTCCGGCACCCCAAGTACGTTTTCGTCCCCTTGTATGCTACGTGTCGTAGCCCGCTCACGCTGACTTGACCGCGCCCCACAGCTACCTCGGCGACGCGCTCGTGCACTTGTCCTTCCCCGTGCTCCTGTGGAGCGCAGGCCTGCTGCACCCGCTCGCGCTCCTCGGCCCGCTCGCGAACTACGGCTTCCTGCGCGTGCTCGGCGGCGACCGCGACACGGAGCGCTTCCAGGAGGAGACGTACAAGGCCGACCCGATCAAGCACGAGCAGTTCTCCCAGTACCGCCGCGAGAAGAACAGCTTCTGGCCGAGCGTCACGGAGCTCGTCAACCGCTGGACGTGGGCCGTCGTCGCGATCGGCGCGGGCGGCGTTGTGCTCGAGAGGGGCATGCGGAGGTTGTTGTGATAGCGTGGTGAGTGGGGTGACGGATATGGACAAACAAGCAGAGTGTACGGATTTGGACAAGCAAGCAGAATGTGCGGATACTGTATCGATGTATTAGAAACCAATGTGGTCCATCAATGAGTGGTGCGACGCGTTCGCAGGCGGCGAGAAATCTGAGTTGTACCATGCCGTAGTTGACACGGTGTTTGAGTGCACAGTCTGAAATGAGTTAGAGCCTAAGGATCCATGCGCGTCTCGATATCCAGTGCCATACTACTTGCGAGGATCGCGTACTGCAGGATGAGAGTCAGTTGGCTCCACAATATGCATATGGGGAAGTGTAGGATGTACAAGCATACAGCTGATCGGATGGAAATGGCGGCGAGAGGTTGGGAATGTAATAGTAGCCGCCCGAGTGGTCACTCAAGATGAACCTATTCCACCTATTGGATAATGTTGCAATGGGCATGTGGTGTAGTTGGTTATCACGCTCGCTTAGCACGCTGTTGGCTTGCGAGAGGGGTCCGGTTCAATCCCGGACATGTCCATAATTCATCAGCATGACTTTTTTCTGCCTTGGCTTTTAGACCTTCCTTGGGCCATTTCCTGACTCGCTGCCTCTCGTTGGGTTGCGATCTGGTCGTTCTTCGACTTTGCAGATTATTTTGTTTCATTGTTCTGGATCGCCCACTGGCACTCCTGGGGGACGCTCTTGACAGACTCTTGTCTAGTCCGCATTGACGCGCCCACGGGCCGCGGGCCGCGGGCCGCTAGTCGATCACTCCGAGTTTGGTACTTGCAAGTTGCTGGTAGCGTCAACGTTTTCTTCTGCACCTCAACGTCGCCCTCCACCGCGCCCACGAACTCGAATCCGACGGTTAGCAACGTAGCACGACCAAAATGGACTCGGATGAATTCATAGGGGACGTCTCCGCGCTGTACAACGACGCCGTCGACCTGCAAGATGCCGGCGAGATCTACTATTACGGTCCGCTGGTCCTCACAGTTGCACCCAAGGTGCGTATTGTTCGGGCGCCGTTACGTAGATACCGTATGATGGATATCTGGGGACGCTCTAGGATGTGCTTCGATGCGATGGTGTTGACTGCGTTCATGATGATTAATTTCGCTGGATATTCTATGCAATCCAACCTACGATCCTAGCTCGCAAATCATCAGTGCCTTTGGTGGTAAAACTTCCGTTCATGCACTCGACGGCCAGATCATTGACTTCAGATACGTCAAGATCCCTCCCTCAGAGGGGCGCTCGGTATGGGCTCCAAACGTTCCCTCGGCGTCTGCCTTCGCCACGGGAGGCAGCTTTCTCGCCTTCTCAATCCGAGCCTCGGTAATGAAGTAGCCTGTGGGCAACCCAGTTTTTTCGACGACATTCGTGTACGTCTTCAATGCGCCGACCTTTTCCTCTTCGTCTAGCATCATCGAGACGACTGCCTTGCCGCACAGTGTGCCATTCGGCATGCCGTGCCCTTTCAACAGGTGTTATCAGCATCAAATTCAAAGCACGACACGTTCCGGCACACTGACCTGTGAAACCAGCAGCGAGCCACACGCCCTTCGTGTCTGGTACCTCGCCGATCCAGGGCATGTTATCCCTCGAGTAGCCCATGATCCCCGTCCACTGATGTGTCGCCTCCAGCTCCTCCAAGCCCTCCATCTCCCCTCCAAGCTCCATCCTCCGGAGGAGCGTACTACGGAGCCGCGCCGCCATGCCCTCATCCACGACGCTATCGTCCCACACGCCCACGCGAGGGAAGTCTGCGCCCGCATCGCCGCCGCCATACATGTAGTGGCCTGCGGGGTTCGGCACGCCCTCATACGGGCGCTGGTTGAGGTAGTCTGAGAGGTGGCCGGACTGGCCCGGCTGGCCCTCGAGGCCGTACGAGTTGGCTAGGCGGGGCGCCCCCGCGGGCGGGCGCAGCGAGGACATCTCGCCGCGGACGGGGACGATGAGGTCCGCAAAGGCGGGGAGGAGGTGCGACGTATAGCCGTTCGTGCAGAGGAGGACGGTGCGCGTGCGGATCGCGCCGCGCGGGGTGTGCAAGACGTGTGGGCGTGTGCCGTCGCCCGGCTCGAGGCGCTCGACGGGCGTGTTGGTTTGCAGGTTCAGCTGCCCGGCTTTGACAAGCTTCTCGAGCACGAAGGCGACGAGCTTGTATGGCCAGAGGCTCGCCGCGGCGGGACACAGTGTGCACCCGACCGCCGTGCTGACGCGGTATTTGGCGAGCTCGGCCTTGTCGGTGACGACCTCGATGAGCTTTCCCATCTCGGGGTCGGCCGCCTTCAGCGCGGCGACCTTGTTCAGCTCGTCTTTGAACATGGCCTCGGAGAAGAACGCGCGGCAGGCTGTCAGGCTGCGCCACTCGCACGGAACCTCGTTCTGCGCTACGTACTCCTTGACCGTGTTGTAGTTCAGCAGCTCGAACTGGGCGACCTCCGCGCCGCGGGCGACAGGGAGGACCTGGCAATGACCTGTGGCGCACAGCTTAGCGTCTCACGCACCTAGAGACGGATGTCATGTACCTCCGTTTCGTCCCGTTGCTCCCCAGCACGCCTCTCTCGCCTCGAGCATCACGATGTTCTTGCCATTGAACCGTGGGTCCTCAGCGAGGAAACGTGCGGCAGACGATCCTGTGATGCCGCTACCAACGATCACCACGTCAGCGTCCGAGGGCAATTCGGGCGTGGTATGGTGGCCCAGCAGGAACTCGTTCGGCTCGCTATGCCAGAACGAATGGGTCGAGTTGGGTACTGGGAGCCCGGATTTCAACTGATCAGGTGCTACAGATGTCATGATGGTGCCCATCAAGGAGTAGCTGTCCAGATACGCTTAAGCTGGGTTCGGTGGATGAGAGTATGAACTCGGAGCCCACCTGCAGATGTAACCGGGACTGGGTGATGTAGCCTGCAGATGCGTGAGACCGGGAGGCTATAGTACAGGCCCTTGTATTCCGCACCTACTTGGCAACATTTGTATCACGGAACGGTTGTGCGCTGCAATTAGTGTACGCAGCGCGATAAGGTGGGACAACTGGTGGGACACGTGTGGAGGAGTTAGTATGAGCTTCGAGCTGACGTGGTTCCGCCGGCATATCATTCGGAATTGCGCAGGCTTAACTGAACCACCTGCCAGTGCGTGACCAGAACAAGCCCACTGCGCTTGACGATGAGCCATTCACAATACATACCATGATATTCAATACTCTCTGGTCGCATGGTTTTATGTTGTTAACGTTCCCGGGCCGCGCTCACGGCCGTGGCCCGTACGCGTAAGGGTTGGCATCGGTCACGGGACTCGCGCGTCTTCGCTGCGCGATCGCATCGTGTACGTCGTGCACTTCTCCCTCCCTGTGTTGCTGTACTTACTGTGTACACTGCATGCCTGCTGCACCCGCTCGCGCTCTTGGACCCGCTCGACGAGCTGCATCTTCCTGCGCGTCCTCAGCGGCGAGCGCGTCACGGAGCAATCTCATGAGCCTATTTAGACCTCGGGCCCGCCTCCCTTGGGCCAATTCTTGAATCCTGACTCGCTGCCTCTCGTTGGGTTGCGATCCGGTCGTTCTTCCGTTCGGACTTTGCAGGTCATCTTGTTTCATTGTTCTGCTCTGCCAGATCGCCCACTTGCGGATCCGGAACGCACGGGCCGCGGGCCGCTAGTCGATTACTCCGAGTCTGGTGGTAGCGTCGACGGTTTCTTGATCTTCTGCACCTCGACGTCGCCCCTCCGCCCACGACTCCAACGAATAGCACACCCGACCAACATGGACTCGGATGAATTCATAGGGGACGTCTCCGCGCTGTACAACGACACCGTCGACCTGCAAGATGACGGCGAGATCCACTACGGCCCGCTGGTCCTCACAGTCGCGCCCAAGGTGCGTGTTGTTCGGGAACCCTTACGTAGATACATGATGGATATCTGGGGACGCTCTAGGATGTGCTTCGCTGCGATGGTGTTGACTGGGTTGTGTAGGCAGGGAAGGTGCGTGATGAGGACGCGGCACTGGCTGATCACGATTCACGATTCACGCCCGCGCCGCACAGGCGAACACGCTATTAGCGGACCACCTCTTCTCGCCCTCGCTCCTCCTCGCAGAGCGCATCGAGCGCGGGCTCATCCCGCTCGAAGCGCAGACCGGTACGTACGCCCCCTCCCGCGCACCCCTCAGTAACGCACCGGACGGACAGTCGTCGAGCTGGGCGCAGGGTGCGCGCTGCCATCGCTCCTCGCGTCCACCCTCTCCCGCCCGCCCTCCCTCGTCGTGCCCACAGACTACCCCGACGCTCCGATCCTCGCGAACCTCACGCGGAACCTCGAGCGGAACGCGTCCCGCGTCTCTCGCGGGTGCACCGTGCACAGCCGCGCGCACGAATGGGGCCAGGACCCCCGCCCACTCCTGTACGTCGACCCTCTCGCTCGCCCCACACCGGGGCCCTCGACGCGACTTAATATTTGAATGCGCCCGCGCAGATCCCTCCTGCCCGACGCGCGCGGGCTTCGACGTCGTCATCCTCTCCGACCTCCTCCACTTCGACGCCGCGCACGCCGCGCTCCTCGCCTCGCTCGCCGCGCTCCTCCGCCGCGCGCCCTCCGCGCGCGCCTACGTCGCCGCGGGCAAGTACACGCTGCCCGTGCACTGCGCGCACTTTGTGCGGATCGCCGCGGAGGCGGGGATCGCCCTGGAGGAGGGCACGGACGCGGGCGAGGACGAGGGCGGGGTCGTGTGGCGTGGGACGATGGAGGTGCGCGGGGGCGGGCTGGACCGGGAGCAGTTGGGGGTGAGGAAGGGGATGTGTCGCTGGTGGACGGGGCGGTGGGCGGATCTGAGCGGTGAGCGAGGGGAAGACGGTGGCGCCTAGGTTCTGCGTTGTCGTGATTGTACAGTCGCAGTAAGTAATGTTCTTTCCCTGCGGCGTCCTCATCAGTGCAGTGCTGAATTGTCAAGGATGGTTCCCCCAAGGGCCAGGGACCACTTAGTTATCGCTGGAGTGAATTGTTGCTGCAGGAAGAGACGGTCTTGCGTTCGCTGTATTGACCTGCGCTTCTGAACTAATGCCGAGCTGCATAACCTGTCCACTGGTGTTTGTGAATACGTTTGTCACTGATTGCTGACAGGGTCTGTACAGGCTGCAACGACGGCGCAGATTCGCTCGCCAGGGTGCTGTTTCGGGGCACCTCGGGGAGAAGCCTCGAGTCCACAGGGGCCAGAGAGATCACTGTCGCGGTATGCGTCGGCTCACGTGCGTTGCGCTACATGCATGCAAGAGTATGTTCTCTACGCCTTGTGCGCGAACGGCGGCGGTGGCAGCGGGTGCGCCTGTCACGGTCCAATTCCGGCAAGCGACACGTCTATGTACGAGATGACGTCACGCATTCAGTTGCGCGTTCTGACGGATGGTTCTCCGGTTCAGAACCACAGCGCGAAGCCCATGTCGCGCGGGGGCAGCCGCGGGGCCTCTCCGGGCGACCGGTGCGCGTCCTTCTGCTCGGCGTGCGGACCCAGATCTAGAGTTGACGGGATCGCTTGTAGGTACGCTCGGCACGTGTATACGTACGCCGCCCCCAGCGGTATGTACGATGCCGGGCCAGACGGCTTCTGTGCCCCCGCTGTACCGAGTACTGACTCCTGTCGTTCTGCGGCCGCTATCGCGGGCCAGCCACCGACGGGCGAACGCGACTGCGATGACGTCGAGGTTACGTCCGTCGACATTCTTGCTATCGACGCATCGTATCGCTGGCAAGACCCTTCCGGATATCTTGTGTGTCAGAGACAGCCGTCCTCCGAGCCTACCTGCAGCATATATGCGTCCGTCATGGACTGTATCAGGCCAGTGGGTGCTGCTAGGAACCGTGACGCACGATAACGATCGTACCGCTCCTCCTCATACAGGCACCGGACACCCAGAACCAGTCGCCAAGACGCTGTGCTGATACTCACCGGCATCCTCGATCGTCGTGCCACAATGGGCAGCGTGCCAGCGAGTCCGTGACGGCTCCGACTGTTGTTGTCAGGCGCCCCACGTCAGCGAAGCTCTCTGTCCAATTCCCTCGGGCTTGCAGCTGGCGAGCAGGGCATGGAATGCGAAGGTGCGCATGCTACAGCACAGCTGGTGATGGATGCTGAGATCGAGACTCGGTGCAGACGTTCCCCGCGTTCTCAGCTGCTGTCTTCAGAGGATTTTCCGAGTCGCGTTCTAGCTACCTGTCTATATGTGGCGCGGTGTTCTTCCGCGAGTACTAACATAAGAACAACATATGCCGGAAGATACTCTGCTCTAGACGGCGGCAACTCTTCGGAGCCCAGCAACACGGTGACGCAGCGCACGCCCAGCTCACATGACGACACGGGCAGCCCGCCACCACGCACAGACATGGATCTCCGACCGCCTTCTGCGCGAGATCCACGGCGCCCTGCGAGCCTCAGGCTCCTGCGTTCTGCTCGGCTCGCAGGATGGACACCGGGGTGCCACGGCGCGCGCTCCGGCTGGCCGTCCCTGGGCACATGCGCCGTCCCCCTCCTCGAGCTCCCTGCGAGGCATCACTCAAATTCATCAGCCAAGGTTCGACGTCGCCGTGTGGTGGCCGACGTTCTGGAATGCAGATGCAGCCCGATTTGGGAGTGGGCGGCCGGGAGATGGTGGCGAGATTGTGCACGTCGAGGGGCCCACCGCGCGATTCGGGCCAGGGTGTCCTGGGCGGCAGACCATCGTCATTGGACATGCACGTTCGACCCTGGTCACGCTTGTCTCGCGCAGGCACCGCTGCGCAGAACGCGCCGGGTCAGTACGGCCAGAACGACTGGTCCTCGAATCGTGACCGTGGCGCGTGGTGGAACGTGAGAGGCTGTGGAAACCCATCCTCGTACTCGAGATCGGTACCCGGCGCGTCGAGCTCTCCTAGGGAACCAATATTGATGTAGGCCTGAGGCGTACTAGTCTTGGCCGAGCAAGCGTCGAGTGTGCTATATGACAGTCCCGCGAACGGTGCAACACACGAATAGCGCACGGGTCGACGAGGTTCCCGCGAAGCCGCGACACTCGACGGATGGTGCGATTTCGAACCGGCGTGCACCCAGGCGCAGTGTCAGCGGCTCTTCTCGAACCCTCCGTGCGAATCCGCGCAGGCGGCCGGGGGGGTGGTGCACTGGCATTTGCAGTGGAGACGGATGGCGGGCGTTCGGTCGCCGATGCCAGAGTCACGGTCCGATTTGCACCTGGGCGGCGAGGCGCGCGGACCGGTTTAATATTATCGAGCTCTGATGAGGTCGCGCACCACGTAGACAGGAACTCATGATCACCGTCGTTGGATCGCAGCCTGACCCGAACACCCCACAAATTTGGTGTGCCACCACTCGTCGCCCCCCTGGGGCCACAGCACCGATCAAAGCATCGTACGGCTGCCATGCGTGTCTCGGGAACAACACAACGCCGCGGGTAAGCTTGATTGGAAAGAGCCGTCCAAAAATGCACGATGGAGGGGGCTTTGGAGCGCAGCGTTTTAGGTGACAATGATAAGTGGGGGCCTAGAGACAGGCCTGTACGTGCTGACGGCGGCTCGCGCCTACCGACTGTACCGCGGTGTCATACTATGGACTCAGCGGTGTGGCTTGCACCCAGGTGCCGACATTGCGACTGCCCTGCCCTGGGGTCCGCGGTAGCGCGCGACGTGAGCGTGTTTACGAGCGGGATCGTCGGACACGCAGCCAGGGCTCTGGCTCGATTGCTGCCTGCCGGCATTGTGTGTACTGCGGCGCGCAGCTGTACATGTTTTCTGTTTTCGCAGACTACGTACGTCACTGGCGTGTCGCCGCCCAGCTGGTGTTGACGTCCTCGAGGGCCGACGTCGCAGGGCCGCCGTCGGGGCTGGGGTGACGGTGACGGGCCCCCGGGGTATTCGAGGTGGCCCTAGCTGGGTAGCCGGCGCATCCGCGGGTGCGGTGCGCTGGGCGCGCCAGCCAGAAAGTCGGCAACGCTCGAGCACCGAGAGGCACCAGGACCCCGGGCAAGGCGCTTAAATGTCCGATCCTGGTGTGGCCATGAACCGCCCGAAAAGGCGACCCATGTACGATCCGCATGTGGCCATAGACCCGCCCCATCTCGCGCGACGTCCGATCCCTATGTGGCCATGAAGGCTGTCATGAACGCATGTCCTATCGGCATGTGGCCATGGCCAGCCTTGTGGTCGCTAGCAGATCTCGGCGGCGAAGTTGGCACCACTACGCGCGGCCTATGGCTACCGCTGAACTCGTCAATCCTAGTTCTCATTTGGGCGAGGTTGAAGACGATTACGTACCCTTTGAAGCGATTTGATGAACGACGCATGCCACCGGTCGTCGGGTTGCATCAACTTTGGACCGACGACCTCCCCTAGAGGATAGATGGGCAGTGGAGAGAAGGTAAGTGCTCGTTCGCATTCGTACTGGTGCACTGATCATGGTACTAGTGGATCCTGGCAAGTCAAAACGGCCATGCGGGTGCTAGGGACGGAAAGCTGTTGGTGCACTGAGGACTTCCAACCCGTTACTCCCAGTGGCTAGCGGTCGCCGGCCGCGTATGTTTTCATGTTGTCAGTTGATCGCTGTACAACGTCGTCTCATGCATTTGTTTCCCCAGGGTGCAACCTATATGCTGAAGTCTCAAAGGCTTTTACTCTGACTTGGCCAATGAAGACGAAGCTGTGAAGCTATTACCGGTCATTGACGGTGTCCCGCAATCTGTTCACGAGCCCAGTGACACGGAATCTGAGTGCAGATGCAGCCCAGCAGATACTCCTTGGCCAAGGTGTGTGTAGTATAACTTGCTATCGTCCTCCAGGGGCCGCGCTAGCCAGCTTACTCACTTCCGTGTACAGTCATGACGTTTTATGCCAAGGGAGATGGTCGTAGAGCCAAACATGACTGGGTACCATCGGCGCACAGCATTGTCTTCGCCCTCTTCCACAGATCAATCTACACTCCAGTCGCATAGCCTCGCATGAATGCGACGACGTTCTTGCGCATCCCGCGGACCCATGTCATTATGTCACTTGGCTCGTTTGCTGCTGAGATCAAGTCCCAGGAAATGTGCTTTGCTGACAGCTCGCCAGTGCAGATAATTGTCCTTGGTGAACGCGTGTCCCTTCTCATGACTACTCTCAGGGACCGGGAAAGGGACATCTGTATCGCAGTCAAGACACTCGGCCAGCTTCCCCGCCCATGACGGAAGCCAAAGGTGTTGGTATCTACAGTCGAATCAACCATATCCGACAAGAGGAGCAGTGACGCGAGCGACGACTCCGACGATGATGAGAGCGATAGGTAGTAGCTTTTCCCGTAGTGTCCTACGCTCCTGTGTGTCGTCTAGCACACGTACCGACTTTTTGGCGATTTTTCCGGATTTTCTGCGATTTTATAGAGGTCCGATCCATTATGTGGCCATAACGCACCCCTCAAGCGTAGGTCCGATCCTGGTGTGGCCATGACCCAGGCCAAAGCTATGTGGCCATAAAGGGCCAGAATCTGGGGATTTCGGATCGGACATCTAAGCGCCTTGCCCGGGGTCCTGAGGCACCATGCACGACCCTCGCGTCGACGTGCGGGCGGGCAGTGTTCCGCCTGCACGCGAGAGGGACTTCGCGGAGGGCGGCACGTAGAGGCGCAGACGAGGGGTCCGAGGGGCCCGGCGTAGATGGGAACCGGGTTGCGCTGCCCAGATGCGCTGGTCGTCGACGCGGGGGCCTCGCGGCGCCTGACCGGGGGCGGCGGATTACGTCCCTCCGTCGGTGGATGGACGTCGCACGTCGAACGTCGAACGTCGAACTCTAACTCTGAGCTTGCGAACACGGCCGCGAAGCTACAAGGACGGAGCACTCCGATGCCAGGACCGTGGGCCGTGCGCACCAGCTGTACCTGGCCCGGGAGAGCACCAGCTGTATCGGAAGACTATCGATAGCTTCGACGGAGGATAGCCAGGTCGGAGTCAGGTTGTGGCGCACGTCACCCCGCCGGGTCCTCTACGTGTGCAAACGCTCGCGCGCACGGATCTGGAAGGTCCGTGCGCTGCACGAGCACGCGCCGATATGCAGCATCATGCGGCGAGTTTCGCAGGCCGACGTGCGTCCTGCGAGAATCCGTACGTCGCCTTGCGAGCCCCGCACGCTATCCGCCACCAAAGCAGATTCGATTTTCGGTTCGCCGCCTGAGACGCGGGTGTGATCCATGGCCAGCGTCGCGCCTCGTTCCCGCCGTCTGTGCCGGCGCACGGAGCTGCCAGTGAGGTGGTCCGCGGCCCACATTGATACGTCTGCGAGGGCAGACGACGGGAAGCACAGAGGAGATGATTGTTAGATTGGACGTTCGCGATCGCAAGGGCCTGATGGACAGTGGCCGGCCACCTCGAGCCTATTCGCTGCACTGACTCATGTGAGGGCAGTCAGCGAGAGGGCCCGCGGGGTCTGCCGGGAGACGACGTCCTGGCCCGGTGTGACGCGTGACCACTGGGTTCTACGATGGATCATGGATGGAGGTCAGTTAGGCTCCGGGTCGCATTCAGCACGCTGATGGACGTGACTCACCGGCGATGACAGGCATACAGCCCCCGTGCGTACCTTCACCGGGCTGCCCGGTATACAGACACTGAGTTTGCTGCCAACAGCGTTCCTTGTTCAACTGCGTAGCGCCCGCGCGTGACATGTGGCGGACGAGCGCTTCCGCCCCCCTCAGAAAGCCTCCGACGTAGAACATTGAACAAAGTCAAACGCAGCGCGCGAGCGGATGGCAGCCCCGTCTGCCACAGAGTCCGACTCGCAGGGATATCACGGCCGTGTCGAAACGTCGGCGACCCGAGCCTGCGGTACGCGCGAGCGACACCCTATCGCTATCGTGCCATCGCACTTGCATAGCAGCCCGTCAGATGCGTGGCGCCCCCAGTCGCGACCGTGACGCACGCGCGCGCCGCCCGAAGAAGCAACGCGCGCGACGGAACGGGACTGACAGTGAGTTGCCGGAGAACAGGGCGCACCTGACCGCCGTCGCGTCGCACATCGCGTGGCGTCGACACAATATGCCTCGCCGGCTCAGCCACACTGCAAGTTCTGGGAACCGCGTGAGGGAGCTGGGGGGCGCGGCGGAAGTCCGGTTGCCCTGCGCGCGGTGTGGTGCGGGGCACGCGCGCGACGATCGGTGCGGCGAAGCCTGCGCACGTTGGACGGGTGACTTGTATGCCGGGCGGATTTCGATATGGACCTCGTTGGCTGGGCGATGTCCAACAGCCCGTCACGAACTTCAAGTTGGAGGCAGTGGACGCACCGGGGCGCTGTCTCGAGTGCCCTGCGTTTTTCGTCGGGGCGGATGATGATCAGTTGCAATCGATACGCTGTGGCACAGCCTGCGCCCAGCCATATCGATGTTCCACCGCACGTCGCTGTGTGTTGTCGGCCACAATGTCTGCGGCCGTCAACAGGACACCTCGCTGCGACTCCAGAACTGCAGCAACAACTCGGATGCGACGGCCCACCCTCCTCCTTAGCCCCCATGCACTGGCAGCACGGCGAAACTAAGACCCAGAGGCCGCATTGATGCCCGACTGCCAAAAAGCATTCGCGAACAACCCGAGCTACGCCGTGCAAATGGAGATCGTGGGGCCGAAGCCCGCCACTGCCGACCAGGCTGCGTCCCTGCCGCATCAACAGATAATATCGCGCGACTCGGAGGCGCGTGTGGATCGATACCAACGACGAATACACGCTGTAGATCATACGTGGTAGGCCCTGATCCAGCAGGATTCCATTTTCGCCCGACCGCCGCCTATCTGCGCGAAGAACGAGGGGTCAGTGGAGAATCACTCTCACTGTCGAAAGACTGGGAAGGCGTATTTGACCACGGTCATGGAGGCTCTGCGCATCCATAGAGCATTAATTCCACCGTGTCCCGGCGGCTTCGCGTTGGCAGTACCTTATCTGCGCGCACAGACGGTGTTCTGGAACCTCTGATACCGTGCAGATTGGAGTCTGTGGGGGATCTGAGCAGGTCCCACGGAGAAGGTAGAACTTGTCTTCTCTACCCGTCCGCTGGAAGAGATTGAACCGTCACGATGGTCATCAGGTCGGCCGAAAAAGCACGCACAGAGTCCAGTGTCGCGGCAGACGGTCGGACCTCCCCTGCGCGCGACTCCGCGGCCGGAAGTGTGTCTGCAGGATCTGCTCTCCGCGCCAGTTTCATCCACGTCGACAGACACCACGCACCGGCGGATTCCCACCTCCCCGCAATCAAGGTGCTTCTCGCACTCCGATGGGCCCGCCGAACGTTAGCCGTGCAGCGTTGGACCTGAAGGACGTCAGCTCCGAGGATCCTCGACGGATGCACGACTTCGGGCCGTCGTGCGATGGAGATACGTCCGTCAGGCGTAGTGCGACGCCGACGCGCTCACCATGGGCCAGGCTCGCATTTCGCGTCCAGCTATGGGTCATCAGGCCCACGGTAGGCGGGCCAGGTCGAGTCCGCCTACCGCCCGCCTGTTAGCTCCCAGTGCACGAGCGCGCCGCCAGCGTCCCAAGACAGGTCCGTGCTCTGCGCAGGTGCGCATGCGGCTTGCGCCCGCGCCGGAGACAGTGTCGCGCGACGTGCATGCCGGGCGCAGTACAGGCCACAGACGGCGCGCGCATACAACCATAGGCTGCTCAATCATATCTGTCCCCCTCCCGGCCTGGCGCCGTCTCCGCGCGGTCGGCCCACGCGGGAAGGTACGAGCGCGCCAGCCCCAGGCCCGGGTCCCAGCCCCGACTTGCAGGTGCGTGCTCGCAAAGCGGCGTGCGTGCGGACTCGGATGTGTGCGCGCCTCGTAAACCCCCCGCGGCGACGCTTCTCGCGGCGAACGCAGCGCGGCGCCAATCCGCGAGGATCGCGCGCGGGGCCTGTTGCAGCGATGCGAGTGCACCCGTCGGAGAGGGCGCTGCGGGGGCGGGCGATTGGCGATCATAGTTAGGCGTGAGCTCAGGGTCTGCGGGCTGGTGATAGCGGGTGTACGTGTTCGTGCGTACGTACATGCGAGAATTCGAGCAGCGGCTGGTTCGCTGGTTCGCCGGCCGCACTGTGCCCAGGGATGTCGGGCGCGCTGTAGCCGACCCACTGCGCTCTCCGCCACAGAGGGCCGAGCGCAGCGGAGCCTCTCTCGTGCGGTCGGCATACGGCGGCAGGAGCGCCATGTGGTATGCGCTCATGCGAGGTCAGGCCATACCGCGGCCGGCGAGCGCACTGGGCGACGGACTGGCGGTCTTCCCTCTTCCCTGCGCCCAGTCAGTGGGCGTCGCGCGGTCGACTTGGGTGCGGTTGTGGTCCACGCCTCCCGCGACGCACGATCGCCAGACGGGGTCCGGTTCCCTGGCTATGTGGGTGTGGGCGCGGGCCACCAGCCTCTGGGTGCACGACGCATGCATGCACGACGCGCGTGGCGGGCGGGCGCACGTGCGCGTGGGCCGCCTCGGCATCGCAGGACATGGAAGGGGCGCAGGGACACCAGCACCCGACCTCGCGCGCGCGCGACAGGGAAGCCAGGCGGGAGGGGCGGATCGCGCGCCAGCCGAGGCCGGGCGCACGCCACGCCGCGCCGGACGTCCATCTTCTGGTTGGAAGCTAACAGTAACAGCCTGCGACAGCGCTTCGCGGCGGGATTCGCAGGCCTCCTGGCTGGACTGAATAGACTCATCTGATATGAACGTTAGCGTTTGGACATTGCGTGCGGGCAGCGATCTGCGGTGGCGCGTGGCTTTTCGTCGCGAATGGCGATCGTGCGGCGAGCTCGAGGCGCTGTGGTCGAGTGGTCAGTGTCGCCTGCGAGCACGAGAGAGAACGACGGGGTGCGCAGGGGATGGAGACATAGGAGGATGGGGACGAACGGATGGGGATGAGATGGAGATGAAGTGCAACGTCGTGTTTCACGCCCGTACACGATCGATCTCGTCGCACTCGGTACGAGATAGACGCCGCACCACTGCGTGTGTTTAGGATCATCCCGCACTCGTACGTGCCGTGCCTGACACGCAGGTGATCAAACTGGGCGAGACACGGATGATGGGCTGACCGTCAAACCCTCAGCCGCATTACGCACACTGCTGGGCACGGCGGGGGAGAGAGGGGGGAGGCGAGGGCGCGCGCGAGCAATTGCGGCTCGCGCGAGGAAGGGCAACACGGTTGGCTCGCGCATCCCGCCGGGACGGAAGCTTTCGGTGCAGGTCGCGAGCCTGCGGCGGACGAGACGCGCAGGGAGGGTCCACGCCCAGGCCGCAGCGCAGGGCTGTATGCGTGCAGCGCGACGGGGGCTGGGCCCTCGCAGCCCGATGACTTCACCCCACCGCTGCGCGCGCGTTGCCACTGTGTGCACCGACAGGACGCAGACGGGTGCGCACCAGGAACGCTGCCCTTCGATCGGCCGCACCGTGCAGGACGTAACGAACAGCCTCGGCCGACCTTCTGCCAGCACGTGGCGAGGCTCGGAGCCAGCGACGATGCGGCGCGCGGAAGACCAGCGGGCGCGATCTCAGTCTGGCGTTTACGTGTAAGTGCAAGGTTTGCAGAGCCGGCGATGGGCCCGGAGATCGCTGGCGCCGCCCGAGATTCCGTCAGGGCGGGAAGATCAGGAAGGCGAGGAGGCTCGTTCTGTGGCTGATGGGTGCGTCGGTTGAGGATGGCGAGCACCGACCGGGCGGCGGTTGGGTGGCGGGACGCGTCGCGGGGTTCCAATGTGCCGGCGGAGTGTGGCGGGCGGTCCGGATAAGGGAATTTGCGACACCGCGCGGCGGCCCCGGCGATCTGGTGGGTGGTGGGTGCACCCACCCGCAGATCGGGATCGCAGCGTCGTAGAACGGGCTTGGGAGGAGTGCAGCAGCACGGCTGGGCGAGGGGCCCGCAGCGGGGATGCGGCGGCACGCCCCGCGCGAAGCCGCAAACGCAGTGGATCGACTCGAGAAGACTGCCTTTTATGGGCAGGAGCAGCAGGCGGCGTGAGGGGTGGGGGTGAGTGACAGATGGGATGGGACTGATGGTCACAACGCCTTCTGAGGTCGTCGCCGCAGATTCGCCCGTGCCTGCCCCGGATATTCGCAGAAATCGCAAGCTCGGGTTGCCCGCCGAAGCGCACGCGTGGATGTGCCCTCGGTGCGCTGCGCCTCCCGCGTCCCTCATATACGCCCGCCACCCTCCCTCAGCCTCCCGCCCCCGGCCCCTGCTGCCAGCAGTGTCTGTCCGCTCCACGCCCGCCACCGTCCCGATCGCCGTCTGTCACCTGCCCCGATGTCCCTCCCCCACTTTGCCCACGACCGCGCCACCGCCATGGCCTACTACAACGACGGCAGCGCGATCTACAGCGGCGTCCAGCACTACTACCCGCCCGGCCCCAGCGTGAGCCCCGTCGAGCACGACGACTACCCCGCCGGTGAGGCGTCCTACATTCCCGAGAGGCCGCACTGGCAGGCCCAGATGTCCCCGTCCTCGTCGTACACCACGTCCGTCCACCCCTCCGACTACTCGTCCTCGTCTTCCCAGTCCATGACTTATCCGTCCGCGTACGCCGCGGCCTCCCAGCGCACCGGCCTGCAAGACCCCTTCGCCGCGTCCCCCTCGTCGTCCGCCCGCACCTACGCCTCCCCCTCCCTCTCCCAGTCCTCCTCCGCCACCACGCCCACCCTCCCCCACCTCCAACGCGTCTCCTGGGCCCCCGGCCAAGCCCCCGCCAGCGCGCTCTACATCGTAGACCCCGATCCCGACGCCGACGCCGAGCCCGCGCGGGCCTACCCGCAGGTCAAGACGGAGGAGGAGGAGCTCGAGACCGGCTTCATCTTCGAGCTCGCGTCGGACACGCCGCCGTCGCTCGCGACGAACCCCCTGCTCGACAGCATGCCCGAGGTGCCCCTCCGCGCGACCCAGGCGAGCAAGGAGATGCGCCGCCTCATGGGCGCGTTCCGCCTCGACCCCTTCGCGATGCACAACGGCGTCAAGAGCGCCGCCAGCCAGAGCGTCCCCGTCGGCATCGAGGTCGGCCCCCTCCGGGAGCCCCCCGTCATGTTCGAGTGGCAGGCCGAGCTCGACTGCCCCCTCGTGCCCCAGAGCCCGCGCTGGTCCCCGGACTCGCAGATGCAGACGTACGACGAGGAGGAGATCAAGTGGACGCCCGCGCCGTCGATGGAGGGCTATGGAGACGTGTATAACAACGGCGACGACATGGACGCGGATGTCGCGTTCCAGCCGGTGATGACCCCCGCGCAGGCCGTCGACTGGGGCGTCGGCTACAGCGAGCAGCAGAGTATGGTCCCGACGTCGTCGGCATACCCCGTGCAGCCGCTCTCAGGCAGTGAGTACCCACTTTCCCAGTCGACCGTATCACAGCCTCTGACGATGATCTATTCAACAGTCTTCAACCGATCCGCACACGCGTCCTCATCGCAGGCGTCGATATCCCGCTCCCTACCTTCCCTACCACAGCCCCAGTCATCCATCTTCTACCGCCAAGCCCAAAACTACTCGCTCGCCTCCCCCTCGCACGCCCTCCCCTCTCCCACCGCCCTCGCCTCCCCCCCGCTCTCCCACTCCAGCTACGCACAACGCAGCGCCCCAGACCTGTACTACCGCCAGCACCACCAGCCCGCCCAGCCCGCCGCCTCGTCCGCCTCCGCCGCGATGCGCGTCTCCGCGCTCATGTCCCCCGCCGCGCCGACCCTCGCGCGCCGCGCGCCGCTCGAGTACCCGCAGACCCATGGCGCGTCGGACCCCGCGGCGCAGTACGCGAGCCCGAGCCCGCCGTCGTTCTCGAGCGGGAGCACCGCGGGCGGCGGTGGCGGGGGCGGGGGCGCGCGCTACCGCGGGGACGACTCGCTGGCCTGGTACCGCCGCTCGGCGCTCGCGCTCGAGGCGTACACCGCGTCGGCGTGCACATGACGCGCGTCTGGGCGGGTGATGTGCGCACGGCTGCGATGCTGCTCGGGGCTGTGGCGGCGACGGGTGGCAGATGCGCGGTGACGGATGGAAGGCCGGTGACGTGCGGGCTTGGTGGGAGACGGGCCTCGATCGGGCGCGCGGCGTGCGTCATCACTGTTCGTCCAGCTCCGGTGTCCACGATGGACGGGAAGTGCCACGTGCGGGGAGGCGCCGCGGTCGTGTCCGTGCTGCTCGGAGACGACGGCGGCGGTCTTTGGTCTTATTTCTTGGATTATAGTATGCTTTCGTCGTGTCGTCGCCCTGGCTCGTCACTCTCCGCTGTCCTATTGCTCTCTCTCGCTCTCCGTATGACCCCGTCTGTGCATCCTCATGTTTTGGTACAACGCGGTGAGCCGGTATACCTGTCTCTCGTTCTGGCTTCGCGTACGGACGATCCTGTTGTTATCATCGCCGTCGCTTGTGAGGTTTATCGCGTAGTCTGCTCGTCTTTACCCATCGATTGCACTGTATCTGTATTACCAACCGCTACCCGTTATGACCTCTAGACAAAAGCCTTCTATACATATCTCATATGAATATCATGCACGCGCGCTGCGACTCGCCTCACCATCGTCGTCATCGTGTGGCAAACTGTCCGTAGCATCGAAACGTGGACGCTGGACGTTCGGAAGCTCTGCTTGGTGCATGGGTCAGGAGACGAACCTCATCCACCTCCTCCGACTCCACAGCACGCCGCAACGGTGCCGACGACGCACTCGGCTATGGCTCGACGCGCGTGATGTGCGTCCACAACTCATATCCAGATCCCCACCATCATCCCGGATCCAGATGCTCCCGCGAAGCCGCGCGAACGATGATGCCACATCCCAGGCTGCGTGTCTCGCGGCGGAGTTCGCTGGGTTCCGCCTCTGAGTTCTGTCGCTCCGCGCCCGGGGCAGTGTTGCACCGTGCGCGGTGGAAGCACGCACCGGACGTTCGCGCAGGGCACACGTGCGGAGCCTCGGAATGCAGAGATCCTGCCCGCCGGGATGTCTGGCAGCGTTCGTCGACTATCGCGAGGATGACCACGGGTGGCGTCGGACCTCGCGGGCTCCGCGCCAAGATTGGACTGGACTGGTGTCCTGTGGTGAATTAAACCGTGCGCGGCAGACCGGCGTGACACACGAGTGGGGAGACCGGGCCATTTCATAGGAATTGGTCGTCCAGGCGCTTGCTGCCGTCTTCTCCAGACGAATAACATAATCTGTCACGGAGACGCGGGAAGTGGGGATAGAAACAGAAGGGGCTCGCAAGATACGTACGGATATGAGTCATCGAACACGACCGTGGCGGCGTGCGATGGAGCGGAAGAGGGCGCGACTGCTGCTCGTACCATAGCCAGAGCCTGTGCGATGAGTCGATCCATTCGACGTTCGAGTTTCGCGTTGGCGTGCCGACATGCAGTGGTAACCCGGCTCGGTAAGTCCTGATAGATGGAGCCTGAGGAGCCGGAGGGGCGCGTCCCGGGCCCTTGGATCGCGAGGAAGATACGGCTGGATAGCACCATTCTCGGTGCGATGGCAGCCTACGTACGCGGGAGACCACAGACAGGCAAGGTTCCTCGCTGCAGGATGCAGTCGGCGCGATGGATTCCACCGCCACGTACATACGTACAGGCACAAGGAAGCAAGAGCCGGGTGTGCAGCACGCCCTGCAGGGCGACCACAAGCTGCCCCGTGACACTCTAGGCAGCTCAGGGCCGCCTCCCTCCTCCATGGTTCGCCCACTCGTTCCAGGAAAAGATCTTCGCGGCGGACACGCCGATGGGAAGAACTATCGCTGTTTAGTTACCGGCGAGGCGACGAGTCGGCACTCCGAAAACGTGATAGAGACACCTGATTTCATTGCTCTGGTGAGACGAACCATCCGCGCCCCATAGCCCGCCTGCATCGTTTCTTGTCGACACCGGGGCCGACATTCTACCACAACCACTGCCACGAGCAAATATCGCTTCAGGCGCGCCTCCAACGCCGAAATGCTCTGCTCGAGTGAGCAACACATGTATTCGGACATGGCGCGTTCGGACGCGCCTGGTCTCGCCGCCCTACGTCGCCGCCCTCAGAGCGGAGGCAAGGACGCGGACGCCACGCGTGCATGTGGGACAGGCGCGTCTGGGTTCGCGACATGTCCGAGCATTTCGGACTCGGGAGCAGTTCACGCGTAGGCGTCTGGCACTGGCAGTGCGCAGCTGAGGGGATGAAAGTACGTACTGTCGCTATCGGGGACAATTATCCGCCCGCCGAATGATAGGCTACCTAGTCGTGGATGGGCCGGCCGGAATATACGCTGTTGAGCGGCCTTGAAATTCGTGCTGCTTGCGGCTCCCTGCGGTGCGGTAGCAGCCTGGAGTGGTAGATCGTTATGCAGCCAGTACGGGGAGCGATCGCGGGAGAAGGTTACTGAACCCTCGAGGCTGATTTCAACCCTGTTCGACTACCCTTGCGACGCAGGGCCTTGCGGTCAGCGAGTAGAAGTGCAAGATACGAGTGGGTAAAGGTGCATGTGAGAGATTAGAAGGAGCTGCGAGGGGTTCCTGGCGAGCGCTTGAAAGAGACGAACATCATACTTACTGGCCGTCCTAGAGCCGCGTTGGAGCAAAGGAACCGATGCGAAGGATCGCCCTGAAAAGTTTAACGGTGACTTTCTGGCGCATGTACATATAACGACAGACGACCGGTCGATACGCGCGTATGCGGTGCGTGTTGGAGGGTTGCCAATGCTTAGCTAAAGCTGAGGCGCAGCTAAATATTGTCGTAAGTACATCCACACGCAAGGGAACAAATCGCTAGATAAGACTTAGCGTGCCTAGCCCTATCGACAATAGGTGATGCCATGCTGCCCACGGTACCAGCTTCGCGGTGATGGGACGGTACCGCTCGGTAGGACGCTTCGCGGTATCAGAGAGTAATGTGGATGACTTGACGAGAGGCATCTCATCCAAGCGCATATCGCCGTAGCTGTCGAAAAGGCTTGCATCGAGCGCCAGGCTTACGCGCATGAGCTAAAGCTAGGACGAACGCAGTCTTCGTCGCCAGGAGGTCGCCACTAGCTGGGATGCCACACCCAGCACTCATTAATGCCGTAGTGGATCGCAAGTGAAGCTGAAGCTGCTGGAAACCGATGGATTGGGTTGCAATTGAACACATGCTCCGTAGCAATGAGGAGCGGAGTTAGTAGTATGCTTTGATTGATCTATGTAGTGAAAGTGAGTGGGAAGACAAGAGATGCAGAGAACTCGAAGACGCGCCGCAGTGGATCGACACGGGTTGCACCTGGCTAAAAACATGCGGCTGTGTGCCACCAGCGTCCGCGTCCACGCCGAAGTTCAGAGCGAGGCTAGCAGAACGACAGTGGACACCGGTTCCTCGGGTCGCTCATATACGCAGCAAACCCTTCCAGCTAGTGCGGACCAGGTTTCTCGACAGAACTGTGTGTTGTGCGCTCGAAGGAACCTAACCGACCCTGAGGTAACAGACGTGCTTCAGGGTCTGAGGCGGCTGTTCCCGTGAACGACGGGATCTTTGCCCAGCATACCTGTTGCGGTAGCTACCATATCACCAACACAAACCGAAGGGTTACATTACTGAAGAGTGTTTGAGACATCCTACCAATGGCATAAAACGCGGTGAGTCCTGTGAGCCTTGCAACTGGACTAGCTCTGAGTACACACTGGGTGTTACGTTGCGACAAGTGGCTACTATGTTCAAGTCAGTACTTTAATACTGTGTGAGCATCGCGTGCGACTTGAGCTGAGGACTGGCGAGCAGCGCGGACGCGGAGGCAGAAACGACGAGGATGGAGGTTGGGAGGCAAGTGATCGTCGGCCCCGCCATTGCCATGTGGCGCGCTCCATTGCACATTCCCTTTTCGGGCCGCGAGCGCCAGCCACGTGCCCGAGGCAGGGCCCGGCCGGCGGTTGTTCACGGCACATGTTTCACAGCCCACGCAACCCACGCGCTCGCTGTCTGACCCTCCTCGCCGACACCCACGACGACCGCCACCCTACTTCCGCCTTGTCACCCTCTGTATCACCTACTCATCTGCTGTACCTCTACTCACTCCTCTGCGTGTACGACAAACGACCCTGGACGCTGTTCATGACCGAGAACCTCTATGGGCGCCGGCGGAGCGTGGACGTCGGTGGGCTCGCCCTTGCCCTCAATGACGGCCAGTCGGGCCATGGCTGGGGAGGCTGGGAGGACGCAGACGACAGTGGTACGAGGTATGGAACGTGTCATCTTCAAAGTCGCGTGTTCCCTCTGTATCAACTGCAACCGCACAGATATGCCGAAGTCCTGATTGACGTCCGCGCACACACGGAGAATATCGTGAACGTGGATCCGACGCAGTCGTGAGTGTCGAAGTTCTCGCTTTCCTTGCTAGGATACGACAATATCGCGAACGGTCGCGCTTGCAGTCCTTCGGTCATTCGTACCGCCCCACTCAGACATCGAGAATCCACGCGACAACCGAATGTGACTAAGGTCAAGCGGTAGGACCTATGATGCATTGCCAGCTGCATACGTTCTTATTCTATGGCTCATCTTTCCATGTTTATTGCGACGCGCATCTTGAGACATTTCGTACCGTGACCGTGTCGTCCGGCCTCCCCAGTCTCAGACTTTTCGCGCGCAGCAAGTAGCAAGTCTGCTGTCGGCTGTGCGCTGCCATAACACGGCTTCATAAGCGGGTTGAATCCGCTAGTGCGCATAGGTACTCTCGTGGCTACTCTGTGCTTTTCATCCTGCGCGGCGTTTGTGTGGCTTTGCTCGTTAGGCACAATTTACTACACGGCGCCTCAGTCTGCCGCACAGACGCACTTGTGCTAAATCTTACCGCTCAATTCGCCTGCGCGTAGACTAGTCTTACTCAGCAGGCAATGTCATGTCTTCGTGTCAACTAATCTGTGCTTAGGCCCCCGTTTATTGAGGCGGAGCCCGTGACACGCGATCGTTTAGTCGAATCTTTGGGGAGCTGGAACTTTGAACCGCACAAGTTGCCGGAAGAGCAGGTGGTCGCGTGCTCATATATCCTCTTCGAGGCATTGTTCCGAATAGAGGGTATGCAGGAAGCAGTGGGAGTCTCTGTAAGTAAGTGATGTTCCTCTGTCCAGCGCCGCAGCACACAGTCTCCCCGCCTTGGTTCTCTTACCCGCGTTGTTCTCAACGCGGAGGGATCCACGCGAACGATCGTCTGAGACAGTTTCGCTGACTCATTACTTCGCAGACTCTCTTGGAGGCTTCCTGCAACATCTACGACATATGTATCGCGAACCGAACTCCTATCACAACTTCCACCACGCATTGGACGTCTTCCAAGCGACATATCACTTCCTATATCGAGCGGGGATGGTGCCACCAGTCTCCATAGTATTACAGCCAGACGTACGGACATGGAGACGAGACCGAGCCAGTACTGACGGCCATCTATTGTCATGTCTAACAGAACAGGATCTGTTGGCACTTCTTATCGCTGCAATAGGCCACGACGCCGGACATCCGGGTCTGAGCAATGCCTTCATGGTCAATACTTTTCCACATGCCTCCGCGGGTGCATACTCACGCCCGCTTCACAGAAAAACGCCAAGACGCCCCTAGCGGTGGTCTATGACGACAAGTCCGTGCTCGAGCAGATGCACTACTCACTCGTGCTGCAAGTCATGCGGCATAACGGCCTCGCACCACTGCTCGACCGGCCTGGGTCGGGGCAGGCGATGCGAAAGCTGTTGCTCGGCACCGTGCTCGCGACGGACATGAGCGTGCACGCGGAGTTCATGGCGAACTTCCAGGAGCTCGTCGCGGGCCACGACGTAGGTGAGCACAAGCGCAGAGTGCTTGTCTGCCAGGCGTTGATCAAGTGCGCGGACATCAGCAACCCCGTGAGTGCTTGCGTGTCCGGTGCGGGGCGTGTGCTGACTGATGGCGGTGTTTGGTAGAGCCGGCCGTACAACGTCTCGAAGCACTGGGCGGCTGCTCTTGAGTCAGAGTGGACGAGCCAGCTGTTGTTGGAGCAGCACTTGCACCTTCCTGCGACGGTGAAGCCGTCTGATCACCCTCTTGGCCAGGCGAAGGGCCAAGTGTTCTTCATCAGTGCATTCGCGAAGCCCCTCTTCGAGCTTGTAGCACAAGGCATCCCAGGTAAGTACAACATGTCCATTCGAATGTTTGTTCGTCGCATCGACATCACTTGTACCACAGAGTTGGCAGAGTTTGCCCAGCAATGCAGAGAAAACCTTGCAATATGGACAGAGCGCTCCGAACAACTCACTATGGGATCCGATGAACAAGCGACGCCGGAGTCCAACGCAATACAGACACAGCGCGTGGATGAGTTCCTCTCTGCATTCCCGCCTACATTACCCGACCGTTTTCGCATACCGGAGGAGCCATTATCGCCACTCCTGTCGAATCCCTCGATTTCGTCGTCACACTCATCTGGCTCCAGCCACTACGAAAGCTGCGAGTCTGGCCCTCCGTCCCCTTCTGCATTGTCACCCGTGCCCACGCCACAGTCTCCATCCTTCCCCCACGCGCGCATTGACATCAGCACGCCCTCCTCGTCCCAACCCATGCACAGCCGCCCGCCGAGCATCACCTCCGTTAGCTCGTACAGCACACAGGCGAACGACGCGACTGCTGCTATCCGCGCAGCGTACAAGGCAAGCGTGCGCAAGAAGAAGAGCTTCCACCGCAGCTCGTGGAACCCCACTGGGAGCGCGAGCACGGGCGCAGGCAGGGGTTACGCGTTCGCGCAGACGTTCGTGTCGCCCGACGGGCCGGGGTCGCTCACCGCGGACAGCTCGCCCCTGAGTACGCACTCATCGAGCCCGCTCACGCCGACGTCGCCCGCGACTATCGCGCCCACGAACCACCGGCCGAGCCCGCTCGGCCCCGCCGCATGTAGCCAAGAGACATAGATGTGCCTGTGCCCTGGACGCTGCGTTGCCCACATGGACTGACTTGAAGGTCTGAAGCACCGAAGCATGGCTGTATCACCTAGTTCTCGCTGTCCGTCTCCGTCTTTTGCTCCTCTCTCCTCTCTCGCTCGGTGTTCGTGTTCGTCGTTTGTGTGGCATTGGCATGTACAAGGAGCCGCTCGTTCTGGTCTTCGTCTTCTCTGTGCGTGATCGGCCCGGCAGGGGTTGTATGTAGGGTGATGTTGACTTGTTGGCAGGAGATCCTCGAGCGCGCCCTTGTTTTGCTGCGCAGTGGGGCTATACCGAAGTAGCTTGTTGTATCTTTAGGCCCGTTCCGTTCCTGTGTGCTCATCTCAATCAATTGTGCTATTCGCCCCCGCTGCAGTTCGATCGATCGATGTCTGTAGGTACATACGACGCCCCGTCCTCTGGCGAGAGAGCTCCTGGAGACACCCGTGTTTGTTGCTCGTTCAACTGGGGCATGCGAGGAGTGCGGGAGTGTGCTCGGAGGCCCCGCTGCAATTCGCCGACCATGCTTCACGGACCTGAGCTGAAGATGGAAGTATGGAATGCCTGGTATATTGTGCGAATGAGATCTGTGCAAGGTCTGTGTGAACACCGCTTTGTTCGTTTCGTGTGTCCTTCGGTAGAAGGACCGATGCCAGACCATCATATAAGTGATACCGTGACCAAGACGGCTGTATGATAGGCTGTTTCATATTTCGAGTGGGTCGGACATTCAAGTTAAATTCTGCACTTGAAGCCATCTGCACTGGCTTCGCAAGCATGAGCCTGAGGATGCGTGTCACCACTGAACGTGAACCATTGGTTATCCACATCCCCGTAATAAACAGTGTGTATAACATCGTAGGCGCAGGCTCATACAACTAACTATCTACAACGCAGATGAAAAACGCATGTAGTTGAACTGCTGACTGCGGCGCCCTAGTAGGTGCATCTCCTTCAAAATATAGATACAGAGTAAGGACATAGTTGAAGTCATCCAACTACACAGTGACGCTCTATTACTGAGCACGCAGCCTTGAAGCTTTATGCCCCGAGTGGACATGTCATCGAACGCCACACATGGATGTGTTTGCGAAGGGCGGCTCACGCCTCCCTATCGTGCTCTGCGACGATGCTTGGTTCCTGTGAATGTCATATGAGATTGCTGTGCGAAGAGATGCGTGAACAGCAATGACACGTCACACTTTGTGCTGACAGAGGTGCCTTGGCATGCTTGAGGTGGTTCATCCATCCTGTGGGCTCTTCTCAGCACCTGCGGACTTGGACTCGTCGTCCACAAACAACGCGAGGCGATCCTTCTCCCGTTTCGGCAGCGCGTCCACGTCTAACGAGACGCTACCAAACAGTTCCTCCTCAAACCTCTTCAGCTGCTCCAGGAAGCCGGAGTTCGGCGACACCTGCGGCCTCGCTCTCACAACCTGTCCGAGCGCGGCCTTGAGCGGCATGTTGTGCGACCTCATCAGGTACGCAACGACGAGCGTCGGCGAGCGCGATATGCCTGCAGAGCAGTGGACGAGGATCTTTCCCTTACCACCGCTCTTTGCCTTCACCGCGATGGCACCGTCAATCAGCTTGCACGCCTCCTCGGTCGCTTTGGAGATAGACGACGTGGGTGAGTCGTTCAGGGAGAGGCGGTGGTAGATTACGCCTTCGACCTTCTGTGCGGGGGTCGAGCCGATGCTGAGGACGTGCGTAATGGTATTGGCGGAGAGGAAGGCCTTGTTGGAGGCAGCTGAGCAGGGTCCGAGGAAGAGAGCGGGTGGGAGGATGAGCGACACGGCTTCTGTCGGCTGAGCAGGCTGCGCTTTCTGCGCTTTCTGTCGCTTCACCATCTGGCCTTGCGCACGGAGTACAGATGCGCCGGAGAGAACAATCTGGTTCGTGTCCTGTATACGCAATGTGTAAGAATGCTTGCAAGTCGACTGTCCACTGGCTGGCCTCTGCCAGTGAGTACTGAGTGATGAGTCAGTGGCTCGAGTTTGGTAGCCTCGTGTTCTCGGTGCTCGCCTCACGCTGGCACTTGACCTCTCTTGTGACTCTGACAGCGCCCTCTTCCGACTTTCATTCGCCTCGAGCTTCCCGTGTAGTACATAAGGTATTCCGTCCTACTCCCATCGGAACTGCGGCTAAATGCTATTACCTCCTCCTCTTCCCAGATTGGATATGTGAATGCTTGGGCCGATCGTCCATCACTACGCGTCGGTACTGCGATCGCGCAGCCGCCGCCACAGCGAGGACGCGTCGTGTGAGAGTCCCGTGACTAATAACGCCGTCATTGCGTAGTCTGCTTCCAGTTCATCTCGTTCTCGCTCGTTCATCCTGTGAGTCGTGAGCGGCGGAGCATCATCAACCGCTGTGGGCTCACTGGTAGTAGATTCTGTACCTACGCAAGCCTGTGCAACTCCGGATAATATACCGGCTTCACTTAGCCTCGTGAGCGCGGAACAACATAAATCAATGTGGGACAGCGCAAAGCTCATATCTTCTCCACACGTGTCCCACAATCGCGCTGCGTACATCAACTGCAATGTACAACCGCTCCGTGGCTCGGTTATTCTGAACCGCGAGCGGGCTGAAGCAAATGCTTTTAGGTGCGGAACACAAGGGCCTGCACTGTAGCCCTCCGGAGTCTCACGCGTCTGTACGCTACATCCCTCAGTCTCGATTACATCTGCAGGTGAGCTCCGAGTCCATACTCTCATCCACCGAACCCATCTTAGCGTATCCGGACAGCTACTCCTTGAGGGACACCATCATGTCATCTGTAGCACATGATCAGCCCTCCGGGCTCCCAGTACACAATTCGACCCATTCGTTCTGGCATAGCGAGCCGAACGAGTTTCTGCTGGGCCACCGTACCACGCCCGAATTGCCCTCGGACGCTGACGTGGTGATCGTTGGTAGCGGCATTACAGGATCGTCCGCCGCACGTTTCCTCGCTGAGGATTCGCGGTACAATGGCAGGAACATCGTGATGCTCGAGGCGAGAGAGGCGTGCTGGGGAGCCACGGGACGAAACGGAGGTACATGGCATCCGTCTCTAGATGCGCGAGACGCTAAGCTGTGCGCCACAGGTCATTGCCAGGTTCTCCCTGTCTCCCGCGGTGCAGAGGTCGCCCGGTTCGAGCTGCTGAACTACAACACGGTAAAGGAGTACGTAGCGCAGAACGAGGTTCCGTGCGAGTGGCGCAGCCTGACAGCCTGCTTCGCGTTCTACTCCGAGGACATATTCAAAGATGAGCTGAAGAAGGTGGCCGCGCTGAAGGTGGCCGACCCCGAGATGGGAAAGCTCATCGAGGTCGTCACAGACAAGGCCGAGCTCGCCAAATACCGCGTCAGCACGGCGGTTGGGTGCGCACTGTGTCCCGCCGCGGCGAGCCTCTGGCCGTACAAGCTCGTCGCCTTCGTCCTCGAGAAGCTTGTCAAAGCCGGGCAGCTGAACCTGCAAACCAACACGCCCGTCGAGCGCCTCGAGCCGGGCGACGGCACACGCCCACATGTCTTGCACACCCCGCGCGGCGCGATCCGCACGCGCACCGTCCTCCTCTGCACGAACGGCTATACGTCGCACCTCCTCCCCGCCTTCGCGGACCTCATCGTCCCCGTCCGCGGCGAGATGTCCTCGCTGCGCCCGCCCGCGGGGGCGCCCCGCCTGGCCAACTCGTACGGCCTCGAGGGCCAGCCGGGCCAGTCCGGCCACCTCTCAGACTACCTCAACCAGCGCCCGTATGAGGGCGTGCCGAACCCCGCAGGCCACTACATGTATGGCGGCGGCGATGCGGGCGCAGACTTCCCTCGCGTGGGCGTGTGGGACGATAGCGTCGTGGATGAGGGCATGGGGGCGCGGCTCCGTAGTACGCTCCTCCGGAGGATGGAGCTTGGAGGGGAGACGGAGGGCTTGGAGGAGCTGGAGGCGACACATCAGTGGACGGGGATCATGGGCTACTCGAGGGATAACATGCCCTGGATCGGCGAGGTACCAGACACGAAGGGCGTGTGGCTCGCTGCTGGTTTCACAGGTCAGTGTGCCGGAACGTGTCATGCTTTGAATTTGGTGCTGATAACACATGTTGAAAGGGCACGGCATGCCGAATGGTACGCTGTGCGGCAAGGCAATCGTCTCGATGATGCTAGATGAAGAGGAACAGGTCGATGCACTGAAGACGTACGCAAACGTCGTTGAGAAAACTGGGTTGCCCCAAGGCTACTTCATCACCGAGGCTCGGATTGAGAAGGCGAGAAAGCTGCCTCCCGTGGCGAAGGCAGACGCCGAGGGAACGTTTGGAGCCCATACCGAGCGCCCCTCTGAGAGAGGAATCTTGACGTATTTGAAGTCAATGATCTGGCCGTCGAGTGCATGAACGGAATTTTTACCACCATAGGCACTGATGATTTGCGAGCTAGGATCGTAGGTTTGATTGCATAGAATACCCAGCGAAATCAATCATCATGTCACTACGAGAGCCTGCCGTTACGACGGCTTGTACAACCTAACCTTCAGCGGCAGCTCCGGTCTGATGCTGTCTTGAAACCAAGAAGGCAACGTAGCAATGACGCAACTAGGCCACACTTGCAACGGCCTGTGATACTGTATCCCTAGTATCACTCAAGTCTGACTCAAGTACCACTCCCCGGATTGGTCTCCGACCACGGCTGGCCTTCGGCTTCGCGTGCGCGCGCAACCTAACCACTCACAAAATTGGCGGTGGATGTCGTATTCTCTCGGAAAGATTGTTCTGCTACGCGTGTGCCAACGAGACGGCTGAAGGCCGCCCGAGGCCACGACGTAAATGGCCAAGTTGTTGGCCCGTGGGCCCGTGGGCAACCCGTGGGCATGGCGAGGCCAGCGCCGAGCGGCAGCGGCAACGACGCGGCTCGGTCTTGTCGCAATCACGTGCAAGTCTACGCGACCTCCATTCGGTACGTGGCGCATGTTGACTTCAAGCTATTCCCCACCCATGCATCAGACGTGAGCACATCAATGTCATAATCCTGAACAGCAGAAACACTCTCGCGCTGTCGGTATCGTGGAGGGACACTAACTAGGAACGTACTGCATGCTCGCTGCGGCTGAGCAATTAATGGTATGTCTTGTTGAAAAGACATTGACGTCGGACGTAGTGCGTGATGTTCACTTTCAGAATCTGGATTGGCTCAATATCCAGGCCGCAGCTGCCGGTGCGTGACGCAAGTGCCCGGCAGGCGGCGACCGAGAGCGAGACTATCAGAAATAGCAGCCTTGGACAACTTGTGGACAACATAGACCGTACACATGACAACACTATAAGGGGCTGCACTGCGGTCGTGCCAGCGGTCTGCTCTGCCCTCAATCGCTCCTGCGCTTCGTCACTTTAGTATTTCTTGCTGATACAACCCTGCTGAACGCGGATACCATGGGCTTCGTGTACGAATTGAAGATGGCGCTCAAGGCCATGGGCGACATGAGGGCACCGAAGCCGACGTTCAGCACGGACCAGATCCCGGACCTCACAGGGCGTGTCATGATAGTAACGGGTATGTTTCCCTGACCGTCATGAGTCTCTGAGCTCATAATATCCTTGTCTTCGTCAGGCGGTAACACGGGTATTGGTAAGGAGACCATCAAGGTGAGCAGGCTCTAGGTGCTCTCTTAGCTCGGGAATTGACGGTTCTTTTCAGGTGCTCCTACAGCACAATGCAAAGGTCTATATGGCTTCGCGGAGCCCGCAAAAGGCTGAGGCTGCCATCGCAGAGCTCAAGGAGGAAACAGGGAAGGAAGCCGTATTTCTCGAGCTTGATCTAACAAGCTATGCGTCTATCCACAAGGCGGCGGAGGAGTTTTTGAGGTATGACAGTCGGATGATTTGATTTACCGCTGTTTCCTGAATGCTGGTTACTGCAGTAAAGAGGAAAATCTTCACGTACTCTTCAACAACGCGTACGTTACTCGGGGCTGACCTCGTGAAACGGCAAGCTAAGGTATCCAGTATAGCGGCCTGATGTTGTGTCCTATCGACATGCTCGGTCCGGAAGACTACGACCTACAATGGTTTACGAATGTCGTGGGTGTGTACACTGTCATGGCACCCGCTCACTTCGGAGCACTGACTAGCCCCTTGAAAGGCCCGTTCCTCTTTACGAAGCTGCTCCTTCCGGCACTGATCGCGGGCAAGGCGTCCTCACCGGACGGCCACACCCGCATCATTGCTACATCTTCGTCGGGCTCATACCTCGGGATCATTCACTGGGATACGCTCAAGGATGGCCCAGCGCGGCGGAAGACGAACTCACAGGAGCTGTACTTCCAGTCGAAATTCGTGAGTCAAGCCCTACGCAACGCCTCGGATACTGAAGCTGTGGGCTCAGGCAAACGTGGTCGTCACCAGGCAGCTTGCCAAGCGCTATGCTGACCAGGGTATCATCGCCGTCTCGCTGAATCCAGGTCAGTGCGATATCATTGCAGTTGTGGGACCCTGATAGTAACTCTGCCGTCGCTCTGTGATGCAGGAAATATCAGCACGGACTTACAGCGTTATATGTCCGGCATACAGAAGCGAATTATTGTGCGTATGCGTTCTACGAGACCATGTCCGCGGATATCTCACTCGCATCTTCTCCGGCCATAGGCCACCCTTCTTCAGCCTGTGCAGCTAGGTGCGCTCACACAGTTGTGGGCGGGAACGATGCCGGGCGCGCTGGAGTTGAACGGAGGGGTAGGGCTCTCACGTTACAGCATATTTGCCCGCAGTGCTGACTCGGATCCTGTTTACCGTGCAACAACAGTACTTGATCCCGTGGGCGCGTGTCGGGTCATGCAGACGGGAAGCGTATGACGACGCTCTCGGGGAGAAGCTATGGGAGTGGCTGGAGAACGCGGTCAATGATAAGTAGCTGGTGCTAGGCTTCAGGCATACCTGTCTCTATACCCACGCGGACTGACGTAGATGACGATATTCATGGGGACTGACCATACCGCGGTTCTGTCAAGCACGCTATGCATGTCGTCGTTCCTGGCCAGAAGTGGTTGCCGTTGGGTGAAATGCGTCCTCCACTCGGATACCCGCGTGGCGGCAGTGCTGGTTCAAGCGCATCCCGATTTGGACAGAGATGCCTGCCAGACGTAGCGGAGCAGCTGTCATAGTGCATACGGACCGTCATGAACTTGCAGCGCGCTGTTTCTCCTCTGCGCCATCCTTCCGAGACAGATTCCTCCAAGCAAAAGCCGTTATCAGGTCGTGTTCACGCGCGGACATGTTGTATACAATGGACGACACCACAGTAGTTGTCCTACATCCTGACGACACACAATTGGCCGCACCGATAGCGGTGCAAGTGACCATCAAAGCGGATAGGTAATGCACGCATATCTTCCGACTGCTGTCCCTGCATCGCTCATCGAGCCGCCTCAAGACCTGCATCGACCGACGACGTAGCCGCCTTTTTCCACGCGCAACGAGAAGTGTCGGTGCGTATGCGCCGTGTCTAGGAGGCGAAAGTATGAGCAAAGAAACGACATAGAATCTCGTCACCCGCGTTATCACCGCTCACCTTCAGCATCCGCTTCCTTCACCCATGTGTTTCCAGGGCGAGAGCTACGTCTTGACGGCGAGTAAGTGCGCATATATGCAAGGAATCGACGGACTACTCAATCGATGATATCCAGAACATGCAGCCTGGACCTTCGGGAGCGAGAGGGTGAGGTTTTCGTGGGGTCCAGAAGAGATAAAGCCAGGCAGGGAGAAGTGGACATTCATCTTCGCGTCGTTGAAGCCATGACTGTTCCCTGCGCATCGTTCTTGCCCCTGGTAGCCATCGCGATTGTCCAGCAATACAGTGCGCCCCTTGCGTGTCAACAAGTGGTCCGGCCGGGCCATGAGAGGGAGAAGAAAGCCGATGGTAGCCGTCAGTTGCAGGTCGTCGAGAGGGACCGTCGGGCGTCTCTGGTGCGCACCGAAGGTTGGCCGGGCCGGCGGGCCGTCTCTCCGGTGTGGATCATAGGATGCGCTCACCCTTTAAAGGGTCGGTCTTCCGCCCGCCATGCATCCGTTTACCCTCGCATTACTTTTCTCAAAGTCCTCCTGCTCGTTGCGCCGTTGTAAGCTGTCGCCATGTCGGTCAAAATCACGGGTTTCGAGACGCACGGTACGTCGCGGCCTAGCTCATCCATAGATCGACCAGTACTCAGCGAACCACGCCGATGTAGACGTCCGCTTCCCCACCTCCCTCACGGGCGACGGCACGGACGCCATGAACACGGACTGCGACTATTCGTCCGCGTACGTCACGCTCAAGACCTCGTCGGATCTCGTCGGCCACGGCATGACCTTCACCATCGGCCGCGGGAACGACATCGTCTGTACGGCCATCCAGGAGCTCTCCCGCCGCCTCGTCGGCAAGGACGTCGAGGAGCTTTTCGCGAACATGGGAAATACGTGGGAATACCTGTGCTCGGACCCCCAACTGCGATGGTGAGTCTCGCTCCCGCTGCGTCTTGAGGGCTTCGCGACGGAGACTTTGGTGCACGGGACAAGCCGTCTCGCCGGCGCGGAGGACCGCAATGGTCACGATACATGCCAGTTGACCCAATGCATCCCCACCTGCGTGAAGTTCTCTACGGACGCAGTTGAAGTACCAGAATGGGGCACATGTAGCTGAGGTTGCTGCATTGTCTGCGCGATCAGCGCACTCTGCACGCGGCTACTGAACTCTTGCACGCATATCCCCATATCCCCATATCACCTCTTGGCACAGATTCCATTATATGCTGACCTCGCGCCCTTTCCAGGATCGGTCCGGAGAAGGGCGTCATCCACATCGCTCTGGGCGCCGTCGACAATGCACTGTGGGACATGTACGCCCGTTCGCGGAACAAGCCGCTCTGGAAGCTCATCGTCGACATGACCCCTGTAAGTCTACTATCCCATGCGCGGTATCTCTTGTCGCGGCTCGTGAATGCAAGGCGTTCCGAGAGGCCGTCCTGCCTTGTGCCTCTTCCGCTCAGTCGGCGCTCCGCATGAGGCATCGGTCATTCGGAGCGGAGGCGCGATACGATTATATGCACAGAGACGTTCGGCACAATCGAACGTGCTTTTGCGTGCGAGAGTGATCGTCGCAGATCCACATCAACAAGATGGGATCGACAGAAACTGGAACAAAACAAAGCAGCTCACACTGGGTGATAATGGACAACAACGGCGGATCTATCTTTCGCGGGAGCCGTGACAGTGCATCGCAGGTAGTCACAGTCTGACACTGACCTCCTCGCCCATAGGAAGAGCTCGTCTCCGCGACCGCTTTCCGGTACATCACCGACGCAATCACGCCCACGGAGGCGCTCGCGATGCTCAAGGCGAAGGAGGCCACCAAGGCAGAGCGCGAGGCGACCGTCCGCGAGCGCGGCTACCCCGCGTACGTCACCAGCGCGGGCTGGCTCGGCTACACCGACGAGAAGGTCGCGCGCCTCACGCGCGAGGCCGTCGCCCAGGGCTTCAACCACTTCAAGATGAAGGTCGGCGCGAACCGCGACTCCGACTTGAAAAGGGGAAAGATTATCAGGAGTATTATTGATGACCCGCAGTACCTCCCTGAGGGCACGACCCCGCGCGACCCGAATGGCCCCGATTTGAAGGGGAAGAACGCGGGCCCGACGGGGAGCGTGCTCATGATCGACGCGAACCAGGTGTGGGACGTCCCACAGGCGATCGAGTATGTGAAGAGTCTGGAGGAGATCAAGCCTTGGTGAGCTCAAGGGCTTCTGAAGGAGGCGTTGACACTGACACAGAGTAGGTTCATCGAAGAGCCCACAGCACCTGACGACATCCTCGGCCACGCCGCCATCCGCAAGGCCCTCAAGCCCCATGGGATCGGCGTCGCGACCGGTGAGCATGCCCACAACCGCATGGTCTTCAAGCAGCTCCTTCAGGCGGAGGCGATCGACGTCTGCCAGATCGACTCGTGCCGCCTGGCGGGCGTCAGCGAGGTCCTCAGCGTCCTGCTCATGGCCGCCAAGTTCGGCGTAACGGTGTGCCCCCACGCTGGCGGCGTCGGTCTGTGCGAGTATGTTATCCATTTGAGGTGGGTCGACGTTTGAGGCTCTGGAGATAGATGTCCGTGGCTGAACACAGGCGCATGTAGCTTGATTGACTACATCGCAGTTTCCGGCTCGATGGAGCGCAATGTGCTCGAGTTCGTTGACCATCTGCACGAGCACTTCCTCTACCCCTGCTCAATCAACAAGAACGGGCGGTACAACGTACCGAGCAGCTCAGCTGAGGGTTACAGGTAAGCACTCCCTGAACGACGCTGGACAGGAACAGGACTGATGCATGCTTTCACAGCATTGAGATGCACAAGTCGAGCATTGCGGAGTACGAATGGCCGCATGGGTCGTACTGGGTCAACTCTCCGAAGAAGGCCCAATAGCTGCCTTCGTACGTATGTGTATAGAGCTGGTCGATGGTCGAGAAGAAAACCGTAATGCAGTAGTTGAGCGTCGCTGTATCAATATCATGGTCATTGTATCTCCGTCTGGGAATCGAGTACCATTCAACAACACACCGTAGCGGACCGAGCCGAACCTCCTAGTCATGCAAAAGACACCTAGAAGTGCCGACACTCTCACTCAGCGCAAGTCGCCTGCGTTGTTGATGTTGCCAAACGAACCATCATCGAGTCGATATGTGAACCTCGATCCAGAGTTAAGCACACAGAAAAACTAGCGATACAAATAAAGGAACAGCAGTACAGACATGCGTACGAACAGTGAACACGAGACGACCTCAGCTCTGTTCCTCCCATTGTTCGTAGTGGTCTTCACGGAGGCTTTTCTGATATGCCTCGTCGATGGTGACACAGAGATCGTCTAGGTCGGACAAAGCCTGGAGAAGGGCCTCCAGAGACGATAGGTTGTCTGGAGTTGGATGCAGTAGTTAAGTGGTGGACGAGAGAGGTGGTAACGGCAGGAGAATGCGCACCGTACATCTGGATACGTATGTGGATGTGATTTTCTGACGGATGAGGAACACTGTAAGCATGCAGATTAGCTCCCGCTTTGCAAGTCATCGCAGACGAAAGGGGAAGGAAGGGGATATTGCTCGCTATGGTGACCGAGTTGAACAATAGCCCCAACACCTCGACGGAAATGGCTCGCAGGCCCTCTCGCCAAAGCGTAGTCACTGTCTGGAAATGACTCAAAGCGTCGCCTGAGAGGAGCATGTGCGATGGTCGATAGCTGAGACGTCATCAGGAGCCCTGAGGAGGCCTGAAACTGCCGCGTTGTTTACGGACAATAGACCCTTTTCTGAGCCGAGTCCTGTGCGCGTCGACTCCCATCACGCTCTGACGGCTCAAAACATGTCTCCGAGGTATTGCGCTATGCAGCTGTGTGACGGAGTGACAGTACTCACCTATATCCGCAAAACTCAACCTTGGGACTATTCGTCCGGGAGCAAAGCGAGCGCGAGTCAGTGCCGGTTGGGCTTGACAAAGCGGTTGACACGCACTTTTTCATGAGCATCCACCTCAGCGCATTTCCAAGCGTATGTGACTCGTCATGGATCTGGTATGTCGCGGCGGACAAGTCCGGTTGGAGCGCGTTCTTGAGCTGCTCGTCGAGGCGAGTGCAGGGGTGCACCGAAAAGGCAGGTCCCGGGGAGATGCAGGGGCACGAGGATAGCAGGGGAGGTCAATAGAGCACAGGGGAGCAGACAATGCAGGCTTACGATTTGGATCTTGGGTGTTGTGTCGCCCATTTCGAGCCTCCCGACCAGTCGACGAGCTCACAAAAGCCAGAAGAGCACACCCGTGGGAACAAAAGCAAGGCGTCTATTTGGCCGTCAATTTGATCCCGCATTATTCTCCAATCTCCGCCACAAGCCACCTCCTCCTCCTACCTCGCCCGTATGGCGACCGCGTCGTCTCGTAGCTATGAATTGAATAATACGCTTTGTTGTCGCGAGGCAACACGGCGCCTCCAAGCGACAAGCGTACAGGAGGCCTCCTCACGCAAACAAGGAGGTTGAAACTCCGACGGAGACGGCAAACAGGCGCCCACAACGCGTCTGTGGCTATTGTGCTCGTTTGGGGAGAATGGGAACAAAGGCATCCGGGGTAAGCGATCTTCATTGAGGACAGATTTGGGCGGGCTGGCTTGGCGGCGTGACAATGTCGCTCGAGATGTGCTGCAGACCAAGCTAGCCTATAAAGGTGTGTCTGCCGTGCCTCCGGTCCTCATCCCGCAGTGCCTCCTTTCCGCTCCATCTACCGCCCGATACCCCCGCTCCTCTAGACAAATATAAGGCAGGCCTTTGGTACCCCGGTGGTCCATCAAGAATCTACTTCTTCTTCCTCACTGCGCACTCCCTCCCGTTAAGTCTCGCACACCGTACTGTCCTTCTACCCCATCATACCCCTTGTATCAATGGCCAACTTCCTTCCGCCGCGCGACACCCGCCCTTCTCTGCCTCCGCTGCACTCGCTCGGGCTGCCATACCCCCTTGTGCGCGCAGAGCAATCGGCTTACGACTCTTACGACTCTAATGACCGTCTCGTAAGTCTTCTTCGCTCGCATCACGTGAACATACCTCTTATGTCGATCTCTCGCAGTCTCCTGAGACGACACAGCCCTACTCCGCCCGTACCTGGGCCCGCGGACGCCAGTCCTCGGTCTCGTCCACGACATCATCGTGCACCGCGCCATCACGCGCTGGCTCCCCATCGGACACCCGGGCCCTCGCGCCGTCCCCCGAGGGCTTCACGCTTCTCCTCACGACCATGGACAAGGCGAACGCCCTCATCGTCGTTCCTCAAATCCCACCCGTCCCTCAGCTCCCCAGTCCGCCGCCCACGCCGACGTCGTCGTCCGCAGCACGCTCGAGCCGCACAGTCAGACCCCTCCTCATCACGGGGCCGATGGTCGAGCACTTCAAGCAGAACCACACACGCATATCCCAGGTCGCTCGCATGCACCCATACCGCATGGTCCCCAAGGTTTCTGGCCGCCGCCGCCCATCTGCACCGCACTCTTCACTCACGACCGGTCGCCCGTAGGCGATCCATGGTTGATGACCGCTCCGAGGTTTGACGGATCATTGATTACGACCGTCCCGCCGTTTATCCGACGTATATTAACGCCATTGTATCCTTTAGTGTAGTATCACGGTCATGTTCATCATTTCTGGGTTCACGTCTCTGTATCAAGTACCGTATCATATGGAGTAATTAGGTGTATCATTACACATCGGGGACTATTGTCAATTAGCAATCGATGACGTCCGAGTAGAACGTTATTGATCGACGAAAGCGTACATGAACAATGCGTACTCTGAGTTAAACATGGGCTGAACGGAAATATTGCGGTGTTTTGACACCCCGCTCCAAGGGTTTCTATCGAGGGACCTCCGGGCTCCGAAGGCATGCTCGCTACAAGTTATGTACCCCTCGCCCTACTACTCGTGGTACTGGGAGCCCTTGACCAGCAGCACAATAGCCAGAAAAGTTGCCGTTTGGGTCCAACAAAGCCAACGAGGAGAACAAAATCGCCTTGAAGCGTGGCGGGCTCGTTTCACGAACACGCCTGATGCATCCGCCTCGTTGGTCCACTCTGCTGCCCGAGCACGCTGTTTTTGTCGACTGAAGCAGATCTGATCGATGCGCATATGCGATGTTCCTCAACTTGAAGGTCCAGCCGACACATTTCTGCGAGTATTCTGTTGCCTCCAGGGCGTGTTACGCAAGGTGGAACTCTATTTGCCGACCCTCAAGTTCCCAGGCAGGGCCTTGCGGCTTCAGGCAACAAATGTGCTTTGTGGTAGGACACCTACGGTATGCGCATAGCCTGTATTGCGGCACAAGATGACATGCGGAGAGGGGCGCAAGTGCAGCCACGAGCGATGTGGTCCGGATCCGTGGCCGCAGGATCATCCGCGCGATGTCGCTCCGAGTTGCAAGTAGTCTGAGCCCATGACCAACGGACAATGGGAACGAGGACGAGGATACCTAAGTACAGTGACACTGTACTCGTGCCAGGCACGTCTATTGACCCCTCCATCTCACCGTGACCCTATTGGTTAGGTAACAGCAGCGGCCTCAAGCGCAAACAAAAAAACACCAGGCTTCACTGTGCGGTAGATCAGTGGATGCAGCATGCTCGAACAAATGTTAGATCAAGATCACTCAGCGCACGCAGTGCCATAGTAGGTGCTCGTTGTGCAGACTCGTGGAATTTGAAGGAGCATGGACTTGAAGTGCATCGATGTTCTGGCCGCAGGATTGTTAGAGCTATGTGACGTTGTTTTGAAGTGAGCATACACGATATACACGTCACCGAAATTGATTTCAAGGATTGCAGCAGGGGGATTCATGAGGCACCTTTGGCGTGTCACGGTCGCGCATTGCAATCTCAGGCTCTATGTTATAGCATTGTTGTCGCTGAGAAAGTCATAACCACAAGCTTCGTGAATAGAGCACCAATAGAGCACTCATAATTTCTGGGAAAAGAGTGCCCTGAAATCCCAGGAGCTTCGAGGGCCTCACCATTTGCTTAACCACCCGGGCCCGGTAAAAGATGACGCGCCCCGGCCCCGGAAGTCGCGGTAGTCCGCTCGTATGAACTGAATAATCTTGGACGACTTGGGATCCTTCACTAGCACCTCAAATAAAGGGAAACTACGGGTTTGGAGAAACCCTGATCTGCAGAGTGTTAGACAGCGCTCAAATTTGTAAGTGTGGAACGTATGGAGAGTCGAGACTCACATTCAACTCAGTTAGTCGCCATGAAAACGTGTGTCAAGATTCACTTCAATGTCTCTGTGACACTATCCTGGATGCTATGGCCGCGATGACCCAAGGTAAACTGGAACTCTATACGTTGAACAGCGCCTAGCAACGAGGAAGGTAGCTTCGAGGATACGCAGACTGATACGGCGGCGGAAGCTGTCTATTACCAAACTTGGCTGAGCACCCGGTTCGGTCCGCCTCGTTGAGCCTCAGCCATGCACCAGCTTTGACTCGGACACGTCTGCCCTGCGTCTGCCACGCCAGATGCTCATGAAGCCACATCCCACTACAACTCAGAGGCTCTGTGATCCAATATTCGCATGTTTTATGCAGTTCTGCCCCTAAAAATGATTCCACGACCCACAGATAGCAAAGTCTGCCACCTCGGCGAAGTCACCTCCCGCCCGTTGAGTGTGCACCAGTCAAGCGATTGGCGTGCATGGACCTATGTTCCTGCGAGCTACGGTGCACCCCCTTCAGCTCACTGAACCTGATATGACCAGAATACACATTCGCCGGCCACGTCAGGCGGCTACCTTCCCGGTGCGTCTCCTAGATACTCATCGTTGCTAGAGCTCCGATTCGGGCTGTCGCATGCTTTGAAATCGCTGGGTTTCGATGCCTGTGTTTACCACCTTCGTACCTATGGTACCTTGACTGTTGCATACATCTGCTACTTGCTGTTGACGATGCTACGTCAAACATGCAATCTTCCGATGGTCGTCGGAGAGAACTTCGAAGTGTCATTAACGCGGCCACTTACACAGCCCTTGTCGAACACCGTGACTCGTTCGGGGGTATATATGATCTCAACGGTTGATTGTCACTATTCCGATCGTGATTCTGATTCGTGAACTCTGTACTTTCACTGACATTAGCATATGATCCTGCATAAGCATTATGAATGGGCGGACATGATAATCAATATTTGAGGTGTGCCGTTAACTTTGTCCATGATGCTCGAGATGGCGCTCATAATGCAGTATTTGTACCAGGGTGGCTCATGTACACGTTATCCGGCCCACCTTCTGTGTCTCTAATTGGAAATGCGTCTCCTGATCTGATGTATGGCCTACTGAGTTTGGACGAAACGCATCTTCGAGAATGTCGAGGATGTAAATCGGCGCGCCGACATCGGCCTTGCTTCTATCAGCTGTCCAACAAGCACAGGTTCTAATGCCGCACCCGGATTACTCCCACCTCGTTTACGAAGTATAAAGCCCCTGTGAGTCCGTCTCCCTACACCTCAACAGACCCTGGGCCGTGCTCGGATGTGTAAGCGCCGTGTCGTACACAGTCTCAGAACCATCCTACATCGCCTCACGCACCCAGTGGATGAATACGAACCATATTGGTTCCTACACGAGCAACTTGAAAAGGAAGGCATCATCGTTGAGAGTATTGTTCCGTCCAAAAGGTGCGTCGTCTCGCCTGCTTTCATTATAATAACGCTGAAGGTGGAGGCTTGCAAGACGTCCGAATCTGTACTTCCGCCTTGCGTGCCCCCAGCGTGGAGTATTCGTTATATCGCTGTACTATCATGGATGCGAGAAGGCTATACTCGAGTCTTACATTACGAGAGACCAATTCTCCGCAATGGTGCGTGCATCTATCCCCGTCTTGCGAAGCTGATTCGATCACGATCGTTCTTCAGCTAGAAGAAAACAAACACATCCTTGACCTGGCTTATGTTCAATTGAACATACCAAGGACATTCGGCTTCCTGGATAAGATATTTCCTTAACTTAATGTGAGATCTTGGGACTGTATCTATAGTTGCACCATCCTTGCGCGTTCGAATCCAGACCGCATGTAGCGTAGGCATCGTCGCTCGACAAGGCTCCATAGATTCCTGCCGTTGTGATATGTTATTATCTCGTGGCCCCCTCTCCTTGACCGTGGACATCGGATCAAGCACCATACTAGCCTTCGTGCAAACCCATAGTATGTCCAAACCGGACCTTCCAAACGACCGCACGACTTCATGAATACCGCCTTCAGAAGCGTAACCGTGGGCGAGCGGGTCATGGCCAGCATTGCTAAACACCAGTGAAAATTCTAAAAAGAGTCGGCCTCATTCGCGCTCGCTCGACTCATGTCCATGCATATGAACTGCCCTTCTCAGGTTAGCAAACAAGCATATCCTTCCCATAGCTTCAAGTGGCCGCCGCCTACAGCCGGCAAGCCTTCACTACAGCATCTGAACCTCAGAAAGCCCGCCTTACGGATGCTGCGACACTCTACAATGTCGACATTGTGCATGCATGATACATATACATACGACGACATGAATTGTTCTACTTTTGAATCACATCCGTCAAGGTGTACCGTACGTAAGTATCCCGTAGGGTCGCAAGCTGACCGGCGTACCGAGCACATCGGTCACAAACAGAATGGGAGAAGAGAGGACTACAATAATAGCTACGAGCAAGAATCTCACAGGTGGTAGATACAACGTAAACGCGTGGCGGGCATGAGCACGAGACTAGACAAGAACATCAGAAGCGATCCGACAAGGGGTACCCAGAGCTTAGATATAACAGTGAGAAAAGAAGAGCCTAACGATCCATCATAGCGCGGTGTAGCTCCCTGCGGACCGAGACGTGAGTGAAGAGTGACGTAGACGGGGACGACGGTGCGCACATATTCTTGCTTGCCAATCACCACTGCCTGTTGCCAGCACGCTGCCCGCTGGGCTGAGATCGATGGAGATGACTAAGACGCATCCTTCAGTGACTGCGAACAATACGATTGAATAGACAAACCGGAGTTCTTATGGCCCTGCAGCATGCATTGAGCCGTCGCGGTCTTAGCATCCCAAAATTGCACTCCGCGATCCTTCGAGCCTGACACGACCCACTGTCCATCATGCGACACCGCGACAGACAGGACATAATCCTGCGCAAGACATGACGATCAGTCACTCAGGGTTTGACGAGATGTGACCGCACCTTATGTCCTGTGAAATTCATCGTGCACAAGCTCCCCTTCTCTCCGCCCTCCTTAACGCCGTTCTTACCCGGTGTTAGAGCGCCCGCAGGCCCCCGCAAGATCGGCCGCAGATCCCAGTACTTGAGTGTCTTGTCCAGGCTGCCACTCACGAGGCCCTTGCCGTCGGGGGTGAAGGCGACGCTGTAGACGCTGTCGCGGTGGCCCTTCAGGCGCTCGACGAGCGCGCCCGTGGCGACGTCCCAAATCCGCACGATGGTGTCGAGCGAACCGGCGGCGACCAGACGGCCGTCTGGTGAGATACATACTGAGGTCACGCCGGCATCAACTGTATCTTCGTTGATGGACACTGACGAGTCTTGTCAGTGGGTGACAGTTCGTTGCGCTGGTTATGGCTTACAGATCTTGCACGGGGTCCTCTCTGTCATGTCCCATATCCGTGCGGTCTTGTCGCCAGACCCAGAGACGATGAGCCGTCCGTCTTTGGAGAAGTCCAATGAGTAGATCTCCTGTTGATGGCCGTCGAACACATTGCGTATCCGCTTTTGGGCAATGTCCCAGATCTAGATCGCGGATGAGTCTGCGTGTGCAGGAGAACACTTGTCCACAAGTGCTCACCCTGATCTGTTTGTCCTCTGCGCCCGTGGCGAGTAGCTTGCCATCGGGACTGAAGCAGACGCTGCGGATGTAGAGGTCGCCGGTCTTACTCGCCTGGTCGTCGACGAGAACACTGGCACAAGTAGTCAGCAACAAATATACAGGAGTAGCGGAACCAATGCATACCATGTTTTCTGTCCTGTCTTCGTGTCATAGATTTGAGCGGTCCGGTTGCATCCGGTTGCGAGATACTTTCCGTCCGCAGAGAACCGGACGCAGCATACAACGCTGTGCATACTATATGACGATTTCCCGCAACACTCGTCAGTGAATTGATGCTTACCTCTCGTGCATCAATGTATGCTGGAGAGTGACATCCAGGGCTCGTTTCTTGCCCTCCTTGCCCGCGTTCGCGTTAAATATAGCGAACCAATCGGCGCCTTCCTTCTTCAGATCGGCGGGGACGGCCATCGGGTCCACGCTAAGATCAACAACCTGCATCGATGCGGGCCCGCTATCGGGGTTGGCGCTGTTCGGCGGCGCCGTGGAAGGCGGCATGGTCGGTGTGTGAGGGAAGGATGGGTTGCCTGCAAACGAAGAACACGATGAGTGATGTGATCCTGTTCATTGGTTCGAGCAAGCGCCGAAGTGGTCAAGAAGACATAGGAAAGCAAAGAGAAGTCCGTATTGCCGCTGGCGCCGTACGAATACGTAGTACACTTGGCGCTGTACGCTGTACACCGTAAACGGAATCGTTCCAATTGGAATGGGCCTAGCAACGCAGCACTTTTGGTCAACGGGACTGATCACTTACCCCCGCCGTTCACCCCCGGCTCCTGACCCGGTCCTTGGCTGCTCGGCCCTGTTACCTGGTTTGGTCCCTCCCTCCCCGCGTTCGGACCCCCAGGCAACGCGCCTGGACCCTGCTGACCCAAGCCTGAGCCACCCTGTTGACCAGCATACGGCGGCGGGGGCAGCGAAACACCCAGGCCCATGCCACCCACACCTGGCGCTGGCGGAAGTTTCGGCGTAGCACCGGTGTTCAGGTTGTTGCCAGCTGGCTCTCTACCATTGACGTTCATCCCATTTTGGCTATTGGGCCCGGGAGGGTTAGGATTGGCGGATGTCGGCGGGGCAAGGGGGTTGGCGTTTGGGCCGGGGCCGGGTGTAGGCTGGAGGCCGGAGGGAGGTGCAGCAGGGCCGAGGGAGATGCTTTGGTGCGGGTGCGACGGGTGTGCGCTCGGGTGGTTCATGGAAGGTGAGAAGGGGTCTTCTCAGCGGGAGGTCGAGCCAACGCGGGCGTAGGGTAAAGCCAGGTCACGTGGGCGAGCAGCCAGGCGAGCGTGCGGAGCAGACGAACAGAAACATGAATAACTCGAATGCACGGAGGAGAGAGAAAAATAGAGAGGGCGGAATGTAGCTTACCTCCGCGATCGGTTTTGACACGCTCTGTCTTGACGCGCTTCACGTCCCTTGCATCGCGCTCAACACGCTCTCGGTCCCGGTCTCGTTCGCGCTCCATCCTGTCCCTCTCGATCCGCTCGCGCTCGCTCATGAGGCCACGCTCTCTGTCACCCATCACTATCCCTCCTCGCTCGCGTTCCCTGTCTTGTCGTCCATAGAAAGGCTCGTATGCTCCCCCACCGGGGCCGGCGCCCATGCCCAAACCTACAGGGGTGAGCGGCAGGCCCTCGCCTGCGCCCTGCACTGCACTAGGTCTCCCCATGCCCAAGCTGTCACGCCCCATGGCGTCGCCTCGCATAGGCATACCTGACGCGGGGCCGGGCCCGGCCATACGGACGTCGCCGTCGCGATCGCGTTCACGGTCTCTCTCGCGCTCTCGCTCACGCATGAGCTCGCGTTGTGGAAGCAGTTCGCGGTCCCGATCGCGATCGCGAGAAGGCTCGCCGCGCATGGCGGGGTCGGCGCGGAGAGGGGGCTCTCCACGTAGGGGTGGTTCACCGCGCAGGGCGGGGTCACGGTCGCGACCGAGGGAGGCCAGCCCGAGAACTTCGCGTTCACGACCTTGAGAGCGTAGGGCGTGTATCTCTGCGCGTAGAGCAGCGATTTCTTGGTCGTACTGAGCGCGGATCTTGCCATGCTGGGCCTCGAGATCGTAGAGAGACTGGCGGATGATGTTGAGCTCGTTCACTTGGCCATTTACTGATGTTCACGGGGCGATGTGTGTAACGTATTGCGTGGCATACAATAGCGATTGTTGTGATAGCGGACGGAATTTGGGAAATGCGGTAGGTGAATATCGAGACACAGGTGGCTCAAAGAACAGACGCACCTTTGCTGTCCAAGTCGTCTCTCTGGCCCCGGAGGTGGACGAGTTCGTGCGCCACTGCGTCAAACTCCTGCCTGATGGTCTCGAAGCATTCGTTGAGCTTGACATGGCTGTGTTGGGGGCCGGAGGGGCCCTGGGTGGCAGCACCTGTGGGTTGGAGGTGCTTGTGCTGGGAGAAAGGGTCAGCGGGGGCGCGAGGGACGGCGGGGGAGGCACGGACGTTGTATATGGAGGAGGACATGGGCCGAGGGGAGGCGGTGGTGGTTGGGGAAGAAGGAAGCGAGGCGTTAGCGCCTCCGGAGATGGCTTATGGGCCCTGTCCGCTGTCGGCGCCGTCCCTGGCACTCCCCACGTGTCCCCCCGATCCCATCGCCCGGGATCCCACCATCTCAGATCCGCCGGCTTCTCCAGATCTCCCGATGACGTGCGTCGCCCGGTCGCGGCCTCCGCAACTTGCCGCCCGCGTCTGCCCGTCTCTTCAACGCCCGGCGTCTGTGTTGTGTCGTAGAAGACACAGCAAACGCGGCCCTGACACGCTCGCTGCACCCGTCGCCCCAAGTCCCTTCGCGTGCGACTCGCATTGCCCCTTCTGCTCCCGCACATCGCCACGGGGCTGCACGTCCTGCCCACTCAGAGTTTGATCTCCCGCGGCCCTCTTCTTATCGTCCCTCACGCCGCCAGCCTCGCCCCCGCACACGCTTCTCCCGAGAGACTGGCACAGACTAGTCTCTCTCATCGACCCTGCCCGCGCGGACGGTCCACGGTCCTGACGCCAGAGACCGATCTGCTTTGGCCAGCACGCAACCACGCCCACATCCGCGGCGCCCCCGTGCCTATTTATGCGGCCATTCTGCTTTTGTCAGCCCCGTCTCCTGCTATCGCCAAGTGCTTCTCGCCTTCTCCGTCGCCATCCCCTTGCATTCGACTCGCGCCCGTGCCCGAGTGACCATCAGCGTTCGCACATTCTGAATGCGTCAAAGTATGGCAATGGACAGACAAGAACGAGTGTGACATCACAATTTAGCCGGCTATCCATACACTGTATTCCTGCGATCTACGAGGCACCGAAAGTAGAAATGGACATGGCATCTTGCGCGGCGCGCAGCGATCAACGCCGCTGTTTATTGCCGCAGGCAAATGAATAGCCTCTTTAGAGTAACGCATATGATCACCAAAATATCTATCGCCTTGATACTCTGCGACGCCCTGGCAACGCAACGAGGACAACCATTCAATATTCAAATCTTCAACGCCTGGCATTGGCGTTGGCGAGCACGAGTTACCATTATGGTCGAATTGATGACGTAATACGCTGTGGCTGCACGCCGACGGCGCGCGACTTCGAACACAACTCACATAACCGTCGACTCGATTACACTGCCTGCTCCTACCTACCTGCTGCCAACCTGTGCGACCCGCGGATATGTCAATGAAGGCCTACCTCGCAGCCAAGTACATGTCAGGCCCAAAGGCCGACGCGATCCTCTCGCGCTCATCCGCTAGCGCACCAAAGAAGAAGAAACGCAAGGCGGGGACGGCCGCCTCCTCGAAGGCCGGCAGCTCCGGTACGTCCTTCATCAAGGACGACGACGTCCTCGGCTGGGACAACCAGCAGGAGGCCGAAGAGGATGATGTTGCTGAAGCGGTTGTGGCGGAGGACCGCGGGTTCAAGAAGCGGCAGCGGACGGACGAGGGCTCGGGCTGGGCGGCCGTCCGCGAGGGCGAGCACCGAGAAGAGTCGCCGCCCCTGGCCCCCGACGAGCAGCCGCAGGTCGTCGAAGAGGAGCCTGCGTTCAAGGGTGGCCTCCTCACGTCGGCGCAGCTCAAGGAGACGTTTCCACGCGAGAAGGCGGTCAAGTCATTGAAAGAGAAGGAGGCGGAGGAGGCGGCGGCGGCGCAGGAGACGGTCTATCGAGACTCGTCTGGTAGGAAGGTGGATATGGCTGCGGAGCGAGCTGAGGCGGCGCGAAGGAAACGCGAGCGCGAGGAACAGGAGGCGCGTAAGATGGAGTGGGGCAAGGGCCTTGTGCAGAGGGAGGATGAAGATAAGCGTAGGAAGGAGGCGGAGGCCATGCGCGCGCGTCCGTTCGCTAGGGACCGGAACGATGTGGAGATGAACGATGGGCTGAAGGCTCAGGAGCGGTGGAATGATCCCGCGGCCGCTTTCTTGACCGTATGTCTCTCCTATTGTCGTTTGTCGGGCCAGTGCGCTGAAGCCTTGCGTGTTTGGTCATTCGCCTTCAGAAAAAGCGTGCAAAAGGTCCACGTAAACCCGAATACACTGGTCCGCCTCCGCCTCCAAATCGTTTCGGTATCAAACCTGGATACAGATGGGACGGTGTCGGTGCGCCTCATCCAGCGTCGTCCATTTGCCTCTATGTGCTCATGTGTATGTACAGATCGCGGGAACGGATTTGAGAAGAAGCTGTTCCAACGGCAGAATGAGAAACAAAGACGGGGACTCGAGAGCTACCAGTGGAGTGTGGATGATATGTGATACCACTATCTCATGTCTATGACAGTGCCTCACTGTCTCGGATTGTTGGCTGCACTTCCATGTGAGCTTCCAAGACTACTATGAGTTGATGGACCAAAGGCTCACTCTGCATAGTCACAGCTGTCCGAATGTTATTGGATTACTGGTGGGCCCTTATGCGGCAACAGCAGCCACATTCATGAAGTACTTGGCTACTTTTGTTCTCCCTGCATTGACATCACTCTGTAACACTAGGTGAGGCCCTCAAGTGAAGACTTCAGACTGATAGTGATATACCTATACCATATTTTCCCAGCTCTGAATTATGTATTGTCCATCAAGTAATTGGGTCAACATACAACCAAGAATTCAAATCTCAGTCAGCAAACTGACATCTGCACTGGGTTCAGCACAATTGAGAAAGGGCCAGTGCTCCCAAGTTAGTATTACATTGTCTACCTAGCTACTATTACAAAGGATGCTAGTACTGCAAGAGAATGACACCATGGGTATAACTGAGTTGTATGCTAGTTTACCTACAATGGCATGGTGTGTGATTACAGCCTTTACTGTGTGAAAGGACACAATGGGAAGTAGACTTGTAAACCAGTCATGTTAGAGTGCACGTGGTCACTTTGGCGGAGTTTGAATGGGTGAGCAGCACTAACGACTGGGACAATTGGAAGGCCTTTTTGGGGGGTGTTGCTGGATTTGGTACCCTGTGTGAAACAGGACTTAGTGAAATTGCGCATCTTGTGCTCACCAATGTAGAGGAGCAACATTGATGCATTGCAGTTGTGAGTCTCAACAGTTGTATGCAGGGTCAAATAAACATGATTGATCAAGGTATGGATCAACAACATCTTCTCAGTCATCCAACAAAAATAACTGCTCATGCTTGAGCCTCAGCTAGTTCTCTGGTCTCCAGTCTTCAGCTGTCTCCTCTCCATCTGAGTCATCATCATCAGACAGCTCCTGCAGCTGCACCAGACACATCAGCATTTGATGGCCCTGCTGTCCATTTGCTCTGGCGATCTTGTGCAGTGCTGGGTGGCACAGTGACTTGACCGCTGGCAAGAGGCAATGTTTTCCTGTGGTGCTTCTTGAGCCACATTATCATTTTGTTGTGCTCATTCAGTGGGCCTGCAAGCTGTGACTCGAAGAGACTGGTCATGACAACATTTGCAACAACAAGTTTCTCACTGTCAATGATCCATCCTGGTGGAAATTTGTAGATGGGGCCCTCTGAGTTGGTGAGAGACCAATGAATCTAGTGGCACATCTTTCAAGTCTTGCTTTGGTCCTAACACATTGTTCAATGATGTCATGTTCAGGCATGCCCATGACACTCCTCCTCAAGCATTGTAGATTGTCTGTGAGATGTTGAGCAGGCAGCTCCATGCAGTGGTGTGCCCTCACAACTTACCTGAAAGGCTGTTGATGCCTGATGCACACACAAGTACTTCAATTTGAAGGTACTGGGGACTGAGCTACACTACTGGGGTCCTTATATACAATGAGGAGACCACTTATCTGAACTACTGTATAGTGTGTTCTCATGACATACAAGGCAAGTGGTGTAGCCGTGTGATAGACACACAATGACATCATCTAGTAGATGTCATCACAGACCCAGAGCTTCCCACAGAACTGGTCTGGCCTGTGATTGAACCCGGCAGCCTGGTAGGCACCTTTGTAGTTCAACACTCCCCCTTGCTTAGTGTGTTGTCGTAGACTCACATAAGCATACTAGGTGCATAACACTGCAGTGATGGTGCTCTAGGACAATTCATAGAATTCAAGTCTGAGCATTCCTCTAAACTTAAGGAATTTGACACAGCCTAAGTTCTTGGTGAACAGGTCTGCTGCATTGTCATCTGTACTGATGTAGAAGAACTCAACTTGCTTCTCCTCAATCAGTTCCCTGATGTAATGGTAGTGTATATCAATGTGCTTCAACCACCTCTCACTTACAGGGTTGGAGCCAATGAATATTGCTCCTTGGTTATCTGAGCAGATAGGGAGTGTGCCAAGTAGGTAACCAATCTCCTTGAGGAGCATCTTAACCCAGACAACTTGGCAGCTATGGCAGTCACTGAGAAACATGTATTCAGCCTCAGTTGAAGACAGTGCAATTGTCTTTTGCCATTGAGACAGCCAACTGAACACTCCATTTGCCAACTTCATAAAGTAGCCACTCTGACACTGTCTCATTTCTGGGTCATTATCCCAGTCAGAGTCTGTGCATGCAAAGACACCTTGTCCAAATTTGCCACTGTATACGAATGCATAGGACTTGGTACCCATAAGGTAGCAGCAGATATATAGTGCTTTGTCCAAGTGGTCCTGTGATGGATTCACAGCTTGTTGCATGAGTTTAGTCACAGCAAAGTGGATGTCAGGTTGAGTTCCAAGCATGATATATAGGAACAATCCAATGTTGGTCTGATCACGGCTTAAAAGTGCAGGATCAACTGGGCCAGTGTGCGGCTCAGGTTTGTAACTGTTATGGATGTCTATGAATCCAAGTCCAACTTATATGCCTTGAATCACCACTATTGCTTGGGCTCCGCTATTGTTGGTAAGGTTTATTAGGTAAGCACAATGGCATTACCAATGATTGGTCAAGGACACATTTTGGTCACTTCTGACAATTTACAGGGTTTGCCAAAATCCCTTTCAAGACTACAATACCAAAGGAACAACAGTCTGAGATACCAAGAACTATTGACCTTCAGTAATGGGAAGACCAAGGGATCACTGATGAAGGCTGCACTGACACTTTGGACTTAGTTCAGTGAGGACTTGGGCTGTGAGATATGATGTGTCTCAAGTATAGTACATAGGATAGCCTTGGACTGCTTGTGGTGCACAGGATTGATGATTCAAATATGTATATAAGGCAAGACAAAAGACTGCAGCAATTTATCTACACTCTTTACTGAAATTCACCCCGTGTGCCACATGAAGACTTGCTTTGCCCCAAGTGCCAAGTTAGTCACACTAGCCACTTGACCACTCTTGTCAAGTTCTTAAGAATGTGCTCTAAGACCTGCAATTGTGAGACCTTACTTAGTACAGACCTTGCACTACTAGTAAGGTCTAAGTAAACTTCAACTGACTACAAGAGTGGGGTTCATCAGAGAAGGTTCAACTCATTGATTGACATTCTAACATTGCTTCACCATTGGCAATCTTTTATTATCAACACTTTGGTAATTGCTCTACTGGACTTTGTTATGGACTGGGATTGCTAACTTACCGAGTACTTACCTAGTAACAATCCATTGGTAGTTACGTAATTGTAGTCGCCTTAGTTAAGAAATGAATTGAGGATTATCTTGTTGTGAAGAGGATTAACACAACGATTTGCGTGATCGACTTATGAGGATTAGTTGATCGAGAATTGATTTTGATCAATGAGTTCAAACACTAAGTCCGGAGTGGCACAGTAGTGCCTATGTTCTTAGTGAAGCTAAGAAACTCAGTTGATCGAAGTAAGTTGGTTACAACTATAGTGAATAGAGTGTTACAACAATGGTTGAGGATGCCACTAAGCACAAACCCGACTCTAACCGTAGATCGATGAAGCTTACTCTTACCGAACCCTTCAGAGTAGCGCGGAGCTATACTATTGAAGGGGTCAAGGTAGATCGACTTAGTGCACAGCTATAAGTACGACCGACCTTAGTGTGTCCAGTGCGAGGCTATGGACGATTGAGTGGCTCACACCGATGGATTGAAGTTCAAGAGAGTGTTATTTGTCCATACTCTACGACAGCGTTTATATATCTACAAAGAGTCCTAGAATATTCTGCGTGTGAACAATAGTCCTATTGAGACCCTCGGTCGACTGCCCGCGTATTCATTGTTCAGAAGCCGAACCAATCAGCCTTGGTTCGGTCACGACAGGTGAGTCTAGTCAAGTTGATCGGAGGTTTGGCACAATCTTCCTTAGTCACTTGACTTAAGTCTCAAGTAGGCAAGTTCTGACTTTTCTTAGAAAGGAAGGCTCGTGCCGTTAGTCACATGTCGGCACTAGCCACTTGACAGACTTTGTGACTTAGACACTTTGATTAGATATTCCTAACAGACTTCAGCATCACTGATGGTTCATCTCTACTTACCAAGTATTGTATACTTTGGTAATCTTCACAACAAACACTTCAACTTTGTTACTACAAGCATCGCAAACCCATGGCTTCGCCACGGGTTTACGGGGCGATTTTTTCATTCTATGCTTCATGTTACTTTTAAGATTTCATACTTATGCAATGCCAGACCTGGGCTTTGCCTCAGGTCTGGTGGCAGTTCTTTCATTCTGTGCTTTGTGTTACTATGAAGGTTATATTCTTGGGCATTGCCGACCCGTGGCAAAGCCACGGGTCTTGCAGGCGATTTTAAAATTCAATGCTTCATGTAACTATTGTAATAAATGCTTTGGCATGCCAGCCTGCGGCTTCGCCACAGGCTGGCAGCATACCTGTTAGTCAATGCTTTGTGTACCTACTGGAATAGATGCTCTGGCATGCCAGCCCATGGCTCCGCCACAGGCTGGCAGCGTACCCGGTACTCAATGCTACATGTTACTCCTTTGAACTGCAGTGCGGAGGGCGCCCGAGGGCATATCCCGGTGTGTATATTGGTTCCCATTATGTACTTACCACACCCGCTGTTCCTCGCACCCGCCACAATGCCTCGGGAACACCTCAAGAAATTTCCTAATGGGTTTCTCAAGTTTCCCGGGGACACCTCGGGCAAGGATACACTGGTGAGTGGCTTTCCTGTCAATATTACCTCCCGTTATCATGCCCGTTGCCCATCACACACGCCGCGACACCCTGAAATGTCCTGACTTGCCGAAGGGGTTTCCCGTTCAAGGTCCCGCCACTCCTTTTGCGCGCATCGGGGATGCGTCGGGCAGGGATTGCGCAAGTGCTGGGGAAGCGGAAGGCGCCGGGCCCGTTAGAGTGGTAAGGATTGGGCGCACATGGTTTGCCACGCGGCCAATGTGCGCTCCATGTGGCTTTCTCGTGGCTTTTTCACGCCACATTGACCCGGGCCCGACCTCCCATTCTTTTATGATTCCTCTGTAGCAAAGGATACATCCTCTACTCTATTACTCCAACTTCAAGTAACTGGTTACTTTGAAGTAAGTATTCTACTAACTCTGACCCAGACTCCAACAGTGACCTGCAGGGAGTGGAGTAGGCGCAGACTTTGAATTCTGCATGCAACAGTGCTGCAGCACAGTCTCAAGGTAGGCAGTTTGGTCAAGATGAATCTCGCCACCCTTCTGAGTAAGAGTCCATTCAGCAACCACAACCGATCAATTTTTGGGCAGCTTCTCAACCGTGTTTCTTGCCTGAAACAGACTGCCTCAGGAATCCCTGAGCACAACCTTGATTCTGGGCTGTGACATGCTGTTGTGCGTGCCACATTTGTCTGGACTCTGTCACTTACTTGTCTTGCAACATGGCTACACCACTAATGTCTGTACTGGCCATACTCTTTACCATAATAGCTCTTATTCTGGCCCTATCTTCCACCGAAAAAATCCCTTACCACATGTCAATCCTGTCTGGTTCAGGATGAATGCTTGAGCTCTTGGAAGGGCATGACGAGTGGATACACAGTGAACTAGGAATGCACCACAAGGTCTTCTTGGCCCTTGTTGCTACGCTGCAGTCATTGGGCTATCATGACTCACAACACATGTCCATTGAAGAACAACTTGGCATATTCCTGCACATGTTGAATCGGTCTCTCAATTCAACATGCTGGTGAATGTTTTCAGCATGCAAATACTATGGTATCAAAGTAGGTATGTAGATTACAGCCCATGTACCTGTATTTATACTAGTATAGATACTTCAAGAAGATCCTCATTGCACTCTCCTCACCCCTGTTTTACATGACCTATGTTCATCTCCTCTCTGCAGATGAACTGACCCCAGCAATTGTATACAACAACCCATGGTTCTACCTGTTCTTTGGCCATGCAATTGGAGCAGTAGACAGTAGCCACATTGCTGCTGCCCCTCCTTCAGACAAGTGCAATGCATCACGCAACAGAAAGGGTGGTGTTGGAGTCTGGGTTATAGTTAGTATAATACGTACTTCGTAGTCACCAGTTACTTGAAGTCGGAGCAATAGAGATGAGAATGAATCCTTCGTTACAGAGGATTAGTAAACAAAGTTGAGTGTTTGTTACAAAGATTACTGAAGTATACAATACTCGGTAAGGAAGAATGAAGTGTTGGTAATGGCTAAGTCCAGTTAAGCAATTACCAAAATGTCGGTAATGAAGTATTGCCAACAATGAGCGATGTTAGAATGTTGATCAGTTAGGATGAACCTTCTCTGATGAACCTGACTCTTGTAGTCAGTTGAAGTTACTTAGACCTTACTAGTAGTGCGAGGACTGTACTAAGTAAGGTCTCACAGTCACAGGTCTTAGAGCGCATTGGTAAGAACTCAGTGAAAGTGGTCGAGTGGCTAGTGTGGCTAACTTAGCACTTGGGGCGAAGCAAGTCTTTGTGTGGCACACAAGGTGTTTTGGTAAAGAGTGTAGATAGATTCTGTAGTCTATCATCTCGTCTTATATACATTTTTGAGTCCTCAATCCTGTACACTACAAGCAATCTAAAGCTGTCCTATGTACTGTACTTGAGACATGTCTGATTTCACAGCCCAAGTCCTCACCAAGCTAAGTCCGAAGTGTCAGTGTAGCCTTCCTCGGGGATCCTTTGGTGTTCCCATTACCGATAGTCAATAATCCTCAGAGATCCTTCAGTGTTTCCATTACCGGCGGTGGATAGTCATCGGAGACTCGGTCCTTCTTACCTTCGGTATTGAAGTCCCAAAGGCGCCTACCAGGCTGCCGGGTTCAATCACAGGCCGGACCAGTTCTACTAGTATGGGAAGCTCCGGGTCCGTGATGTCATCTATGATGTCATTGTGTGTTATTGCATGGCTACGCCACTTACCTTGTATGTCATGGGAACGTACTATACAGTAGCTTAGATAAGTGGTCTCCTCATGTATATAAGGAGCCCCCAGTACCTTCAGTTGAAGTACTTGCATGTGCATCAAGCATCAGCAACCTTTCAGGTACGTTGTGAGGGTGCACCACTGCGTGGAGCTGCCTGCTCAACAATTGGGATGCAACGCGGCCACAGGGTGCTGCTGGGATGATGAAGGGGGCACACAAATTGAGGTGGAGGGAGGTTGAGTGTGTTAGGACTAGACATTATGGTCAGACGCTCAGTCAAGGTATAACTTCGACTGTGATTGATCTACCTAGACGTTACGGTCAGACGCTACGTAGGTAGTCAGATACTAGACTGTAGTGTAGTAATGTAGATCTCACCTCAGTCAAGGTGCAACTTTGACTGAGGAAAGAGAGAGAGACAAGACGAGCAGACGAACCACTGCCGGCGGTACGTCACGTGCCCAGTGACGGAGATCGAGATCGCGGTGCGACCTCAACACTCCTCCTCGGCGCGAATGGCGAGAGAGGACGGGGGGAACGTGAAGTACAGAAAGGGGGTATGTAAGGTATTGCATGTAGTGTAGGTATCGCAATGAAAGAATCAGAAATAGTCCATGAGGATTGTAACGTAAAGATGAACAAGACCATGAGGAACGGAAATCGTAACGGGTCATGAATATTGTGAAGGCGGGATGAGCGGGTCTCGCAAAGATGCATATGATGGATACTCCTCCTGTGATGGAACTCCTCCTCACCGAGATGGAACTCCTCCTCACCGAGATGGAACTCCTCCTCACCGAGATGGAACTCCTCCTCACCGAGATGGAACTCCTCCTCACCGAGAAGACTCCTCCTCGCATGGAGGCCAAAGGCCCATCAAGCCTCGCAGAAGCTGGAAGGGCTTCCGCTCGAGTGCTTTTGTGAACACGTCAGCAACATTGAGATGGGAGGGTACGTGTTGCATCAGGAAAAAACATTCTGTCTTAAGTGGTCTTGTGGAGAGCAATAAGTGTCATCAAGTGTCATTATGTGCCACAAGTGCTTAAGGTAAGTCAATTTCTTCATTTGTCTTAATTAAGTTCCATTAAGTAACCAAAGTAAACACTCATTCCAAGCAAGAATAATGTTTTTTCATGCTTACTGGGGTAACTTCTCTCATGATTCTGCTGTGTTTGTGCATATGCTGTCATAACAGGCATCCCAGATGCAAAAATGTCACCCAAAATAATCTGCCATTTCCCAGAATTGAACCCCTGACCTGCTACACTAATTTCTCACACTCTCAGCACAAACTTCTGACCACTACACCATAGGTCCCTGTGCTTGTTCCCTTGCACAATAACCTATATTGACTATCTTTCTGGACTTAGAGAAATCTGCAATTGCTGCCCCCTGTTAGCCTAGCCCCTGTGCATCCCTGGGCTCTCAGACTGGCCTCATTTCTTCTTGGCACTATCTGTTGCCTTGCAGACCTTGTGTAGACTCACAATTTGCTCAAGGCCAGGCTTCTTGTCTCACTTTGTATGCTTAAATGTTCTTTTTCTGTCTTTCACCCTTAACAGGCCAAATATGTCCAAATCCTTGACAATATGACTTTGACCAAATTGAGCAATCTGACATCTCATCATGCATATTTATTAGTTAAGAGGTCATTTGCCAACTAATGTGTACTTATGCATCTTAATCTGTAGTACTGAAGTTGCATATCCTCCAACTTGGGGACAAGACAAATTTCTCAAAGGTGCTATAGTTCACTTCAGCGGTCTTCATGCACATAGTGCACTTAATTGAGGAACACAAGTTATGAAAGATTGAATAAGATTAGGTGCTCTTCATTCAAGACTGCTGAAGTTAGAAGTGTTTTTCCTGATGTGAATGGCCACGCATTTTGCGGCGACCACCTCACGGAGATAGTGCCATTTGATGTCGATATGTTTGACACGGGAGTGGAACATCGAGTCGGAGGACAGGGTGATTGTGCTCGTGCTGTCAAGACGCATGAGGGACGCAGTGGGCTGAGCAAATGCAAGACCGTCGAGTAAGAACCAAAGCCACACGCATTCCTTGGCAGATTCGGCTGCAGCGATGTACTCAGCCTCTGTTGTGGAGGTGGAAATCGTAGGCTGCTTGCACGCAGACCAGGAGATGACGCCAGAGCCCAGATTCCAGCAGTAGCCGCCAGTAGAGCGGCGAGTGTCAACACAGCTAGCATGACTAGCGTCCGCATACCCGTTGAGATTGGCCGCATTTGCGCCACTGAGGTAGAGCCAGAAAGTACACGTGCCTTTGAGGTAACAGATGACGCGCTTGGCGGCCTCCCAATGAATCTCGGCGTAGCAGTCGAGGAATTGGCTGAGGTTCTGAACGGCGAGGGCGATGTTGGGGCGGGTGCCAATGGCGAGGTACATGAGGCAGCCAATGAGCGAACGGTAGGGTAGCCGAGTGGCGCGCTCCTTCGCGGCAGGCGTCTTGGGAGAGTGCTGGGTGCGGGAGAGGTGGAGACCGGTGTGGGCATGGCCCACGGTCTACGCATGGAATCGACAAAATACGAATGCGTCAGGGCGAGAAATGGGACGGCGGTACGGCGCAAGGCATCCCCGAGAAGTACGGACTTGGGGAACAGAACTCGAACGGGCCGAATACATTCCAACTAAGCCAAACACGGTTACAGAAGGTGCTACGGATGACTACATGGGGTCAGTTGAGCGAAGGGCTTGCGTTACGAACATTCCCTCCGTCCCCGTTCCTTCCGGACCCTCCAGCCTCTTGGTCAGCAGCAGCATCGGCAACGCTACGCGTGAAGCCCATGGGGCGTGGATTGAGAGCCATCGAACCCCTAGACGTGGCGAAGACTAAACAACAAGGAATTCCGGAATAATCGTCCGGAAGGTACAGCCCGTGTGACAGCTGGTCTTGAATACCTTGGACCGCGGCGGAGAGCGTGGCTAGCCCACCATCGAGCTGGTCAAGGGTGTCAGTGGTCGAACACTGAGCATCACTAAGAGCTTCCAGCTGGTCGGTGACGACGTCCCATCCGACGGAAGAAGCGCGCTGGTTCGATAAAGCAAGCGGACTGTTGCGATAGGAAATGGCCGGGAGTGGAGCACCTTCCTCAGCAATGCTCTGCTCGACGAGGACACGGTTAGGCGACCAGGCGATGACGGGGTATGGCTCGGGAAGAGACGACGCGTGCTCGGAAGGAAGGGTTGCAAAGATGGTGTCGAGGTACACTATCAGGGCGTGCATGGATGGTGTCTGGCGGACGGAAGGGAGAGAGATATCCCCGGAGGCTACGGCGATGCTACGGGACTCGAACAACATGCGCTGGAGTACAGTCAGCGTGGGAGACGACAAGTCCTAGGAAAAGGACACACCAATAGCCAACAGTTTCCATGGGCCCAGGCCAGCCAGGCAGTCGGATCGTGGGGGAGGAGACGGGGTTCCAAGTTGCGTTCGTGTCGAAGGAGCTCGAGGAGACGGTAGAAGCGGACGACGTATGGGGATTGCCCAGGGAGGGACATGGTGGGTGGAGGCAGTGAGGGAAGGAGGCTGGGGCTTCACTGACCAACCGGAAGGAAGGGGGAGTAGGGGAGAGAACGGGGAGAGTCGGGAAGGTTTGAGGGCGTGGGAAGTTGGGGAGGGGAAGGACATGGCGTGCTGGCGCGGGGGAGGAGGACTTACTTACCACTACCACTTCGAGAGCGGACAGTTAGAGGTAACTCCTGCGAACCAGGACAGCTCTGTTTTCTTAGCGACGTATAAAATTCTCTCTCTCTCTTGCAGATCTGCGGCGACAGCGGCGAGCGTGCGTACTGCGAACTCTGCGTATTTGCGTGTCTTTGCGGGAACAGCAGTTCCATCGTTCAGCGGAACGAACATTGGGCAGCGTAGCCTAAGCACTCCCCCCCCCCTTCCTTCCGTGACTACCAATAGTTACGTTGACATCGTCCGACAACAAAACCCGTCGTTTCTACCGACTATCGACCCCTGCTCCCTGCCACCTCACACGGGAGACTTGCAACCTACACACCGGCTTCCATAGGTGTGGAGACGGGGGCACAGTCAGGGCGGAACTGCTTGACGATTTTGTCGATCAAAGCAGTCTGCGAGAGAGCGACGGTCCAACGCGCGCG